AAAAAAACTATTGCAAATAACTGACTTGTGGTGATTCCATCTCTCCAACATGTTGCCACGTTTCCCCAGGTCAAGTTTACCCCGCAAACTGGTTCCCCAGACTCGTCGCGTCGGTTTTGTCCTTATTCAGATTTTTCTTAGTCACAGCAAAACAAGGTCCTGGTAGAATTGAGAGTCAGTGGCTGCTGGCAGCACAAAAGATCCTTACGCCCAAAACCAACGGTCAGAGCGTGAGTGTGTGCGGCCGACAGCCAAGACATGCGCCAAGAGAAGCAGTATTGATTACCGAGACTCTCATTGGATCGGAGTCGGAAGTGAGCGGTTGTAGATAACCTCGGACCATTCCCCATGTGGTGTGTCGGATACTGTATGTATCATTTCGGATATTGTCTTTTTCGAACTGTATCATTGCCAAGATCAGCGGTTGTCTTGGCGTTGGCTGGGTCGGAACTTGGAGAGTTGGCCAAGAGATAAGAACAAGTTGTCTTACTTTTCTGGTGAGGGGGCGAATTACTCTTCAAAAAATTGGAGGCGAAAGGAATGAAGCATGCTTTGTTTTGATTGAAGATGGTGAGATGTTGATTCATGATTAACCCGACATGTGGGAACTTGTTCAGTGGGTTTACAGTGAGTGCAGCGCTGTAAACGCCCAGTTTTACCACCTACCCTATCGGGTGTGCAGCCTTCATTAAACATCACCAACAGTAACGGCAGTGAAACGGCTCCATTCCTCCGTCATTTCAATATCTTCACGTAATAAATTCCACTTCTGACCCGCAATCCCCAGGTTTAGAGGCATACTTTATCTCGAGCTTTATCACTGTTTGCGGCAATCTCAAGATGGAGATTCGTGATGGGGCCATCAAGATAAGCAGACCATGTTAGATACCACGGCCAAGTACATGATCAAATTAACAGTCAGTCTGCGAGTAAAGAGGCGATTCACGTGCAGACAAATCAGTCACTCTTACGAGCCAAGAGTAATATTAATAAATCTCCTTCCCTTTCCAGAGATTCAACATCAGCACTTGGCGGACCCTCCTAAACTGTCGCGCACTGTAGCATAGCCTCCCAAGACGCCGGGTTTTGACAGCTTCACTGCCAAGCTAGGGGGCCAATTTTGGAGACAACTCTCGGGGTAGTTTAGCCAAGGAGCCAATGTAACATGGTAATCACTTGTGCAGCTGAGGTAAAGGTCGCTTTCCATCGGCAGGCAGTTTATTGTCGCAATAAAATGACAATAACAATCTTGTTCTATTCAAGCCACAAGACGTCACTGCATGTCCCAAGATCAACACCAGCTCGTGATAGCGTTTTAAGCTTGTTGTTTTAGCTCAACACCTAAAAACCCCGCTAATCCTTTGTCTTTGCTTACTGAACGGTAGGTATGACATGGGGGGCGCCAAGACGGAGTGCAATCCGCCCATCCTCCAACCGAAAACGATCGATCTTTTCCACCTTCCATTCATGGTATCATGTCCGTTGCAACAGGCAAGACAAAGTTGTACTGTAGGGAATGCATCACGCGTTGCCCACTTCCATTTGCTCTCTGGACGATCAAGGGGATCCGCTGCCAAGTGCGGGGATGAACCCAATCGCTAAAGCCGAAGTCAGTGCTCTAAAAAAGACAGTCAAATAAAAAGCTGGGGAACCAATTTAACGAGTGACCGGATAAGATTAGACGAGACTGACTGTCTCTCACGACACGCGTGAGGCGTAGCTTGCTCTTTATTTACACGACCAACGCAGAATCAATGAAGGAGACTGAACATATTCTGTTCAACACTGTAATTTTAGACATGTATCTATTCCCTGTAGTACCAAGTCTTGTCTCAAACCCCAACTGCCAAAAGGTCATCTTTTCCTCTGGGCACTTTCATCTAGAACCACTTGGCAGCTTCCTTCTACTACTCTTGGCCACCACTTTGGAGGCGTCCCGATGCAACTGATGCTTATCGCGTCTTGGCAAAGCAAGAGACAAGACAAAGTCTAACGCTCTTTCCCTTTTCCCTACCCACCCCTTTGTGACTTGTAACTCCCATCTCCTGCCTTTTTTGCCATCGCGCCAACTGTAAAACCGTAGGTCGGGTAAGGTACCTTCTGTACCACAGAGACCTCTTCTCTCTTGGTCCCCGAAACAACATAAAAACTGTCCCACGTCCCCATTTTCTGTTTGCGCTGGTTCCTATCTCTCCCCTTGTCAGGTCTCAATTCTTCCTTCTTTTCCCCTCTAATACAAAAGGGCCCCAATTCTTCTCTTTTGATCTGCACTTTTTGATCTTTGCTTGAGAGAGATCAACCATCAACAATGACGTCCAAGGAGGAAAAGGTCGACATCGGCACTCACACGCCGCCGTCGCACGATGTCGCGCCCGGACACCAGAAGGATGTCTTCACTGGCGACATTGAGGGCGTTCGCGAAGACTTTCGCGAGGATGACTTTATGACCCGTAACGGTCTCAACCTCAAGTCCTTCCAGCGCCGTACGTTCTCCCCTGCCTCCCGCTAGCTTCAGTCGCAATGCGCTAACATTTATTTTGTACAGGTGACTACGGTACCGGCGTCGTCGAACTCGATCGCTCTATGAAGAAGCGCCATCTCCACATGATTGCCATTGGAGGTTCTATCGGTGCTGGTTTCTTTGTCGGTTCCGGTGGTGCCTTCACCAAAGGTGGCCCTGGCGCAGTCCTCATCTGCTTCTTGATTGCTGGTGTCATGATCTTCAACGTTGTCCACGCTCTTGGTGAGCTTGCTGTTATGTACCCCGTCTCTGGTGGTTTCTATACCTACTCTACTCGCTTCATCGATCCTTCCTGGGGTTTCGCCATGGGTTGGAACTACGTACGTACCCTTCCCCTTGTCGCGCATCCGATCAGCGCAATGCTAACCATCGCAGGTCTTCCAATGGGTCATTGTCTTACCACTCGAGTTAACCGTCGCCTCCTTCACCGTGCAATACTGGAATCCAAACATCAATGAAGCCGTATGGATCACAGTCTTCTGGTTGTTCATCATCTTCATCAACATCTTTGGTACACTAGGTTACGCCGAGGAAGAGTTCTGGAGTTCTTGCTTCAAGCTCGCTGCCATCATCATCTTCATGATTGTCGCTGTCATCCTCATCTGCGGTGGTGGTCCTTCTCGTGGCAACTTCGATACCTACCAGGGTGCTAAGCTCTGGTACAACCCTGGCGCCTTCCAAAACGGTAGCCGTGGTTTCTGCGCCGTCTTTGTCACTGCTGCTTTCTCTTTCGCTGGCACTGAGCTTGTTGGTCTTGCTGCTGCCGAGTCTCGCAACCCCGCCAAGGCCCTTCCCGGTGCCATCAAGCAGGTCTTCTGGCGTATCACCCTGTAAGCATCCTTCGTCGCTAGTCCTGTCGCGTCAATTATACTAACATTTCCCAGCTTCTACATCGTCGGTCTTACTCTTGTCGGCATGCTCGTCAGCTCCACCGATGACCGTCTCCTCAACAGTGCCAACCCATACAAGGATGGTGTCTCTCCCTTCGTCTTGGCTGCTCTTGATGGTGGTCTTTACGGTTACGACGACTTCATGAACCTGGTCATCTGTGTTTCTGTTGTTTCTATCGGTGTCTCTTGTGTCTACGGTGGCTCTCGTACTCTCACTGCCCTTGCTGAGCAGGACTACGCCCCCAAGATCTTCACCTACATTGATCGCTCCGGTCGCCCTCTCATGTCCGTCGCTTTCAACCTCATCTGGGGTGCTCTTGCCTATATCGTCCTTGCCTCTTCTGGTGGTCTTGTCTTTGACTGGCTTCTCGCCGTCTCTGCCCTGGCCGCTCTCTTCACCTGGGGCTCCATCTGTGCTGTAAGTTCAACCATGCTCATCGTCTCTTTTTCACAGAAGCTAACTCTCCCTCTTAGTGCCATATCCGTTTCCGCTCTGCTTGGAAGCGTCAAGGCCGTACCCTCGACCAAATTCCCTTCCACGCTGCCGGTGGTGTCTACGGTTCTTGGTTGGGTCTCACCCTCTGCTTCGTCATTCTCGGCTGCCAGCTCTACGTCGCTGTCTGCCCCCCCTTCAAGGAGGGTTACGGTAACGCCGAGGACTTCTTCATGGCTTGCCTTGCCATTCCCGTTGTCCTTGTCTTCTGGCTCATCGGTTACTTCTGGAAGCGACCCCAGTGGCTTACCATTGACAAGATCGACCTCGACACCGGTCTCCGTGAGCACGATTGGGAGGAGATCAATGCTTACCGTGCCAAGGTTGCTACTTGGCCCGCTTGGCGCAGAGCCCTCAACAAGTTTATGTAAGAGGAGCAAATGCTTATCTTGCAGACTTTCTTGACATTATACCATCACTACTATACTTGATTCCTCTGATGAGGATTGCTACTTTATACCCTGTTAATATACTGGTTTATCTTCTATACATGCCGTGCCATGACCTGAATCTATCTGTGATTGAGTTGAAGTAACCCTGTTCTTCAGTTTTACTTCCCTTCTCTAAAAGCTACCGAATATATTGCTAAAGTAACGAACTATTACCATGTCTAAGGAGAAACCACGTATAGAAACAAGTCACTTATTGCCAACATTTTTGCAACCAGACTCTTCTTCTTAACTAGCTACCTAGTTAACATCAGAGACCCAAATTACCAGTCGGTTACGGAGCCCAGCGAAAAGAGCGAGAGATAAGATAAGTCGCTCGATCCGCCCTATGGCTTGCATTCGATACCTTTGCCGTTGCTATATCAGTATAAATGGAAGTTATTCTTTGGGAAGTCACGCTGATTGTTTTACTAGGCATCGTACATGGCTGGTGGCGTCTTGGCGTTGTTCTGATGTTAATGGTCTCTCGACTGATTAATGTGGTTGTCATTCGCCGCAGAGCGCAGCCAGGATGGCATGGTGCCTCAGAGGGTGAGGTCTGAGGAGATAACCTGATTATTCTCAGTCAAGACCGATGGATCAGGATTCAGGGCTTGGTTGACGATTTGAAAGCTACAACTTCCGGGCAATGGCTTCGAGATCCAACCATGGAAGAATTCTGGTTCACTGCTATTGCTACCATGGTTGTGTATCTTGCGGCAGCATTGGTAACCAACGCGACGCAGTTTGGTAAGATCCTGATACTCTTTCTTCTTGGCGGTTCGGTGGCACTCTTGGCTATATCAAATTCCTTGACGGACAAGATCCTGATGCACGGCTACATCCTTCAGTAAGTAAGCAGTGAACCTAAGTATTACAAACGGCGTGCGGAACTTGCTGATGAACTCATTAAAGAGACGGGGCGAAATGATTGGGCCTTGGGTATGGGTATGATTCCAAGCAAGGGTAATTCAGATGGGACGGCTGCCACAGGTGCTGTTGTAATATAATTAATATCGCCGAGTTTTGTTGGTTAGAAAAGTTGGAAAGGTAACTGGAAGGTGTCTTCAAGGTCCTGCACAGGCCTGATGTTAATTTGATGGGAACTTTTATGTTTATTACCCTACGTCTTGTACTCAATATTCCTTGTTTGAGTATCTGGAGAATGCTCTTCGATTGAGCTTCATGCATTCTCTTAAATGTGGTATATTTTAACTAGTTTCGATATCTTTACTCATTGTGTTGAGTATCAAACAAATGGCAGAATTATATGACTGGCGTTCTCTCCACCGCAGTGAACATTATGCGTTCCCTTGTTGTCTAAATGTTCCAAGCTTCCAAAGTTGCTCACTCCCAAGTTTCGACCACAAACAACAGCTCTGATCGACTCGCCCGCCTCGTACTCAATACCCATGGCCCAGATACCAATGTCCAGTCTGACAATATCACCTGGATTAATCTTCTCTTCCTTCTCGTGAGGGTGGAAAGGCCAATGTGGATGCATGCTCTTGCTCTCATCGATCTCGCGATGCGACGCTCGAAGAACACCCATTGGGCCACGATAGATCACAACCTCAATCTTCTCCTTATCGTCCATCTCTTCGAAGGATTGCTTAGGGATGCCCTTCCAAGGAATGTTGAGGTTGAGCATGACTTCTCCATTGGCATCGAGCTTCTCGAGCAAGACATAAACGTCCATGTCATTATAATCAGGACAAGACATATACAACACAGCTTTGGGCATGCCGACCAATCTTGTCGTTTGATCGAAGCGGTATGTAAAGCCGACTCGATCGTCTGTTTCAGACTTGTAGCTAAGTGATGACGACGCGCTGGGCTTGTCAAGAGAGAGCTGGCCTTCTGAAGTGAAGAAGAGCTTCTTGTAGTCTGTTCTTGGAATTGGAAAGTCTTCCTCGACGATATTCTCGTATGACTGAGGTTCCTTCTTTCCAAATCTCAACACGGCCATACGCACCTGGGGTGTGCTATCCCAGCCGTTCTTCTTTCCCTTGAGGAAGTAGTCAAAGAAGTCCAGCAACTCTGGGTTGGCTTGCTCATTGCCCCATATATCATACCACTCCTGCCATGGGTGCCATCGAAGCCACTTGTGTGGTGTATCAACTTCGAGCCAACCTCGAATGGCACCCATGCCGTGCATGGTATTCGTCCAAGTACCGGTGATGTAGGTAGGGATATTGATCTTTTTCATGTCTGGTCGTTTGTCGTTCCACCAGTCGTTGGCAAGTGGGTGCTTCTTGAACATTTCTCTGAAACTCTCAATACCCTTGTGACCTTGGAGCATGTACTTGATGATAAGCTTGTCGAAGAGATCACCGGCGTAAATGCCTCCACGAGCAAACTGCTCACGATACAGATCACCGCAGCCTTCCCAGGGGGCGATGGCCTTAAGACTGGGGGGTCGTAGAGCGGCGATAAACCATTGGATGATGGCGAGATGTGAGTTGCCAGCGAGACCGACTGAACCATTGCACCACGGTAGTTTGGCTATACTTTCGATGCTATCGTACCCATCTTCGGCTTCTTGAGTGCCCATGATGGCCATAACTCCTTCACTGTCGCCTGATCCGCGAGAGTCAACGTTGACAATGGCATAACCACGAGGAACCCAATCATTTGGATCAGGTGCCTCAAACTTCTCAAGACCAGATAATGTCTTGGGATGAATTCCCAAATTCCATGGCACCATGAGACTCAGTGACATGAGGCCGTTAAATTTCTTTCCAAAAGGCGACCAGCAGACGATTGCAGGAATGGGCTCATTGTCACTTTGCGGTGGTCGATAGATATCAGCATATAGCTTCACACCATCTCGCATCGTGAATGTAACATCGTGCTCAACGAGTATATCACAGTTCAGAGGCTTCGCATCGGGATGATCAAATTTCCAGCCTGCTGGAAGGACTTCTGAGTGTCGGTTGAAGCCAACATAACCACCTTGACCAACTTTTGGTGGGTTGATGTGTTCGACTGGTACTTCGAAGGGGAGTGTAGGAAGAGGCATGATGTGTGTTTGATATGACGAGGATGTAATTGTTGATGTGGTATTACAATCGAAATACTCAAGTCTATGGCGAGCTATTCATAGTCAATTTCTCCAGCATCAAAATAGGTACTCTCTGTATTGGATGCCGAGGTCGCAAACCGGTGGTCCATCGGCCCCACTTAATATTTCCCCTCGGTGTAGGATGAGGCGAGCGGATCGGCGTCGGAGTCTGGGGTAAGTAGGAGATTCCGAGCCGAACCGATATCATAACGGAATGAATTGCTACCACCACCATCAATTCCGATTAGCTAGAGCATTGATTAAAGGAAGGATAAGTATCCCAGATTGAACTCGCCAAAAACGCATTTTTTAATAATCAGTCACAACAACACCACACAAAGCAAGCTCAACACCATCAAGTCTATTTGTTTGAACTTCTTTACTCCAGCCTTCACAATATCCATTCGTCCACAATGGTTGCCAACACAGAGCCTGTCGGCTACCAAACCATCTCAACACTCAAGCTTGATAACACCACAGCCAGCAAGCCCCTTCAGGCCAAGCCTGCGGGTCCACGCAAGCTCTTTTCTGATGCTAGTATCATCTATGGCGACTGGCGCGATGATCTCATGAGAGATGGTTACGCTGTTGTCAAGGGTGCTATCCCCAGAGAGCGAGCTGATCAGTATGGAGAAGAGATTATGTCTTATCTCGAAAACTTGTAAGTATTTCCAGCACAGATATAGATACCTATTCACTAATAATTCCAAGTAATGGTGGAATGGGCTTCAAGCGCGACGATCCCAGCACTCTCAAGAACGAGAACTTGCCCATCATCACCGAAAAGGGCATGATTATTGGCTACGGTGTTGCTCACGAGAGTTTTACCTGGGCCATCCGTCAAGAACCAGGTGTCGTTGAAGCCTTTGAGCGTGTGTACGACACAAAGGATCTGATTGTCTCATTTGACGCTATCAACACTTCCTTCCCTGGTCGCAAAGATGTCAAGGTCAACAAGCCCTGGCCCCACCAAGATCAAGACCCCGAGAAGCCCGGTTTCCGATGTTTGCAAGGTCTCGTCAATATCCTTCCCAACGGAGACAAGGACGGTGGCCTTATCGTCTGCAAGGGCGCGCACCTGCTCAGTGAAGAGTTCCACGAGGACTTCAAAAACGAAGAGAACAGGATCTGGGCTTGGACAAAGGAGTGGTACGGTTTCACCGACGAGGGTATGGAGTGGCTGAAGAACAAGGGCTGCGAATGGACCAAGATCAACGCCGAGCCTGGTGATCTTCTTGTCTGGGATAGCCGCACTCCTCACTACAACGTCAGCCCTGAGGGTAACATGCCTCGTTTCTGCACTTATACCTGCTATATGCCTGCTGCAGATGCTACACAGGAGGACTTGATCAGGAAGAAGGGTGCTTTTGAGAACCTCCAGAGCACGACTCATTGGCCCAATGCCATGCATGTTGGTGGTATTCCTATCATGCGAGACGGAAAGCCTTGTCCTTACAACACCAACAAGCCTAGGGAGGCACCGAAACTGACAGCTAGAGGATTCGAGTTGACGGGTATTCCATACATCGCTGCCTGAAAAATGGATTGATGGTACGACTGTTTTTTTTTTTGGAATAGTTGCATAGCATACTGAGTTAAATGGAATTTACACAAGAATATCAAAAGATCCAAGAGGCATATAAGATTCAATTTTACTTATTGCAATTTAATAGTCATGAAGTGGATTGAAGTTCACATGCTGCAGACGGAGGAGAGTATAGCGTACCCACAAGTAAGATCACGTGATACCCTTGACGCTCAGCAAGCTACCGTAATTGTCCAGGAATGAACACAAGAATCCAGGAAGTGGAAACAAGGAACTGCATGTAGTTATTTGAAGGTTACTGACTTATATACAATACTTAAATTTGGGAAAGAGAGATCTTGTAACTGTTTCGAAGGCTGACCTTCTCGATCACTTGTTGTTACTTAAATGCTTGGAACCAATATCCATAGAGCGTCAATAAAACCAGGCGATATAATTACTACGCGCATTGGAATAAGGTTGATCTATGTTGTTGGATTGCAGGAAACTACTTCATTTAATTCCTAAAGTTCAATACTCATACCCTCTTCTGTCGGGTACAAAACAGACTCATTCTCTAGCCTCTGCAACAAATTCTCAAAATCAGCCCAGTCGCACCCAATCTCATCAGGTAGTATGTGTATGTTGAACGGCTGTCCCGAAAATGGGTCCAGAATTCCCTCATCCATGCTCAATTCGACCGGATTCAAAATGGAAGAATCGGACGGATCTAAAGATTGGGAAAATGTCATGTTGTTGGGTTGTTGCGCTAAGTTTGTTCCATCTTGTTGAGGGAAGCATGCACTTGAAGTAGAGTTGTGGTTATTTTGTTCAGCCTCAATTAAGGTTGTGGTAGGTTTCACCGCTTCTTGAACCACACGAATAAGTCCATTGAGGACGGTGGACAGGCGATCTGCTTCAGCTAGACCAACGCAGTAACAACGAATTAAGTCAGCGGCTGTAATGAGAAGCTTCGATAGTTAGCATCCATCGCCACCAGGACTGGAATATGGTAACTCACACTTTGATCAATCTTTGAGATGCGTGATTGCGGCTGTTTAAGTATATGAACTGCCAAGACATAAAGAGCATGAAGAAGGGGGAAGTAGGAAGGTGCGAATAAATGAGACACTGTGTCATCATTGTCAGCAAGCAGGTGGATGATCTTCCTGGCTGAGTTGGCAACCATGGATTGACCGTTGCGGATTGTGTACTCCCAAGGTGTACCCTTGGCGATGACCTCGACGGCTTTGTGGATAGCATCTTTACTGATAAGAAGAGCGTTTCGGTTGAGCATAAGTATACTAAAAACATGTCAGATATGCTTAGAGTAGCAATTTGATGGCTGACTTACGCGTTGTGGTAATGAAGCGAGATGAAAGAAGACAGGGTTGGGTCTTCTGGAAGTCGCATGAAGTCTGAAGTAGGTCTAGCTGTGTTAGCTCTATGGAACATCGCACGTAAAGAAGAAGGCTTACCGTAGACCGGCAGGAAGACTGTTCACCCAATTCGACAACATCAGAAACGATTCGCCGGTCGCATTAACCTTGTCCTTGATGGCTGCTTCAAGAGTTTTTCGGTTCGCTCGGTCTTCAAGCAGTCGTGCCTTTGCACACCGGTGACTCATTTTACTAAAGGCTTTAGCCATAGACAAGACAAAATGTTGCGGCTGTGGGTTTGTTGTCTTCAAGACCTCGAGATCCAAGTCATCGTATGTTTCATCCGAGATGCTGGAGACATATCCGAGCTGGAAAGAGAATAATTTCTCATAGCTATAAAGAGCCCACCAGGCTGGATTCCAAGCGTCTATAGCAGAATGAGCGTTCTTTCGTCGATCACGACCGGGTCTATCGAGACCAAGTGAGTGAGCGACCGATAGACAAATGCCGAAGGTCGTCCAAGACGCAGTGATTTCATCGTTGAGCCGGAGACAAATTGAGAAGAGAAAAAGAACTTCAATGGTTTCGAAGGAAACGTTACCGATGAGATGGCCCAAAGCGTCACGAGCAAGCGAGAGAGCCTCTGTCATGTAAGCCTGGCGCTCGTTTGACTGGAGGATACATCCGCCTGCCGCCAGAAGTAGGCAGGTTTTCATTGACGAAGTGTCACCATGAGACGATGAAGAGTTGTCAAGACGTATGGAATGTACTTGCGAAGTTTCAGTTCTTGCCTGATCCAGTCTGACCACAGGATAGAATGTGTGTATTTCGCGCTGGTACGCGTCGAAAAGCGCGTCAAAATCCCAACTTGCCGGTGCTTGGGGTACAGTTTGCCGAGACAGGAACCCACTAGATCTCAAAGCTGCATGCGGGATTGGAGGAGGATAGGTGCCGAAATGGTAGGGAACATTGAGCCGAAAGCACGAAAGATCCAGCCACTCAGTCAAGACCTGGAAAGACGTGGTACCCGTACTCTGTTTAAGTATCGGCAGTGGATTACTGATAGTATCCGTATGGGAAGAACCTCTGCTGAGCGACTGTCTCGGACTCTGCGATCTTGCACGTATCGGACCAGTCGCCACAGAGATGGTACGCGTCGTCAGTTGCTCTTTTGCGATTGAGGGCCTTCTGTTGAGGACATTCTCGGTGACTGAATGTATTCCGTACTCCGATGGACTTCCAGACCCAACAGACGATCCATCAATGGATTTACCTGCCTCGCGTCGCTTGATCAACTTGCCCGGCCTACGTCTGTCTTCGGTAACGCAAGGGATTCCCGCTGAAATGCATGCTTGGCAGGAAGGTTGCTGCTCATCGCACCGGGTCTTCCGATTCCGGCAGTAATTGCAGGCGAAATTGAGACGGCGACGCTTGCTGGATTCCTTGGGCCGGGAATCGGGACTATCCTCGGTATCCATTGGAGAAGGCATCGGAGACTGAATTGCGGGGAAATACGGATATACGAGATAGAAATGTCAGTAGACGAAAATGGAATCTGGGGACAAGGATTTGGGTCTTGATTGAGAGTCTGGGGTTGATTAGCTTGCAGTATGTGTTTGGAGCAAGATCAAGATACCGAGCCGATCGGAGGGTTGGAGCGTATTTTATTCTCTCTACCCAGCTGCTACTCTCTCTTCCTCTTCCCCGCGTTCTTTTTCCTCGGGCAATCGGCTCCACCCCCGCAAGGTTGATACACGGACTAGACCATCCTAGTCTCGATCCTTGACTCACCAATCGGAGTCACTCTTTTACGTGTTCAGACCTTTAAACACTAGCTTGATCAAACTTAGTCGACAAAGATTGGCCACAAACTCCTCAATCTCTTTGTTGAGTCTGGACTCCGACCCGACAAGGGACAAGGATGTTGCGACGCAGCTGATGATATAAAGCTGTTCTTGTCACCGTAACGGTAGAGTCCATATCAATTGGCAAGGACAATATGGCTGAGCCACGATCTTCTTTCAATATGAAGCCTGATGTTGATGCCGTGGAGAATGTCCTCAAGGATCCTCATCACGAGTCGCACGATGCATCTGGTACTGTCAACTTGTATCAGGATGGCACCGTTGTTTTGATTCCGACACCGAGTCCTGATCCCAAAGGTATGTTGGCTAACAAATTCTCACTCTATCTATTTTCCTAATTGGTCATTGCCAGATCCTCTGAACTTGCCTGTTTGGCGAAAGTATATGATCATCCTCATCGTCGGCTTTTACTCCGGTATATCAGTTCTCGGTACATCCGGTCTCGGTGCTGTAACTCCCGAACTACACCAGATATACCACAATGACGACCCGAAACGCATCACCGATCTACTCACCTACCCAACCCTCTTCATGGGTATTGGCAACCTGTTTTCCATGCCACTAGCCAACGCCGTCGGTCGCCGCCCTATTTTTCTCTTCTCCGTCCTCCTCTTGACAGTATCTGGTATTTGGTGTGCGTGCTCAACGTCTCTCTCAAGTCACATTGCCGGTCGAAACATTTTTAGTTTGGCTGCAGGACAGAGTGAAGCTCTTGCGCCTTTGATCGTGCAAGAAGTCCACTTCCTTCATCAACACGGTGTCAAGCTGTCCTACTTTGTCGGTGTGCAAAATACCCTGACTGCCGCTCTCTTTACTGCGACTACGTACATTGTTCCCACTATTGGACTGCCTTGGTGGTATGGTATCATGACCATTATCAACGGATGCACTATGATAGTGTCATTTTTCTTCTTGGCCGAGACACGCTTCGATCGTCCTGAAGACGCCTCTGGTATGTAACCAATGGATCTCGTGATACTTTATACTAATACTAGAACAGAGGGAGCTGTTCATCTGAGACTGGACAAGAACGGTGACGTTGCTCGGGAAGGCACCAACGAAGTCTTATTCCAAGTCACCACTCGCCAAGGCGTCGTCCTCCAGCCGGAGAAGTTTGGCGAGAGAACCTTCCGCGATGATATCCGTCTCTTCCACGGCAAATTCGACTGGATGAGTGCTCTTCACTTCTACAAGGATGTTGCCCAGTCTCTCATTCTACCGCCCATTCTTTGGATCTTCATTCTCAACGGTGCTTTCTTGGGTCTTTACATTTACCAGGCATCCACCTTTGCACAGATCCTTGTGATGCCACCTTATGGTTTCAGTCCAGAGCTTCTTGGCTGGGTGCAGCTTGTCCAGATTGTGGACTGTCTTATTGCTGTGCCTATTCTTGGTTACGGTTCTGATGTGATCTGCAAGTTTATGAGTCGTCGAAATGGCGGCGTCTTTGAGGTGAGATTTACCACATTACCCATCATTGACGAGCTTTAATAACATAGTACAGCCCGAATACCGTCTACTCACCCTCATCATCCCAGCTGCTGCTGCTATCATTTCGGCCATCTTCTACGGTCGTGCAGCAGCCAACCCCAATGACTACCGCTGGATTGCTATCGTGGCCTGCTACCATCTTGGCTTCTTTGCCTTCCTTGGAGCAAACTTGGTCGGTATTACTTTCGTTATGGACAGTTACCCCAATAAGTCTGGACCTCTGCTCCTCGTTGTCTGTGCCGGTAGAGGCTTTGTCTCGTTTGGCTTGAGTTATGCCACTGTCCCTTCGATTGAGTCTCTGGGCTATGATGGGGCCATGAACATTCTGGCCATCATTTGTGGTGTATTGAGTGGTCTGGGAATAGTCATGTACTTCATTGGAAAGCGCGTTCGCGAATGGGCTCGAAGGACTATCTGGCCCAAGGCTCACGAGGAATAAGCTTGGCGTCTGGTTTATTACTATTATTAATAGCGGTTCCTGGTTATTGTCTTCCTGTTGCTTGCTGTGCTAGTTAGACATGAAATAAACTTGAATATATTTGACTAATGAAGGTATCTGATTTCTTTTTTAACTGTTGTCTTACTCTTAGGTCTCAAGTAAATACTGAATTCTAATTAGAAAGTGAAATATATACTAACAGACAGCTGTTTTATAAACCCTCACCCAATAATCAGCCTTTGGCTTTCTATGAGTGAACTGAACGGGATGATATCGAATGTCTCGTCGTCTGGCCTCCACCCAATTGACTCTATTTCAAGCTTATAGATTTAATTGGTCTGTGGTTCGCGGGAGTGTTTAGCTCGACAGGGATCCCAAGGCTGCAGTCCGCTTGTCCATACATGCCTTTGTTGCTTCAAAACCAAACAACACAAGACTCTCAACTCCAATAAGTATTCATAGCATTCTGAATAGCACCCCATAGTCCAAGAAGCCTGTCTCTTGGGAATAGTTATGCCACTTATAAATACGTTCTTATCAGTTGAGATACTATAAGGCTTCCCGACTCCAATGCTGCTGACATGCAGATCAACATCTTGGCAGACCGCAGTGTGCATAAAGATGACGTGTCAGTAAATAAGGCTCTCCAGGCAGCGGGTAGAATCACAATCGGAATCTCTTTTCTAATCTCCCAGATATTCCCCATCATCAAGAACTAACCCTAAAGCAGACCTGCGCTTTCGTCAAAATGGTAGAAAGACGTTTCCAATACCTCTCAACGCTCAATTTCACAGACACCCCATTCAAACAGTTCACTATTCCCCCGGACTTCAGAGCCTGGGAGGTCTCCTGGCTTACTCGCCTAAATGCCGTCATCAACAATGCTCAAATTCCTGCTAGACTGATCGAGACCGGGTGCATCGTTGACAATGCTACCAATTGTCAAAAGGCATGCGGGAGCGAAGAACATATGTTCTCGAATCCCGAGACGCTATGGAATTGCCTTACACTTGCGACTGTGGCCATGATGTCTACCAACAACGGGCCAGATACCATCAGCAACGAGACACTTGAAGAAGTTGATGAAAGGTTTGGCACTGGCCCTTTGAACGAGTTCTGGGAACGGCGCGCATTGTTGAAATATGTCAAATGCGCGCTTCAGTCATGCTCAGACTCTAAGTTTGGTGGATGTCCACCGGGACTTTGGGCCTTTCAATGCCAGAGGATCACGTCAAGGAATATCAAGTACCTGGGCAAAATCATGAGTACTCAGTACTGCGACAAAGCTGATCCTGGGATTGACTATGATATTGCAGGGCCTGGGGTGAGTTGTACAACATCTGTAATAAAAGCCTCTGCTAATTGGGTATAGATAATCGTGGCATATCTAATCCAGTTTGCGATAGTACTATTCTTTGCCCTGTGCTACAAGATTAGCAAGACATGGATCAGAAACTTCGCACTAATCTCGCTTCTTCCATTCCATGGGCCTGCTCGAAGTACTGAGACAGCCCTTAAATGGCAGAAAGCTGTTTCAAGGAGTACCTTTGGTGTTGCGATTACTTCAACTCTTGTCGATCTCCAGGAAGCTCAAGCGGTGTTCCTTGGCACCATATCGATAGCTTCCATTATAACCTTCACAAATTCAAGTGGAACGGGACTTGGTAACATTAGTTCGCTACTCTCCTGGCTGGCAAACAACCTCACCTTGAGGGGTATGATTTCAGCCGGGATATATCCCCTGCTGTTGGTCCAGCTAATCCTTCAAAAGACTCACAATCGCTGGTGGTATACACTTGCTCTTGTATTTATGAACTGGGTTCTTGCTGTACTAGTTGCTCGTCATCAAGCCGTTGACGAGCTTTCGTTATTAAAGCACTTTACCGACTCTTCCCCTTTGGAAAACTGCGGTAATCACACCGGGCCCAGGACCTTTTGTCAGACGTTCAATAAGCCCACCGAGAGAGGTTCTAGTTCTAATACCGGCGAAGAGTCAGATCATCTAGATCGCGATGCGGAGAGCTTCTTCAAGATTCACTCCAGGATACAGGCACCCATGCATGTAATAATGGCATTCCTGATATTGGACTGGATACTCGCAATGATAGGGATGCATCTCTCTGAGAGGGGTGATTGGTTATCTCACAAGGCCCACGCTTTGATAGATAGCTTACCTTCACGTCTGAAGTCGTTTTATACCCAGAGATACTTCGTCATATTTACAGAAGCCATCTGGATTTCGATGGAAATCCTCACTATCGTCATGGGGGCCATAGGGGTACATGAGTTTGCGGCATTTATGCATCTACTCAGCGGGGGAGGATCTGGCAACAAGAGTAATGTTGCTTTATCTAAATGGGGCTTTGGACAGCTGGTAGCAGTATGTGTTTGGGTTCCTGTAATACTCAAGTTCGCTTGTCTCATGGTTGGTAAGTCGAGATCATTCCCAAGTCCAGACTGATAGCTGACATGTTGCAGACGGAGCTTTGCCTGGCTGGAGAAAACGGCTTGGACAATTTATCGAGATTACACAGCACAAAGAAACAGAACCGGATGGGAATGATGTTGTTATGGAAAGTTTGCTTCCGTCCAGTCCTACAACGAGGGGCCAGACGGATTAAATAGAGGGTCGCACTCTGACAGCGAGGCGGTCTTGGAGAAGAATATATGATTATTCTGAGATTCTATAGCATTTGCCCAAGGCAAGAGAATTCCATGTATATAGGATCCCAATATCAAATCGGCGATCTACTGAAACGTGCCATGATGGCATGCGTGTTGCATTGGCTCTACCATACTATGGGTTTATTAAGTCAAGAGAGCGGGGTTGTGCTTTGCCGCCCTGTAGACCGAATGCGCATTAGCAGATCCGGAGCTGTGATTGGTGGAGCTCACAGTAATGTGCAAGGCTACGTGGTTACACAAAACAGCTCACCGCTTCCTAACTTAAAGAGAGTAATCCAAGGCTTGTTAAATTATCTCTAGTATGCTCTATTTTCAGAAAATAGCTGCTGACAAGATAACTGGGACCAGGACTCAGCATAAGCCGCCAGAAGGTAAATGGCATAAAGACGCACATTCCGACAAGGTTCAACTGCGCCTTCAATTAGATCAATAAGCGCCGGGCCAACAAACTCCGGATAAAACACTGAGAACCAACATCGGAGGGGAAGTGGCAGCCTCGTCAGCTCATCTTAACTACTAGCATTTCCAATCCAGCATTCAAAATGGACTCGAACCACTATTATTGTCTCCGCGAGCCTGTGTATGAGATACGGTTACTCGATCTCCTTCCAGTAACTGTTTTAGGAAGTCTTAATGGTTGAGTACGACGATTTAGCATAGGCAACACGCCTGCATTTGTTTCTGTTTCACATGTTTAGGGGGATAAGAAAGCAGATCGGACTATCTCTCTCGAGTCGGGCTGTGGGATCAAGAATCTACAGATTTCTCACGACCTGGAATCATTTCTCATCAACATGCTCTGCCATACATCCGAGTCACTGCCACAGATTTAGGAAGTCAGCGAGAGGCTACCAACGTGGATTGACATGGTATGTATCGACCAGGCGGACACTCGCGAAAAGGCGTTGCAGATTCCGCTTATGCGCGACATGTATTCGAAAGCGAGTTTCGTTGTCGTGTGGATTCATGAATACGACAGCTATTTGCGATATGCATTCCAGTATCTGCGACGGATCGGTAGACATGGCCCTGGCGAAGAGGTCGTGTTTGATCCCATGGGCTAGGACGCGATTTGACGCCTGCTTGGTTGTGAGTGGTTCCATCGACGATGGGTAATTCAAGAATCTATTCTACCGAAGGATGCCATCTTCCTTTGCGGCTCGGGCTCTATATCCATGAATGAGTTATTCCAGGGTATCGACATGGCTGTCGGTGCGTTGCTTGCTCGGCCACGACCAATGAAGAAATTGAAGCCTGGTAACACAGGCGAAGTAAGGCCTATTAGGGTCTTGAGAGAGCTCAGGCAAGCATTGGAAACAGATCAAGATCAATTCGGTCTTTTTTGGCTGATGGAGCACCTCCGTTTCACTCGAGCAACTTTGGCTCACGACCATATCTATTCGTTGTTGGGCGTTTGCAATCCCCAGGAGGCTGCTGCGACCTCGGTTCGATATGATCTCGAGCCCGAAGAGGTCTACAAGAGCTCAGTTATGTTACATGCAGAAATACATGGTAACTTGGAGTTTCTTGGCCTCTGTGCATCTGAGCAATGCGGTACCATCTGCTTTGGAAGAGCCGAAGCCCCAGTTTTGCGTCCCTTCACCGGCCCTTCTTGGGTGCCCAATTGGCATTCATAGAAGCTGCGACACTGCTTAGGACTCAGCTATATCGATCAACAGCGGAATTCCTTTCAATCCTTCCTTCGAGGGAAGACAGCTGACAGTCTCGGGAGTCTTCATTGATAGGATCCGTTCAATCGGTGATTTTTGTCCTCTCGATAAAGCCTTCGACTTCTCGGATGCCAACTCAAACCTATACCAGCAGTATCTGGATTTCCGGATGACCCCGGTGGATGAACCTGCGCCATATTCAGATGGCATAAGTCGAGCTGAAACTTTCATCCGAACCCTGAGTCTCCTTGGAATTTACTTGGAGCCTGTACCCTCACCTGATGATATTCCAACAAGTTTCTACAACTGGTGCAAGGGCTCATTCTTGTGTAAGCGGTTAGACGCATACGAGTTCAAGCCCAATAGTAATGGTAGAGGACCCGAAAAAAAGACGTTTATCAGAATGAAGCGTCTGGCATCCTGGGATCCTTTTATCACTGCCAAGGGCTACATGGGTCTCAGCTGGGAGGGAGCTGCGATTAGGGATGAAATTTGGCTTATCGGGGGCTGCAGTACCCCTGTTTTGCTTCCCCCCAGCGTAGATGACCTGTCCCGGTATGAGGTGAAAGGGGAGACTTTCCTTATGGGTTCATGTTTCGAGGGCAATTAGATAAAACAACTCATCGAAATTCGTCAATTCAGCGAATCGTTTTGATATAGTGGAGGTACTCTACTGACAGATGATGTGGCGGCCATGATGGACTGTCACCGGCGACAGAAAGAATAACGTGGAGCGGTTAAGTCTCTTACAAGTATTAGTGAATAGTCCTTGTTCGTGGTTTGTGTAAGTAACTATTTAAAATAGTGAGGGTTATGATAATTGTCCAAGCATATAACTATTGTCTTTCTCTTGAAGTTATTAACTAATTCGCCATAGGTATAAGTCTAACTATGCCACATATAGCAGTATCTAATCTCTGTAAACTTTCTTCCACATTATGGGATCCATCCTTCTCTATATCCTGTCCTGCAAGAACTACCATCTCGACTGGTTTGGTTTTCAGCTGTATGTTTGTCATGTAGCCAACTTCTGAAAACAAATTTGCTTCTTCTACTTGATACCCCAACTCCTTCTCACAGCGCTCCCTTTCTGACATTCCTGATGTTCCTCCAAAGGCTGTAAACCGATGATCCCACGATCTTGCAAAGGGTGAGAGTTCTTTAGGATGAGACAGAGACATTTGGAACCTCTCTAGTCTCTTTTCTAGAATGTCCAGACGTTCGGGTAGACGACGAGGAAACTCATATCCCGTGCAAAGTAAGCCTTGCCCCACGATAGTACACTCCTCTTGATTGTCCGTGTATCGTAGTATAAGAAGCCCGCGTCCATATCCCGTCTTGATTATTAGGTCACCCGCCTGAGCAGCGCCGCAAACTAAGGCGCTGACTTCAGAGTCTGTGAACAACAATTTTGTTTTGTCATCCTTGCTTGTAAACTTCCGGAGGCTTGCTGCCCTCTTATCCACACTGGTCAAAGGCGAGCTTTTATCGTTTGAATAGACCAGAGATGTCATCAGCTGGTTAGCATCATTCTTGTTAATAAACATGACCAAGTGATTGGCTCCTCTGAAACGATGAATCAGATCTCTGTCATCGATGTCTTCTGTGGGGACTACACCGCTAGATCTCATGGCTACGAGATTTCTCATCCAGCCATGACTGTAGCATATTTCCAACCCTTTGAGGATACGCTGGATTTCAATAGGCTGCATCCAGTCAGTCTGACAAATAAGCGATTTTGCTAAGTCAAAAGAAGCAGAGTCGTGATAGACCGGTCGCAAAGGTGGGAAATTATCCCTCCACTTGATAAGAGATAGAAGCCCATAGATCTTGTCCTCCGGTCTAGAACACTTGAATAGATCATTGGTGAACGAGAAAATTTGATGAGCCATGATACGTCGTACTGTAATTGCGTCCATGACAAATCTGAAACAGTGATGTGTACCGTCCTTATATAAATCTTGCTCATTAGCCTGCATAGGTCGATTCTTATTGCCCGTTAGCTTCACGCACTCAATCTTTCTAGGTGTAGTAGCCCTTACCTCCTGCATACTCTCATCAGTAGCTATATAGCAGGCAATATAAAACAACAGATAGACTTCAGATTTCGAGAATCTATCGGTGCCGCATAGAACTTCAAGTTGGCTTCCACTTCCACTTGTCGCAGCCACTTCTTGTATGATCCAGAGTCGGCTCCAATAATCCCGATTTGCAAAGGCAAGAACTGCCTTACGAAGTCGTATACCGAATGACTCTGAGGGGCGCTTTGACTCTACGAAGGTATTGATGGTATCTTCAAACGTACTGTGTGTAAAGGTACCGTCTTGTATGATATCTTCCCGAATGGAATAGAGATTACCCTGGAAGGATTTCGTCTCCTCCAATACTTCGTTAAGTATCTCGCTATCATTTTCATGTGGCCCAACACAGGCCAGAACCTTGATAGCTTTCGAGTAAATATCAAACATCATCGTAACCTGGTACCCCTTCTCTTTCATATCGTTTTGATTGATGCAAATAGAGTCAATCCACAGATAGACACGTTTCGAAGTTGTTCCACTGGTCGAAGATTTAGAATGGGAGTGTATCTGCGAAAGGGCATAATAACAATTCCCAGTCACCATCATCGGGTTACCGTTGATCAGGACCATTTCTGATAGTTCACCACTACCCCATGTATATGAGACAGCATAGAAATCTGGAGCTTTATTCAAAGTGTGAATACTCAGGTTCAACTCAAGAGGCGCTTTCGGTTGCTGAGCTTTGACTTCGATAAGCCGAATTTGTTTAGAAGGTTTATTCAGACTTCGATAACTGGAGTGACTGTTGGTGGTTGTGGACTGGTTTAAATTGTTACTATAGGTACTCCCCTTGATTACTGATGTTAGTATCACCTACCTGCAGAGCTTTGGACCTTCTTTCAAAAGCTTTTCTCATAGTTGCAAAAGTGAAAAACGTGGGAGTAACGTGTTGAGTCTTGTGGGGAATCATAGTGCACGATTTCGACCTGCGAGGGCATGTCAAATGCAGTTGACTAGAAATGCCATTATAAGAAAGTATTTTGTTAATCGTGGAGGAGATGCAATTCTGCTGTGGTACATTTAGAGGTTTTCTAGTCCCCGCTCTTGGAATTTGGCAATAAGCACAGCCTCAAATTCATGCAAACTAGTTGGCTGCGGCCAGTAAGGATTCTTATTACTTACACAGCGCCACAAAAGCTGATTGGTTAGGTATTCAGTTGTTCAGCCAAGGCATTTTCAGCAATATTCTAGGCGATTTTCAACAACTAGCAACGCGATCCTACGGCCTCCAATGGCCCAATCACATAACTTTGCAGAGGGTTGAGACACGGGAAGCTTGACTTCGATATGCAATTTACATATACAAGAATGGAATTAAACAATTTTCAGCGCACATTTTACCGTCGTTGGGCGTACTGCAACTTATGACAATGACGCTATAAACATCCTTCTCATAAACAGATCTTAATTGCCGCTGTTCAAATTGAGAGCCACAGAACTTCAGTAATGAAGTTCTTACGTTACCAATTAAAACCTAACCCACAAATAACTGAAAAGATTCGCGTCGCAGCAAACAGGTAATTTTTTATTTTTTTATAGCTTGCTAGACTTCTCCGGAATAGCTGCAATAGCTTCCATCTCCACATGAGCACCCTTCAGTGGGAGCTGAGCAACAGCCACGCATGTTCGACTCTATCAGGCATCGTAAGTATTAAGCTAAAAATTATCAAATTTAGAACTTACTGGTTTAGGATCTGAACTAAAGAACTCAAGGTACGCTTTGTTGACCTCGGCATAGTGGTCCATATCTAATATAAAAATCGTAACTTTCAAAGCATTGTGAAGGGATGTTCCCGCTTTGTTGAGAACGGCATCAAGGTTTTGGAGAGCTCCAGCCTGTAATAAGTGTTAGAACACAAACTGATGGGGAGAGAGAAAGGGACAAACAGTTTGATGATAAGGCCCATCGGCTAGTTGACGAGTCTGTGGGTCCATGCCGAACGAGCCTGAGCAGTAGACTGTTCCATTGTGGATGATTGCTTGAGAAAGATGGAGGCTGGGAGCAGGCGCATCCCTAGTTAGAACAGCGGTTCGGAGAACCATATTGAATGTTGTAAGAGTTCAAGGGTATTTGAACGAGGTGTTATTCAGTATTGGTTTGTAGTGATATTGAGTTTGGGTCAGTCCAACCCATACTGCTGATGGAAAAGGAAATGGTTACTTATAGTTCACCAGATCAGAAACAAGGATCCGATGTTCGGAGAGGTTAATGCTGATAATTCAACTTGGATGAAAACAGCCACTAAGCTAGACAAGATCCCGCGTGTCTCCACCATTAAGAAAGAATGGAGGTGGATCTCCGTGAGACTAATGCAAGTCAATGTCCAATAATGTTTCGACGGACACCTCCCTCCATCACTTTAGATCCTTGCATAGCTTCGTTCAAATATCTTCTGCGATTGACGGAAACCCAATGGATATTCTAGGAAAGAAAAGAAAAATTACCAATAGCTGTGACGTGGATCTTGGGTCGCAGCTAAGATAGCCCATATAAGTATATTTTGCCGCCGGTGTTGACCGATACTAGGAAATGATTGCCTAACCATATTGTCCGTCTATAAAGACATTCGCTGGTCCGCCCTGAAGCTTTTGACCAGTCACTATTATACGTGTGTGCTTACATCACATAGCTTGATCTTACTAAGAATGTCTCGTCAAAGTGAGACTATTGCCATCGTTGGGTATGTTGAATGTCTTTCACGATAGTTAGAATTACTAAGTTTCGAATGAACAGCGCTGGAGTCATTGGACTATCAACGGCACTCCGAGTCCAAGAACGCATTCTCTGCCAGGACAACCCACCATCCATCGTAATCATCGCACGAGACTTTCCCAACGAGACATCTATCAACTACGCTACACCGTGGGCCGGCGCTCACTATCGACCGTGTCCAGGCAACAGCCCTCAGCTACTTCAAGAGGCAATATGGGCCAAGAAAACATATGACACTCTTGATAGTTGGTCAGAGAAAGACAAACTCATTGCCGGTGTCGAATTCATGCCTGGAGAAGAGGTATTTGAAAGCCCTGCGCCTGAATATCTAGGGGTTGCGAAGGATGTGTCCCAGTCGGTATACAATCACCTTAAGTCAAGCTTCAAACTATTCAGCAGCAGCGAATTAGGTGTCATGGGGGACTCACTGAAACTTGGTTTTTGTTATCGAGCCTACTCACTAAACAGTCCTGTCTATGTTTCATTTTTACTGCGCAGACTTCAGAACAGGGGAGCTCGTGTAAGACAGTACACACTTACATCACTGGAAGAGGTCTTCTCGATTGAAGACTCTGTATCTGTTGTAATCAACTGCTCAGGGGTAGGTTTCGGCGACGCCAAGGTTTTTCCCATTCGTGGTAAGTCCTAAAATATGAAAGCGACGTACTTTTCTTCAACTGATCTTATTGCAGGCCAGACGTGTCTTGTGCGTAACCCAGTCTCCAAGACTATAACACGCCAGAACTCAGATGGTACTTGGTCATTCGCTATCCCGCGACCTCTAGAAGGCGGCACCATCATTGGAGGCACCAAAGAGCCTCACAATTGGGACCCGTATCCTTCATCTGAGACACGAAAGACTCTACTATCCAATGCAGCCAAATGGTTCCCATTTGACTCTGAAAATCCTGTGTCTACTGTTACTCAAACGTCAGATCGTTTCGATGTCATCAGAGACATTGTTGGTCGTCGACCAGCTCGTGAAGGAGGTCTTCGCCTAGAGATGGAACAGTTAAAATTGGGCACAGTTGTTCATGCGTATGGTGTTGGCGGTAGAGGTTTTGAGCTATCGTGGGGCATAGCAGATGAGGTTGTTACCTTGCTTGATAAACACGGCCATCTCTCGCCACGAGCGCGTTTGTAAGCCTATTATTCCTCTCAATCGATTGAAAGGTTAAGATTTTTTATGGTAATTGGCATGGAAGACATCCGCAGGTTGATGAACTGTTTCATTGGTATTTGGAGCATATATATATTTAAGGAATCATAATCCGTCGTGATATTGTGACATTTCTCATACAAGGTTGCAATAATCGCCAAGGCTTTCTACTGGCATCGGGCCCTATACTTGGCGAGCAATGCTCCAGGTTTGAGAGCACTCAGCTAAACAGCCAACCAGATAGCTCTGTTCTTCTGAAATTCCAAACTTCTCGATAGACCTTGATGCTTGTATGGATGCGTAAATCAATATGAGTGGTGCATGACGAAGACCATATTGTGTCTTGTAAATTCGGACCAGGGCAAGAACGTTCTGACTTGCTGTGGTGCAAGCCAGGAGTGAAGCCTCTCGAGCTGATTCGACGTTATTGGTGGTAGCTGATTCATAGTTCAAAGCAATACGAATACTGCTGTATAACAGGCTTCACGATTCTTATTAGTCAAGTTACTCCATTTGAAGTTACAGATACTTACTGAAGTGTGGCTACCGCTGGTGTCATTTTCATCCCCGTAGACCATTTGTTCCACCTCGCAAAAGGTGGTAGGGCGTCCTTCCACTTCAGAAGGTCAAGGTTGAGATTATCAAGTAGCGTTTGGCGCGTACTGACGTCTATCTGCGTTCGAGGTTTCCGTGGAGAAAATACTGTGGTCATCATTTTCTCAACAATTCTGTATAGATTAATTTGCTTTTTGAGAAATGGTATGTTTGATTGACCTGTAAGCTCATTTAAGTCATCGTCGAAGCCAACAGGACGCCAATACTCCATTCCAGGTCCGTCGCTGATTTCGTTAGCTGGCTTGAGATGGGAGCAAGGGATAACTTACATTATGAACTCCAATAATTCGACCTCAGCGCTGTCAAAGGCTAGTTGCACGGGTCTCCCGAGTATCAAGCTGATCAGCTTATCTGATATATAGCAGCCCCAATAGATTCTGCGACGTATCTCGATATCCTCGCTTGAAATAATAGTCGAGTCATGTGGCAGCCAATTCATGGGATCACTTTGAAAGCCCAAGTCCTGCGCCATACGGAACGCGATACCTGTATTTTGTCAAAACTCGAAATTTCCATTCGTCCACTCGATATATCATACCTGAGAAAGCCCATCCTTTGGACACATTTCCTTGACCAATTTCAAAGAAGGCTAAACAGAGGAAGGACTGGACTGTGGGGATAGAAGGACGGTTCAGGCCCGATACCATGACGATACTCTCAGCCGCCCGGAAAAACTGTTCAACCAGGCTCCTCTCTCCTTCAGTCTCTGACATGAGAAGGCCCAAGGCACAGATAGACAGGAGAAGCGCAGATGACCAATACTTGCAACCTTTTCGCTCACCAAAATGGTCTCTTAGAAACGCCTCTCGATACACGAACATAAAGTGTGGATACTGCCAGCGGAAGAATTGCTGCAATGCTTTGAAAACTGTATCGTCCTCCAACTTGATGCCGAAGTGATCTATCACATGATCAAAATTGGACTCTGCATACAAGCTATGCGTTTGATTTAGATAATCCTCGCTTGTGGATAGGAGGTTACTATTGAAGATGCTGGTGGCACCGTGGTAGACCAGTGATCCCTGGGCGTCTGGTTTCAAACGTGCAATGGTTGGAGTATCAGGTTGCGTGACTTGCGATCGGGATGGTCCTGTGGTTGGAATACTTGATGATCCTCCTATGTTGACCACTGATCCGAGCATCTCATCTCGACGAGCGGGAGATGCATCCTTCAACTCTTGAATCAAAGCCTCTAATGACGCTACTCTATTTCGTAGACCAGTTGCGTATTCTGACGATGCTGGGTTTCGTCTTTTGTCAATCTTTTCATATTCGCAACTTACGCCAGCCGTTGCACAATTGTTGCAAGGGTTTGTCCGTGTACATCTCAACTAATGATGTCAGACTTCCATTATCCCATCACTATATCGTGTCATTGACTTACTTTTCGGTATCGGCAACGTTTGCAACTGGGATTTCTTATCAATAAAGGATATCAGTAGTTACGCACTTGTTTAAATTCTTACGAAAGTTCCTGCTTCCCTATTGCGGGGTTCATATCATATAAAAATAAATGAATTACCTAAAAGGTCCTCTGGTGTCAAGTGAGAGTGCAACTAGGTATCGCCTTCAGTCTTTGTAAGATATCGGCCGAGGATGAAGGAGGGGGGGTTACGAGATTCAAAAGATGAAGCGCAAGTGGGGTATAACTATTGGCCAAGGTTCCATCTATTCTTGCGTTACTACTTACGAGCTTAGCATAGCCAAGAGTGAAATATCAGCCCTTTGTAACCCACGTGACGCCTTTTTTCTCTGTTGGTAATTGGCTCGGTCCTAATAGGAAACCCACCTCTGAACCCAAGTCAGCAGAGAAATAAAGACTGTTAGAACATTCCCCGCATAGCAAATAACTATCAGTACCAACGAAATGAGCGATCCGCTTAGCATCACTGCAAGTGTGATAGCGCTCCTTCAGCTTGCAGCAACAGCCACACAGTATCTCAAGGATGTCAAGCATGGATCAGCTGATCGCCTACGATTGCGAGATGAGCTGAGAAGCACAACCTGTCTTCTCGAGATGCTGAGAGATCGAATTGAGGACGACGATGAAACATCCGAAACTGACCAGCCTCTAAAACCTGCTTCCGTTAGGGTTCTCGCTGAACCTGATGGTCCTCTTAGCTTGTTTGAACAGGTCCTCCAGGATATGGTTACTAAACTTGAGCCGCAAGCCCGTCTACGTCGTTTAGCAAAGCCTTTTACTTGGCCGTTCGACAAAAAAGACATTGCAGAGTTGTTGACATGTTTGGAACGTCTAAAGAGTCACTTCAATCTTGTTATGCAAAACGACCTTCAGTACAGCTTCATCTAATCCAAGCCAGGATATTTTAGCTGACGACGTATTCAGTGAGCTGGCGAAACTATCGAATCTTAAATTAGATGATCTGAACAACAAAGCGGACGAGGTTGAGGCTAGAGCGAGAGATGAAGAAGCGTTGAAGATTATCTCTTGGATTAGCACAATCTCGTTTCGTGCGAAGCATGAAGACATCTTGGACAGTACTCAGCCCGGAACTGGAACTTGGCTACTTGAGCACAGTACTTTCCAGAGCTGGAAGAGGGGAGATATTGACAAGTTGTGGTGTCCAGGAATCCGTACGTCGTTTGTTTCCAATATTTTGTGGGTATACTAATCTTGTTAACCAGCCGGAGCGGGAAAGACGAGTCTTTTGTGAGTTGCCCATGAACGTTCCGATAACAAATAAGTTAGTAACTCAAGTTCTATTAGATCCCTAATCATAAGCCGCTTGGAGCAGGAGAAGACTGCTGGTAGTATCTGCCTATACTTATATTGTGACTACAATCGACGCATGGAGCAAAGCGCTTCTGAATTGCTATCGTGCCTCCTCCAACAGGTCCTTCATCAATTCCCAAACAAGACACTACCAGCAGAGGTGTCATTACTCTACAGCCAACACCAACGATATGGTACACGCCCCACTCACGCACAGACTACTGAGCTTCTTAGAACACTTGCTGCAAAGCTGGAGAGAGTTTTCATAGTACTCGATGCTCTGGATGAGTTCGGTGAGTCTGAAGAGGAGGCCCTAAAGTTCATGGAAACGATATGTTCGCTAGGGTCACACGTCAAGATCCTTTGTACATCACGGTTCTCAACCACATTTGAGGAATATTTCAGCCACTCAGCCAGGTTACAGATTTCTGCGCAGAATGATGACATTGCAAAGTTTCTCGAATCCCAAATCAGTCAGAAATATCGGTTGTCGAGACATGTAAGAGCGGACCCGAAGTTGAAAGACGAGATTATTGAAACCATCATCAAAGAGTCACAGGGCATGTATGTCACGAATCTGAGCTCCGTTTCTGGTTTCTTCTCGCTAAACAAAAAAGGTTCCTACTCCCCAAGCTTCACCTCGAGTCTCTCTCCCACAAGATTAACCGTAAGGAGGTACGATCATCTCTCAAGACTTTGCCTGTGTCGCTAAATGCTACATACTCGGATGCCCTGGACCGGATATACAGACAGGCGCCAGAGGCAGTCGGCCTAGCTGAAGCGGTGCTGTTTTGGATTTTATGCGCAAAACGGTCCTTGACAATACTCGAACTTCAACAGATATACGCGACCCAGGACTTACTAGAGGACATAGGGCTCGAAGAAGACGATCTGCCTGACGCTGACATTCTAACCAGTGTCTGCGGTGGTCTCATCATGATTGATAGTGATTCCCAGACTGTTCGGCTGGTACACTATACGGCTCAACAGTACTTCGAGCAATTTCATAGTGAGAAGCTCAAAGGAGCAAGGTCTAGTATCACAAATATCAGTATCAAGTATTTGAGCTTGCCAAACTTCTCGTCTGGCATTTGCACCACGGATAGGGACATGGCCCAACGCCTGCGTGAATATCCTTTTCTTGATTACGCTGCCAAGTATTGGGGAGCTGACATCAACCAAATTGACGGCGATGAATTCTTTCCCGTCCTTGACAAGCTCGTCTCCAGCGCCACTGCCCTGGAAGCCACCAGCCAAGCCTTTGCTCTTCACAGCAACCGACATGTCAACTGGAGTCAGGAGTTCCCGCGGGATATACCAGCCCTTGTACTGGCCGCCAGTTTCGATTTACCCAGAGTTCTCAAGCGAATGGTAGAGAGTGGTCATGAACTAGAGAGCAAGGGAACCGATGAAGAGACGGCGTTGATTCGTGCTGCAAGCTTCGGCCATCAGGAAAATGTCCGTACACTTCTCGACCTTGGTGCCGACAAGGATGCACGGGATCATATGAATGAAACAGCACTTCAGAGAGCTGCTGGGAACGGCGAGGTTGGAGTAGTTGAGGTTCTTTTGAACAAAGGTGCCGATGTCAATGTTCATACCTCCAGTGATTGGACTGCTCTCATGTCTGCTGTTTCCAGTGGAGATATTCGGGTTGTTGCGATGCTGGTGGACGCAGGAGCAAATCTCATGGCGGAGACTGTTTGGAAAGACTCTGCTCTTAGTATCGCGACCCGTAACGGCCAAGAAGCTATTGCCATACTTCTGGCTGACAGAGGTGCTGTTCTTCCTCGTGGCCCAGCCGGCCGACGAGCCTCCACAGTGGCTTCCCGCAGAGGCTTCACACAACTAGTTCGGCGACTCACAGCTGACTACGAGGCCGTTGCTCGACAACCACTGCAGCGTCAGAGTTCAAGGATCATGCGTGGGCTGACCCAGATTGAAGAAACCGCCGAGCCAGGAGAGGAACAAACAGCGACCGAGGGGGAAGTGCCAGATGAAGGTGACTTTTCTGCGGTAACAGAAGATCTGGAGTACAGTATTGGCTTTTCAAGACGTTATCGGATAGTGGAGATGCTCGGCAAAGGCCATTTTGCAGAAGTATTTTCTTGTACCAATCGAGTGACGGGTATGGTATATGCCGTCAAAGTATTCAAGATGGACAATTGGAACAGTGATACATCCAAGGTTCGTGGTATTCGTGCCGAGTTCAAGGCACTCATGAGCGCCTCACATGACAACATTCTGCGCCGCATCGATCTCTTTGCAGAATACGCCGAAGACAAGATCTACATGGTTTTGGAACTTGCTCCAGGCAGAGAACTGTTTAACTTTATCGTGGAGAAACGAGTTCTATCAGAGGATGAGTCGCGGAAGATCTTTTTACAGATTTTCTCTGCACTTGAGTTCTTGGTGAGTCATAAGTTGAGTGTAATGAAACATTAAGACTAATGTAAGCCTAGCATAACTCTGGATGGGTACATCGAGATATCAAACCCGAAAACATCCTTCTTTTTGACAGAGAGACTCTCCACATAAAATTGGCGGACTTGGGCCTGGCTAAAAAGATAGGAAATGGGCCTGGAAATACAGAGCTTACGACCACTCTTTGTGGCACACCTAGCTGTGAGTGAAACCTATTACTTCGAGCTATTGACCACTACTAAAGAATTTTCAGACGTGGCTCCTGAAGTTCTTGCCGAATCCAGACATAGAAGCTACGAATTCGGCGTTGATATCTGGTCGGCCGGTGTCGTCTTGTATATTTGTCTTTGTGGCTTTCCTCCGTTTTCAGATGAACTTTACTCAGCGGATTTCCCTTTCACCCTCGCACAGCAAATCAAAAGCGGGAGGTTCGACTATCCGTCACCGTACTGGGATCCCGTCGGCGATCCAGCTCTTGACCTAATTGACAGCATGCTTGTTGTTAATCCCGCGCTTCGATTTAACGTTAAGCAGTGTATGAAACACCCATGGACAGTTCTTGACTCAAGTGTTTCAGTACTACAGGACACTATTAGGTCTGCGAGCCCAGAGGCTATATAGGAGCAAGTCAAAAGGTACAATATCACAGATCATTAGAACTCACAATAATGAATATATCTTTCAGTCTATTTCACAAGCTCTCTATAAACTTCTACTATGTTCTCTTTCGAGGCTAGCCTAGTCTTAAGTATGTTATGCTCGCCACATACATATACATCATATGAATGGGTCTTGGCTCTTTCTTCGACCTTGTATTTTGGGAATGCATCTAGACTAAGATTTCTAATACGAAACAATTGCACTGCCCCTCAACTACTTAAATTAGACTCGAGCTGACGCACATTTACGGATTTAAATGCGTAAATTCAAATATTGGTTACGCTTAACTACACTAACCCGCTTAGCTCGAAGGTTGTTCCATTTTTACTCCACCTTTAATCTTGCTACTTTTCCTTGTATATCCACTACCAAGTCAGTTTTCGAGGCGAACATTACTATAATGGAACATTTTATCATGCTTGACATAGGGCATCTTGTATGTGGCAAAGTCTGTTAACGTGCTCATTCGTCCCGCAATGGCCAAATTAGCCCAAAGAGAATGTTTTGCACACAGTGGTTACCTCGGTCAGGGACGGCCCACAAAAACACGGAATGCTCGAACGACTAGGTATAAATGTATTTCCTTCCCCCCCTTGGGAGGACTGGCTTGGAAAGTTCACCAACGAAAGATTAGTCGAAATCACTCATAATGCAAGAAAAAGGCCTACTTTACCCTGATGACAAGAAGGAGATTGAATGTCTCAAGCATGGTACGTTACCTGTCCTTAGCATGACCTGACACTAAAGGATACCCTAGATCCGTCTATCCGAGACCACCACAAAATCGAGCCCGAATACACCCCGTCGCGTCAAAAAACCCTGAATACATCACCAAATACCGCCACATATTCGAAACGGAAACGTCTAATAGGCTTAATTTTCCATGCTCTATTACGTATACTACAATGCATATTCGCAGTAGTAGTAGCGATTCTATATGGGCTTGATCTACAAGAAGCAACAAAAGGCAACGTAAGGGCACACCCTTCTTGGGTCTTCGCCGAAGTTGTAGCCGGATTGTCCATGATAATATGTATCATGCAATGGATCTTTATGACGGCTGTGTGGTACTGGTGCTTTTTGGATGCTCTGATTTCTGTTCTATGGCTAGCACAGTTTGGAGTGTTTGCTTCGATGTATCTGGGTGCCGAGATCAAAGAAGTATTGGTGCCAACTTCAATCGATAGGATGCAAGCGGCGGTCTGGGTCAATCTTGTATGTGTTGTTTTGTGGTTTGCGGCAACAGTCTATGGTGCTATAGGGTGCTGTGCTCGTTTCAAGAGATCTCGACGGAATAAAAAGCACACTGGGTCAGGTTTGATGGTTGATGAAGAACAAGCGGCAAGTCATGAAGTGAGAGTTGAGTGACCGGGAGTCACCAAAAACTAGCACGGCCCGGCGTCATCACACACGAGCTTTGTTGTCGGCCTTTACGGACAAATCATTCTGCATGTCGGGGCGGAATCTGTTGATTTGACTCCATCAAGACGCAGTGTTCTATAGTTCACATTTGATCTTTATCATTTAACAAGGATCAAGTAGTAGCATTAATTTACTCTACGTAAAGCTTTACTGTCACCTCTTCTCATACAGGTACAAAATAAAGAGTCTACTGACTAATCCAATGTCTTCCCTTACTAATTCCCCAGGCTGCCCTTTGGCCTGTACTCATCCTTGCTTGACCGTTGTGTGGGTTGCAGCATTCAAAAGATTAATCGTATCAATCCTAAAGTTATCAGGCTCTAGGTGACTCCTAAACTCGGACTGGAAAACAAAGTTTGTCCCATTTCGGCCACCTTCTGAGTATGGTGGCCAGATTGGCAGAGAATGATCTCTTGCAAAACAACCGCTCATCCTGAAAGAGTTTGGGTTTTCGTCGTAGAAAAAGCTGATACAGGAGCTATCAGAGACCAATGAAAGCTTAGCTGATCCTAATGGGGCCATCCTCAACACGACGCTAGGCGCTGTGCTGACTTTGGGTCTTTTCGAATCCATCGTTTCCAATGGTTATTAAAACATCAGAAACTGAATATCCCATACCCTTGGTACTATAGCACTGCTACGCCTACGGGGTGTTGATCAGTTAAAAGACCTGCTTGGCCGACGCATGTGTATTCATGCTTCCTACAACATTCGAGTTAGCTGCATCAACCGCAACGTTGACGTTCCCGAAGATCTTCTTGATCTCGAACGGGAGTGGTACCAAGCTTTCAGCTTCCCCAAGCCTGTTCGAGACCATTACTCTATCATGGACAGAGTGTGTAGCATAAAAGCCAGGTTACAGAACGGCTCTACTGCTGAACTAATTAAGCAGGCAATTCATATCGGCGAGGACGCCGAAGAGTTAATCCAAGCCTTTTGTATGCTTGGAGGAGGAGGTCAGCATGGCGTGACACATACTTCCCCTTCAAATATGGCCACGACGGTGATGAACGAAAAGAGCAGTCCTGGCATCGACATAAACTCTCTCCCGTTGGTAATGATGGCTCGGTGGCTTTTTGCATGTCCATGCTTCGTCTAGTCATGATTGAAGTGGTTTGGAATAGCACATCGATAATTCCCTCTCAATCCGTGGTTCTCCCTAAACTTGACGGCATCCCCTTGGATTCTTTCTCTACTGGAGACATTCGGAGTCACATTAATGCCTACGCCAACCACAGAATTACCCAAATCGCGAAGATGATCTTTGTCTTCGCACCAAGATTTCTTGACGCAAACGATCCAAAATCTCGATTTTTTAGAATGGCACGGCTTATGATCCTACCACTGGCTTTCATCCAGAGCAGCCCTTGTTGCCTGTTAGATACCCGACAGGAGTTAGTGGACTTACTAAGCGTATTGGAAAGATATATTGAGTTATCCCAAGCGGAACATATGGTGAAAATAATATACGGAACTAGGCTAGCAGGAGATTGGTAAGTACAGAACAAAGAAGTGGCCTTGTGTTGTATGCACTGTACTAAGTGACTATGACATACAGGCTTCCATTATGCCATGTGATTTAAGGCCTTAGGTCCTCTGCATGGCGTTAATAAAGATGGCAGATTATTTTAAGTTTAATCAATCGGCTAGATATCTCGGCCCCTTCACCGAAGGCCGTTCAGAATATTGTTTGAAGCAGAAATAAGAGTATTAATACATTATAGGCAACCAGCTAGTAGATGAACCTCTCGGAATCCTTGGGACTTCGTACAACTTCAGCTTGAGCGAAACCAAGCCGGGGTCTCCCGTTGACATGCCATACCCCATATCTGACTGGGCCGATTGACTCAGTCGATTTCAAAATGTTGCCGACATTCATGTTCGGATCGATTTTACCCATGATAGGATGCGTCTCCGGCATGCCCAAAAACGCAATTACTACTTCAAAAGGATTCAGCGATACATGGCGTCCAAGATCCCAGAATCCCCAAAAAAGCGGCAGAGTGGCTAGTGTGCCAGCCATAGCTACTACGAGTGCGATAGCCATTTTGCTGTAGTCCGTCTCGTATACCGACTGCATTGTGTTTCTCTTAAACTCAGTAGTCTGGCTGTTGGTAATGTTTTCGGCGGCGTATTGCATGCTTGCTCTGAAGGATATTTCTCTGGCAGCCTCAATTATGTTCTCCATCGGGTTGGTCCATGTGTCCATGCATGATGGCTCACTGCCGTTTAACGACATGTACTGGGTCGCTGGAAGGCCTGAAGTCATGAGCTCCGTTCCCCAAGTGGTGGTTCGTTTCATAAAGGCGTATGAGGTAAAAACGGAGGAAAGAATGGTGACGAATCCGCCCAATATGTTGGATTTCCCCACTCCCATAGGGATCATGCGTCTGAATGTTGGAGCTTGATTAATCTCAGATAATGTTCACAGGTCGGGCAGGACTAACCTCGGCTCAATGAAGATATCGTCATGCCACGTTCCTTGCAATTTCACGTTTGCGCCTTCCGTGATGGCAATAGGATATTTGGTTATTCCAGCAGTAAGATCGCAAGTTTGGATTTTGAGATCGCCGCTGCAGTCATGAGTGGCCTTCCAGAGGGTTGTAAACCGTAATCGTGAGCCGTTCTTACTGGAATATATTTCAAGCCCTCTGTATTCAGTGACATTTATCTGGAAAAGATAATCTCCTCCTCTTGACATCATTGGTGATGAAATTTCAGTGCTCATATCGAATCTACGAGACTTTTCAGTGCAGTTGACTGCAAAGCCAAACCCCTAGCAGCAGCAGAGTCAGTTGACAGGTGTACTAAAAATGAGCTCAATGGAAAGCTTACTTGTACAGTGGCTGTGCAATTGTCACAGGACGAATTGTAAACACGAATTTCGTCACGACTGCTGTAAGACTGGGCAATCTTACTGAAATTCGAAGTGAGGAAGAAAATATTCGTGTTTCGGCCACTGAGAGTTGCACCATAACCGTACGGAAGCTCTCGTGCGATAGGGAAATTCATAGATTCTCGTATCGTAGAGTATTGCGTAGTCGTCGAAGTTGCCCGCTGTATTAAGGGGTTACGAAGCATCGACAGGGTAACTACAATAGAAGCTGAATTGTATTAGTCCATTAGTCCTTTCTTCATCTGATGACTTTCATATGCACTTACCGAATCCAAGTCGCTTAGATCGGAGTCTGGCTAAGTTGCATATAGCCTCTAGAAGACTAGTAGAGGATGCATATATCGCTTCGAGGTTTGGTAACTACAATCATTAGAACATGACACTGGCTGGAGAAAGGTTGAATGCTTACTGTAGTCGATTTGCAAGCTTGCCTCCAGAACGAGAGCGCCGCGCCTTCTGCTAAAGCATGTGCTAGGAATGCACCGCTTATGGTAGATGTGAGAGCGAGCCAGACTGTCGGTTGCATGCGACTATCCCAATGGTCTACCGGTGTTTGATCAGATAGAACCAAGACAACGACAGCGACAATTGTACCTAAAAGAACCAAATTAGTGACAGGTTCGTTCGGTTTTTTGACGTGGCTTCTTTCTCACTAATTAACGAGAGAAGCCATGAGCTAAACCCTTTTAAAGGGAATCGCTTCCAGAACCCGGGTTCCCATGGTTCACTTAGACGATCATTTATACTATCCACCGAAGCATGGGAGCCTTGATGACCGTGGCTTGCTGCTGTAGGTTTGTCAAATGGCTGCTCGTTCATAGAAACGTAACCGTGGTTAAGCATCCCCATTTTATAACCATTTTGGTGGCCATGACGTGCACGCTAGCGGTCCTATTTTAATGCCATCCAATATGGAGTTGTTGGTAATTTGATAGTACATACCTGTGATATGGCTGGGAGACGAAGTTTCTTCATAGTGTCAAGTATGGGTCAAATTAATAGTTAAACAATCCTGGCGTATACATGCCGTCTCCAAGGCTGGTAGTTGATTTGCCTATGTGTATGGCGCTTAGCAACAAATCAGTCTCGAGAAATCGAGAAACAACGAAATACGAAAGGAATGAAAATAGGAAAAGGGGTGGGGAGGAAGAAAATTTGGCATAGCGCGGGTGGACCTTGCACGAATTGTGATTTGCATGACTAACTCGTATTAATATCCTAGCTTAAATAAACTAGAAAACTGGCCTTCCATGTAAGTGCTTCCTTGATATTACTTCTCAGACGAAAAGTCAATAAAGCTTGTATGGAGTACTTGTTTAGTATTCAATCCAAATTGGATTAAAATAAGCTTGCATCAGAACGGGCTATTACGCGGTAATAAATCCTTTCTAGCATAAAATAACGCAGTAAAATCCACTTTAGCCCCTGTCTATGGCATTAGCCTTACCGCTTAAGCTCACTAACGGCAGTTCTCGACCTGATTACTATTTCCGATATCAACTGTATAAGAATTACCAATGCCGAGAAAAAAACATCTCAATCTGGTTTATATAACCTTCTGTGTTACTAACTAACACTAGCTATTCACGCATCGGTCATAATGTAGAAAGTACTTCTGGCGAAAATCTGACAACAGAGTATTGCAGTATTGAATACTTTGGCAAAACTATTGCCAGGCCTATTATATTCTAGTAAAAGCCAGAGCTGTTTCCTGTGCCCTGTTATTTATCGCAGCTAATGAATCTTCCTTGAACAATATTCCGGCTGACGGGTTTATTGGAATGTCGTTCAATTCGACTATGGTCAGGGAAGCTGATACGGTCATAAAGACGCTGATGCCTCTGTTGATAAAAGCAACGACCTGCGATACACAACCACTAATGTCCTTTTTATTAATGGTCAATGACGCGACCGAGTTTATACTGTACAGCGTCATCAAGAAGGGGCAAGAAGTCCATCTAGCGGGATTGCTTATGGACCTCGCATTGCTCTCGAGGGAACGGCGCAATAACGAGATCATCGCGGTGTTGGGACTGAGCCCGGCAGCCCCAGCATCGTGGTACGTTGTGCACCTTGAACACATTTTGTCCTTCAAGAAGGCCTCATTCACCTGGCTATATGACCCTGTGAGCCTCGGTAGTGAGTATATGCCAATCTACCACCCGTTCTGGTCTGGAATTTCTTTCTAGCCAGTGCCAAGCATCACTCTTGAGCTGAAAGCCAAGTATTGTTATGTATGAAATGGCGATCTTCCCTGCGAGTAATAAAAAATTGATGGAATGGTGCAGTTGTCGCATCTGTGCACTGGACAATGTCATGTCCGGGCCACGAACTGTATGCACATAACAGGAAAAATATGATTATGACTGGACAAGATACTAATCACAATTGAAAGGCTGGAAATGACAATGTGGCACGGGAAAGTTCATTAGTGATCTGCAGAGCTGAGACCCCCTGATCTTTTTATATAAGTAACAGCATGTAATTAATAACGCTCTCCAAATAAATAGCACGCCTGCCACATGTATCCTTTAACCTAGATTGATATCCCAAGTGGACGCTGCTTAACCTACGTTGTCGTAAGGGATTTCATTGTTGCCCTTCAAAGGCTTTCTCAGTCAGCCACCTTCCCACCTCTATAAAACATTTCTCTGCCAGTGGTTTCATTAGTACGGCCTGTGGGCCACTTTTTCTCCACCAATGGGTAAAGCTGTGTTCCGCCCCTGCCACCATTCTCCATTTTAGCCTCCCTCCTTGACTTTCGAAAGCAATGGTTTCATCACCATTTATCTCAGACTGTCCCGCCAGACGGACCATCATCCGCCGTGCTTCATCGTTTAGCATATCGTACTCTGCACCGATGGCAAAGATCCACGGTGGAAGTTCACGCCTCTCCGCGTAAAGCACACTGAGAAGGGGATTCCTCTGGTCTGTACCCGCCGGTATATAGATGTTATTGAAAAGAGGCGCCAACGATGCGAGGCCGTCAATATCTTTAGCGTGTCTGTATGGTCGAGATGCCAGCTTGTGCTCATAGTCCACGGTCCAGTCTACAGGAGCATACCATGGGACTGCAGCCCTGATCTTTCCTTGTAGACTCGGAGACTGGCACGCTGATAACGCGAGGTTACCGCCAGCACTAAAACCACCAATTGCGACTCGAGAACGGTCAACGGGGATGCTGTCATCCTGTAGAATAGTTTGTACTACAGCCACGATATCCTCTGTAGGTCTTGGAAACTTTGCCCATGGCGAAAGTGAGTACTGAATGCTGATGACCAGCAGATTGAATCTGTGACTCATAAAGGCGCAAAACTCGTCATCATAAGCCGGCGCACCAAGAGCAAATCCTCCTCCGTGAATATTGATGTACAAGGGAAGCAACTCGCCAGACCTGTAAGAGTCTGGAAAGAAGAAGCGATGCTTTAGTCTTGGCCTGTTTGGATATGATTTGGAAAAGACAGGATTGTCGGTTGGTCTCGGCGTTAAGCCAAGGGCTATTTTCGCTCTAGAATAATGCCACTGAAGGGCTAGTAGACCTTTGATAACATAAATGATGAGAATATACAGGCAGCGCGTTGACCGGGCGATAGGCGGCCAAGATAATAAAGGAAGAGTAATGTCGCCCTTACGCATGTCGAGCTTGTGATTGTCAGATGAATCCATTTCGAATTTCAGTTAATTAGCACTCGTAGTTACAATTGTCTAAGGGAGTAAGTAAAGGGAGGGTGGAGGAAATTAGTGCTGGAAATAAATCCTTCTGTAAGCTAGGCTGGATTCATAAAAGGGAGTCGGCTGGGAACACCGGACCTAATCATTGTCAGATTGTTCTGATCTTGTTGCTGGTGGATATTCATTGTATTTATTAACTGTTTGGTTTTGTGCGGCAAAGCAGGGCTCTTGGTACCTTGGAATAACACGCTAATGATAGCCCTGCATTATTTCTTTTTCTGACCTCCCCTACTCCCTGTTGATCTATCTGCTTGGACTGTTTCCCTCAGGTTGTCTAGTCCGTGCAGCCCCCACAGCGGCGTGGAGCACGCTATAACTTATGACTTAGTGACCTACGGTTTAACACCTGTCCCTCAGAGGGACCAGCTATGCACTATAAACGCTTGGAAAGGAAGGTAGAAGAAATTACCTATTTGCAATACGGGCAGCTATAGCTATCTAGGAAATGATCGGCAGAGCTAACTAACTATAGTCTCAGGCCAAGATATTTACGTTGTATTCTCTCGTTTAAAATAGCAAAACTGCCGTTATCAGGATGAAATTTATAAGGGAATGGGTGACATCCTACTTGGCATTTGAGAGTGCCAACTATATAAACGAAGCCCATTGCATCCTACTCAGCCCAGTACCTTTATCTTGCAGAAGCCTGCTCAATAACATAACCTGAAGCAGTGCAATTTCCAAAATGAGAAGTCTCTTCATCCTATCTTATCTCGTGTCGGCTATCGTCGGTACGGACAAGACTCCTCATCAAGGTCTTGGATGCCTCGTATCAGATGAGGGTACAGTGCAACAACCAGCCTCTCTTAAACTGAACCAGGGCAAGGATCTTCCGAGGAGCATCACAGTAGATGTTCATTTTCACATCGCCAGTACCAAAGATCACGAGAACCTCATTACTGACACCATCGTCGAAGCTCAATGGGACGTACTTCACCGCTCTTTCGCAAAATACGACATCAACCTGGTACTAAACTCGACAGAGCGCGTCGTTGACGACATGGCTGGCCAGTCATTTTTCTTATACGAAGGCCCAGATAAGGGATGGGTGAAATACACAGATGAAGAGAATGAATTCTACCAGAAAACACGCCGAGGCGGTTACGATGCCTTGAATCTTTACTTTTTCAGTGATTACTCCCCTGGCGCGACCGGATATTGCAATTGGCCAACTGTCATCGCAGAGGGTGATGAGTTGACTTTTGCCCGAGACTCTTGTCAACTTAGTGGATTGACGATGCCTGGAATTACACCAGAGCAGGGCGCATTTGAGGAATGGAACCTGGGCCATCTTGCAGTGCACGAGACTGGACACTGGTTTGGGTTGAATCATACATTTACTGGTGGTTGTTCAGAACCAGGAGATTTTGTGGATGATACACCTTCCCAGCTGACACAGATCTACGGGTGTCCCACTGGCTCGGATAGTTGTCCTGATAAGCCGGGTCTAGACCCCATCCATAACTTCATGGGCTATACAGAGGATAATTGGTAACTACTGGCATTATACTCATGTTGTCAAGTACTGACCTTGAGCATAGCACGAATGAGTTCACCCCCGGTCAGAAACGTCGCATGTTTGAGACATTCTTTGGCTTTAGGAGGAAGGTCTAGCGAACCTGCTCGAAGTGTCATACTTTCTTGTCGGCGTTAAGAGCTTGTACGGCCTGCTGCTATTCTTTGTATTTAAGACTTGGCAAGGGTATCGATTTGCCTTTACATCGATTTGCGAAGCTCCCGTTCACTGGCCACGTCCAGTTCGAGTCCATTAATCTTAGTATCGTGGAGTTAAACATACGTTTCAAGATTATCGAATTTCTCTGGAAGATAATTAATCTTTTCGGGGACCTGTGGCTTAACGGCTTGCGCAACCATTTTATAAAGGCTCAACAAATGTAGAATAGTCCATGTGCTGTCGTTGCCTTTGTATCGTGGGCTCTGATCAGCACTTTGCAATTTGAGTACTAATATCACGCCAGTAAGTCGAACTTTCAATACAGTTAAAAATGGTCGTGACAGTCAAGTAAACTACATCTACAAAAGATCATAGGGGAGAGTACTGTAACGTTACTGACTATCGTGATCACTTTCACGGGAGATCTCTCTCGGTCTATGTGTTCCGAGCTGTTGGGCAGTTTTGGGGCAGAGTTAGAAGTATCATATCGTAAAGGGAAGTCGTCACATATGGGGAATTGCCTCATGAGTGTAAACCGCTGACTGGTTTAATTCGTGGCCTTTTATTCCAGACTATCCATTGTGTGTCGATCATTCGCTGCCACTCAACGACTGGTGGATTTTCGGTTGCCATGATGTAGTCATGTTGCGGGGTTTCGGCATCTATTACAGCGAAATAGCGCCACAGTCAACATTTATACGCAAAAGATAATCTGGCGGACCACATAGACTTTCTGCATCGGTTGACTTTAGACTATGTACTTCACAAGATCAATTGTGCTGGCCTTTGCGGCCCTGCAATCTGTTACTGTCGCTCTGACACCTGGATCCAATCAACCGGAATATTCTATCTCAAGAAGCGCAACAGTGCCTAAGACCCATAAGATATGTTCAGTTAAAGCAGGTCTCTCTAACGGCACAGACGATGCCCCAGCAATCCGCAAAGCCTTCGAGAAGTGTGGACAGGGTGGCAAGGTTATTTTCGAACCCACCACATATCATATCAACTCCGTATTAAATATTAGTGGACTACAGGATGTGGACATTGACATCTATGGAGAACTATTAGTACCTATCTCTCTCTATCTACTATCGTGATTACCAACTAATACTTTCCCCAGTGGGATACCAACATCACCTACTGGCTACAAAACTCGCTGCCAATCAACTTCCAAAACCAGTCAACGGCATTCATGCTGGGTGGAAATAACGTTCGTATTAATGGATACAACCAAGGAACATTCGACGGCAATGGGGACGAGTGGTACAAATTCATTCGAGCACAGCCAAACACGTCAAACTATCCGGGTCGACCCCATGCCATCACCTTCAACGATTTGACCAACTCCGTAGTCCGTGGGTTAAGATTCCTTCGAAGTCAAATGTGGTGAGTAATTCAGATGTAAATGTCGTCAGATAACTGATACAGGGATCAGGACAATGTCGATTATTCATTGCCATCGAGTTGAGTTCCATAATATTTTTATCAACAACACAGGAAATACCTATCAGAGTTGTAAGAAACCCCTAGTAAACGCTGTAGTTAGATACTGAATTCCTGTAAAGCCAACACCGACGGCGCCGACACGATCGATTCGTCCCACATCACAATGAACAATTGGACTGTATGGAATGGTGATGATAGCATCGCCCTGAAAGGCAATAGCACTAATATCACTATTACTAATTCACACTTCTACAACGGTCTTGGTGTTGCCGTCGGTAGTCTCGGCCAGTACTACGGCGAAAGAGAGGTAGTGGAAAATTTCAGGGGAAGCAATCTCACGTTTGAAAACACACTACATGCAGTGAGTTCTCTCTTTTTGAGCGAGCAGCATTTTTCGGATGACTAATTCAAGTACCAGTTTTACTTTAAAACCTGGACTGGTGATCGCAACGGATACCCGCCCAACGGAGGTGGCGGTGGGATAGCCAGTCAGTTTTCTGGTCTACGAGTCAACGACGTTTTTGGGCTTACACGAAGCAGCTGTCAGAGACCTCTTGATGGAGAATATCAAAGCGTATGGTCTACGCGGTGGCGCTGTCACGATTTCTCAGTGTACTAGATTTTCTGGTGCACCCGGATCTGGCAACTGTACTAATTCCGAATCCCAAATCAGTCGCGTTATCGTCAATGGTCTTGTTGGCACCACAAAGGACCCTAGGGTTGCAAGCTTTCAGTGCAGCGCGGTAAAGCCATGCACTGATATAGCTCTGCTCAATGTCGATCTACGGATAAATAGCACCACTGAAGTCGACCAGTATCTCTGTGGTAATGTTGCCAACCCGCAAGGTTTCAAATGCACTGGTGCTCCTTGTGTAGGCGGCAGCTCTACTGGTGGCTGCTAGTTCCTTCATAGATGCAACCGGGTGGTGGTTTAGGGATTTCTTCGTATGGGCCAGGATATTTCTGTAAAACTTTTCATTGTCCTCACTAAAACTGCCTAGGCCTCTCAAATAGGCTGACCTACATAGCGCAGTAAGTGCAACAGTCACATATGAGTTGACGGCTTAATATAGTACGGCTCTGGTACTAAATTGGGTGTCTTCTTAATTCTTATATCGCTTATAGCATGATGGAGGAATAGAAAGATAGGACTATACCACTACAAACATTATTAATTGACTAGAATATGATCGTCACTGAGTTTATCTTTAATCTAAGTCTTCTAGCGACAACTCTATCTTAGTGGACAAGCTCAACACTTCAGTGACGGCTCGACCAAATCTAAATGAGTTCAATAGTCGTTTGTATCACATATTTATATGGATCTAGTGTGACCTTAATGGCTTGAGTCCACTATGAGGTCCACTTAAGCACAGCCTTAAGAGCCTTCCCACTCTTTGTATCACTAATAGCCTTTTCAAAGTCCTTTACATCATAGTATGTAATCAAGTCGTCAATAGGGTATTTGCCTTGCGCATATTGTTCAATAAGGAATGGAACCAACTGGATAACAATTAGCGGATGTATTACCTTCTAAGGGAAATTTTAATACCTTGTTGGGGACAGCGTCACCCTCGCAGCAGCCAACATATTCTCGTCCGTTGACAAGTTGTGCAAATACATCAATACTTACAGTCTTTCCGGGCTGCGATATAATGTTTCAGTAACTCTCCGCATTTTGAAACTTGACCAAGGATTCTGCTATGACTTACAGACGGAGCTCCTACAGAAGCAGCTCGACCTCTTGTCCCGAGGCATTTAATCATTGTCTCAATGACGGCTGGTACACCCGAGCAATCGAGAGCATAATTAATGCCGTTAGGAGGTGAGATCTCTTGGAGCTTGGAGATGATGTCAGGGTCACTGCCTAATATTGTAGCCGTAGCCCCCAGCGAATTTGCCAGGTCAAGCCGAGATTGTTGGAGGTCAATGGCGATGATCTCCTTGGCTCCACGGATCTTGGCAGCCATGACGGCACTCATACCTACAGAGCCAGTTCCAAAGATGGCGACTGTCTTCCCAGGTTGTACATCGAGTGTGTTAAGAATGGCGCCTGCTCCAGTCTGGAGGCCGCATCCGAGCGGCGCAAACAAAGCAAGATTGGTGTCGTCTTTCACTTTGACTAGACTTGATCGGTGGACTATGGCAAGACGTGCGAAAGAGCTTTGACCAAAGAAACTACTATACAGCTCTCTTTTGTCTTGGTTGTCCTCGAGGTGCAAAGCAGTAGAACCATCAGGTCGTTTACCGCCAAAGTTCCACGGGACCCAAGAGTTACAGTACGCAGGATGTTCCGATGTGCATTGCTCACAGGTGCCACAATGCGCAAATGAGAGGAGTACTTTGTCGCCGGGCTTCAAATTAATGATATCTGAACCAACTTCTTTGACGACGCCAGCACCTGTACATTTCATTAGAATATCCAGTGAAGTGAGATCAGACAACTTACCTTCATGCCCCAAGACCGCAGGTGCAGTAGCGGGGAGTGTGCCGTTTGCACAAGATAAATCGGTGTGGCATATTCCCGTTGCATGAATCTCTACTAGAGCCTCGTCGTTTCGAATAGTGCCAAGAGATATTTGTTCGAGAGTGAATGGCCCGCCGATATCTCGCAGTACCAGACCAGTTGTGGTAGACATGGTGAATAGATCAATTGGAAGCTCGATTACTTGGGCTCGATGAAACGACGGAGTATTCTTCTACAGCAACCGCCTCAGGCCTGGCCTTAAATAAAAACAATTCCGTGTTCTATAAGTGGCAACTATGCCTACGATTGCCGCATTTTGTTGCCGGATGGCAATTGACCTCAACTCAGCTATACCTTAAACAGCTTTTGACATACACGATCTTCCCTTGAACTGAGCAATAGCTCCTCGTACAGACTTCTAGCGCATAACTCAGCTTCCCCAGCTCTTTCAACCGCGGAACAAACATCTAGAACACGTGGAAAGACTTCGATACCATGCCCCGGCATGTTTGGGGAACATTTGGAACTAACGTTAAAAATCGCGGGGTCGGCTTTACTATTGGGCAAGTGACTGCCTTAGCTTCAAATGAGGAGTCAAGAACTATCTACTACTTGCCTAACCTCCGCGGAGAGAATTTGTGGGGAAATATGGGGGTTCCTCGATGTCGGAAAGGATTAGTAGGATGGTAAACTCCGAAGAGCTTCTTCCTCCCACCTTTTCAAGCATCAATTCGACCAACCGCGGCCTCCCACCAGTCCCTTAACAATTGAAGTGCATAGGTGGTCCCTTTCTGACGAATGCCTGTTAGATACCAATGACAATCGCATCATCTACGACCATAATAATAATAAAACTAGTGAATGAGGAGAAACCTCTCGACCACACTCTTTACGCCGAAGCAGTCGAGACCACCGAGTTCAACACCCTGATTATTCATCCTAAAAACATCAATATGATAAAACAGAAGAGCAAAGTCGTAAACTTTAGCAGCTTCTTGAAAGGATTCATCACCGCTATTATTATCTAGCCCTACTAAAGCTAACAATAACAATTTAAGAAAACCGACTACCATACGATGGGTTTACAGAAAATGGTACCAGTTCAAGAAACAACTACATATGGATCTGGAATTTTAGTCCTATCTCAACTCTCTCTACATTCCAACTTCTATACTAGGTCCATCCCTTCAAAGAAAAAAAAAAAAAAGCCCAAGCCCCAGGATCTAGCACTTGATGAGTTTAGCCAACGTGCTCGTCTTGTTGAGATTAGAAAGTGACTGCCGTTTGTCATGATAGGCTGGCCATGTCGTATTTGGCCAAGACGCGGCCGTAGTATTGGTTTCGAGAAGTTGGAGGAGGGCATCAACATCAGAATTTGACTGCCTTGCCGCATTAGACGGATTGCATGGTGTAATAGAGAATGTAGGGGCATTAAGAGATGTTTCAAAGGCTCCGATGAGTGCGTTAACTGCCTGGCCAATATCGAAGCATTTCTCAAAGGTGTAGTGCCGTTTGGAAGCAGCTCCCAGGATCTTAATTGCTGGTACGAACGAGGTGTCAGCTATAGAATTCCAATCATCTCAAGAGCGGATATGCTTAGACAGTGTAGATGGATCAGCTGTTAGGAAAAAGCGCCAGAACTTACTCAAAATATAGCCAGGTAGACCTCGTCGATCTAGGCGACTGGTCTTCGAGTTGGGGATTGAGACATTATCCGTAGCCACCAGAATAGCTATATTGTTGACGAGCCCTTCAGCCTTGGCCTTTTCCATCGGAAGCCCGGAATGAAGTCGGTCGCCGGTGTAGTTACTGATAAAGAGAATTGCTCCTTTTGATGAAGGTGCCATACGAATTGCTTTAAAACCTGCTTGGTGCTAGGAGATACAGATATGTCGCCACAAGCAGCTGCCGACAGCAATCAATCACCAATAAAACTGCTCGAAGCTGGTTCATGACCTGACACACCGCCACCAAATATAAATACTGAAAAGTTATCATGGTATAAATTAGAAACCATATTATCAGTCTAGTCAAGTTCAAGGTGAGGGTTCGCTCGGGCAGGGGCGCCGAGGGCTTTGGGCCTTGGAGTGTTAGCTGCCGTGGAAGGAAAATAATGCTTGGTAGACATGTTTGCAAGTTCTACTTGGACAGACGGTCAAATCATGGCTGATAGGTAGCAGTCGTTGAAGTGTTTCTATCTCTGCCCGAGGCAGTATTAAAATTGGGGCTCTTTCTACTGAAGCCATTTTTTATTCTAATCTGGCTCTTACGGCGGAAGATGACCGGGTGTCCAGGGTAGGATGACGCATTAGTGTTGGACGTCAAGGCTTTCAGCTCAAGCCATAAAGTGTCCCTCAAGATGTTAGGCAATTTAAGGCCGTAAGCATCAACATTATCCCTGTTAGTGGCAAAAATGGCTTTCAACCATCGAGATTGAAGTCTGATTCTAAGATCTATGCTCAACTAGATTTAAGCCTGACTGAGATGCTAATGCCAGAATCTGTTTCAATCACAGATCTACGTTATATCGGTAATTATCAGTCAAGTCTTTATTCTTTATTGTAATAAGGAGGTATTTAGCTTTATTGTTATGTGGCTTTGATAAAAGGTCATTTTAAGCTTTTGCTTTGGTAACCTGGCCTCTTGCTACGTTAACAAGTTCTTCCTCCGACTCATTAGTACTGAGTCCTCTTTCTAATCTTGTAATTACACCCATGGAATTATTTTTCTTGCTGCCATCTTTGTTACCCATCGACGAGAGCTTGTATGGTTGTTGAGCAGACGGACCGTTACTGTCCGAAGTACTCTGTCGTCCCTTGATCTTAACCCAGAGCGGTTTTAGAGAGGGCAGGTTGACGGCGACAATAGCGCATTGCACCTCAAAAGCCGCTACAATAACCATCTTTCCGACATCGATCGAGGCATCTGACTCCATCGAAGTGACAGATACAAGTACCGGAAGGCGAATGAGTGCCACTGTGAGTGACACGATACCAAAGGCTAGAACGGAAAGAACGGTGATCTTTCGTCGAAGAGTCATTTGCAGAGACCAAATTGTTGAGATGGGGATGCCGAGGATATACAAGTCCATAATAATGTTCTATGCAAAGGGTCAGTTTTCTGTCAACGTATCGTCTACGAATTCTTGGTTGGGCGCACTAGGATGGGAGGCGTGAGCATGACTGTGCGTGTATCGATGCATTTGACTTCTGGATATAGCATCGGATTGAGGATCTTTTCGAATGGTATACATTGGAGGACTGTCATCAGACTGCATTTGTTAGGATAGTACTCGAGTTTGTTGCGATTAGGGGTACTGACAGGCTAGAAAGGAATGTGGAAAAGACAAGCACGAAGCCAGCGTAAACGAAAGCTCGGAAGGGGTTTTCGGGCGACAAGCGCATGTAAAACAGAAGGAACGTCGTTTTGATAACAGCGTGGGCTGCGTAGATAACAATCTCTTCGATGAATGCCGTCTAGATAGAAATTGTCAGCCATTCGCCTTTGGTGTACGAGTGTCAAGCCGTTCACCTTCATGAGATCGGGAGACGCAAAACTGCAATTGACATTGCCTGGTCTGATCAAATTGTTAGTTAATCGAAGTCAGGTTTTGTAACCTATTCCAGAAACATACTTGCCGCAGCCCAAATTCATGAACAGCTGCAAAACGACTTGATGGACAATGTTGACCAGAAACACTACCACCGATGCCCAATCATCCCAACCCCATGATTTGATGACTAGCGCACGGGAATAAAATCGAGCTATTGACGAAAGAAGGCCTATCGCGAAAGTGATGTAGGCGACGACATATGCAGCCACGTATAAGTCTGTTGACATATTGAGTAAGAAACAATAAACTTGATTTGTTAACTTCTTAATTCAGAAAGCGAAAAAGAGAGCCGCTCTCGGATTCACGGGGTTATATGTGAGCCCGAAAAGCAATTAATCCTTGCTGTGAGAGAAGAGACATTTCGCATCATCAAAAGATTTAGAAGCGGATGATCAGTGCTGCATCTGTTGTAATGACACACCGTTCCCACCCACCGGATACAGTTTAATCCTTGTGATGTTGCAATTCTCTACCAAACTAGGAAGGGTTTAACCCAACGGCTGAAGAAAGATTGAAGCCACATAATAGGCGTTCATGATTGTAGAATTACATGGTTAAACCATTTTCACCAGCGGGGAAGTCGGATATGCAGGGGATGACAGGGTTTCTGGCATTGAACCAACAAGCAGTACAACGGCACAGCACAGAAGCGAAATTAAAATCTATACTCCAGTACTCTGAGGTTCGATTCAACACGTTTGAACATGCATTTATTTTGCTCTTAATATTTGTTTTATATGATCTGTCAACTACTGAAGACCTCATGCCAGTACTGACGAACTTATAATGTAGGAAGTCTCTTCCCCGCAACCTTCGTGACGAACCTCCCGCACTACCTGTAGGTATCCCTGCTTATACCACTTGTCAGGCAGCAGTGACCGTTTAGCGCTCCTTCAATGTCACCTCAACCCCTATCATCGGCATGGATACTGATACAGCTCCCCCACATAACCTTGCTTTTCCTATATCTAGGCTGGCTGTTGGCCAGAAAAGATTTTTTCCAACACCACGGCACAGGTTTGAAACCCACGTCAAAGAAGCACGGGAGAAACAACCTTGGCAACCATGGGTTACATTCTAAGCAGTTCTAGCTGGGTGTCTGTTCTCGCCGCGGGAATCATCGGGCTTTTGAGTCTTATTGTATGGCGCCGTCATTTTGCTGCTATTAGTGATATCCCAGGACCGTTTGCGGCGTCGTTTACTCGTTTATGGCATATGAACCGCATTTTGAAGGGTGACCAAAACCTGGAGTTGATTCGTCTGCATGAGAAACACGGTACGTAATGATGGGAGCAATCAGCTATATATTGCTTACCATTACTCAATAGGCCATTTTGTCCGTGTGTCCTACGATGAAATTAGTGTCAGCCACCCCGACGCCATCAGGAAGATCCTACTGTCTCCTCTGCACAAGGTATGATGATGATCCTTGTACTATCGTTTGAGCCACCAGATTGACACTGTTCGAGGGCAACTGGTACAAGATTCACGCCTTGCCAGACTACCGCTTCCAGTCTCCTATGAGCACTACAGACCCCAAGAAGAAGGTTGAAAAGTCGAAGTACATTGCTGGCGCATATACTGTCTCTAACGTTGTCCGATCTGAAGAACATATTGATAGGACATTTGAGCAGTTTTTGGAATGGATGAACCAGTATGCCAATGACAAGAAGCCCATGCATCTCGATAGGTTCATCTCTTACGCCACTTTCGATGTCATCGGAGAGATTGTCTTCTCCAAACAATTTGGCTTCCTTGAACAGGGCGTAGATATTGGCGATGCCCTCAGAAACTCATTGGCTCTCAATGCATACGTCGCAGTTGCCGGATACTTCAGATGGATAAACATTGCTCTTCTAGCTAACCCCTTGGTCACATGGATGGCCATCATGCCTATGGGTCACCTCTTTAACACTACAGCGTCCGTGTTAGCAAATCGAGAAAAGAACCACGATGTTCGCTACGATGCTGTGTCATATTGGTTCAACCAGCATAGCCAGCACCCCAACAAGCTTACAGTCAGAGAAATCAATACACAGGCACTTGCTGCTGTTGGTGCTGGCTCTGATACCGTTGCGGCTGGTATCCAGTCATTTATATATCACATGATACGCCATCCCACTGCATGGGCTCGCGCCCAGGCCGAGGTCCAGGACGCTGTTAAAAAGGGTTTATGTAAAGACAATATCGTCTCTTACGCCGATGCTCAAGAACTCCCGTAAGTCGTTGTTCCATAGGTACCTTATACAAATACTGAACCTCGGCAGCTATGTACAAGCTTGTGTCAAAGAAGCGCTCCGCATGTTCGGGCCAGTACCAATGGGACTTCCAAGAATAGCTCCCAAGGGCGGTTTGACATTTGGTGATCGTACTATCCCCGGGGGTACAATTGTGTCTGTGAGCCCTTGGGTTATCCATCACTCGAAGGAGTTCTGGGGCGAAGATGCTCATGAGTTCAACCCTGATCGGTGGTTGAAGGGTGATGTAGCGACGAAAGAGAAGTTCTGGATTCCCGTAAGTTATCCCACTACAGCACTCCTCCAATTTACACTAACAGCATTAGTTTGGGGCCGGATACGGCTCTTGTCCTGGACAGAACGTCGCCAAGGTTGAGCTTGCCAAGATCACGGCTACTTTGGTCCGAGATTACAACATCCAACAAGTTGATCCAAAGCAGGAGTGGAGTTGGAAGGCTTATTTTACTGTGGTTCCTCATTCTTGGCCTGTACTGATTGAGAAGACAAGATGAACTATGTTAACCTGAGGACGTCATCATTTCTTACAAGCCTTGGGCTATTCCTGGTTGGTATTACCAAGACATGTGTAAAAGAATCTAGGTGAGAAAAGAACCCTTGTACTTATGATATGGAGATTGGAGACCAACATTAACACAGGCGATGATTTCGACGTAACTTATGATGACTAGGAATAGCTGAATAAAAATTATGCTACTCTGCTCGACGATTCCAGCTATGGCGGAATGGACCCCCAGGTATTGATGTCAATGGTCGGGTTGCAACTCATAGAGGGAGGGCTGGCGCTGCCCAAGGAAGGACGTCAATGATCGTTATCCTGACATAAAGCCTATGACAATTGCTGAGTTAATTGCCAAGGTTTGGAAGAAGGAGTAAACTAGGTTGTAAAGGTATATCCATAGCTCCCAAAGTCAAGACGTCATTCGGATGAATACTTTCCCGAGCAACTGATTCACAACGCTACAACTACCAAGCTTGTCGTCTTACCCAATCGACCTACTTAAGAAACTCGTGTAGGTCAGCTGTTAGCCAGGATGGGCTGGAGAGGTTGTTCAGCTTGCGTTGAACAATGCGATAGTTGTAGACAGCTAATGAAGCGTTGCCAACAATACCGTTGCAAGTCACCAACATCGATTTACAGGTTGTTGATATATATTTCAGAAACGCCGTATTGTTGTAGTCTCTGTCTGCTTTCTAATCTATTCCTTTATCTACGCCAAATCTTGATTGGTAGCTCTCCTACAATCAGGTTAAATGCCTCGAATCGCGAGACTTTGAAGCCTTCAGTAGGCATAGCGAAATCATAACGGTGCACCAAAGTACTCAGAACAATCTGTTGTTCGAGATACGAGATATTCCGTCCAATGCAGCCCCTTGCACCGGCAGAAAATGGGATAAAAAAGGGCTCCATTCTTTTTCGTTCTTCCGGGTTAAGCCAGCGTTCGGGCTTGAAGGTGTATGGCTCGGAGAAGATATCCTTATCATGGTGAGCGCTCCAGATCGTCATTGACACAGAAGTGTCACCCGGAATCCAATTGTCCATGATCCTGGCTCCTTCTGGTGGTGTGCGTCGTGGGAGACCAGAGGATACAGGTGGGATCAGACGAAGGCCTTCGTCGAGACAAGCCTTCAGATACGGGAGATCTTTGACTTTGCTAAATGGTGCGATAACATCGTCTTCATCCATAATGCCGGCAATTTCCTCTCTCAGCTTTTGCATTTGCTCAGGATGACTAATCAGCAGTTGGAGAATATGCGTAAGAGAAATAGCAGTGGTCTCAGCTCCAGCATCAATAATCGCAGAGATTTCGGCAACCACTTCTCCCCACTCAAGTTCGTTTGCAATACCATTCTTATCTTGCATGAGACATGAGAAGAAGTCATCAAACTTCTCGCTAGTTTCGTGTTTTCTCAGCCTTTCCTTAGCTTGGTGGTAGCAAACGTCACCCCATGGAGCACTAGTGGCCCAGTAGCTCTTCCATTTGTTAGGAACGACCTTGGTGATACGGGCTAGCCATGGGTAAAGTTCATATTCCCAAACAAAGACAGACTTGACCATGGCTGAGTGGTTCTGCGATTGTCGATATCTAGCAGGATAGAGCCGGCCGTCTGGCTTCTCGGCGATAACCTCATCCGTGCCGGTATCAAGTAAGGTCATCTTGGACGAAAGAGCGATATAGTTGATCGCCTCGATAGTCCATAAGTTGATCCACAGATTGAAGTCAACAGTGAGGTCTTCCGGGTTAGGGTACGTATCTGGCTTGAGGGGTGCAGTGCAACGAGTGTCGAAGGCATTTAGAAGACGCTGAGTGGTATATCGAACTTTGAACTCCCATTTCTCCAAGTTCCTTGTGGCAAAGGCAGCTGAAAGAAGTCTTCGTTTTCTGCTATGTTCGCCCTTGTCAACTACATCGAAGAGGTTTCGATGGGTTCCAGCAAGGACAGTCTCCTTGTGATCTTTTGTGCACTTTGTTTGATGGCCATAGATGTCTTTGATGGCCTTGGGATGGTTGAAGGACAATGAATTAGGCCCAATTCTGAGGATGGCTTCTCCACGGCGTTCGTGTTCAGCGGCAAGGGTCTCTGACCGCTTGCCTGTATGGCTGAGATAGCAGTGACGTAGATCAGTGAGGGGAGAAAGCCAGGAGAAGTTTTCATACTTTCTAAATTCTTTAGGATCAACAAAGTATAAGATAACAGGGTAGACGAAGAGGCGAAGACACAAACCAGCAAGGCCGGCCGCAAGTATAGTAAAGACAATCATCGTTGCATATATATTGCATTGAGTGATAAATCAAGGTTCAGAGGCGAGGAAGGTTGCTCTTTTATAGTTGAAACTTATTCAAGAAAGGGCAAAGGAAGACGACAACAATACTGAGGCATATTCCTCAGTACACCAATTAATTGTCGTTGTCTAGCTCTGAATCAGCCAAGCTGCCATATCTACTACAATAAGCAGGGATTGACGCTCGGACTGTCTGGGGAATAGAAGCCCGATTACTATTGGCCTGTTGAAATCTAGTTGAAGGGATGAATTTCCCTTTGTAGTAATAGAGCTTAATCATTACAACGCTTGGGGGGCATATATTTAGTCCTTAACCAAAAATGGTATTTCATTCCGCTGATAACACAACCTTAGTTTCCTCCAGTTGTTTTAGCTGCATAATTGACTCGCACAGACATCATGAAACCAGGATGTATGATTTGGAGTAAAACCCGCGGAATCAAATACCTGAATAGGATTGCTGCATTAGCTCAGAGTCCCCCAGATTTCAGTTTGCGGGGAAGTGGAACACCTTTCTAATTTGTCGCCATTGACTCGCAGACCATGCCGAAACTTTAGCTTTCGAGTATAGGCACACTATGGCTGGAATATAAATAGGGCATCACGAGGTACAAATATTCTCAATTCTAAATACTAAGTGTAGATCCCTGCTTACTCTTTCCTCGCGCATTATACTTCTTCTTCTCCTCAGATCTTTATCACATGAACGTGTACCACTATGTCAGTTGGAGCATATTCTGTAGCCGGAAAACCCTCCAAAGATGGTCTGCCAGTCGAGAATGTGGAGAATCAAGCCTCAATGGCAACTGATTTTTCCGTTGTTCTTGATGACGAAGATATCTCCTACGGCCAGGGTGGAATCCGTGGCATTATCGCGTCCCCGTATGTCTTCGGTGCAGCGTTCTTGGCATCCATGGGGGGTTTCTCCTCTGGATACGACCAGGGCGTTATCTCGATTGTCAATGTCATGCCTAAATTCCATCAAACATTTCCACGTACTGAAACTGCATTCGGGAAGGGTTTCATGACTGGTATGCTGGAGCTTGGTGCCTTCATTGGGTGCCTCTTTATGCCTACGCTTGTTGACAAAATCCCGAGAAAGAATGCTCTTTCTATTGTCGTTGTTATTTTCAACATCGGAGCTATTATGCAGACGGCATCCAACTCTTATGGACTTCTCATAGCTGGAATAACAATTGGGGGCATTGGCGTCGGAACGCTCGCAATGGTATGGAATAGTCCTTCCTCGAATACATAATAGCTAACTAGCATTCAAGGGAGCACCAATCTACATATCCGAGATAGCGCCTCCGAACCTCAGAGGAACGCTGCTTGTCCTAGAGTCTGTATCGTGTGTATTAGGTGTCGTGGTATCTTTCTGGATTACCTATGCCACACGCGAACTGTGTGGCGAGTTGTCCTTCCGTCTACCCTTCGGTCTCCAAATGGTGTGCAGCACTATCCTTGGAATTGGTATACACTTCTTTCCATATTCGCCACGATGGCTTGCACTTGTCAACCGACCGGATGATGCACTGGAAAGCTTGGAACGACTCCGGCGACTACCCAGAACTGACCCTCGTGTTCAAAAAGAACATGTGGCTATTTGTAATGAGGTAGCGTTCCAGAGGCTTATACAAGAGAAGCTCCATCCGGGAGTGGCAGGCCTCAAGCTTGAGATTCTGAGTTGGGGTGACCTCTTCAAGAAAAGTCGTTCCACCGGACTTCTATCGCGGTTGGAGTTGCATTCTTCCAGCAACTCTCTGGGATCAATGCCTTTATATACTATGCCCCAACCCTCTTTCAGTCACTGGGCCAGTCATCGGAAATGTCTTTAATCATGTCAGGAGTCTTCAACATGTTGCAGCTTGTTGCTGTTACCGTCTGCTTCTTCATCATTCACAAAGTGGGACGGCGACCATTGGCGATCTGGGGTGGTATTGGAGGACGCACTGCGTGGGGTATTATGGCTGTTCTCGTTGGCGTGTTTAGTGACAAGTGGAGTTCTAATGCAGCCGCGGGCTGGGCTGCTGTAGCCATGACATTTTGCTTCATACTTATTTATGGGGTCTCATATGCTCCTCCAGGGTGGGCACTCCCTGCAGAGGTTTTCTCTAATGCTTCTAGATCGAAGGGCGTAGCTCTTGCGACAGCGACAGTTTGGCTCTTCAATTTCATAGTGGGCGTTGCAACCCCTCCTATGATTGAGAGCATCGGTTTTGGCGTCTATATCTTTTTTGGATCCTGGTGCTTTTTAGTTGGTGTCTGGCCTTCTTTTTGGTTCCCAAAACCAAGGGGAAGACACTGGAGCAGATTGATGAGATATTTGGTGAGCATGCGGCTCAAGAGTAGTTGGTTATAGTAAAGTCAAGTATATAAGCAGGAATGGGTCTCACTAGGATAATGAATATTATTATTTGAAGATTGAGGCCAGAAAGATAAAAGAATCCGAGGTAACCGGCTTCTAGTCCCGTGACTTAGCGCATGCGTCCTTATTTTACGCCCCTCTTTCATCTTTTTTTACCCCATATCACGTACACCAGATTCACGCCCATCTCCGACAACGTCAAATCTTAGTCACCGGACATCTTGTATCCATGAAGCGAGTAAAATGCTGTACCGCTTGTCGGCGACGACACAGGAAATGCGTTACCTGGCCCGGATCCTCTCAATGTGGCACTTGTCTAGAGTCGGGACAAGAATGCCGCTTTGAAAATGACATTCGGTTCAAGCATAGCTATCGAGAAGCTCAGAGGGACGTGAGGAGAGAGCAGGCAAAGGTTCCTTCAAAGAGTAAGTTATTGGCCCTCAAATCCTGCGTGTGAATTCATTCTCAAGGCTGTAGTTTCTTTCACGACACCACGAGGAACTCATGGCTCGGTGCTCGAGGGTTTGAATCGGACATCGGTTGCGAATAAGCATGTCATGAGTCAGTTGGCGACTGGGCCAATATCAGAAGGAATACTAGAAATCCCCACCGATGATCTCATGCACTCCTCTCAGCCAGAAGATGTGCCTGTTGGTCAAGCACCCAACTACTGGGAATCATCATCAAATTTTATCACCAGCCCTGTCCAAGTATATGACTCCCATTACCCAGAAGGATCATCACTTCCACAAGGATCCATACCCCCTGTACTTGACGCCGATGGATCTTTTGACAATGACTCGACCGAAGATTTACAACGTCATACTCAAGATTCCTTTGAGTTGACTGAGCGTGAAGCTTTCCTTTTCATGACCTATATATACAAACTTGCACCCTCAGTAAGTCTAAATACCCAACTACCATTCCCACTAACATGCAAGTCTGATGCATGTGATGATGCCCGCCATTTCGAACTCGAAGTTCCTCGACTAGCCCTTCGTCAGCCAATGATGATGAACGGCCTCCTCGCACTTGCGAGTCGCTACGACGCCCGTTGCACAAATACGTCCAGCGACATAGAAAGCACGTTTTACCATACCAAATGCATAAAACTGCTCATCAAGGCCTTTGCTCAACCACCTGAAACTTGGAATTCAATACTCCTCACAACTGTTGTAATCGCACGTCTCTACGAGGAATATGATAACGAATCGGATTCTTATTACCATCATCTTAGTGGAACGCAAAATCTGTTAAACCACGAGGTCATTGCTAGGTTTGTGATGCAGGGTGGTTTGGCTGAAGCTGCAAGTTGGGTCCATCTCCGACAAGCCATTTACATCTACGTCGTACACAGGAAGCCTATAGAGATACGACTTGAAAGTTTTGAGAGATCAACCGTGTTCAGAAGATCTGATGATTCAGCGTATGCGAACAGGGCGGTCTATAACTTCGCCAAGATCTTGAAGCTGTTTCTCTCGACGAATACTCAAGAGAGTAATCTAGGGGAGTGGCGGGCAGTCGAGACAGAGGTCAAGGGCTGGTATGATGCTAGGCCTGTGTCTTTCAAACCTGTATTTCACCAGCCTGCGGATGTCTCGACAGATAGACCGTTTCCAACCCTTTGCTTTCTTAGACCGGTGCCTGGTAAGTGTCTGCTTACGTTTGTCTGGTCGATTTCTAATATGTTGAAGTTATTGCAATGCAGCATTACTACGCTGCCGAGGCTGTTTTGTGCATGTACAAGTTTAATGATACTCAATACATGGACAGCCGTGGCAAGCAAGAGTTCAAGGTATTTCTGACTTCTGTTAATCCGAGAAAAGGCTAACCCAGTGCTATACCGAGATATCATTCTATCTCTGCATTCTCATGGGTCTTGCTTTGTCTAATCCGCATATTTCCAACGCATATTATCTGCCCGCACATATGCTTTCACTCTGTACATTTGCCTCCCGCTCTTTATTCTAGAGTTACTACTGACGAGATGGGACGTAGGTGGGTACTGTATAAGTGACTTATGTCAACGGATACATTCCATTCGTTATCTTGAGAAGGTTGACGAAGTAATCAAGTGGAAGACAAAGTCGCTTATTAGAAAGCTAGAAGGGGAATGGGATAATTAAGCAGCATATCTCAGACGAGGTGGTCCATCTAATCTTAGACTTTATTAGCGACGTTAACGGTAAATTTCCCGATTGCACCACCTCTTAAGAATACATCATCGGCCTCGACCTTGTAGCTGTCATTGATAGATCCGATATTGAAATTGTTAGCTCTACTCATCCCCCAAGCGCACTCCTCATAGATGTTACAAATCTTTGTATCGCCTTCATAGAGGTCGAACGAGCCCTCAGTTCCACAGGCTGAGTCACGACGACCGCAGGCGGCAATACCGGCTGACTTGTTGGTCGGAATTATAACCTTCTGGACGTCGCTGGGCGAGATCCCTTATGAGATTCACCTTCTAAATGAGTTTCCATCAGGGAGAATAAAACAGTCGAAGCATTTGTGTAGAAGAAACTCAGGCCGCTTGATCTATCAGAACTATTTCATAGGCATAGAAATCCCCAAGCGTTCCGTAAAAGGACTATTCCAGATACCAGTCGAGTTCAAATTCTGATAAACAGCCAACCACTTCTCATAGGTGTCCGGATACATTTCAGCCACGTCACCCTTCTTAACAGTATCAAGATCAAGACCCCAATGGACTCTGACGCCCTTTCCGTCTTCTCCAGAGCATAACTCCTGCCTCATGTATTTGAGCAAGTCATTTCCAGTCTTGATCCCGAAAATCATATCCATCTCTACCATCATGGTCGTTCGACCCTGTTGCGGTGCTAGGAAAGCGATCGAGTTTTGAACAAATCTGAAGGCGACGGGACCCGCGATGTACCATAGTTTGTCTCGAGCAGCTTTCTGGAACAGAGCCAGGATACGGTCTATGATTTTGACAATGTCGCGATTGGCATCGAAAGACAGCTCCATAGCATAAGCCTTGATGTCATCGACAGCACCGATATCGAGAACCTTGAAGCTCTTGTCGACATAGTGGTCGACTCTCAGGGTCTTCAATGCAGTTGTGATATTGCCAGGACTCAACTTCGGCCATCGATTCAATGTCCACGCAAGAATCTTCTCAACCAAAGGATGTTGGGCCAATAGACCTGCTAGCCAATTCTCAATACCACGACTGCCACTGCGCTGTTTAACACCCGAAATTTTTCGAGTGACGGTCACTGCAAAGTTCAACCCAGCAGGGTATGGGTTCAAGTCAAGCTCGAAGTAGTGCTCTTGCAAAGGCTCTGAATTCAGACCGTCGGCAAGTTCAGATTTGAATCTTTGCCAGGTTGTCAACGCACGAACCTCGCTCAAGTAGAAGGTGTCGACTACTTCGATAATGTACGAATGAATAAGCCCCAGACAGCCCATTGCAACAAGGGCAGCTTGAAACCAATCATCATCCTGCTTAAGTGTCTCAGCGTATTCGGGAACAAACTTGGCTGGATCAGTGATTCCGTCTTTCGGTTCGATCTGGTAGACTAATCCGGACTCTGAGACCAGGATGATTGCTCGGACAAGACTGGCGAGGTTGCCTGAGTCTTTACCACTCCCGTGTGTGCCGGTGGAGATGGCACCTGCAAGGGTTTGACCATCATAAGCACCCATAGTTGCAAGAGCCTTTCCCTCCTTGTCAAGCTGGGTGTTGAGATCTTTGATAGTAATTCCGCTCTCGACAAAAGCGTAGTTTGCAGCGTCAGAAGGCTTCTTCAAAGAAGAACTGTTGAGCTTCAAGAACTGATTCATGCCATGTGGATCAAGCAAGATCCCATCAGTGGGACAAATATTAGAGAACGAATGCCCTGATCCAACAATGCGAACGTTGAGTTTTTGCTCCGCACCATCATGAACGGCCTTAATTAAATCTGAGATGTTGTTTGCCTTGCGGAGGGACTTTGGAGTACACTTTTGCTCTCCGATGCAATTGACCCAAGATGCAGGAGGCTTAGGCCTAGGAATTTGTTTCGATGGTGGTGGGACACCTTCAATAGAGTCTTTCAAAGATTTTATCTCCTCAAGTAGGCCTTGCTTCAAGTTTGGGTCGGTGAAGCGACGGTTCATTTCTTCTGCTAGCTCATCGTTGGTTGGATCATCGTCGAACCGTTGAACAAGATCAGCAGCAGGCAAGTCTTGGATTGGCATGTTTAATATTAGAGTTTAGCGAGAACGAATAAGTTGCAAACTGTGAAAGAAGATGTGATTTAGTTTGAGTACGGTGACTCAACCATGTTATAATACTTGGATGGTCCCAGCGAATAAATGTCAACTGTCTTGTTCGAGACATGATGGGTAGTCAACGGCACAGGTAGAAACATTGGAATCGGAGTGTTGTAGTTTATTGGTCAGAAATATAGCTACGCCAGCCACTATCAAGCCATTCGATACAAAATGGGCTTTTGATGGTTCTAGACTTACTAGAGCAACTTTTGGATTGGTTAGATATAAACAAGCGGAAATCTCATGCAGCTTTATCACATTTGAGGCATGCCCATCACAAACCTGACGACTTACAGGTCTCTGACTGAAACTTTTCTCAATACCCTCTGCTTAGTGACGCTTCTAAATACGGCTTAGTGTATAGCGGCTGGAATTTCAGCGAGCCACAATCCTCTCCATTAGGTAGAGCTGATCTTTGTGGATCACCTTGCGCAAGGGGCAAGGGAGAGATGTTTTTTGTGATGGATTCTGACCAGAAGAAATAAACATTACTTTGAGCATTATATCACTTCATTCCCGCCTTGACTTTGCGGATGATTCATATCGAGATTGAGCCGGGGCACATGGTCTGCCCTGCATCATGCGACAGTATGTCTTTCTGTTTCAGGGCTATTACTCCTGTTCGTACCGCCGGATCTATATGATATCAAACAGTTTTCTTTCGGAAACTTCACAGCCCCGAAGGCGAGTCGGTTATGGTTGCTAGGCTCAACCGGTCATGGAAATCTTCTTAGGTTTAGAACGGTATTTCGACCTGCACTATAGCGACTTCCCATCACTGCTCCGGCCGCTACCTGACTTCCAAAACGTATCAACATATATGATGATCTTGATAACAAGGTAAATTAATACGTAAGTCGTCTAGTTCAGGTCTCCAGATTTGGTGCAGTCTCGCTATGTATGGGATCTTCTGAGATATTAAAACTCCAATGGTAACTGGGTTGATTGGTTCTATACTTGTGATCAACTGAAATACTAGACGCCTCTTCGAAAGATGCACAGCCTTTCTAAAAGCGATGGTCTGCGTTCCTCGTTTTTCGGATCAAGTACTAGCGGGTCACTCTGCTCTGCTGCGAGTCTCGACTGGGAAATTGCGAGCTCACCGTCCGTCTTTCATGGCAACACCGAGGAGAAGACGAGAACTCTTCTGTCAGGTCAGATGCTCCTCGATGTCAAAGAAGACTCTATCGAGGTCAAGGGATGTACCAGTACGCTGGACCTACATACACTCCAAAAGTGACCGTATCGAAAAACCTGCACCGGCTGCCGAAAACAGTACATCAAGATTGAGACGTGGCAGTTCATCAATCAATCCATCATCAGTCAGTGCTAAAAAGCCAATTCATATTGTGCTTGACGGCAAGCTTCGACTTCGCAGTAAGTGTACTAACATTAGTCAACATGTACCTGGGCAATTGAAACTTGGACAATTGACAATTGACCACAGTAGTTCAAGGTACAGAGTGGGGTTGTGTAGAAGAAAGATGAGGAATCAATTCGGGAGAATGCACCTATTAACAGCCTTTCCGTCTCGGTCAAAAGTGGTGGTAGCTCCATGAGCTAAGGAGCATCGGAATGAGTTTCAATTGGTTCACCTAAAGCAACTAACCTTATACAGGGATATAGCAGTACCAGCACCACTAATGCATTTGATAAACCATGAAGAAATAACTATACGATTACTTGATTAGGTGGAAGGAAAGTAGTCTCACGATAATGAAAATTATAGATTTGTCTCGACACACTTTCGGCATCACATATGTGGACCTGTTCTTACGTAAATGATCCAGTTTCGGAATATTGAGCTCCTTTTCTTATCTGTGAGTCAGTTGTAACCTAAAGTTCACAAAGGAATAAAGGACCGTTGTGATACATTTACTCCCTCGATTTGCTGATATAAAACCTATAATTTAATCCTGGAAAGACACTTTTAAAATTCTATCATCTTCAAAGGATCATCACAAGCACATAATACTATCGTATATCCTTCAAACGACACCATAATGATCACTGTTCACTTCATTATTCACGAGTCCTTCGAAGCTCCTGGAGCATATGAGACCTGGGCAAAAGATCGAAGATACAGCACCTCTTACTCTCAACTTTATCTTGGCGACTCTTTACCCCAATCAATCAACTCCATCGATTTATTAATCGTTCTGGGAGGTCCTCAAAACCCATCTACCACCACAGATGAGTGCCCATATTTCAACGCCGCAGCCGAGAAAGAATTGATCCTGAAATGCGTCAACGCTGGCAAAGCGGTTGTGGGGGTTTGTTTAGGTGCACAACTTGTTGGCGAGTCTCTGGGCGCATCATGGGAGAAAAGCCCCGAGAAGGAAATCGGCAATTTCCCCATTACACTCACCAAAGCTGGGGAGATAAGCGAGAAGTTCACGCAGTTTGGTTCCAGCTTGCTAGTCGGCCATTGGCATAGTGGCATGCCAGGACTCACGCCTGACGCAAAGATCATTGCTTGGAGCTCGGGTTGTCCACGCCAAATAGTTGAATATACGAGTCTGGTGTATGGATTCCAGTGCCATTTGGAGTTCAACCACGAAGTCGTCGAGGCATTAATACAGGCGAGCAATGATGAGCTTCCTACCCTCAAGCAACATCGCTTTGTCCAACAGCCTGACGATCTACGTATGAACAATTATGAGCGAATGAACGAGAAATTGTTCATCTTCTTGGACCACCTCATAGACTCATATCTTGCGGCTCAGTACTAGATGGGACTGGAAGAGAATTACAAGAAGAGACTGTTGACACTTTGGGGGCATAAAGTCCAGGGACAGTTTAGACCACCAGATCTAGGCCCTGCATATTCGACCGCTTAATATACTGCATCATATAACATGGGATATCCTAAGCCATCTCGACATTAGAACAAGATTTCTGCAGCTGAAGTGTTCAGCCAAAGCATATCATCAATCTCCAGGTTCAAAACATCCAAGTCCATGATTGGCCCAAAGCTGTTGTTGGTGAGTAGGTTTGAGTTCTGTCCCCCGCTAGGGAACATGGGCTCAGACGGCTCCCTAGCGTTCGCTTCAGATGGCATTCTCGTCAGACCGCGACAACCTTGAATCTTTGAGAGTAGAATTTCCAAGGCCACTACACAACGTTTGGCAGATTCCCCGACTTTGGAGTATGCCTTGAGTAACTGGATTGCCTGATCCCAAGTTGGCTCAGCTGACCATGGCTCCACGTTGGAATCATTCAAGATGAGCTGACCGAGACGCTCGGCGAGGAGCACTGTTGCAGCTGTGTATACGACTAGGATAGCGGGTCAGTCACACTAGAGTAGCACGGAACAGGTTTGAAACATACACAAGACTGCAAACCACCAAGCTGGGACAGGGCCGGTTACCGTTTCCAGGTCCAAGTTTGAATAAATGATTTGGATGATCTCGCGGGCGGATTCGAAGCAAACATTCGAACAGTGGCCAATCAAGTTTTCAGAAAGAAATTGATCTCTTAGTGCAGACTGGCGACTGTCATCGGGCCTCACCTGCTTCAAGCAAGATTCTGTGAGTATTGGGCGGAGGACAACGATTCGAGCATGAAGATACCTGGAACACGGTCGAATTAATATTTAACAACATAACAGAATTTATTCACTGACCGGGAACGGAGGACGATCCGTTGCCTCTGAAGCGCGTAGTTCGCATTGACTGAAGACGGGTATCGAAGACCTTCTGGCATTGAACGCATCCAATGCACCAGCCTGTCATCAAACTGAATGACAGAAATGATCTGTTCCATACTCTGGCCAGCTTTTTCTGGCTGCTGCATGTAGTGTTCAAGAAGACAGTCGTTCACTATGCTATACAGTTCCACGGACTTGATGAAGAAAGCAATCGTTGGCGTACCACCATCTGGCCGCATTACGGATGGCTCGATTTGGGAATCCAAGAAGTCATCATCAATCATGCTGGGGAGCGGTACGGCATCGTAGAGCCAGTTTGCAATCATGCTCGGTCTTCCAAATGTCATAGACATAACCCGGTCCATAAAGACACATCCGTGCCATGTCCTACGCAGCATCTCCCTGTCCCGGATATTTTCTGCCGAGGTCGTCGTTCTAGACAAGTGTAGCCCTAGACTTTGGGCCATACGAACAGCAGAGCCAACAACCATCCAACACTGGTGGGATTGATGAGTGCTCTGTAGAAATAGACCCATAAGCAGTAGACATTGCAGTCCTTGCAGAGAAGCCCTCTGTTGGATTCTAGGATCGAATAGTACAAGGGCTCTTTCCCAAAATGTTTGACCTAGTTCTCTTCTTTTGTCTGGCTGAACAACTTGGGAAAATTGAGTGCCCAGCGCGAGCGCCATGTTAATCATGCAGTGTAGAGGCTTGACGTGTATCTTGGTTTCAGAACCAATCCAGATGGCATCATAATCGTGTTTAAAGACCGCCCAGTCGTGGATGGGGAGAATGACCCAAACCAAGTCGTAGTAGTCCTGTAGAAGACGATCCGAGAAGGTTCGAAGAGGAAGGGCAAATGCCGGAAAGTTCATGTAGTCTGGATGTAATGTTGCTGCACCGTTTTGGCTGGCCCCAGCCTCATCGCTAGCTTTATTAGTAACCTCTATAGACGACTGTGTCTGGTTTTTCCCGAGACGTGAATCGACAGCGGAGTTGATTTGAGCCGCGAAAGAGGCAGCACTGCTACCACCGAAGAATTCCACGCTCGCCAAAGGGTCCTTGCCAACGCCTGTCATAGCATCGGCACTCTGCGGTGCATTGTCATCAATTGGCTCGGGTAGCAAAGCGTCAACCGTGATGGGCAATGTAGACGCAGTGCCAGTTGAAGCGCTAGCCATCGGTGACGCTTGGACAGATCGTGGCCGATCCACAGAGTCAGAATTCGCAGCTAGAGACAAAAGCAATGACGACCCTTCCGCAACATCATTTCTATTCCGCCCATCTGGATGCGGAAAGCGTTGTGGCAGCAGGGTATACTGTCTTCTTCGAGCCGGTTTATCTCTACTGTAGTTACAATGGGACTCTCCTCGAATGATACATGGACGGCAGGCTGTATAATAAAGTCAGTAAGATGGCTATGTTAAGTATTAACGTGATGTATACCGGGCTTTTGTGCATCACATTTAACCTTTCGCCGCCGACAGTTCTCACATGCTGCGCTGACTTTTTGTCGTGCCATCGACATGGATATAAAACGGTGGAAAGTTATGGCTGCAATGGGATGGCACTTATGTTTATTTAAATATGGACTTGTAAAATGAGGCGGGGCAGACTAAATTCATATATCATCCACTAGCTCCGATCTATCCTCCAGATTATAACGTCACATGAATATGACTAATACAATTTCAAGCTCGATTTTCCTGACTTAACATAACAATATGTAAATGAATAAACAAAATTCAAAATGGCAACGGTTCCGGCTTCTTGGTCTGTCGATACCAGTACTCAAATGTTGCATTCATAATTGTCGGTCGGCGCAGGTAAGAACCAGCCTCGCGAGCGAGGTCTGCATCAACGGGCTTCAGAGGTCCAAAAGACCGTGCACGTACCTGAATACGGGCAGCCCTCTCAAGGTAGACGCACAGATATGTTGCCTCTTGAACACTCTTACCTGCTGTAAGCATACCATGGTTGGCAAGGATAATCGAGTATTTGTCCCCAAGCGCTTCCGTGATAATGACGCCTTCCTGGTCTGCAATGGGAACACCAGGCCACTGGCCGAGAAAAGCGCAGTCGTTATAAAACGGTGTCATGTCCATCTGTGCAACCACGAGCGGCTGTTGCGCAGCGGCCATGACTTGCACCCAAGGAGAGTGCGTATGAATAATTGATTGAATGTCTGGGCGGCCAGCATACACCCAGAGATGAAAGCGCGTAGCAGGGTTGGGCATGCCATGGCCGGTAATGGTATTCAGATCCCCATCTACTTCGATGAAATCTTCAGGTCGAGCTTCTTCCCAACCCAGTCCAAATCGTAGAGTCCAATAGAAGCCATCTCCACGTTCAGACCGGGCGCTGATCTGACCGGCAAGACCAGCGTCTTCTTGCTTGGATGCAATGAGTCGACAAGCGCAAGCTAGAGTTTCTTGAAGGGTACGCTGGGGAATTTTGAGATGCTTTTGCATCTCCTCGGCCGAGCGCTTATCAAAATAATCCTTGGATCGAAGTGGAGCCCCATTGGTCTCTGGTGCGGATGAAGACGCTTGGCTAGCCGTAGCGGAGGTTGGCATCGTGATATTAGACTAGATGATAATGATGATGAAAACAGGAATGTGTATGTTTCAAAGATATTTCACTCTTTGATCAGTTATGGAAGAGAGGTATATAAACGTTAATAATATTATATCGTAATAGATTCTTTATGACAAAAATCTCAACCTTCAGTCGTCCTTTTATCTAGGATCTCAATCATGCTAATTGAACCAAGGCAACCGGTGAACTGTTAGCCAAGGAGAGCTCAGAGGCTAGATCTATCGGACTGTAAGCAGTCATTCGCACAAATCCTATCCGCGGAAGACGGAACAGATATTGATTAGCTGACGCTCCGAGAACGCGCTAATCAACCCCACAAACCTCACTTCAAGGTTAAATATGGGGAAGGAAAGCGTCACATCGGAACTATTTATCATTGGACAAAGGGCCCGACCGGACGTCAACTACACTAGTTACGTCGGATTTTAGACTGCGTCAGAATATGGCGTCCCGCAATAATCGAACCATCAGTTATGGAATCATTAACTTCTCGGAACCTAACCAATGAACTTGCTAACTGTTCCGCGCCTTAGCAGCGGGGCATTGGAGTCGATGGATTTTTTTGGCCTATCCGAGCTCCGAGTTCACAGAAACAGGTGGAACGGAGGAAGGATGTTGGAAATATATATATTGAGGACGGAGCACTCGATCTATTGTCATACATTCGCAGATGAAGATCCCCTACAAGTAGAGTTCAGCGCAACATCTATCCTGACAAACTCCGGAACACATCACTCAATCCAGAATCATCGCTTTATAGCATCTCCTTCAACATGAGCATTAAGACGGACATTTTCAGAGGCCTTTCGGCATTCCCAATTACTCCTGCTGATCCTGATGGCACCGTCGACACTGGCGCTCTGGTTCGGATCATCGAGACGTTGGATATTCCCGGCATCGATTCGATTGGCTTGTTGGGTAGTACTGGAAACTACGCTTACTTTACGAGGGAGCAACGCAAGCGGGCGATCGAAGCAGCAAGACAAGCTCTGCAGGGAAGAAAACCACTTATTGTCTCTGCTGGTGCTCTTCGGACGGATGACGCACAGAATCTAGCCAAGGATGCTGAAGAGGCGGGGGCTGATGGCTTGCTACTCGCACCTGTCTCGTATAATCAGTTAACTGAAGAAGAGGTATACCAACACTTCATTGCAGTCGCCAGTTCGACCACACTACCTATCTGCATCTACAATACTCCGAGCACGACGCACTTTACCTTTAGCGACGCGCTTCTTGCTCGTATCGCGGCGTTGCCAAACGTAGTTGCGCTCAAGCAGCCCGCTCCTAGCACTAAGCCAAGAGAAACACATGAGACGCTTTCCGCAAACTTTCCTCCTGGGTTTTCTGTCGGATACAGTGGGGACTCGCTGGCCCACGAGTCACTACTGGTTGGTGGTTCTGTATGGTACAGCGTGATCGCTGGGTTTCTCCCCGCGCCATCGGTTGCGCTGATGGATGCAGTTCGCAGGAGGGACCATGTCGAAGCGAGACGCATCTCGGCTATCCTGCAGCCAATCTGGGACCTGTTCCAAGAGTTTGGTGAGGTCCGGGTGGCATTTGCAGTTGCGAACGAGCGTGGCCTTTGCAAAGCAGCCCCTCCTCGGCCTATTCTTCCTATAGATGCTTCGCATCATGATCGAATCCGCTCGGTGTTGGCAGACATCAATAAACACTTTTAGCGGCCATCTCGAAACTTAAGGCAGTGTGGGGAGTCTGCGCGCTGCACTGCTCTACATCGTTGATGAGGTTGTTGCACCGTCGGTAGTTATTTTTATACTTCAGAATGACCTTTTAAGCATAACGTATAACCGTTATTTTACCTTATCTCAAATCTTATCAGCATCTCCTCTGTTCCTTCATGACCTGATGATATCTGAAGTCTTAACGGCATGTCTTTTGTACAAAGGGAAGATGATCTTCCATCTCTAAATCTTACCAATTCGACTAGCCCCAGTAACCCAGCCAAACTAAAATTCCAATTATTCGCATATTATAACTAGTGATGTAGGTAGACCGAGACCGGAACGGGAACAAGACATGTGTAAATGCCAAGCTTGTGGCACTGACTCGAGCTATCGAATGAGAGTTTCAAGACCCTTGCGACGCTTGGACAAAAAATCCATGATACTCTTGTTTGCAATTGCCGCACTGACAATAAAGGTGCTGCTTGAAACAACCTCGGCTAGGATCCTTATCTGTGAGTTTATCGATATCTTATCTCATACCTTATCTTTTACCACGCTATCGCGAAACTTATCGCTGAGCTATCTTATCTTAAATCTTATCGTTGAGTGCGCTTCCTAACTCGTCTTTCAGCAAGATATCACTTAAATATAAATGCTATACATGAATTCTAAAGCATTGTAGACAGTCTGCTCATCAAACTCGCTGTCCTCTTGAGCCCTGGATGCATTAACAATATAACAGTGGACAGACTAATGCTTTTTTCGTGGCATTTCAGTATTTTTCTAATAGCGATCCACCTTCTAATGAACTCATGTTAAGTTTTGAAGCATCATTGCCTGTTTTCTCACAGCGTTTGACATTCTCAACGACTGTAGTAAATCCAAACATTAAATCTTATCATATCAATTATATTTACTTATTCTCTCGTCTTATCTGTAAGCTCTGTATAGTATATACCGCCTAGTGAAGCTTGAATTGTAACTTTGCACTGAACTATAGGGTATATCACGTGAGAGTCATTTAGTGATGTCCTGCTGTCAACACCATATTATCTATCGTATACTCTATAAACTCTCTACTATTGCTTGTCGCATTCAGTAATGATATCGTGAAGTCTTTTTTCATTCCGCGTGCTCAGCCTTTTTCACCTCAAACCTCCTGAAACACCACCTGCCGCGGTGTTCATGACCCCTAGAACACCATTCCCAACATGCGATTGGCTCCTCAGGATTGAAACGAAGAATTCCCATAGCACGGCAATCTCGGATCTTGGCGAACATGATAGACGCTCGCTCGATTTCTTCAAAGATAATACAGAGTTTCACTTGCCCCGCTGTGAGACAACTGTGATGCCAGTTGTCGATCATGATCCGAGAGGCGGAGCTCTTGAGTGATCAATGCGTTTTACGTTTTGGCCTTTTGTGAGTGGTTAATGGTTGAGTAAGCGAACAAGAGCCGTTTTGACGTTTCGTTTAAGAGAGGCTGTGCTGGTGGGTTTCGCCGGCAGACGAGCATTCCGGGTCTTGGCTGCGAAGGCCCAAGCGTAATTGAGGTTGTGTCGTGATATGTTTCTTTGACTTTGAGTCCAAGCACATGCCAATTATCTGTGGGTGATATGTTTTGTCTATGGGTGATATGTTTCTGAAGCTCCAAAATAGCCATTTCGAACCTCTTGGACGTCTCGGGTTGTGTCGCGACTTTGCTTGGCTTCAACCTCTTGGGAAAATGTGAATGGTGATATGTCTCTCAATAGAGAAAAACGTTTGCTGAAATTCTCTATATAAGGATGCTCATTGTCTCTCCATTGTCAATTCTAACCATCACCAACAACTCAACAATCACAACAATCTCCTCTTCTCTCTACTCACCTTCTCCTCCTGCCGGTCAGGTCTTTTATTTACAACTACTTCTTACTCTTCCGCCTCTTCCTCTTTAATCAGACAATCTTACCTTTCTACCTTACCAACACTCACAATAATCACAATGGCCACCGTTAAGAACATCGTTTTCGCCCTTTTCCTCGCTGCCGACTTCGCAGCTGCTCACAGTGTCATCACCAACGCCGTTGGCGATGCTGGTGGCTCTGGCATGGCTCTCGGTGTTGACACCTCCACTCCTCGTGATGGCACCCGCCGCCGTCCTTTCCAGACCGACGCTACTCGCTTCCGTGGCGATGCCGCTGACACTGTTGGCGAGACTCTCGCTGGTGGAGACAACAATGTCGAGCAGGGTACTCTCGACATCATGGAGGAGACCGGTGACCAACTTCCTCAAGTCAACCCTGGTGGTAGCCTTGAGATGACTGTCCACCAAGTCAACTCTGATGGTGCTGGCCCCTACACTTGCATGATAAACTCCGATGGCACTGGTAACTCATGGGACAACATTCCTGTCACAACCAACGTTGAGGGTAACGACCGTGGCCGAAACCGTGATGGTGAGATGGGCGATTTCCCTCTCGTGGCATCGATCCCTGCTGGACAGACTTGCACTGGTACAGTTGCTGGCGAGGACAATGTTTGTCTCGTGCGATGCCAAAACCCAGCCCGTGCTGGTCCCTTTGGAGGTGTCATCCCCGTTCAGATGGCTCAGACAAACGGCACTGGTGATGCCACTGGCGACGCCACTACTGGTGATGATACCACTGGCAACAACAACGCTGGTAACAACGCCGGTAACAACAACGCCGGTAACAATGCTGGAAACAATGCCGGAAACAACGCTGGCAACAACGCCGGTAACAATGCTGGCGACAACGCCGACAACACTGACAACGTTGACGACGAAGGCGCCGCTCAAGATGAGGATGAGACTGAGGCTGTCACTGGTAACAACAACAACAACCGCAACACCCGCCGCGCCACCCGCTTCTTCGCATAAGAAGCCAATACCCAACGATACCCAAAAGCTATGAGCATCGAGTTGAAGCCCGCCCTGGTACAATGATCTGTGGATATATGAAGGATAATGAGTGAGAGATTGGAGGTGACTGTCAAGGAAGAATGGGAATATGAATTGGGAAATTGTTAATGATGAAGACGGAGCGATGGAGTGAACTTAATCTAGCTAGTATGTGTAGTTCAAAAGACTTTATTGGCAAATCATATGTTTCAAAGTGACCTCAATACTTGACTTATTTCGAATGGATATGTTGACTCATGGTACGATCATTGCCAACCAGAGTTACTAGTTACCATGCAGTTTAATTCATTAAAATAAGGCGCTCATAATGTCGACAAAGAAAACATAATGTAATGTGCTACAATGCTACAAACGACAAAATACCCATGAATTGTCCATCTTCCACATCTCTCATCTATCCCACGAAACCATTCCTATAAACTATCTCAACGCTCCTTCCACCAAAGCAACATCTTTTCTCATAGACACCCTGCTCGCAAAACATTCTGTTCCTTGCTCATTCAAGTCTGTTAAAGACCTCACCTGAAGTTGCAAGACTTGATGATATTCTGCACCAACTTGTCTTTATCACGGAACTGTTGCGAAAAGGCCATCATATCATTCGCGCTCAACGCCCTCCTGGCGTCGGCAGCATTCTTGAAGGCCTTGGCAGGCGCCATGCCTCCCCTTAGACCGGCCGCGCCGATCAGCAGACCCAAGATGGCAAAGGGAGCAGACGACGGGTTGTCGACAACCTCGACGATACTGATGGCCAGGTTGCCTGCCTCACCTACAATGAGCGCAGCAGTTGCAATGCGGGCAGCTCCTCCAAGTGCACTCGCAGCCCAACCAGCGAAGGGAATAACGGCAAAAACGATAGTTAGGATGTTGATAATCAGGTTTCGTGTGTGTGTTTCCTTCATATCCTCACCGATCTCCTTCATCTCCTTGATGCTCTTGGAAGCATCCTGCATCATGAAGATGGGCATACTGAACGACGTGACGATATCGGCTGGGTCGGCGTCTGAGTTACCCAGTCGCATGTTGGCAAATGTACCGATAGCAACCGTGATTAACTCGTCGGTAGAAGGAATAGCCTCGTCGATAACCTCCTTGGGGTTGCTGACCTTGATCTTGCTCTTGTCCCTGATACGCTTCAGCCAGTTGTTACGCATCTCGTAGTTGTTGCCCGACTGACAACCGGGTGGTGAACAAATGTTGGGCTGGAAACAGACACAAGGATCCATCTGTGCGTCCTGCTCGACCCATTCAACCCAGTCCTTCTCGATACCTGCCTCGGCGAGAAGAGCATCGTAAAAACCCTTTTCGTCGCGCATGGTATACCATACAACACGACCCCCGGCACCTGGTCCTGGAGCAACAGGTGGCCACGTCTCATCGCAACGACCCTTGTCGCTACCTCTGTTGCTCTTCCACTCGCAGTCCATATACTTCAGACCTTTGCCACGGCCAGGCGCCATAAACTCTTCAATTCGGTCGTCGATGGAATCCTTGACCCAGTCGGCGTACCAGCCGAAAGCGTCGTTGAAGTTCTTGGATACGTCCTTGTACTCGTCGACAGCCGCAATGAGGTCCTTGATCAGGATGTTCATCAAGGCCAAGGAACGGCAGTTTCCGTTGATGCTATCAACGCTCTCGGCCAGCTTCTCCAGACTGTCAGGCCAGTTCTTGGAGTCGCAAGTGAGATCATCAGCCTTGAAGTCAGACCAACCACCGTTGGATGTTCCATCTTTCTTGCTAGGTCCTTCAAAGTAACCCGCCAGATCAATGGCCCAATCGGTGGTACCACCAAAGTTGAGCGTCTTGACCCATGCAACACGCTCCTCCTTGGTCTTGTCGCTCATGTACGCAACCCAGTCCGTCATGCCGTTACCCATTGTACCGTAGGTCATGATATCGGAATGTGTCTTGGTGTCGTGCCATCGCTTGGCCGTGACACCCTCAACATTCTCGCCCGCCATTTGCCAGATCTCGTCTAGCTCGGCATTAGAAACTGGAGAGAGTAATGTTAGTAACAAATCTCTGACGTGATGGGAATGAAGCACGTACTGTAGCCACCGGTATCGGTGCATTGACCGGGCTCAGCCTCGGACTCCGAGAATGAGCCAGTGAAAAGGCAGTGAGGTCCTGTGCAACTCTTGTCTGCCATGCGGAAACTTCGGCCATAACTTGCAATACCGACAATGACCTTTTCGGCTGGCACACCAGCCTTGGTGATCATACTGAGTGAGTTACGGGTCTCGGTACGGTTGACATGGGATCGCAGACAATTGCCATTCTCACAGCCAGGACTAGCGAACTTATTACCGTAGTCCCACTGTCCATGCAAATCGTAGGTCATAAAGACAAAGTAGTCGAGAATCTTGGCCATGTCCTCAACGGGGAATGGCTTCAAGTACCAGAAAGAACCGGGCAAGGCAATGGACAGAGACTTGCTTGATGGCAACAGGTTTCGAAGCACGGTGAGGAAACGTGTGTAATAGATACCGTCGTTCTTGTCACCAGCGGGGATACCTTGATCAGAGGCACCAGGATACTCCCAGTCAATATCAACACCGTCGAAGCTCTTGTGTTTCTCCAAAAACTTGACAACGTTTGCGGAAAATTTGGAACGGTATTCGGGCTTAACCACATCACGATAACGTTGGAATGTCGCGGCGTCAGTTGACTCAGCCCAACCGCCAAAGGACAGAATCTTCTTGAAAGGAGCGTCCATCTTGTCGAAGATGTCAAACTGTTTCTTGACATCCTCTGGAATATTTACATCGTAGTCGGCAGTGATACCAGCAAAGGCGAAATGGACATGAGTGAGCTCCTTGAAGTTTTCAGCAATCTCAGAAGCGTCCATGTGCATACACGGACGACCGGGGTTATAAGCCTGGAAGTAGCCGATGCGCTTGAACTCCTTGGGTGGTGACTTGTTGTTGACAATGTCAGTACCGCAGTTGGAGATACATCCGTTGGTGTTGAGCTTGAAGGCTCCCGGTGCCTTGGGATCGGAAGGAGACTCTGTGCAGAACTCAGTGGTAGTACCACAGTATCCCCAACCGCTGCAACAAGACTTGAGAGGACACTGGTTGAGCTTGGCAAGATCCCATCCATCAAAGGATCCTGATGGTTTCTGGGTGCCAGGCTTCTGTGGTCCACAGGCGATGCCTTCATGAGTGGCTGGCATGGGTGTGTTGCCTTTGCTGAGACAGATAATCTGACCGAGCTGCAGTCTTCCACAACCTGCCCAACCCCAACTGGCTTTGTTGAAGCCTGCGATATCGTCTTCATTAAGACCAAAGGGAGCTCCAACGTCATAGCAAGTGTCATTGGGACCGATTGTGTGTGTCTTACAGGTGCCATCTGACTCCGGCTGTGGTTTGTTGTCAGGTGGTGTTCCAGAACTACAGCAGACTACCTGGCCGGCTTTAAGGGTATCACAGAAGTTCTGCTTGCCCGGGTTGAACTTGATGAAGTCACTACCTCGAATGCCACACCTAACACTGAGCTTGGTGCAGTCATCGTCCTGAAGAACTTTGGTAGTCTTGCACTCGGCGCGGGCTTCAAGATCGCTCACCAAGCCCGTCTCAGCCACGGAGGTTCCATTGGATACGCCCATGAAGAGGTCACCGCCAGGGATGTTGACTTTGATATCAGCATCCTTGGGTCTGGTGAGAGGCATGGCCGCGCAGTAACCACTGGCCCATGTCTTCACGTTCTTTCGTACAAGTTCAAAGTCACTGAGCTTGTCCACGGCAAATATACCAAAGGTGTAGGGGTTTCCTGGGTTGATGTCGCAGGCTTGCATGATCTGAGTGCCCTGACTAGCAGCCTTCTCAAATCGCTCAAGTATGTCGGTGGCAGCGACAGATCCCATGTCGGCGCTAACATAGAGACCGACAATGGCAGATCCTGCTTTGGAGAAGAGAACAGTCTTGCCACACGAGGACTTGACGTGTTGCTTTAGTCCCTGGACGGCAGTAGTGACATCGGCACTCGCGTTTAGCACTCCAGGCATGCCAGAAGTAACAAGCACAGGCACAGGAAAAAGAGGAGCAGGATTACACTGGCCGGCGGAGGCCTTTTCATCCTTTGTGTCCTTCTCAGCCCTCTTAGCATGTCTTCGGTGTGCACGCAAGTGTGCTGCCGCTTTGGAAGGGTTGGAGGAGCCGGTGCCACCGAGAGCACAGACACGAATGGTCTCGACAGTCTCGGTGTGCACATTCAGATCGAAAAGTAGAGGAGCTTCACATCCTTCTAGATCTTGAGGACTGTGGATGTGTGTCCATTTGGTAGCGTTTGAGCCAGCAACAGAGCAAAGTCGAGGGCAGCCATCGACCAAAGGTGTTGCCCACTCCTCGGTAGTCTGCTTCACTCCATAGGGAGCGAGAGGGGTAGTGCCCAGATCAAGCTCATGCTCTGTCGAGTTCTGAACTTTGGATACATCGATTGGGCCCAAACGAGTGCTGTTCCCGCGACTGGTCGCAGCGGAACTGAGGCCGGCTAAGATGCCAATAAAAGGAATGACAGTGTGTACCCTCATGGTATAGAAAGGAAGGTAAACACCATGAAAGATTGAAACACTAAAAGAATGAATGAAGGAATGGATGAAAAGTGAGTGTGTTGGTTTATGGACTGTAGCAAAAAAGGGCGAGCAGGCTATAATTAATACGGAGAGAGTGTTTTGCTGACATGTGCTCTGCAGTATCAACCGCCAAAGTAGTGCAGAGAAACAAGGGACCTGTCGGATCCATCAGTGGCAAGTTGTTTTGTCTCGCTGTTCTCAAATTACAGAGGAAAGTCAGATGCACGGAATAACGGATCAACACCACGCAGCCGAGACCATCGTGTGGTCCATAGTACCACCGAGGCTGGGTATTGTGAAATCCTTTTAGTGCTGACATTGGCTCCACGACGGCTAATTCTGGTGTTTTGTTGCGGTTCTTGGCTCTCTAACTCGAACAAGATAACTTCCCGACCGGCTATCGGAGAATAAAGTTCTAGATTACACACTTGTCAGGCACGGGAGCTTATGGAAGCTAGGGTATAATGTGTGTGGAGCATCGGACGTGGGATTCGAGCAGGGGTATGGGGCAAGGACATGGATGATTAAAGGCAGGGTAGCACATAGCGGCGCAGCCTTTGTGACCCCTGAAATCACGCTGCAGCCAAGTCCAGCTGATTATCTGACGAGATTTTACATTCTACTGAGTAGCATGTACCACAGGGTAGCATTTATGAGAATCAAGGGTAGATGAAATGGACCTTTGCAAGAGTAAGATGGCATCTTGTTCCACCTGCTAATCAGACTGCATCAAGCCAAGACGATAATCAACCGGTGTATACTATACTTGATCCTTCGACGGAGATTACTCAGTTTTTAGCCTGAGCAAAAAGACATCTGACTGAGCTCTAGAAATGTGGATGTACCAGACCATGGTCCCATGCGTGCCAGCCCACCATGCTGTTAGCTAAAATATCTTGGCCCTGGTATCTACTCCGAGACATATGGTTGAGCCTCGATTTTTATTAAAACCCTCATAACTACGGGAGCTTAAGCTCTCCCGTCCCTTCTTTTTTTTGCTCCCCAGTCACTCATTATTATTATTCATTCGTTTGATTTCACTCACTCAATACACTCATTATTTTTCTTACTTTGAGGGACACCTCACTGACGTACTGACAGCATGCGTTGCCATGCTGGGCCCCTTAACTGGGCTTTCATAGGATGGCTGTTCCTAGGTCTTCTTCAACTGGCCGATTGTGCTGCAGTTGACAACAAGTTATCACATGCCCGTGAGAGAATCTGGCTCTGGGAGATGTACGATCTTTTCTGGTGAGTATCCCTGTATCTACACAAATACATGATCTATACTGAGTTATCATTCCCCCTAGCGACATTGAGGGGCCAGACAAGCAGGACGTCATCTTCAAACAGAACAAGAATCACAAATGGATCACCCTAAAGCATTTCTCTTTGGTCAACACCGTGGACGGCAAATTGACATATGCGGAGTTCATGGCAGATCTGGAGAAGAAGCTCAATCCCATTGACGTCGATAAATCTCTAGTGGCTCCCAATGGTGAAGGTGTTGGCAAGCCTACGACTGCCCAGGCTGTCGATGCCCTAAAGACCAAGGGTTGGGCTCAGCCTATGGATGTTGAACAAGTCACAAGCCTCCGAAGCAAGGACTACATGCAGCTCGTGGGTCGTGTAGACAAGAAGTTCCAAGACTACTTCACCAATCTTGGCAATGACGACAAATGGAAAAGAAGGCTGATCGAGACAAACATGAGGACAGAAACACTGTCCAAGGACATTGTTCAGCTTCGCAAGCAAGAGGCTGATGAATGGCTGATCAAGCAAATGACCAGAGACGTCGACCCTCCAAATACCCCGACCGATAAAAAGAATTACGGTCTTGGCATAAATCGCAACGACCTGGTCATTGAAAAGGTCACATCTCCTGTTCCCGGCGCGACTACCTATGAGAGGGTGGACTTGATAGAGTCTTATCTAAAGAACCCTGATGCTCTCAACAGACAACTGAAAGCTGCAGGTGTCAGCGATGGCATCCAAGGTCTTGTTAAATGGGCTGACAACTTGGGAAACCTGGCAAACAAGGACTTTGCAAACGCTGGCCCTGGTTACAGCGATCAGAACGTGTCTCATCACGCGGCTAAGGTGGTGTGGACCGATGCGCATAAGAATGCTAGTAACAGACTAGGCAACATTAAGCCTCCGTCTTGTTCGAGATAGATGGATGTGCAGTATGTTTGGGTGTTGTTTTGGAGGAGAGAGTTGTATCTTGTTGGTTGATTGGTAACGTATCTAGTTCAGTTTGTGATGGATTTCGCTACTAGAGAGATTGGATATTGATGGAGGATTACTGTAGAGTTGATTGATCACCATGATAATTTACAGTTGATTGTTGTTGGATCTAACACTTGGGACTATCACGGCATGACTCATTCCAGCGTTGTGTTCATGGCTTATTAGCAGTACATCCGATACCCCTGCCCTTGATTGTGGGGACTTCCATAAGCGTTGTTTGCCTAAAATTAATGGAACCCTGCCCCCTGGAGGAATATTTAATCCCTCTACTCCGCCATCACCCAATAAATCAGCCAACCTCTTTCGCAAGTTTGACGTCTTCATCTTGACACCATCATTCAGTGGAAAAGAAATGAACAAGCGTACCAATTACCTAGAACTCCGGCCAGATCAGGAAAAAGCCATTCGCGGCGATGCCGTCCCAAGGCTCCTCGATCATCGCGATAGCCGAGCAGCGCTTGTTCGGGGCATTCGTCTGCACTACCACTTCGCCATGAGTGAGCCCGTCATCCGTCTTAGCTCCTCCATGCCTCTGGTTGCACGAGCCCGCAACGCTCGCCTCATCATGAGCAATGAGATTCCAGAACGGATGGCGCCGCAAGAGCATCCATACTGTATATGGTATCCCGATTTTGCGACCGAGGATACATACCGTTCTTTGGCCTCGAAATATCCTGACATGCGCTACCAAGTCGGTCGTGCCTGCGCTGCAGCAGGTTACCACGCCCTTTTTCACGAACTTGACCTTTTACCGGATGTGTCTTTCGCTGAAGAGGCGCGAGAGAGCGAAGCAGATGGTGCGAAACTTATCTATGAAGAAATCATGGGTTTCAAATATCGCTACGCCATCATGGACGATTGCAGACGTTCCATTGAACTTATGGATTACAAATGCCCAGCGTATTTGAACGGTGATACCGAAGTGCGATGGCGTTTGGCAGCTCGACAAGGCATCGAAAAGTACGATAAAGAAGACCTACTTCCATGTATCGAAGAGGACATGCATATTTGCCTCGAGGACCAGGAACTGGAGGAACGTTACAGCGTATTGACTGACGATGAGGCAAAACTTCTCTACACTCCTTTGCCTGAGGATCTGCCGACGGTGAAAAAGACGTTATTGATACAGATGGCCGCTCATGACGGCAACATCGAGCGTTATGCTCGGCTCGCCAACTCTGGAAGAACTTTGAGTCTCCTAGATAGTGATTGTGTCGTCCGTGGCATCTTGCATCACACTATGTACGCTCGCTGGTGGGCCGAACAGATCAAAGTCAACACTATCTACGCTAGGTCTGCCCCATACACATGGGACATCCAGCGAGCCATAATGGCTCGTCGCATCATGATCAACGATCTCTCCGCTTTTGAGAATGGCTGGCCGACTGGAGTCCCCATGCCGTACATCATCTGGTGGCCTTTGCGCCCGGATTGGAATCTTCTTTATGAGCTCGCTAAGCGTGTGCCGGAGATGAAACGGCAAGTCGCAGCTGCAGCAATTGCCTGCGATTATAAGGATATTTACAAAATGCTTGACCCAGAACCAAGCTGGCATTTATGGGTAGTTGCTTCTGAGTTTTCAACTAATCCGTTCTACAGAGAAGACCAAGAGAGGCGTGGAAGGGAGAAGGATGTCGATGTGGAGGATGGCAGATTTGAGTTCAATGAACAAAATGAATTGACCCTGGCGAAAGAAAAAACAGTAATTGACTACGAAGAGGGGAAGATTCAAGACAGCATTGAGAGACGTCAGGAACGAAATAGCTTATGCCCCAAACTACCGAGTTCAGGCCTTGTACAGATCAGGGTCTGGCAAGGCATGGGCAAAGTATCGCCAAAATAGATATTTTCCATTTTTTTATTTGTTTTTTTAATAAGTTTGAGACATTTTTCTCGATGATGCTCATGTTCAATACATACAGTGTTTAAGTATTCTTTGAGTCTTTAGTGATAAGTCTTTAGCATTGGTGGAGTTAATAAGTGTTGAAACGAGCCATCACAGTTCGTGTTGATAACAGGGTAGGTAACCTAAACATTTTAACCACAACGCGCTTTTAATTCCTCATTTTTTACATAACATCAAATTGTGCTCTGATGTAAGTTATTCATTAGTTCATTAATTAATCATAACTATCATGGCTTGGTCGAACAGAAACATTACGGACTTTCTGGATTCTTTTGTCATCTGTTACTACCTAACAATCGAATGATTATACGCATCGGCTCATCATTACCCTGAACCTCGCTCAACGGCACCCAATTAGGCAACCTCTTTACTACCCCACCAGTGAGAGATTTGAGATGTCTTTGTAGTCCAGCATGATCTAATTTGATGATGAGAGTAAGCGTGGTCTTTGAGTAAGTGGCGATAATCACGGATGTTAACGACCCAAGTTGCCATTGCAGCCGAGGCTCGGAGTCGCCTCGGCTTGGCCTACATGCTACAAATAAGACTCCATTTCTTGTTAAACTGCCCTATCATATTCATGATACCGTAATAACAAAGTAATAAATAAAGTTGGGTCATAAGGCTGGGCGTAAGCCAGACCCATGACAAAGTGGATCGACGTGGTATATCTCGCCACAAGTTGATAGGCTAAATAAGTTTGAACAGGCTAGACAGGGTATTATAATCACTCCGCCTCCGTCTTAACATCTTGCCCTAGGAAAATACTCTTCTAAGCGACGGGTCGGGACAAAGGGTCCTTCCCTTTAATTGTGCCTCAATATGGCATTAGGTCTTACTGGACCCACGTTCCTAGATGTAATCTGATAATGCAGACAAGATCAGTGACCTGCTTCGCCCTTGCATGTGTCCGCCCCTCCTTGTCAGGTACGGCATAACCCTTGGCGTCAGTAGTCAGGGGGGCTAGCCTCGGCCCGCCGGCTCGATTATTAGCCCTTTGAAACCGCACGCTAGGATTCACAATCTTTAAGCTTCTTTTTTTAGTGGCTCGATCTTGATAGAAATCACTCCGCAGCCTTATGGCCTTACTAGACACTCAGGACAAGGGTACCGTTGTCTATATCGTTAAACTTCTGGAATGATGCTAGACTAGTACTCCTTTAATTAATTATTGGGATCTGGTATAATGCAGTAGTGGAAGAACAAAAACATCCCATAGTAATGCAAATTCTCATGCTACATTGGTAGACGCTTGCCAACCTGCCAATGTGCTCCAATTCCGCTGTGGCAAAACTACGATAGAATAGCGGGATGTAATTATTACTGCCCCTGATGTCTTCACCAGAATAACTCCATTCTCGTGGGGCTATAAGTCGATGTAGGATCTTGATCCTGTACACTGGATGAAATTATCCTTGAACCCAAGGTAACATCCATCAGTTGATCCCAGCCCGGATGTTTCCTCTTGTAAATATCCATTTATCCCTGTAGTAAAACTCTGTCCCTGCCAAGACCTAGACCTAAGTAGGCACGCTGCTTAGTAGCATTGACCGTAGCATGTCCTGCCAAGCGAGAAATCGGCACCACGCGACGCAGGGGTTAATTTCCTGCAGGAACGGATCGCGGCATATTACCATTTGAAGAGGCAAGGGACTTTTTTAGTCGTAGGATTTAGGCCGACCAACGGCAATTATGTTTCCGCAGGTGAGCTGAACATGATTGTCGAAAAGAGGCTCTTGGCCCGTGAATGCTGCCATGCATGTCAGATTCCTGAGTCAAGTCGAAAGACGGGATGGCTTTACTTGAATCTCATCAGCGATACTTCGCTGTTCTATTGGTACATTCTTATCAGGTGGACACAGCCGTGTTCGGACTATTCCGGAAGTAACTATAGGTAGCAAGTCTAGAATTTTGGCTCATCTCACGAGCTGATGCTTGGCGGCATCAACACCAGAAAGAATTCACGCGCCAAGAATGCTCTCTGTAAGTCGTTCAAACACGTGATTATCTATCTCAGCCTCTTTCTAAGTGTAACGTTGTCTAAAGGATTTACCTCAAATAGAACCACAACCGCAGCTCTGTGATAGTTCTCTCCTCACCTCTATCACGGTTCACATCCAACCTCAGTCCTTCGTTGATTCTCCTTCTACACTTTCGTTAACAAAATGCACGCCAAGTTCCTTGCCGTTCTCTTAGCTGGTGCTCAGCTGACCCAGGCTGCTGCCACTCCCAAGGGTCCTGTTCGACGAGATGGTGTCTCTCCTGCACTACCTCACGACACCAAGACCACTGAGTTCTGTACTTGGTGGCACGACTATGTCGAGGCGACGTCTTGCGAGGATATTCTCGTTGGTAACTCGATTACCAGCGCGCAGTTGAAGAGATGGGTACGTGTTAACCGATGACTTCTATTTCGATTTCTTAACTGACCATCCTTGTGTCTAGAACCCTTCTCTCGGTGATAACTGCAAGGGCATGACTGTCGGTAAATCCTACTGTGTCGAGGCCATGTTCGAACCTGAGCCAGTCGAGCCTGAGGAACCTGAGCCCTCAAAGCCTTCCCCCACGAAGCCATCTAACGGTAGGACTCCGCTTTGAGATCTAATCACTCATCACATGTATTCATACTAATTCATGGCTTGTAGGTATTGAGACACCTGCTAGTATTCAGCCTGGCATGGTCAGCAACTGTAACAAGTTCCACTTGGTAATGTCTGGCGCAAGCTGTACTGATATCGCGGCTCAATATGGCATCACACTGACCCAGTTCACAACCTGGAACAGTGGTATTGGTGCTGCTTGCAACTCCATGTGGGCTAACGCCTATGCTTGTGTATCCATCATTGGCTTCCAACCTGGTACTCCTACCGAACCCTCTCCCGGTAATGGTATTGAGACACCCTCGCCTATTCAGGCCAACATGGTCAAAGACTGTAACAAGTTCGCTCTCGTTGGCTCGACCACCACATGTGCCTCTCTCCAAGACTACTACAAGATCACCATGGCCGAGATCTTCAAGTGGAACCCCGCTGTTGGTTCTGGTTGCAACGGCTTGTGGGCTCAGTACCATGTCTGTGTCTCCGTTATTGGCTGGAAGCCTCCCACCAATGTTCCCGCTCCCTCTCCTACCAAGCCTGCCAACGGCATCTCCACTCCATCGCCTATCCGAGAGCCAATTCACGCAAACTGTAACAAGTTTGCCCTGGTCGGATCTACCACTACTTGTGCCTCCCTTCAGGACTACTACAAGATCTCTATGGCTCAGATTGCTGCGTGGAACACCCCTGTTGGTACTGATTGTAAGGGACTGTGGGCTGGGTACAACGTCTGTGTCGGCATTGTCGGTCAGCAGACTCCTACCAACCCTCCCACCAGCGGCTCAACTCCCTCACCTATCCAGTCTGGTATGGTCAAGGGCTGCAAGAAGTTTCACTTCGTTAACAAGTCTACCACCTGTGCTTCTCTCCAGAGCACATACAAGGTTACCATGGCCCAGCTGTACAAGTGGAATCCTGCTATTGGATCTGGCTGCAATGCTCTTTGGGCAGAGTATCATGTATGCGTTTCCGCTTAGACTTCAACTGGGCTTCAATAGATGTTGGTGAATGCGGTGCTGGGATTCGTTAAGCGCCTGGTTATATAACTATAGTAGCTACATCAACCTTATATTAAATTAATACATCAATGAAGATCTCCATGGGGCCTCTATCAATAGTTAGTCTCTTTACTTTGACATCAATCAATCTCATTATTTATACTACAACGTGGTTAACTGACATGTATAGGGTTAGCTCCAGTTTAAGAGCTACTGTTCTTTCCAGTGTAACTATTACTTCTTTCACATTGGAGTAAGTATATTTTCTACTCAAGTAAAATATTATTGACATGTATTATTTTGAAATGCAGGACATAAAAAAGGATTTTTAAAGCCTTGATTATCTCTGTCTACCTCAGTTAGGAAGCGGTAGACATTCTATTTCACCAAGCATGTTCATGTGACTGGAAGTTCGGTTATGTACGGCGTTGCATATACTGACATAAAGTCTGATGCTGTGCATAAGGATCATGCAAAGATTACGACTGTATTTGCATTGTCCTCGGGGCTCTTACGGAGTGACTCCGTTATCTTGGTTCTCTATTATTGGTTGTTGAAGTACTGAGTAGGGGTCTCACTGAACCCTTCCAGGATAGCTTCCAAGTGATAGCTGGGGTCAAAGTTATTTGAGGCTGGCCGACGCTGCCACCTACGTAGTGGTTTCCAAGATGGTATTCCATATTGTCAAAACAACAACTTTGCAAGCCACTCAATCTCTGCTGGCTGTTATTTAATATTATAGCAGTGAGGAAAGAACAGATAATAAAAGTTACAAATAACTAACCTCTATTGAGAGGGTGCTTACGCCAGCGATGGAGCCATGATAATTCATGTTAACCTGTTTTAGTGATGGGTTGGTGGGGCTCAGGGTCTTTTGTCCCCATAGACAGAGACCCTGAAAAGCCTTGGCTGGGTCTTTCTACCGGCTAGTCTATTTCTAGTAAGAGAATGGAGTAACCGATCTTGACAGTATAAGTGACTCTGATCCCCAAACAAAGACCGCCTTCTCAAGATCAAGGATTATTTGCATCATCGCACTTGCTGATTTCCATGTCGCAACACACCAGCCACAGCCACAACTCCAACCACATAACCACACAACAACCACAGCCACCACAGCCAACAGTCACAGCTGATCCTGAAATGGCCATGGAGTCGCCTGTCTTTTTCACCTAGCCTCACCTTGGTTCGGGTAATGTCCCGGCCTGTAGATACGGTTGTCGATTCAAGAGTCAAGAAACCGATTTCAGTTTGTCGTAGAATTCTCCATGTTCTTGTCTTCAACACAGCGACGGCGACTTACTTGTACGTATATCTTCAATAGCGGTGCTTGCAGCCATGTCTCTAACGTGAAATCTTATGATAGGATCGATTCGACGTGCAAGATTTCCGAGCTATTGGAAAGCCCCTTTATGAGGTTGCTTTATTCGAAACATCAGCGATATCGTCCTCCCTAGCCGAGCCCCGCTCGAAAAATATACGTACAAAGATCCATATGCCGCCTACTCCACAGGCAAGTGTGGGAAATAAGCTTTCTTTGGCGCTGCAGCCAAATGATAGGAAAGAAACCACCTGTGGTTCAAAACCTAAACTGCATGAGGTAAGGCTTCGGAAATATCCTACTGGTCCTTACTAATGACCTATCACAGAAGAGGCTCACGCAGGAGAATTCCCGCCAGTGCTGGAGTTGCAATACGACAAAAACACCGAAATGGCGGACAGGGCCTTTCGGACCTGGCTCGTTTTGTAATTTTTGCGGTTTGGTATATGCTAAAAAGAGGGCTAAGCTCAACTCAACACACAAGAGTGGATAATCATGCTCGCACGAGCTGGAACACATGGACAATTGTCTCTTTTGTTTTCTCTATTCCATTTAAGGTCTGGCTATGGAGTAAGGCGGCGGCATGAACGAAAAGGCACACCAGAGAAACAAGTAATGAAATAATGGGTTTTAGCGACATAACGCTGTTTTTAGGCGTAATTCAACACTCCACACTGACATCCATCTTCGAAAAATTGGCTAGAAGGCATATTCTATATCTCAATTATAGCATTAGTACATATCTTTCTCAACGCGGCTGCCACGTTCTAGTCTTCTCATGAATCTACAGAAGTTAAGATGCCCTCCCCTCTAAGTATCTCCCCTAACACTTGAAGTTTTACTGGCTTCAGAAGAAAGAGGTTGATGCCGCTCCTATAGGCCTCCTTCTGCGCTTCTTCCGTTGCAAGGCCGGATATTGTAAATACCCGGACACCGCTCTTAATTCCCTCCCGACTCTCGAATGCCCTGATTTGTCATGCAGCTTCAAAGTCATTCATAACCGTCATTGAGATGTCGAGCAAAATGCAGATAAAGGCTTTCGGTAACTGCGTATACATTTCTACTGCTTCCTTTCCACTGACAGCTGTGTCGTATTCCAAGTTTAGCTTCTTCATGTAGGCAGCAAGTATCTTCAGATTGATGTGGTTGTCTTCAACAAGGAGTACTTTGCGAGCCTCGCTGCCTGTATCACTCAAGTTCTGTGTAGCTATTGTAGGCACTGGCGATTCTCCTGCTCTACTACCTTCGACAGATGCCGATGCTGACACTGGTTTTGTTATGTAATAGCTCGTATTGTTATATTTCGTATGCGAAAGAATCGAAGACGTCGAATGTCGACCAAAGACCGGAGGTCGAGGTATGATCGTTGGATGACTGGAAGGAGGAGACAGAGGGACATAGTCATCTACGCAACGACTGTAGGCGAGAGAGAGAGTCTTTGCTAGTTTTCTTGGACCAATCCTGCGTGGAATACTCATTAGCTGGGGGCAACATGCCGTGTCAGCAATTGAAAAACTTCCGGTTGTGACATAAACTCGAAAATACCTCTCCATCCGACCTCGTTGCACTCCCTTCCTCCGTCATAGGTATCCAGCACATTCAGGCAGATGACAACATTTGGGATGAGGGCCAGCGACGTGGTGAACTCAGGCGTGGGAGGCAATGCGTCCTGCGCCCAAAGCATGAGGTCTGGCTTCTTGGACTCGTCATGGGCCAACGGCCCTAGTTTAAGCCATTCTTTGCAAATATGTTCCAAGTTTTTGCGATGATCTGTTGAGACAGGCGTATCAGTTGAGCCGAGTATAAGCCGAACACGAAGGCCAGCCAGATCCTGGACTTGGTCGCTAAAATCGGCCTGAGCACTCGAGAAAACGCCATCTTCAGGCAATTTAGGCTTCTCAAGTGAGAGCAAAACAGTGACGGTTGTGCAGACTCCGACTTGGCTCTCAATCGAGATTTAGCCTCTAAATGCGATACAATTTGCTTGACGAGACTATTATAATTATAAGCGGCATATATTAACTACATTACTAGTACTACTTGCTTCCGGTTAATGTCCTAGACTATTACTCCACAAACTTTCTGAAGATATAGAGCAGCTGGCTGTTTACTCTAATAGCCATGCAATGCAAAGCACAATCTCGATGAACCTAAACCCATATTTAGATCAGTCTTATGGTTAAATGTTGGTCAAAAGTATATCTAACTCACGCCGATACACAACTAAGACCTAGAGCAACTTTAAGCAATATCTCCGCAGCCAACGGTCCGAGGTTGCTTCCTAAAGCAGCATCTTCCAGGCTCCACCAAGGTTGATATACTCCAAGCCATATAATAGAAACCAACGATCCGAGGGCGATAATGCAGTCGAGAACGAAGCCGAACGATGGGCGGATAGTCGGGAGTTGTCGGACCACGGAGCAGTGAAACTCTATAAGTGACCAGGAGAGTGTCGTTACAAACTGGCTTGTTAGCCAAAATTGAGTAATAGTATATGGTATGACTTACTACTGGTCCTAGAATGCCAATGGCGATAGGACTCCTCTGGGCGGCGATAGCTGCGACCACAATACCAGCGATTGTAACTGCTAGAGCAAACACTCGTAGACCTATAACGAGCTTTCTGAATCGCCGGGGGTATTTTGTCTCCGAAATGCTAGAGTTGGAGTCTCCTTTAGGATCCATATTGAGTAAAACGAATATCATAAAAAGTCGCAATCACATGTCATGCAAAAACTTTTACAGCGCATCTTCACGATGACTTCCCATGCTCTTTAAGTGTTCCATGGAGACTAGGCTGACGAATAACGTGTAATCGTCACACGAGCGGAACATACGATAAAAAAATTCCGTCGGGTTTTCGCAATCGATTCTCAACATTTTTTGATACGGTGACTGACCGCGGACCCCGATGACGCAGATGTCACTGACACATGTCAATCAGAATATGGAAAAGTCCATCTGTTAAAAGACTGAAATTCTGCAGCAAAATCTGTTTTTTTGAGCCGCCTTTAAGAATTGGGTTTAGCTTGCGAGACGTCTGATGATGGTTTTATGGGACCGGGCGCCGGGTTGCACCGGGTCCGCTCGAATTGACTTCCTTTTATGGAAATATCTTCTATAATGATAGGCCCTTTCCGATCGGAGAAATAGCTTAAACGATAAGATGAGGGCCAATCTAAGGTCCGGTCCAGCTACCGAGTGTCAATACCGAGTGTGAAGAGTTGACATATGCCGGTAGACTGTTGGGGTAAACCCACGTGGGATGGGCTGAGCTGCGAGCTGAGAGTAGATGCGTGTGTTAAAGGAAGCCTGAGGATGTGGACAGTTCTGCAGCTAGATTTATAATCCTATGACATCTCGGCGAGATGAGTCTAGGTCACAAGGCTGTAAAGACGAACCCTAGTATACAATCTGACGTTGTCGCAAGACCTCAATGTATTAGCTTGCAAACGCGAATAATCAGTGGCTTCCTATTGTAGATAGGGCTAAGAAAAAGAACTGAAGTTGTTTAAACAGCGAAAGTGGCTGGTTGCTCCTATCTATCATGGGGAAGAACAATTGAGGCTTGGACGGGCTTGTGGGGCTTTCTTCCATGAGAGGTCATTAGGTAAAGGTGATATTTCTGTTGAGACAATACTCAAGCTAGCAGAGAGTAGCTATGTTAGGCAGAGAAGCTGGCATGTGAACGCCTTAGGTCTGACGTATTTACTACATCCTACGTCATGCGCATGGACATGTTGGGTTATCGGTCTTCAAGAAGAAGTCTGCAACGGACATTTAACTGTGGTAGAGATTATGCCGAATTAGGACGAATAATCAAGGCTAGCACGTAGGAACTCTTCTAGAAGGTTAGTCTGTTATCAGACTAATAAACGGTTCTCTATGCAGAGATCTTGAGATCAGTACTGAAGGGTATATGACTAGAATAATAAGGCTGGGGTAGGTTTATTATCCGGTCGAGCAGCCAATCTTAGACTGCTACTATCAGACCGAGATATGCATTTAGTATTGGCTTTTGGGAGTATGGCCTGGCTTCGAAACTCTGAGTTGTGTTGAAAGTAGTGGCCTGAGCCCTTAGGCATGTACAGAGTTTGTCTCGCTACCAATATATCAATAATTTCCAATACACAATAAAGGTAGTGAGTGATCTGGAAGTCGTGCAAGGATTGGTTCGTGTTAAGCAGGGATATTCTCAAGTCGTTAATCCCAGGGCCTGGAACAGCCACAATCTGCATGTGTCTACTTTAGCCTCTTCTAGGCTTCACTAGCTCAATTGGAAAATTGGCTCTGCACAATGCTTCCTCAGGCGCGTAATCAGATGCTCTCATTGGCAGTGATTCTCAGATTATTGATGCGACAGCTGTAGCTACAGGTCCAGACTCTTCCTTGCATGTTTCACTTCGCTATGGCGCTCAACTCTAGTATTTAATAGCTACTTATTATCTCCCGTATCATCTTTTTACTTTTGTTTCCCCTGTAGTTCGTTATTTTCCTTCCCTTTTGTTATTTTATATTTAAAACCCTTTCTATTTACAATTACTTTCAAGTGGCATCCTAATATCAATAAGGAAACAGTGAGTACTCGTGGAATATAGAGTGGTCAAATGTTTGCTTGCGACGACAAAACTGACAATGCTAGGGTGAGGTCGAGGTTGATTCTCTTGGCTCATGGAACCCAACCGACACTATTAAAAGCACCTTGAATTCGACAATGAAACTACTCAAGGAACCCGACCTCATGTCTCCTCAAAACTCCGAGGCACTGAAAATGTTCGAGGAAGACCGCCCTAGGTTTGACCAAAAGGCTCGGGAATGGGCTGTTAAGTTCGCAGGTGCCTCTATTATTGAGAATGACTATGGAGGGTACAGCCGTGATCTGGTCCAACGATTTGTTGATATGGGATTCAGGATAGTGGCTGTAGTAGAGGCATTTAAATACGTGGGTATAGATCGAAACAATGGTCTCGATTATACTCTCGAGGAAGCCTACGAAGGCGACATTTTGGCAAAGCTGTACGATGCCTAGAAATTATCTTATGGATAAAGAACAGGTGGCAAGAATATTGACTCTTATAGCGTGGTTAATTACAGAAGTATCTACGATCGGACATTTTTAGCTAGGATCTGAAGGGGAAAGTATCCAGGCAGATGGAAAACGCGATGCGAGGTATCCCTGTGGATCAGATATGGTTTCGCAAAGAGCAGAGTAAAAGACCAACATGGAAGTCATAATTACAAAGAGCTGTACTTATCTCCCAGCTATTTTCCATGGTCAATCCGAACAGAGTCAATCTACAAAACTTATCATGTCTTTATAAAAGCACCCGGATCTCGCAGTATGAGGAACGTTTTTTTTTTTTTTTGAGGATTTCGGCTTTGAGCCTGCTGGCAAGTCTGCGAATCAGATTACCCTGCACCAGGAGGTAATGGAAAGCTCCAATCGTTTACCATGACCATACGCTGCAGCAAATGACAGGAGGTTATTTTTATACTTGACAAACAACTTATCTTATACCAATTGAACTAATAGAAGCATGCAGGTGTCTGTCAACCATGCTTCCTTCTTCAGGTTGTTTCCTGGCCGATGCGTCCTTTCACACCTTTCCAAGAGGTCGCTTTCTACTCACCAGCTCCAGAGCTGAAGTCATCCTCTATCTTGCCGGATTCTAAAAATTCTTCTAGATCATTGGCCACACTTGATGCGGCGGAAGTAGATTTTGTTCTGACTTTGCTCACTGTGAAGAATCTCGCCAAAAACGGCAAATAGCATGCAGTAAAATTGTTCAATTTCGAGATTAAGAATCTTGAGGGAATACTACCATATACGTCTCAGGACGATTTGCCTATCTCGTGTGCCCAAACTGAAGCGCATCCATGGTGCCCAAACACTTATTTCATGAGTTCATGAAGGCGCAAGGTATCCTGGCCACGATCTTCAGACCCTCGGCGCCGAAGCCATATCGTACGGATGAACCCGAGCGACATTTCAAATCTCGTGGCGTTCTTCTTTTAGATAAGCCTGACGTGAAGGAGATCGTCCGCCGAAATGGGTTGGGCCCTGGGCATGTTCTACAAAACTGGGCAATACAGCGTGGAACAATTCCTCTGGCCAAAAGCCAAACACCATCAAGGATTAAGTGGAATCTGGCTGTTTAAGAATTATATGAGGAGGCTTTGCGACTTATTGAAGATCTCTTTCGTTCTGGCACAGCGGGAAATGTGTAAACAACAATGTCTTCTTCCCGGGTGTAAAAGTAATTAGTTGACAAAGGTTTCATAGGCCATAACACCAATTTCTGCAACAAACCTTTCGGATTCCGATATGATTCCACGATGGTTCCCAAGATCAATTAGGTGCCTTTTCCTTGTTGAAGCTTTTTTTTCTTTCATGTGTAGATCAGTATCACGCCAACTCGCGGGAATAAGTTGATGTGATTTTGGGCGATATGTCGTCATCCCACCAATACTACAAAAATACCTGCTGCCCGTCTATTGCCAAAATAATTTCCCGGACATTTAATGCCAAACCTATTTGTCTCAATAAGTTCATATCGGAGCCATGTTTCTTACCAACCTCACGAGGACTGTTCCTCGCAGCTCACCATACCTCCGCGCTGGCCTTCATTTCTCCAGTATCCGTTCCATTTCCCGTCTTCAAGCTCCAGACATAACCAGTCTACCGAAGGAAACTCAACAAAATTATCAAAGCTCACCACAATGATAACTGGACTAGAGCCTTAGCACTTAATCCCGACACCCTTCGCCGTTTCGTCACCCACTATGAGGATCTATTTTCGGAAAACACGACCAAGCTGGACGACGTTGACCGTGAGATCATTGCAGTCGTAGTCAGCCATGCCAACGGGTGCGGCTTTTGTCAAACACATCACACGCATGGTCTCTCGGCTGCGCTAGGCAAGGATACCGCGGCAAAGGTGAGAGCCAAGAAGATTGCACTGGATTGGCACCTCGTGGGAGACTTGAGCGATAAGCACAAGACTTTGGCGGCATTTTCGGAACTTCTGGCTTCCAAGCCGAGGGAAGTGGGAAGGCAGCAGTTGAATGAATTAAAGGATGTCGGATACGAGGAGGAACAGATTGTGGAGATTATAGAGGTAGCTGGGTGGTTTGCACATTCGAATAGGCTCATGATTGCGTTAGGTGTTGAGATAGATGATAAGAATCTCGAATAAGAGAGTGTCAGTCGTGCCATCCTGTACCTCGCTTCCAGTGTTTTAAGAAGACGTAAAACCTTATAGCGCAATAATGTGATTTTAAATGCTAATGTAAAATAATTATAGAGCTAATTAACTATCATATATGAAAGTATATATATTAAGTCTAAGAGGGATAGAGAGAATACCTATGATGATAAAAATAGAAATTTGATATTATGAGAGTATTAAAATTATTCCTTAGTTTAAAATATAGTTTAAAATTTTAATATCTTAGTATAAGTTTAATAATAGAATTTTGAGATAATTGTTATAGCCTGAGACTAAAGTAGCCTACCTTATACCCCAGAGGAGAAAGGCAAATTATATAGTAATATATTATCTATAGAAAAATGATTATTAACTAAATAGATCTTAAATAAAGCTCCTTGAGCTATATCTTATTAAAAGAGCCTGATCTGCCTGCAGTGCCTATCCGTAGTAATAGACCCGATTCCGCCTAAAGCATTCCCCGTTCACCTGTATACCGAGCCAGACCCGTGACACCTTCACGGCTATTCTTATTCTGTGCTAATAGGATCATCACTTATTTCCGGTTTTTATTCCAGTTAACGCCTGTTGCAAGCACGACCAGGAGTAATATTGCAGCATACGAAACCGCATATACGTCTTCATATAAATCTAGTAATAAATAACTTTACTATTAAGATTCCAATTACTTATTGATATCACTTGAGCTGCCACAGGAAGGATATATCTCTCCTACGTCCCACTAAAGACATTAGTAATTAATTTGTAAAATATAGACAGCTAAAGTTCACTTACGTGTTCAACTATGCAGCCACCCTCCCATCTGAATCGATCAACTACCGCACCGATACCGGAAGCATTATAATTCAACCAGCCCATGTTATCCTGGAACCGAGTTCGAAAGGGCAGAATAGTGGTGTTCTCCCAGACCGGGCCAAGTATATCCAACGCGGCAGCAGATCCATTTTTGGCGAAAGGATTATGATTCTATGAGAATATTGAGTTTATATGGCAAAGATAGAGAAGAAGGACGCCTTACAATATAGTCAAAAGCAATGTACTCAAACGATTTGGTTAAGTTCTTCTCGTAGATAAAGGCATAAGCGAATCTGTTGAACATCTCCTGGGTTTCTAGGTCGCATGGCTCAGGTGTTACGCGTTTGCAGGGTAGAGGTGTGACGACTGCTTGCAAAGAGGTCGTTGTCGAAACCGAGGCAGACTTGAAGACATGAACGGCATCACAGAATGTAATAGCCATCATGGCGATGAAAAATGATAACTGCATTTTAAAACAGATAAGGTTACGGGGCGGGGAGATAAACAGTTGATACAATACCAATAGACCAACTATCGAATTGATCTGGAAATACTAGTGTATTTAAATGTTTCGACCTTGAACATATACCGGTTATCATTCGTCTAACCGTGGTCCATTTGGTTGTTAAATAAAGTTTATATGACGGCGAACCAAGCTCTATTCCCTGACAAGCATCCCACCAGGCCCGCTAGATCCGTATATCCAAAGATCCCACTCGGTTAATTTACGTAAGACGTCGTATTTGTCAGTTTCTGATTGTTACACACAGATAGCCGATCAGTTCCTGAGTCTCCACCCGTTTAGAAATTAAAGTTTCTCAAACTAGTTGCATGCTCAATGAGCGGCTATGAACCTCGGCAGATCTTTTGCTTCTCACGAAAAGTTTCTAAACTACAAACGGCTATCCCATAAATCCTTGGCATTGAACTGAACTTGATTTGGGTGTTCCTTAAAGTCTAGTAGCTTGTATGACGCAGCCTCGTCACGAAAGATAGGGCTCTTAGTAACCTTATTTTCACACAATACAAGAACACTGTGAGACGTGGTTGAACTGAAAAAAGTCAAGTCAATTGAACGATGAAATGTAAGTCAAAATACAAAACTCTTCTGTATAACTTGATCTGGAAAAAGCAGAAGAAGCCAGTGATCCTGGTGTAATAGGGCTATGAATGATAAAATGACGGCTGGATAGACAGACCTATCCGGCGGTCGTTTATGATGGATCAGCAGGGGTAGACAAACTCCGGACGCGACGCCAACTTTATTCCTGAGCTCGTTTGATGTCTTACAAAGCATCCCATGACGAACCTAAGAGTAGTGTTAGGAGAAGCGAGCTAACGAATCCCCCCCCCTTTGTGGAAAATTGGCAGAAACCGTGGCTCAATCTGCAATCATCCTTCGCCATATGGAGGCAAAGGTATCTACAAACCAGAATACGTAGCAGTTCCCAGGACGAAATAGCACGAGATGCTACTCTGCAAAGCGTAGATTGTCGTAAATGTTATGATACGAACGAAGTGACTACTCGGTAAGAACTGCCGGTAAAAGTGCAATAGCATTTGATGAGCCCGGGTGCCAGTGATGAACTTCTAGGACGCCTCGCCCATCTGTAATAGTCCTTCATTTTTGCAAATAGCAAGAATAGTTAACTGCTCTTAACTAAATATATCATCAGCTGCTAAGACAGTAGCATGTATAAATCTTGCTCCTCCGAGATTTGCATCATGTCCAGTATCGTTGCATCATTTCATTGTCGCTTAATTGAGAGCGATCTAGTTTTTCCAATACTTCTTGCATGCACTTCTTCGCTGTAAGAAGTCTTGTGAACCCTGTACGAGCGAAAGCTCGGTCGAACCAATTCTCGAAGTAAATTCGGCATTTCTTCGTCATTGTTTCAAAACAAGCCATAACAGCGGACCATGGAGATCCTGGCCCGCCTTGCCCTTCTTTCTTACAACATGATTCGAACTACTAGAGACCTTGTGCAATGACGTTAAAATGTTGCTGAAAAATATACGGATGGACGTTGTAGATACGACGGTAGAAGAAAATGATACGAGCGCGATTCAGCGCTAGAACCAGGTGAAATCACGCGGTAGGCTGACCCTCTTGCGAAATGTCAACAAGATGGTTACAGTCGATAGAAGTACTGGTAGTAGCTCTATTCATAGCAAAAGAGCAGATCATATGCCTCAGTAACCCTTTATGCCTCTCAATATGTTCATACACCCAGGACTTGTCCTCTTTGCTGTCATGTTTCGCCGCTTGCATCAGGTTAGCAAGTCAAGTAGTCTGAGACACGAGGCTCAACCAGGTTTCAGATACTCCATATAACATTATAAATGTCGAGTCGGATATACCTTGGTCCTGTTTGAGATGAACATCATGGAGAATTTCCCTCACAGTTTCTCTCGACAAGCTGTTTGTCTCCTGCTGATGGGGCTCAAAGTGGAGGAAGTCATCCAAGTTGACATTTGGTATAAGCAGATATATAAGTTATAATTAATAAGTATAGTATTGATTTCTTTGGCTATAATGCCTCAGGCATCACAATTCGCTTCTATTAACTAATTTAGCCTGCAGACAAAAGTGGATCAAACTCAGTCCTTCGATACCACCATCAATCTAACAATTTCAGCTTACCATTCTATCTTTTTCTTCATCAGCATGCGTCAATCTCTGAGACGGAAATCATGCAGCGCTTGTGTCCGCACCAAACGTCGTTGTAATCTCAGTCTCCCTCGGTGCAGTCGGTGCATGGCCAAAGATACAGAATGCACCTATCCCACTTTCACAGCCGTCTCGACACCCAATCCCATTTCAAGTCCCTCGTTGGATCTGGCATTATTTGTCCCCCCAATTAACGAAGACATGATATCATTTACCACGACGGTGCCCACTCAGTCTTGTGGGCTGCTTCTATCACAAGCATCCGAGACACAGCAAGACTTTATAGCCCGTGCAGAATTCTGCGCCAACCTGTTATCTTTGCAAGCGAAATCGTTTGCAGAGGTTGGCACCAATGTTTTTATTCATCCCTCGCAAACCCTTGCATCCAATGTCTTGAGAGATGCTTTTGCAATGAGTGCCTTACATGCCGTGCGCAATCACTCCAACGTACGATTTGTAAACGCAGAGATAGCACATCGCGCCTCGCAATTGATTCAAACCATGCAATCGGGATCATTGAGCAGCGGTTCGGTTGAGATGGATATATTAGCTCCCTTACAAGCACTTCTTGTTTACCAGTGCATAGGGCTGTTCACTCAGGGTAGCATAAGTCAACAGACACAGGCCGAACGCGACAACATCGTGCTTCAGTCGTGGGCACTACGGCTACAGATATCACAGCCACCTCATAACAATCATGCCGCTGGAAATACGACTTGGGAATTGTGGGTGAAACAAGAGTCCATTCGTCGTACACTTATATGTGTAGAGCTCGTCACCGGTACATACACCTACCTTCGGGGACTTTGGCCCGCAGGTATCCGATGTCATCATGACCTATGGTTCACTGCCCAAAGACGCCTCTGGGAGGCTCAGTCAGATGTAGAGTGGCGGATAGTGCGTGATAACACTAGCGTTTTCTCACTGCCTGCCAACATATTGAGATTAGATAAAGACCTGGAAAATGCTTCTCCCAGCGACTTGGACGATATAGGTATTCTGCTGCATGTAGCAGGAAAAGGACTTAAGAATTTAAATGAGTGGCTTGGTCAAGATAGACAAAGGCTGAGAAGATGGGGCAATATGCATCTGTGATAGACAATACCTAAAAGAAATGGCCTAGTGTATACACGTGGTTAACTATAACCCATGGACGCCGATGCGGAGGAAGTTACTATCTTTCTCAAGTTTATCCTTAATTGCTCCGTTACTTAGTTCATCGACATCCCATGCTCCCCATACAAACCGTCCGTGCAAGAAAGAAGCTTTAGGAGAAGCACACCAAACCGCAAACGCGCCGGGGAGGCTGACTGATTACTGTCAGTTCGGTTTATAACATTTGTCTTCGTCCGTCATAGCTTACCATTGTCCCAGTTCATCATATTTTCCGTCATGCCCTTGTCTCTAGCCTGGGCTGTCAGGACCGCACCTGGGTGGAAGCTGATAATCTGAGTTCTCGACGGGTTTGTCTCATCTGCAAGTTTCTGCATCAACATTGTTCCCGCGGCCTTGGTCAAGGAGTAAGAAGACAAGTCTCTTGGACTGCCAAAGTCATGGATCGCACCCGTTGACACATTGATGATGCAGTACTGGATTCACAAAAATAGTTAACAAAACTCTCTGTCCTAATACGATAATGAACCGACCTTCTTTTCTTCTTGGGTACTTTGCTGAAGGACACGATCGTAGAGCTGGTGCGACGCACGAGTATTGACTATGAACTGCTCCCACGTCTTCTCGTAGCCTTGATCCGATAGTGTACCAGCAACATTGAAGGCGGCATTGAGTACCAGAATATCCACGTGAACGCCTTCAACAGACAAAACGTCAAAAAGACTATTGATGCTGTCGGAGTCAGACAGTAGACACACTCGCCCTTCGAACTTGGTTGTGATGCAATAGCCTGGACTTTCCATATTCTCCTGCACAAGCTTTTCTACCGCAGTATCAAGTTTCTCGCGTGTTCTTCCGGTGATGATTACTTTATCTGCCTTTGCCAGACCAAAATATTTGGCGATGGAGAGGCCTATACCATCTGAACCTCCAGTAACAAGTACCGTCTTGCCAGCTTGGGATAGCGAAGGATTAGAGGGATGAATGGAGTCATACACCTGCGTATGAAGTCGCTTTGTTAGTGGGACAGGCCTGTATGTGAATGTAGGCATGTCAAAGCCGCCATGTGTGCCTGTGAAGAGTGGAATATCAGGTTCAGTTAAATACAACAATAGGCCATGACTAGAAGTAATTCTAACATCTTCAATGCGATGTTTTGTTCTTATATACTTTCCACTTCTACTGTTTATTAGTTCACATTAGTTTGTTTCATTGCGGGCTATTGGGGACCATCGCTTGCGGAACTCCACCACAAGCGGCGGCCAATCATGGACTAAGATCCACAAATGCCCGCAAGTTACCAATTGGTTGGTACAGCAGTTACCATGTCCATGTAGAGATCATGTGGATTTTATGGTGTATAATGGCATGCTCCTACCATAGCGGCGTTTTATAGAGGCGCATACATACATTGGTACTAGGATACACCGACATTCCTACTAACGAAAAGGTCAATAAGCTAGCCAATACAGCAGCATCACTATTTGAGTCTTGACGACTTAGCCAGCGATGGTAAAGGATGGATACGCAGAAACAAAAAGAAAGCAGGATTTAGCAGACCACTCTGGGTTCTGTAACTCAGTCCCATCATAGTCTCGACTAGAAGCCTCTTTAGCTGTTGATAGGGGGAATATAGTATGACAATCGGAAAGGTCATATTAAAATCGTAACGAATTTAACTTATATTACAAATAGAATTCCAACCTTCCCTCTATTGTTACCCCTACTCAAGCTCGGGAGGCTACTGTAGCAACATCGAATCGGTTATCTGGTCCGTAGGCCGTTACACCTGTTGTTAGACTACATAATAGGGATGCCCGACGCCAAACAATACCATTACAAGCGCTGTTCAGTGCGCAACGGCTTAAGCACTCGCCAAAACTTGCAGTACTAAAAGTTTCCAGACCAAAGTAGCTATAGTTACTTTCGCATTGCAGGTTAAAGGTGACACTATTATACGTGTATGTGGTGGTATATCCGGGATCGCCGCAGGCAAATTGGGGTGCAGGCTCAGGGGCGGCTTCGGTGGTTGTTGTTAGCTCAGCCGTGGTGGTAATCTCTGGCGTTGTCGTTTCAGCTTCAGTGGTAGTGAGGTCCTCAGGCTCTGTAGCAGTCTCGGTGGTTGTCGTTGGTTTAACTGAAGTAGTGGTCTCTGCCGCTGTCGTTTCAGCTTCCATGGTGGTGGAGTCCTCAAGATCAGTGATGACATCGGCATTAGTCGTGGTAGTATCTGTGGTGTCTGTGGCAGCTGTGGTGTCGACGTCACTGACAACCTCTGTACTGGATGTGTCACCCTCAGTAGGCGTAGCTTCTGTTGTTTCAAGAATGATGGTTGTCTCTGAAACAGAAGTCTTGATAGTAGTCTCTATATGAGACGTCTCGATCCCTGTTGTAGTTTGAGATTCCACTCCGGACGTCGTTGAGAGTTCTGTTCCATCACTGGAGGTTGTTGTGGAGTCCAACAGATCAGATGTCTCTGATGAAAGGTGTGGCGTCGAAGCAGATGTAGGCTCAGAGGCTGAATCGCCAGACGTGGTCAATACACTTGAAAGCGTTTCGAGATCTTCTCTAACAGTGAGGGCAGATGTCTCTTGACTACTTGCGCCCCCTAACTCCTGGGTGGATGACTCAGTGACATGGGATAAACTTGTAGCAGATGCCTCAAATTCAGATGTCTGTGAAGATGGAATAATTGACTGAGATTGAATGAGGTCGGTAGACTCCGGGAGCTCCCCGAAAGTTGATGGAGCGGAAAAACTTTGATCTGCCGTCGTAATGGCAGTTCCAGACACACTTGAAGTCAACTCATCGAGACCAATCAGTCTACCGTCCTGGCATTGCTCAACTGCAGAGATAATTAGTACCCGTCTTTAACATAAATCAGAAAGCCACTATGCATACCATTATAAGCCGCTAAGTTGACAGGCACGCACCCCGATGGTCCAGTGGTAAAAGTGATATAGACCTGGCCGTCCGCATCTTGACAGAAGCCTGCCTCACCGTTTGGTAGATCCGAGTTCCTGAATGTAAGTGTACCACCAGAGTCTGCGAATCCCGACGTAATACTGCCACTGGGAGGACGGCCTTGCGCGGATAGCTCCTTATAGTCCTCGCCAGAGTAATAGATAGGCACGCCGTCAGCAAATAGCTGACCTTCGGCGAGATTGAAAGTAGCTGCGAATGTGCATACACTAGGATTATTTAATCCAATAAACCCGCTGATTACTCTTCTATAGATAGCTCGTTTTTCGTTATCGGTGGTTTGAATAAGGAAGATGACGATCCGTCCAGCAGGTTCGATGATATCAGTGGACGTCGAAGTAGCTTCTGCGTCAACTGTAGATGCCGCCATCGTAGAGAGACCATCGGTGATTGTTGAAACTCCATAACTTGACTGTGCGGCGGTTGGGTCGACGTCCAAATCGGAGGACTCAGAGTTAACGGGAGACGTATCAACAGTATTGATCACTACTGAAGTAGAAAGCGAGCTTTCCGGACCCAGCGTATCTCGAACGTCCGTACCTGTTACAAAGTGAGTACTATTCAACGCGCGATTCAAGGATTCCATACTCATAGCGGATCTTGTGACGGATATCGAAGTGTTTCGTCTAAAAGTAGGGTGAAGAGATGGCGCAAAGGGGAGCCGACCAGAATTCTGTGCATCTGGTCCATCATTGCCTGATGCATCCGACGGCAAAATATCACCTGGGTTTGTGACCGTAGCAAGGTAGGTAGACAGGTATGTGATACACCATGTGTCTGCCGGTGCCTCTACCGCGACTAGGTCCTTCGCCAACACAGCTTCCGCTGCTGTCAAGAGAGCGGCGATGAAAATGAAAGCCTTCATGCTTCTTCAAGAATTGGTTCAAAGGTGAGATACTGGGAGCGGGCGTGTTGCTAAAGCCGAAGAAATTGTCCATGGCGACCGTCGACTTTTTAAGCGTAAAAGGGGACGACCATCTCGTATCCCTAGTGATTAAAAACAGGCTGTTTTAATTTCATTCTTGCAATATTTCTTTGTTGGTGGCGTCTGCTTTGTTGGTTCTCTGCAAGGAGAGAGATGTATTCCAGCACTCCACTCTTGGTGGATAGTGGTGGTTTTGTTTCTTTTATCTTGTCTTTCTGCAATGTCTCTTGTTGGTGGCGTCTGGTCTGCGGGTCCTCTGCAGGGAGAGAGAGGTATTTCAGCTCGCCACATCTGAGCGCCAGAGACAAAGCGGAGTATTCAGTCCTGTCCTTCAGTACCCGGTGCATTTCATTCGGGACAAACCACAACCGGTTGCAAAGCAAAAAGTGACCTTACGAAAGTATTAGGTATTACTACAACTGTAAGTGCAACGAAATAGTTGTTGTTTTTTACTACTGCTCTCGCTTAGGATGATCCATAAGGTAGTGAGACAATCCGCACAGATGGGCTGCAATATCAATTACATGGTCGAGACCTTAAAAAAGGTACGTTGTCAAAAGCTACAGCCATACACTTGCCGTCTTTACAGTCAGCAACAGCTGCCACAACCCAAGCTGGCAGAAGAAGATTAACATCTCTCTGAGGCCTTCCCCGAAATTCGTTTGAGAGCAACTGTCTGAGATCGTCATTTCTGGTGCGGGAATGAACCGGCTTGTTATACATGGTTTTCAGGTTGTAATTCCACTTCTGCGCGTGTAAATGTGTCCCTTTTTGTGGCAAGTCTCTTCATTCCAAGACTTAGTAGGGTAGACACAGGCAGGCTGTCACTTTGGGCCGGTTAAACTTCGGCCCGAGAATTGAACCATAACTATGACCACGGACGATTACCTCCGCAGCTCTAGTGAGGATTTCTTTTGTAGTTTTATTCTATAGATATCTCCTATAAGCGATTGGTGTACAGGTCATGTTCTTGACGACCAATCACAGTTAAGCAAATTCGTGATGTAAGGGACGTGGGCACGCGGGGCGCATCCGAGGAAAGGACTCTTCCATACACGCTCAGAATCCTGACAGGAACACTAATGCAACACCTTTTGAACCTTTGCACGACGCGGATCGCTTCATCTCGAAACGGTCAAAGGCAGGAATTACTTGCCGGTTATGCCGGTATATCTCATGTGCAGATACTAAAGGATGTGATTTAACCATGTTACACCGACAACGAATGCAGCGTACCTCCGCCACCTGGAAGTTTTGCAATTTCTATTGTCGAAGTAGCCCAATCTGTCCTGCGTGACTGAATTCGGTGTCGGTATTCTACACTGTATCGCTTGGCTTTTGGACGACGTAGCGGCGAGTTTGGTTCCAGGCCTCGTTGCTCATGGAGCCTTACTTGATACAAATGCCAAATCCCAACACAATACGCTTTCGAGACCTAGGATGCCTAAAGGAACTCCTCTTTGCTGGGCTGCCAGATTGGGCAAAAGGTGCCTAGGACAAGCGCTAGTGACTTGTCAACGAGAGAAGGGCGTAGACATGAAGGATGTCGACTCGGCCACCAAGAGGGCGGCAAGGCACTTGGACGTTGACAGTTGCGCTTTGCTTCTAGACAACTACGAGACTCTGCAGCCTAGCAATACTCAGCCTTTAACTCAGCTTCTTGATAATTTGCTTCTGTGCTCTGTCTCGCTGAATCCCATTGAGTATAAATCTCTGGTCAAACATGGTCTGTCAGGGTCAAGGCTTCAATCTCAGATGGTGAAATTCCTACTAGGCCGTGGTGCACGCCTTGCTCGAGAACCAGGAATCCAAAATCTCGATTCTTCCCTCAACAAACGACCGGATTGAGGTCTTATTCGGGCTATTAACAACGTGTGCAATGTAGCCTTTCAGATTTTGATTGAAGATTTACGATCTGAGGGCCACGACATTGGCGACAACCTTCAAACTGAAGCATCCTTCTCCGAGCAATCGCGTTTTCCATCATGTACAACCAGCAATTCATATTTGACTATTTGATGACACTTGTGGACAGCAGACGCTTGGACATTAACAAGCCTTATGCTGTGGGTCGAACATTACTGCATGCTGCGGCATCGCAAACCAACAATACCCATTACATACGTGTTTTAATGCAGTATGGGCTTGAACCCGACGCATTGGACGACGGCTTCCAGACACTGTTAGGACGGGCTGTCATACTACGGCATTTCGAGGGAGCTGAAATAATGCTCAGTGACCCGCGATACGACAAGGCCAAGGTCTTTGAGACTCCTCATCGCATCGGCTACTTTCTTTTCGAATATCATGTTTTTGGTAGCCTGAGAGCTGTATGGCCAGAGCTGGCGATTTCTCAAATTGAATTCTACGACAGTTTTGGGGCTACCAAAGCTGCTATGACGAGATCCCACATGCTACGGTGTCTGTTAGACGACTGGCCGTCCATCAGGGAAGACGTACGCGGTTTTAACAGCTGGGTTTTGGACTGGGCGCTTGAAAGAATGCAGGTAGGCCAAATCAATTACCAGGACGATGATGGAGGATATGCAGTCCTTCACTTGATGGGATATCACGCAAACTTCGACGGCGTCGCCGCTATGTTGCAATGCGACAAGGCTGATAGATATGTGCTGACTAGAAAGAACATGAGTGTGTTTGACTGCATATTTGTGGAGGACGGAACCCCTTTCCCTGATAAAGGGAGGTGTAAGGGAGTTGCAGGCCTTCCGGTCGCGCTTAAGTCGCCTTGCTGAGTTACTACTTACTACAGATATCCCGTTATGGTGCTCTGAAGGGTTATCACGGAGAGGTGAGGTTAACAAGCGGTTCGAAGCATTGGACCAGAAGATCGAAATAGCTTTATGAAACATGAGAAGGATAACTGAGGCTGATAGTAAGGATAACATATTTGAAACTGCTATTTGGCCACAGTCTATCCCTGCGCAGGATTGCAAAGGGGATACTAAATATAGATAAAGAGGATCTACTATTATTTAAGTACAATTGTAGAAAGCATAAGTCCTTAAGAGAAAATTATACTTATTCGAAATAAGAATCAACTTTACACCTTAAAGCCCTGCTTAACTATTACTTTAACTTTATATAGATAGAGGCGAGATAGTTAAAGAGAAAGAAATTAGTATTTTAATCTTTTAACTTTTTATTTTAGAGTTTTCTTCTTTATAGATTAATCAAGATAAAGTATTAACTTCTATCTACTATTAACCTACACTTTCTTATTAATGTGATAGTAAACTTGATCTCTTAGATAACAGCCTCTCGATACGGAAATCTACCTGTGGCGATTGTATCTATTCTGTAGTTAGCTGAAGAGTGCGCTAAACTTTGCTAATCTTGATAATTTTAGCGTAAGGAAACTGTTAGTAGCAGTCAATTTAGTGGAGATGAGCACTACCATAATAAGCTTAGTGGAATCAATATTATTGAGAGCCAAATCAATAGTGTCCCCCTATTTCCACTTGTCGCAAACTAACAAGTGACGGAACCATTTCTTTAAGAACCCGCACTGCTAATTTCCATTATGCTTTACTCTTTGCCAGTTTCAAATACCTAGTCTGTTATTCACTCTTCCATTTGCACAATGATTCCCAAGTCGTTTATAGCTGCCTTTATGGCTAGCTGCTTCATATCCAGCTCCACTGCCAGCCCTTGCAAAGCCAGCTCAGGGACTACCGAAATTTCTACTGAGACAGCAACCACCCAAATGCCCGCCTCAACGACGATTGCAAAAACTATCGAGACCACTCTTACCACATCTGAAGCTGAAAACGACACTGCGACTTCTACTGTCGTAGAGGACGCCACCCCGACCACGGTTACAACGACTGCTTCATCAACAACTCAAGCGCCTCCTCCTGTGGATATTCCTGAGGTTGATTGCTCAACAGACCAAGACTGTATCGCAGCGCTGGGAGCCGGTGCATTGGGAATATATGCTTGTATCGACCTCATTTGTCAACAGACTGCCACACCTGAACCTTAGTAAAGGTATGGCAGCTGTTGCGCATTTGTTCGAGCCTATGTCAAGCGAGTCATTGGACAGGTTGTCCTTTATGGCTTTTCCCTCATCGTGGGCGCCATTGCCAATTGTATATCGGCTATCACACGACCAAAGCATTGTGTATTCAGCTTGATGAGGTTCTTATGTCTTATAGTTCGATGTCAGGCGCGGAGATATAAGCGATTGGATTGATACTTCTTGTTTTTCTCCTTTACGCCAAAGCACTCGTCTAATATTTAAAAATAATATATATGGTGTGGCCCTGCAAGATGTGTTTTGTAATAGTCAGTAGTAAACGTGTTTATGTCATAGTTTCTTACTACCGGGCCTAACCCGGAGTTTTCATTACAACGACTTTGTCGTATCCTCAGTGGAGTCCCTTGGCCTAAACCAACTGAGACTAGGATATCACGACAACTATCCCCATCAAAACGCCATCTTAGTTACCCCGCATTAACGTCAACGGGCGATTTAAATCCAGAATAAGCGTAAAATTACTCTCTTCCAGACATTTAAATAGTCAGACAAAGACCGAATCAGAAACTGGTTTTCACCCCATCCAATTGTTGATCATTTGAAATGGATGCAACTGCCAGCAAGAATTCTGAAGTATCATCAAGTCATCCTTACCGCTCTCAGCAGCGAACAAGACCTCAACGTGCCAGTCGGGCATGCCTTAGCTGCCGCGTAAGAAAAGTCAAATGCGATGTGGTGATATCAAGTCCATGCAGTAATTGCCGCTGGGACGGTACATAATGCGTTGTACCACGAACCCGTCGAAGCAGGTACTTACACCAACAGCACTATAAAAGTGCGCCTCAATAAATACTGACCATCCTTATGAAGAAAAGTCTATCTTGGTTCCGACAATAACGCCAGTCAACAACAAGATGGTAGAGTCATATACTTCAATTATGACAAAGGCCACACATCTGAAAGACCCGACCGCATTGAAGAGCTGATCATAGACGAAGAGGTTGAAGAGCTTGTCAATAATACCGACCAACCTGGACCAGAAACGGATCAAGATTGCCATATTGATGTAGGCGACTTGGGCGATCTGCTGCAAGGACCGAGTATCATTACCTCTACACACAAGTCAGCAGCCGACAACCAGCAAGACGGGTTTGCTGGGCTTCCAGGTTTTATTAAAAAGCCGTCATTCGCTGACCCTGGTTACACGTCCTTTCTACAATCACGGGGTGTGTTTTCGTTACCACCGACCACTATACAATGCGAGCTTATCAAATCGTTCGTCGAGTACATTTATCCTCGTATGCCGTTGTTGGACCTGGAAGCCTTCTTGGCTTGCATCACTTGTCCCGGTGGTACTAAGGGCCAGCTCAGTCTTGTCCTCTATAGTGCCATTCTATTTTCTGGCTCAATCCACCTTGATCGGGAGGTTGTATGCCGATATGGATATTCCGACAAAAAGCTCCTGGGAAAGGAGCTTTATAAGCGGACCCAGGTATGTATACACCGGTGCCAAGATAGGGCTCGTATACTGGGTGTATGCTTATCTGTTACCTCTAGTTGCTATTCGATCTTGAAAAGAATCCGGATAAGCTAGCAGCTATCCAAACAGCGCTCTTGCTGACCTGTCGCGGGGTACCAAACGATGAAGTCAAAGGCTCGTGGTACTGGGTCAACACGGCAATATCAATGGGGTACTCTATCGGGCTGCATCGCACTTCTACAACTACAGATTTGCCTCCACGAAAGCGTAGACACTTAACTAGGCTGTGGTGGTGTTGCCACGTTCGAGATAGTGTTCTCTCATTGGGAATGGATAGACCAACTCGGATAAAGGAGCAGGACTTCAACGTCCCTATGCTGGAAGCTGCGGATCTAGAGTCTGATGTTCTTATAAAACGACACTCGCTACTCCAGCATGGCCATGTGGGTCCATTCGACAAGACGAAAGAATTGGAATCAGCCGAACTTTGCGTCCAAAGACCAGGTTAAGTGTTCTCATCAATCAGATCCTAGAGCTGCAAGCAGAAGCAAAGTCTCAACAGGATGAAGGTGAACCAGTGCCAGCCAATAACACCCACAATTTTAAAAGCCTACACGCAGTCGATGCTTCACTCAGATCGTGGAAGAGAGCGCTTCCTAGATCATGTTGCTACAGACCACTGGTAGGTCGCAATGGGGAGTTTGGTGGAACACCAATTGATGTCCGCAGGCATCTGCTTCACATGATCTATTACACAGCTCTCTACACGCTCCACAAGCCACAATCACTACCCAGTTCTCTGCATCAGTTCACAGGCAGAAACGTCTCCCAGTCCCAAGAGGTGTCCAAGTCGGTTATTTTAGAATCGACCGACAATATCACGCGCCTCGCAGCCGAACTTAATCAACATAATATGGATTGCAACTTGCCTGTCGGTGCTATGACAGCCGTTTACCCTGCCATATCCATGCATGTGTTGAACATGAAGAGCCAGAGCAAAGAAGTAAGGGATAGGGGACTTGTCGGCTTCCGACTGTGTATCAGGGTATTGAACAAGATGCAAACTTTATACTCAGCAGCCGAGGTTACGCTCAGCTTCCTGGAGACAGTTGTGTCTAAAGCATCCTTAACCGGCCTGGGCCGCGATGCATTTCAATTTGATCAACAGACTCAAGCGGATCCGATGGCTACTTTTCAAGCCTTGACGATGCAAGCTTCTCAAGAAATGGCAGAAGGGTCGACAGTACCTTCAACATCTTGGAACATGAGTTCAAGCAAACAGCCCGAGGCACCTGATGTTTTTAGCGACATTGATCTCAACATAAATGATGAGTTTCGCACAGGAGGAGTAACAGGAGCCCCACTCCAAGATATACCATATGGACTTGATCTTGACTTCCACGCAACTGAGAACGATACTTGGATGGAAGACAATCCGCCAGGATCAGGAATGAATGACAACAGCAACGATGTGTATGCGGCACCATCTTCTCAATGGTTGAATCCGATGTTACCCTTTAATCCATCATGAGATGCTGGTATTTAACCAATCTTGCTCTTCAATTGATATCATTTAACACACGTTATTCAAGAGTAGCGTTGGCAAGGGAACTGAGAATATTTTACAGCAATCCTTTCGCAAGTTCGACAGACGACGAACTTGGTTTCTAGCGATCTCTAGACATTCCTCTTCAATAACAACTTGGCTTCTAATACGTCTTCTACAAACGCGTGGTTTGTAGTAGATGGAAATGAATCGCAATTAGTAACAACTATTTCCGCTTCGGCAGATCCTGGTCGACACAATACAACGGTGATCCCGACATGGATCAGCCTTTCCACCACCTCTTTCAAGGCCTGACCAGAACAAAAGTTCATCTTTTTCATGTCTTGAAGGTCCAAAAGTAGACGACAAGCTTGATCTTGGAAAGCTTTTTGCTCCATTAAACTGCAAGACATACAACCGCCGTTGGTGTAAGTCAAAGATGTATCTACTTTCGCAACAAACATATAACCATTTGCCAGAAGGTAAGCCACAGGGATGGTTATTATGTGGCGACTCGATACTCTCCATTTCATCGACGCGGAAAACTGATTAGGTCAGTCAGCAGCTATGGCCCTTCGTATACTTGTGGCTATTGAAACCAGGGTAGACTAAGCTTGTTTGCGTAGAGGTCCGTGGTCCAGAAAGTTGTGCTGATTGTTATCAGAGACACACGAGCAGATAGTAGTTCACCAAGCTTCAGGTGATTCGTTTGTAATCTATCTTATCATAGTAGATGAATATTTAGTTTACATGTACAGAATATCCCCACTAGTATCCCGTCTTGAGTTTGCCAAATGAAAGAGTAGGGTTAATAAATCCCCCTTCCTTTGGAAAGTTACCGTAGTCCCAGACTGTGTAATAGTTCTTCAGTAGCCTAACCCCAATCAGAGCAAACCCAGATGAGCCGGATGTGTCGAAAGGTGGCCAGCAGCCATCCTCCCTGTTAGCGAAACCAGGAATAGCTAGCTGATCACCAGTAAGCGTGAGAGTTCTGGTGTCACCGTAGAAACCAACCTCAAACGAGATTGACCAGTCGTTAGTAAACTCGCTGCACAGAGGAATGTGATCTCCCTCGATGATAGCCGTCCAGTTCATGCCAATAGACTCGTAAATCTCCACAATCTTGTTGTCGGGAAGTGAGATACTCGACGCGCCCGTGTCAAAGACAACGCTAGACCAAGAGAGATCGGTCTGAGTCTTGATCTCGGTGCCGTTTCTTGCCTTTTTCTTTCCAGTAGTGGTGTGCAAAACTGATCGCCAAACATCGTAGTCTACACCACCAGTGGTAAGCTGGATAGTGGCCAAGTCACCGTCGACGTATTCCCTCTCCTTGGATCCTCCTAGGGTAAGCAAACCCTTGCCAGCAACGCCTCCGGTATCATCTCCCTCATCTTTAGCATAATAGATACCGAATTTGGGTTCATCCATCAACTTTTCCGCCATCAGAGACTCGAAAATGGGTGCCGCGCCACCATCGGCGATACTACCAAAGGCAAGTCCCATGAAGCCATGGGCAGGCAAAGCAGACCAGTTACTCTCGTTGGCTGCGATAAAAGATGCATTGAAACTCAAGCTATCGGTCGAAAAGAGCTCTTCAACAGTCGGGCCAGCTACTCGATTACCATCGACATAGCCAATTTCAGCATCCTGTCCCGTCAATCTTCCAGTAGAAGACGCGGAGATGTTGTACCCAGTGCGGCTACCCCTAAGATACACGTTAGAAACATTGATCTACGGTGAAGAAATAACAATGCTGATTACTTGTCAATATGGGAGCATGTATCTGCGCATTCGGAATCAACAATCCATGTCGAAGCACTACCAGTGTCGAAGAGGAGGCGGTAGTTCTGAGATGGCTTTCCAACGCCCACTTCAACCATTTTCTACTGCAGTCAGTTTTGCACTCCAAAATGTTCTCATCATACACCTACATAACCTCTCTGGATGATGACAGGAAGGTCTAACACTGTAGCCGAAGCAGCACCAATGAGAGACGAGGTGACCAAAACGGCCGAGGCCAAACGAGTGACAGTTCCCTTTGCCATTTTGAGTAACTACTAGTTTCGACGAGGAATGAAGACTAAAATCATATTCAAAATAGGTAACAAGGTCTTCTTATAGGGATCAAAGCTACATATGACGTATCGTGTGTCAAATTAAGATTAAGTGGAAGAAGGACCCGCAAACACGAGCTAATTTCGACTCCCCTGTCTATTATTAGAATGTTCGGACACCCCTTATACACGTCCCATGCTACAGGTTCATGTAATTGATCAGATGAAATCGCTTAAGAATTCCATGAACGTAATGATGCAGGATTTCAGCTATAGTGGTTTGTCTAAATGCCGAGATGGTCAATTTAGAAATTGAACAAGTGCATCGTGCAACCTCAGTCCTGCGACAGTCTTCTACATACGTGTGCAATAACTGATACAAACAAGTATCGGAAAAAATTCGATCATGATCACAAAAAGGGGTCCTATGAGGTAATTACTTTCACTGATAAGAGCGGTCAAGCCTAATATTTGACCGTGATGCAATCATGTCTCTCAAGCCTTGGTAGTCACTTCGTCAATAATTACGTTAACGGCCACTAATCGAACGGGTCCACGATATGTGACACATGCCAACAAACTTAGTGCAAATACATTTATTAGCAACTAGAAGTTAACCTCATTATACGAGCGCTTCCGGGATTTGAATGGACGGAAATATTTTAATGCGGATATGGAGTAAGGGCCATCCGGCGTAAACCCAGTCGCTGTCCGATCTGGTCGGCGTGAGGATTATTGGAGAGAGTTTCATCGGAAATAACTGCTTCAGCTGCTTCGGCCAGGTATACTCGGTCCGGTGGCAACAGGTAGGTTAGCGCCCGAATGTCAGCTGTGCCATCATTACACTCACGGTTACTATCATCAAAACACAGCATACTGTTGCGCATTCTCAATTGTTATCTCGGTGTGATGAGAGGTTGTAGATAACACGAAGGAAGGATGATTTCTTGTTGGTCGATACCTATTGGAAATAGGCAACAAAGCATAAATAATCGAACATGCTAATTAAAGAATACAGACCCGATTTGACACAACGGGGTACATTGTCCCAAAACGTAAACATAGCACAAACCCTGCGCAAACTTAAACACTATAATAATTAGATCTGGAATCTCCCCTCACCGAAGTTACTCTCGCGGCTAGTGTCTGCAGACGAGGTTCTCACTAATTTGCGGTTTTTGTTCCAGTACACGCCTGTCGCAAGCACCACCAGGACTAATGTTGCAGCATAAAAACACATGATAGCCAAGAAGCCATTTGTGTACTTGGGAGCGTCCTCGTCACGGAAAAGCTGCTGTCCAGCCAAACCACCAAGGTTTGCACCCATGACGACAAGTGCCTGACCGACGCAAAGTGCTTTGGTGTCTCGCACGTTGGACGATAACCAAGCACTGTTGATACCCTGGAATGTCGCGTTGCCAGCCATGAAAAGTACAAAGACAGCGTATTTGGCCCACTTGTCAGTCTTGAGGACAAGAGAGTACTGTACGCCCGCCATTATCAGGGCGTAGGCTGTACAGATAAAGCAGATAGGGCCACGAAGTTTGACTCTATCTGAGATCCAGGCTGCAATGAGTGCTAGAACCACGAGGGCATAATTGCAGACCGATACAAGTATATTGGCTTTGAACTTGTCAAATCCGAGATTTTTGACGATTGTGGGCCCATAAAGCAGTAAGCCTCCTTTTGGAACCAGGGAGATAAAGGCAACGAGGGCGTGGATCCAGATGTAATAGTTCTTATATAGATATCGGATGGCTTCCATTGTAGAGAAGGAGCTAAGCTCCTCGCCTCGAGTTCCGTCTTCGAGCCTTATTCGACGTGACATAATGTCACGTTCTCGGTCGTTGAATACATCGAGAGCGGGGATGTTTAAGAGTGGACGAGTCCATGATGGTGCTCGTGGCAGAAGGAACAGGAATGAAAAGGAAACAAAGACCGTAAATATACCGTCGATAAGAAACAGCCACTGAATAGACGACTATATTAGAATTGGGGAAGGTTTGACGGAGAGGGGAATTGCACATACCTGCCAGTCTTCAAGTCCAGAAGCGCCATCCAAATTGAACATTCCGGCTGCGATCAAGGAGCTTGTGCCAGTGGCAACATAATTCGCAGTATAGAGGACAGTCATGCGGAGGGCGATCTCTTGTTTGGTGTAGAACATTCCAATCACAACAAGTGCCCCTGCTAGATAACCAGCTTCTAACAACCCCAGTAGGAAACGAGTTGCGTAGAAAGATGCCTTGTTGTTGATGAAAGCCTGGAAGGTGGCGACTAACCCCCATGAGAAGCATTGAAAGGTTAACCACGTAGGGGCACCGAACTTGGCGAGCATCATATTGGAAGGGATCTCGAAAATAACGATAGCTGCAAGCAAGAGCTGGTTACCGTTGTTGACGATATTGTTTGTGATACCGATGTCTTTGACGAAGGTGGTGATTATAGCGCTGCTTATGTTGGTCTTGTCCAACTGCAAGGCGAAAAAGCCCAACATTAGGTTTCCGAGCAAGACAAGGTCAAGTCTAGCAACGAGTTACCATGTTAGTTTACAACAAAATATTGCTTGTGAGTTTGCTTAGGACAATGGTAGAACATACTTGATCTTGATTTTTTTCTCCTCTTTATCAGTCCAGTCCCGAGTCTCATGGCTAGACTCTTCATTCTTGTTGCTACACCGGCTGAGACGGCCTTCGCCAATGGCCTCTGCAGCAGATGACTTCTCGATATCTGCCAGGGCCATCGTGACAAGTTTAGGTTGAGACGATTGTGTTGAATTGAGCAATGAAGCCAAGAAGGAATATCGATCTGAGATGCTCCGGTGTGATCGAGGTATTGCATTTTTGCCATCTGGTGCCGTGTTGGCATTTAAATGTTTGAACTTTGATGTATATTGGTCCCAATGGTGTTGAGGTGGGACATGATAGGATAGAGAAGATGTCATTTCTCGCCCAAGCATGCCTATGCAGGAAAATGGATCTAGATTTGGCTAGTTTGGACTATTTTTCAAGTAACCGAATATGTCCGAGTACAGCCAGAGCACGCCATACGTCAAAAGAATTATACATTTTGGAGAGGGGACACTAACACTAGACTATCACTATCCTTTTTTTGGGGTAAGCAATTTTTCTCTATGATTGGTCAGTTGGCTAAAGCTCATGCAGGGATGCTGGCTCATTAGTTGAGCTATTCATTAAACCCTCATTTGCCTTACCGACCACAGCCCTAAACCGGCAAGTCTTCGTAGCTCGAAGAATATTGGCCAATCACTTTTTAGATTCTACTGAATGAAGAGAAAGAAGTAAAGTCTAGCTACTAAGCGGATTCGTGTGTGCGAGAATAAGCTTGACATTAGCTTTGTGGTGACTTGGTTGAATATAAGCTTTGGAAAGGATCTTCTTCACGCTGCAAAATCATGACGTATCAAAGTCAGGATTCTCAAATTGCTAAATTCTACCCAAACTTACAATTATAAATAATGATTAGAATTTTTAAGTTTGCTTAATAGTTTGCGGGCTCTTTGGAACATTTTTTTAGTACATATCATACCCTATACAACGCTACCTTTATTGAAAACCTAGAGGAAATTGAGAAGGCCGGGGCGAAAGCTTAAGAAATCGTAAAAAGCACAATACAACGCTAAGCCTTCTCAAGTCTGTATTCCCGGATAAAAAGCGTAATAATTAAAGCTGCCACGCCACAACCCAGAGCAATCGCTATCACTGCAGTTAGCACCGTTTGACTTGAACTGAACGCCGACCTTAACGGATAAGGGACACGTACCATTCGTGGGAACAAGGCTCCGGACTACAGCTCTTGTCACAGGTTCTCTCAGGTCTACAGGAAGGGTCTTGATGTATTCCACGCTGGAGGAAACACCTTCAATAATCTGAAACCTGTAGTCAGCGATTGTCCTCAAGAAAACATTGTCAGTGCCAGTTACTTGCCTCTGTTTTATTTGCGACGTCTTCCAAAGCAGATTGCAATATGGCTGTCAACGCAACGTTGTGTATCATATTGTAAACATTCGCCGCCACAAGCATTCCAGCACTCTGGCAGAGAAACCATGTTGTTCCAGCAACAGCGATATCCTTGGCATCCAGTGCCACAGCGAGATGCACAAATGTAGTACTTTGCGTGCTACCCATACCCAATCCTCCGAGTGCAAGGTATGAACTGTCAAAGAAGCTTGAGCTGCCGTGCCAACGAACCAGTACTAAGCAGTAACATACAACACCAAGAGTCGTCGCCATGTAAATGACTGACTTGTAGCTCCCAGTGCGGCTGACGTACCAGCCCGTAAGCAGTCCACCGGCGGCATTACCGACAACAATAAATACGATGCGACTGCCAGCCGAAGCAACTGACATTCCTGCCACGATAGGGAAGTAAATGGGAATAGTGTAAGTGATCTGTGAATGGCACTTAGTATAGGTTCAGAACAAAGGGATGTTTACTTACAATGAACTGAGACGCAGTTTGCAACGCTATAATGAGGTAAGGGATATACACGTCCCGCTTGGCCAAGAGATCCGTAGGAATGACTGGTTCTTGGGCGTAATACTTCTCGATATACCAAAAAGTCGCCAGTAAAATCACTGCGCAGACCACCAGAGGCACAGTGTACTGCCAGGGGGCAAGTTTGCCGGCCTGATCGAGTGCTAAAAAGGATGCAATCAATGATGCAGGCAGTAAAGCAAACCCGACGAAGTCTACCCGTCTCAGACAATTTGCGATACTAGAGTCAGCTGAGCCTGCATCATAACCAGATATGTTTGCAGGAAGCATAAAGATGATTAGAACAACAGCTAGCGCTGCCAATGGGCTTTGGGCTATGAAGTACCTGGGTGAACATAATGTTAGTGAACCCAATGTTAAAGATTATAGTCCGTAGATATTCACTCACCATCTCCATCCCACTGTGTTCATCCTCCAAGCGGACCGCCACATGATCTACCAAGAGTCGCCACAACGTTCACATAGCTTCTCCATGTCGCGACCTGACGAGGAGGTAATAGATCTGATGTATGTCAGTCACTATCAGAGCACAGTTGGCACTAATGGGGATACTGAATATACCTGCGATGATGACTGCTACCAGGCCTACCATGCCAGCATCACCTACCCCACTGACCGCACGGCCTAGAAGAACATGCCAGTATCTAGTCCCAATACCACTGAGTAACCAGTCATTACATGACGTAGAGAAAGGACATTGGATGTGCGCACCAAAGAATGCAACCCAGAGTGAAAGTACTGTAGGAGAATATCATCGCCGGCTTCCTCCCAAAGATGTCACTTGTTCTTCCATACTAGACAGGGACGAACGCATGAATTAGCAAGATTGATATGGATTCAATGTTCCAAGGTAGTACGAACCAACGGCTGGCAAACACATTGTGCCAATACATATGATGTAATTAGCCATGACGCGCCTGAAAGAACATTAAACTCGGATGCGATTTCCTGGCTAGTCGCGAGCACAATAGAAGAGTCCGCCTGGGCAATGAAGATCCCTACATGGCGAAGTTAGCTATCAAACACAACAGCAGAAAAGACCTCTACTGACCAAAAAGTAATGTGGGAAGAATGGTCCGAGTAAACGACCCATTATCATTGGATTCGATTTCTTGCGACTCTTCATGGGGTATCTTGATGGTACCTTGATCAGGGACGATACCTTGCGCAGACGTAAGAGGCGTTCTCTCATCGACCACTTCAGGTTGAGAGTTATCATTATAAAACATTGTCTTGCAATTCTTAGTTCTTCTATTGTCAAGTTGATTGGAGCGGGACTTATCACTTGTCAACAGTATAGTATGTTTTGCAACATGATAGAAGAGCAAAATGATCGTAGAATAACTATATACGATAAACAAAGAAACACAAAGAAACCCAAAAACCTCTTCTTCAGATTTTACACAACAGCAAGTCAATACACAAGGTAGGCCCCATAATAGATTCGGTCCGAGACAACCCAATCCGACGATGATCAACTCCGGCTCAAAACATTGACCGAGTACAGCCGGAGGTGGATCGGCGCTAACGACCAACGGTTCAGGAAGGTGATAGGCAGGTCGAAAAGTCAAGCTACGACAGAACTTGAGGATGTATCGGCACTGGTTAGGTTAGCATACATAAATTGCTTCTTTTCTTCCTGCTGTTAGGGGAAAAAAAACCAGCGACTCGGATTTGAATGTCATAACATTAACAAAAATGAAGTCATTATACACTTTGTTGGCACTCACAGGCCTCGCGCAGGCCAAGAGACCTAACATCTTGTTCATTCTCACGGATGACCAAGATTTGCACATGGAAAGTGTTGATCATATGCAATATCTCAAAGTGAGTTTTAATATTTTTCAAGATGTTATCTCGGAGTCAGCAACTAACATGACCATCGACAGTCCGATGTTGTAGCAAAAGGTACTACGTACAATCAACACTACTGCACAGTTGCTCTGTGCTGTCCTTCACGTGCAACTCTCTGGACAGGCAAAGCTGTACACAACCATAACGTCACAAATGTCTCCCCACCACATGGAGGATACCCAAAGGTTGCTGATGTTGGTATCAACGATGACTACCTGTTTCTATGGATGCAAGATGCGGGGTATAATACTTACTACTCCGGCAAACTGTGGAACTTCCATGGTGTGTCTAACTATGATCGGCCTTACGCCCGGGGATTCAATGCCTCAGACTTCTTGTTGGACCCATATACCTACCGATATTGGGATATGAAGATGTCCCACAATGGCGAGAAGCCCGTGAGCTATGCTGGCCAGTAAAATACCGATGTGGTCGCGGACAAAGCATACAACTTGCTCGATGAGGCTCTTTCTCACAAAGACCCATGGTTTCTGACTGTTGCGCCAATTGCACCACACTCCAACTGGGTATTTGATCAGAAGAACAACAAGACATACCTCTCAACCCCCCAGAGTGCTTATCGCCACGAACATCTATTCCATGATTATAAAATTCCCCGAGGAAAATCCTTCAACTCCCTTATTGAAGGCGCTGCAGGCTGGCCAGGAAAACTCGACGCCCTCAATGAGAGCATTATCCTGTACAACGACCATTATCAACGCCAACGTCTCCGTGCACTCCAGTCGGTCGATGAAATGCTGCATGAGTTGGTCCTTAAGCTCGAGGCTGCTGGCGAGATTGACAATACTTATATCTTCTATTCGACTGATAACGGCTATCATATCAGTCAGCACCGCATGCACCCTGGTAAAGAATGTGGATATGATACAGATATCCACATCCCCATGTTCCTTCGTGGCCCAGGCATCAAAGAGGGTGGTGAGATCAATGTCGTCACAACACACACAGATATTGCATCTACTATTATGAAGATTGCCGGGGTTGACAAGCAAACCGATGGTGAACTTATGCCTCTTTCAGAGTCTGGGCAGAAAAATGGTAGAATTGAGCATGCTGCTATTGAGTACTGGGGTCATGGAGTACCTGAGGGTCATTATGGATTCTCGAGTGATGAAGAGGATTCCATTAGAAGTATAGGACGGTTCCAGGATATTTAAATAACAAACGCACAGAGACTCATCCAAGCATCGTCTTTAAGTATCCTACCAAATTCTAAAACCGCCCAGAGATTGAATATATAGAGTCTTAGCACACGAGGCAAATAGTTAGTCAGGTATTTGTGGATTGAGATAGTATATCTTACCTCACCAACGCTTGATGGTCATTTGCCCATCGAACTGATAAAGTTGGCCATTATACTCCCATGTTCCGACTAGCTTGTCCTGACCATCAACGCACTGAGTAATAATGTTTCTATACTTATTAGCTTGGTCAATAAGAAACTACAAGTGCCATACTCAGTAGCGTCCTAGATAAATCAGACCTGTCAGCAACAGTCATGAGTCTTTATTTAGTGGCATACCCAGCAGTCCTTGAATCCCTTTTGACCTCCAGTATTCTTACGGCTCAGGGCGACATTAAGAGCGTATTCTGTAAAGCGCGGCGAGTCCTTCTTGGGAGATTCATAAACATACTTGGCGAAGCCTTGTGTTGTACAGACCTGCTGGTAAGCACAGTCTGAGTTGCTACACATCTTCTGACGAGCATCCCAGTAGGCATCACGCACTTTGCGTAAATTGCTATTAGCTCCACCTAGACAATCCGCCGCCAATGCGGACGTAGCAAAAAGTGCAAGGGCGGGGAGTGTAATGAGTTGCATGTTGAATAGTTGAGAGATAGAGCGACTTGGAATATGAGGATGATCTGGTTTTCCAAGTTAAAATTGTAATGGATTGACCTGGCTTTATAGCTACTTGCAGACCAGGATAATATTAATAGTGTAGTTAGTGGTGTTGATTGGTCTATCTGTTGGAATCATTGGTTCACGGAAGAGAAGCTACGTTCAATCTCATGGCTATAACTTGGCTTACTAGGCAACCCCGATTAGATTCTTACTGAGCAATTCCCAACAGGTCTTTCTTACAGGGGACATCCTCGTGATTACTGAAATTGAAACCGATGCGGCTAGTCTCAGTAAGCAACACCGATTTTACGGGAATAAATCTGTCAGCTTATTGCCGTACTCTAACGGTCAGTCACCTGATGTCACGCTTTATCAGGCGCGTTACCTAGACGAGGCAAGCTAAACTCCACCGCCCTCGTTGTCGTCGTCGTTGTCGGCATGAAGATCGTCAATGTGTAACTAGGCTCTCCTCCTACCATATGTTTCGTGTTCATGGCTACATGCTTAACGGGCCAAATGACCACCGATTGCTTGTCCAGTGGTGCGGCTACACAAAAGACCAGGCCACATGGGAGCCGTACGCTAAAGTCTGGACTCCCAGACATGAACTCTTGCAGGACTATTTCCACAAGCATGGGCGGGGTCTACCCCTAGATCTGGAAGCGCACGTATCTGATACGAGCGATGAGGAGGAGCCTCAAGAAATTGAGATCAAGGTGGAGAACGATGACTGAGGAGTCAGAGGCCACCACTCATCAGGATACGTCTTTCAACGAGATTACGTTTGACAAAGCGACAAGAGGACATTGAGATGCTCTAGCAACGCCCCAAGGTCTGCTGACGTTGAGATTTCTAGTAGGCTGGATCAATGCTAAAGACGAAATGAGGGGTGGATATCGGTATATTGGCCTGGAGTCTGAAGCAGGAACTCTTGACATCCACTTGCCTGTTCATTTAGATCTACATTCTGGAATTGTACTATTCATTGTTTCTGTGCAGTTGATGCGCACAATAAACGGCTGCGTATATACGAATCCATGTCACCATTACCTAGTTCTTACGAAGACAGTAAAGTACAAGCAATGAGCGTTTATTCTAGAGTAACGGTCCAGTAAGATAAGCTGGTTATCGTGGCAAAAAACACCACAACTCATTTAATCTCGTCGTTGTTTATTACAGACTGAAGATGCGTAGTACCACGGTGAAACATCACCCCTTCTACCCCAAAGACGAACCAATCCTGCATCTGAAATATACTCGGACACATATTGTCGATTATTCGTGGATGCTTAGTTGCAGTCATCGCATTGAATCAAGCAAGCTGTCATGCATCCAGTTCGCTGGAGGGCGGATTTGCGGTCAGGTCCGCCATAGTCTACGTTGCGTTAGCTCTATCCTCACGTCTGTTTCGAGCTACTTTACTTACTGCTGTGACACTCGGAGGTGCATGTAAGGCAAGATCCCTGGAAAGGAGCTCCGGCGCTGCAGCCAGCCATGACTGCAGACACGGAAGAAAGAGCAAGGATGATAAAAGATGTGGGCTGCATTTTGAAAAGATATGTGATTGGTAAGATGGTTATTTTAAATTGACTGATAGAGATTGAGTTGCTGGTGTTGTGTCTAAGACATTTGAAGGATGTTATAGGACATTTATATAAGGATAGAAGACACCGCTTCGACTTGGCCCATAACTCATGATTTAACATTTAGACATAAAAATAAGCACTAAATGTTAAACAAATCCTTATTTTCTTATCAATCGCTCATATACCAATCGGATCTTAACATCAAATATCCTACATCCCATTACCCACTTTCTATTATATAAAATATCCACATCTCGGATCCTTCAGCATCGCACTTTACTTTTCAGCTAGGCACACAATGTAGATCTTGTGGCAATGCCTCATTTATCGGCCCCTTCAGGATCTGATAAGTGGGAAAATGGCTTATTTGTCTCACATGAGGTCACATTTAATCCTATTTCCTACAGCTCACATCCCGTTTAAGTATAAGATTGTGGGTTATATCACCAGATCCACTATGTAGGAAGAACTTTCGTACTTTTATTAATCCCAAAGTGATGCCAGTGGATCTATTTTGCTTACACGGGATGCCACTTACGGATGTGAGCGATGGTCCGGCGGCATGTTCCGGAGAATGACATCGTCATAAGTTATACATTTCTCCACATCCCCGGCTCCGCAATTCTGTTCCTTCAATGGAGAGGCCTGGAGAACCCGTTCCCCGAAAAGAGTCCCCGACTTGAATGACCTTGGTGTAGGTAGACGGTAAGAAACAGCTTTGGAATATTGCTTTGCCCTCAACCACAATAGATCCTCTATTCCGTGGAGCTAGTCTAGTGTATACACCTTCACTGTGGACAATAACACCATCAAAATACTTAGTCCCGCGAAGGTCTATAGGCAAGTGTGTAGAAATATCTATTGTATAGCTAACGTACGTTGAAAATTGACTGGATGACGAGATGGAAGTGTGGTAGATAAAAGCGATGTTGGGTCAGACGAAGCACAGCTAAAAGAATCCTGATGGACGATCAGTCGAGGATGTCACTACCAGACATACTGTAAAGTCAAATAATTCACATTCGGCATTCGAACACGCGACTTCGAAAGAAGTCGAATTCGTCACAGCCATCAAGAGCACACTACATGTCACGTGTTAGGGGGTCTGAGATTCTCTGTCAATTGATCTACTGACAGAAAGCCCGTAATGAGGCATGGTCAGTCCATCATCTAAAGAATCCAGGACAAAGGTCCCAGCCTCTGACAGGAAGCCACCACGAGAAAACAGCTGTCTTGGTTCTACGGCACCACTACATCACGATACTTGGGTACCTCGTTATAATCTTCCACAGATCGCATGTTCCGGCCCCGGGAACACTATCTAGCGACACATTTTTGTTTTCCTCAACCCTCATAGCTTTCATCATAACCCTCTTCGACATTTCCATACTGATTGCCAGTAGCTGACAACACCTCCCACATTGATTCACCCTCTCCGACGATGATGGAGTATGCCAATCGAGCGTAGTGCTCAGCGGGTTGGACCAGCTGCGGGTCGATCTCATCGTAACACTCGATCAACTGGAAGAAGAGCCATGGGACATGGAGTTCCATCATTCCCCAGTGCTTGACCTCGAAGCAAGACTGGCCGCGGGCATCTCCGGGTGTAGTTGCGTAGATCACAAAGCCCATTGCCTCGAGAGCCTTGATGAGCATTTCGGCAGCTTCAACAAAATCTCCATCCTGGCGGCAACGGATTCCAACGTACCCGTAGATATCGCAGAGTAGCCAGCGAATCTGTTTGGCAGGTTTGCCTTGGTACGTCTTTTCGACAGCCTTCAGCAGCTTGACGGCTTTGTTCAAGTCAAAAGGCTGGTCCATGGGAAGTTGGTCCATGAAGTCGCCGTGGAGCTCCTGGCGTTGAACCCGCACGGCCTCGGTAGTCTTGCGTCTGTCCTTGCACAGTTCGCAATCACACTCAAATCTCCACTTGGCCAAGTTCTCCTGGACACTCTTGTGTGACTCGTTGAACTTGGATGCGCGGTAGGAAAAGGTTAGCTCTGTGCCAGCAGGAACGTCGCGCGCGGCACGAACAATATGTATGTCGCCGATGAAAGAGAGTCGACAGTTGCCGACACAGGAGTGGTTGATCCGAGCTGCAAGGAGCCAGAGACCGGCAGTGGTGAAGATGGGACGTTCTCGGGATGAAGGAGTCTTTTTGCCACTCCAGATGATGTTCTTGCAAAAGTCGCGAGTTGTTGTCGGGGAACCGAATGAGTTTAGGGAGAGGACCTTCTCCACAAGGAAGCTATAAATGTCATCGTCAGTAAACGTTTTTATATGGAAGCGAAGTAAAGCTAAACTTACGAATCGACAACGGGAGCTCCGTCACAGTCAGTAACCGTAACTTTTTTGAACCCCCCTTCGAAAAGACTTTCAAAGGCAGATTTAGCCTCCCGATCGTGGTACAACTTCTGGACGACCTGAGACCAGAGATTGGCAGATCCGCCCGCGGTGATGCGCTTGGTATCGAAGTTCACCATGTAGGAGATACGTTCCAAGAGGCGAGTCTCGTCTATGAAAGAGTAGGCAAATGCCTTCTCAACGAGAAGTAATTCTCCTGCTGATACAGACTTGGTGGTAAAGAGCCCGCGTCCACGACCAGGCGAGTCCTGAATCTCAACGGGAGTAGAGGATGTAGCGCAGTCAATCAGAGGGGGCCCTTCTGTTGCCTTGGCTTGTTCATACACCTGTTTGAAGTTGTATTTTCCCGTGCGTTGTTCCTGCAGTCTAGACTTGACGCGCTGCATCGTCGACTTGTCCACCACACTGTCGGGAAATGCATCCAAGACTGTCTGGAGCACCGCTTCGCACTCCTCTAATCGTTGAAGGTTGTAGAGGGCACTGTAGTGGCGAAACAAAGCCTTTTCGGAAGGAACGCTGGGGTCGTAAGCTTGCGTGGCATCTGAAAGTGCCTTGGCAGGCCGACCAAGCTTGAGGTTCGTAAGCGATCGGTTCAGGTGAGCAAGTTGCTTGTCTTGGGGAGTATCCGCCTCGGTAAGAGCCTGCGTGTATCTGTTGCGTACTCAATTAGCCATGTTTGTGAAAGTGTTTGTGATGAGTTGGCTTACTCGAAGTGGGCGTCACCCCATTTTTTGTTGCGAAAGGGCTTGTTACCATTCTCACGGTAGCCAGAGCTGTTCTTCTTCTCACCCATGATCGAGTCGCCCCTCCATTTCCTAGGGATTCTCTCATCACCATGAGGTAGGCCAATGATGTCGCTCGGGTGGTCAACACGCAGTGAATAGTAGGCTGTCTATTTCTCGAGCGGCCCATGAGAATCGCTGTCGAAAGCTCGCTGGAAGTAAGGATCCTTGACAATGCAAACTTTGTAGTCGAGAATGGTGACATAGCAGGAGATCTGCTTCTCCTCTGGCTGTTGAAACAACCGCAGCAAGATACCTGTGCCGTTCTCGTCCTCGGCGGCTGCCAGAATCGACTCGGTACGGTCTGGGGGTGACAAAACGTGGAAAAAAAGCTTTCGTCCGCGATGGTGAGTTTCAAGTTGCATCTCGGAAATCTTGATCGGCTTCAGATCTTTCTCCGCGATAGTACACGGCGGGTAAGGCGCAGGCACCTGAGTGATGGGGATACCCTTGTTGTACTCGTCGAGGATCTTTGAGTTTGGGAATGGGAAGCGGGTTCCAAGAATCTTCTCAAAGATACCCGAGCCAGGGGTCGATAAGGGCGCAGTGAGGAACCTTGCCATAAGTTTCCCAAAGAACTGGGTGTTGAGATCAGACGCGGAGGGGTGATCTTTGACAAGCTGGCCTTTTTTCTTCATGGACTTGGCCGTGACCTTTTCAATTTTCTTCACCCACTCATGGATGTTCTTTTCGTCCGGACCGTTGAGGAGGTCCATCGCGACGGCGATATGAGTTTCTGAATGGTGAGTCGATGGCAAAGGCTCGAGAGGGTGTGATGCTAAAAGATGGAAAGATTAAAGGATGCGGGGGTTGGGTTGGGCAATAAAAAGTGGAAGGGGAAGGAATCAAATTGAAGGGGAAGAAGCCGAACGGGTGTCAGTGGTGATCGCGTCAGGTGCTAAGGCAACGACGGCTGCGTGAATTGATGCCGCGTTTTCAGTCACACGTGCACTGGCAAAGAATGACAGCAACTGCACACAAGCGCAATTTTCAGGTCACACAACGGCACTGCGCATCAGTAACAGAGATGGCTGGCTTTGTACGGGACTGTATATTCGAATCGAGAGTGAAATGTGCGCTGCCGTCGAGGATCGTTTCCGGCTACTTACGTTTCTAGTTTCATCAGTTCTATTGGCCAGTAAAAGTTTTCCATCGACTCTATTTTAGACCTTCCTAAAGTCAACGTTGATTCCGGATCAGTCGTTCTCGTTTTCTTGGTTCAGTCATTGTCATGACTCTTACCATATTTTTATCGGCAAGTAACCTGGCAGCCATGCATTTTACATTAAGCCAATGGAGTTTTACTACGTTACCTAAGGGGAAATCACCGCAAACAAATGTATTCGGAACGACAAAGTCATTAAGATTGCCTCATCATGTGACTGGGGTCCTTCGCTTCTGCTATGTGCTCCGAGTACAGTCATTCCAGCCTGAAGTAGTAGTCCAACCGCGAATATAAACATGTTGTTCTGTGCAAAGCCACGCTGAACTGCTACATCCATCGGCGACGACTGGGATTTATTCACAGGTACTAAGCACGCAAAACGGTTGTGCGCAGCCGGGGATCCGTTCCGGAGTAAATGTGTAACATCAATTACTACCTAATCATTACAAGTGACAGCTGCATGATTGTCTGTTTTGTGATGGAGATTAACATCCGGACCTTCTTGCGTATTCGATATCTCATCTGTATCCGAATGTTGGCTTCCCGTCTTCTGTTTTAGTAATGACTCAGTCGGAGTGGCTTCTCTTGTTCCCTTCCCGTTCTCCGACTTGGGATCGACAGCGAAAAACGTAGATATCTCACCGTCACCTTCCAACCCACTCCCTTGTCGTCGCAACATCAGTCGAATGTTTCCAATGTTCTTGGACAGAGGCTCCGCTCCTGACGTTTCCGCAGTAGGGATGACAGTGTCCAGGTCTGGGTTCCTTGTTGTCCTCAAAATAGTCGAGAAAGAGTTTGCATACGATGCCGAAGCTGATTTAATGCATAACAATCCATAGATGACAATGATCATAGAGAACAGTATGCCTATACCGTAGGCAATAAATAAGTTTCGAGGTTCATATGAGAAGGCGTTCTGTGCTGAAAACCGCGTGATAGGACCGTAAGATGCTGCAGTGTCGTTTTGCCTGTTGGTATTGTTAAATGAAGTTCTGATCCATAGCCTTTATACTTACAGAAACTGAGAGTCGCTGAAGATACTTATGGTCACATTGGTAAAAAGCTCCTCTAGCGTATCAGCCATAGACATTTCCTTTATCGGAGACTTTGGTTTCTCGCGATGGAAAGAATGCATATCCGGCAAGTCGTCAAGAGTCGTAGACCATATCATTGTGCGCTGTACTCCGTATGCATTGTTACCAGTATGCCATCTAGCTCCGAGGAGTAATCCTCCCATAGCATTCATGAGCGAGAGGTAAGCTGTGACAGGATTGCAGCGGTGTAATTGCCTCCCGAAACGACACTCATCACCGTCCCTGATTGTTACTCCGTTCAATTTCTCGATTTTGTATTTGATGTCCTGCAGACCATTGTCGAATGTGAAGTTGATTGAGTATGACGAGTTGTAGAGCTGACATTTAATTGTATTCTCAGCTCGCCAACTCAGTCTGTTCGGTGTTACGACGTAGAACGAAGCGGGATCGGTCTTACCCTGATATCGAAACATTTCATATGCAGTAATATCAAGACTTGCTGCCCCATCAACTCGAGTAGAATTCAATGCTGCGTGCAGCCCTTCGATGGCATACTCTTCCCACGTTCTCCCATAGGAAGATTCAGGCGTCGTGTAGTATATCGAATCGGTAGGGACAAAACCAACGTATGTCACGTTCCCATATAATTTTGAATAATCCTCGATGATTTTGCTTACATTGTCTGTAAATGAGCGGTTGTCTGGGGTATCGCATGATATTGAAGGACCGTAAAAGTCGACGGAATATGAAGAGTTCGGGAAGGGAGCAGGTATATTTAGAATAAAACCCAGTGTTGCGACCGGTAAGAGTAGTCTGGAGATATGGGCTGTGTGCATGACAGTTGTGTTACTCTTCCAACCACCGAACCAAAGACTCTTGTCGTAGTCGATATGTGGAATGAGACTTTCGATTACTGTGATATTTGGCTGTGATGATATTTCTATGCTTAAAGTAGCAGGTGTGATAACTGCGATCAGTGGAAGGGCCCTCAGTAGACGTTAGCAACAAATCATATTTACTTCAGATATTCTACTTACCAGGCTATGACAGCCACAATTGTAAGAGCCGGTGCAGCAGTCCACAACTCTAAAGTGGTCAAATCCCAAGCATTATGCGACACCCCAAATAGTGAGTCAATGCCATTAATCGTAACAGACTTGGACCGTAGCGTCCGCCAAAGAATCTGTATGTATGCAATTCCAATCGCTGCTGATAATAATGCTCCCACAAGAAAGGCTATTCCAGTACCGATACGTAAAAACCATTCTTGTTGATTTTGACTTTGGACGATTCGATCATTTAAATGTTCGTAGAATAGATGATGGCCAATGGCGAGCGCTATTCCAGACAGAAGACTGCCAGTCATTAGGATGAAGGTTAATTTATGTTGCGGCATTTTGTCGCTTTGATTGTTATCAACTACTACTATTCCTCAATTGGAACCATGCGGCTTGGACGGATCCGAATAACGATTGAAGAGCTAGATACCGTGAGGAAAGGTTATGAATAAGGATCTGACAGGAACAAGAATCTGCCTGATACTAATGACTATATAGATAAGCAGTGAACTCAGCCTGGCGCTACATTAGTACAAGTCTGGGCAATGATCTTCGTCAAAAGAAACAGGCTGTTGCCCCTGCTATTTCCCTACAGCAGGGCTGTGCCAACAGTAAAGATGACTGGCCAGTATACTGCATTGCCAAGACAAGCTGCATTGAATCCTTCGCATATAACACTACTGCCTGAGATGTGACGTCAAAGAAAACAATGAAAACATGCATAGACAAATGAACAGACATTCAATTTATTATTTTGGCAGGTCGCCATGTCTCACACTACAATTACTCCCACTTGGACTTGTTCTTCTCAACAAACTCCTTCCAAGTAATCGGCTTCTCATCAAGCATGTCCAAGCTCTCCTTCAGGTCAGCCCCACCATAGTAGCCGGGGTCCTCCAATAGCATCATGTTCTCTGTCAGTTCGTCCGCAATAGCTGCGGGAAGAAATGTCTTGAATACGTCGGCGGGAACCTGATTGAAAATAGCAGGCTTGCCCATAACCTCGCTAAACTCGGAGACGATTCGGTTGGGAGTGTAGTAATCTGTGGCTGCAAAGATGCGCTTGTTGATGGTACCGGGGAAGTTCTTGATGGCAGCCCTGACAAATTTGCCTGGGCTTATTAGTATGTTGGTCCAGTTATTAATTAAGGTTTGTGAAACTTACCCATATCGGCCTGGACATCAAAGATAGGTACTTGAGTCTTATCACCATGGCCAGGCAGAGCCCAAGCATAGCTACCATCCTCATTCTTTCGAATCGAGGTGAATAGGTTGGAAGCGAAGAAACCAGGGAGAACAAAAGTAGCGGGAACGTTGATCTGACGGATGTACTCCTCAATCTCGGCCTTGCCCTCGAAATGCTTGATGTGGGTAAGACGACCGTTGCTAATCTTGTTGGTATCGAGAAGAGATGAGAAAATAAGCTGCTTCACACCTGCAGTCTTGCAAGCATCAGCGACAGCCTTTCCTTGGGCAATCTCGCCATTTCCGCTGTTAGTTTCCCAGTAGTTTGTGACCAGGAAGACAGTGTGAGCGTCCTTGACGGCGGGAGCGACTTGTTCGGCTGTGTTCATGTCGGCCTGGTGAAAGTCAGTATGAGCGAGCTATTGGGTAGAACGCAGTTGGAAAACTTACAGAAACGACTTCAACACCCTTTGCGGCGAGCTCTTTGGCAGCTGGCTTGGAGACATCACGGGTGATGCCACGAATCTTGAACTCTTTGGAGAGAGCGGGGTCGTTGAGGATGGCGCGGACGACTGAACCGCCCTGGTTGCCAGTGGCGCCGAAAACTGTAAGAATCTTTGACATTTTGGATTGATTTAAGTAGTGGATGATTGGTCTTTAGTCGAAGAGGTGTTTGAATGATGTGAAGCTGAGAGTGTGAGTTGGTATTGAATTGACTAATGGATGGGAAGGACGAGTATTCTTATAGTGACACAACACTGAAGCCATGATTTCATATGCACCTTCAATTGGACGCCTCGCGAGTTCCCAGAGCTCCGAAAGCCACAAATCCTACAGAGCACAATCCTCCTTCCTGGACCACTCACTCAGCCTTAGTAACCAGACCAGAGGCTGAATAATTTCGTAAAGTGACATAGTAAGCACTATGAAGGATTCGGCCTCGGGGAATGCCAAGACATCGAGCTGCAGCCCCGATTAGATGGAGCAGATACTCGCCAATGTTATTGGAGGGAATAATTGTTAGTGGAAATATTTATGGAGATGAGAAATGACAAAGCAACTTAGTCAACCTTGTTGTGCCGCGCGCGAAGTGGGACAGGCACCACAGGGTAGGCTCGGGAAACGATGGGATTACCGGGCGCGAGAATACCGAGTTTTGCTCTGTGATGCCCTTTATCATCGAAATGCCATGAATACTAAGGTCATTACATTTTGGATAGAGATGCCAATATTGGGCCTTGCAGAGCTATGTACTAGTTCCACTAGTAATCCGCCTCTGACTAGATACAAAACATAGGTGTAAGATCACTGAACCTTGATTACCTTTCATCGACCTGAATGAGACCTTGATATTGCTCACATGGGTTCTAACTCAGCGGCGTATAAATAATGCCTTGCAATTAGTATATCTCTGTTATATCTAAAAGTAATAATTAAAAAATACTTAATGTCCCCTTCATATACCTAGCCTCTTAATCAACAACGTCCTCATCTAACACCTGCCTCACACTACTCAGTACCCTATCTACAGCCTCCTCAAACGCCAATGTGTCACCATCCAGAAGTATGAAACTAACCTCAACTCTGTTTCTATTATTCAACAGCTCCTGATGCGTCACCATGGCGTCCACCTTTACAGTCGCACGAAGTAACTTTTTCAACTTGAGTTGGCAATAAAAGACTCGAGCTTGGGGTGGGCCTTCAGTCGAATTGATCCGACTGTCGGAGATGATTAGAGAATCTCTTATCATGTCCGCCGACTCTTGTGAACTAGAAGCTCTCGTGATGAAAATGCTAGTCATGCGTCTCTTGAGAAGCAACGGTGCCAAGAACAACTGCATATCTTGCTGGAAGTCTTTGACAGTATTTTCGCTTTCCAAGGTGACCAGTAAACGCACCTCACTTGGCGTCTGCGTGAAGGAAGACAAACGCAGCATCTCATCATTATAGTATCCATTATAAAAGGTTTGTCCTGGCTCGTCGGTGGCTTCAGCAGTATACTTGATACCGAGGCATTTGAGGGAGACCTTGATGTCCTTCAGTGCTTCACGTGCGGATTTCAAGCTAACAAAGGTTATTGTAGATGTCCCGGTTGGCGAATCAATGTCATCAGAGCTGTCAGAGTCGTATGGAAGGTATGAGTTATACTGCGAAACAGTATTTAGTATAATTACTCAAAGCGAAGGATCTTACTTGTTAATACTTACTGCAGATGCTGGAGTCTTTGATTCAGAGCTTGTCGCTGCGCTTGATGGAGGAAGACCGCAGGTGCATCCTTTGATATCACATGTTTGTGTTGTTGCTTTCGGCGTAGTTTTGGGTTTATCGACTGTAGACTTGGGTAAACCGCATTTACAGCCCTCAATATCACAGGTCGACTTCGATTCTTTGCTTACAGGCTTGGGTTTGCCTGTAGATTCGGGTTTGGAGGTTTTGGATTTTGGAAGACTGCAATTGCAGCCTTCAATATCACAAGTTGACGCTGTTGCTTTGCCTGTAGGCTCGGGTTTGCTTGCAGGCTTGGGTGTGTTGATGCTGGATTTGGGGAGACCGCAATTGCAATTTTCAACATCGCATGTAGCTCCTGAACCTCCAACCGCCGATTTGCCATATACTCCCGTGGTCTTGTTGACTGTCGGCGAGAGGTATCCAATATAGTCATCCGAGTCCGAGTCTGATAGGTCATACAAAGGGGCCTTCAAGTAATCCATTAGCTGTTAAGGTTTGATACACCATATGCCGTTACTCACTGTGTAAGAAGTCTTTGACTTTGAATTCGTAGAGTAGTCACGATCTGGGATGGTGTATGTTAAGTCCGAACTTTTAGCTTTGAGTCCATCATTGGGCTTAGAAATGCCAAGAGCTTCTTCCGCTTTCTTGAGCAACACTATTGTGCCTGATATGCTGGAATCGTCAGAGGGTAACTCAGACCTCTGGGACTGCAACAGTGCTTGAAGAGTTGAGCGTGCTTCCTCAAAGTCCTTTTGATCGAGATGGAGTTTTGCAAGATCGTGTCTCGCCTCAAACAAGTCAGACGCCTTTGTTTCTTTTCTGGGACGCGAAAGGAGGTTCTTGAGGGTTGAGGTTGCTAAACGAGTCTCACCGAGACCCTTTTGCACTTGAGCTAGCAGTATCGTTGCGGAAATCTGGCTCTGCTCTGCGTTGCCGGCGTTTGCTAGAGCGATGGAGCGTTGTACAAGGTTCTCGGCCTCCTTGAAATTCTCTTTCTCAACCAGGACCTTGGCTGAATAGTAAAGAACCTCAAACCGATCATGATTTGATCCGAGAGTGTCGTATTCCCGGCTTTGCAGAGCTTTCTTCAATGCTGTTTCAGCCCCTTCCAGGTTAGATTCGTAATAATGCTGAATCCCGATAGATAGCAGAATCTGCGGACGAGTCAAATCGTACTTTTCCATATCTGGATAGTCATGCTGATCTATTTCATCAAGCAACTGCTCGAGAACTCGAATAGATTGATCATAAAAGTCTTGGCCTTGAAGAGAGCAGGCAAGAAGTTGTCGGGCTCGAAGTGATTGAAGCTGGACGTCCTTATCGTCTAGTACGCTATGCTGTAGCATCCCGAGAGCCCGACGGGCTACGCGCTCAGCTTCGGTATTATCTTCTAGCTCGCAGTAGGCCTCGACAAGTTGAAGCAATGCCTCACAGTGGATCTTCTTGCCACATCCTGTTACCGTCTCAAGGGAGCTCAAGACTTTTAGCAAAAGATCTTTGGCCTCTGACCATTCATCCTCTTCACCAAGAACCTTGGCTAGCAACAGTTGGCATTCGACGGTGGATTGACTGTATGGTCCCTGAACGCCAAGCATACGCTTCAGGAGGTCTCTCAGAAGAGGTTTCACTTCTAAGGATTGTTCCGATCGCCACAAGAACTTCAAAAGGCCAAGGTTGTAACCAAGAGTAGTTTCCGAACGATCACCAAAAGTTCCCGTTGCGAGATTGAGAATTTTGCGATGCCATCCTTCAGCCCGAGATAGCTTCCCCCATTTCTCTGCAATCTCGGCCAATACCACCATGTCTGCCAAAGCTTCCTGGCTGACACGGCCAAAAACTTCTTCATGCATTCTCAGTAGCTCGAGCATATAGTGCTCAGCTTCCTCCAATCGCTCGTGGCCACCCATAGCGCACAGAAGACTGACCAACTCTTGGATATGGCCTTGGATATCTTGAACAGGTGCCTGAGCTTGCGCGAAACGGCCGACAATGGCCCTCAGATAGTCTTCTCGGGTATGAACGGGAAACCCAGTCGGGTTGCTATGATGAGTATGGGCAGAACGATCACCTAAGGAGAGGTAAGACGTTTGTCTGGTAAGAGAATTAAGCAAAGGCACATTAGGGCTTTCAAATCCATAGTTGGTCGTTTGCGTAGTTGGCGGCGTAGTATGAAGAGGAGATGTCACTGGTGATGGTGACTGGTTTTGCCAGGGCTTCGGCACATGGGTCCTTGGTCCCCTGGCCTCGAATTGACTATGGTAGCCGCTTTCTGGACCTATTGAGCTAGCCCGCGATTGTAAATATGGCATCATTGGATCGATGACAGGCCCTGAGGGGTATTGTGTTGTACCGGAACTTGGGTGCTGTAGATGATTTCCAATGTCATAGTAGCCCCCGACGAATCTGTCACTTGAGTCTTGGCCAGTCCAGACTTCGGGAGCTGACTGAAGTGACGCTTGAATGAAAAATAAGAGGTCCATATAAGGACCACTCTGGCCTCGGTTCAGCTTGACCATTTGTGAATGATCTGCATTTACTTGGACTGCTTCACTCAAGTCACTAGCGTGCAGGCAGGCAGATTCCTTTGTCACCCATAAGGCATCATCATCAGCTACTCTTGACCACTGGCCATTGACATCTTTGACCTTGGGTGTGTGTACTGTTTCATAGAAGGCGTAGATTTTGGTGGCACGCGAAACCTTGTCAAATCTGTTTCTCATGCTTGCAATGGTTGAGGAATGTGGATGCAGGTCGTTGATGAGATGTTGATTAGGTTGACCTCTGACCAAAGTTTCGAGACTGTTATCATTTAGTCCCAGATGAGGCGTACCAAAGAAGATGATTGCTCGCACGGATAGCCGTCTTACAACATCCGGCCCACTGTCGCTGAGCGCCTGTTTGATGATGAGGCCTCCAAGGCTATGTCCAATAAAGATGATTTGCCGATTCTCAAGTCGTTGCTGCTTTCGAAGATTCATCAACCTTCGCATGAATGTTCCACTATAGTCAAGTAATGAACTTATGTTTCGTGATCCTTGAAGTTTGGACTCGTATCCGTAAGTTAAAATACGTGCGCGCCCGTCGAGGTCAGCTGGAAGATAGTCCAGAAGGAAACTCTCGCCCCTGGCATTCATCCATGATCCGATAGCATGGCCAGCTAATCCAGTGACGGCAATGATGCTGAACTTGGTGAGAAACACTGACGGAAACTTTAGTTAAAAACATGACTAACTCTGCAGCTACCGGCTGTTTCGGTTCATTGAGGGTTGTGAAGCCTTCAAATGTTTTGTCGAGTACGTAGCCATGATAGTCAAGGCGCGGCTCGCCTTGTACATGGAAGTCAACTATGGCAGTGTAATCTGTGTCGTTAAAGCCGGTATCACTCGGAGCCAGCAATCGAACAGTGATATGCGGTTTATCGTCTGAATGAAAAAGATTCTTAACCTGTTCTGGGGTCCTGTGCTCGATTTTTAGATTCTCAATTCGGTAACATATAGGCTTATTTCGGGGTATTCTAGTGTCTGACATTTTGGGTTCAGCAGGGTTGAACATAAACAGGAAATAAGAACAAAACGACCGGTGGGGAGACACTAAATAAACGGAAGATAAGCAAGACCTCGAGCTGACTAGGCTGCTATGTTCTAAAACGCGAATTATTGTGCAATATCCAATCGGATATACTTTCCGCATGCTCCATAACTTTCCGGAATAAACGAGCTGGAAGAGGCAGCTACATTCAATTTCGCACCGGCATTTTCGCAGGTGATCAGATTTCTCACACACTTCATAATTTTGGCAGTGTCCGTATCTGTGTTGCTGTAGATAATATCAACATTTATTTCTTCTAATCTTTATCGATTAGATAGTTCTTAGAAACTACTTATTGTTAGTACAGTTAGTTCCCTGCCTATTTAATAGCTAATGGCAAATTAACAGTTATGCTGACCGATCTAGAAGTCTTCGTCCTACAGCCTGCCTATACTGAACACCTGGTTGTAACTTCTTCCAGTAGTACTCTGACGTGGATACCCTGTTCATCATCCCTTCTAGGACAAATATCATTCGGTAATAAGCACTAGCTTTCAGCCGCAATCCTTTGGCAATTCCAAAGATTCAATGAAAACGCCAGTGGGCCAGTTAAAAACAGTCTTTCTTCAAAGTTCTTAAATACCGCATGATCAAACGGACATTCCCTAGTTTTAAATCCTTGCAGTCAAAGCAATGTGAGACTGTAACATTAGAACTGGCAGGGTATATGTGACAGAACTCTGAAATCATAAAGCTGAAACTCTTTCTAGTCAAATATTCGACAATATTTAGTTGTTCTGCTCACTCGACCATGCCGTTTCGTGTCCTTCCTCCAGAATTTTACAGCCCGAATAGCTCAACTTTGTCTCTCCTTGACGATGACGAGATGATGCTGTTTTTCCCGGCAACCGGTCATGCGCAGAATTCAGATTTGACAACGCCAAGTCGTCAGCCAGAGGAGTTTGTAGCTAAGGAGTTGGATCTGCGTCGACTCAAAGAAGTTTCAGGCTGGTTGTGGTTCGCCGGCCGACTAGAGCCACCCCGCCCATTACATTTACAGCTTTTGCTGGGTCGGGCAATCACATGTACCGAGCAAATGGACTTGCATCTCATCTGGTCTACTGGTCGAATATTCATCAAGCCTATCCCTCGATTCCTGCTTAACCGACATATGTGGGGTCAATATCTTAGTTGCAAGGCAGGATGCAGTCGCGACAGTTTGGAACATAATACCCCTTGTTCTCCTCAGTGTGGTCGTCAAACGCTTCGGAAGAACGCACACGGTTTCCTTTTCTCTTGGGCAGCGCTGGTACGCTACGAAAGCGACTTTTGGATAGCCAAAGAGAAACATTTAATACCGAATGAGGTTGAATGGCCACAATGGGTAAAGTTCGTTGAGAGTTTGAATCTGGAACATATTTACCCGCACGTCAGCCCGCGGTTTTACCATGGAGAACTCCGCCTAAGTCGCCTAGATCTGATATACCGCTTTTGGTACACCCCTCTCAATGGTTATCTGTCGCGTTGGAACCAATATGCTACCATGCTTCGGGAGAACTTCGACTGGCTAGCCGTGGTGGTGGTGTACGTTGTTGTTATACTAACGGCCATGCAAGTTGGTCTTGCTACGGAAACTCTTGCTCATAATGAAGCATTCGTGGCTGTCTCATACCAGTTTTCAATATTCTCAATATTTGTACCAATTGCCTTCACCATCCTACTCCTCATGGTTTTCTGCTTCGTCTTTAGCTATGGCTGTATCGATACGATACAAGTAAGGAACAAGAGGCTTCGACATATACTGCAACAATCTTTAGAGTAGCTACAAATAACCTACTTCAGTCGAAGCGATGCCCTTCTTTGTCTTTCATTGCAAAAGTGCTAGGCGAAATGGGCACAATCTTAGTATGTCTATATATGGCCACATCAAAAATGCAACTCGTCGCTCATACCGCGCAAAATCCGAACTTGGCCGCTTTAAAAAGGACAAGAGTGTGGTAATCCTATTTGATGCCACCGAGATGGACGGAAGCAGTAGCTCTGGCTCGGCTCAGTCTAACAAAAACTCCCAGAGCATCTTCTCCATGGTTACTGAGTCAAATGATCATGGCCAAGGACCATTGACAATGACCAATAAAATCAAAATCCAGACCCATTTGCACCCAACTCCACAAGTAAATAGCGTCCATAAAACACTTGCTTATTCAAGCAGCGGAGGACTGTGGGTACCCCAGATATCCCAATTGGTTCTAACCATTTGGTCACTAAAAAGTTTAACCTATAACGTTATCATCTGAAAGACATATACTTATCAATTTTATTCCTGCCATAAGCTGCCGCACCATGACCAATTCCAGTCCCTCGAATTACCAACATATCTGATCACAATGACCTACACTTCAATCACCATTGTTGTTTCCCCATACCATGTCGGCGCTTATGACCATCGTGTCGGGGGTGGTCCTCTCCGCATCCTCTCCCACGGTATTGAGCGGGATCTAAGCAAACTCGCCCCTGTCTCTTTTATCAACATCGGTCCTGTCGACGATTTTGAAGGCGAAATCGGCAAGACCTTTGAAATCATTCGCCGTATCTCCAATGCAGTCGCTACGGCCGTCAAGAACAACTCATTCCCTCTTGTTCTATCCGGGAACTGTTATGCAAGCACTGGAACCATAGCTGGGCTTAATCAACAAAACTCTGGAGGATATAAGCCTGCAGCTCTATGGCTAGATGCTCACGATGATCTCGATACCCCTTCGACTCACGAGAATGGTTATCTCGACGCCATGGCTGCGTCAATGATGACTGGCACTAGCTGGCATACGTTGATGAAGACTGTTCCTGGTCACGAGCCCCTGGATGTTAAGAGGGTTGTGTGGTGTGGACTGCGAGATTGTTCTGAGCTCCAAATCAAGACGGTCAAGGAGGCAGGGGTGGATGTGGTTTGGGGTAAAGCCGATCAGAAGGTGGATTTTACTGCTGGTCTTGCTGCTGTCCTTGATCGACGAGATGATATCAAGGATGCTCATATCCATCTCGACTTGGATGTCCTCGATCAGTCACTAGGCCGTGTCAATGAATTTCCGTCCCCAGGTGGCTTCTTTCCCGAGGATTTGGCAGGTTTAATGCAGATGATCCCTCAGAAGGTGAACCCAACCTCGCTCGTTGTTTGTTCCTTCAACCCCCGTTTAGAAGGCGGCGATACAGTGGCCAGACTGGCGTGTCAGGCAATCCTCCAATTGGTTGGCGCATTACAGGAGAATGGTATACTTGATGCAAAGAGTAAATGAACCTCTATTGAATTTAGCCATACTATTACATCCCAATAGAAAGCAGAAGGTGCGGACGAGTCAAATTGTACCTTTCCATATCAGAATAATCATGCTGGTCGATTCCATCAAGCAATGTAACAGTAGGTGCACTAATTATATTATCAGACTGACTAATCACATATGCCGGAGTAAAGTTATGCCAATAGAATAACCGTAGGGTCAGTTTGATTTCCGCTTGAATTTACTTTACAGGTAATTGCATTTTAAGACATTGCTTCAAATCCTTACGCAATAAAAAATGCCACAAGGTCCATCCCTGGGAGTACCTATTCCCAATCATTTGCGAAAAATCCTCCCTGCCGCCCTGCAACCAAGTGCGCCAACAGCGGATCCGCCGTGGCGAGCTTTGCCGCGCTGGAAAAGACAGTCGGTTTTAGTCGAGTGCGTAACGTGTCAGAAACGCAAGATAAAGGTAAGAAAAAAAACCCAAAAAAAACTAAGGAGCGACTTTTATTGCTAACCCAAGGCTTGTAGTGCAACGGACAACGACTAACATGTGCTTCGTGTGCGTCCCGCACCGTCACTTCTGCGCTTGGTCGAAGGTGGTGACTTGCTGCTACAAGTAATGCTTGCCCCAGAAACACACCGTCATTGATATGAATTCCCTTACATATCTGAGATGCCCAAACATATCTTTTTTATTACAGGAAATCCGTATCATCGTTCTCTACTGTACAAGGCTACATTAGCGCAGCCGGCTGTTGTTAACGAAGCCTCGGCCAACACTGGCGAAACTCAAGGAGCAAACAACAGCGATATACTACCACCAAATCAGTTTAGTCACAACAAGCAGCATGTAACAAATCCCAGTAGTTATCCCGCCACTTACTTGATGCCATATAATACTGCTCAGATGATCGAACCCCTCATTGAAAGAATCACATCGAACCCATGGACCCAGGTTATTACTGATAATAACCTTTTCAGGAGTCTCATTTCATCCTATTTCTGCTACCCCCATCCTTGCGGGTCCTTTGTCCACAAAGACTTATTTCTCCAGTATATGGTAGCAGAACGAACCAATTTCTGCTCGCCGCTGCTTGTTAATGCAGTACTCGCACTAGCATGTGTAAGTATACCTCACCATAGATAGAACCTTTCGAGACTAACACGCCTTGAGCAAACGTGCGTTGACTTGCCAAGTCGGTCTAAGATATGGCTAGGGGAGTCATTGACGTATCGGTTCATGGCCGAGGCAAGATGATTATGTGATCTAGAAGCATTCCAGAAGAGTCGCATTACCACCATTCAAGCCACGTTGGTCTTGAGCTTCATCACATCCAACAACTGTATGGATGGCATCGGCACTTTATGTTTAAAACGCGCCTGCGAAATGTGTGAGCATTTAGGTCTATCTGGACAAAACACTAATACAGACGCCAACGACATGACTAAATCACGAACATTCACAGCATGGGCTACCTTCTCTTGGCAAACTATGTAGAATTTCTTTTACTTCCGACCACCAATCTTAAACCAACCTCCACTTCCGGTTCCAAGGATAAATCTAAATTGGTATGGAGAGATCTGGTTATGTTACTCTGATAGTCCAACTGCATATCCACTACACCTATGACATAAACTAAAGACAGAGGCTGATCTACGCACTATCATATATGAAGTATGCAACAGCTAGACCAGTACAAAGATCACGTGACAGTAAATGCACCGAGGGCGGTGTAGGCACTGGATCCCAACATCTTACAATTGAGAATTTAACTGTTTCGTTGTAATGTCAGATTTACATTTAGTAAGTTCAGTGTTTATCTAATTACACTTTCGTTCCTCTCTTTTCATAAATACACCATCTATATAATTGACAAAAATAGACTTCAGTCAGTTTTATTATCGATGGTTTACTTCGGAAAACCAAGCCGGGGATGTGGAAATTGCAGGTGAGTTTCATGCTGGCCACGTTCACACATCCATTATATTCTGACAGAAGATATCTAGAAATTTGCATACAAAGGTATAATAAGTACTACAAGTCCTGAGCCGTACCAACGGCGCTAAAAGTTCACAGTGCGATGAAGGGCAGCCGGCATGTTCACGTTGTGTTAAGTCAGCCAAGACTTGTGATGGTTACCGAGATCAATCGCAACTCATATTCCGAGACGAAACTGCTAAAACGATAGGAAAGGACAGTCAGAAAAAGGTCCTCAAACATGCTCAATCAACTCGGGCTGTTTCGTCTTTTACCTCACTTGGAGGATTCTCAGCACCATTTTCCAATTGGCACACAAGCATCCCACGCACATTATGCACCTCCAAAGAGGGTATTGCCATAAGCCATTTCTATAATAGCACAGCCGACAATTTACCAAACGGAAATCCCACAAGACATCTCCATCAGCAACTCCCGTCTCTTTACTTCCGAAGCCAACAAGGTTCTGTTTTACGATTAGCTGTAGAGGCTACATCATATGCCTGTGCCACGAAACTCATACCGCAAGCAATCCAGCTATCTAGCAAGTGTTATATCAAGGCCTTAACTGCGCTTCGAACGGCTATCCAGGACCCCAACCTGCGTTTCTCCGACGAAACGCTGTATGGTATACTGCTTCTATGTGGCTTTGAGGTTAGTAGGCTGGATTGGAGTTGAAATCACGGCTGTCTTGAGAATGGATGTTAACGAATTTTCAAGACGAAGACGAAGCAACCAAGTGTGAGGTCAGCCTGGGGGTCTCATGTGGACGGAGCCGCTGCTCTCATCAAGGCTCGCGGAATCAGTGATCTAGACTCTTCATTGTTCACTGACATGTTTTGCTTTGTCCGCAAAAGCGTAGTAAGAGTCTCAAATCTCTTTTATTAACGGAAAAGTAATAACATTAGCAGGTTCTAGGTCAAATACAGATCTCAAAGCCTGTTGATAAGGTTTTCCTTAAACAAATCATGTCCTCTTATGAGGACACTGAAGATCGACTGGTTTCACTAACAGCCAGAGTGCCACAACTGCAGTATACAAGTTGCCAGCTTGAAACAGCGAAAGATATCAATACGACTGAAGCCGAGCAGTTAATATCCGATGTGAATGAGCTAGACCTAGAGCTATCTATCTGGGTAACCAGCATGTCAACGAAATGGTCTTATGCCACTGCGGTAAACATAAATAATCACGCCAGGATAGATTATACTCCGCGTGTCATTCACAGATATACAGATCGCTATACTGCTCGCGTCTGGAACCTCTATCGAGTATCGAGGCTCATCGTTCAGTCCGTTCTACTCCGTACCATTGTTTGCCTGTCAGCTTCGACCAAACGGCCATCCGACGAGGATCGAAGAAATCGGATCAAGAGAGTGATCATGGGGCTGGTAGATGACATATGCGCCAGCGTACCGTATCTTCTAGGGCATGACTTGTCAAATATGAGCCTTGCTGTCGATAATAATGATGGAAGACGGATTCACGATCATGGCACTTCAATCGCTACCGCAACGAGTGGAACGGGTGTACCGATTGGTGGATTCTCCCTGATATGGCCATTGAGTGTTGCTTGCAGTGCGTTGGCTGTTCCTGCCGCACAGACGGAATGGATGCAAAGGCAGCTACAATTACTTACAAATCATGGCGAGCCTCTTACTAGCACTATCCTATCCGGAAAGCCTAATGAATTCCGTTTCGACTGTGTTTAAATATGGGGACCTGAGGGAGCCAAAGGCTTGTTTGGACCTTCAATCGAAGCACATATAAAGAATGCAATTGCATTGTCATTAATCCATACACGTATATCATTACATATAGAAATAATTATCCAAGCAAAATGCTAGAAGATCTAAACAAAAAAGAAAAGTTAACTTAGAAATTGACAGCCTCAGCAAAGCTCTGGTCGTCGATCATCTTCTCCATGGCCTCCGTCTTCAATGCAATAACAACTTCCAAACTCCCATCTCTCAGTCTGGGCAGTATTGTGATTGCTCCATCTGCACCTTCACCTGGAACTCTAAACGCATCCAACATTCCCATCGCGCCCCAGACATTGCCATACACTCCAAGGTCAGTCCAAGACGATTCAACAACATCAGGGCCTAGAAAACCATGGAAAGCGAGTTTGAAATCCGTGGGGTTGGTCCGAGAATTTAGAAGCCCAATAGTCGCAGACACTCGACCTGGATTGTTAAACGCCGCCAACGATTTTCGGATGGTTGCTGCAACTCGAGGGAGACTGGCATCTGACGTGATAGCTGATACCGGAAGCTTCTCAGTCACACAAGGCATTGATGCATTTCCGAGATAAGATGGTGGTAGCGGAGGGCTCATACGACTGCGAACATTAACGGCGAGACACAGTGCCGACATGTCCGCATCGCCAGGAGGATTAGCGAAAACCCCAGATTTTAGCCGGGCCAAGGTCATATGTTGCCAGATAAAGGCAAGCAGGGCGTCGTGGGTAGAGAATGCCTCTGCAGTTTCTTTGAGATTCTTCAGTGATTCGGATGAGAAATGGAAAAGGCGAGAAGAGAGGGGAGGCATCTCAAAATTAGGACTGATGTGGTTGCTCCCTGAAGGAGTAGGCATGAGCTGGTAACCATAAGAGTCGCCTGACTCAGTGTCAAGATTGCCTTCCATAAGAGGATAACGATCGTTCGACTGCTCATCGAATGGTGCGAAGGACTTGATACCGTCGCTGACAGCAGCAGTGTTGTGAGCCCAAGTGCTGACGATGGTATCCAAAGCAGAGGCGTCGCAGGCCGAGTGATGAACACCCACTGTTAGTAGAAGCCCGCCTTCCACAAAGTTGGCCTGGGTCGCAAATACAGGTTGTATGGCCCCTTGTGGCATGACGTCTATAGGGCCAAGCTGTGCTGTTGAGAGGGCAGACAGCGGGAAGTTTTGCTCTTTCAGCTCTGCATATGAGGACATGATTCCGGTAAGATCGTTATAGCTAAAGAGTCCGTTAGTGGAAGGGAAAAGACTAGTAAGTGTAACGGAGAATACATACGGAAACAACAGAGAGCCCGATGATTCAACAATCTGGATCCTTCCGTTATCAGGAACTTGTCCGTCCTCTGGACCCTGTATGGGACAAGCTACAGTCAGTAGCTGCAAGTATAGCAGCTCTCAGGATGAAGACTTACGATAGTGCCAGAGATCCAGGGAGTCGACACAACGGTGTGCGCTAGTCCTTGTTTGAGTTTCTTGTACCTGAGAAATTGTTAACCTTTGACCATTCCATTCAGTCACAAGCTATCTTGAGAGGCTGCACTAACACTTGCAACTTATCAGACCCTGGCAGCAACGGGAAGCAGAGAACCCAGCGTGCTCCATAGAGCCTGGGTAAGTTCATATCCAAAGGCGTTAGCTTTTGTTGGGCCGAGGGTTGATGTAAGCCATAATCTTCCACTCTGACACAATTGTCAGCCTGAGGTTGTTGGGTGTTGCAGGATGGATTCATAATTGGCGGAGAGGATCAGGTCGAACGAACATCAATGAAGAACGTGTCAATGGTAGTAAACTTAGGCGCGAGGGTGGTTTAAATAGGACGCGTTTTATCATTCATCGTATTCGGGGTCTTGACTCTAAGTTATCCTTGGAATGGTATTATGTATGCTGGTGACATACCATTGGCCATCTCAACACATACCATATTAGGTTAGTATCTTTGTTTTCCCAAGGGTCTAAAATCTACCAGGATAAGTCTAACTGGGTCAACACTAATTGGATAGATTATTCAGGGAGGTATTATTTTATAGTCAGTATTAACCTCGTCAGCATTACCCTTCTTCATATTAGAGGTGTCTCTGTATAGCATATATGCACTACTGACTAGCGACAGAATAAAACGACAAAGTTGGGTCTCCAAGATATGCAAAAAGTGTATAAAGAGGCACTAGGTAGAATAGAGTAAGAGACTCCACACTTTTGAAATTCCACTGAGGCAATTTCCATCTTACGAATCTTACATGTCAAAGCTAATCAATCCCCAATCCTGCAAGCTATAAAAAAACTGTGCCAGCTGTCTTTTGATACCGCTAGTATTTGTATTTAAAGATGAGTCTATGCCAAGTCTGTCGTGGAGTCTTGCCCTCCATCCCATTGACAGATGGCAACCGGGCTCAAGGCTCAGTCGCAGCGTTCCTGTCAGATCCTGTATATCGGTCTGGAGGCCTATTTGAAGATCAATGGACTTTGCGTGGTGATTTCCCGGTGCATAAGTCGTGGGAATCGTTGAAGAGATCGATAAGCCATGACTGTCCTCTCTGCTGGACTATCTGGCGATGCATTCGATCGTCACCAATTGCATCCCCAAATGATGAAGAAATCGCGGAATTTAAAACTGAGATAGTAACACTGAGTTATGAACCTGATAATTCTGCGTACACAGTAGATATGTGTCTCATGGGACTTGGTTTAAAGACGAAAGAATTAAAACTAGCTATCTGGAAGACCACAGAGAAGTGGTATCTGGGTAAGTTCTCAAACAAGACTTTTCCATCTATCGTGCTTACAGGTTGCAAACAGACACCGAGAGAGCATTACCCTTGGTCGATCAACATACATCTGAGTCGGTTTCTAAACTCGCAAATCAGTGGATTAGGACTTGTGAAGCTAACCACTCCGAATGTTTAAAGGAAGCTTCACCACCACGGAGTGCAAGAATGCCAACTCGACTGTTGGATCTGGGACACAGTAACTCAGATACATGGCGTATCCACGAGAACCCCTGTCATGTCCCCTATATCGCACTTTCCCACCGATGGTCTTCCGAGACACCCACATTACTTATGCGCAATTACTATCTCTACTCGGATTCTCAGCCCGATAGTGTTCTACCACAAAATTACAAAGACATTGTCTCTATCTGTCGTTCTATGGATGTACGATATCTCTGGATCGACTCCCTCTGCATTATACAAGACGACGGTGGTTTGGAATTCCGCCGGGAAGCCCCATTAATGACGGATATCTATCAATATGCTTTCCTCACATTGACAATTTGCTGGGACTCTCCAGGTCTCAGTATTCTTCGCAAGTGTCAGCCTCGTAGCATACCTCGTCAAAAGCCCGCTGCTTTGTACACTCAACAAGATTCTATATCTCAGATAGACGAGTATGTATTTGTTGAGCACAGGGATGCGTTGGACGTACAGGTCGACGTGGATCGTGCACCTCTCAACAGACGTGCGTGGGTCCTACAAGAACGTTATCTCTCGAGGCGTTTACTCCACCTCGGTAACGAGCAAGTCTATTGGGAATGTAACGGATATACTGGCAGTGAAATATCTCCCACTGCGTACTCTCCTGCATACAAGAGGACCGAGACAGAACGTCAGTCTATGGCTGACCTGACAGGACCGGACAGAGATACTAATTGGAGTTGGGTACTTTCGAAATATACTGGATACGATTTGACCTTTGAACGAGATAGGCTTGTAGCCATAGCGGGGCTTGCTAAGCTTATTGCCAGAAAGACTGGTGATACTTATCTTGCTGGCATATGGCTCGAGTCTTGGATGCAAGACCTCTTGTGGGAACCTGCCAATGGTCCTGACTCCAAGCTGGTACTACAGGATGAAGATCACTCTTTGATGAATCAATTTTCACGGCCCTCTTGGTCATGGTTAGCATTCCCCGGATCAGTCATGCCAGGTCGAATGATTAAGAAGGGGCCCAAGATCTCACTTGCAGATCCTAACTCATTTAAGTCGAAGGAATTCCAACCATTAGCCCTGCTGAGCCAAATCATCATCACTCCCCCAGGAAGTGACCCTTTTGCTTCTTTTGACCGAGCAATCCTGAGAATCAGATGTCTACTTTTACCAGTGAGACTTACTATCGCTCCACAATACGAAGGTCCGCAATGGTACTTCCGACACGACCTTGACTTTACGGTTCCTGCAACTGGTATAAACTGTATGGAATTACGAGCATGTGAGCCATACATCAAGTGGGGTTCTGCATTTCGATTTCACTTCAGCAAGCCATTTATATCGTCTGCGCAGCACTTTCTTCTTCCACTATACGAATATCATTACAGGCGGGACCTGGATGAGCCAGGCCATAAAGTAATTATGGTTTATGGCCTCGTTGTAAAGGAAGCTCCGTCTGACAATACCAGAGAATTCATCAGAGTCGGTACATGGCAAGACAGTCATCATGATCCGTCTCAGCTCAGCCCTATGATCAGTAACACGATTGTTGAACGAGGCATCGGGAGGAATTCCGCTCTGAGAGATGATAGCCTAATAGCCAATGAGCGCTTGTTTGACTCCAAGCTTGGTGAATATGCAATTCATAATGTTGCTTCAAAGGTATTACTTCCTCTGTAAGCTGCGGATAGACGATCGAGGAATAGATCGAATACTGAAGAGCTCAACGAGACATTCGTCAGGAAGCGGAAAACGCATAAAACGGTTGAGTGTTCATTACTTCCACATTTCAATACAGCAGAGTGGGATACTATATCTCTGGTATGATTGATTATCATGTACCTGTAGATAGAAATATCTATGACATATCCAGCAATTGCAGTGGATGTTCTGCTGAAAGTACTAACTAAGCCCTAGCCCACTGTGATAGTATTGATAAATCATTTTTAGCCTCTGATAGATACGGTATTTGTTGCACCAAGACACTAGTGGACTGAATATTTTTCCAGCTGCACATGACTTGTTATATTCATATCATCAATAACGTCATACCATCTTGCCTTAGTAGACGCAACCTTTATCCACACATTTCAGGCCCAAATTCAACGCTGCCTAGATAACTTATTGCGAAAAGAATTATTTTATGATTATGATCAAAATAGAAACGGATTTGTTACTGTAGCTCAATGATGTTTCAGCATTACTAACTATAGTGTCGTTACGTTTGCACTCCTAAGGTAGCTAAGGATCCGATCTGAAGACACAGGCATGAACAGCAAAAAAACCGAAGATGATGGACCCTCCCTTCCCCAACCTAACAATCTATTCAATGCTAATAGCAACTTTACCAAAATGCTTCTGGTCAGACATGTACTGGTAGGCTCTGTAGTGCATGTCAGTAAATAGAGTCTTGCAAAATGGAATCAACATACTCTTTCAGGTCTTCGAGCTTGAAGACACGTTGGTCGAGGACGGGCTTTATGTCGAAAGCCTCAATGGCCCGGATCTATGTATGTTAGTAATGTTTCATCAATCCTGAAAATAGCAAAAGCCAAGGGAGTCAATCCGGTTCTATAGTACATACCATTGCTTCGAATTGTTCTCGGCTCCCGACAACAATTCCCCTGACAATTGCCATGCTTGACAAAATTTGGGGAAAGCTCGGTCCAGTCTCTCCGTGTCCGCCGATCCAGCCAATGATAGTAACAAGGCCTCCAATGGCTACGGCCTTCAGACTCTCCGTCACAGTTGTCGCACCTCCAACCTCGATGACATGGTCGACACCAACACCTCCTGTAATCCTCTTGGCTTCTTCGCCCCAGTTCGCAGTCTCTTTGTAATTGATGACATGGTCTGCTCCAAGATTCTTCAGCATTTCAGCCTTGGCCGCAGAAGAAGTCGTAGCAATGACTCGAGCCCCTGCCGCCTTTGCAAACTGCAAACCAGAGATGCTCACACCTCCCGTGCCCTGTGTCAAGACCCAGTCGCCAGGAAGGACGGCTTTAAGCCCGTAGAGAGCATTCCAAGCCGTCAGAGCACTGCAAGACAATGTTCCGGCCTCGAGGTAGCTGAGGTTCTTTGGCATATCTACCAATCCATTCTCGTTGAAAATGCCGTACTGTCGCAGAGTGCCATCGATGGTTCCACCTAAGCCTGTTCCCAAGACCTTTGGGGTCAACGGCCCACCGTAGTGTGATTGATTGAACAGTGTTACCACTTTGGAACCTGTCTCGAAGCGGGTAACCTTAGATCCCACTGCAACGACCTCTCCAGCTCCGTCGGAACCTGGAATGATATCTGGCTTCACGCCGAAAGGATAGGTTCCCTGAGAGAGTTATTGGACGATTGTTTAGATGTATAGGAAAATGTTCTTACCATAGCAATCATGATGTCGCGGAAGTTGAGAGACGCCGCATGGAACTTGACTAATACTTCGTTATCGGAGAGCTCAGGGAGAACAAGCTTGTCGTCAAGCTTGAGGCAGTCAAGGCTGCCCTTGCCCTCAATGCTCCAGGCTTTGGTAATTCTTGGTGTAGACATGATGGTAATGTTGAACTGGTGTTGAATTCGGAATCTGGATGGAAGACTAGTGAAGAGACTGGATTAACTTGATGATTGAAAGAATAGTCAATACTTGGACAGATAAACTGAACCTTTATATAAGGTGACAGTCCTTCTCCGATCTTCCCTTGATTATAAACACATTTGTCTCAGTATCTGCATTTTGGTATCAATCGTGCTACCAGGTGACGAAAACCTAGCTCAAGGTCCCTTGCTGTTTCCTTTGGTTCAGTGTTGCTGACCTATCATGGAGAGTTGCAATTGGAGGGCAGGGGTGTCATGTATAGATTGTGGATCACTGACCGTATTAATACGGCGTGTTACGCTAGGCTGCATCCTAGGCATGAGCTAACACCAATTTTGACAGGGGTCTTCTCAAAGTCTAATAGCTCTGATCAGGCAGTTTTATCACGAAAGATAAGACTCTTAGAGTAACCTTATTCTTATCCACTATAGAAGTAATACCTACTAAGCAGCCTACTTATTTGAGAGACTATAGTAATTATTAAAATACTATTATAATAGGATAAATCCTCTAAAGAGAAAATAGTAAGTTATATGTTTTAGTAGGCTAGTTAAAGGAAGGTTGTGTAGGTTACGAAAGGTTTCGGTTACTCTAACTGAATAAAAATCAAGTAATGGCATGGGAGCTAACACCAATGATTCGAGAGCAGGGGCACATGCATTTACGAAAATGGTAATCTAGTCGGGGACACTCAATACTTGGAAGAATGAGTGCCTGCAGTACGTGAAACCAGCTAATACGACGTGAATGAGACATACTCTATTATACACCTTGATACCCTACATCGCTGTGAGTTTCTAATCCAAAGATAACATTAGCTGGCCACCTCATAGCTTCTTCCCATTCCTCCCCAAGAACCTCCATGATATATCCTAACAGCCCGCTTGGCCAATCTCTAAGGCACCAGTGCTCCTTATAGAAGCTCATTAGAACAGTAAAATGAGCCAAAATGGTGAGTGCCACGGGATGTCGCGCTGAACATAAATCTAGAAAGACACGATCTATCTCGAGTCCCCAGCCCCAAATCACCTTGCCCGGTTCAGGGTCTCCGACGTTGTCCGAGAGCATTGCAATGCGGCGGAACAGTACTTGAACGGCGTGAAGGCATGATGTCTTCTGTTCCCCCACACACCAACGGTCTATGCATTCCCAGAGAGATGCAAGCTGTGGATACCTTACTTCGAGATCCCTTTGAGTATTTTGGTGATTGGCCACAAATTTTGTAAGAAGCCACGATTGTGAGACGACTATAGGGGCGAAGTTCTGCTGTACAAACATCAAGGTAGAACGGCTAAATTGAAGTGCCTTTAATAGCTCCTCGACAGGGTCGAATTGTGCCAAAGACCGGACTCCGGGGGGGCGAAACATAGGTTCCGCTACCGCATACATTGAAGTGAAAGCTGAAAATCCCAGCAGGGCTTGTTGGTGCGTCTGATCCTGGGACTCGAAGTGCGGCCTGGCTCGGACAATTGCGGCCTGCTGGTGTGCAACGGCTCTAGCGTACCACTTAGCCTGGGACTTATCTTCACTGTAGAGCTGAAGGGCTGTAAGACCCAGAACACTGTTCAGCAAATAATGGTGAGAGAAGCCTAGACGGACGAGGCTGTACTGCAGTTGCTTCGTGGTCTCCGACAGGTCCCCTGTTATGGGATATCGATGCCAGTGCTCCAGTAGCTCCAAATCCGCGAGACTATCCTCGTTGAGCGGCATCCTAGTCAGGGTAGGTGATGAGAAGCTACACAACAGATTGGCCCGCTCGCACTGAACGCATTGTGGATGGACCTCATTACACTAGAAAATTTAGCTCTAGGATTTGTCTCAACATAACGTGTAGCAGGGGCAGAACAAGGAGGGTGGTGACCGTACCTTAGCATGCCTCTCCTTGCATTGAATGCAGCCTTCCCTAGACTTCCTGTGCACCTTGCGCCTTCTGATCATATTTGTCATGAGTCGGTCTGATGGGATAAGCTGCGTGTCGCCCGGGGAGAGTAGCCGAAGACAATGGAAGAGTCGAAGACGATCTGGATGGGGCACCGTATAGATACGGCGATAATAAGTGCAGGCTTGTTTAATATATGGTTAGCCTGAAACTAGCGCGCTGAGGGGCTGGACTGCTTACCAATCAAAAGTTTAAATACATGTTCGGCTGTATAAGTACTAGCACCCGGCCAAGGTAAATCCACATCAGTAATGTCTCCAGTAAATTGGATTGTAACCCTGCTGGCTGTAGCTATGATTAAAATTAATAACATAACTGATGTGAAAGCAAGTCTCCTGAAGTTTCCAGGGCTTAGTGGACCGCCGGAGCATAAACTGTCGGTAATGATGTCCTTATATCTTCGCAACTTTATGCTATTCTTTTGTGTTTATTTAATACTGCGCTTAATTTCAGACTCAGATACAATCATATATCAAGAGTCTGTTTTACTATATGAGGTAGGGAGGCCATTTATCGCAGGGACACATTCAATTCCTCAGCTTAACAAAAACCAGTTACTTGTTAAGGTTCTTCTCGCTAGCTGTAAGCTTAGAAAATAGTTCAAATGCAGAGGATAAGAGAAATAAAACGAATTAACTTCTAGTAAATTCTCATAACTAGAAAACCTATAACACTGACATTATAATTACAGCTTCGAGATAGACGCATTTTGCTGGCTATGATCGGTTGGTATTATACATCATGCCTGGTTCATCTTGTAACATAAAATTGGTAACCATGTTGGAGAACAACTTTATGTTCGACTGGTAAATTCATGCGGCTCAAGGCGAGAAATCAGGAGATAATGGATAGGATACATGAAAAGCGCGAGATCGGAAAGTGTATGACCCCGAGACCCCTGGTGCAATATGCACGATCTACACGGTGTCAACCATAGACAGGGGCAATATCGGGTAGTAGTATCAGAAGATCCCTCGTTGCCGATTAATCCTGCTAATCTTCGATGTTGAGGCCTGAGTGCTGGAGGTTTGCTTACTTATGAGGTAGTAATATCCTTCCATTGCATAATACCGCTCGGCGTATACACATAAAATGCTAGGATCTGTGTCAACTCGATCCGACAGTTACAGTCTGCAGGCTTTTACAATTATACTTCGTACAGCACCTTCAGATCGCCCAGACCCTCACCAATATCAGTTTCAGCCCCAGTATATTTAATAGTTTAGCATTGTGGTTACAAGATTTAAGACATCTTCACTCTTGGTCACATCCCAGCTCATGTCAGCAGGCCAGTAGCATCTCACAGCGATCGGCAATGTGCTTCAGAGCCAGGACTTGTGATCTTAGTCAAACCTAGAGTGTCTAAGATGTCAAGATGGGCATAGGGATTTTTGAAAATAGTTTTTATTTGGTCTCATGACAAATAGCTAATTTTTAAAGTAAGGATTGCAAGTTGCTATAGAATTTACGTGTACTCTCCAATTCTCTCCATATCTCCTGAGACTGTTCAGACCCATCTTCAAATTCGTACGATCCAAGTAGATCTTTTCCGACTAAAGACCTTCGGACATATCTTGGATCAATCTCCGTAACGAATGACTTCTCTTTTGTTAAGGAGATAACTCGATCATAGCAGTCTACAAAGTCTGCAAAATCTCGCAAGTTCCTTTCCTGCGCATCTATTATGTCGACTACCCCTCGAAATGGTTGTTCATCAATGACCTGAAAACACTTCAAGCTGTGTTCATCCTGGGGGAGGGCAAGTACTCTTAAAGAGATCATTGGATCCTCGATCTTGCTCCGAATGAACTGAACTTGATCCTTAATTTTGGCTTCAACTTCCTGTGGTAAGAACCATAGCATTAGATCCAGCAGGTAAGCCACATTCGCTGAAAAGATAGATGAGATATAAGCCCGACGATCAAGGTTTTTGTAGATATTGAGACTGAATTCGAAGTGCGATGGTTCTCCTTGTGAAGTATAATACCCTCTCCGTAATAAAAGTCCATGGAAACCGACGCTTGGACATTTCTGTAGCATATCTGCAGCGATTTCCACGACATGGATCGGTGTCGTCCGTTCTTCGCTACCATTCTGCCACATGACCCATTGTGTATGATGGAGAAAGTCCCACAGAGCGTTTGTCCGCTTTCCGTATTGATGATCTGAAACAGATTGCTCATCTGAAACAACGTGGAACATTGTGTATGACAAGACAGCGGTTGGATCAGCGCCTTGTAAAAGAAGCATCCGCAGTCCGGACACTGGTACAGCGCTTCTCTCATCCCAACATACATCATGCCATGGAATGTTTTGGAGAACGCTGGTCGCTGTCTTCGAATTCATGTCTTGCACCTCCAAATCGAAGATTGCTCCGAGTGTTGCCGTTTCTGAGGCAAACGGAGCCGGTGGCCATCGGTGATAGTGATAGTTAGTCATAATCCCATTCACATGGAATGACCTTATTGTCATCCACAGATTCTTCACTTTCTCCTTATCGCTTTCGGAGCCTTGGAGGGTTAACAATCTCGGCAACATTTCAACTATCCTCATAGAGGGGTAACAGCCACCAAATGCATGATACAATATTCGTAGTAGGCATAGAAGACCGTTAAACATCAGCACTTCCACCTCACAATCTGTCATTTCGCTATAACTGAGTATCTTTCGACCTGCCTCTGTATTTATGAGGAAGTCATAGGCTGTGCGATGGACGAACTCAATTCTGCGAGTCATCTTTGACACTGTATTGTGGAAGTATGAGAGATGCGGAGAGGGGTAAACTTCAAGAAGGCCGGCGCAATTTGTGAGAATGGTATTCTCTACAGATTCGCAAAGCGCGTTCAACATATCATAATCAACTTCTTCGGTGACCGTAGTCAGTATCCTTCCAACATCTGGCCGACTTGCACATGCCATCCTTAGGACAGTGAGTTGGCTTGACTTGTTAAGTCCAGGGCATAAAGCATATGCTCTTTTGGTCTTGATGGATTGAAATCCGACCATAAATCGCATATATCTGGCTGCTGAGTTTCGATAAACAGGCTCATCCTCACCCAATCTCTTCCACATATCGTAGTACACGTCCTCGAGTTTCTCCGGAAGTTGTTCTAATCGGGAGATTAGCAATTCCTCCGAGTCTTTGTTTTTGATACCCCGTATGATACTCTGCGTGGCGAGACAGATCCGGAGGAATACTCCCCCTGCCTTGTCCAGAAGAGTGCGAATCAAGAATGAAGAGAAGTCTGGGCTGAATGTGCGCTTTCCGTCGAATTGGTGGAGTCTCCCCTGGATCCAATTTTTCATATCCGGTGCCGTCAAGTCGTGCAACTTGAGATTGGGCACTGTGTCCAGCTCTTCCTTCAACCACGGCTCTGGTCGACTGGTGACACAAACCTTGACATTTGGGAACCGCTTGAAATCTGAGAGTATTTGCATAATAGCCTCTTGTCCACAGTCGCCAACAAATTCATCAAGGCCGTCAATAAAGATGCACAAGTGCTCTTGGTCTGTTGCTAGCTCCAAGGCTTTCAGTAAAAGGCTTCTCAGCTCCGGACCTGACCAGTCGTGATAAGATTGTTTCGATTTCGAAGTTGGAAAGGCATCCATTGTGTTGCTAGTAACCTCGTCCTTATCTTCCAACAGTTGATGTAATAAAGAACAGTAGAGGCCCTTTATGTCGTTCTGCAAGGATGTTCCGAGCTTCCAGAAGAAGTGCGATAGAATTGTGGTACTGGGATTCCACTGGTTTAATAATCTTTGGGTTACCTTCTTACTTGCGATGTACTTGACAAGAGTACTTTTGCCGGATCCTGGTTTGCCTTGAATCCAAAACAGTCGCCCATCTGATTGGAGCCAATCCGCAAAGCTGTGCCAAAGTCGATTTATCTCCTCAAGACAGTCCTCGGAGTGGGCCTCGAAAGGTCTTTCGGAAGATTCCTCGGACGAGTCATTGGGAGAGCTTTCGGAAGAGTCCTCGCAACTCGCTGTGGACTCGATAGTCCTAGAGGGATTTCCTATCTTGCCTTGGGCCGTCTTCTCGAATGACTCCAGTATCCTGTCAAAACAGGCATCTTCTGGATCAGTAATGGCATTCATTCGTTCCTTCATCTCATTAAACCTGAAGCTTTCAAGAAGGCGCTGGCGCTGAGATGACATGGCCTTTCTCATTTCCAGATCCTCAGCTTGTGTCGTGATATGAGCATTCACAGAGTCCACAGTTCGGTTGGCTTCATCAGTGACGTACTCTCGGGTTTTTTGCCCCTCGTCTTGCACAAGATGCTCCATCTTTTTGTGACCTTCTGCAATACGCGAGATGAACGCCTTCAAGGCCTGGTCGAGATTGTTGAACTCTTGACGCTGTTGTAGGAGGCCAGCTTGGTTTTGATCGCTATGATCATTTATATCAGCATTATGTAGACAATTTTGAGTCCAGGGAAGACTAACCAAACACGTGTGACCAATAAAGTCTGCATAGTATCTGTGTATCGACGCAGATTGTTATCAAGATCGTTCATCTTGTTCTTCTTGGGCCAAGACTCAAACACACCACGCACTGCAACTACCATATTTCCTTTACCTTTTTTGTGAAGTTCAGTGATGGTTTCTACTTCAGACGAAAGTTTTGTTGCTATTGACGTGCATTTCTCGGCAACATCAATCAGACATTTCTCTTGTGGCGTAGCTGCTGTCTTACAAAAGGCCTTGACGCGGTCTGCCGCCTGGATCATGGCCGATGCATTTTCCTCAAGTACAGAGTCAGGCGTTTTCTGACCGCGGTATATGTCTCTGCAAAAGAGGGTTGTTTCATGAGCGAAGCTAATAGTCTGAAAGACAGCACACGCCATCCCCAATGCCTCAAAGCCTGACATGTTGTGTGATGCTGTACTGGCTGGTCAGAGAATATTCGCAGAATAAAGTAAACTATGGCCTATAAGAGTAGATTTGTACCATTTTTTGTAATTGGGTTGGAAGTGCAAATAACTAACGGTACGATGCGACAGGCAGTTATGATTAGGTACTAAGGTACCTGCGTAGATGCCCAAGTTGAGTTTATTCCCCAAGTTATCTCCGCTACGGTGCATGACCACGTGACCGCTCGTGCACGTGCTTTCATCTCATCCTGCCTCCAAATCTCATCAAAGCTTCTTTGTCAAGTTCATCACGCCCTTCACAATTCTTTTTGGTTTCTTCCCGCGTCGTGCGCAAAATGTCGAGCATGGCCGAATCTCAATCTGATCAAAGCGAAAATGAAAGACCAGACGATAGATCTCAAAGCGAAGATGATTCAAGCGACAACAACGACTCCAGCGACGAAAGCTCTGATGATTCAGACGGCGGAGGACTGCTCGACACTATGGCCGCTGACGGCAGCGATTCGGAATCCAGTGACGACGAAGATGAGTACCAGAGTCACTTCAAATCAGCTTCAACCGACCATTACTTTCCGCAATTTTGTCGGCTACCCATAGAGTTACGCCATCGCATCTGGGAATTATTCTGTCCCGAACTGCGCGCTCGCTATCGCGTGCTCGACTTCGTTATTTCATGGGGAACCACAAGGCATCCTGAGTCAGATAGTGCTGTCGTATGGACCGTTCGTGATGGCCTTGCGCTCGAGGACCAAACGAAACATTTGCGCGCAGTCTTTGCAGTCCACCGAGAATCTCGCGCCTTTGCGAAAAACGCTTTTCCCAACTCCCTCAGCATAGATGCAGGCTCTGGAGACGCTACTGTTCCATTTAACCAGAAGTCGGATGTTGTTCTTGTCAACGGCCTCACTCATCCAGGGGGGAAGCAGATTTTTCACTTACCGGGCTTTGCGAGCGAAGTCAAAAACCTTGCGCTTGGCGGGCCTGATATCCTCGATAATCTTCGGAATATCAACACGATCAAACTATTGAAGGACTTTAGCCAGCTCGAATCATTCTATGTCAGCGTTTCCAGCACGGATTGCCAGAAGTCGAGCCTACAGTGGTGCACGTCCGATTTGGTCAACCACTACCGAACGGAAACATACGAAAAACAACCCGGCCTGGGGGAAGATTTGCAGTTCCTATGGTGCTGGCCTGATTTGGAGCGACACCCTGACTTTGCGAAATATCAGATCAACAGAGATACATGGGATGACCTACCAGATCCCCTTGGCAGCATTCTGGAGACAAGAGGGATCAAGGCATGGCCTATGGTTGCTTTTGAGTATGAGCGTGGAATGCGGAGATTCGAGTTGCTACAAACACTCGGGCCTGACTTTGGCGACGACAGCGACAGTTCCGATGAAGAAGACAACGATGACGACGATAATGGGCCGGATTTGGACCAATACGAAAGTGACGGAATTGACGACGACGAGATCATCGAGACTTACGAGGATTCAGATGATGATGGCATCTCATTAGCCAGTGGATCGCTAGCACCTGCTCGACAACTCCACCAGGTTTCCGACGACGAGGACGATGATGATGATGGTGTGGGAGCCAATTTCTCCGAACCAGAACCCGAGCCTGAGTCTGCACCTTTACAGCGTGGTCGGAAACGCCGCGTGGTTTCGGACTCGGATGATGAAGAGGAGGAAGAAGTCCAACCTTCAACAAAACGCGCTAGAGTCATCGTGGATTCCGACGATGAAGATGATGAACCGCAAGTGTCTCAACCAGAGCGAAGCCGAAAGCGATCGCGGGCGTTGGTATCTGATGACGAAGATGACGATGATCAAGGCGGCGTCTCAAGACAAGACTCGGACAATAGAGATTCTTCCAGCAGCGAAGAAGAAAGCGAAGACTCAGATGAAGAAGACGCGCCGCCCGCAAAGCTATCTCTAGCAGAGCGTCTGCGTCTCCACCGCGAAGAGAACCCTGTCGACAATGAGGATTCGGATGATGCCAGCAGCAGGACTGCAGATGAAGACAGCGAGGAGGATGAAGAGGAGGATGATGAGGAGCGCAATCCATTCATGATGGGTATGGCTGATGAGTCCGATGGCGAAGGAGAAGATTACGACGAGGATGATTACTAATTTTAATATTTTTATTCATTTCATTTCACTACTTGAAACCGGTTACAAACAGAAAATCCTCTAAAGCTAGATTTAAATATTTAATACACGATAGAACGTCTTCCAGCGATGGACTACAAACTCTTCTCACTTGCAAGAAGTGTAAGAAACTGCTCAATCCTCTTTGATCTCGTCTCTGGCTTTTTTGCAGTTTCCAACCGCTGAATGAACACGTACTTCTTTGTCTTTCCTAACCCCGCGAAGAAGTCTCCCGCTGCTTTGTTCTCATCCAACGCCTTTTGAAAATCTTCAGGGACAGTCGCGTTGCTACTTGATGAATACGCCCTCTCCCAACGTCCATCCTCCCTCGCCGCGTCAATTTCAGTTTGTCCAGCAGGTTTCATCTTTCCTTCCGCGATGAGCATATCGACTTTTTTCACGTTGCGCTGCGACCACAGACTTCCTTTTCGACGCGGCGTGAAGCGCTGGATGAAGTGCGTTTCATCAAGGGATTTACGTTGGCCGTCGATCCAACCGTGACAAAGTGCTGTGTTGAGGGCTTGATCATACGTTATTGATGGAATTGGGCAGGATTTCTTTGCGATTTTAAGCCAGAGACCTGAAGGGTTTGTGAGGTGGTTGTCGGTGAGATAGGATTCCCATTCTTGGGGAGTGGCGAAGAGACGGGTTTCCAACTGTGATGATTGGGTTGAGCGGAGTGGAGGATTGATTGGTGGCGTTGAAAGTTGAACACGGGTCAATCTTTTAGCGGTAGAACGAGTTTGTCGCGACATTTTGGCACTTTGACAGTACAAGATGGAGGTAGGATTGTTACAAATGCGCAGGACCGTGTTGTGACTGATGCTGACAGGAATCCTCACCGTGAATAACGCTAAACCAAAACAATTCACGATACATAGCTACAAACAGAGGAAAATGTGGTTTAAATGTACATATAGATATCCTAAGAAGTTTGGAATTATATTTATGATGTTTTTTATTGCAAAAAGACGCGTCTTTCATCTCTTGTAGCAAGTTGTCGCGTCCGAGAATAAAGCTGTAGGGTAAACTGTCGCGTCAGGCTCGGAGAGAACAGCGGATTACAGCACGTGACGCAGTAAAGAATTGAAACTCAATGGAGCCGTAGACTACAGGCGGGGACAACGTCTTGACATCAGAAATCTCTACAGCTGGCAGTCTTTACTCTCGATATTAAAAAGAGAGTTTCCTAGAACGATGCCAGTGGTCAAGAGGCCATGTCTTCAATGCAAAGGTGAGATATATGTCATTGTCAATTGAAAACTACGTAACTAACAATTCTCAGATAAACATGTTAAATGTAGATAAATCCACTGAGACTGCAGATATTTGAAAAGAGCTAATGACTTTAGGTGATGAGGGACAACCTAGATGTAATCGTTGTATCGTCAAGAACTTGCCTTGTGCTCGACCAGCCAAAAAGACCGTCTTTCGCAATTCATCAACTGGACCTTTGACTAATCAGACTTGGATCAACAGCGAGGTCAGAGACTGTAAGTCAAAGAAGCCACTCACCAATTACTCAATGAAACAGCACTGAATGCGACATAGTTGGCAGTAACCCTCGGAGCCACTTTGATGTAGACAGCGGCAGGTCCCCGAGGCTCATAGCAGACCACACTGAGGCATCATCACATGTCCAAAGAGAATTGCCACCCTTCCACGACAGTATAAGAAACAATCATCCGATATATCCGACTACAACCACGCCGCAATCAACTGGAAACTCACCGAGTTATCCATCATCACCTTGGCAGCAAGGAACCGGTCGATCACCCACGGATCAACCAAGTGTTTCAAGTGTCTATTCAGCGAGCCATGATCAGCCGTCTCCCTACGGTCCACCGCATGACCAGAACAGGGACCATGTCCCGTCTCCAAGAGGCTATCAGACGTACAGTTCTGTGGAATCGACGAGATTTCCGCTCCAAGATCCACAAGAGGCATGCTTGCTACGATATTTTGTGGAAGAGTTGTCACATTGGGTAGGCCCCGGTAACCTCACCCATAGGATCAAAGCGTGCTAATAGGATTAGTTGGATCTCTGTGACGAGAGAAGACATTTTCAGCTTGTTGTGCCCATTAGAGCTCGACATCATCCGCCATTACTCTATGCGATATTCGCATTATCAGCTCGACATCTAAGCCGTTTACCTAAGTATAAAACGCCACAGGGAATATTATATCAAGGACAATTACTGCCTAAACTTACACCTCATGACGCAGTAGAATACACGTTAAAATGTATTCCTGCGCTCCGAGATTTTCACACTATTCAAGATGACGAAAAGCTCGAGAGTATAATCGCAACAGCTGGTAAGATTGTGTCAATAAATTGAATGTAACACGACCGCTTACTCAGACCTCAGTCATTCTTCGTCAATTAGAAGAGATCGACGACGAAGAAGATAGTAGCAGCGAACAGGACGAGCAAGAGCGGAATCAACACGGAAAAGAAACACAAACGTCAAAGCCTCAGGTGAATTTCTTGGCCATCATCGATGCCGTCCTGAGAAGTCCACCGTCAAGGACCCTGTTCGGTCGCCGATCCCTCATCCAAGCGGCATACTGGATGGCCGTTCGCCAGGAGCTCTACCACTCTTTCACGAAACGGCACCCGCCAAAAATGGTTCTGGACGCGGAATACGGTCTCGGCGCGTCAAAAGCTAACAAGATTGTCCTTCACACGGCACAGGTAGCAAAGTGGCGATGGGCTGATGGGTCTGAGCAAGAGTGGTGTGCGTTTTGCCTATTACCCGAGATTACGGACGTGCTGACCGATTGCTGAGTAGTAAGACTACAGAAACAGGGCGAAACTCTCGAAGAGGAAGCTTTGAGGGAGTACCAGCCGTTTTACATGCGTCCGGCTGATAGGTCTAATGGGGAGATCTTCCCGATTATCTGGTACTCGTCCGCGCTCGAGGTGACAAGCATGCAGCTGTGCATCATAGCTAAGATGGTTCTCATGGCAGAGAATCCTTTCCTCGGGTGCGTACAACCGAAATCTAATCTTGTTTTTGAAGATCGCTTATTGACGTTAAAGTTCAGAGGGAATTCATCAACACGTGCGCAGTGGAGAGAGATTGAGAATCAGGTTCGACAGATGATACTGGATTTATGCGGTATCAGTCTTTGTCATCCAGGTTGTCCGCCTGCTTTGGTTCATGCTGCCTTTGGAATGGAGTTGTATGGAGATTTCTTCACTGATGAGTATGAAAGAAAAGCTTTGAGAGGCGTTGTTGATAAATTTCGCGATGCGAGAGCTTGGCCTGTCCAAAACCTGTCAAGGATATTCGAGTAAGGGACCGTGTTGGTGAGGATGGATTACTATTCATGAAATTCAGGGTACGTACCTGACCCCGGCAGTCAATTTGTTTAGGGTCCTTGGCAGCGGCATTTTCACAAATTAGGCTGGGACTAGCAGAACGGAAGGAGAATTAGCATCTGTGATTACACTGGGAAATGTACACGAGATTATCAGTGTAGAATACACGGAAATGTTCTTCCCGAGAAGCTGGTTTTGTAAGGAGCAATAAAACTGCCATTACCGGCATCGTAACATGGTGTCACGCTAGATTCGTTGACCCTGTCGTGTCTCCGATATGTTTCGGCTGAGCGCTGCTGATCATTTCCTTTTGGTATCCTCCCCCATGAAGAGCTGGCACAAGGATGAGGGAGGGTTGTATCGCCGACTCGGCAAGATCGTGTCAAAGGTGGCATACATCGTGTCAACCAGCCAGTGGTGTTGGAGAGAAGAGTAATTAGATCTTGATTAGCACGAAATTCGGAGGATTTGGAACGCTGAATCCTGATCGACCTGTATCCTTGAGATGTTTGCATGTTTGCCCGCTAATAGCATTTCAGGGCACCACTAACATAATGCGACCCTGAAAGTCTGTTGCGTCAGCTTCAGGCACAAACAGACAATCTCTCCAATCGCGCACGTGTTTTGCCCTCTGTTTTTTTTTTTTGGGGCGCATGGAGCGGAAAATAACCCGTGAGTTGTTTGATGTTGCAATGCAGATCTCTCTCCACGGTAATCTCCTGGAGAGCCCACAAGGTGCTACCAAAGCGCTGGGTGCACCGCCGCAGGCAGACATATGTAGCAGCGGGAAAAGGAATATGGTGTAAAGAGGCACATTACATTCGAGGTCGGATATTGAACGTTGAGATAGCACAAGAAAAACGAGTCTTGTAATGCCATGAACACGTTTCAACGTCTCACTGTGTTTGACTCAGAGGACCTGACTAATGAATGTACGCTCTGACTTTACTGTAACCTTGTTCCCGCGTGGGAGGCCGTTACGCATAAAAAGGTCTAAAGAGCATTGGGCAGCAAATGAGGAGACGGGCAAAACGATGATGGAAAGTCTGACGCCGGTGCAACCCAGATGACTGGATCAAAATAGGGTTATGACGACAAGACTTTGTGTTGATCACTTTGCTGTTTAGCGCTCAATTGTTTTTGAACTGGGCCTTGTAATTTGCAACTCGGAAGCCAGTTGTTGTTAGGCTATCGCGTGTGGGTGATCGAAATTAAGATCTGCCAAAAAGCCAGACTGGGGGGTCTAGACAAGGCTCTAGGTGCGGACCGCGTTGGCAGATACCAAGTGGGTATCTTGGATGAGGAGAAGTAAAACAAAAAAAGAAAGGAGACGAACGCCTCTTCCAATAATGACAAGATTCAAGACATTGAGAACGGGTCTCGGAACTCACCGGCGATGGTGATTGTGATAGAGGCTGGCTGGAGGATTCAGTGGCTCAAATCTAGTGGGCCTTTGCACTGTAACTGTCCAATGTTACCTTTTGATCGACTTCAGCTGTTCGTTTATCGCGTTTGCGTGGAGATAGTTACGGGGATGATGCTGGAACAAAATGCAACCCCCGATGGATTTCGCAATTATTATTGCTTTTGTAGGGACAAACATTACATCGATCAGAAAGTTTAACAGATCAAGTAATATTACAGTCTTCTTTTTGCCCGTATCCAAGAACCTTATTCAGGTGAACGAACGCCTACGGTCCAGGAACCAACGGTGACTAGCCCCCCAGGCCAGCCACCATTAAATCACAGTGGATACAGCACCCAGTTCAGTAAAACATGCATTGTGGCAGGCCTCACATCACGTTGTGTCTCCCTTCAGTCACTGTCAGCAAGGGAGATGGAAAGACATCTTCCGACGCAAGGGCGACTCTGATAAGAGAGAGCGGAATTTTGGATTGTCAGTTATCACCAGACATTAATCACATTGTGTCAATCACAGTACCCAATCCTGCTTGGTTTCCGAGGTTGTCTGTTTGTAACAGCTCAAGACAAGACCGAGGGTAAATAGCACAGACAAACACACAAGCTTTTCTGTTTCTTATGTCGTTTCACGACCGATTCAAACAAAGTTTGCTAGCCAGGGTTGGATGCTCTAGACCTACCCTCAGGTCATTCTTCGTCAAGGCTGCTGCAGGGCGGAGAGACATAGAACGTGGCCCGGTGATAAGCAAAAAAAGAAAAGAGAGAAACAGAAACATGTTCATCTGATCTTTTCTCTCGTGGCTGGATGTTCGCAGCTCAAATGCAAGGGCGTTTTGGCCGTTTTCTCGCAGCACAGCAACAAGCAAAACTCAATTGTGGTGTATTATGTCACACTGACGATCCTTCCTTGAATGCAACGCTGTCTCATGCACCCCTTGCCGAAGAGGCAGCACTGAAACAAAAAAGAAGAGACATGCAGTATCTGTCACTTCACTGTCATCGGACGAGAACCGTCGATTTGTAATTTACAAACAAAGGAACCGGTCTGTTCGTCCAGGGTCCAACATCAATTACCTACCTGTCAATGTCCATTTCCCCTTCAGTTCAGTCATCTACGGTAGTGGGCTAGTTCTACGGTACAGGGCACGTCCCTTATCTGAGCACCAATTAATTCCGAACTGCGGGTTGACCAATCGGGACTTGCAAGGGTTCTCTGAGTCCAGGTAGCCCTACCTCAGTAAGGTCAAGATCAACACGATGGGTCGACGAGAGAAGATCGACTGACCCCAGTAAAAGAGACTACCGCTAGTGATCTGTCTCCCGGAGCTTACACACATGTGCAAAATGCGCCAAGGATCTGGGCTGTTGTGCAAGGGATAAACAGACGCTCATCCATTTTTCTGAACTCTCACACTCTTTCCTTCTCATCCGTTCATTTGACATCTGCAAGAGAGCTCTCTTTTTAATCTTCTTCCCCTTGTCCGTTATGGACCTTGCGAGCTAGTTCATCACTTCAGTTGGCCTGATCTAGTTAGCAGAGAGACACCCTTCCCGTCCCGCCCGTTCAGTCAAACCATTATTTTGTGCAGCTACATAATACATCATCATCTCCGCTTCGCCCTTCCATTTGTCTCCCCTCTTCAAGCTTAAGTGCATCATCTGCTGTACTTGCTTCGAACCAACCCCGACCTCGAATATTTTGTACGATATCCAACATCGTACATTCCTTCCAACCACGTTCCTTACAAGACAAAGACTATATTATACTTCCCTTTCTTGAACACACATCGATCTCTACCACAGTTTCTTTTTATTATCGTTTCAATAATGGCTTACTCCTCCAAGCCGCAGCCCAACCTCGATGGGTTGGGCATCTTTTGGATCGTCTGGACCTTTATCTGGACTTTCATCGTTATTAGTGGCATGGTCTTCCTTTGGCGCCGTCGCGACATGCCTATGCTTCGAATTCGAGACCTTCCACTTACCTTTGTCGCCATCATGATGCTCCACCTCTACTGGGGCGCCGTCCAGACCGGATATGTCTACTTCCCACTATTTACTCCTGAGGGCGAGTACTGGATCATGAGCATTTACTTTCCTATCGGTATCGCCTTGTTTCACGCCTCCAACAGTCGCTTTTTGCATGTTGCCAAGCAGCAAAAGGAGCTTTATGCCTCGGATGAGAAGTCCTACAGTAGGCCTCGTGCAAGGCGGGATACTTGGCTTGGGAAATTCCAGGCTTTGGATTACACTAGGAAGATTCTCGTAACAATTGGATTGGGCATGACTGTTCAGGTATACATTCACCTCTTATCGCAATATAATGTAGACCAAACTAACATGGGCAGTTCATCCTCACCATCATCATGTGGTGCATCTCCAAGAAGTTCCATCACAGCTGGGGTCTTGCAGGTACTGAGATTCACCCTGGTACTGAAGAGTACGAAAAGGCTCAGATTGGCAAGGGATGGGAATGGTAAGCATACTCTCCTCATCAAATGACATCAAACATACTGACCCTCTTAGGTGGCCTTCTGTCTTCTGGCAATTTATCTGGGCATGGGTCGTCGCCCCTTACATCCTCTGGCAGTCGCGTGGCATCAATGACACGCAGGGATGGAGAACTCAAACCATTGCTTGTTGCATTGCCAAGTGAGTCTCCCTTGAAGAAAAGTAATTAATCTGAACACCACTCTAACCAAGACACAGCCTTCATGCCACTCCTATGTGGCTCGTCGCCTTGTATGTTCCAGCTATGGCACCTATTAACGCCTACTGGATTCCTCCCCAATGGTAAGTCCAAGCCACCTACCTCAATCCCCTTTAACACCCCCCAAAGGACAACTCAAACTGACTTTTACTTCTTACAGGCTTGCCATCTCTATCATGGCCATTGAGATCTTTACCATCTTCTGGCCCTGCTGGGAAGTCCTCCAGCACCAAACCCTGCGTCAAGAGACCCTTGACTCCATTGCCCAATGGCAGCTCAACAAAAAGGCGGTCACCCATGGTGCTCAATCTGTCGTCAATGGATCCACGACTGTCGCTGCTTCAGCTCTTACCGCCTGGTCCAAGGACGGTTCCGTCAAGAGCAGCGCTTCAGGTGAGAGTATTCTTACCATGGAGGCTCTCGAGTATGTCCTTGAACGCAACCCCGAGCCTCTTCAACAATTCTCTGCCCTTCGCGACTTTTCTGGCGAAAACATTGCCTTCTTGAGAGCTGTCGCTGAGTGGAAGTCTTCACTGCCGCCTTCCGTCCGAGACCCGGAGAAGATCAAAGAGCCTGCTGTGCAAGAGCTCGTCCGCGAACGATTCAACAGTGCCCTGCGCATTTACACCAGCTTCATTAGCTCGCGCGACGCCGAGTTCCAGATCAACCTATCTTCCCAACAACAACGCAAGCTCGAGACTGTCTTTGAGAACTCTGCGCGTGTCCTCTTTGGTGACAAGGGTACCGTCGACCCAGCACTACCATTTGAGACATTCCAGATGACCACAACCGCAAATAAGGTCAAGTCTTCTGGCGCTTCGACACACGGTTCCGAGACGGGCATCATGTCTACAGAATCCGACTCTGGAAACCAAAGCGACAGGGCTCTTTACTGGGGCGACATCCCCGAAGGCTTTGACGCGACCATCTTTGACGACTCGGAGGGACACATCAAGTACCTTGTTCTGACCAACACGTGGCCCAAGTTTGTCAAGGACCGACGATGCTCAATTGACTCGAATGATACCCTGGAAGCTGGAAATGGAATCCCTGCCGGTCGATAGAATGGAAATATGGTCAAAGAATGTTATGGATTTATTGGAGTTGATGATTACAAGTGATTCCCTGTTTATCTTTCGCTTTTATTGGGAGAGCTTTCTACGTATCTATTAATGTAAACACGACGTACTGTCAATTCTTGGATAATGAATATCCATTTCCTATCTTTATTATGCAATACGTACAATGAATGTGAATCCATCTGTCATCGTCCATCTTGGCATTGTCAACTGCCGTTTATCCTCGTGATGCTTTGGAGCCTGGGTAGGTAAGCCACAACGGCTGAGCCGTGTCGGCTTACAGGGCACTATCCGCTAAATCCTGACCTGACTAGCGGTTAATCCCGTGTAGAGATCCCTGTGCTTTCAGCGCCATTACGTCCACGATATCGAAGAATGATCAGACCAGAGCAGACAGACAGACCCTGTCAAAGTAGGTGGCCACCTGCAAGTCTGATCACATCGATAGTGAGATATTGCCAAAATGAGAAATTGTATCCAACAGCATGGAATTGTCAGTTGGTGGCGTAGATCCGGTTACTCTTTTCCGTTGCATGGCCCCTGCGACGATCTCTCCCCTGGCATCCATCGTCAGACGTAGAGTACGTAATTTCTACATCAAGATACATAGAATTGGAGAGCCAAGAAGTCGGGAGAGGGTTGTGAACATTGAACATTTCAAATAATAATTAATAAAAAAAAAATAAAAAAATAACCTAGTGATCTTACTTTCCTTTTCTTTCGTATGCTTCTTATCCCCCTTTGAACTAGAACAAGACGCATTCGAGCTGTTTGTACCCTGAATCTCGTATCTCTTTTGCCTTTGCTTCTTCTTCTTCTTCTTGTCTCGTCTGATTGTTATTCGTTACTGTTCGTATAATCATCGTCACTGACACGTTATGCCTGTACAGTTCCGAGTCATTCATTTTGCAAACACTTTTCGGATATCTGTCAAATTTCTGGGCCTGTTTTATGTTGCATAAAGGCAAACGTAGCATATTTAAGGAACAGGAAAGCGAATGGTTATGCTAAGGCAGATCGAAGAACAACCATTGCATTCCTTTTTTTTGTTCCAGATTCCTGCATATACTCCATTGCGCCAATCGATGTCAAAGGAAGTAAACAGTCTGGATTGCTATCAGGACATAACATTGCGTTATTCATTTTAGATGAGGTAACCAGCAAATGACCTATCCAGAACCAGATGGATTGTTACCAATTGTCTGGGGGTCGTCGTCGTCAGAAACATTCTCATCACCTTCGTCGGGATAATCATCTTGCGGCGAACCGGCCTGAGACCCTTCCAAGACCTCTCGAAGATTTTCTGCTTGCTCAGCCGCTGTGAAGATACTGATATGGACCTTGTCATAGCTACCCCATATATCCGTTGCATGTTCTCATGCACTTGTGTAAGCACCGCCACGCAGGCTTTCAAATCCTCTATGCGAGTCGTGGCAATATGGATTTGGGAATACATGTGGAGATATTGGATGGGATATCCGCCCACTTCGTAGCCGCAATTGTGTATGTCAAGTGCTACAATCGATGTCTTCCTCAAGGCTGTAAAGACCTCTTCCCATGTACCAGACTCGATAATAATTTCGTGCAGAAAAACCTCTTGAAGACTTGTGCATCTCTCAATAATCGAAATAAGTGCTTCTCCTGCTATGCGTGAAAATTCAAGGTAGAGTAGCCGAAGATGAGAATGCGGAAGAGCTGACGCGGTGAGTCTTAACCAACCTGGGCTCTCAACTCTAAGAGATTCAAGATTCGATGCCAGAGGTAGTAATTCTTGGACATATTTAGCGTTGACTTGATGGGATAAACTTTCTTCTTCAGTATTGTGCGCAACATCAACCCTTAGACGCTTGAGATGTTTGAAGAGAAACCTTGTCGATGAACTCTCCACTTCATTTTCATCGTCAAGAAAGTATCCGTAATCGTGTCCGAGGGATAATGAGAGATCGAGTTCTTCTAGCTTGTCAAGCCCAGACCTGGATATTGCCGTAGAAAATGATCGGTAGAGATCCTTGGTATCCTGAACCCAATATGGCGTGCCACCCCTGCCCTCATCTTTGATACACCCATCGGATCTAGATAGAATGTTCCCAAAGTCGAGCTTGAGAACCGCGAGGTTGGGAAATCTCGGTAATGTACTATGGATGAGTGTCGAGATGCGTGCAAGATACTGTAGGTGTTTCTCTTCGGATTCTCCTTCATCGTTCACATAGCCATAGTGGAATTGCATGACGCCGAACTCTAGTCTGCGAACCACTTGGCGAAGCGAAGGGTCCACTGATAACTTGTCTAGTCGTTCTATCCCAGTTTGTTTGAACACTAATGCGTCGTTGATATTCAATCGACTGCCTGAGAAGATAATGATGTGTTCAAAGAGTAGAGGGGTAACCAACTGATGAAAGATGTGGTTTACAGCACGCAACGACATCAAATACTGCTGCTGGTTCACTGCTGTTAATTCATGTTTACCAACTGGCAAGTTGAAATGCCAATCCTCATCATGTTTAGGACCATCATGCATGAGCGACAGGATCTGTGGCATGTCAGCAGGTCTAAATTAAGACGAGAAGTTGAGCCGTACCTCGGTGAGAATTTCGGGTGGTAAGCTTGCAAGAGAAGGTATTGTTACTTGCCTTATTAGATGTAGGCGAAGAAAAAGGTAAGAATGTTCGTCGCAAAACAGACGCGTCGATCCTGACTGAAAGTAATAGGGCTGTGCGTGCACACGAACAATGTTGATTGAGCAACGTTGTGTCTAGCGAGGCTAAACTAGAACATGGCCAATGCCGTTCCGTCTTCTTCCAGCAACGTCGATTGGTTTATGTCGTTTGCCGCATAACTCAACATCAGGCTGTGAAAAAGCAAATCTCACACAAGATGATTGGTTTGTTGGTTTGTTGGTTTGTTGGTTTGCGGCAATGAATTGCCATTTTGGTTTTGGTCTGCATATGCAAACCCAAAGCTGAAACTTGCCAAGAAGCCAGCATTATCCGCAGCAGAATACTTGATGTGATCTTGAAGACATCTTCATTATGAAGAACACACTTGCCAAAGTCTACCAAGTCTACCAGGCACATGAATAGTCTTCTGAAGTATATCCAAAACCCCTTGTCTTAACTAGTTTTATGGAATGGAATAGAAACATTACCGTGACTGTTGCTGTTAACCCACCCTAGCATTACCCCTGAAGTGGCCGAAATTAGAGTATAGTACAACCAACAAAGATAAGCATGTTACATCCCTGTCATGAATCTCCGTGGCCTCATGCTGTCTACCCAACCTCTCTTACCATAAATACCTTTCACATCATCCCATCCCTGGTAATTTACCACAACCAAATATTTTCCATCGCACATTATGATACATTCAAAGCCCATATCAGAGAGTGTTACTCTCATGGCCGAGCCAGACAACCTTGAAGATCACCACCCTGTCGAAATGACACCGCATGTCAAAGCGGGGAGCCCTGAAAATTCAAGCCAGTCGCCATTTTGGCTCACAAAAGCCGCCTTACTTCTGTTTGTTTTCATTTTTGCGTCCTGTAGCGTATCACTCATTGCTATGCACCGCTTCATGCATGCACAAGGTGGCCTGCCATTGAAACTCTCTTCAAGCGAGTACTCCTGGACGTATGGCCCAACAGCCGTGCTCGTCATCATCATGAGTCTCTGGAGACGTATCGACTACTACTACAAATCAACACAGCCTTGGATGGAACTTCAATCTGGACCCGTACCCGCTTCTAGATCATTACTTCTCGATTACATATCGCCTTTCCAACTCCAAAGTATGTACCAGGCTTTCAGATTTGGCCATTACCGTGTCACTGCTACAATCTTTTCGTTCTTTCTAATGAAGGCTATCATTCTTGTGTCAACCACTTTATTCGTCGTTCAGAACTCCTCACACCATGAGACAATTGATATCACGTACCAAAATACATTCGATGCAGCTCAAATATGGTCATCTCCATCATACAACGTTTTGAATGATTACGAGCCTTTCGACAGCCACATCTTTGATGGTTCAGAGAATTCTGTTTGGGGGTACCTTGCACGTCTAAACGGCGCAGCAGCAAATAACTCAGCTTGGAAGACTGAAGACGGGCTTGTCAGTCAGCAGTTCCGACCAACAGAATCATCGCTGAATATTACCTCCCTCGAAGCACAAGTAGAAGTCTTTGTTCCAAACATCACCTGCGAAGATGCGACTCTGGTATCTGAGATTTCCGATACCAGTGTTGCATACTCATGGAATTCATCCACATGCTCTGCAGGCGTTGCTACTACTTCAAATAAATGTTCAAATATCAAAACGGAGGCAAAGTTCTGTGGAGAGAAACCTTGGCACTATTCGTTTTTCCGCGCCAATTGCTCAAATGGTATCAAGACATCTGAATTCTATGAGCAGAAATTCCCTCACGACATCGAGAAATATGATATAAGACATGTAATCACAGCCGCTCAGTACAACATCGATTTAGAAGTCGCCCAAAAACATATGTCTAACGCAGTGAAACTCATTGATTATACTGCTATCATCTGCAAAATCGGCTATAGTATAGTATCAACGAAGGCGACATACAATCCTCTAGCAGGCCACGCAACAATCTCGACAGCGGCCGTGAAGAAGGGTGGTACACCGTTGCACAACTTGACGAGTCCTTATCTTGCTGAAATGCTATTTAGCAATCTTTACAGATCCGGGGAGGCTCTTGTCACTAATAAGACAATCATGGCCGAAACTCTACACCTCGGGTGGGAACGGCGGCAAAGTGAGGCACTTTTCCAGATGATGGCTGTGGCATTAGGAGATAATTTCGAACCGGAGATGTTCCTAAATTCCTCCATCCTTAGAAATACCTCTATTGCTGTCGTGGACGGACTGTTGAACGAACTAGCCCGAGAGTTACTCCTTGTCAACAAAGAATCAAAAGACACTGCCGACGGTCTTGTCAGCGAACCCAGGCTATGCACGAGAAGTGCGGCTGTTTGGGCCATGGCTGCAGGTTTTGCTTTGTTGGCAGCTATTTCCTTACTGTTATTATTCACATCATCGCGAAAGCTTTCGATACATGCATTTTGTGGATCTATTGCTGGCCATGCATCTATCCTAGCAAACAGTCCTGTCTTGCAGAATGTATTGAGATACTCGGGACACTCAAGCGAAAACGATTTGGTTGTTGTGCTGGATGAAGCTCAATTCAAGGCAACTACCAACGGCAGCGGAGACATGAGTGTTGAAATATCCAAGAGTAACATGTTGTTGAGTACCACAACCTCTAAAGATACCCCACAGGTTAAAGCTTGGGTACCTTTAACTGGAAGTCTCCCTTTTGTCATTGCAACAATCGCCTTCCCCATCCTAGCCATAGGTGTACTCGAACTTCTCCATCAACTTTCCAATCAGAGACAGGGTCTTATTGATATGCACAAAGACGACTCAACTGGCTTGTCATATGTCACTCGCATCGCCTCAACAGCAGTAGTTTTCGCTATTGCCACAATGTTCAATAGTCTCGATTTCAACATAGCAACACTTGCCCCTTATAGTGCCCTTCGGTCCGGAAGCGTCCAGGCCAATAGGAGTATTTTGTTTCACCTGCTTTCTGTCTCTCCATTCTTGGTCATTATGAAGACCCTTCGAGCTGGTTACTTCGGTGCAGCCACTTCGAACATATCGACGCTTTTGGGCAGTTTTCTTACAATTGTCGTTTCTGGTCTCTGGATTCTTACTGGAAATATCCTTCTTGTGAAGCCATCTTCGGTGATGGTTACAAACTGGCATGCTTCATGGCCTATCAATGGTACAGATGATGGAGGCGCCGCTGTGGCTCTGAATCTTATTCGTAACGGCGGCGCCAATGCATCGTTGGGAATATGGGAAGATATTGTCCTCCCAGACATCGAGCTCTCTGTGTCTCACACTCCATCATCTGATCTTAATTACCAGTATTTGAACTATACTTACAGAGTCGGTGCTCTACGACCGTTTCTTAGTTGTATGGCCATTCCGTCGAGCAGTTTCACTTTAGAACTGGATGTATCAAGTATATACCGCCGGGAGATTTTGTCAGCACATTTCCTTGCTCCATACAGTTGCGGCGATGTTAAAGTCAACAAGATGGCCAATATCTCTTTTGGACTTAACCCAATACTCCTAAGATACCAGTTTGCTGGAGCCTCAGAACGGGCCGTCTCTGGATTCATTGGTGGGTACATCGACTTGAACACCACCGCTGGCACATCTGATGCTGAGTGCCCATCGGTCGGTGTTTTTTTTGGGCGGATAAGCGACAAAGATATACCCACCTGGAATTTGACGGCATTGGTCTGCTCTCAGGGCATTGAGCAAATTCCCGTCGACGTAACATACAAAGGTAATCCTGCGTTACGCCAGATCAATGAGGATGTTCAACCAAAACTAGAACGTGATGAGGGATGGAGATGGATGAACAAAACTTCAAAGTCTCAAACATTGGGTTACCGACTTCATCGCTTCTTAGATGCTGATTTGGTACGTTTCGCTGGAGAGTCTTATGACAGCAGTTATGATCTATTCTTTAACCAATTGCTGCTTGGCCCCAATGGAATGAGCAGAGAAGACCTCATTGGCCCAAACAACGTGAACAAACTAATTCGTGCCGTCGAGAGAAACTACGCTGAATACATGAGGATTGTCATTGACCGCAACTTTCGGGCAAATAAGAACAATACAGCTGAGCTTATGACAGCAGAAGCGTTTCCATCCAAAGCAAGTCCTTCGTCCTACAAGACTAAGATAAGCGGGACATCATACGAATATGGAACCCGATTGGCGATCAACTCAACTTCAAAACTCATCCTCCAAATCTTGTTGGCGGCCATGGCAGTTCTTGGACTCGCAAGCTATCTTCTCGTCAAAATAGACGGAACACTCCCACGAAACCCATGCAGTATCGCAAGCACAATGGGTTTTCTAGCTGGCTCCCAGCTTTGTGATCCAAGCTCGGGAATTATACCAAGAGGAGCTGAGTACATGAGTGACAAAGAGTTGGCAAATGTGTTCGACGGGTGGGTGTTTAGTCTTGGGTGGTGGCATACTCAAAGATCTTCTGACACCCAGTCAAGTGACTCCGGGAGTATGGATGTTGTAGGAAGTGAACAGGAAGATGGCGCAGAATCGACTAGGGAGGTCTCCAAACGATTTGGGGTTGATGTTGGATGTGCAGACGTGTCCAAGTTTTGATGTTTCTGCTGTTTGTCTCATCGTGGCTTTGCAAGTTACTTATTCTTCTCTAGAATATTATTCTTACAGTTTAGTCATTAGATAAGAGTCCTTTGCTTTCTGAGTATTACAAATGGAATGACAACATCGCGAACCAAACATCACCATTGTACTAGGTTCGAAAGTGCGTCGGCGTCCTCTCATGAAAATCTCAATTCCGTTTTCCGTGCTTTTTTTCTTTTGCCAGCTAAACATCCCTTATTGCTGACGCTTGACCTCAACCTCAAGCTCAATCAGCATTGAAGGGAAGGCTAGGTGAGGCACTGTAACAGCAGTCCACACATGGCGATGACCTGGGATACGGTTCTTCAAGGCTTCGGCAGTGGGCTCCCAGGAAGAACGGATGTCGCAGTGATATGAGTGAAGCAGGTAAATATCCTCCCAACCCCGCAGTCCAACATTCTTAAGCACAAACATTCTCAATTGCCAATTAGACTTGTTTGTTGCTGTCATTGACGTCCATAGTGCCTATATGTTAAGCTACCACAAAAGCGAGCCACCGAGTGGAGAACAAACAAAAGGCATGATAACGTGATCCATCAAGTTCAGGATCTTCACAGCTTATGTAAGAATCGTTGTAGAAGCAATAACACTGAGAAGCATATGAGGAATTTTTTCATCTCGGGATTCAAGATAAGGTTTGTGCTATAAGCACGCTATACCAACACCTTGATAACTCTATACTTTACTAGGGTGGGCGGAACTCCGCCCAATAAGTATTTGTCTCATCCCCATTATTCATCATGGTCATCATCATGGTTGAATCAAGACCAAACATCAGTATTCCAAAGTCACTGAACTCACTATTTCAGATAGGATAGATAAGAAGCCACTAATCCTGAATTTTCATCTCCAACAACACATTTTTATTTTCTTGTTCCAACCCGCACTACTCTGACCCCGAATTGCTTATCTACATAGAAAGCAAAGGGCTTTAAGTGCCATAGCTTTCTCTACTTCATCATTCCTACCATAAATCAACATGCTCACCAGACGCAGGGGAGAGTTGATTATCCTTGTTTTTGCTATGTACAACCACTATTCTCTCTAGTCTTCCGCCTTACCAAGGAATTATGGTTCCATCATGTGACAAGAAACGTCCATGTACCTCCTCGTGGCTACTAGCAACAATCTATTCAGTTAACGTGTATCCTCAGAATGCGTCAAGGCTGTACTAACCAGCTTCTTCAAACATTGGGCGCTTTCTTCGACAGAAATAAGCTTGAAGAGATTGACATCGATGTTGGGATTCAACTTCTTGATTTCTTGAAGAGTCGCCTTTGTCATTTCAGTGTCGACGAGGCTTGAGTAAACCTCGGTTAGTTACAAAGTATATCGCAGAAAGTTTGATAAACATCACTTACCCGGGGTGCAATGCAAAAATGGTCGGTCCCGAATTTTCAGCAGCAAGCCATCTTACAAAGTGGTTTGCAACTAATTTGCTCGTGGCGTAACATGCCAAGGGCAAACTAGTATCAATATTGTTGTTTGTACCGATACCACTTGTGATTGCACAGAACGTGGGCTTCTCCGACTTGACCAGAAGAGGAAGTGACGATTTGAAGAGTTCCACGATTCCGTACGCATTAGTGCTCATGTACTCCTGCATCTCCGATAGCGGTGTTTCGTGGAGCTTGCGGCTTGCACCGCCTTTTCCCGCATTGGCGACCACAACGTCTAGACTCCGGATACCATGGTCGTCGATGAGATGTTTGAATGCATTGTGGATTGATTGGCTATCTCCTGCATCCATCTTGACCCTGATTAGTTTGCTGTCCGTACCTCGAGGCAACTGTAGAAGCGATTGGGATGACTCGTGCTCGAGGTCGCGCACGACGGCAATAACGATACTTCGTGGCTCAGAGAGAAAGGATGCGATAAGTCCCTTTCCAATACCTGAATTCTGTGAGCACAAAGTAAGGTGTAGGCAGATATCGAGATTCTACCTCTGTTCGCGCCGGTGACGAGATATGTAAGTGAAGCCATAATGTTGTTCAAAGTTAGGAGACGTGGTGAGTTTGAGTTTATGGGGTGGATATGAGTATGTCAGAGGACATTTGAGAGACATACGCAAGTGCTTTTATACACGACACGATCATGATTCTTGGCTCCTATGTCGTTTGCCCCTTTACAAAACCTCTGAATCCTTGCATCTCCATGATTCTTGCACCAAATTTGCTCATGAAGCTTGGATGAACATTGGACCGAGCTTGATAATCAACTTGATTGATATGGCGGAGTTCCGCCATTCAAGGTTAATTTTAGTCTGGCCTAGCGAACTCGGTGGGTTATTCCATCGGTGTAACTAATAAGTCTCCGAGTACTGGTTGCATGGGTATAATGATACCCCGACAGACCGACTGAGGAACACATTAGCAGTTCTCTGAGACTGATATGGACGACGCCTTTCCACTGGATTGCGTCACTGACCGGCCCTTGCAACTGATCCTTCACCCAGATCTTAGGGCTTTATTGGCCTTGGGGTTCCCAAATAGGATCATGAAGAAATCCATCATGCCCGAAAGCGTTTCGTTCGGCATCTGGGCGGCCATGTCTGTTTGGCTGGGTATCTCTGTAGATTTTCCAGCTTTCAAGGCTTCTAATGAACCTGGTGACGCTAAACTTTGTCCCCTTAACCGTTTCCGCTATCTGAACCAACTGGTTCGGCGTGAAGCTACACCTATTAAGTAAGTGTCTAGTTGCCATCTAGGTACGTCCAAAGATACAACAACAAAGCGGGCCACATCGGCTTTAATAAAGGCAAATGTGCTGGGTATATTGCCGGAGCCGGTAGTCCCAACTATGTCGTAGTCTATATCTATATGTATAGGTAACGGACTTCCAATTTGACTACATGCTAGACCAAAAACACAAATTGATCTCATAAAGCCAAAATTCCCTACGCTGCTCTTCATTTGCAACCTGTTTTAGAAACACGTCATAGACGTACAAGATTGCAAAACAATCCTTCAAATACTTTTTAAGATCAATCCTTGCTTTTTGATGGACTTCGTCATCCCCAAGCCCCAGGGGGTCCACAACTGGTTCTTCACTTTCAATAATCCCATCTGCCTGTCGATCGGCCCAAGACTCCGTAATCCCTAAAGAATGCCAGAAAGCGCGATGCGGAATATTTTGCGCAGGATAGTCATAGTTTTGGAGTGAATAATTGCCCAGAGCACATAGCAGTATCTTGACTCTCAGTAGTGAGACCTGCTGTGCACCACGAGACTGAACTGCTTCTATCAAGTTTAATAGCACATACAACTTTAATGCTTCAGAAGCGACAAGACTTAGTCCGAAACCATGACCCCAAGTCAAACCTCGCAAGTCGGACATGGGAACATGTGCTGAGAGTTGGCAAAGAGCGGATAAGGCCTCGCGACGAATGGTTTGATTGTCGCTGACGGCAGCAGTAATAACCAGCATTTTGGCTGCATCGGCCAAGTCGCCATCTGCGGTGCAATAGCTTGCGCCATAATCTGAGGTAGAGGCCCGTTCTTTCCAATAGTCCAAGTCCTGGTGTTTTGCATGTAACGGATTGTTTAACGCCGAGTTCGTATCGTGCGGGCCTAGGCCGAAATGGTGCTCTGGAAAGTTGAGTACATCGTCTGAGAATAATTTCCCGTTAACTTGGTCGGTGTTAACCTTGGAGGTTTCCGTATTGGAGAACTCCTCGATGGTCGCAATCAAGACTCGGCTGAAGTGTCCAAGAGCTGCATCTTGTGAAGGCAATCCGAGAGCTATCAGGTTGTAGTTGGCACTTGATTCAGCTCTTGCCAAGGTAAAATGAGAAGCGATAGTCTTCCATGGCAGTTTGTGATCGAGATGCATTGTGTTTTAGGTTCTGTGGATTGAAATGTCCTTGTTGTTTGCAGAAATGTTATAGCTGAGCATGTAAGAAGTTGAAAATTTTCAGTCCTCAACGTGGATTGTGACGTGTTAGAAGTATCACATACGAAGTGGTATTATAAGTGGGTCATCCTGAGAAGAATGTATTGAACTTGCGTGTCTTCTGACATGGTTTACACACTATTTTCCAGAGTGAAACAGTATTGAGACTTAGTACGTTTTGCTTGATAAAACATTAGACAACGGTTTGGGTGTCAATTACTACTAAGCCTTCCATGATGAGATATAGATGAAATTTCATTCATACTCTGAATCAACCCCTCTGATGTTTGAGACCATTGGAATTTGACATTGCAGTCATTCCAAAACGTTAACTACATTAATCTCAGTACAATTGTGTGGCATCGTAAGCTTTGAGCGCTTACACAAATAAATCAGACCGCTGAGCAATGCTCACAATGAACCCTCATCGCATACACATATTCGATTTATACAAACCCACGCTACCCAAACAAACGCCCAAGCCAGTCGTATATCTATTGTCCCATTATATCAACGCCAGTTTCAAATTAACTCCTTAGACTCCAATAAATGCCTCATCTCAGCCAAAGCGATAGGCTTTGTCAAAAACAAGTCAATACCACTCAAAACTGCCTCCTGTTGGGCATCGCGCGACGCCAAACCAGTGAGTGCAAAGATACTACACTTCGGAATAGAACACTCAGCCTCGAACGTGCGTATATGACGGGTAGCTTCAAAACCGTTCATAACAGGCATTGATATATCCATAAATACGCACTTGTAACTCGATGGGTTCTCTTTATACTTAATCACAGCCTCTTGACCGTTGGAGGCTGTGCTGTACTGAAGTTTCAACTTCTTCATAAACATGATGAGCATTTTGAGGTTGATGGGATTGTCGTCAACAAGTAGGAAGGTTTCTCCTGTTGATGCTGAATTGCTGATAGGATTTGGTTTCTCTAGTGGTGTTGTGAGAGGTGAACGGGGAGATTTTGACGGCGCCCATTCCAAAGGTGTGGGGAGATCCAAACCAGGGCCATCTCGCTTCTCACAATCAGCACCCGGTGGTGTTGGGGGATCTAATCGTACTTTCAATGTTTCACTTGCGTGAAAATCGATGATATTCGGTGCTATTGAATCGCTCAACTTTGGTCTTGGGGCTTTGTCGCCTTGGTTAATACGGGATAAAAGTCTCTGTAGCTTTCGAGGACCGACACTATGATAAGTTAGCATGAAAGAACAATACGATGGTGTTCAAGCATAGTGTGACTTACGGTCGATGTGTGAAAAGAACGACCCGGCCGCTGTCATCACAGGTGTTTTCCATCTCAAGCTTTCGAGCGACAATAGGATCGTCACAAATGGCCACTAGCGACGTCGACTCGTTTTGGTCCATAAGGAGCTTCGCTCGGTCCATGTAGCGCTCGTCACAAAGCACAACATGAGGATTTTGATGCTGCACGTCGGGTATTTCAACGATGTGTGAGCCCAACCAGTCCTGACAAATTGTTGAAATGCAATCCTTCTCACTCGTCAAAGAATCCCATCCAAGATCGGTAGTGTTCTCAGCTTTCGAGTCCTGCAGTCCCACCATAGTGACCCTAAGTCCTTCCAGGCCTTTGTTCATATCTTGTTGCAACGTCGTGTGAGTTCCCTTGGCCATCTTGTCAGATAGCTGCATAGGCAGGGTGACGCGAACTGTAGTGCCAACAGAAACTAAACTCTGAACCTCAACGTCTCCGCCAAGATTCTGAGTGATGCGTCTGACTATACTCAAACCCAATCCGGTGCCCGCATCCATCATGTTTTGCTGAGTAAACGGGCTGAAGAGATCATTCGCGAGAAATTCGCTGCTCATACCACAGCCTGTGTCACTAATCGTGAGTGTGACAAGACGCATCGAAACATCTTCCGTTTCCGATTGTCCGACTCGGACATGGATGGCGCCACTAGAAGTAAACCGTAGTGAGTTTCCTAGGATGTTCATCACGATGCGTCGGATTGCACCGGGCTGTACGTGAAAACTCCAGTTAAGGCTAGGTTCGAAGTGAACGACCAATCGGACACTGTCACCAGACGTTCCTAGCGTATGTTTCTGGAACTCGTGTCCGACGTGTACGCTTTCGATAACATCCTCAATCAACTGTGGCAGATCAACATCAGATGCAATGCTCATCATACCAGCCTCCATACTGTTAGTCCGAGAAGACCGAAGAACACGACTGTCAACGTCTGTATAAGTGTATCCAGGGCCCTTTTCAAGCGACGTAGTGAAATGGTTGATCTTGCTCCAGTCAAGAATCTGATCGATAGTGTCCAATAACGTCTGACTGCAAGCCTCGACGGACAACAGAGCGTCGTTCTGAGAGGCATTCAGGTTGCCAGAACGAAGTACCCCAGTGCCGAAGAAGATACCATGCAACGGTGATCGTAGTTCGTGGGAGATGGAGTCCAGAACATCCAATTTGGAGTGTTCCACCTCACGTTCCTTAATGAAAGACACTTCGGCCATGAGGACCGTCCCAAGAGCTCGCAAGTAACTTAGCTCCCGTTTAGGCGAGAAAACTCGGCTTGTTTTGCTGGTGTAAGCGAAACCGCCGGCAAACCAGCGCCGTTTCTGAGCATTCCAGATAGGGAAGAAGGCTACGCTTTTCGCGCCAGGCAGAAGTTCTTTTATAGCCTTTCTCAGTTGCTGTCGTTTTGTATGATGCTTTATTGTAGTTTCTGGGTCGTCAGGTGTTGCTTCATCTGACTCTTCTGCGATATCGTCATTGTCAGAAACCTCCGAGGATATTTCATCACCCGGGTCGTCACTGGCGTCACTGTCAGAACTGTCAAATGTCCATATCGTCCCACGTGGGCAATAATGAAGTAATCTTCGCAAGATTGAGGTGTGCAGACTTGAATGCCCAAAGTAGGAATTTGCTTCTTGTTTGAACTCCACTGTAACAGACGAGCCGAGGACGGGGCATAGATCATCAGCAGCGAGGTGAGCGTCTTTCGATGCGCCAATGGGTTCTTTTAACTCTGCTCCAGGGCTTCGATGTGAGTGCGAGGCATCCAGAAGTAAAAGCCCATCGACCTCGAGCGCGTCGCGCATGATATGAGCTGCGCTAGCACATGTGCTCGACAATCGATCATCGCCGTGTCTGGTATCAGTTGAGTGATTGAATTGTGGACTGAAATCTGCTCCTGGGGTACGAAGTCTCGGTTCAACTGCAAGCAGTCGATCACGTTGAAGTTCTGTCTTGGTGTTGCTTCCATGAAAGAAGCGTCGGATACCGCGGGTGACACGATCTGCTTGACGATATCGCTCGCTGACGCGGCGGTGTTCGAGATGTGACATAATACATTGAGATAGGTCTTGCAGGATGGTTTTCGATGCACTGTCCAGTCCTGATCGCGGCTGCGAGTCGAAAACGCAAAGAACTCCGATGACAATCCCTCTGGGACTCATCAGCGGTATGCCGGCGTAGAAGCGGTTGTTAGGCCACCCATGGCAGTAAGGTCGTAGACGTAATGTTTCATCTTCGGCCAGGTCGTTGATTACTGTAATCTGAGGCTTGGAATTCAAGGACTTGGCGGAGTCTTGTATAACGCGTTCGCAAACTCCAAATGAGCGAGTGAAGTGTGTTCCACAGAGCCACAGGCCTTGATCGGGACTGGCGGAGAAGGAATTTGGAAGAAGACGACCAGACTGCGTAGCTTCTGCAACAACATACTGGCTAGAGCGATCAAAGAGTGATACTAGAGATCTTGACGCGTTGAGACGTAGAGCCGCGAGTTGACAAAATGAGGTTAAGGTTGCGTCAGATGAAGTGGTGAGATTACGAGAAGAGATAAGATCATCTGGCGCGTTGAGGATAGATTTTGCTATCAACGAGGGATCATATCTATCAATTACCCGTCAGTTAACGCGACGAGAATAATGAGCGACGAGACGAACCTAAAAGTTTCTCTCTCTCGAACAAGCTCTCTTTGCTGCCAAGCTGGCAGTGGTAAAGGCAGGGCCATGTGGTATAGCAGAAAGATCCACGTAAGAAGCAGTGATGAAACGGTTGGGAAGCGGGCAGATGTGGGATTGACATTTACCGCGCAAACGGACTGTTTACACCTCCACTTTCGCCACAAAGTTTTCCCTACAGGAAAAACATGAGAATTTTGCCTGCATGGGATTGGTACCCCATATAAAGTCAGAGTACAATGTGACGTCTGCACAGTAACCGAGTATTACTAACCCTGTCAGACGTGAGTCTGGACTGAATAAACTGGGACACAAGCACGGTCTGGACTGGCCCATGTATACCATTACGACACATTGTAGGGGTAGTCAGGGACTAGTGGGTACAGCACCGAGGACACTAAAGGATAATTCGAAATGGATGCCTAGACTACAATTGGCAAGTCGTTCGGTAACTGACTGTAGCTCTACTCGGAAAATGGCGGTAATCACAAACACTGCTAAGTACAAAACGTTCAATGGCAACTTTCACTCATATTAATTAACCTTCCAGCCTGTAGCAGGAAATGTCGGCTTCCTTGTGTTCGCACTCGCGGTGCATTGTGCAAGGCAAAGAGTCCAAATATCCGGAGTAAAATGTCCTTCTGACAAACTGGTACCCAGTGCCACCTCTACGGATCACGGACCCCGGAAATCAGAAAGGGAAAGACCCTGAGCTCCACAGACGCTGGATAAGGGTCTAAAAAATGGCATGTTGTTGGGGATGAGTGACCATGTACACTAATTGCAATATGTATTGGGTTGGCCTTTCCGGACCACATCCGTTTCTTATCTAATTGGACAATTGAGGTGATTACTCACCGGGGGATCTCCGTTGGCATCTGAAGTTTACGTCATCTTGATGTCGTTTCAACGTCTTGAAGCTCTATTAGATTTTGCACCTGTTATATAACTATCAAGATAATTTGCCACCATGAGAGTAATAATAAAGCCGATGACTCGAGACTGACTGACTGATTTGATCATGGTGATTGGCTTCCCCTGTTGGGTGTCACCAGTTAATGTTAAAACTGTCGCCTCTCCATATGCCACTCGCTTCACTTCACTTCACTTCCCCCATTTCGTCAAATACTCATAATTTGACTTATCCCCATGGAATTGCCACCCTCAAATCTAATGGAAAAGTCCAGCAACTTCTTCCTACAACCAATGATCAACTCTACATCTGTAGATTCCCCCACCGCAGCAGCGATTTATCCGGTAAACCATATCAGGCCAACACAACTATGATATTATGATAACAGCCATATAGATCTTACAAGATGTGCACACTTTGCGAAGTCTCACCGACGCTTACAACATAGATCATTTCCTGAATAACTCCGTCCCTACCTCAGATGACAAAATCCTATCAACCATGTCAGATCTCACAAGCAACATTTCTCAGGCTCTACGCGACATCATGCTACGTTCTGAGCCAAACAAGCCTTTCTCAAGAAGACGTAGCCAGTTGTCTTCTAAGGCTCAGCGAGGTCAAAAGATTGCAACTCTTACACCTTGCTCAAAATCGGATAAAGACTCTGAGGATATTATGCGATGCAGCTTTTGTGGTGTGACAGAGACGCCTTGCTGGCGGGGCACGTCCTCTGGTTGGCTTTTGTGCAACTTTTGCAGTCTGGTCAAGTCAAGAAGGGCGATACGAAAGCATCTCGCTCCTACAAGATGAGGATCCCAATTCTCCTAGTCTACAGGCTGCTAACTATGGTAATATGCCTTTCACATTCTATTCTTACTTGTTGGACGATTTTTCTATCGAGATATGATGTTACTATACAATAAATTCATTAACAGGAGCTGAAAATTTTCTATTATACAGAACTTGGTTTTTTAATCGCCGGAGTTTATGGGCATGGAAATATATGAGCTAGCGGTGTATTAGATAAAAAAAAAACCCTTATTCTTGGAGTATCTCATGTGTTACTGCGACTTTTTACTAGACGTCTAGATAAGACTTTTTGCCGTTCAATCGCAAGACTAGGAGTAGCTTAGTTGCTACCAAGAATAGGTCCATTTGGAGGTAGGCCACACATCCATCTGCTCCACGCTATGTTACACTTAGCAAAACCTTCAACTCTGGTTATGGGACCTACCATACACAATCAATTTCTGGTTCGATTTTGGATGTCCCCGTTTAGAGTCTTGATATCCTACTGAGTCTTCTTCCTTCCTCCACCTCTTCATTTTCCTCCGCTTAACGACAAGGCTGGCTGGCCTACTTAACAGGTGCAGGGTAAGTCGCCAATGTGATCACAACCTTTATCACAATTGAGCAACTGGTCTAGGCGCGATCTGAGCCCCCAGTTTAGATCCGAGAAAAAGAAGTTGTAGTATTTTGGGTCATTGATTGCATCTCCTATGTCAAAAGATGTCGTCATCAAGGTCGTCTAATTCGCAGTTGTGTTTAGATCTTGACAAAAAGACCCATCGCCGTCGACTCAGTTTTCGTTTTCTGATAACAAGATGTAAAAATCCTACAAGACCTACAAAATGGAGAAACCAGTTTTTTTTTTTTGCTCCCTTTATTTAATCTCCATCATTTGTTGCAGCTTTGGAATCTACCTTGTTAAATACTGTAACTCAGTGGTTTTGTTCGCCTTGGCCGCTGCAATAACTATGTGCTTATGAATCCGGTACAGGGCGGTTTAGAGAACTGCTCGCTGATAGACTTGTTTCATCCGACCCAATTGTAATCACCTTGCTGATCACAGACATACCCTAAGGCATTCTCTCTTGATTTTTCATTTAGTCGATAAAATTACAATGAAGGCCTGCCCGAGAATGCTACAGCCTCGTCGGGCATCAAGGCTGTGCAGAAAAACATGTGGTAAAGCCTGATATTCTGCCTTGGGTCAGCCTCGATAAGCCATCGGATCACACCAGACCACGACCTATCAATGCAATAACAGCTTATGAGTCACAGCGAAAATCGGCCCTCCAAATTCTTCTATTTAAGTCATCCATATGGGAAATTTTCTGTTCAATGTGGTACCTCATCCCTTGTACAAATGAAAATGCCTTCCATTAGGTATGGACTGGATATCGAACGTCAGGGTAACCCTGATGATAGTAGACCTGCACCAATCCCCAAAGATGTATCAGACTTACAAAAGAGTCCAGGACAGGGTTGTTTTATCTGTTTAGAAAGTTACAGCCAAGGACAATATGCGGTTCTCGTGCCGTGCCTGCGACCACGAATGCCTCGCCTGAGAACCACGCGGAAAAAGGACTTGCCCAGGGCAAGTGACAGTGAGCCTGATAGCGAGATCTATCAAAGATTTCTGGACACGTGATACCAACATTTGGACCGGTGGAAGAAATGGTTGCCTTATTATGGAATTATCGAAGTGCTGGAAGTCAATGTAAGTTTACACTCATATTGGCAGCAAATCATCTCACAATACTCGGAAATAGTTTTACTTCGCGGGCGATGTTAAGTCGAACGGGCGCTATTCAATTTACATGGAACCTGTCAACGTCGACAAGATGTTGGAAGAATGCAAAGAACGTATAGCATGGCACCCAACTTTCCCTTTTTTAGATCCTGGAAACGGATGTGTGAAATGTAATGAGGATGGCGAAAGAGACATTGATACGGAAGAGTTGTGTCCAGAATGTTTCAGAGTTGAAGTAGAGAACGAACAGAAGCGGCTTAAACGGCTTCTTTTCCTATCTCATTTCACAGAATGTGCTCGAAACCCCAAGAAAGCCGATGGTCTAAACACTCTCAAGGGCATGGCGCAAAAAAGCTGCATCTACGATTTAAGGTACGTCTATCATACATATTCCATGTCCTTCCTTCATCCATACCCAAGTAAACATGCAAAGCCTGACATATTCAGACAATTCGATTTACCTGTTCAACCAAAAGAATTTGAAGGTGAAGAGCCGATGATAAGTCTGCACTTTGTTTTAGGATGGCAGACAGACAGGATCCACACAGAACTCCCGTTCGGAGTTTCATGTGCTTTACTCGCAGTTGCTTTCATCTGGCTTTGCCTGCTTATTTGGAGGGGCGCAGGGGGAGATTGGGGAACTGCATTTGCATTTGCGCAGGTTGTCGCAGCGTCTTTTGCAATCGTGATTACATACGCCAGGTTTTAGCCTGACTTACAATACATTTCGTATGCCCAATCCCAAAAGGAAACTCGAGGTTAACGCTGCTAATGAGAAACAATATACATGGCTATGAAGAATAAGAAAATGCAATATTTGTTGCAGGTTCTTGTTTGCACTTGACCATATGTGCCTTCCTACACTAATATTCGATCTCGTTTTCTTTGTCTGCCTAATCTTGATGTTTGACAGCGTTGTTAGTGGCCGTGTCAACACCCATAATAACAATTACAAGGCTGTCACACGGTCCGTCCAAGCTAACCATGTGTATTCGTGAAGAAAAATGGCTTAGTGGCTGCGAACATGATTGGTACACGTAGGGATTGGCATTCGTGCAGTTTTCATTGGGCACGACACTTATCTAGGTTGGAAATACAAAGCGCAGAAAAGACCAATTACTACCGCAACACGCATCGGAGGCGTCCAGAGGCATGAAAGAGACAAATTGGGCCTTAATGGTGCTGGCTAGAGTGGGAATTGCGATACATGCCAAGACCAGCAGCCTCACCTGTGTGGTCACACAAAGCTTATGGGCTGAATATGCACAACCCAATGGGAAGAGGCAAGGAAGCCTGCTGAGTCTACAAGCCTCTCTACTCTCAAAAGCGGTGTGTGTTAGGCCCTTTATTTAGATAAGTAACTTTCGATTGATTCTACGTTTAGCTCGGCAGGATAGACAAAGCACCACTCCCACAACTGTCTGCAAGAATGTCCAAGTTACGACGATGTAACATCAAGAGAATCCCCCAAATAGAGATGAAAAGGCCTATTACCTATGCCTGGGCGCAAAGTCTGCAGCCTGATCTGATAATGTTATTGATCTTTACCGTATGCGTATAAGCGGCTTGCATTTTAGCCGCGGCAAGGCACTCTTGAGGCTATTGGTCGATGGTCAGGCCATTTCATATCTCCAAAAATGCACTTCGTCAGAAATCTTACATTCTACTCTTTCTGTCCTCATGAGTTTCTGAGCCTCACAATGGTACTCCTCATCACACGCTCTACAGAGTCATCGAATTGCACTTCTTATTGACTCTCGTTGGCCTGTGATTGGCCTCGAATATTCCAATGTCTTCGTGTCCATTATCTCCGGTATTGGGTCTGAGTGTCAGATTCGATCGTGAGGTTGAGAATGTACTGGCAAAAAACCCTACACAGTCAGCAAAACAGGTATTCTTCGAAGTCTGGCAAAGATTAATGCCTGAGTACGAGGCCATGCAGCAAGCGTTGAATCAATATCTCTCCTGGCAGCTTGAAGAAAGTTCGATACGTGCAACATTAAATAGCAGGGTGAAAAAGGACGATTCTATCTGCAAGTCAATCGAACGTCGTGAAGAATTCCGTGGCAAGGAGTACGACAGCCCAGGACTAATTCGTAATGGTATTCATGACCTTATCGGTTTTCGGATCATTGTGGACTATCCGTCTGGTCTTGATCAATCATACCAATTGATCAAGAAAAGGTTCTCCGTTGAAGGCATCAATACCTTCTCGTCAGATCGCGATGTGGGAGTTCTTTGGAAACCCAGGTTTGGAGCATATGAAGGTCGAAACTTTCAGGTGAGGATGCGACCTGATGAGTATAACACAAGACTTTCACTCTACTATGGAGTACTTTTCGAGATTCAAGTCACGAGTATCGCAGAGAGTTTATACAACAAACTGGCCCACCCACTACAGTACAAAGAGTCCGCAGGCACACTATCTCGTCAGGATGAGATGATCATTGATATGTCACACGGGCTTTCCCTTTGCTACTGGATTACGATCGCGTGTATGGAAGAAAGACTAGAGACAAACTCAAAGACGACCCACGAGAATTCCCCGCTTCCCGGTCCTATCAGAATTATTGCCGGGCGTGATCCTGAGGAAAACCCGGACGATCTTGACGACCTCGTGAGGGTCACGCCTGATATGCCGATCATATCAGGTGACAGGTCTCTTAGAGGTTCAAAGGCCGGATCTTCAACCTTGAAAAGAACTGCACCATCGGAGGACACAGTCTCGATAGAACTACTCCTCAGATCACTTACTGATCTGCCTCGAGAGTACCGTTCAGATACTGATATATGGAATGGAATTAGAGATAAACTCGGGTGCGTCAAACTAGGTAACGCCAACGAATGCGGAGCTGAAGACTAATTAGACACACTAGGTTAGATGATGGGACCTACAACAGATTTCTCACGAGTTTTACATACGACCGAATGAATGACAGGAAGAACTCTATCCAGAAACGTCATCACAACACGTTCGAATGGGTATTCGGAGAAGAGAAGGCTCAGGAAAGCTATTACGGAGTAGTCGAAGTACCTACTCTAGCCAGCTGGCTAGAAGAGAATATCCATTGTCTATACTGGGTCAGTGGGAAGCCCGGATCAGGAAAAAGCTTCTTCATGAAGTTCATCGAGAAGGATGAGCGGACGAAAGCAATGCTTCAGAGATGGAAGCCCCAATACTGCATCATCTCACATTACCTGTGGAAACTTGGGAGTAACGATCAAAGCAGTTTCAAGGGCTTGGTTTGCTCGCTATTTCATCAGGTTTTGCAGAATGAGAAAGCCATTGCTTTGCGACTCTTGCGCGAGTCACCGAGCTTCTGCCACAAGAATGATGTTACCGACTGGGATATTGAAGATGTCAAAAGGCTACTGTTTGATGTTCTCCGCCGCTCAGATCACCCGTACCTTCTCCTCATCGATGGATTGGACGAAATGTCGAAGCCCCATGACGGTATGAACCAAGTATTCAGCTTTTTGGACGGTCTTGCCAAGTTAGATCGAGTGAAAGTCTGCGTGTCCAGTCGTCCTGAGAGTCTCTTCGTCACCAGATTCAAATCTCAACCTAGCCTGCGAATGCAAGATCTCACGAGGAACGACATTCTCAATTATACAGTCGATAAGCTTGGGCAATTACATATCGAGGTCGACGATGAGAAATTCCAAAAGGCTACCTACGAAATCTTCACAAGAGCAGAAGGTGTTTTCATATGGGTTTACATGGTTTTGAAGGACATTCAACAAGATGTTGATGAACTCGATGAAGGATGGGATGACATACTCGATCGTATTTCCAAGCTACCAAGTGATCTTATGGGACTTTATCGGGACATGTTATCGAGGTTTGCCTTGAACGGGGAACGATATGTCAAGAAAGCCGCACTATACTTTCAGTACATCCAACAGAGGCCTAGGAGCATGAATTCCGATATCGCTATGCTCTCTATAGCCGCGGATGAGGCTGCTCTGGAGTCTTTTGCAGGACCAAATGACACCCCTTGCGTAGACGAGTGGGTAAAGCTCTGTATAAACACCGAGAAGACTCTTTTCCGGATCTCTGCTGGACTTTTGGAGGTCAAGACTGAAAGAAATCATGTGCCACATGCATCACTTTCAGGATATGACAGCAAAATGGCGCCATGGATAGCAAAACAAGTCGACTTCATACATAAAACCGCCATTGACTTTTTAGAAGGCGAGGAAGGGCATAGGCTTTTCGGAACATATGCAAAGACCCCCAAATGCATGCTCATGATATATGTCAAGGTAAAATTCGCCCTTCACTCTATCACGCGTCACAATTGTGACCCTCTATGGCATATTCTTGAAATTCTACCAGAAGAAAGCGACGACTCATACCCCATTCGTGTCTCACATGACATTCGATCCTTCATTCACGCTTGTTCTATCGATAAGTCAAAAGACCTTATACGCCCACCCTATTCTGTGAGCTACGAGAACTTTTTCATATTCTACCTTGCCTACCATCAACGCTACGATTGGGCTCAAGAATTGATCAAGTCCTGTGGCACTCATAATCTTGAAGCTTCAGCTTATGTTATGCTCGGTGCGTGCGAGTCATGCCCTTGTTTGCCTCATAATGATAATTTCAGACGCTACAGACTCATTCTTAACATGTTGAAGAATCAATCTAGAGTATATGAAAACAGAGTCGAAGATTCATCAACTAAACAAGGCGCAACTGACGCAATTCTGTGGGCTTGGCGCTCCTTCCTGTTGACCGAACTTGACCCAAACAATCGGCTGATCTTCGAAGTTGACAGGGTCGGTTTAGGAATCCACGAGGACTTTGTTACCCACAAACACCTGGTCAAAGAAATCGTGGGTCTGTTTATGACACTTGGAGTTATGAACAAAGTGCCAGGGCCGAAATATATTGTTTCAAGCGGGCCTGATTGTCAAGGGTTCAAGCTTGTAAGGGACAGAGTACACCGGGAATCCCATTTTGGATTCAAATCTTCAACGTCACAATTTGCATTCTTGATGAAACCAACATATTACATCGAAGTAAATGATGCATGGTTACTTCAACAGCTGTTAGATGGGATGTTCATCACACAAGATATTGCAAACATGGTGAAGGAACATGCTTTTATGCGTATCCTTCTTGCAGACAAAGAAACTGATTCCTTCCTGATAAGAAAGAACGATGGTACACAAGAAGCTACAGTGGGCTACCTCGAGGATTTGGGTCCCATAGGTGTGCTTCCTGACGAAAAGTTCAGGCCTTTGGAAGAAACTATTTTGGGAAGTTGTGAGTATATGATCCCTGTTTTGGACAGAATTGGTTACGATTTACCGGACGTGAACAAGACACACATTTGCTTATATGAGTTGACTTAACCAGAGTTCAGTGTTGTGGAGGGTACGTCAAATTGAAGTCAGACTTTTAAATCTCAACGTATAGCGCGACAAGATTAGGATGTGAAAATATATTCAGTTTACAGTCTTTCCAAAATCCTTCAACGTGTCGGCGCCTTGTCTTGACGTTGAGGAATGATATAATTGAGATTTTCTTGAAATATGACTTCAACTTCAGCGATATCCATCCTTGGCGAGAGCTGGCCTAAAGACATGTTTCTCCAAGTTATGATTTTACGTTAACATTGGCGTGAATTTGTGTCCTCCTTGTTCAATAGATTGTTAGCTTATTGACAAGGGTCTAACTACATAACTAAATGAAACTGCACGATGGCCTAAAACTCATAAAGCTCGGACTGCGCAGTGGCCAACAAGACAGTGATAATAGCCAATACGACAGAGTGCAGTGTATCGACCCGACACTTGAACTCTACAGTCAGTACTAAGTATATGTGTATCCTCTTTCAACCATGCAGAGTAAACGATCAGTACAAGACTACAGTGGCATCCACCGTCTACCAAAGGCACATGAAACACAGCACCAAAACGTAAAGGATTGGTCTATGGAAAAGAAACTGTTAGTTCAGTTCTAAAGCGCCTGATTTCTCAACATGTTTTTTGGTACAGGTTACGTGCTTTCGGAGCGTCTGGGGAAAATGGCAGACCAATTTTGGAGACAATTTACGAGCCCAAGTTGCTGGGTTTTCCTCGCATCACAACAACGGTATGACTTGGCACGAATGATTCTCCAATGTAAATCGCTACTGACCATGGAATGACTTCAACCAAATCAGGTGAGAAGAACAAGCCGTTGCACCAAATCACATATAAAGTACCCTTTCCAAAGATTGTAAGTCTCGCCGAAGAGTTGAGATCCTGGAATGATAAATGTATTGCTTGAAATATAAATAGTAGTTGTAGTAATGACTGAATAGAATAGGCTCCGAGACAACTCTTATCTTGAGATTAACTCTCAATTTCACAACAATCCGACACCAGAATGTGAAACAAACTGATATTCAGCATCCTTAAATTCCCCATCTAGCATGACTGCTCACGGAGGATGACATTGAAGTTGGCGTCATGGAAGCGCTGTCCGGCGGTCCACCAACCGGTCTGAAGACCGCAATCAAAGCAGAACCTACGGCACTCGTTGTTACAAGCCTTGGCTGCATTGGCAACATTATCCCATGATGGGATAAAGAATGGAGTGCGGTTCTAAATATCGTGGTCAGCTATTGATATTTCTTTCAACACATATAGCAGTTGTAGATAACTCACATCGTTGCAGATAAAGATTCCTGCATTGCTTGAGCAGCTGATTCTATCGCAGGCTCCGGGACCTGCGCGCACGGTCAAGCCGCCACCGATGCCGCGGAGGTACTGAATGCCTTCGTGGATGGGCCTCTCCCTAGCAGCAGGGAAGTTCCAACAGATGTTGTGATCCCGCCTCTGTAGGCGGTCGAGAGCCTGAGCCTCAGGAGAAGGGGGTGCCTCATTCGCCTCTTCGTCCTCCATTGCAGCGTCAATCTTCTCATGAGCCTTGCGGGCATACTCGGGGTAGTCGACTTCGAGCTGCTTCATAACGTCTTGGATGGTACCCTTGAACTCCACGGGGGCTTCGCCCTTTACAACGGGGATCTTCCAGGTGGGAGTGTCAGCGTTTTCGAACACACTCTCATCAAGCACCTTGGGTGCTGATGGAGCAGCAGAAACCAGAGACTGATGGTAACAGGTTAGCTATAAACGAATTCTTTGAACTTCATCAAGTACTGACGAGGTTGGCAATGGCCAAGAGGATGGCAGCGGCAGAACGCATGATGTTGGATTGGAGTTTGAGAGGGATGATGGAGATATGATTGATGAGAAACTGTTGAACAGATGTTGCTGAGTTTGAAGTGAGTTTGTTTGCTCTGAAGAAAGAAGTAAGTGGGAGATCTGGCCATCTTTATAGATTTTGCTTCCGCCCAATCTACCAACTCAATGTTGAGGCACGTTGTCGGCTCGACTTCGCCTCGTGGAAGAAAGTCCATCTCTGAAGCCAAGAACTAGAATGTCCAGTATCCGAAGGTCTGAGCCTAGGATTGCAATCCCGCGATCCACAAATCCCATGTCCAAGCACTTCACCCATTGGACTTCATCGTATAGAAAGAAGTCTATCTATGGAGCCCAGACCGGGACTATCCATTAGTAGAAGGTATAGTCCTAAGATTGAAGTCCGATAGTTGTACAATTCACCAAGTCCCATGTAGATCTTACGCCAAGCAAATTTCTCCGTATGGAAAGAAATCCTTCTATGTAACTCAGACACAGCTTGTCCAGTAAGAGAAGGTCTCGGCTAAGTGTTCGAACCCTACAGTTGTGAATGCCGTAGTATTTGAGGGGTCTATAAGGCGCAGTTGCGGCACGGGCCTGTGTCTTTCCCTCCTAGTTATGCAAGACACCTAGTAATGCATTGGAATAAGAGGAGGCTAAAGTATACTTAAGCTGCCCAGGGGCATATTTTACATTGAAACGCGTTTAGATAAGAGATTAGCGAGACCCTATCTGCTGGAATAGGAAGGTTAACCAATGGGGCTAAATTAGCAGCGGCAAGTTCTCAGCTGTGTTCAAATCCTTTCGGATTGCCTGCGGACCCTGAGAATAAACATCCACTAACATTAAGCATAGAATTAGAGTTCTCATTAATCCGCCACTTTGTGTGCGGTGACCCCTGTAATCTAACTGTCCGCTCCCGTCGCTGGCGTATTTGGCCGAGAGCCCAGTTACCCGCGACCTTGCTTGATTGAACAAAACATCTCACCGCTTCCTTCATGAGAGAGAGATTGAAGTCTTGATAAAATCCTTTTACTTTACTTTATTTTTAAGGAAATATCTGCTAGTAACACTGATACCAATATACATCTAGTGACTCCGATGCTCGTCCAGGTTGTTTGTGTTATTGACGTCTATCATGTTTCTGATATCCACAACTTTTGGAATTAAACAATTAAATCAAATTAGACACTGTTTGGCGAGGTTTCATTCTGCCATTGATCAGGCAATCCTTCGGTTTTGAATAGTGCTACCAATAGCAATACTGCTCTTTATGTTATTGTCGTGCTGGCAAACAAAATCTAAATGTAAAATGGCTTCGTAGAAATGTGCAGCAAGGTGTGTCCAAAGTTCTAGGGTACCTTACCGAAATAGAACACCAGTAGCGTCAGGGCTAAGGCATATCACCGGGTATTGCCGTGTCAATCACTCCCATATACGAAGTAGCATCTAAATCCAAAGTCAGGCCATCATTGATTTGGTCAAGCCTCTAGAAAATCACCGGATAGCCAAGTCACCTTACACATAGCCCGCTGCAACAAGACGCTACTGGTGTTCATTTCATGGAAATGTACGGTTTATGCTTACATGTCTGACCTCTTTCATTACGTAATCGGTGACTATTAAGCTACAGCCTTGGAAGTTTCATTGTGTGTCACTGTTAAAATCTTCACCATGCGTCTTGTGTTACAATAAATATACTCTATTGAGACTTCCTAAGTAACTCGTTTCTCAGATCAATTCGCTAATCCGAGCTCGAATTATCACAAATTTTTACTCGGAAGAGCTTCATAATACCCCCTCATAGTCAAAACGCGTTAATCCATCATATTCATATCGCTCGTCTCATTCCTCATAGCCATTCGCAACTTCAACTGCGCCGTCCCAGCTCGGACAGATCATGGTGCCCAGGGTACGATGTCGAAAAATAGTTTAATCGATACGCTCAAGAGGGAAGTCCTTGGGGCCGGTGTAGGCCTGGACGTCACCGGTGGGGGTATCTCCCTTGACAGTCTTAATGTCCGTCTTGGGGATGAGGTGCGAGCCCTTGGTGAAACTGTTAGGCGAGACCTGGACGGATACGGTGAGAGTCAAGCCCTCATCGCTGCGGACGACGTCAAAGGTTCGTGAAGAGGGAAGACAGGTTCCAGCCTTGACCTCGGGAAGCTCGCCGGGGCCAGCACCGGGGACGTTGGCAGTGCACTCATAGCCCTCAGTGTCCATGGTGCCGGGCTGGATGACATTGAAAGAGTAGCTGTGAGATTGGTCAGCCGCATGTTCACAGAAGATAAGGGTTTGAGGATACATACCTGCACATGGCGCTGTGAGGAGTGCAGCTGGCCTTGAAGTCGCGGACGTTGAAGACAGCATCGGCGGCAGCACCGGTAGTGGCGGCAGTGGCCAGAACGACAGCGGAGAACTTCATTTTGATAGTTGAAAGTTTGTTGGTAGAGACTTGAATTTGGTTGAGTGGATTGAGAAGTGATTGATCAGAGAGTTTATGTTCCAAGGGAATGGCTATCGCTTTATATACGTCAGTGATGATGTAGATCCGGCACTTCAATGGACCTGTGGGTCCGGCAATTATAAAGATCTACACAAAAGCTCGTAAAAAGCTCGTATTATCTCGGCGGTGAAGCGGGTTCGTCAATGCGATGGCTTTTTGACCAATTGAGAATTCTAAAAGTATTATATTAATTGTCGGTCTGGCTTTCCGAGTCCAAGCGGATATACGGCAAGTGGAGTTTAGATCTACCGATCTTGTACACGTTCGCAACGCGTTGAGGCTCCACACGATGCTATTCTTCAACCTCTTGTCGGTGAGAACCCATATTCTTAATTGACTGAAACATTCTGTCAAAGTAGGCAACGTAACATTATTCAATACATCTATTGAAGATATGGTCCTACGTATTTGAAATGTTCGTGTGTCATAGAGTCGCTCAAAGATTGTCCCGCTTGAAATACATAATTACTAGCTATCCCTGATCTGCGTCGCATTGTGTTTAACGACCACTTGCAAGTAGCCCCTGATATAGCTGGGGTAATTCATCAAATAGAATACAGCCCGTCGTGAACATTGGGAGGAGTGCTTGTCGCATCGCCCCAGTTCAAGCCCGCAATCTGATGACCGATTTTGGTGGAACGATCAGCTCGGATGTAGTCCCCTGATAAAAGCCAGTCTACAAATCATCTATCTGTATACAACCAACTAACCCTTTGAATGGTAATACCACCAATCCTGTGACCTAAAAGCATGGCAAAGCTGTTGAGATAAAGGATCGTTCCATCCAGTGTTACGGTCGTGGTAGATAGCATGCTTCGCCCAAGCAACGTACACCTTTGGATGAGCGAAGCCCTTCTTTCCGTTATCACCACCACGAGGCTTGTTGGCGTCATTACTCCTAAAGGTGTTTTGGATATCATTACAGTTCTTCTTGTCGTGTATCTTGTGTTGAGATAGGAACAACTGAGACTGATGCCACTTGTTATCTGAACCTCTGGCCCAAACCACAATGGCATGCTCCCAATCACTTCGTATTGTCAGTTGATGAGTTGATGAAACGGCAAATTAGACTTACTACCGGTGTCCACCTGCGATGAAACCATCCTTGTCAAAGAAGATGTTATATTCCACTCTGATTTCCTTTTCATGGCATTTATTGTACGTGTAGTAGATAGGAAACTTTGGTCCAGGATTGCCGATTTTAATGCCTGGATTACGGCAGTGACAACCTACTTCAGGAAACGCACAGAGACCGCCACCCGGGGCTTGTTTGCCTGCTCGAATAACCCAGGTGGGATAGCATGGTGGTTGATTCTGGGACTGGCCAAAAAACCACATGGGCTGCGCGGCGATTGTAAGGGGGACACCGCCGGCATTGAGCCACTCGTTCATTTGTTTATCAGGTATGTGGTTCACAGCCCATACTAGAACAAAGAAGACCATTAAGGCCAAAAAGCGAAGAAAAACCATGGTTGACCTGAAGCAAAGGATGGATAGTAGGGTTTGGATGGGAAGTCTCGAGCTTGGATTCACAACTGGAAGGAAGACTCGTATAAGAATGAAACCGACTGAGAGACGCTGAACTAAATAAGTGTAGTAGAGTAATTGCCCCTAATCTAAATGGACGACGCTGAGTTGACAGCGCCCCGCATTTGACTGGTAAAGACAGGTTATTTTCATGAAGCAGCCAGTAACAGCAACGATGCAACAGAGAGAAAGAAGCATTCATTCTTTTCCTCGAGCTTATGCGGGCAACTAATAGTTGCATACTTTGTTGCATTCCAACCAAAAGTATTAAACCACATATGACAACTCTATGTCATTCAAGATGGATATTGCACTTTTCGAGTGATATTATAGGTTCAGACGAACCGATAAAGGTCTAGAAGTAGTTGAGGGGACCTTGAATAAGACCTGTACGATAATCACTGCAGCATGGTAAGCGAGCCTGCTTCCTACGAAAGCCACAACAACCGTATACCAATCAACATGATCCACTGACATCTTGACCGCCAACACGTTGAGTCTCGCCACTTCAGCCGAAGACGCATTGCTTAGAGGGAACACAGAGGGTCGCTAACTCACCCTTTGCAAGTTCCAATGGCCGTAAAGTTAAGAGGCCATTTAAACCTCCCTATTGCATGGTTCGTCTTATCCTCGATAATCTGATATGTTGCTATTTCCTCCCCAGCATTGGAAAGAATGGATTAGCCTGTAGCCTGAAGACCCCAGCCTCAAAGTCCATTTATGGAACTATGCATACACCTCTTTATACATCAGCCAGGTCTTGCACAAATTTGCATGTTCAACCCTTGTGTCATGACAATTGGTGATTTTGGTTCTGGCCTCATTCTTTACGTTCGGCTCTGATGGCGTAGGTTCAGTTAAATCATTGGGTGAGTATATGAGAATATATGCTGTGAAGTCAAGCCACAATCCTTGGAATCGTCCAGACTCCGAATCCGCGTCTATAAGATTGGTGTGTTGCACATCTAGAGCCTGATCATGGTTTTCAGGTAGCAGTCGAACTGATGAATATCCCTCATCTCTAAACTACCCCGCGTCGCCCGCCAGATGCTTCAGCTTCTTACCGTTGGTCCTATTCCCAAGCCAAAATGTGAATCTGCGTTCTGACCACCTTGCCGCGCCATGATGTGATGTTGTGAAAATGAAGACTTCAGCCGCATTCAACTGCCACGGCAGGGTACTCCACAGCTCCCCCCTCTAACTTCCCCTTGCAGCTTTTTACCCTGAGCTTACTCGTCCCTATTACAAAAGATCATGTACGAGTATATAAATGCTACAGAGGATCCAGGCTTCTCTACGCTTGAGGTTAATCACCGCGGTGAGTTCTCTACCCTCCAAGTCAAGCCAGCGGAGGGTATCGAGCCCTTCAATGCCCCCGCGTCAACTTCACAGAAGTACTCAGAAGAGCTGTCACGGCACGAGACAAAAAAGCCCTGGTGGAGGAGGTACTGGCTTGTTATTATAGTGTTCACTCTTTTGGTAAGTGGGGGAATAATTGGTGGTGCCGTGGGCGGGACACTGGCCTCTAAAAAGGAGGCAGATGGGAAAGACAATGTTGCTGAAAATGCTACAATATCAAGGCAAGACACCATGAGCGTCAAAGCCTGTAACATGCTGATAAGTTCTAAAAGTCACGACTCAACAAGCACAACACCAACACCGAGCCGTGCATCTTCAATCACCTCAACATCGACCACCGCATCTTACCCAACCATCATACCTACTGCAATACCTGGTCCAACAGATGTACCCGACGATCCAATCTAGATTAGCACAAGCGAAGAAGATGGAGAGAAGTACCATATCGGTTTTGCCTTGGATGGTACCAAGAATGCTGCATGCAACTATGGAGTCATTCCAGTTCCAGAGCCAGACAATCCCTGTAGCCATCCCTTCCTGTTACCCAACGGATTCCAATACTCTTAGATGACTTGGAAGAACCCATCGAGTGACGACCCTGAGTACCATACGTTGCACGAGGGGAATTGTGAGGATAAACCCAAGAGCTTTGACTGTAAGGGTGTTTTTATATCTCTGTGGGAATAAAACGAATTCATAGATTAAGTCTATAGTGGCAGGGTCTTGCAGGGAAATAGTTTGAGTTAGTTCAAGTTTGTTGTAAAGCAGATAGCTTCTAACCTTGGATATAATTTTTATTCTGCACGGTTGTGTAAAATGACTACAGCGGAGGATATAGGTAATCTTGCCAGGTTGTTATAGGATATAATATTTAATATAACCTTCATATACCCGTGTCTTTATGCTATCATGGCCTATACTGCTTGAGCTTCAAGTGCAAGCTGCTGGTCAAGAACGCCTCGAACAAGGTCCGTTAATGACTTCCACTTCATGTTCAGGAAGCGATTGGCTGCTTGGGGAACCACATCCATGGGCGAGCCCTCTTTAGCTGTCGACTCTAGCTCAAACTTTGCGTCAGGGTAAAGAGCCTTTGCCTCCTTGCCAACCTCAGGCCAAGACGTAGGCTGGCCGGTAAGGATGAATTCTTGACCGTCGGGGATAGTTGCAACCAGGGCCCCCACAAAGGCATCTGCAACATCCCTAACATCGACAAATAAGGGTGGAACAATGATATTTCCGGTACGGACTGTGTCGAAGAAGAACTTGTTGATACTATCAATTTGCTCAAACCTTTCCTGGAAGATGCTAGGGCCTACCACAAAGGTCGGATGGAAGGTAAACAAAGAGAAGGTAGGGCTGTTCTCCAATACCCACTCTTTCGTTTTCTCGTGTGCTAGAATCTTGGAACCTTGGTACATAACGGCATTTCCGGCTGGACCGTCGGGAACATCCATGTTCGCGTCGACCTCCAGCTTTTTGCCTGAGTTTTCTAAGGGAGTTTTTCTTAGTGACGGACTCTAGAATATTCTGAAGACTTTATGTTCATACCTTGAATTGAGATTGACGGATCCTGCAGACCACCAAGAGGCATTAACGCCAAGATGGACGACATTACCAAAACCCTCTGGACAGAGGGTGCAGACTTAGCAGCGTTCAGAACTGAGATTGTTCCTTGAACAGCCGGATCGATGTAATCCTTTTTGAAGTCTGAACCCTGTCCCAACATAGGCGAAGCAATGTGGACAACGAAATGAACGTCGCGTACAGCCTCTTCGAAGGCATCGGGTTTCGTAAAGTCCGGTACATGAACAAAGTCCAACTGGTTGGCAAAGTTGTTGAAGTGGTTCTTGAGTTTCTCGATCTGTTCGAGTCGTCGGATGCTGAGGCGGACTCGATATCCTGCCTTTAGGATCTGAGTAGCGACATGTGCCCCAATGAAACCGGTGGCTCCAGTGATAAAGACTAATTGTTGTGACATGATGCTTTCCCTGATGCAACTTTCTTGAATGAATAAAATACTACTTCTTGGGTGAATGTGAAAGGCAAACTGTAGTTAACTATTGATATTTTATACTAATAGCTCTTTTAGTTATGTGTTTAGTTCTGGCACTATATGCCATATAGTTTACCAGTTTATTGATCTGGTGCTTATTAAACCCTCCGACGCTTATCATTCTATCTAGCATAATTATATATTTAAAACTAATCAAGCTTTTGGGACAAATTCTAGTCCTTCCGGCCGGAGCGATTAGTGAACAAGTACAGTTGCATTCAGAATCTTCGTTCCACTTTAGTTATCGTTGGTAACATAATTTCCCCGACGGGCTCCGATTTATACCTTGTTTCTGAAACCATCCGCGGCGAAACCCTCACATGGATGGAGGGGGGTCTTCAGCATGTCAATACGTGTCATGGCCGTGATTAATAATCTTGGCGATGCAAAAAAAAGCGTAAACCGGGACTACAACTAAAGCACATAGTAATTATATAATTGATTTAGATAGTATACTCTTCACCTGGCTAAGATTATATCACACATATTCATCTTCCTTCTTATCTCATCTCTCATCGCCCGACTTGAGTCAATTCACACTTCCGATATCAACTCTTCTGGTAATCAGCATAAACATCTCAAAATGCCTCTTTGGGTTATCTACCACACTCCTGATATCTTCCTTGATGATGCATCCAAGCAAGAATTGGCAAAAGACATCACGTCATTTTACACCAACGTGGGCTTGCCCGCCTTCTATGCAATTGTCAATTTCATTCCATTACCAGCCGGTTCATTGTGGAAGGGCGGAGAAATTCCCGACAAGCCTTTCGTCCGTATGGCGGTAGACCATATTGCCGTCAGGTTGGACAATTCTGTCGAGGAGTATAACCGGGTTACCGAGTTGGTGGAAAAGGCCCTGAAGCCGCATATCGCTGATAAAGGTTACGACTATGAGTACCACATCGACGAGACGGAGAGAGGACTTTGGCGCATCGATGGGTTTATCCCACCCCCTTTCAACAGTGATGCTGAGAAAGAATGGGCTCGTCTGAACAAGGCCGTTCCATACACCGCTGATAAGATCGAGAACTATAACCATTGAAGATTGGGAGTGCTTTTTCGTCCATCCTGTAAAGAAGGAAGCATTCATGTTGGGACGGGCCTCCCGGTGCAGCCTATCAATCACAACCTTACACACCGCACGCAAGACTAGCTAGCAGACTCTTATTTCACTGCGTAATTCGGTCTAAAAATACAGAACTTATTCGTTAGCCCTGCTACGCATTGAATACAATTATCAGGTGAAGAATTATTGTTTATGATAAATATCACCTCATGCACAATTAGTCCCACGAGTGTGAAACTTCGCCTCACGAAGAGTCTGCCTGGCATACACAGATGCGTCATGGCTCCCTTTTAGTCGAGCTTACTTCTGCGGCGGCCCAAGTAAGATATGGGAAACGGATATAATAAATTTAGGAATGCCAACATGCTTCGCTGGGCATATTTGCAAGGAATCGCCAAGGTCGATAATGATCACCGTTTTGTTAGGCCAAGTATAAAAGCCTCTTGAAAGGGCTCACATGAATTCAAACAAAAAGGTTTACGCGATCGCGCTCTCCAAATCCCTCAAAGCCTTCAAGGCTGTGTCGACGAAATGGACTGCAACCTGCCTTCTGTCCGTGTCCTGGGATGGGGCATATTGTTGAGCTGGGTTCATGTCATCCTCTTCCTCATCATCAAGACAGGTAAGAAAGTCTTTAACAAGTCGCGCCATTTTATAACCCATGATGACGGGCAGTAGCTCGTCGCACATGTAACACAGGGTTTCCTTGATCTGATATGGGTACTTGGTGTAAGGTTCCTCGTCGTGTTGTTCGAGGTCGAGCTTTTCGAAGGCTTTGATGAAATCCTGGGACATAGTAGGAGGCTCGGTTGTAATTATCAAACTATTCCAGGTGAGGATCTCAATCATGCATACACCAAGGCTGTATGCATCATGTCCCATGTTGTATTCTTTCTCTGCCTGGAGAAATTGTCTCTCGGGGTGCTGATAAATCTTTTTTTGCAAAGTAGTTTCTCCTTTGAGGACAGTAACACCCCTGTCAACTTGGCGAGCGTACTGCCATCCAGTAAGAAAGATAGTCAGAATGGTTTCCCTCTCCCCTCCCATGGTGGTCGTACCAGGAAACAAAAGGACATTCTCAGGTCTAACATTTTTATGCACAAGACCAAGTGTTTGGGTCTGCAATATTGCAGTAGCAAGCTGGTTGCAGAGGTTAATCCGGAAGTTCAGAGAAGGCATAGTATTAGACTTGAGATAGCTCTCAAGACTAGATGGATACTTCTCTGCGAACGGGCAGATGAAAAGAAGCTGGAAATGTCCTTGTGTGCCGTCGAATTCATCTCTGAATCCTACAAGACGCAGGACACCTTTGTCCTGTTGCGCTTGGTGTAGTTTCTGGGCCAATATTCGAACATTCTGCTTGGTTGCCTCCTTCTGCTGAGTGTTTCGGTGGTCGTACGGCTTTGACTCAAACAAAAACCAATGTGGTGTGGTGGAAACACCTGGCACTGGGTCTGTTAATCGACCCTTGCCAAAAAAGGTATTTCTGGACAGGCCATACACTCTGTTGTCGGTATCTAACGGCTGAAAGTCATTCGGCGATAGAAACAACTCAGACTCATCCTTTTCAAGCTCACGAAGCGCAAGGACAACAGACTGAAACTCTTGGACCACAAAGGAGATTGCTTTAGTGCCGCCAAGGTCAAGTAACGCGTCTCGAGCCTTGTGACGAGCACGAGACGCCATAATTGATGAGTTTTGTACCATTGTTTCGATCAATTCATCAACCTTGATCAACAATGCCTTGATACGTTCCCAGTTCTGTTCTAGACGTTCCTTGTGTTCTTGTTCGATGTTTGGGCTTTTCAGCACTCCTTGCGCAAGCTTGATGTCGACACTGAGCTGTGTTCGCCGATCCTGGAGGTCGAACATCTGAAACTCTTTCAGTACCAGAGACAATTTCTGTTCGTCCTTGACTCGACGGTAGATCCGGATTCCACATCGGCAAAGCTCATGTGCAGCAGAAGCTGACGCGAGGGCGATGCCGGCGATTTCCATTGTAAATTATTTGTGGCGGCAACGACTGTGAAAATAACAAGGTGGTTGGTTATAGCTGTAAAACTGCAAAAGGTCAAACCCCGATATAAAAATGGGACTTGATGAAGAACAAGTCGACCTCGCTTGGTGATAAATAAGAAAGTGGCTGATTACTAATTCTAGTATGGAATATACATGGACAGGAGAAACTAAGGTAATTTATGTGTCCATCAACAGGTCAATTATCTTATATTACAGGCATAAGGTTTCCTCGACGTACCTGTTACATAATGCTCTAATTTCACGGCCAACCTGGCGCATCTTGATGACCTATTAGCTTTGAACATGTGGTCATCTACATGAAGCTGAAATAGCCTGTGAGCATCTACTGGTCGCCACCAAAATGCTAAATGCGGCCATAAAGCAGGCTACCAATCATAACGGATGCTGAACCTAGTCGTCGGTTTTAGAAAAGCAGGCTGGTAATCAGCTGCTCATGTTTACGTATATGTAAGACGAGCATATCATTGGTGCCCTCTTTGCGCATTCTTTTTTATCTTGCCGACCTTTGGGAAAGGCTATATTTTCATATCTCAATAGATAAGCTCTTGTTAAGATGGCAACTTCCAGCTTGCAGCCTCCTTTCATTTCCCTTGTCTTTTATGGTGACTCTCAGTACTCTCCGATGCCTCGAAGGGGTGACACATCCTCAATCTAGTTGCTGCACTCTAGTGTTCTGGCTTTGTCGTTCTTGTCAAAAGTCGTCTTCTACGAAGTCGAAAGATTGAACCCCGGTTGCTCGGTAACTATGGAGCCAGTTGGGTTGGTGATCGGGTATGTCGGATTTACCACTGCCCTACTCCAACAGGTAGACGACATTGCCAAAGCTTTCGACCAAGTCAAAGACAATTCAGGGCAAGCTAGCAATTTTAATGTTGAAATTAGAGCATTAAAAGAGACACTCTTGGTGGTTCGTGACCTTGCAGAACAACAAGGTACCGAGGAAGCCAAAGTGCAGACCTTGGCTATATTGGCGGCAGAGAGTAGGAGTTTGGGGGCTCTTCTTGGTGAGTTGCAGCTCAGGGGCAGCAAATTGGATTCTAGCTCCCTTTGGCAACGTCTCAGCCGTACGAAGGTCAAACAAATATTAGAGCGAGTCAAAGGCCACCGCGAGACTCTTGACCTGCTACTGTCTACGTCGGGATTCCTGTCTCCAAATGACAATTCAGACGGAACGAACCAGGGCGAACCCTCAGGACCTTCTGCAAACATCATCACAGAATGGTTGGGGTATCCAAACTTCTCAGAAAGGCTCGAGGTCTTGCAGGATCGATATGTCACCGGGACTGGGACATGGCTACTTGAAAATCCTTTGTTTCAGCAGTGGCTGAAGGAGCCTGGCAAGCCCTTGTGGTGTACTGGTCAAGGTGAGCTTCTCGGTTGCACATCTATACGTCCCCACGGTTGCTAATTATGAATATGGACCGCAGCGGGTATTGGAAAGTCCGTTCTCTGGTGAGATAGCCCTGTTCTCTACTACAATATAAATCTACAATATAATTCTAACGACATCGACATCAGTGCTATGGTAATTAGCCACCTCAATGAAATCTTACGTACGGAGAAAACACCCGTCATATCTGTATTCTTCAGATTCGATGACAGAACACAGGAACCAAGAGACATACTCAAATCACTAATCATACAGCTGTTACGATATTACCATAATATGCCGGATTCTCTTACAAGGACATACAACAAACACATATCTCTGTCAACGACCCCAAGCTTTGGGGAACTATGGGCCTGTTTGTCCAGCATGATAAGTCGGTTCGACCGGGTTTTCATTCTTTTTGATGCCCTTGATGAGTACCATGACGGCCCGGAAGGGTTTTCTAGCCACTTTCATAACCTCCTGGATTTATCTAATACCAGTCTTTTTGTGACGTCGAGGCCAATATCCAAAAGCAAAACTGCTTTGGAAGGCTTTGAAGTGCTACAAGTACGCCCTGCAGACTCTGACATTGAATACTACATTCAACAAAGACTATCTAAGTCGTGGATTGCAGACAAACCAGAGCTGCATGATGAGATTGTTAGAAAAGTAGTCAAGCAGTCCAAGGGATCGTGAGTTTCATCATCATCTTGACATCATGCGTTATGGAAATCTAATAAACATATAGATTCCTAATCGCGAGTCTCACTATCGACCAGTTTCTGTTTCAAACATCGGTTAAAGAGGTAGAGGGCCTTCTACTGACGCTGCCCGAAAATGTACATGACGTTTACAGGTCGATGATAGCGAAAGTTTTATGGAAGGTACCTCGACCTTTAGATGAAGTTCACAGACCATTGGTAGATGACAATATTCTTGGTTGGGACGACCAATCTATCTTGGTATTAGAAATGCTGTTGTGGCTTACATATTCATTGGGGCCACTTACAAAACCCCAACTTCAGGCAGCGGTCGAGATTCGGCTTGGCAGTGACGACTTTGATCCAGCCTACCAACCATTGATCGAAGTAGTCGAAGAGTTTTGTTCCAGTGATATTATCTCTATCAAACCACCTGGACAACGATTGTCATTGGTGCATTACTCACTCAACGAGTATCTCCAACGGTTTCTTCCAAGTGTGATGTCTCATCTATCCGGACCGAATGATCCTGACACATTTATTGCGAAGAAGTGTCTTACGTCTCTTCGATGGAATGCCTTTTCTCGTGATATCCCTTCTGAGCCAGGCGAACTTGAGGGTAGACTAGCCCGATATCCCATACTGAGTTATGCCGCAAGGTACTGGGGAGAACATGCACAGCGAGGTGTGCCACAGCATTTGATGGACGACATTATCGCTTTGTTCGATTCAAGCCATAATACGATGTTCACCGGGTTGGTCATGTCAACATACGAACAACATCCCAGTTACTACGAACGAGCCTATCAAGGCATGACTGGTTTGCATATATCGGCATACTTTGGCCTTACTAAGGTCGTAACACGAATTCTGAATGATAAAAAAGTCCACCCCGATGTTACAACTACTGGGGGCTGGAACGCGTTACACTGGGCTGCTAGGAGAGGGATGACGTCGATGGTTTCCACCTTACTGTCTTACAGTGCTTCGACTAGTGAGAGAACAAAGCTTGATGGATGGACCGCATTACATCTAGCAGCGAAGGAAGGTCACGTTGATGTTGTGCTGGAACTTATGAGAGCCAAGGTCGATATCAATGCAAAGGATGTTAATCTCAGGACGCCGTTGTATCTCGCAACGTGGGGGGGACACACCGAAGTCGTTCGTCATCTTCTTCAATTCTCCGCCGATCCCAGTATCCCTAATGCATATGGTGCCACAGCACTGCATTGTGCCGCAAAACGAGGACACGAGCGCATTATGTTCGAACTGTTATCGACGGACATCGACGTCAAGGTGATTGATAAATCTGGAGTCACTGCATTGGATGAAGCTATCAGAAAGAAAAACAACAGGATCATCTCCATGCTAACTAATGCTGGAGCAGAGACAAGACGGAGCATCAATACCTTACCAACCGATAGCATTGTCAATGATCTCAATTGGGAGGCTTATGCAGTCAATAACCAGAGAACTGCAAGGGTACAGAAGGGGATTCAATGCACGTGCCATGTTTTGGAGAAGGCTACTGGTTCTCACTCTTCTACATCGCCACCGGTAATTTCTCCCATGCTTTCGAACAAGGTAATCGAGCATTGAGCTCGATACTGACATAATGACAGATGATCTTTCGCAAGACATTCTCCTTGTCAGCCGACACTGAGGGATTGGTGAAGAAGTATTTCGAGTCAGAACGTATGATTCTCCATCGGCTCCGACACCCAAACGTTGTGGCATACTTAGACTTTGATGAGGACCCAGACCAGAATTCCGTTCTTCTATACATGGAATATTGTGACTTGGGAGATCTAGAAACTTGTCATGGGCGTCAGTTGACAAGAGCGAGCGATAGTGGCGAGGAAGAAGATGAGGACAGCGAAGACGGAGATGACTATGGCTTTTACATAGAAGACGCATCTTCAACAGAGGAAACGACAGCATTGGACTCGCAGAGCACTTGGAGCCTGATTGCGCAATTGTCCATGGCTCTTGCTTATCTTCACTATGGTTTGACTGTCAACTTTCGGGAAGATACCTGGGAAGCCTCCTTCGAAAGCTCATGGCATAATGTCATACACCGAGACATTAAACCTGCTAATAGTAAGTGTTTCTTATGTCACTTCTATCACAATAAAGGGACTGACTAAAATTCTCTTTCTAGTTGTGGTGCAAAGTTCTGAGTCCGATGCACGCATTTTCAAGCTTTGTGATCTTGGCATCGCTGCTGAGGCTGGGAAAGGTTCTGGGCACAACACAACACAGTACATTGGTAGCCAAGCATTCAGGCCTCCGGTACGTATCAACATCTTCTCCTGTACTTATATAATTTGTGCTCTAAATGGCTATCAGGAAGTGAGTAGCGGTCGCCGTTGGTCGACTAAAGGAGATATTTGGTCCCTTGGAGGTAAGGCAGAGCGTTCGGTTTGCAAACTTCGGCAAGTCACTAATTATTAACTTCACTATCACAGCCACGATCCGTGAGTTGAAAAAGCTCAAAGATTCCATGCTGGAGGCCTCGATACAGAGAATGGTCGACAAATGCTCCGACAGAAAACAGAACAATAGGCCAAGTAGCCTAGAAATGCTAGAAGAGGCTCGTAATGTGCTCGAGACAAATCAGCTCATGGATACATTGCCAATTTCATCGCGACTCCATATCCAGGCAGTGCATGGTCTTTTGGGTGGTCACAAAGGAGGCTATCTCATGCAAGCGTTCAACTTGGTGGCGGAGCTCTTGGATGATATCGTGCCTTTCCATAACAAGCTGGCCAAAGATCGTCGCAAAGAGACAATCGAACGACTCTACGTTCTTTGGAATGACGGTGTCGAACAGTGTTTCCAGCAGCATCTAAATGACTTCTCACTCCACATTCTTGTGTTGCTCCCATTGCCACCCAAGGCTCGTTCAAAACACATACCCACCGTCATCAACGTGACGCGCGTGAACGCCTGGTGGCAACGATCGCGGTGGACACCCTTGCACCTTGCAGTTCAAGAGGGGAATGAAGAGATGGTTAAAGATTTGTTACACAACGGGGCAGATAAAGTGAAGGAAGATATACACGGTTGTACGCCAGGATATTATGCTAAGACATTTCCATCTATAGCAGCATTACTTAAATAATAGACAGGAAAATCCTTGCGTCGATCTGTTATTTCCGTTGCTGACTTATCTCGGTTCGTGCTGATGAAATGCCGCTGCAGATTGTTGCTTCTCAATTAATTTCGTACACTTGCGGAATGGGTGAAGTAACATGGGAAGTACCCGAATTCGCGTGTGAAGTTGCATTCGGAATGCGGAAAACGCTAATCTAGCTTTCCGAGCTCTCTATCTGCCCCTCACCACCCATTTAGCAGCCACTATCCACTGTCAAGCGTACAACTCCCTTCAGTCGGAATCAAGGCCGGGTTACTTGACCAGGAATAGAAAAGACTTCCGTTCGGACAAAGACGGCATTTCGGATTTATATGTTATCAGGTTTACGGGCCCTATTTTTCGACATGTAGTAGCAGTGCTATATTAATCTATGCTCTGTAAAGATTGGCAACAGTAAAGGCTCTCTCTCAGTATTATATCTCCTATTCTCATCTTCACATAAACAGAATGCCTAGAACACAGGAAGGATATCTCTGGTGGCAATCCCACACGGATAGTGGCCTAGAAACCCAGGCTGTTGTTCCCAGCAGCCATCATATCAATGATACCTACGATGTTATTGTTATCGGGGCTGGCTTTGCTGGCCTAGTTGCTGCACGAGATCTCGCTGCCAAGGGTCTCAGGGTTCTCATACTTGAGGCTCGAGATCGCATTGGAGGAAGGACTTGGACCGCTCGAGCTTTTGGGGAGGAATTTGAGATGGGAGGCACCTGGGTCCATTGGTATGATAACACTGCTCTGTTGAAATAAACATCCTAACCCAAGGATGTTGCGTTACAGGAATCAGCCACATCTTTACGCTGAACTTACCCGGTACAATCTTCACCATAATCTGAAGACTTCAAATGGAACTTTGAAGCCAGAGGTCACTTATTGGCAGGGAACTGCCGGTAACAAATCAGCTCTTGACCAGAAGGCTGTCGAAGATGCTATGGTAGCCGCTGAGAGACTTGCCAGCAAAGTCTTTTCGATCGATGGCTACGCTAGCAAGGAGCTCATGCCTTATCCGCATGACCCAACCCGCCTGGCACCTTTGTGCAAATACGACCATCTCAGTATCCGTGACAGGCTTGATGCCATCACTGATGAGTCAGACGAGAATAAGGCATATTTCCAAGGATTGACAAACACCTTCGCTACCTCCCCGTCGAACGAGATTGGCTTCACAGAGGGTCTCCGGTGGTACGCTCTTGGTGGCCACACGTTAACACAGCTATTCGAATCGGCCGGTTTGTATAAGCTTGGAAATGGCGGAATGACATCATTTGCCAAAGCCATATTTGAGGATTACTCCGGCGCAGCTCTTTTTAGCACCGAAGTCACCAAGATCAGCCAAACTCCAAACGAGGCTACTATCACTACCAAAGACGGACGCACTTTATCCGCAGGTCGTATTGTCTGCACCATACCATTGTAAGTGATTTAACATGCTTACACTTTCCTGCTGTGCTAATTACTTGTCTTAAGGAATGTGCTCAAGACCATTACGATCGAACCGCCTCTGAATGCGCTTAAACAAAAAGCACTCGACAAGGGTCACATCACTGGGGGCGCCAAAATTCATTACAAGCTTCGACACATTACTCCTCCTTGGTATTATCATGGGCTCCCACCTACGCCTTTCTGTTTTGCTTTCACAGATCACAATGGGACAAAGAAGGAAAAGGATGGAACATACTGCATTGGATTTGGACTCAATGGCTGCTTCCCGGACATCAAGGATAGTGAAGAGGTAATTGGAGCTTTCAACCATCACATTGGTGCAGATAACGAAGTAGACGGTTATCTGTCACATGACTGGGTGAAGGATCCTTTCTCTCGGGGAACGTGGGCTTGTTGGGGTCCTTCATCCAGCACAGTGTACCTTCAGGAGCTGCAGCTCCCTCATGGCCGCGTCATGTTTGCAAGTGGAGATACGGCTAACGGTTGGCGTGGATTCATTGACGGTGCACTTGAGCAGGGCAAGAAGGTGGCCAACGATGTGTTGCGTGAGCATTCTAAGAGTCAGAGAGCCAGGCTATAACAATAACCTATGTCATCTATAAAAAATGGAGTCGCAGATTATTTAGTTGTCAGCTCTCGTTTGAGTGTATTTACTTGTCCTCGATAACTAAATTGTTTCTAGCAGCCCAGTGGCCAATTCATGAAAACTGTATTGTCATTCTAGCAAGCCATCTTCCGTACCCCCTTGACCATAGGACAGAAATCGTTCCGGGAATATACATGCGGCTGTCCTCTATAATTTCTTGCGAAACTGAAGGCATGGAAAAGCTTCTGCCAAGACCCACTCGGATGCTTTGGATGGAGCTTATCAACAACAACGTATTCACGAACTGCAATGGATCCTGTTATCTTGTCTCGGACTCTCGGACTTTTGGACTTGACCAGCAAACAAAGCAGAGCTAAATCCATGAGTCTAAAAGTTCCGACACCAATTCAAGTTCACAATCGCCCGCAGGCTTACCCCACACAAACGGTCAAACTAAACCTATTTCAACTAAAAAGTGCGAGTGTTTGCGTCAATGCTACAAATGTTGTTTAGGGTAACTTCGTCATTGAGCTTCATTAAATCTCAAAAAGTGGATAGTTTCATCTTAGGAAGGATATCTATCATGAAGTTGATAAGCCGAGAGGATGACCCTGTCAGATCTTCAGGGATAGCATTCGACGAGATAGGTGTTGCTGGAGGAGCAGCGCATTTTCCGAGTTAATGCTCGTAGCTACGACGAGGTAATTAATATTTTCGAAATCAACTGGTTGCTGCTAAGCTATGGGGAATGACATTGATACAAAGACTAGAATGTTCCACCAGAAGTCTAGAAGTATAAGAAGCACAAACACGAACTAATCATCATGAATTATGATTCGTCTTGTTCGTATGTGCAAGAAGCCAGAGAATCTAAGACTGGCCGTAAAATATTTTCAATTTCATGTTTAAGTAGTAATTTAGCATGTGCTATTCTTTTAATTATATTATGACGTGCTCTGGTATTTTTTCCGTTGCTGACTATCTCAATCATCCCAGCCTTCTCCTATTCACTTCTCTTTGTCTTCTTCTTTTTAGCTCTTATTTACTCTTTAATAACCTCTCGGCTCTCGGATCTTATCTTTGGTATTCTTTCCAGTTTCTACGTAAAGGTTAGTATGGACTTTTGCTGGCTGTATACCTTCATGGTTTCCATCTCTGCTCATCGGCGACTCCAGTCGAATCAACATCGATGATGATTGACTCTCCGCATAATCTCACAGCGACTCAGAAGTTCAAGCTTGTTAAGGCTAACGCTATTTCAACGGAAGCGTACGCTACATCCCTCGTGAGCCGCATCGATGAGCGAGAGTAGCATGTCCCTAGTCTGTGGTATGCTTAGAGGCTACCTCCGTGCCAGCCCATGGAGCAGAAAACATCTCAATCATCTAAATTCGTTGAACATCACTCCGCAAGTGTATCTGGTGAGTCGGTGAGAAGCTCTCAAGGCTTTAGAGATAGAGGCATGTCTCATTCTTCTACTCAATCCAGTTCGTTCAGGTAGCCACATAATGCTATAGTCTTAGTTGCTGGTCTATTTCACCTCTAGATTTCAATATGCAAATGAAGTTTTTCCGTTGTAGACTTTTACTATTACGAAACCATAATAAGTCATCAATCGATACAAGCTTTCGGCGGCTATGATTCGTGATCCATATTTCTATCTTTCAGCTAGTTCTAGATTTGTCTGGCACTGCTTGTAAAGGACCAATTGGTATCTTTCCAATGTCTCAGAAATCCAACAGTCATCTTAGCCCACCACAGGACGTCCTGAGACATCAAAACGAATCATTTTGACCGCTCTTTCAGCTGTCAAATGGGCGATAGGCAGTTTGGAGAGTTGAAGCTATTTGTTACATTCCCCTCCCATCCAGTAAGTACCCGAATTGGCAAGCTGAACATTTGTGGCTTGCTGACACGCAACTCCCTCGCAACGACGTCGGCATATCACCCAGTTACTCACGTAATACAGAATTGTGTTCTTGCACTTTTCATTGGCCACAGCCTGTCCAGGTAAGTCTAGACTGCGCCACGTTGATTTATCACATACCTGCAATGAAACGCGGACTCACCTGAGCCTGTGTTTGCTTGCAGATATCGTGTTTTTATCGGTATGTGAGATTTCAGCTGAAAATATTGTAATGCAAAGTGCCCCGTGGAGAGGTATGAGCTGAGCTGTCTGTGACAGCTGCGCGGTATTTCGCATGTTAGGGTGAGTCTACGAGGCTTCGGAGAACAGGTATAAAGATCAGGAAAGCAGCTACTTTTGTTCCGTATTCTCCATTACTCCATCATTCAAAGCTTGCTTACTCTTTTCTAAACAATGACTATCACCACCAAAATGGAGCCCTCTTTCCAAGGGAACCAGTTCTTCCCTGGTACAGCTGCCTACAAGCGTGCCAATAACATCTACGCGACCTCCACCTACGGCGCAAGTCGCGACATGAACCCCTCAGAGATCCTTCAGCCTTCTAGCATCGAGGACATTCAAGAGGTCGTCAAAGCTGCTGCCAGAATGGGCAAGCCCCTCGCCATCAGATCCGGAGGTCATCAGTACAGTGGTGCATCTTCAACTGACTCTCGGGGTATTCAGTTGGACTTGAAGCCTACTTTCCGTCGTCCTAATGTTGATCTCAATATCCTGAGGGAAAATGGCAAGGTTTACCTTCGCTCTAGTGTCAGCTGGCAACTGACCGAGATCTTTGACTTTCTGAAGGACAATGGTGTCTTTATGCCGACTGGTCAGTGCTCTACCGTCTGTCTTGGTGGACATGTTCAGACTGGCGGTTACGGCATGCTTGCACGATCGTTCGGTCTTCTCGGAGATTATGTCCGTGAGCTCGAGATTGTCGACTACAAAGGTGACGTAGTCAAGGTCACAAAGGACTGTCACCCAGATCTTTTCTACGGTTTTCTCGGAGGCAGCCCCGGCAACCTCGGTGTCTTGACGCACTTCAAGATCGAAGTTCAAGATGACAAGAACTACCAGGGTTCCAAGGGCATGTGGGTTGGCTTCGGCTATTCGGAGAAGACACTCAAGACTCTCCTGGATATCCTTGTACAGAAGGGAGAAGATCCAAAGTTCCCTCGTGGTTATGACTTCACGGTCAATATTGTCAGTAGACAAGCCAATTTGCTAGATCTTTTCCCTGGTTCTGAAGATGAGCTCAAACAGAAGCTGCCAGACGATATCCACGACGGAAAGGACAACATTGCCGATCTACTTAAGTTTAAGTACGCCATGGTTGTCGTCTACGCACAATGGGTCAATCTCAACGAGGAGCCATATTCACCCGACCTCTTCAACCAAATCAAGAGCGTGCCAAATGATTTCAAGATTGTCAAGGAAGCTCCCGAGGGTACTCCAATGTCTGCTATCGCCGCCATGTGGCTGTTCGGAAGCCCTCGCGAGTTTCCTTACCCTTACGACAAGCGCACCAACAGCACCACATCAACTGAGCTCTCCAAGACAGGCTGGTCATCTTGGTTCTCCGGCCGTATTAACGAGGTGATTAAAGACAAGCACAATGGACTCTGGGTCTCATCTCAACTGCAAGTCTACGGCGGCGAGCAATCCATGTTTCAGAGAAACGCAGGCAATGGCACAGCCTACTGTTTCCGAGATGCCAACTTTGGCGGAACTTGGGATGTTTTCTACCAGGGTACGAAGGACGCAGCTGAGAAGTGGCAGGCGGTGAATGATGAGGGCAGAGCGAAGTACTTTAGCAAGGAAGATCGGCGTGTTCTTTGGGGATCTTATGGAGATTGGAACATGAAGGATGTTTGGCAGTTCTACTACGATCCTGAGACGTATAAGAAGGTGCAGAAGATTAGGCAGACCTACGATCCGAAGGGGACTTTTACTGCGAACCCTTTCTGCGTGGAGGCTTCGAAGTAGCTTTTATCTATAGAGTTCTAGTAGTTTTCTAATAAGAGTATTAAACAAATATTGTACTCTGGTCTCAATGTATTTGATTGGCCTTATAAGAATGTCTAGAAAAGACAAAGGTTACAACTGGTAACCCTCGGCCACCAGTCCAATTACCACTCAGTCGCTAACAACATTAGCCGGCCAGCTTACCGAATTGAATTCCTTCTGGTTATAGCCCAGTATCTCTCTATTTCGAGCCTCGGGAGTAGCCTCTCTTACGCCGTCTTCTTAGTTCCCTCCACTGGTCGAAGCATCACTGGTTGCGCACGCCTTCCCTTGTCATATCTCGCCCGGCCGATTTCTCGGAAGCCCATATTCTCATACAGCGGTTTTCCTGGAATACTCGACTCAAGTACCGCGGGGACACCTTCCTCTTCGCAACGGTCGAGACCCCATTGAACCAATCTTCTTCCAATCCCAGTCCTTTGGCACTTTGGGGAAACGGCCAACCAGCAGAGGCGCCAGCGCTCAGGAGGATACAGCTTTTCGGCTTCCTGAAGCCCTGACACTACTTCCACGGCGTCGTCCAGTGAGATGCCGGGAGCTGGTTTGCGGAGGATCAACTGATAGAACATAGACCACATCACACCAAGCCTTGTGAGCTCTGTTTAGAGATAGGTTATTTATGGTTTCAATAGCTGTAGCCGGGATGTTGACTTACTCTTATTCCAAGTATCTCCTTGCCAGCATTGAGCAACATCACTCGTTCCATGTCGGCGCCAAACTGCGAAAGCGAGAAACTCACTTCTCTCTCCGCCCTTCTCTCTACAAGAGGCTAGAATAACGGTACCCTTTTCCCCATACGCTTTGCTAAGATGCATCGACCACATGCCCCGAAAGGACTCAGGGTGTTCATGGCGGCCTGGAACGACGAGTGAGAACAGGGGATCGTTGATGAAGGTGTCGCAGGCCAAGACGATGAGTTCGTCAAGTTGATCGAAGGAACTAATTCGAACGATCTTAAGAGTCGGGTTGCTAGTCTCCATTGTGTTGGATGTTTGTGAAATTCAAAGAAGAGGTATGAGGCTAATGATGCTTCAATGTTGATTGTCTATAGTCATATAATTGTAGCTAGTTTCACAACACATCTTTGCAGCAATTAAGCCTTTTTATAGTTTTCGAGGATAGAGGCATAATGCCATGTTGGGGACTACAGTTGCTTGCCACGCGAAATTCTCAAGAGTTTTGCATACATTGGAGTAAGCCAACAGGCTTTGCTGTCTGGTCATCGCACTCGCATAGGCTCCCTCTGAGCTTGTAGTGTTGAAGACTCGGAACGCTTTCTGCGGGTTGCATTATCATTGGTCAGCAACTAACCTGAGTCTTACCATGGTACCCGCGGCTTCCGCGTGTTGTTCAGTCCGACCGAATGCTGACCTGTCTTGGCAAAACTCGGGCAGAAACATGCGTCATTAACAAATGTGTTACGATCAAGCATGATGGTTAGTCATCTGCCACAGTTGTAGCTGACCTATAGATACCGTTTGGCCGGTGATAGTGTTATTCGTCCAGCATTTTTCACTAGATAGTTATTATTCTACTAATGCTTTCTGCCACAATTAATCGTCCGCTGAAATACTACTAGACTACATTCTAAGCTATTATTTTAAACATTCTGTCCTCTTGCTATACTGCAGAAAATGTCCTTTCCTGGACGCAGTATAACTAAACGGACCCTGCCATGTGGACCATGGGATAACCGTCGAAGGGGACATCGATGTCAAGCTTGTCGTAGCGCTCAGGCCAGAGTATGTGAATCCCCCACAAGAATGCTCTATGCAGTCTATTACGGACCTGACTTAATGTCTGTAGTGTGATGGAGGGCGGCCTTGTTCACGATGTAAGCTTCGCTGGCTACAGTGCACTGAATTCAGTAGACCTGCCAAATCAGAGGCTTTGGTATTTCTCAGACAGCCCAGCGGCCTTGCAATGCCCTCCAGCGAAGACGCTCAACATATAAAATCATTTTTTGCTCTTATGGGACCGAGTTCATCACCGCTTACCGAGTCTTTCTCTCAGTCTGCACTAGCACATTTCTTAGATATATCCTTCCCGGTTCGACTCCTTGTTTCTTCGATTGGCCGAGTCAGGTTACATCTTTCAGAGAACAAATCCCTTGATACGCCTATCAAGACATTGTCTTGGATTCCCAAAACTTGTCATGAGATACGTCGGCAATTACAATCTGCAAGTGGTACCGTGGATATATCACCTGAAGCGAGATCTCTCATCCTCCTACTTACGACGTTAAGTTGCATTTTTGAAGCAAGTTATATTATCACTCGTACAAGCTCGTATTGAAAATTTGCCTCTGTAACCAGAGGTTAACTTAGGTACAGCTCATGATAGATAATTCCGGCTATAGTGCAATTCTGGTCATTAATTCGCTTCCGGTACGGATCGTCGAAAGTTCCCATACGGGGCCTCCCTTATCACACATTGAAACCTGTCTACTTACTGTTTACCAATATGTCCAAGCGAGTCTATCCCTCGTCTGCGATGAAGATACTTTCCTCGCTGATATTCTCTGCCAGGAGCAGATACTGAGGGTTGACGCATATGGAAGCACCGACTCCACTACCACTCGCCTTGTTTCCCAGTTCCTGGTACTTTTTGCTAGATGCAACGCCCGGTAGATACGCCGTGTCTAACTGTTTTAAGGCAACAAGAGGCTAATTATGTCACATAGCTCCATTCAGTGGCTTAGGCAGGTGCAAGGTCTTTTGCAAGCCCGGCAACAGAGTGAACCTTGGTCTGCCTCGTTACAGGAGACATTGGATGCATCATGTCTGGATTTCGGAAAAGTCATCTTTGAAAGCTCTTTTGAGCTACTTGATTTAGCGGCTAGGATTTGTCCGAACCCTGCGGGCACCCCCTGTTATCTTGATGAATTTAGGTCTTTTCTTACCGCATCTTATCATTGTGCAATAATTAGTATCGCTCGGCTCTTTACGGATATCCTCTGTACATTTGTTGGAAGACCTCCAGCGGTCGATGAAATCCCTCGCCTGGAGACTCACGCATTGGCTGCTCTTGTCGTCCTGGAGCGAAGGCTGCTGCCTGATAGCGCCGAGTCCCTTTTCTATCTGCCTCTGATGCTAGCTGTGGCTCTGGAAGTTCGACAACCAGAAGACAAACAACGCGTCATGGAGGTGCTGAATGATGTCGCTTTGAACGGATTTGTGGTGGCTAGGACTTATCAGTCTGATATCCAACTAGCTTGGGGCTTATGTGACAGCGAATTGGACAATCTGGAGTCGGGAAGTGGTTCTTGGAGTTTTGGAGGATGACTTGAAGACAGTGGAGACAAATTGATGTAGTCGATACGCCCAAGTATCCATGCTAGGCAATTGCTTCTACTAGAATTCAGCTTGTAAAAGAAGTTTCAAGTGCATCGTCAGTCTTAATGAGATATCTGGGGTATGTAAAAGGAAAACGGTTATTGTCAAGGCGCCCTTTGGCTTGCGTGTTTTAACAGAGCACGCGCATCAATACGGGCTATGTGGCTTTCGTAGCTTTGTCCATTTGCCTTAATGGACTAGGATGTACTTGAGCGGCGCTGGTTGAAACAGGACTTGCCTTTTAATCTCTTTAAGGTAAGTTTATATAGAGTCCTACTGAAGCCATTCCGCCGCCGCCTGCACTGCTTGTTCTCCCTCTATTCGAAAGCCATTGAGGTACCCGCTCTCTACAATATCATGTGGTGCATCAGGCTCAACTATCAGTGTTACATTGTTTCCAGCGTCTCTCATATCATGGACCCATCCCGTAACCTCATCATAAAGAAGCTCCAGATCTCCAACATGAACCCATAGCTTTGTTACAGTTCTGAAAGGCTGAGATTTGAGTGTAATATAGGGCCCACTTCGATCAACGATTTCTTGAGGCGCAAACGATTCGGTTGCCCACTCAGCAAAATCTGCTGGTAAATAGTCCGTATGGTAATTCTTTCGATGAAGGACATGATCTGCTGATGCTGACCCCGCGATATCTATCCAGGGAGACCATAACATCGCAGCTCTTGGACCTGGAGTAGCGGGTAGATATTCCTCTACATACCTCAGTAGGGAAATAACGAGGTGTCCGCCTGCACTATCACCGCTTAAAACGACATTCTTTGCCGAAATTCCCCAAGATAGGATGTGGAGATAAAATTTGATTGCATCTTGAAGAGCTGCTGTGGATCGCCCCTCAGAAACGCACGTTAACCTGTACCCGGGCGAACAGAATCGTGCGTGTGATGTGCCCTGAGAAGACATTTGCCATGTATCCGCTATCGACTGGAAAGGGACTTCCCAGAACACAACCTCCGCCGTGAAAATGGAGAATAATGCATTCTCATTTTACCATTTTCGATAAACCAGATGAGTCGGGAACATCAGGATACCATATAGCTCGGACAAAACCAGGCTTGATATCCTCATCCTCCAGTGGCCCACGATAGGAATTCTGATCGGAAGATGGTGGGATGGAGATAAAGCGTGTTTTCAACCCTTTATGTTCCGTTGGCATTGAGGTAATGAGGCGAATACTGGTGTAGAATTGCATGAGGTAGAACATTAAATTTCGGCCCAAGGCTTGGTGCAGCATCCATTTTTGATGGGGACGATTGCAGCTACTTATGTAGTAGAACGCCAACGGTATAAGTAGGATGAGTCGGAAGACTAAAATGCAGGCGTGCCATACGAATTGGAAAGATACTAAGAGAGCCATGCTGGAGTTATTGCAAAGGGTTTAAGCAATTTGCGACGCCCTGACTTGGGAAGGGGAGGGTACAGATTAAATACACAAAAAATAAGGGATTCATAGATCCACAAGTTTGCCAAAATTACGATTATTTGCATAGAGGGTTAAGGGTAGATAAGGAAACCAAATGAGGGAATACAGAGAAGCCCAATTTACGGTAACATCCACGGTCACAGTGGAGTTTAAGTCAAACCGTCAACCAGGGTCGCACAATGACTACCAGACACGGTTAGATTTTGGTGGCCGATCCAGTCCCAATTTCTACATCTGGTATAGCTACGTCGGCCATCAGACTACCTCATTTGGACGACGCTTTAAGCGCCTTGATGCGTCACGACTTTGGCTGTCGCCTCGTTTCATCCTTTGCGCCTCTACATCATGTCATCTCAAGATAAGAAAACACCAACAGTGATTGCACCCATGTACAAGCTCACAGCGACCCATGCGCTGGAGCTAATTAACAACAATACTATCTCAGTGGAAGAATATGCCAAATCGCTCTTGGACCGCATAGAGGAGCGGGACCTCGCAGCTAAAGCATGGGCTTACCTAGATGCGGTGCTTTATGGACTATTGACACTTGTAATTGGAACGCTGACACTGAATAGATCCTGTTTATGTACTGAGCCAGGCGCGAGCCCTCGACAAGGTTCCAGTAAACAAGAGGGGCCTCTGCATGGTCTTCCAATCGGTATCAAAGACATCATGAACACTAAAGGTATTTGCAAGTTCCATGTGAGAGAAAAGGCTTACACATTCTAGACATGCCGACGCAATATGGATCTCCGATTTATCAAGGACACTAACCAGACTCCGACTCGTCCGCAGTCGTAATTCTGCGAGACGCTGGCGCACTCATCTTTGGTTTTTACTTCTCTTTTTGAAGGACTGATATCCTGTCCTGACTCTGAGATCTAGGCAAAGCAACCACAACCAAATTTAGCGTGACCAACTCAGAACCCGAGACGACCAATCCTCACGACCCAAACCGTACTCCAGGTGGCTCGTCGTGTGGCTCTGCAACAACTATAGCTGATCTACAAATACCACTTAGTGTTGGATCACAGACTGGTGGTAGCGTCATTCATCCAGCATCATCCACTGGCATCTTCGCTGTAAAACCGACATTCAATGCTATTTCAGTCAAAGGCTAGATAGCAATTATATTATCCTTTAATGTTTTTAGTTTCTTTAGACTAAGAATTATAGATCTAAAACTCCTAGCAGATATATTTTCCCTTAATGATAATAGGGCTCTAAAATATATTTCTTTAAGTAATATCTCTGTTGCTATAATCAAGACTCCTATGTAGTCTGCAGCAGGCCCTAGAACCATATTGGCCATTGATAAAACTATCACTATACTCTGTAGCAACAGCATTGAGGTCGAAGAAGTCCCCTTCTGACACGGTCAGAACTGATCTAAGGGTGATTCTTATGCGGTAAAATACAGAGTAGTATTCCCAATTAGATCCTACTAGAGAACAGAAGCATTGAAGGCAAGAAGACTGCAATATATATCGTCGGTCAGCTTCTTGTCCTCGATCTTTCGGGGTAACGCGGGCTCCCTCTTGGCATAGGTCCTGAAGTAATGCAATACAGTTTATTCTTAAAGTTAATAATATTACAGTCTACACTATTATTAAGAAATAGAGATTTTCAATATGCTAATTATCTGCTGCTGCGCTTAAGGACATAATTCTTAACTCAGATAACTAATTATTCTAACCCTAATGCAGTTTATTAACTATTATAGTAATATAGCCATATTGTATTACTTCTACTAAGAACCCATCCAAGCCTTCTATATCGCCGCCGTTGATATCAGGATTAAAATACTGTGCCTGACTCCGCGTTGTAGGATGATAATTCTCTTCTAAGAGAAACGTCATTCGGCTCACATAAAGTTCGCGATCCTCGCTTATGAGAGCACGGTTCACATCCATAAATGCGTAGTAACTCCTTATGGTTAGCACAGAGATACATGACACACATGACTTAGGGATTAGGGTTGTCGTATAATGAGTTATTTATCCAATAACGTTTCTAGTTTGTACCAATTTACATATTTGTTGAACCAACAACTAATTACTATTGGCCGATGCTTGCAAATGAAACGCTCCCCTGTCCTCAAATGTCGTTGCCTGATAAAAAGAGCCGTGCAAATTAACCGTAAATTCCTACGTATATAAATAGGTACTGACGACTCTATTAGCGTTAAAATAAAATCCACTACATATCGTTGTCCGCCTTAACCTACACCGTTTCGTAACGATTGATTGCTTCAGAGACGTGCTTCAGAAACGCCAACACTGTATCAGTGCCACCACCCTTTCGACACCAAATAATAAATAAGCGCCACGAAATGAAAGACGCCAAGGCTGCAAAAACCTTGATTGCTTTAAAAGCTGCATTGGCTAAAGGTTTCGATCCTAATACAGTCTATGATTGCCATCGCACGTACTCTCTGGATGATAGAGAATTGAGGCGATGGAGGCCTACAGCTACATGTTTGCACTGGGCTTTCGAAGAGTTGACTCTCGAAGTCGCGGATTATCTCCTCCAACATGGTGCTGATATCGATCTTTATAACCATGGGCAACTCACCGTTCTCCACGAAGTTATCTTGGATGAGAACGAAGAGGCAGTCGCATTTCTGCTGGGAAGGGGCGCAGACCCTGAGAGGCGCTATCCCGATGGTATTAGCTGTCTATGTATGGCACTAGTGATCAACAATGTCGCCATTTTTCGCCTTTTAGTTGATGCCATACCTGACCTAACCACTGCTTCAGTCGGTCGTTGGACCATCGTCGACCTTGCACTTCTGGCAGGAGATCACAGAGCTTTGGAAATACTTTTGCAGAAAGACCGAACCTTGAAACCTTCTCCGTGGAATTGTTCTGAACTCCGAGAGGTTCCGGAGGAATGGAAATCCCCTTCCAGAGCCAAGCAACTGCTTGCGATCTGTACTAGCAAAGTCCTAATTCCTCCCTCGGAGCTGTACGAGATTTACACGTATATCCTGCTTTCGCTGACCGGAACCCATCATGTTGAGTCAGGTACTATAATGCCAATGTTGCTCATCAAGGATTTCTTTCGAGCCTTGTATGATGCCGCATGCATTACCATGCCAGCATCACGGGTGATACTCTGTCAGCATTGCTTATCCTTCCAGCACTTATGTAGCAAATCTGGGGATTGGTTCCAGATTCACGAAAGTCGGGATGAGCTTGATGAATGTGCGCAGAACTGTCCATTCTGTCGTTTGGTTGTCGACGCTTTTGATAATGCAGAAGACGTCGCAAAAAAAGAAAATGGAATCATCGTGAAGCATAGGAATGGAGATTGTGGAGGAATAGCAAGGATGTGTTACTTTTGCCTGACTGGAAAGTCGAAGATTGAAAACGACCATATTCCAGTGCAAGAGGGTACAGCTGCAACACCTATTCGCTTTATGCTTCGCCACGATGATTTTTTAGGGCCTGAGCCTCAAGAGAAGACCTCATTGATCGCCGAGGACAGACAGAAAAAGCTTACGGTCAAGTTACCTATAGATGTAATTGACGAAGCATGTATTGTTGACCCAAACACCTCAGTTGGGCTTGACATATCGACAGGATCCCCGCAATCCTTTGATATAGCGGCGAGATGGCTCGACCAATGCCGAGGATCAAGTGATCATGGGGACTGCCAAAATGCCTACCCTAACAAGAGACGCAACTTGAGGCCAGAGTTACCAACTCGGATTTTGGATCTCAGCAGCTTTCCCAATATTCGATTAGTCGAGACCAACGGCACCAGATCCGCGTACTGTGCACTTTCGTATTGTTGGGGAGACATGGCGATTAACACGACAACTACACGTGGGAATGCCTCCATACATATGGAGGGAATACCTGTGGAATCTCTTTCGGTCTTTATACAGGAGGCCTTGGTGGCAGCTCGAACCTTGGGATATCGATATATCTGGATCGACGCTCTATGTATAATACAAGACGATCCTGATGACTGGGACAAAGAGGCGTCAAGAATGAAGGACGTTTATTCGAACGCCGAGCTGACATTATCCAGTCTCGTTGCAAGTGGCTGCCATGAACATCTGTTCCGCTCACGCGGCGTTAGGACGACACGGCCTGTTCCTTTTGAAATTTGGAGACCAAAAGACAAGCGCCCGTCGTGGAAAGAGGAAGTCGTCTATCAATACGCCGTTTATCCGTCATTCCTGATTGGTGGTGGCGGCGATCCTAATGGCTTCTCTAGGGCTGACAGTGTCGTATCAAAAGCGCCCATCACCTCTCGCGGGTGGGTTTTGCAAGAGCAGATGCTGAGTACCAGAATCCTGTACTTTGGCTGCAATCAACTCCTCTGGGAATGTCTTTGCGTTGCAACAACCGACCTGGACCCCTCCAGAGTCATGACTACCAGGGGACTTGGGACGCACATTGAAAGGAAATATGCACTACAAGGTCTAACCGATCCGAAGCTCCGGTACGATTCGGAAAACAGAAAATATCAGCCATACGGAACTTGGCAATCTCTTCTTACGAACTATACTAAGCGCCACCTCACGAACTCATCTGATCTTATTCCTGCATTCTTAGCAATTTCCAAGGCCCTAGAGAGCGCTATAGGTGATGTGTTTATCGCAGGAGTTTGGAAAGGAGAAAGGCTATTGGAAAGTCTCTCCTGGAATGTGAGAGAAGCAGCTGATAAACATCCTCAGGAACCTTCGTGGTCTTGGGCATATGTGGGTCAAATCATCCACTTCGATTGCCTCGTACAGGGGTACAAATTAGCGCTGTCTATTCCCCTGGCTACCATGGTCTCGTTTGACGTACAGACGAATTATTCACAAAGCAACATATCGGGTTCCATCAAACTTCGAGGAATACTACATCAAAAGGAGTTCAACATTTCGTCTGAAAGCAATGGTGTATTTTTCGATTATCAAGAAGATACAGTGGATAAATGTTATGCTCTGGATCTTGTAGCTCTTGATAAAGAAGTTACTGATGAGTATTCGGAGGACTCGGATGGAGATGAAGTGGATGACATCCTGCCAATAATCGTTGTTAGACTCCTCTTGAAGCCAGTTGATCAGACTGATAGCTCTGAAATTCCATGCACGTTTAGGAGAATAGGAATTTGCAGAGATGAAGGAGACCGCGATCAAGTTTTGGAAGACGTGCTACTACCCCGAAAAAATAGTGATGCGAAAGGAGTTTGGAGTGGTATTGAATGGTCTGAAGGGGATCAAATCATCACCATAATTTAGACTAAAAGTTAGGATTTAAGTCATGTAGAATTTTGAGGTCCTCATTGAGATACTAGTCGCACAGTGGCAGCAGGTTTTCTTGCATGTGTATACATTGTTTTATGAGGGATATGCAAAAATTGTCAGTGACACGAAATTAGTAAGAAACAAAGGATGGCTGACTTGTCAGATTATTTAAAGAGTTTGTTCGTTGTGATGGGCTGTTTGATGCTTATAGAAAGGATGAATGCCTGATGTGTGCCAAGCTAAGCGACTGTTTACTGCCAGCGCAACGCAATACTCACAGGACGGAAACAGCCTTCAGCGGGGTTTGGAGGAGCACCCGCGACGAGAAAGTTCAGACGATGCTCAGAGCCATATCCTACACAATCCAGGAGCTTTGTGCAAGAAGAAAGAATATTTACTTCAAGTTGCAATACCTTCTTAAACATCCAAAGGAAGCATCTGGCTTCCAGCCGCGCAGTAAGCAAGTCAGATGTACCAGCTTCCAATTGGTAGACGTAGTCACCCAGTCTTCTTGCCTCGTTCTGTGGCGTAAACACTGGACGCATGCTATGAGACAAAGCGTGAAGCGACAAAGTGACAAATCTTGACAAAACATGGTCTTGTCGATCAAACCAAAAACGGGTATTTACAAATGCCGCAGCCTGGGCAAATAGAAGATCTTGGACGTCAAGAAATTGGCTCCCGCGTTGGAGACCCTGCCTTGTTCACATCGACAGATTCAAGGCAGTTTCTCATGACCTGCTGTGGGAGAATTCAGGCCATTGAAAAGAGCAGATTGTCACTCGATGAAAGTGTCCGGTCTCTAGTTTGTTTGCTAGAAGAAATAGGATGCATTCCCAACTGGGTTATCTAAGTAGCATTCGTCCTTAGTACATTTACAATGTCTTTATACCCATTCTGCTCTGCACATAACAGTGCCGTTTGGCCAAATATATCCTCAGACTGAACAGAAGCGCCCTTCTTCAGTAGCTGCTTAACGATGCCATCATGCCCCCTCTGAGCTGCTACTAAAAGCGGTGTCTTCCTGTATGCATTACGACACTCAATTGCAGCACCATTTTCAAGTAACAACTCAACAATTGCATCGTACTCCCGATCGACTGCTGCTAACGACGGTATCTGGCCATATCTATTCTTGCACTCAATCGCAGATTCCTTCTTCAGCAGTAGCTCAACGATGTCATGGTGCCCTCTTTGAGCTGCTACTAGCAGTGGCGTCTCTCGATATCTGTTCTGGCACTCAATTGTAGCGCCCTTATTTAGCAGCAACTCAACGATGCCTTTATGCACCCTTTGCACTGCCACCAAAAGCGTTGTCTCTCCATTTCCATTTTCACAGTCAACTGAGGCGCCTTTGTCAAGTAGTAATTTGATAAGAGCATCGTTCCCCTTCTCAATAGCAAATACTAGAGGTGTACCGGTATCTGTGTCTATACAGCTAGTGTCAGCGCCCTCCTCAAGCAGTAGCTCGATAGTAGCATAGTCTGAAACACTGATTGCAGCAATAGTGGTGTCCGACGAGAGCGATCTTTCGCCTCGATGTCTGCACCCCTCTGAAGTGGCAGTTTGACAGTAGTGGTTCGTCTTTTCATAACTGCTTTTAACAGTGGTGTGCGACTGTATTTGGTGTCTTTTGCTTCAATGTATGCACCCTTGTCGAGTAGTAGCTTAATAGTAGCATCACGTCCATACGTAGCTGCTTTCAGCAATGGCGTACGACTGTATTTGGTGTCTTTTGCCTCAATATATGCACCACCCTTGAGTAGCAGTTTGACACTAGCCTCATGTCCATTTGTAGCTGCGAAGATCAGCGGCGTTCGACCATGGCCATCTTTTGCCTCGATGTCTGCGCCATTCGCAAGAAGTATATTGATAATAGCACTTTGTCCGTAGCAGCATGCTACCATAAGATCGCTTAAACACTCCCTCGGGCTCGGCAAAGATGAAAGCTTAGACCACGTCGAGTAGCTCCTCGATCGTGTATCGCAGATTCTCAGAATAGCAGGTATAATAGGAGCACTTTCCATGAAATCAGCCTCATGGACATAAGCGCCCCAATTTCTAGCCGAGTAACTCAAAAGAGGCTGCCTACTGTAATATTCGGAGGGACCTCTGGGGGAATGGATGGAAAATCAGCGAGTCGGCGTTTGAGTTGAAGAAAATCCAGAAATATTATCCTAAACGGTATTATTAAAATGGCATCACTCTATTACTACTCGTCAAGCATATAAAGCTCTACAAAACTAGTCACAGCTGGGTTCAATTACTGCCTAAATCCTTCGCGACGCTAAAATAAAATCTTACGGGACAACGGACTTTTAGAAATGGCCGAATGTCCAAAACACCATAGTTGATCCGACGGACTATTTACTACTTTCCTGAAGCTTTCAACCCAAGAAATTAGCCGCAGTCTTTATTCTATATAAGCCATCCAAGTGTCCCGAAACTATAAGGAGAAGTATTTTATTAAACACTTTATCCACAGACTCATAAACTCTCTTCTTTCCAAACCACCAAATCAACAACTTCCTCTCAATTACTACAAGCAATATGTCGACTACAAACAGCAAAACCTTCAAATTTTACACCTTCTTCTTCAAATGGATTGATCCCATCATCGCTCTCGGAGGAGCATATCTGAACTTCATTGATCCAATTGGCGCAGTGACATCAATGGCTCCCAACTCAAAATACGACCCGGATCAAGTTTTTCTCTTCCATCAGAGCGGTGGTCTTGCGTTGGCCGTTGCTTTTCTGTCTGCTGCTATTCCCCGATATTCGAAAGATATCATGTTGTGGAGGATCTTGCAGTTTTCATTGCTGCTATCCGACCTGGCAGGCATGAGTGGAGTGGGCTTTGCTATGGCGCGCCAAGGGAGGCTTACAGGAATCTGGACTTCAGATGATTGGGGTTGTGGTGGATCCTATGTCTTCTTGACCTTGCTGAGACTGCACTTTTTGGTATTCAGTTATAAAATTGCTGGCATGAGCGACAACCAGACGGTTAAAAAGCAGAGTTAGACATGCTACCTCAGCACTGGGGTCGCTTCCTAATCAATTTACTATATCTACCTCAAACCACCCTGTGTATATTTCCCGCTGTCTTTATTCCGCCCAGAAGTCCGCCGCCGCATCTCGGATCCATGAACAAGTTTTGCATATGCACAACAACAAGGGCGGTTGTCTCTGGGTTTATAAGAACAGAGGTGTCAGAAGGTGTTCGACTCACAGTCACTCGCAACGCCGGTTAATACCCCCAACTAAGCTCGCACGTCTTACTATCGTGATCAAAGTACCATCAATTGCCTTTTAGGCCAAATTCCAGAGGCGAGGACATCTTAGTGGGTGATAGTAAGACGACAAATTGGAGCCGGGTTGAATAGCAACTACATTGTATCATTCTGGGCGTTTGAACCTGCTTGGCGCCCTCTGCACCCTCTTATCACATGTCCCCTCTTTTCATGACTTACGCATTCCGTCGGCAGCGTGACGGACCAACGAGGTGTTGAACTTAGTTAGTGGCGAATATGTCCTACAGAACTGCCCACTTGATCAATTTCAACACTACTTTCAATCCCTTGCATGAAACTTGCCCATGAAACATACGCCATATTACAGTGTCTCTGTATCATGACATTACTATATCAGCCAATGTACAGTAACCCAGTCTTGATACCCCGCATTAGCTCTATGATTTAGCATGATGGCAACTTGGGCTATTGAGGCCGCTGCATATTTGGCGAGTGTGCAGGTAGTTGTGGGTACTGTTGGCTTTATATTCACTGTAATTTATGACAATTAGTTGGCTGGCCTAATCGAGGAATGCGCAGCGAAAGGCTACTAGGATTTTTATGATAAGAAAAAAACAATAACCAAGAATTGAGGACAACCGAAGAGGTCTTTACGAGGAACGGGGATATTAAGAGAGCTACTGGAAACTATGACTATTTTTAGTCTTTATGCAATATCTTTCAACAACCCGGAAAGAAAAGCTAAACCTTGAAGCTATAGATCAAGTATATCAACACCTAGTGCATTCCCATACCGCATTCGTACTAGATCAACCGCACGAGAACGTACCTCTCTCTATGGACGTCCAGACGATCTTGTAACACGACATCAAATATTAGTCCTAGTTTACACAGCCTCCAGCGAACGGCCAATGAACACCAAGTGCTATTGAAAGTCTGTTGCACGTTAGTTGATTATCCACAATGCACTGGGGCCAGCGTGATAAAATCTTAGTCTTGCCATGTGCTCCTCAATATAGCGACTGGGCTCTATGCTAAAGTGGTTTCAGACTCCATAAATTACCAAGACTTGTAATTGAAAAAATTTCAAGATCACGCGTATTCCTAGTGCTACTTTCAAAGAACTTTTAAAATAAAGATATGTCTGTTTATGAGATGTTCGGGTTTCACACCTGCGATGATTGTTAATAGTAAGAGTGAAGCCAAGGTCTGCCGATGAAGATCGACGTCCATAGGAAAATAAGTCAGCACTGTCGGTGGAGTCTGATTTATTGCTGGGCTAAACGCTTCCAATTATGATATGAAACAACTGCGCCCTGCAATTCGTGATAGTTGCCGATCATACGTCATAGCACAACGTAGGTAAATTCTGCCTTGTGAAATGCGCCATGATTTAAAGGACAAAGCTTCCTCCGTAGCCAAGTTTAGGTTCTTCTGAATCATACTTTCGACCAATTTACGCAATGTCAGAAAGGAAAGATCTCGGCAACGTTACTAGTCAGATGACGCCTTCAGCATCGACATCAGCAGAGGCTCCTCCCTCATATGATGTCGCTCAACCCCGATCATACGATCAAACACATGCTCCTTCATATGACACTGCTCAATCGCAGTCACTACAAGATGGAACATCAGACCCCGAGGATCTTCCCACCCTCGTTTTGAACAGTACCAAAATCTATTCACTATATGCTCCCAACCATATCCTTTACCAACTCAGCAAGCCACCCTACGACGGCGGTCATTATAATATCTACGGCGTTGAGAAAGTTCGATACCGTCTTGTTGAGGGTGACTCAGAACAAAAGCTCCAATCCTCACCCGACCATATTTATGACTTCAAGCATGCCGAAATTCCCAAACGTCCAATGATATCGCTGTCGTCGGGCAAACAAGCCGGAAGCGCACTTATCGAGACATAATGATTCAAGACCGCACCACCGGGTCAGGTATTCGAGTTGAGGCGACGGGTGGCAACCCGGAACGACTCCTAGAAGCAGAGTCTCCTTTGAAAGATCGTTTAAACCGAGGGAAGACAAACACTGTCGTCTGGAAGGACGACAAGGGACAAGTCGTGGCGATCGAGACGAAACTTCAGCGCAACAAGGATAATATCATAGAAGAACCTCCTAGACTTGCTATAAAGGTCAGGGTCGATGAGAAATTATACGATCTGCTGATTACTTGCTGGTGCGCGCAAGTCTGGAAGAGCGCACAGAAAGACTTGAAAGAGCCGATGAGCTGGGATAAAGGTAAGCTACAGTGCCATTGTTGATAGGGAGGTTTTAAGCTAATGTCTGATTCTAGTCAAGCGCATTGCATCAGCCGTGCCAAACAAGACATCAGCTATCTATGGCGGTGGTAAAGGTGGATTTATCTTTTAGTCTTCATACACAAGGTCAATGTCTTCACTGAAGATGGAAATGTAATGGTGAGATTATAGAGTTCATTGCACTAAGGCATACCTGCCGTTTCCTCTCTGGCTTTCACTGAAAGTGTATGTTTCATAAAGCCATTAGCAGTTGGTCCCTGCAATAACCCTACCTTTCATTTTCGTTGAAGAGAGCAAGACAGCGTCGGCTTTAAAGATCTTTCTGAATTGCTGATGTTCGCTTCGAGTCACTTGCGGCGTAGAGATGTAATAATTCAGCAGACTGCTAGGGTTACGTTGGCTGGGGCCACAATGATGCTAGGCGAGCCAAAAACGACACCCGGAAACATAAAACCTGCCTTGCTTGAAAAAGCAGAGAACTCGTTGGAATGGAGTGCAGGGGTGACTTTCTGAAGTTTTCTGATATTGTCGCATGCCAACTCCACGCTGACAAGACTGGGCAGTATGTAACCGATTGAATGTCGAGAGAGAAGTTGATGTCAATGTCACTCGTAACAAAGGGAAAGTTGTAAATGACGATAGAAAACTCGGCTTCTATGACAATCTGTAGAAGCCAGGTTGAATTGATGTTAATGATGGTTAGATGTCCAAGGTCGACATTGCCTGAAAAAATCCTAAGACATGTTGTGGTTGCATGTTACGAGTATGCGAGCCAACCGTGCCAAGCATTCCTAATACGCTCCGCCCTCTACATGGACACATACGCACTATCAGCACAAAAGGAGAAATGACAGAAGACGTTTTAAGGAATGGAAACCATCGACGCGCGGCATGAACTCCGGGGGAAAGTCCGGAGGAGTGGATACAAAATGATCATGTAATAAGTCTAATTCTCGGCATAGAAAATAAGGCCAAAATCCCAATTAACAGCAAGATTCGGGGTACGAATTAGACACTGGGATCTACGAGATTACAGGAGACGTCAGAGTTGAAACTGAAACATGACCGGGGTGCAATGTGACTTTGACATGGTAGGTAGATAGGGCACCAGTTTCTGAAATTGCAATAACCCGCTGACCACGTAGCAGTAAACATATATAGGGGTTGCGCCATATTTATCAAGGCTAAAGCAGCAGCATTCGTTGACAATTCTCACTTTGACTTTATCTTGTCTTTTTCTTTGTGCTGGAATCATGAAGTACTTTTTGCCTGTTCTTGGCCTCGTCATAGGCGTAAATACAGTTTCACACCATGGTCAACACTCGCATTTTCGGCCTGACACTAGGGCACTAAATTCATTTGTTCATCCTGGACTCTTACACACCACCAAGGACTTTGAACGTATCAAACAAAAGGTTGACTCGGGTGAAGCGCCGTGGTCAACAGGTTGGGACAAGCTCAAGGCACATGTCAACCAAGATTACCAGCCTAACCCCTCCGACATCCTTGTTCGAGGCTCAACCCCTGAGCGCCCACAGAATTACGTCAATATGTACCGTGACATGGCCGCAGCATATGCCCTCGCCATCCACTGGAAGGTCACTGGGGAGGAAGCATCAGCAGATGCGGCTGCTCGCGTCCTCGACGGCTGGAGTGCCATTCTTACAGATATCTGGGGCAACTCGGACAAATTTTTAGCCGCGGGCTTTTATGGATACCAGTTTGCTAATATCGCTGAGATCCTTCGCAGCTACAGTAAATGGAAGGGCCTCGATGCATCAATTGATATGCTGCTGCGGGTATTCTACACCAAGAACCATTCTTTTCTTACAAATCACAATGACGCGGACATCGATAACTATTGGGCCAACTGGGACCTCGCCAATATTGCGAGTATGATGAGCATCGGTGCGTTGGCAGATAATAAAACAGTCTGGAATGAAGCAGTCGACTATTTCAAGAAAGGAAGTGGTAACGGCGCCATTGAAAAGGCCATCTGGTACCTCCATACTGAGCAAGATACTGGTAAGAAGCTTGGACAGAACCAAGAAGCAGGTAGAGACCAGGGCCATGCCACGCTTGACTTTGCCATGCTTGGTGTTATTGCTCAGCAAGGCTATAATCAGGGGGACGACTTGTTCGCATACTTGGACAACAGAATTCTAACTGGGTATGTTTACGTTCTCATTGCGTTGAATGAGCTAACAGTTTCACCAGCATGGAGTACATTTGCAAATATAATGTCGGCGAAGAAGTTCCTTTCGCAACATATACCAACGCGGTTCATGGTACTCAGACAGGGATCAGCAACCATAGCCGTGGTGCGATCCGACCTATGGCAGAACAATTTGTTGCCCACTACGGCTCTATCAAAGGCAAAGATGTCAAGTGGACCAAGGCCTACCGCGACCTGGTTTTGAAGGAAAGTGGTGGAGCTGAGGGCGGTGGTGGTGACTACGGAACTACAAGTGGTGGCTATGATCAGTTAGGCTTCGGAACGCTTCTTTATCGACTTGAAAAGTAGCAAAGGTGAAAGTATGAATTTCTTTTACATGTCTCTTCTTGAGACTCTAAACATTCTTTTCGTTTTCATTTGTGTATACATTTTTGCCTTCAAAGGACAAACGGTCGAGTCGAGCTCACACACCCAACAATCTTTTGTTTTTTCAGCACACAATGTTTTCTGCACAACGCTGTTTTCTGACTCGTTTTCATCAAGTATATAATCGATAAACGGCCCAGGAAGTAGATTCGTTGACAGATTTCTCGTGGGCAGGTTAGTAACACGTGTGCTATTTGAGGAATGTGAGCTATAAATTACTTTATAGATAGTTTCCCTCTTGCTGTAAATATTGTCCCTCCTGTTAGACTTTCGCCTAAAGTCAACGTAATAATAGAACATTAGATTAATTCAATAAGTATGAGAACACCGTAATCTCAGACATTTCTTATCAGTTACATAATATGTTGTTATAGTAACCTACTCATGAATGTACTATTAAAAGCTTTCTAAACTAAAATCTACCTATTCCCTGCCCAAATCATGCCGGTCATTTCATTTGGAATAAGCAGCCAGCACACCCTCAAGCTCATCTTTAGTCACCGGCACAACGCTTCCATGGCGCGGACTTGTTGGCAAGTTATAGTTCTGAGAAACCTTCCAATCCGGGTTGGCGATGTCAATCGTCTCGAGCGGGATATACCCACGTCCAGCGAACTCGTCGACAAAAAGATAGAATTTCTGGCCGTGAACATCGCCACTGTTGGACTTGAAGATGCTCGGGCCCTCCACAACGTCAAGACCAGCCTTGGTACCGATACAGCTCGTCACATGAGTCCAACCGTCTTGGCTATCTCGCAGCTTAGGTGAGCTTTCTTGGATGATGTCAATGCATTCTTTGCCTGATACTCCGCCAAAGTCCTTTGTGAAGCGATGGTATGTGTCGCCCTCCTTGAGAACAGTCGTATCAATCCTGTCGTTGGAATCTTGCCAGATGACAGGCTCGCTGAAAGTGATGAAGTCGCTTGTTGTAGCATACAAGATCTTGGCGAATGTCTCAACCTCATGGTTCGGGTCGTCCTCAGAATACATGCGAGAAGCCCAGTACATGACGTATTTGCCAATTGAGACGTCATAATATGCCTCAGGAGCCCATGTCATACCAGCTGTTGGAAGGGAGACAAGGGTATGACGTTGCTCGGACCAATTGACCAGATCGGTGCTCTCCCAGATCTCGAGATAGAGACTGCCGAATCGCAGGGCCTTTTCCCAGCCAATGTCGTTGATCTTGAGATCTGTGGCAATAAGATAGAACTTGTCTCCTTCATGAGATCGCATTAAGAAGGGATCACGAAGTCCTTTTGTGCCCTTCGAGGATGTTAGGATTGGCTTGCCATCGTTCAACTCCTTCCAGGAAAGAGCATTGTTGCCATTACTAGCAGCTAAGAAAATGCTTTCCCCGTTGTTGTCGTCTCCAACAAAGTAAGCAAAGACATATCCAGCCGCTGCATCGGTAGAGTTGCTAGTTGATCCGAAGGAAGGTGTAGGCTTGGTTGCTGCGCCTGAGGCCAAGGCCAATACAGCCGTCGTGAGAATGGAGCGAAGTTGCATTGTTTCTATAGTGAGTATGAGCGAGTGACCATCGCTCAACGCCAGTCATCGCCTTGATATTTATATACATATATAATGTTTGCTCACATGAGTACTTTCTCTATACCATGACGGAATTATCTACCCCGATACTCTTGGCGCCTTATGTCAAATCCAATTTAGTGGAGATTTTACCAAGCGTCCCAATCGGAGAAACTCTAGTCTCGAAAACCTTTGAGAGCTTCATCGTCCCCACGGGGAGAAGCTCCAAATAAGGAAGTACAATGCCGATCTTTTAGAAAACAGGTAGTTTAACCTAGTCTGTATTTCAGAAGCTGATTGTAGCGCATAAGGCGATATGATGTTGGATGCGGTTCATGTGGGTCATCCTGGGCCTTGGGTCGAGGATGACAGCTAATACTCGTATATCCGACTTTAGCGCAGAGTGTCTATCTTGAATTCTCACAAAATTCATCGCCTTGGATATGCCACTACTGCAGGTTTAAGGTTATAACTGCCATTTCTAATCATATATACCAATCAAAATAGTCACAACATTATAGACTATTAGACATTTATTCCTTGAAGCCGCACCAATGCTAGTGAAGATTAAAGATATCCAACCTAGCTGTAGCTACCGTGACGCTTAGGTGATGGATTTCGTAGGAATTTACGGTATTAAGAAATAACTTATTGCGATGGAATGTGGAATGATTGTTTCAGCTGAGCGAAAACAGATGCGTGTTTAATATACATAGTATTGAAGAATTAACAATAGATTAGAATACTAAGAAAAGACAAGAATGGTGGTGTACATACAGAATTTCTCGTAAGATAAATGCATATTGAAGATCAAATTCAATAGACCACGCCCGAGAATTTCATAGAACCTTTGTAAACAACTTTCTATCGTACATGAGCATCGCTCAGACAGTGTCTTCCCTTCGCAAATCCGAGAAAGCCCGGCCAGTCTGAGCCTGGACCTGCTTCGCCACCTCGCCAATATTGACAACACCAAGAGCGTCATCGAGAGAGTCGAAGTACCCGTTGTTATTATTGGCCAGCTTCTTGTCGGCGGCACCGATGCCAGCACCACCGAGTAGTTCTCCTACCGCCATAATTGAACCAAATGGCCAATTACTAATCTTGCTGTCTCAATCCCCAGCCAAAAGTGATACAAACGAGCAACAGGTGGTTTTGTAGGAAATGACAATCCAGACGTTTGCACCTTTGCTGCCACATTCAATCTCTTTTTGAAAGCGGTGTGCAGATTTACTAGGGAAGATTTTAAAGAGTTATCCGGCCTAAATGTGCCTCCCCCTGGTGCTGTCACCAGAGAGTTCACTTTAGATAGCTAGGCTCTTATGTTTAGAGACAAAGCTTTGCCGGATGGTGCAGCTGGTTTTTGTTAGGATACTAATAAGAAAGTCTATATCACATGTACTACCACACCACCCGGGTGTACTGCTGTCACCCTCAATGTTTATGGTGGTAAGAGACGGTTGCAGATTTAGTATGTAATGCTATCCTAGTACTACAACGATCCTTACAAAGCGCCGGGAGTATCGTACTCCTACTGGCTCGCCAACTCCTCGTCCAAGCAACAAACAACTCGCTCGTCGGCAAGACGAACTCACGGCGACTGCCATCTTCCCTTGTCTCTTTCCTGAATATATTCAGAAGACTGAACCTTCCCCCTAGTACTTTCGATGACTTATACTACTCAATGATGCGAGACCAAATCTTGCACCACTCAAAATCTTCACAACTCTTTGACTAGATTATCCTTGCTATGAGGCCTCTAAAATTGGAAGAAATACAGTGGGCACTGCTTCTCGACTCTGAGCCTCTATGCCGAACCCTGCATGAACATCAAACCTCAGGGAATTGTTTAACCGACCCCAGTCAAATGGAAACACAAATTCCGAACCTGAGCTATGGTTTTGCTGAGGTCATGCCTGACACAAAGATTATCAAGTTTATTCATGATTCTGCCAGAGACTTTCTGATGAATAGAGGCTTGGCCCGTGTTCACGAAAATAAGGTGGAGATGGTTTGGATCAAAGACGCAAATCGGCGGCTTGCACAGACCTGTCTACGCTACTTGATGATGGGGGAGATCAGCGGCTTCACAACCAGTCATGGACCGGGCCGTTTGGCATCATAGTTTCCTTTCTTGCATTATGCTACGACTTCATGGATTCCCCATGCAATGCAATATTATAACAGTGGAGTCCGTGGAGATGAATTCCTAGAGATCTTCGACGGGCTAGTGGTGACTCTAATGGGACGATGGGTACTTCTCTATCAAATTTTAGCGCCAAACTCGATTGACTGTCCTGCACAGGGAACTAGTCTTGCACACATTTTGGCGAGGTATGGGGAAGATGCGCTGCCGCTACGAGAGATGATGACTCAACCTCATCTATTCGGAATCTTTGATGAGAAACATTCTGACGGCCAGACACCTTTACTCTTTGCTGCTAGGAATGGCCATCTTGCTATAGCGCGTTTGCTTGTGGAAAATGGCGCCGATCCGAATTCAAAGGACAGATTTGGCTACACTCCACTCGATTGGGCTACTAAAAACAGCCACAGCAAGATTGTGCAGCTATTCATGGGATGGTGAAATTGATTTGGGTCGGGGCCCGAAGCGAACCACTAAACTGGAAGACAGACAAGGCTGGATAGACTGAAGGAGTGAGGCAAGCGAAATGGTGGTCAACTCTATCTGTATATTAGATAGATAAGTCAGCTCTATCTGGATAAGTAATGTAGGCTAACAGCGAGGCTGTCATAGTAAGCACGTGCACTTTTACAACTCCGCAACAGGCAATTGACTCGGCCCGCTCGGCACCATGGCTTACCAGATACATGCATAACGTTGGGAAGATTTAGATTATAACTCCGCTTGGTTTCTTGCCTTCGCTCCTTATAGCTTACTAATGAACTCTTCGTCTTTAGTCGTTTCTGCTTTTAAACATCACAGTTGAGCATCAGTTATCCTTATTTATTACCTTCACATCCACTTGGCAAAAGACAAATCACAATCAGATAAAGCGGAATCGGAAGCGATGGTTTCTAATTTTGCAATCCCGGATACAATGGCTGTGAGCACCGCTGACAAGTCGAAGCCGTACATTCCACACGCCGGTCAAGCGAGAGACGGCTGGTCTACAGAGGACCGGGCCACAGCCAGCTGTTACTGTGGCAAAGTGCAGCTCTCCTTTGTAAGTTGAACATTCTGCCGCATTTGGGCGTGCTGAACTGACGCATCTTTTGTCATAAAAGCCGATCAATAAAGGCAAGGGACTTGTCAACACATTCGTCTGCAACTGTGTCGACTGTCGCAAGATCACAGCGTCCATGTTCGCCAGCAACTTCATCGTTGAGAACTCTCTCCTCGAGCATATCCGTGGGCAGGAGTTGCTTAAGACATATAGCCAGAACGAGACGATAGTATCAGGCAAGGCCATGACCAATCACTTTTGTAGTAACTGCGGCTCCCTCATGTATCGTGTCAGCGAGCGTTTTCCCGAGATCAGCATCTTGCGTATTGGCACTGTTGACGACTTTTCGCTACACGAAACGAAACTCCGGCCGGTCGAGGAATATTTCACAAAGGATCGGGTTTCCTGGTTCTCGGGTGTCACGGGTGTGGAGAAGACGTTTCCGGGCCATGCCTGAGCAGGAACCTCACTTACCGGCTTCTTATGGAGTGTTTTATGATACAAACCAGAGATGATAGAGACTGGAGAAGGCTTTCAGAAACGTCAATAGACAGTGCATCTTCTGATCCAGGATTGATGATATCAAGCCTCTTCATATGGCTAACATTGTATTCAATGTTTCCTTATCGTTCTTCAATCGTAACACCCATACGTAATCTACCACTATTGGTTTAAGTACCAGGCCGACTTCCGAATTACAATGGAAGGATTTGGTTCGCATTTGCCCCACCTGATTAAGAATATGGACTGTTATCCCTGCAACTCCGCATTCGTGGCGACGACGGAGTTTTTAGGTCCTGCGGACTTGAGACAACAAGAGTGGTAGATTCTAGCCTCGTCAACACCGCTGTTGGAGTTTACTTTGCCAAACAGCACAGTTGTAGGGGCGTCACCTTCTGTAGCATATGCCAATTCAGCTAAATGAAGGATTCCAATCCCGACTGTAGGAAAACGGCATGCCAAAAATAGTTTTACAAGCGGCCTTGGCAGCACAGCCCTCTCAAAGCGATGATCAAAAGATTTATAGCTTGCTAGTCTATCATGAAATACACGTTGTTGATTGTTTAAAAATGATCTCCGCGCGGAGGTTGACTCTCGACCCGTATGAATCTGGGGGATCTTCAAAACTGTAGCATCGGGTGGTGGGAGTAATAGCCGGACAAACCACTAGTCTAGCTTCCCGACTTCCGCTGGGTATCTTTGTTGAAGGATTGATATCGTGCCCATGCATGATGTAACTCTCGGGCAATGGCTCCGAAGTTCTCAGAAGCAAACTACGCGTTGCTGGCCTACAAGCGTAGAGATTTCCATGGCACGGAATAATTTTGTTTGGTAGTGACTACAGTTGATACTGTTGAGTACCGGGTCATCGGTTTTGATGTTCTGCCAAGACATGATTGTGTCCCAGTCCCCGTGGGGAAATAGTTGTTGCCTGGTTCAAACTCGAGGCTTCTTGTAAGGGATAAGAATCCTGACATGACGTCTTGTAGTGAACGTTTTGTACATTTCTCTTATGTGAGATCCAATAGTGGATAAACCGTTTCACATTCTATACTTATGCAAATAGGTAGATGTAAAATATAACACGTAGTATATTGAGACATGCGTGAAGGCCTTCTGTACGTTGTATTTCGTAGTGACTTGTTGGATAATGCAGAAGACACTACATAATATGAAGATACTAAGTAAGGCCATTCTTAAAATAATCACCTACAGCCAGAGGAATGGCCAACGTAGTCTGGGGTTGTCAAAAGGTTGAGAATTTGTAAAACGTTTGTCAGTTCCTTACTATATGCTTGGTCCGCCACACTCCTGCAACTTCAGATCCTTTGGCGCTCTTGAATAAAATAGGCATGTCGGTTATTCACTTGACCTTGGCATCATGTATGTCTTAACAAAAGTAAAGGAGTGGGAATTCTGGATGGTGTAGAAGTTTAACTAAAAAAGACCAGCGTTGCCCAGCACTCTTCTGAACAATAACCCAAACAGTAACCAGCACTTCAATCTCCAACAGCGTTGTTAATACTTTACCATCGGAATCATGCAGTTCAAGAGCACCATCCTCGCCATCGGCCTCCTCGTCAGTGCCTGTACAGCTACTGCCATCCCCGAGGCTCAGCCCAAGGCCCGTGAGTTGACACAACTATCCAGTGGCAGCAGTCGGTGACGTACTAATCCTAATAGCTGAACTTGATCTGTCCAAGCGCGCTTGTAACGGGGATGGATACCGGAAGTGCACCCAGACGTGCCCCGGTGCTGGCGATGCCGCCCTTGGATGCTGGGTTGGTAAGTGATGGACATTGCTCTTGAACATTAGAACCATTGCTAACTTATCAGGGTGCTGCACTGCCTGGGACTGTTGCTAGATCACTATACTGGACACATACCATAAAGTGATACCAATGAGGGAGGTGAGTGGGAGCTACCATACTACAACATATCAAACTTAGGCCAACAGTCATTACCGTTTGCAGAGTTGCTCTCAGAGATTAAATACAAACACAAGAGTTTGCTGCATCTAGGATACATTTGGGCTTGGTGATGTAATACATGCCAAACCGTGAAGTTGGCTGATAAATACTGTATCCATCCTAGGAATACAATAACTAGTACCATGACTTAATTTCTCTGCCCCCTACCTCAACAGCTTCAACAGGTTCTTTCCCCGCTGACATCTCTGCTGCAAATTGCGTCTGTCCTGGTGGTTGAGGAGGAAGTGATGATGTTTGATAACTTTCGTTACCTGGATAGACAGGACTGAAATGAGATGGCCTACCGTGAACGGGAGGCTGCTGACCATAAGGCATATAGACTATTGGTTGCTCCTGCTGGATTGGTTGTATCTGCTGCTCAGTGGTCGGGCTTTGGGTGGACCGCTTCGTCTTCCAACACCAGAGGAATATTCCAGACAGGGCGAGTAGCGCTACAAGCCCGACTCCAACAGCGATCCCAGCAATTGCTCCAGTACTGAGGCCACCTTTGTCGTTGGAAGTGTCCGATGGTGAGTTTGTAACGCCCATTTCCCCTATAACGCGAGTGATTGTAACAGTTCCCCCCTCGCTGGAGCTACTACTGTCGGTTTCGGCGCTTACGCCGTCGTCCGTCGTAGTGATCAACTCGGAAACGGTTCCGGATGCGTCGCAGACATCAGTGAAGCGCTCGCAGAAAGTCTCAAAGGTTTTAGCAACTAGGTAGCAGGTGTAAGTTAGTAGCTGATGTGTCAAGAGAGTTGAGTATGGGCAACGTACCAGAGTAAGCAGTGTCTGGTTCACCAGTGATGGCCCAGTCGGCGCAGGAAGAAGCGTAACTGCCAAACTCATCGGTCCAAACAGCACTACGGCGTGAAGTGCGACAGCTGCAATTACCCATGAAGTTAGATACGAGTTAATGTCCAATGTTATAGCTGAAACTGACTTACCAATAACACGAGGCCTGCTCCTTGAAAGCAAGATTCGTGAAACCATCGAATTTGTTGGTGCAAGACGTGAACACATCGAGCATGTCGGTACAAGCGGGCGCATATGTTTGGACACTAGCACCGCTATCATCATCGGTTCTCGACATTTTGAAACAGTTGAACAAAATGGAAACGTGAGTCTGGGCAAAGATAGGTTCTGAGATTCCGAGAGTTGCTGAAACATGTAGAGGAAAGGAAACAGAGTCCTGAGCGACAGATGGCGTAACCGAACAACGGGGAGTCACGAGACAAACGTCCAAGTTATGGTTACAATGCCAAGGAAAATATTGTCACTGTCCTCGTTCAATCTGTCGCTACCCGTTCGCGTTCAACCTCAGCTGAACGCCATGGCTAACGCCCCCAGCGCCACTCACAAGTCGAGGCTCTGCATCACAAACGAGTCTGGTCATTCTTTGCAGCTATACATTGTATTTAACCTTAAGTTATCGAGCTGAACTTGACTGTTAATAGAGTAGCAAATAGAACTGGTGAGGATCTTCTAGTTGTAAGAGATACTTACGGATATCAAGATAAATAAATACACTTATCAGTAAATGGTAAATCTTAATTTTCAACCACTTGTCAGGTAGCAGGGGCTTAGGAAGGCAGGGGGCCGCCGATCCTGGTCTCAGCCGCTAGTCGCCCCGTCAGCAGCCTCAAACGCACAAGGTATGGCATCTCCTGGCCAAGCGCCACTGACAATATTATCTCCGCCTTTTACTATAGTTACACACATTTGTTACCGTTATTACGTTGCTTTGAATGTACAACATCTTGTGGTCTAAAGAGAGGTAACATCTCGGATACGGACAGTGATTAGCCTTCGTGCTGGTTTCAAATGGATTTAGCATAAACCGGAATTGGTAATTGGTGATTGAAAGGGGTTGTCGTCGTCAAATACATCAAGAGCGTCAAGTATGATGATTAGTTACTTTGCTCTGCTTCCTTTTTTGTGAAACCTGTGCCATCTCGTGTTCCTTCTTATTTGTTTGTATATCCATTCTGCCGCATACATCCTTGTTGAGCGAGTTAACAGGTAACCCAAGCACCAGTCGTCTATTGGTTATACCGATACTGTCAAGTGTACGTTAACAGCCTGAACAGTATGCCGACTGGTTACCGCCTACTTCATGGATGTTTACAACCCCAGTGCTGACTTGACTCACCAAGCGACAATGAAGGAACAATATGAAATTAGAATTTTATTTTAAAGCCATTCAAATTATTAGGCCGAGGAACTAGCATTAGTTATCACAGAAGAAATATATAACAGGTCGTCCGTCTTGCATCCCACTTGACAAGTCAATTATCCGATTCGTTCGTACACAAATACATCCCACTCGGGTTCATCCCACCCCATCCGAGTGGGATAACGATTTCAAAACCTCATATCACAAAGGCGCATTTTTGACATCAACCATTTATATAAACGTGAGAAAGCTATCTTGATTTATTCATCTTATTATTTTACTTTGCTGAATCGAATTCCATTTTACCTTGTGAAACAATCTTTCCCACTACCACGAACCCCTCATCACGCAACTCACCATGATACACAACAGCGCAGTTACAGCCACCATGTTAGATGATGCTCTATCCTACCTCATCGACGATATTACAGAAAACAGCTCAAGCTCTCTTGCCCATGAAAATCTACAGCACTACAAAAAACATCTGGACCATCTCGAAACAGCATCAAAGTTGGCCCTTCTTCAAGAATGTTTATGTGTACGACCACCTGTACCACTTCTCCCAGAGAACATCCTCCAAAACATCGAATTGATTCTAATGCATGTGAGGGAACATAAGTTACTCACACCGCTATCTTCACTGTCTCCGTCACGAGCCATCACACATGACGCGTCGAGACATACAAACATATATCTTTGGAGAGGCGACATAACGACTCTAACCGATATCACTGCCATCACAAACGCAGCAAACAGCCAAGGCCTTGGATGTTTCCAACCAACACATCGATGCATAGATAACATCATCCACTCCGAAGCAGGACCACGACTCAGAGAAGAATGCTTCTGGACGATGAAAGAGAGATCAAAAGACCTAAAGCCTGGTGAAGTGCTTGTCACTGGGGGCCATGCGCTTCATGCCCCTTCGGTGATACATACAGTTGGCCCACAACTCAAGCGCGGTGCTTCGCCTACGGATATGGAGAGGGCTCAACTTGCAAAGTGCTACGAAGGTATTCTCGACTCGGTGGAGACTTTACCGTCTGGTCAAGATGGTAGAAAGTCAGTTGCTCTTTGCTGCATTTCAACTGGACTTTTTGCATTTCCAGCTGATGAAGCTGCCAAAATTGCGGTGTCAACTGTCACATCATGGCTCGAGAGTCATTCATCTACAACGATCACGGATATTATCTTCAATACATTCACGGAATCAGACACCAAGATCTACATCGCGCTTCTTGGTTCTTTTTCGACATCAATCTCACCTCCCATCAAAAGCTCGGCTGAAGGTTCTCTCCAAGTTGCCCGAGACTGGCTCCGCTCAGCCGATGCCGTCCTCGTCACTGCAGGCGCAGGATTATCAGCAGCAGAAGGATTGGACTACCACTCAAGAGATCTGTTTAAAAGGAACTTCCCCGGCTTCCTCAAGTTCGGTTTGACGTCTCTTTACAGTGTATTTGGGTACAATGACTGGCCATCTGAGGAATACCGATGGGGCTATTTCTTTACTCATTTGAACATGATATCAAAATGGTCAAACACGCCCACGTATCAAGCTTTAATCCCATGGTTGAAGGAGTTTGGGGACAATGCGTTTGTCAGAACATCCAATGCAGATGGACTATTCCTTGCAAACGGATGGTCGGAAAAGCAGCTTTCTACACCTCAAGGTTCATATGCATATCTACAATGTCTAAACAACTGCAGAGCCGACGCGGTTGTGGCTTCTGCTCCTCTCGTCGCTGAAGCGATGCCATTTATCGACCCAGTTAGTCAAAAGTTGACTGACTCAAGTAAAATCCCAATCTGTAGATTCTGCGGCTCAAAGATGAGTATTTGCGTCCGCGCAGGATCATGGTTCAATCAAGCACCGTACCAAGACGGTGAAACACAATGGAAAGCTTGGAAATCCCGGATCACGAAAGAAAAGAAGAAATTAGTGGTTCTGGAACTTGGTGTTGGAATGAACACGCCTGGTGTTTTGAGATGGCCGAATGAAGATCTCGTTGAGAGAAGTAATGGGTTGGTCAAATTGATACGTGTCGGGATGGGACCTGAAGCGATGGTGCCTTGGGAACAAGAAGATAGTGGGCTGAGTACTTTTATCCAGGGCGATATTCAGCGCGCCATGCCACTCTTGTTGGATGGATGATGTACGGGAATAAAGAGATATTTATAGTAGACAGAACAGGAACTATTAAATGTCAAATGCACATCATTTCCTCACCTCGGGACTTAATCACCAGCCCTACAATCGTCAGGAGAGTACGTACATGTGTCACGCGTAATAAAAAGAGGCGCATTGTATGCCAAGCATGACTTGCAAAGTGAATAGTGGAACTAATTCCGGCACATCCGCGTGGCTGTACAGACACTATTTTCATTTCCCGCCCTTCTACCAAATTATTCATTTCTCCATCATCAGTCATAAACTCAAACTTCCATTTTCCCGTCTCTCTCCGGTCTAGTTAAGACTACGCTTTGTTATCGCAAAGGCATGGGCTTGTTATAGCAGAGAATGGGACTTGATGCCCTGAATAAGCTCGCTTCAGCGGGTGAGGCGGTCTACCAGAACCTCTCTAAAAAATGGTACCTTGACCTATCCATACCTAAAATAGAACAACCCGACTAATCTTCAATGTCAGGGAACATAGAAAAAGGCGCGAAGCCGAAAAAGAATGGTTTGCAAAACACGCAGAAGAAATACGCCAAAGAAACGAGTTTCTATCGCTCGTAACGACTAAAATCACAGGCGATTCAGCTCCCGAGATGGCGCCTTTAATATGCAACCCGTACGAAAGACAACGAGCAGTTTTCCTCATCACGACGCCTATCTCTTTCGGCGTGGTTGAAGTTTCTCAGTCGAGTTATAAATTGCTTGCGCGACATGTCGGAATGAGCTTAAATAGCGTTAGTCATTGGGCTGTTTGCGTCATCGACAGAGGTCTTGGGGAGTGTTATTGCTACGATTTGATGAGTGATAGGTTGGAGTTGACGATGTTGGGAAGAAACTACTTTCGCGTCGCGGCTATTACGCCTGAGTTTGTTGATACGTGGAGTTCGTGCTATTATATCGGTGAGACGACAAAGACGCATGATGAGATACAAGAGATTGGTAAGTCAGACGTTTCAACGTCTATAGTTTTGGTACTGATGTTTGAACAGGTCATCGACATATTGGACGTAACCCTCGATATTCACTACTATCAAACAACTGTCAGCATCTCGTTGACAGTCTCGTCAAAGAACTATGCAACGGCAAAGTCATCAGTCAAGCGAAACTAGACGAGGAACTATCTCTGGCTTCACCAAAAATTGCACGCGACTTGCTCGTAGGGAGGATCAGATCAAAGATGGAGAGTGGGGGTGAGAGTGAGGACAGTCCTTCGATTAAAGAGCATTTAGAGGCAATCAAAAGCACTTGGATAGAACGAAAGTTGAAATCATAATTAAATAATGTAGATACCCAGATTACCAATAGATTGACAAAACATTGTCGGATACAGCTAGCTATTTTACACCTAAAATTGATTACAGTTAAAGCACATTCCGGAGTGACCTCTCAAGAAAGACACCGACAACACCGGCAGCTAGTACTCCCGTAGTCCAACCGTTGCTAAGCTCTTCCGGCTTGGGCCAGAAGCTGTTCTTTTGCTCTTGGTATTGTTCGAAGTCTTTAGCCTTGACGGCATCGTGCTTAGAGTATCGCTCGGCCTGGCTTTCCTCGTTCTGCTTGTCACCTCCGATGAAGCGCAAGAAGACGTAGTTGGCGATGGGTCCAAGAATGGCAACGGGGTGAAGGATACCAGCGCTGAGTAGGAGAATGGGGAATGAGGCGTGAACGAGGGCATCCCCGAGGTAGCTGTATATCATTAGCCGTGAACCGCTTACACTGGTAGAGAACGTAACTTACTTGGGGTGTCTAACAATGCTCCATACTCCTTCTTGGTTCACACCTGGACGGTTACTCTTCTTGAAAGATTCAAGCTGGGTATCAGCCAGCGTCTCGAGGGTGAACCCAGTAGAGAACAAAAAGACAGCGAGATCGCACAAGTAAGGACCGTAGGCAGTAACAGGAGAAGCCAGAGCACATTCGTTGACATTACGGAAAGGAAGAGTAAAGGGAAGAGAGATGATGGTCTGAGCAATAGCCTCGGGCAAGAATGTGGTAAACAAAGCCTTGTTCCAAAAACCAGGATCCTTTTTCTCAGTAGCATACCGAGGGTCATCCTCTCCACGTTTCAAACTTCGGGATACAACACGAGAAGTAAGACGGACACCCCAAGCTGTAGCACCAAGAAGAAGAAGTTTTTGCGGGTAGATGAGATCAGACCAGGCCTCAGAGATCGAGAGACCATCATTGACAACGCGAGAACCAATAGCGCTCCACCAAGCATTCAGTGTCATACCAGATGCCCACAGAAAATCCTTGCCCTCGACACGATCGGTGTATCGGGAAATTCCATAGGCTACGGCAGAAAGACCAGCATGAAGAGTAAAGGAAGGTAGAACGACAGAGTGCATCAGGCCCAAAGTGCTGGTGGTGAGACCTTGGTATGAGGTGCGATTGAAGTGAGAGCCAAAGATATCCTGTTCGGCGCCAGATCCATTGAAAGAGTCTCTAGGAAGTGAAAGTGGTGGCGAGCGACCAGCGAATTTACCGCCATAGATATCTTGTTCGGCACCGGAACCAGTGAAAGAGCCTCTTGGAAGTGAAAGTGAAGGGGAATGACCCCCAAATTTACTTCCGTAGACGTCTTGTTCAGCACCAGAGCCGGTGAAGGTGTTTCTGGGAAGTGAAGGCGAGTGACCGGCGAATTTATCGCCGTAGACTTCTTGCTCTGCCATATTGGAGTGATGAGATCAATTGATGGAGAGTTAGAAGATAGAAGTGCGTGATGGATTGGACTTGGTTCTATGATATAAGTAAAGTGGAGGGAGGCTCGTAAATATTGCGTCATTGGTTATATCATTATTGCATCGACAACGCGTCGCTAGAAAGACTAATTACTAATTCTATCTATAGTGATTCTGAGTCTTGTGTATCAACTCTTTGATATCATCTTGTTCAACGGATTGTTTATGCTCTGCATGGCATGTTTCTGTAGCGTCTGATTGAGACTCTACAGGCTAGGATCCCTTGGACGCGATTGATTTCAAGCTAGCAAGGGTCGCGTGTGGCGCGCGATCGAAGTGCTTGGCAAAGCCCTGTCTGGCCTTAACGGAGAATAAATGGACGTCACTTTCCAGATTATTTGGCGATTATCGCATAATAGATGTGAGTAACAAGAATTCGGACTGGTAACAGAAAAACTCTGTTTGCCTATGACGCGTTTTGCTTATTCGTATTCTAACTACAGTGAGAGCTTACCGTTGCGGGGTCATCGTCAGGCATCATTGGCTTCACCTTTGTGCACTGTTAGATAACGTTCTTGCGCCCGTGGGACGCGTCTACTAAGAGAAGGCAACGACTGCCGAAGCCATGCCTTTACCACGTATTTTTGTCACGGTTTATCTTGTAGAATATAGTAAAAAATTTTATGTTTTCTGCCAGTCCGTCTTCCCGTGTTCCTCAACACGGTGTGATCGTCCTCACTGGAATGTGTTTGACCGTCATTCACTCTAGGGTAGCAACACGACAAGAACATCACAATCGCGACTCTAGAACACGAAAAAGGCTACACTAAAAGAGTAAAATGTCACTAATGCAGCAATCACACGTGGTCACGAACCTGCTGGACCAAATCTGGGGGAATACCCTGCCACTTCCATCTCTTCTTCAACGGCTGAACCACCATCATCTCATCTTTCCAGCTAGCTGACTCCATTTACCCGGTACATTGGTATGACACTTCAGACGCTCCTATCAGAACAGTCCAGCGCTGGAAATGTCATGCTTCTAGACTACACGCGCAAATCATGGCGTTTCAGAAATAAAAGACTGTTGATGGCGTTCGAGAAGGATCAACGGCAAGGTCTACCGCTTTTGTCTACCACGCGGGCAAACACCCGATTGGTGCATTAATAACTAAACAAATTAGGGGGCTAATTTGAGAGACTCAAAAATAATTGGAGCGCCTTTAGAAAGAGACAAGCTAACAGGACCACAGTCATGATGTTACAGGTTCTGGTCACTCTCTTGTATCCTCAGTCACCCTGGGGACCAACTCACGTGGGTCCTTTCTCCATTCCTTTCTGACAGGGATTGGACTTGAACTGTTGGACCATGGGGTTCAACCCTCCAATTTTCTGACCGTTTAGCCGTTGTCGATTGATTCGTTCGCCTCTCCGCTTCCCCAGCTTCTCCAGTAAGTTTGTTGATAACCGTATACAATGGGGATTGACTCTACTAGTATCAGCCCAATTCATCATCTCCCCTCGTTCTTGTTTCGTTCTTCTCTCGTTTAGTTACTTTCTCGGCATTTAAGTACGTCTCCTCTTTTGTCTCTATCGGTCCAGACCGAACCGAATAATGTCCACTTCCCGTCTTTCGGCTACCATTACAACGAAAAAGGCGGCACGGCCAAAACGTGGAGACACAGACAAATGTTGGAGTAAAGACATGCTAAACGGGGTAATCATGACCGATCAGGATGCAACCTTTTAACCCCATCCTGGCAATACCCCGACCTGACCGGAGTCGCGCCGTAGTGGGTGTCTATGATCCGGGGTTTCATCTGCGGGGGAACAACCAACTAACTTGTTGTCAATTCTTATAGGCTGGCCCTGAATGCGGTTGGTTGCTCCAAAACCGCTGTAATAGGTGCGTCTAACGTTGAACGTCTACCCCAGATGCCTAAATCGAATTCCTACTAGCATCCCCCAGCTACTAATCCTAGTTTAGTTAATTTGTCTACAGTCCCCCAGTAAAATGTTACGTCTCATCCATTGGCATCTGGTCCCATTTTGCCAATTCTCCCGGGCTTAGTGGCACTTATGTTTTTTACTGTCCTTGTTGATTGTCATGCCGGGATCCGCATTGCAGCATCGCATTCAAGGTCGCCCTTTTTTATAAAAACGACTTGACCCTGCATTCGTTCGTCTGGTCCTTTCCTCTCATTCTCCCAATCCATATTGTCGCTCAACAATCCAAACACCATGAGTAACCCCATGGACAACAAGGCTGGCATCTCAGAGGCCAAGGCCGATGAGGCCCATATCGACCATGCTTACGATGTCGAGGCCAAGAAGGAGATGAACGTCGACATGCAGGGTGCCATCGACGCTGAGAACCAGGAGCATGCCATGACTGTTCTCCAGGCTGTTCGAGCCTACCCTGCTGCGTCTCTCTGGGCTTTCAACATGTCTTGCACAATTGTAAGTCTGACCAATTTGATATACAATTGATTCTGAGACTAATATTTTTTTTCTTTTTTAAGATCATGGAGGCTTACTGTGTCTTCCTCATCGGCAACTTCATTGCCCTCCCCGCTTTCGCCGATAGATACGGTATCTGGAGTGAATCGAAGGGAAAGAATGTCATTGAGACCAGCTGGCAATCCGCTCTCCAAGTCGGTGGTCCTATTGGTGCCATCATTGGTGTCACACTCGCCGGTCCCATCACCAGCAAGATCGGATACCGATGGGCCACCATCTCGGGCCTCATGGTCCTCAACGCCTTCATCTTCATCTTCTACTTTGCCGACTCTCTTCCCGTCATGCTGGTCGCTCAGCTCCTCGAGGGTATCCCATGGGGTATTTTCATCGCCAACTCTCCCGCTTACTGTTCCGAGATTGTGCCTCTCCGCCTCCGTGCACCTGCTACTCAGATGTTGCAGATGTTCTGGGCCATTGGTGCCATTATCGTCGGTGCTGTTGCCTTCCACTACAACGAGCTCCACGAGCAGGCTGCTTTCCGAGTTCCCATCGCTCTTCAGTGGATGTTCCCCACTCCCCTGGCTATTCTCATCTACCTCTCTCCCGAGTCTCCCTGGTGGTTGGTCCGAAAGGGGCGTCTTGAGGAGGCCGCCAAGTCCATCCGCCGTCTTGGACGTACTAGCCAGGTCGACAACGCTCACGAGGCCATTTCCATGATGAAGCGTACCATCGATCTCGAGAAGACCATCAAGGAGCCTAGTCTGCTCGAGCTTTTCCGCGGCACTGATCTCTACCGTACTGCCATCGTTTGCGGTGTCTACGCTGCTCAGAACCTTACTGGTAACTTGATTGCCAACCAGGCTGTCTTCTTCTTTGAGCAGGCTGGTATGCCCACCAAGACTGCTTTCGCCATGGGTCTGATCACCTCTGCTCTTCAGACCGTCTTTGTCATGCTTTCTTGGATTCTTACTTCTTACTTTGGACGCCGAAGCATTTACCTCTGGGGTTCCGCCGGAAACACTGTTCTCCTTGTTGCTCTTGGTATTGCCGCCACAGTTGGCGATGTCCAATCAACTCTCAACTCCAACACTCAGGCTGCTCTCGGTCTTATCGTGTCTGTCCTCTTCACACTCGGACCTGCTCCCGCTTCTTGGGTCATCATCGGAGAGACCTCTTCTATCCGTCTCCGACCTCTCACCACTGGTGTCGGACGTGGCTGTTACTACCTCGTCAACATTCCTTGCATCTTCCTTTCCAGTTGGATGCTTAACCCTACCGTAAGTTTTACTTCACTCGACACATTCACTTTGACAAATACTGACTTTATTATCCTTTCAGGGCGCCGACCTTGGTGGCAAGTGTGGTTACGTTTGGGCCGGTACCGGTGCCTTCTGTCTGCTGGTTGCCTACATCTGGCTTCCTGAGATGAAGGACCGATCTTACCGAGAGATCGACATTCTCTTCAACCGAAAGATCCAGGCCCGCAAGTGGAAGAAGACTGTTATCGATATCCACGACAACGAGTAAAGGATGTTATTGTTTACCACTACGGAGGAGAAAAAGGGACGAACAGCTCAAGGCTGGGCTGGAGAGTCTTCTTGTTTCTCTCTTTTCATGCGGCTGGATTACGTGGCGTGATTTTGTAAATTGACCTGCGTAGTCATTCAGCGATAGGATGGGGTCAACCTGTCATGTTGCCAATAAGGCTTCCTAGGACTATTTAATTTATGACAACATTGACTATAACCTGTGGTGATATCCAGTGAGGTGATATCAGATATGTCAATTGATCAAATACGACAGCAATATTTCGCGACCAACCAGACACTATAATAAAATATTGACATGTTCAATGGTTGATCAAGAACCACTGCTCCATCATGTAGTGAAGTTTGCGAGACGAAGAAAAGATTAGCTATGTAAAAACAAAAAAAAAAACAGAAAAAAGGTGAAGCAACATGAGGAAGGAATGCTATTTTCAAGATTGCAAAGGGATATTAAAATCAGAGATATGCATTCCTAGCCATGAGAAAGTTTTCCATAAATACGTGTCAGAGGCATAAAGTGATACACGTTGACTTATTGCGAAATCACTGTTGCTTTTTCGGCTATATAATTTTAATTTTGCGGCTCAGTCTGCATCAATAGCTATTCCTCCGATTCGGAGATCTCCCCGAATAGCTCAGCTGGAAGAGCGTTCGACTGTAATTGTTATATGTCATCGAAAGGTCACTTGTTCGATCCAGGTTTCGGGGAGCTGTTTTTTTTGCCTTTTCCACTTTTATCATCCATCATCAAACACACACCACAATGTTTATTGACTTTTTAGTATTTTTGCATTTGCCTCTATTGTCATGTTGCATTGGCATGCGATCTCATTCATCCCGCCCATTCATGTGCGAGCCATTCCTCTCGGCTATAACGAATTATCCAGAAATATGTGGTGATCTGATACATCCTCCGTAGAAATAACCAGTTACAGTCATTCAAGTGAGGGGGTTAAATTCTGAGATGAGAATATGCTTACCCACGTCATCTCTAAGTATCACTTGGTCGATAATGGTGGTCTGACCATGAGTGAGATATAATGTGTCGATCCTGCTCCATCTCAACGACCGACTGTGCATCCTTGTTCGGTTCTCCTTGCTCATTATTATCGTGAAAATGTTGGCGTTGTTACCTCCGGAAGTTCTTGAACATATTTGCGAAAAGGTAATTTGCATCATACAGTTGAAGATCTTGGTTAACACCAGTAGCTAAACGGTTGTGATCTCAAACGCCTCTCACTAACATCAAGATGGCTCCACAAAGCTACCTTCCGCCAACTCTGGCGCTCCATCACGATCTTTCCTCGTTCCTCACGTGAACGTCACTGCATCACACCTTCAGGTCCTCCCCAGCAATGTCTACAGCCAACAAAAGAACTTCGTTTTGGCGTCGGCGTTGAAGCAGACCCAATGCACTGCGTTCATGCGTATGACTGTCTGGGATACATGGGAAACTGGCTTGAGAAAGATCCTCGACTGCATGATACCTGGGAAGGAAGAAGTGATAGCTTTGGGTACGAGCGTGGTAGACTTGTTCGTGTTAAGTATGAGTGTCTTGCACAAAGGACTATGGCGATGCTGAGGCGTTTTGAAGATGGACAACTGGAGACGTTTGTGTAAGTCTGTGTACCTCGTGTTGTTCGTATCACTAACTGAGCTGTGAAGCTGGAACTACACCTCTTGCATTCCATCAGAGGTGCTCGAATACTTGAGTCTCAAGCATCCCTCCATTCAAGGTCTCAGCTTTACAACGGATCCCTTCTGCAGCAGATTCAATCGCTGGAGCAGAACAACAGACTTAAACCTCTCTGGGTTCCACAATATTCGACGATTTAGCTGGAAGGCCCCAATGGGATGTCACTTTGGCAACATCGCCAACTTGGTCCAGAAGAATGCTGACCACTTGGAAGAACTGGAGATCGACTTGCAATCTTGGTCTCGGCAGTGGGAGGACAGAGAATCAAGAGTTGTTAGGCACAAAGCTGATTCGGAAGAGTGGGATAAAGTACCCGCAAGTAATATGCTTGCGCGAGACATGTTTGGTCTCAGTTCTGATGCATCTGCAAACACTTGTTTTCCCAGGATGCGGAGCTTGAAACTCACAAGAGTACCCTTGAGAGATGAGACCACTAACAAGACAGTTACTGCAGCATTCATCAATCTCGCGGGACTCACCTCACTCACACTTAGAATGTGTTCATACTGGACATTGCTCCTCGAGGACATGATACAGTCTACGACACCAATTGCAGTCGAGTCACTCGAGATTCTCGACTTTTACCTCCAGACGCCAAACGTGACTGCTGTCAAAAAGGTGATCGCCATTACAAACTTTCTCGACTCTTTCGATGGACTTGAAGAACTGTTCATTAGCCATTGTGGCCCAACGCCGGTTCTCGACTTCTGGCAACACGTATCAAGACACTCCTCAACGCTAAAAGCGTTTGTACATCATCAGAGGATCACGGATCAGGATGATGAGCCTTTAATTTCCCGTAAAGGAAGAGATTTGTCTGATCCTGCTATATCTCAACATGATCTTGACCGCATTCAACATGACCCGACCCAGAATCCTCTTTCGAGATTGAATCTCGAGTTCATTGGCTTGACGTGTGCGCCCGAGTATCTGGTAAGTATTCCGACCCTGAGATCTGTTGCAGTAGTTAATCTCAGAGACAGAGAGCTATTCTCCTTCCCTTTGTGTCGAAGCGGTCCCTCAAAGTGCTTCATATTCGTAACACGGGAGTAAATGCAGGTACAACTCCGTCATGTGTTTTTGACAAAAGCTTGGAATTGAGAATCACCGAAGCCGGACAAAATGGTGAACCCATTAGCGATGCAGTCAAAGACAATGACGTGGACACTAAGACGCAAGAGGAGATCAGCATTGGTCTTAGAGAAAGAACGGAGTGGAAAACACCGCCGCTACAGCAGCCTTTCCGAGTCTTCGCAGATTGGGTCTTTAGTCCCGAAGGGATCAAGTCTCTGGAGTACATCGTTGCTGGTGATTTTTCACATGGAGATAGGTACTCTGAGAGTAATGCACTGATATTTAGATCTACTGAAGGAGGGAGGAGATATCGTGTCGTTAGTCAGAAGACCGGTGGAGGGGAATGGATTAATGTGAAGAGCAGATTTGGAAGAGCTCTGGAAGCTTGTCCAGTGGAGAATATTGTTCCCGAGTATAACTAGTCTACGCAATTCCTGTAAGAAAATTGAAAACAGGTTTGTCTTGGTGAAAACACCCAGAACCTCTCTTTGCCACTGTTTAAGACTATACGCTCAGTGCGATTCAATACTGAAGTCCATTGCAAAATACGTCGATACGCAACATCAACTGACTCATGTTCTGAAGTTGAATACGGTTAATTACAATAAACTTGATACCACATTTATCAATCGCCAGGTTGGCAACTAAGCTCCGAGCCTGGATATGATCCCATGCTTCCCTCAGCAAGTCCTTGAGGCTGTGGGCGATCAGTGCACTAGTGACAAAAAACATCTGATAACTTCAGGAATTGCTTTGTGAATAGAGCTTGAGGTTAAGTGGACTCTCGTCGTCCTCATAGCCGTATTTGACTTCATTGTTAGAATCATAAGTTTGCTGAATCTGTGATTCTGAAAAGTCTAGCAAGTTCGACTTTGTAATTTCCATATCGTAGCGACTTGCTGCGACTTTGGTTGGCAATCGAAAGACAAGTGGTACTAAAAAACAGTCAGACACTGATACACACCTGATGAAAGGTAGATAACAGATTTCTCTTGGTGAGGGCATCTGCTCAGCAGAGCGGGAGTGTCAACTTACTAACGCAACTACTCCAGACGCCAAATTGAAGTGTGCTCTTGAAGTGAAAGTGTTTGTCATTACACCAACATTGTTTGTTGTTGAAGGCCATTGGGTTGCGGAATGCACGCTTCGTGGGTAGTTGGTCTTGACTCATCTAGTGTGAGCTTCTCTTCGCTCCTCATATAATTGTTCTTTCGACTCGGTCTCGGGATGGGGGCCGAGGACGATTTCCACCCGGCAAAAGTGCAAGAATGAAGTTGAGTGTGATGAAAAGGAAGAAGAAGAATGCCTGCCCTGCTCTTGATCACATGACATGAGATTCAGGCAGCAGCCTTGCATTTTAGCAGTGGCAGACAGTTGGTTTATTATATACATGATAAGAATATCGGTTTACGGTCTTAGCTTGGTGCGGCTCAAGGAGACCAGGCAGATGTTGCCGAGATTATCGTTTGTCACATTGGGGTAATAAACTTGATGGCTGGGGGCTTGAAAGGGTAGTCGGCGGGAAGGTTAAGGAGGATGCCGAATTTGCCTGGGCGATAGACATGTTTACCGCAATACAACATGCAGGTAGTAGCTACATACAAACACCAGACATCCAGACACCCAAACACCGTTCTGGAGGCGCTTGGCAAACTTGGCTCAAAGACGTACTGAACTGGAAAGCGAAAACAAATAAGCGCTTAAACTATTCTACCTACTGTTTGACCCCATGAGGAACTCTACTCCTTGGTCAGGTCTTTCAACATCTTGCGTCCTCTCAAACAATCCTCTTCATGAAATGGCTCTCTGCTCGTCTCCTTAATACCACCCTGGATCCATTCCTGAACAACAGGATACTCAAACAACCTATCGGCATACTCCTTGGCCGCACCATTCAACTCAATACCATAAGTCTTGAACCGGGATGCAATGGGTGCATACATGGCATCCACGATGGTAAACTTGTCACCAGCCAACCACGGTCCACCGAACTTTTCCAATCCCTGTTCGAAGAGCGTAGCGAATCGATCAATGTCTCTTTGAAGCTTTTCACTCGGTTCACCGAGCTCAATCCTGAGTCCAACGTTCATAGAGCACTCGTCGCGAATGGCATCAAAGCCAGAGTGCATCTCCGCAGCGGCACATCGTGCAAAGGCGCGTGCGGAGATATCAGATGGCCAAGCTGCAGGATACTTCTCGGCGATGTACTCGCAGATGGCGAGAGAGTCCCAGACAACGATTGAGGTTTCAGAGTCGTGAAGACAGGGAACTTTTCCACTTGGGGAAAATGCGAGGAAGTCGGGTTGGCGGAGGCCGGGTTTGAATAAGTTGAGTTTCTCTTCGAAGGGAATGTCGAGGGCTTTGAGGAGAACCCAAGGTCGCATTGACCAAGAGGAGTAACGTTTGTTACCAATGAAGAGTGTATATGTCATTTTTGCTGTGAATAACGATGAGTGTGGTTTGGTCGTGAGGTTATTTGATAGATTTTATAGTGCCGAGATGCCCCGTCCAAGTGCGGAAAGGTGACTCACTTGTTTCCGCCCTACAATTGACATGCGGGATTTGTCATCACATTGACTCGGGGACAGGACTCTATAACAAATTGAGAAGGTGAATTGACATTTAGCATATGCTAATATATATCATTAAAAGTCATGTATGTATGCGCTACATTTTGATCCTGCTTATACCCAAACAATAAAACCCCCATCCATGAATGCTTATACTGATCATCTCATCAAGCAGACCCGTAATCGCGCTTGGCTGGTGAATAAGATGGGTTAAACTCATGTCGTCGCTGCATAGCGTCCCAAAGCGCAAGACCAGTCTCGACGAGGTGAATGATGAAGAAGGGAATGAGGTTGTACTGCCAGCCCTTCATGAGTCGCAGGTGATGTTCAATGTCGTTCCTCTCGTTCGAGTTGGTGAGGTCAAGGTCGAGAAGAGCCGAGAACCAATTCTGCGGCGTCCACGACTCAAGAGGGTATTTTTGACCATCGTTAAGCTTGGCTGCAACGCTGGGGATGATGCTCTGTCCGTTGTGTTCGGTTGTAACGACAAAGGTGTAGATAAGAGCTGAAAGAACGAGAAGTAGACTGAGGACATTCCAAACGAGCCAAAAGTTGTAAAAGAACCGACTGAATTTTCCAGGGTTGTGTCTGTTTCGGAGCCAGAGAGCAAGAATACCTCCGCAGCCGATAGGGATGAATGCTGTTCCTGCGGCTCCGTTGCTTGTATGGCCTTGGTCGACAATCAAGTTTGCCGGTTCGCCTTTTAGCTGGTGCTCTGTGCCCTGCCATTCGAAAGAGAAAGTTCCGCTCGCGGTACGGTGTAGCCAACCGACCATGCTAGAGATGAAGGAGAGTTCGATGATAGACACGACCATGAGTAGGCCGAGGGCGACGTAGAGAAGTGGACGTGCTGAAGTCATGATGGGCGATTAAGTCAAATCTCTTGTATCACTAGAAAGAAGACACAAATGAAACAGAATGATAAAATAAAGAAACGAAAAGGTAAGCTTGTATTTAAAGATGACCTAGATCAAACAAGAGCGTTGCCGTGATGCCGAGCGAGTAAGCTCAGCCCTGCTAGTGCTTACATCCTAATGGAGCCCGAGAGTGGCTTGGCTGACGATGGTGTTGTAAATAGAACCTAAGCTCACTCAGCGCAGCGCAGCATCGATACTTTTCAGCTTAGCCACATCCACCAGCAGGGATGAGTCTAGACTATCTGTTAGTTGAACGGCTAGTAGTAGGCTGGTCCTTTTCTTTGAGCTCTCAGTGGAGATTAGCTTTTGCGATCCTTATCTATCCAATGATGTTGCTGAATTGTGTTTACAGTAGATAGTTTTATTCCGTTTCATGTTAAAGATTAGGTTAGGCTTAACAACTTTGCTAAAATAGTTTGTGATCACAAGGCAGAAAAGAGAGTGACATACATTATGTGGTAATGTGCACTACGTGACGTGGCGGCGACATTGTGTACAGTAAATGATTGGATTGTCTTCTAATCATCACCATTGCTGAGTGAGACGGAAGACGTTGTGTGCATCGTTGATCTTTCCCCATACCCCAAACTCTATGACGGGACTTTGGTAAGAAACCGTTAAATCAGCCCTACCTACTTCTCCTCCGTCTCTCAGCCAGTGGTATTAACAGTGTTGGTCCAAAATCCTGTTTGACGCATGTATCTACATTCAGACCGAACCTCTTGTCCTCATCAATTTCATCAGTATCTGCAAATCGATAAGATCTGTATTCTGTAGCATAGAATTAGTACAGACTTCTACTTAACAGGTTAATGAGAACTTGCCACAAACACTAAACCGTTCACCTTGAACCATAAACGCAGCAAATCCCCGATGCGTTACAAGCACAATATCCTTGTACTTCCCCGCCTTGGCGATCTCACTCACCCTCTGCCGAACCCTTTCGGCACGTACCGTCGCATCACCAGGGGTATGAGCTGAAAAATCCCAGCGCTCTGGACACCCCGATAAGTCAAGATGAGGAAACTTTGCCGCTAGGTCTGCACGCGGAACGCCCTTGTTGCAGGGAGCGTCGTGGGCCTCGCGCAGGTCTGGCCAAACCTGAATCTCTGTATCTTCTGTGATGAGGAGATATCGGAACACAATGTACATTGTTTGGATTGTTCTCGTCATGGGCGATACAATGATTAAATCGGGGTTGACTTTGAGGGTTTGTTGGACGTTTTTGGCTTGGCGAGTGCCTAGGTCTGTGAGGGGAGGGTCGCGGTGTGGATAGCCTCTTTCTACGCTGCTGCGTGTCAGCTTTTAGTATTGTTATTGGAATTCTGGGTGAAATACTTGTGACGGGCTTGTCCATGGCGCAGGATGTGAACTCTAGTCATTTCAGCTGCTATTGAAATGTTTCAGGTGTAATTGTAGGAGTTAAAGTTCTTGATTGTGTTGGCAATATTGGGGAACAAGCGGTAACAAAGAGGAGTACGACCAAGACTGCCACGTGAGCGTCATCGTGGCTTGCTTGAGTAACAGACACGACATTTGGATAACTGGGTACTCTTTTTTAAATAAAAAACCCTACTTTTGAAGAATATTCGGTGTTTTGGTATACATAAAACAATACCCGATTCGCATAGGAGCATATAGGATCTCAACCCTGGATAAGTAAGCGGCAATGAAATACATCTTCCTTGGCGATTGCTGTTAACGAGAGTATCGTCTCCACCATATGCGGCTTCTGTGCGACCAATACTGAATGTCTTTTGGCGGTTGTTCGCCATGTTCAAAGTCTAATATTGGCTGTGTCCCTCGTTCTGTAGCTAAGATACTGTGTGTCTGGAGCTGAAGTCAAGCCGATCTCAGATCTAATTATGGCAGTCATTAGCTCAACATATCGATAGACCTGATTTACAAGCCATTTAATCTTCCTTCCATGTGTTTTATATGTCGCGAATCGAGCCTAGACCCGTTGAGTCTGTCGCTACAGACTCGTATCTCAGATCTTGATCGATCGACATGTCCACAAATCCAGGAACCGAGCGCCGGTTCAGGTACACACGTTATTTACTGTTCCAAGTCCGTCATTCTAATCAAAAATGCTACTACTGTATCCGAAAACCCATCCTGCTTCACTGAGCAAAAAACTCCAACAACTGCATCCAGCCAGTGGGTCACACCGGAAACAGCTCCCTCATCCGCATTCATCACCAGCCAAGACAACAATCTCCATCAAAAAACAAGAATTACTTATTTAGTCTACTAATATTTATCTCTCTTCCCAATGCGTTCAACACTGTCAAGTCTTATCACCTTCGTCATGTCCACATCTCTTCTTCCTCCCGAGACAAAACATCTTCCCGACCCCATCTTGTCTCATTAAAATGTCACTTTGTTTTACCTCTCTTTGACAAAGGTCACTCCTTTCTACTACTGACCTTGTAACAAAGGTCAGTAAATCGCTTGTTGATCATGGCAGCGATCAAGCTGTACCATTATGAACCCTCTTTTATACCCGCCCTCGTTGTTTTGGGCTTATTCTTTGCTTCTACGCTTGTTTGTTTGATGCAGGTGGTGCGATGTAGGACTTGGTTCTTTATTCCTTTCCTTCTCGGTTGCTCAGGTAAGAATTACTCCTTCAAATCATACAATGAGGTGCTGATATTTCACAGTGGAAACTGTTGGTTATGGATGCCGTGTGTGGTCATCGCAAGAGTCGCCAAACTGGTCGACTCTTCCTTATGCAATCCAGACCTTTACCCTCCTTTCAGGTCCATTTCTGATGCTTGCTACTATATACACAATCCTTAGCAAGATAATTATCGTTTTAGATGCAGATATACACTCTCTTGTTCCCGTCAAGGTCTTGCCCAAGGTCTTTATCTTTGGAGATTTGATCTCCCTCGCAGCCCAATTGACAGGTAGGTTGGCCGACATGCATGCATCGTATAGCTCATGCTAACCTCATGGTATATAGGTGCTGCTTATCTAGTTAATGCTACAGAAGTTCCTCAACAGAGGACAGCCCAGCTCATCATTGTGGGCGGCCTCTCATTCCACATTTACTTCTTCGGCTTCTTCAGTTCCGTTCTACACATCGCTTACACCCGTGTTCTTGAAGCCCCAACACGTCAGAGTACCATTATAACCATGCCCTGGAGACGGTGGATCATCGTTCTTTACCTCAGCTGTGGCCTCATTCTCGTCCGGTCCGTGTATCGCGTCATCGAGTATGCCACCGGCCCCCTCGGCGTTGTCCAAGGCACCGAGATATACTTTTATGTTTTCGACTCTGGATCCATTTTCATCATCACCTGTCTTTTCAACATCTTCCATCCTCGTCAACTAGCCACTATATCTAAAGATGATCTTCCAGATCCAGAGACTGTCGTCGTTACGCCTTCCAAGCCTATGTCTCGATATCCATCGCAGACACCTCCTCGATACATGCAACCCCCACCATTTCTTCCTTCACACGCAAATTTGAGAAATCGCGGGCCTTACTTTCATTATCCAAAGTCTCAGTACAGAAGTCAATCATTTATACAGTATCCACCTCCGATGCACTACTACCAGCAACGGAGACCTCATACACTGGTCCATCATCGACCACGGACAAACAGGACGTACAAGAGCTTTAATCCGTCATTTAGCTCGTCTTCTAGTGTTGTCAGCATATATAATCCACAGACTGGACAGTATGAACCAATTAGACGGTAGATGTTTGGTACGAAAGGGAGCTGGAGGAGAGAAAGTTGGTTCAGCACAGCAAGCTTTTTCCTATGTTACAGAGTTTAGTAGATATTCAGAATACCAACTATCATTGTTTTCATTTAGATTCAAATAAAGATAAACTCTCGGCGTCACATACAAAGCCAAATCATGAATGAATTCGTCAAACAGTTGATGCTACTTAGGCCATACGTCTTAGACTACTTACGTATTTTTATGCCCTAAGACTTATGATGTTAACCTTTCTGCTACACACTATCTTGTCCCTGAAAGGAAGGTTCCTCTATCCACCTGTGTTGGACAACGCAGTCTTGAGAGAACAGACAGATTAACCTTTGTTAAAAACCTAGAGGAAACTGAGGATTGTTCTTCAAACCTAACCTCATTAACTATTTCTTCGCTCTATAAAAAGACTTCCCAGTCCTCCACATCCCTCCTTTCATCCTTTCAACTCACACTTTTCACCATCGCCAAAATGTCGTGGACCAACCTCCCAACTGAGCTGCGAAACCAGGTTCTCAACTACATAGTTGAGGATCACATGGCTTCAAGAAAGCAAAAGATTATTTCTAAGGTTGCTCCATATACCAGTGTCTCTCGCGAGTGGCAGAGCCTCTTCTAAACCATCACCTTTCAGAATATATCCCTCCTGATTCGCGACGACAGAGATGTGGACAAGTTCGCTCGCTTTACAAGTGGCTGCTGAAACCAGACAGATGGACATTTTTAATAATAACTTTTTTTAACTTTTCTCGCCTATAATAAGCCACGGCTAACGAGTGAATCAAATTAATTAGAACAGGAACCGTCACCTTCCTTTTACTATTGGTTACCAAAGTACTCATCCTCAACCTCCATGTACCATCCAAGCGATGCCACATGCAAATTCCAGTGCAACACTTTATAACCTGTAATACAATGGGATTCCCAAGCCAAGCCCCCAATTGCAATAAATCGCATTTCTTTTGCTTCAGCTCTATTTCCACATCCCATCCTCAAACTGAAACACGACCAATCACCACCATCCAAGTCTCAAGGGAGAGTCTAGTTCAGCCCCCTTGACAGCTTTCTTGGAATGCGTGTCTCACTTTACAGGGGCTTCATTCCAGGATTGAGCGTAAAGATACGGGATAACAGTCTGTGGGTAACAGAAGGGACTTTAGGATACAAAAATAAATAGCCTAAGAACTGTAGTCTAAGCAGCATAAAGTGACCTACTAATTTCGTCTCTTATGCTTCTGGCGGCCAACGTTTCTAGTACCCTGATGCCAGGGACCAAGTCCCCTTCTCCCTTGCGTGTGGTTCCAACAGCCCTTATATCACAGCCAGCCCACCCTTTGGGGTTTGTCTTGCTTCGCGATCAGCCTTTTTCTTTATACCATCATGGTTGTCGTTTCTGGCTCACCTTGGGCCAAAAAGGTCGCATTCATTGTTATTTCGCTCAATCTCCTATTCTGGTGGTATTGTTTCTCCGTCCCTCAATCAGACGATGTTAATCCACCACCACCATCAAGAATACAACGATTAGAAGCCGTCCCCGACCCCGAAATAATTGCAAAGAAGAAAGAAAAGGAAGAACTTAAAAAAGAAACGGCCGCCGAACCACCAGTCGACAAAAATGGCTTCAAGACGTTTCGGTCGTGGAGTCACTTCGAAATCACCAAACCCAGCAACGAAAAGACGTTTATCTTTCGTCGCTTCAAAAGCTCACCTCATAAACCACCTCACATCGAATGGAACCCCAACGGGGGCGAACTCTCAAAAGGATACGTCTTTATCACACCACAATCTACGGGAGAAGATAAAGGTATCGCGCAGGCTGCTTCTTTCATCATGAAGCAAAACGCAGAACTTATCTACGCACATGACGACGAACCTCTGGATTCAGAAGGCTTTCGTGTGCAGAATATCAACAATGAGCAGTTTCTTACGCTGTGGCGCGGGACGAGAAAGGGTGCGCATGGGTTTGGAGAGGTGGTTATAATGAACAGTCAGTACGAAAAGACAATTATTCATCTTGACGCTATCATCAACAATATGTTTGGGCAAAAGTTCAAGGGTCAATTAGACTTTCATGAGCAGGAATTGACGACGAGGGGAACTATCTTGGTTACGGCTTATAACACTACTTCGTGGAATTTGACTGCCATGGGTGGTTCGGAGAGAGGTTTCGTGTCGGACTCGATGTTTTTTGAGATTGACATTGAGACTGAAGAAGTTATCTTTAGTTGGAGTGCTCTCGAGCATTTCTGGCCTGAAGATTCAATGCTTCCTCTCATCACTGCCTCTGGAAGTGGCACTCCAATGTCACCATACGACTTCTTCCACTTAAACTCAGTTCAAGCCATCAACCACGATTCCTTCCTCATCAGCAGTCGCAACTTCTGGTCTGTCTTTCTCATTTCTCGATCAACGGGTAGAGTACTCTGGGAATTGAGAGGAAACACCAAGGGAGGAGACTTTGGCGCTATGCCGCCTCACGGACGATTCCGATGGCAGAACCATGTTCGTGCGCTGGATGCTTCGACGCAGGGGATGGTGATAAGCATGTTTGACAACCACAACAGTCCAGAGGATCTGACCAAGACAAATTCACGAGGATTGCTGCTGAAAGTCAAGCTGCCGCCGCGTATTGATGAGAAGCCAGAGGTTCTTCGCATTCTTTCACCTGATCGCGCAAAGGTAGCTACGCAAGATGGAAGCTATCAATTTGGATTGAGTAACGGAAACTCGTTCATGAGCTGGGGTGCTGGCGGTGTCGTACATGAGTATGGACCTGAAGGCGGTCATGATCTTCGCTGGCAAGCGCGCTTCGGACACGACGAGTCAATCCGAAGTTATCGTGCCTTTAAAGACGTCTGGACAGGTACACCCATGGCATGGTCCCCAGCACTCGTCATCGAAAAAGCCGGAGATTCTATCCTCGGGTTCGTAAGCTGGAACGGCGCGACAGACATTGAGTCGTACAATGTATACCTATACGAACCCGGTAGTGCGATGACGAGAATGGGTAGTGCTAAAGTTTATGGATTCGAGACGGGTTTTGATATGGGCACCAAGTTTAACGAAACGAGTTGTATTCTTGTCGCGGCTGTGAGGGATGGACAAGAGGTGAAGCAGTCGAATGTGGGATGTTTGCAAGGAAAGACATTTGTGTCTGGGTTTGTGGACTCTAATGGCCAAGCGGCGGGTGATTCGACGACTGAGGAGACTACGATGCAGAAGTTGATGGGTTGGTGGAACTCTTGATGATGAATGAACTTGTGTTTTGAGCGGATGGAAGAGTAGATGGCTATTACTTCTAGAACGTATGAATGACCGATAACAATTAATGTTGAGCTTTATGCAGTTTCCAAAAGTGTATATCAAGCTTTTATTATATACGTTTGTATGTAAAACTAGATGAACACACGTTAAACATCATACGCCCTACACGATCTACATCACCGTCTTTTTAACATATCCAGGACTGCACGCACTACCTTATGGTGCAAGTCGCTTGGGTGTACGGGGGTAGTAAGCCGCGAGGTGAACACTGGGAAGAGCCAGGGCCCAAGCGACAATACGGTCGAGACCGAAACCACCACCACCGTGAGCAGGGACACCGACTTGTCGGAAGACAGCCAAGTACTCCTTGATACCATCGCTCTTGGGGTCGATCTCCTTGGCGCGGATGCGCTCCTCGAGCTCGTCGGGGTTGTTGACACGCTGACCACCGGAAAGAACCTCCTGTCCTCGGATGAACATGTCGAAAGCGTTTGTGACGCGGACGCCATCTCCAACTGTGGTACCAGCATCGTCGAGCTTGGCGTAGAAGGGTCGAGCGGTCTCGGGGAACTTGTCGATAACGTAGAAGTCGGTGTTGTACTTCTTGCGGACAACCTCACCTAGGGCCTTCTCCTGGGGAGTGCTCATATCCTCGTCGTCGCGGACGTTGGCGAACTCGGCGGGGCCTTCCTCTCGGAGGAGCTTCTGGGCTTCGGCAAAGGTGAGGCGGACCTCCTTGCCGGGCTCGGGGAGGAGGAGGGGCTCGGAGCCGTAAACGGATCGGACGGTCTCAATCTCGACAGCGCATCGCTCTGCAATTGAATGTAATTAGCTAAAGTATCTTCATGGCCGTTCAATTGAACTTACCGTGGATGCCACGGAGAATGGACAGAAGGACACCCTCCAGAACATCAAGAACCTCGAGGTAAGATTCCTTGATCTCCATCTCCAGATCGAGACCAGTGAACTCAGTCATGTGTCTAGGAGTGTTGGAGTTCTCGGCACGGAAAACGGGACCAGAGCTGAAGACGCGCTCACGACCACCAGCAATCTCGAACTGCTTGTAGAACTGGGGAGATTGGGCGAGGAAAGCCTCTTGTCCAAAGTATGGGAGTCGGAAGACGTTACCGCCACCCTCGGAGGCGGCACCGATAAGGCAGGGAGGCTCGAATTCCTTGAAGTGGCGGGGCTCGAGGTAGTTGCGGAAAAGTCGCTTAACTTCGATACGGATGTCCTATTATTTCGTTAGTAGATAGTCAATTGGGTGTTTTTGAGCCAACATACCGCGATGGCCTGCTGGACGGGGCTTCGCTTGTGCATGGCAATGTTGTCGAGGTGGGTAAGCATGCTGGCGGAGGGAATGGTGGAGGTGGTCTCGGCAGGCTTCTCAGCCTCCTCGCCAGCCTTGCTCTCGTCGCTGAAGTTGACAATGGGCTGGCTAGCAGCGTCCATGGTCATACCAAGCACAGCAGGAGCAGGAGCGAGAACGTAGCACTTGTTGATGTGAAGCTCAAGAGTGGAAACGCGGCAGCTCTTGACGGGCTCAAGAGGCTTCTTGACGGTAGCTTGGACAACGACGTAACTCTCAGGGCTGATGCTAGTCACGAACTTGACCATGGGCTTGCTGACAACAGGCTCCTTGTCAGTGGCCATGATGACACCCTGAATATCCCAGTTTCCACCCTTTCGAAGCTCGATGAAGCCCATCTTGGCACTCTGAACACGCGAGTTCTGGAGCCAGGCGCGGACGATAACGGTCTTTCCATCGTACGACTCGTCGAGATTTCGGATCTCAACCTCTTGGGCATCGCTGCTGAAGGATTCGGCGGTGACCTGCTTGTTTCCGTAGCTGTCCTTGGCGGGATCGTCCTCGAGGCTCAGCTTGGCGGCAGCTTGTTGGGCAGCGAGTGCAGCGGCGCGTTCGGCCTTGAGAGCCTCCTTCTTGGCCTTGGCCTCGGCCTTCTTGAGAGCCTTCTTGGAGGGGCCGGCCTCACCCTCGGCGGGAGGAGCGCCCTCCTCTGGTACGACTGGCTTTGCTTCTTCGGACATGATTGATGTTGTTTTGGTGGATGGTTTGGTGATTGAGAAGCTAAAAGCAGGGCAGGATAAGGCGGGGTGGGTTGGTCAATGGAGGGGCAATGAGGGGCAGAACAGAAGGATTTTAAAGGTTTTGTGCCACGTGACGTATTCGACGTCAGAGACGATGGTCTGACCCCAGACGATGAGGGTTGAGCGTTATCGGGGTGGAGTCATTAAACATGAGATCTCGCTGTGACTACATGCAACAGCCATTGATGTTTAATTTTACGGATAAATTACAGTACTGAAATAGATTCAGGCTCTCCTAGCAACCTTCATCTTTAGCACTAGGGTTCTCAAAGTGCGATAACAAAGGATGACATGTCCATTCCATGTCACGATCAACAGATGGGATAGCGCAATTCGATCGATGGACTGACACATCGCTAGGTATAAACCCTGTATATCGCCTCAATGGAAGAACAATTCGATCAAGTGGTATGCTCAATGAGTCTTTCGCCGAGTTGGGTGTAATCTGACCGCCGAAGTCGCCTTGCAAAGCGAATGCTGTCATGTCAGGTAGTCTTTGGTCCCAGCACCCTTTGCACAACAAATCTTCAAGAGCATCTAAAAGATTGCAAAGTCAAAGACTCTTTAGTGCACATCGCAATTGAAGCCAAGATGTAAAAGAATACGATACCCACCCCGACTTATAGCCGTAGCGTCCTCCAGACTGCAGCATCAGTCATCTGCTGCATCAAAGGTTCCACCTACAAAACCCAAGAACGAGGAGTAAAAGCCTCTTACCTAAATCACTCCTCTAAACAAAATAAAAATGTCTTCCAACGGTTCCGAACGTCTCAAGAACAGAAAACCCATCAAGAAGCCCGTCCCGGCTTACCTTCCGGGTCCTGGCTCCGTGCTCACCGTCGATCAAACCCTCTACTCAACCATCCGCGAAGCTCCCCGTGAGCTTATTGAGGAATTTACTCTTCCCATTCGCTCTGGAAAAGCATGGAAGGCGCCTGCTGGTTCAATCGTCAAGATTAGTACACCTGAGGGACCGCAAGTTGGTAAGAGATAATTGATGTGGTTGGCTTAGCTCACTTACACCACTGTAGGCGACTTGAACATCTGGAACGCCCATAACCCCCGCGAACGCTTCTGGGCGAGTCGCACTAAGCAACTTCATGCTTCGCATGTCTCAACTTATGATCGTCTTTGGTCTAATTTGCCTTACATGCGTCCTCTGGCGACTATTATTACTGATAGTTTGGACTGGTATGGTACTGATGAGCATGGTGGTCGTGTGCACGATTTACTCGGCACGCGATGTGATCCATACATCAACACCGTCCTTAGCGGCGGCCAGTATAACTTCCAATGCCATTCTAACCTTACCCGCTCTGTGCTGCCATATGGGCTGAATGAGCAGGATGTTCACGACGTGATTAACATTTTCCAGGTCACTGGATTAGATGAGCAGGGACGATACTTTATGAATCCTTGTCCGGCTGAGAAGGGTGATCATATTGAGTTTTTGGCTGAGCAAGATCTTTTGATGGCATTGAGTAAGTCGTGTCCCAATTACCAGTCAAGTTGAGATGCTAATGTGGAAAGGCACTTGTCCTGGTGGTGATCTTTCTCTTTGGGGTTTTGGAGAGGATAGTGAAGAAGAGATGATCAAGTGCTGCCGTCCTCTCAGGGTCGAAGTGTATCGCCTTAAAGATGAGACCTTGTTGCAGAAGAATGGATGGAAGCCAGCTGAAGTCTCTGGCTACAGTGGACGTCACGGACTTGATGTCCCGTTGGGTGAGAATAGAGAGGAGAAGGCCTAGATATAGATTGAGCAATATCCTACATAACTATCTCATGTTCCTTACAATTACTGTGTCTTTTCACCCTTGGCCTCAGCACTAAGAACAGACTCATCACGATGCTGCATCAACGCAACAAGCGCACCACCCGGTCCCGAAAGCAAAACACTCGTGACAACACCCCTAACAAGATTCGTCCTCTCCTCCCCAGTCTTCAATTCCGGCTTTACTTCCAACAACTGCTGAAGACCCCAAATAAGTCCCGCGACTGAACCAGTAGCGAAATCGTAGATGAGAAAGTTATGCATTGCTGCTCCAGCGCTGGACATTGGCTCGTACGAATGCGGTGCTGCATCAGGAACAAAGACTTTTTCTGCGGTGAGCGAGGCTGCGATACCTTTGGGGAATAAACTTGGAAAAGCGCCCGCTGCGATGAGGGCTGCGTAGGTGGTCATTTGGCTCACGACGGCGATGTTCCATGCGAAGCCGTAGGCATGTCTCAAAGCAGCCTTTTCAAGCACAACCTTTGATCTATTCGCATCCTGTCCGACGCTAAGCCTCTTGAGAAGACCAGTGAAAACAGTCTGGAGGATAAAGATGTAGAAGGGAGCCATTGCCCAGACAGCGTTGGACCACTGTCGAACATTGTGGTTGGAGAACGGATACACCAGGAAAATGCATGGCACGAAGTAGCCCAGCAAGAAAGATGGGACGACGGTGTGAAGGCTGAGATAATCGCGAACATGAACGCTCTGTGCCCACGACGCCTTGGACGTCAACAGGAGATGAATGGCGTAGTAGACTGGTGCAATGAAGCCAAAGCCAACGGACTGAATAACCCATAACCAAACAGCACCACTACACTCATCAGTATCCTAAAACCTCATTTAAAAAAGGGTGTAACTTACTTGAGTACAATAGGACTCCATCCCACAGTTCTTTGGGCTTCAATGACAAACACCATAAACGTAGCAATAAGCTGCCCTCCAAAGCAAATCATGAAAAGCGACACTTCCGGCCTCGAACCATCAGTCACAGTTGCCCAAACAATATTCGAAAAAGCGAAAAATTCATCAAGTAGACCAATTCCAGTGTATCGCTTGACGATTAATCTATTTGTGTCGGGTAAGAAGCGAGGGAGAGGGTCTTGGGTTATGCTGCGTGACATGTCCATCCAGCCATTGCGCTCGAGTTGGAGGAGGAGCGCGTCGAGGCCGAAGATGGCGAGGATGGTGAGAATGGTGATTGTGGGGATGCGATGGGAAATATTGGGTGAAGAAGCCATTTTGAAATAATTACAGTTGTGTTTGGAAGAGTAAAAGAGTAAGATTAATTGAGAGCGTGAGATGAGTTGTGCTGGATACAGTCAGCTAGACCCATCTGATGGATCCTCCAAGTCAGCAGCCAAAAGTCCGTCTCCATACGGAGTTTACAAAAGCACGACAATTTTACCAACGCCGACGCTGAGAAAATGGAGTATTTAAATCTAGAAGCTCAAGACAAAATGGAATTACTTGTACTACTTAACATAGCACCTACTCCATCAGGTTCCGCAATACAAAGAAGAGACAAGGTAGGAAGCAATAATGATAAAACAAAAGGAACAATGCTAGTGAATTGACCTGTATAAACAATCATCCCGTCATAAGGCAATATACCTAATCTCTCTCAGCTGTCCAACATAAAGCAATACCGCGTACTCCATATGGTTCCAATAACCTCTAGTAGTACAGTAAACACGCTCTGAACCGACCCATCTCCATCTAGCGTTTCGTGACTCGCGACTTTCCTTGAGTCTTGTTCAAGGTTGACTTTGTTGAACCCTTGGGTCTACCTCTACCCTTACCGACAGGCTTTGCAGTGCCCTTTTTCTTGAGTGGTTCAGCAGTCCTGCCCTTGGCTGGGAGCTTCACCTTACCAGCTTCCTTAAGCTTGTCCATATAATCGTCGAAATGGTCCGTTGCAACCTGTTCAATGTAGTCTTGGTTCTCCCAGGTACCCTCGGACTCGGGGTAACCCAACCACTCCACAAATACCTGATTCTTATGACGGTAGGTTCTGTGCTTGCGGATGGCAAAGACTAAATACGTGCCTGGGTTCTCGGGGTTGTCGGGTCGGCCACCAGGACGCTTACGCCAAAAGTCAAAGAGGGCGTCGGGGCTGTCTTCATGGAAAACCTCTTCGGGGGACCAGGTGCGCTCGCCGTCCGCCCACTTAACGCGAAGTTCAATCTTATCACCAACCCAGCGATAATCCATGATTTGCTCGAATGCGTGCTCTTCGTCATCGTCTCCATCTTCCTCTTTCTCTTTCTCTTTCTCTTTCTCTTTCTCTTCCTCTTCTTCCTCTTCTGGCACGATGTCTTCTTCGATGTCTTCCTGGATCTCGTTTTCAGGCTCTTCTTCCTCTAGGTTCTCTTCGTGTTCCTCCTGCACCTCGGGTGCCTGATGTTCTTCTTCATACTCTTCCTCCTCAGACTCCTCTACCTCGACGACAACTTGCGATCGTCTAGATCTTGGTTGAGCTCGGGGAGAAGGGCGCGAAGAAGCAACGTCGCTCGCCGCGAGAGGACTGCTAACCGCCATAAAGTTAGGCTTCATAGTCACTCCCTTTTTGGTGGTGGATGTCGCAGGGGAATTCGCGGCGCTGGTTCGTGTACTTCTAACAGACGTGGCAGGGGAGTTCTTGGTACTGCGTGTCTTGCTTGAGACGGCCGGAGAGCGGCTGAAAGCGCTCATCATTGAATCCTCGCCAAGCTCGACGGACGGCTGCCTTTTAGTCGGTCGTGGTCGTGGGGAGGATGAGACGCGTTGAGACGCGGTGGTTCGTCTGGGGACAGATGACGATTGTACACCACCCATGGATTTTCGCTTTGGTGTTTTGGTAGGAGGGGGCATTGTAGCGATGGTCTCGCGTCTTGTGCTGGTGATAGAGATGTCGCCAGTGGTATCGTGTACAGATGTTATAGAAGAAACGTTGCTACGTCGTGAGAGCTTTTGTCGCAATGCAAAGTTAGTCGAGTAATAACCAATGAGTGCATGTTTTGCTGAGGGGAGTCGCGACAGAGTCTAACAGTGGCAGGGCGGATAGCTGCATCAACAGTTGGCTGGCACTTACAGGGCTGCGACCTTCCGATTCTGAAAATTGGTTTGATGCGCGTTTGGGGATTCGATGATTTCTAGGCGAAGAAGTTCGCGACTGCTGTGAAGCGGAAACTGGCATTGTGGCGGTTGTTGGTATTTCGGGCTGCTTTTTAAGCGGTGACGAGAGGAAGCCAAAGAGCGCGTTCATGGTGATAAAACAAAGAAAAAAAACAAGGCAGCTAGACAGAAAAAAAAGGGTCTAAGCCGATGACAAAGACCAATGCAATGCAATGCACGTGTGTAAACGATAAAGAGAAGAATGGGGCGATGCTAAATACAGAAGTTGTTTTACTCGGTTTGTTTTGTCTTACGTGGAAAATGAGGATGAGAAGGGATGGGAACAATGAATGTGTTGTGCTGTTTACTCTTTCGTTTGCATCAATCCAATTTGTGAGAGTGACAAGACAAGGTCTTGTCCAAAATCATGATGCGTTTTCTAATTACACATTTAATCCTGGGTCAAGGTGACAGAAGTCTAGACACACAACCTTGTAGCGCAGTAAATAAGGGAGCAGACATGCCTGTTCAGTGGGCATCAACTGTCCGAAGTATTGTGACATGCACAACACAGAGGTCGAGTTTTCTGTTACGTACTCGAAAGACAGGGCGTTACGCGATACCCATAGCGCGTGCCAATCTAATTCCTGAGCTCCACACCATCAAACCGCAACAAAAGCAAACAGACAAAGATGGTTGCCCGTGAATAGGACAGTTATTCTTAGCTTTGAAGTTGACAATAGCAACTCGGCCGTTGTTTGTTATATTGAAACAGTTAGTGCAAGGCTCAGACCACATGACACACACCAAGTGGAATCGGAAAACTAACAGACAAAGAAGGTCTCCCTTCGCCCTGGACCATAGATCAATAGCGCCTCATCGAGGACAATACAATCAGCCACCATCACCAATACAGACAGCGCCACAGCAAAAAGCAAATCACCACGTCTGATCAGACGCCCAACCGCAAAAGGAAGGGTCTGGCCGGGGATTGAACCCGGGACCTCTCGCAAGCAATGCTATAGGGTTTTCCCTAAGCGAGAATCATACCACTAGACCACCAGACCGAGCAGTTTTACTGATTGTTGAAGGTGGGTGAGCAATTGGGCCTCATGTATACGAGGCGGTGTTGGTTGAGATCACGGTTGTGGTGAGTTGAGTCAGAGTGCCGAAAGATGGGCGAGGCCGGTGTCAAATGGCATCGAAGGATTTCTACTTGGGTGTTGAGTTAGCCTAGCCCGATTGACTGCAAAGCATCGATCAACGGGGATGTTGGACTTGAACGTTGCGCTTATCCTTCTCGTAAGCTTCTCTGTAGGGTAAACGTCAACGCGTTTTTGTTGCACGTGACACGATTTCCGTCACCTGTCACAATGTGCAATACGTTTTAAAATGGCTTCCAAGGCTCCAAGGCTGATAACCATTAATTCACTCGGCTTTTTATTAAGCTTGAGCGTGTTTGCGCTGGACATGGTTGACATTTCGAGAAGTGAATAAGTGACAACAAGTGGTGGAACGAACGGGTTCACAACAAAACGCATACAATCAGACTGAAACATTGCAGCAAAAGGCAAGATTAAAAGATGAATGAGCTAAAAATGAATTGTGAGAATTAAATACTATACTGAGGCAGCCCGTCTGTAAGCAACCGAGTTTAAATGATTGATGCGGCGAAATGTCGTCAAATTTTGAAGGCATCATTGAATGTGGTGATTCATCCATGGCTAGCTTCACGAGACAACGTTGTCGCGCCACCATAAAAATAAGACCGAACAGTTTTCTGCGTGTAACAAGTATTTACCTTCTGTTTGAGTAATCGCAGTTAAACATGATCGAAATTTCATACTGAAGGATAAATCCCATTATGGCCTGATTGATGGCTACATAGAGGGACCTTACTTGGGTCGGCCATCAAGGTCTTCCGGCGTAGAACCTTGCGTCAATTCACCACAGCAACATTAGCAAATCCTACAAGTACGAATTGAACGTGATTTCGCGGCGCCGTTGAACATGCAGCACCGTTAATCTAGATCAGATTTGACATGTACAAGATGATTCAAGACTCAACAGTGCTCAAATCCACCTTGTTCATCATAAGTCCAGTCAACTGTATTTGTGGCCTAAGTGCCCTATTGGGTAGCAGAAGAATTGACCTCTAAGCTTTAGGCTACAAAAATAAATAGCCTGGCAAGTATGGTCAAAATAGCATAAAGTGGCCTACTAATTTAGTCTCTTATGTTTCTAGCAGCCAACTTTTCTGGTACCCTGATGGCGCCCTATGACTTTGACAGAAATATGGCCATTCCTTATCACCAAATAACCTTCCTCTTCCGGCTTCAATCCTCCACAAATCATCCCCGTCAATCTCGAATCCGGCGCTCAGAACAATAGCCCGTATTTGGGTCGAGATTTTAAAGTCTGCAAGGTACACGATGCAAATCCCCAGGGCCATGTGGGAAATCGTACGATGTGTGGAGATGCATCCTGAAAGGGTGGTCACGTGATGACCATCTTCATGATGTGAATTCTCTGATTGAAGACGCAAGAAGCCCAATTTCTAGGATTATTTGACTTGATTTGCTCATAAACGAATAAAGAGAAGCAAGATCGAAGTCTCTTGGCTAAAATCCATGCGTTTCTTGCGCCACTGACATAAACCCGCTAGCATCGCCATCGACACCTTGAAGGCCCAGACCGTCATATGGGCGGTCGAGCCAAGCCGTGGTCCCTGTTACAGTTACTTGTAGGGCTGAAGACTTGTGATATCCCTGCATATCAGGCACTTAGAGGAACGCTACTGTCATGTTTAAAAGGCGAACGTCCCTCTGTTTACGATTGACTTGTTCTTGTCACAGACAGAGTCAGTCATGCCTACCAATTGAAACGGTATTGTAATTCTTATTCTATCAACGCTAACTTGCTTCCCCATTTATTTCTTGTCAACAAGGTTGTAAATCTTTTGGATATCACCCAGCACCGCCTCAAAGTCAATCTTAAGATCCTTGAGTAGACCGTCCTTGAATCCGAAAACCCATCCGTGGACGATGGGGTACTTGTTCTCATGCCATGACTGCTGAACGTCGGCAGACTTGATGACGTTGCGACACTGCTCAACGACGTTGAGCTCGACGAGTCGGTCGTATCGCTCACTCTCGTCGGCAATGGCATCGAGCTCCTTCTCGTGAAGACGGTACACGTCGCGGATGTTTCGCAACCAGGGGTTCAGCAGACCAAGATCTTGAGGAGTCATGGCGGCCTTGACACCTCCGCAGCCGTAGTGGCCGCAGACAATAATGTGCTTGACGCCGAGGTGCTTCACGGCATAGTTAATGACGCCCATGGCGTTGAGGTCGGTGTTGCAGACAAGGTTGGCAATGTTGCGGTGGATAAATGCCTCGCCGGGTTCGAGGCCGCAGATCTGCTCGGCGGGGATGCGAGAGTCGGCGCATCCGATCCAGAGGTACTCGGGGGCTTGGCCAGCGGCGAGGTTCTTGAAGAAGTCGGGGTTGACCTTGGCTTTGTTCTCAGCCCACTCGCGGTTGTTGACGAACAGCCGGTCGTGGCTTTGCTGGAGGTACTTTGTGATGTCCTTTTCGGCCATTGTGCGCCACGAGGTGGGTTTTGAAGCGGGAGAGGAGTTTGTTGAAGAAGAGGATGAAGAGGAACAGAAGCGCAAGCGAGAAGCGGTTGGAATGGATCGAGAAGCTAGGTGATGAGAAGAAAGAGTTGAAGCGATGGAGGATGAAGAAGAGGAGGCCGACGAGCGGAGAGAAAATGAAGCGAGCCGAGAGGAAAACATTATCGGGATATCCACTGGAGCGCAGCTTGGGGAAAGAATGGCGCGATAAAGGACGGGACGGAGATGCAAGGTGTGTGGGTGGATGTGACAAGCCTGCAGTAGAGCTATAGTGCACTGTTGGGGGGTGATACAGTGGGAGAGTCTGTACTCTGTAATAAATTTGGGACGGACAGATACCGAAAGGTTGAGATTAGATTCCAATTTGTTGAGTTGAGTTGACGACAAAAACCTTTCTTTTTTTGACTCTACTGCCTTGGAACAGAAAGTCACTAGTATCAATTAACTTTTGAACCTCCACTGACGATAAGTCTTGATAACAACCAAGATTCGGACGACGGCCCGTACGTAGCCGTGATTTGCCCCGGTAGTTGACGAGACATTTCCGAGTAGACTCCGTGAAGAGTCACCAATCAATTGACAATTACCGTGTGTAATTACTTCTCTCAATTGAATCGAGCTACTGTTCTTCGTTGGGGAGGAGAGATTTGTAACCCATGTAATGTTACAGGCCAGGGTTGTACTACAGGGACGGAACCCTGGGAACATCACCTCGTTTTGTCGTCTTTTCACTGCCGATGACCCCACGCCCAAGCACTAAAAGAAATGTTGGTGCTGATTGTGAGAGTTGCTAGATTGAATGGTCATCGTCATAACAACCCGAATTGCCGGATTCCGGAGGGAGCTTTGGTCTTCTGGACAAGCTTCCCTCCAGAACCCCTCTTTTTTTATTGAGCATTGCTATTGGTAGTCAAATGCTTATGTAATACACGTCACAGATAGGCAAAGGTCCCACCTTTAACCGTCAGTCTGGGAATAGCCTCACTGTGTGTAACTTGCGACTACGAATGCAATGCTCTTTTTATTTCTGTCATACCAGCAAAAGTAACGAGATATGATATTGGTTGAATGTACTCGTCTTAGAAAGAAGAAATAACCTGCATATTACCTGCTGGAAAACAAACTCCAATTGAACCCTCAAGATTGCATGCATACATTATAGATCCCACCATTTCTTTTTATATCGCTGGTTCATCGCGTCTCTGACGTCGTCGCTCTTTAAAATTGCCCAACCAGTTCCCATCCTTTACGGACTTGTCCTGAACAGTGTCGTAATTCTCCAGTTTTGTCTCCAAAAACCTCATGGATTCCTTCCAATGTTTTTCTATAACAACCGCCTTGTCCTCTTGCCTACAGGCCCGTTGGGCCTCAAAGTCTGCCTCCGCCTTCTTAATCTTGGCCGTATCAACGTCGGTCTATAGCCCCGGGCGCTGGTCACCTAATGACTTGACCATTGCGCTCATTTTGCGCTTCTGCTTCAACTTATCCTCGACATTGACCCTCATGGGATTTATGACCTTTTCCATCAATTTGGTGTTTAACATCTCGGCGATGTCGGCCATGTCCTCGTCTGCCAACCCGTCTTCAAATCCAGCAGGAGCTTTGCGGTATTTTGCGACATGAGCGTTTTTTTCCTGTACTTTCTTGTCAACTTGATCTTCGGCCGACTTGTGTTCTGAATCAGCGTCGATAAACTTCTTTGTGTAATTCGCAAACTCCTGGGCATTCTCATTCAGCGCATCTTCACCCCCCTTCAACCTCTGCTCTTTCTCATGGAGGTCGGCAATACGCTTGTCACTCTCTTCCATCAGAGAAGATCTGGTTGGCAGTTGCGGACAAGGGAGTTGCGCGATAATGTCTTTATTGTCCATATTGAGCTTTAAAGAACCCTCGATCCTGCGTCGCTTGGAGGTGGGCTCACGTGCGTCGACAAAAGGTGGCTTCGAGCCCGCACTCCCGTGGACAATCCCCGCCCATTTCCTTGACAAGTTAGAGGGCGTCTGGCTCCTCCGGTCACTTCTAATAGACGACGTGCTCCTCCCCCGGCGACGTTCATGAGAAGGCTCTGGCGCTGTGTCTGGGTGTTTAAACATGTCGCCTTTGTAAGAAGGGAATTCTGAGCCAGACTGCTTCTTGTGCAAGGCTGTCGAGGGCGCGGACTTGGGACGTCCCAGCTTGGAGGGGGTGTCATCCATGGTGGACTGCGACGGATCCTGACGGAGAGCCACGCGCTTACCATTTAGAATGTCCATGATTAACTGTCCTGAGTTAACATCCCATGTCCGAGGGTTTTTTAAGTTGATCGTTCCAAACTTGGCAAACTCAACGGCCGCCATGACGGCGAATTGTCCGCTGCCGTACCGTTGATCATGCACAGGACCATCCTGAGTGAATTAGTAGGAAGAACGGCAGATGTAACATGAAATATAAACTTACAACATTCCAAAACCTCAACTTCATGTCCTTCCCATAATGTCCCTCCACCCAATGGGTGAGCTTCGTCATGACATCCTGACTACGCTTTTGGTGTGGTTGAGAATCGTAATGTAGAGCTCTGATATAGGTTGTGTCTGATGAAACCTCGATTTCTTCGCTCACAAAAACAATGGACCAATGCCCCTTAGACTCACGGTGGTAGATTGGTGCCAGGAACTTACTCGGTTTACCACGCGATAGGGCCGTCGCACTTAAATCCAAGAAGGTGGAAACCATGATCCTCAATCTTGGAGGATGCTCTTGGGTTCGAATCTCTTCGCCTAGAAGATACATAAGATAGTTGAGACTTTCCGGGGTGAAGTTCTTTTTATCATTAAGCTCCTTAATGCATGAAATCTTGAACGAATCCGTCCAAACGAGGTTGGTGTTATCGCTGTGAGGTGGTTGTCCGTTTTGCATTATGGGAGTGCGCGTGGGAGTGGGAAGAGAGTCGTCCAATGAAGTAGGATGATAGCCCGTAATGCGCGGAACAACAGTTGCCGCCATAATGGAAAGATGTCGATAGAAAGAATATCCTGTATTGTGGATGATTGAGGAGATTCTTTTGCTGTCTCTGAGTTTGAGAAAGTGATATAGTAAGCCGGCGACAAGGCAAGATTAACCTCGTGTTTTTAAAAACAATACGCTTGCAAAACAAAGACGGCAGCCTACATAATATTCCAAAAAAATGTGGCTTGGTGTTGGTTTGTTTGCATTTTCAAGCGAGATTACCTAGTGGATGGATGATCCTGGAGGCAAAGACGTTGGGTGAGGTATTCGATAACCAGGCGTTAAACGAGATGAACATTGAGGATAATCCCATTAAAACAGTAACCAGGCGTTAAATGAGAGTTTGTATTTGTTATGTTATGCTTCTTCTAACCAAGAAAGCAAAGCAAAGAGAAATCACAGCTGAGGAGATGCAGAACATTAATCTGACAAGGTTACTGAATAAGAACAATATACTCCTCGCATTGTGGTATGTAATCGTCCTAAAGAGTATAGTTGAGTGGGTGGATATAGTAATTGGTTAATCAACCGGGTTGTTGGTTATTAGTTGTTGGTTGTGGTTGTCTTAGTAGAAAAAGAAAGAAAAAAGTGACTTGAGATTCTATTCAAAATGAATACAAAGTGTGGTATATCTCCTAGCGCTTATCTCTATTTCCACTTACATGGTCTTTGTTTTTGTTTACATCCAAGACTAACCGAGAGTAGACAGTTATGTGTTAAACTGGGCTAGTAAAGTCTCAAGGTTCTACGGATAGAGGCTTTTTAATACAAAGAAAAGAACCTGCTAGCTTGCCAAGAAAGAGAAAACTTATCAAGGTGATTGACTTCTCATCACACCGCAAGATAAGCAAAAAACGAATAATGTAAAAAGATGTAAAAAGGTGTGACTAGGGGGATTATCGATTGGGAGTACCTAAATTTGCGACGTGGCTTGCATGGGTCGGGTAGAAGAATGGTTCGATAGGTCTTTGTGCTACAAGTCACCCATCCATCACATCCTACTTATACCCTGGACTAACTATGCATTGGTTCTTACTTAGTTGGTCCTTACTCTCGGCTAACCAATAAGTTTATACCCTAACCCTCCTAACCCTCCTAACCCTCGGGGAAACAGACGCTGGTATGGCCAACATGGGTATCGGATATCTGGAGCTTTGTCTCCCCCTTGCACAGCCTTATTACACAAGATGTCTAAAGGTTATCCCTAAACAGATTTCAGAGACAAAGAGAGACAATCTGAGGTAGGCTGCAAAAGTAAAGGCAAAAGGCCAAGATATCCTTGTGACGATCAGAGTCGCTTGCTGGTTAGTGATCGGAGTCGCTTGCTGGTTGGTCTGGAAATCGCCCCGCTGCTCTGCGCGATGAGATGTTCAAAGGACATCTAATCCTTGTCCAAAAGAGTCACGGGCCTAGAAGATCGGGAGGGTGGGGTGCATATGATACGATTTTGGCGAGGCTGCGAGGCTTTGTTATTTGAGAGAAGAGAGAAGAGAGATGGGGTTAAGAGGGTTACGGAGTTCAGGGTTGGGTGTCAGGGTTACTAACTCAAGTTGGCTATGCTTACAGATGTACATTCTTGATAGACGCTTTTGTTTCGAAGTCTCGGAAACATTGTCCTGAGGCATTAGTTGCTTCTGAGCAGGAAGATTCTAGTTTATGATGGACGCGCAATGTTTGGTGCCCAGCCACCCAGCCACAGCCCAACACAGCAGACAGTCTACTAATAATGACTACACATCAACATATTATTTCGCAACTACCGGGCCACGTAGATTTGTCTTTGATGCTGGTGATCTGCTGCATACTTAGCTTGAACGACAAATCACCCCACAGGAGCGGGTATGAGGTTCCTACGGGACGAACGTAGTTTTATTCCGGTCCCTACTTGCATGGCATTGAGACATTGTTGGGTAGGGATGAGTCAGTGAGGCTAGAGATGAATTTTTCTCATGACAGCGAAGAGTGTAAACAAATAGTATCAATTAGGTAGGTCGAGCGGCTACAGTTCGGCCCGCTAGCTAAACCGCGGGGCTGGTGTTGATCGTATATCGTCGCGTATGTAAGCGTCGTGGACTATGACGTCGCCCGTTTCAGCCCCATGTCCAACGGGTATGTACTCACTGTCTTACAGTTCACTCCCACAGCATCGGATTCAAGATATCCATATCCATACACAATGCCATCATTGCCATGCTCATCAAACATCTTGCCACTTCCTACCAGCGCATTGCCAACGAATCAACCACGAACCTAATGCGAAAACAGAGCCTGACTGCCAACTGTCACGACAATAAAACACGCTAGACAGCGAACCGCCAGCTCGCTGTCCACTAGTCTCGCTTAACAATCAATCTCCGCAACGGATTGCGACTAGGATCTTTTTTTCTCTCAGAAAGTCCGCCGGTTGATAATCAAATCAGCTTGTAGAATTCAATCTATGATGCCGAAATCGCGGTCAACGGAGTATCGGTCGAGGCACTCACCGACCTATCCGAAACCATGATATACCCTTGACTTTCTTGCTCTCTTTTTTCCTCGCTTCTTTTTTTTCTTTTTTCTTCATCTACAAAGCAACTCTGACATAGAGTTGATTAGTGGCAGCAACGATGAATTCTCAGATATCATCTCCTACTCCAAGGGACTTTGGTATAAGGTCTCCACCTCCAAGAGATGTTGTGAGGTCTCCTCCTCCTCCAAGAGACGATGGTATAAGGTCTCCTCCTCCAAGGTCTGTCGGTGTGAGAACTCCTCCTCCAATGTCTGCTGGTATGATGTCTTCGATGGCTGGTATGGTGTCTCCTCCTCCGAGATCTCCTCCTCCAAGGGCCGCTGGTGTGAGATCCCCTCCTCCTCCGAGATCCCCTCAACCACGAAGACCTTCACATCTTCTTCACCACGGTTCATCCTCTGACCAACGTCTCGGCCATCTCATCGCTTACGGCACACTCCCTCCCGAACCCGATTCTGAACCACCAATCTTCCAAGAAGTCATTCCCGAACCCGAACCTTCCAAGCCGACAAACCCGAGCTCCCGAGCCCTACCTCCCGATCTACTTCGCGGCCTTTTGATGCTTCTCATGGCTATGGACCACATGGGTCTTGCTCTCAACAGCTGGTCCCACGGCACCGGTCGCGAAACCGAGATGGATGGCTTGCCGATTAAAGAATGGAACACAGATTTCGCCTACTTTATCCGCACGCTTACGCATCTTTGCGCGCCGGGCTTTACGCTGCTTTTGGGCGTGGGAGTGGTGTATCTTGGACGATCGCGAACGAAGCTGGGCTGGTCCAAGCTACGAATCATGCAATACTTTGCTGTGCGCATGGGAGTTTTGATCTTTGCGAACTTTGTCATGGGCTTTGCTATGACGATGGGCAAGGTCTGGCTGATGAACATGGTTTTGTTTTCGCTCGCCATTGATTACTTCCTTGCGGGTATGCTCTGGTTGGCAATTGACTCAACGGAGCCTCTTTTGGCGAGCGCTATTAATCGCTTCTTCCCCGAGGAGGAAGATGATGAGGAGAACGTACCACTGTTGGAGAGTGTAATTGTCATCAAGACCAGCCGTGCTGAGCGCATTTCATGGCATGCGCATAATGCTCTTCTTGCTGTGCTTGCGCTGGTTACGATTTGGTGGAACATTTGGCTTTCGCCAACCCACGGCCACTGTGAGATCAAGGACCACTCACAGGTCCTCTCTTCCGACAACAGTGGTGGTCCTTCCGATGGCCCTGCTGTATCCCACGATCCCTGGTTCGGCTTCTGGTTCTGGACCACTCTTACACCGCGCGTCATGTCCGTCTTCCCACCCATGGCATGGGTATCCTTTGCCATCCTGGGATTACTCTATGGTCGCATCGACGTCGCAAAGACCTGGAACGCTCGAGTCTCTTCTCTGTGCCATTTGGTCGCAGGTCTATTTTTCTTCCTCTTCTTTGTCCTCACGCGCGTCGCACACTTTGGCAACCTCTCCGAAGGATGTCTGCAGACACCTGCCCACGTCGCCCACCCCGAGCGCAACCAGTACCTCGTCTCAGTACAGTCCTTCTTCTACATCATGAAGTACCCTCCTGATGTCGCATTCTGGGCTTTTACCATGGCTGGTAACTTTTTCCTTCTTGCCATCTTCAAAGGTATTCCCACAAGAGTGGCGAGCCGATTCACCATGCTGATCGACTTTGGACGAGCTGCGTTGTTCTTTTACATCGTGCACATGTTCTTCGTCTTCGGCTTTGGTGCTTTCTGGGTGTATATGTTTGGTCATGATACAGGAAGGAAGAAGCCCATGAACCCTGATGTCACGGATGGTATTGACAATCCTTTCGCATTTCTTGCCATTTGGGCGATGGCCATGTTGTTGTTGTGGCCTGTGGTTAGATGGTATAGCCGCTTCAAGGCTACCAAGACTGCAGACTCCCTTTGGAGACTCTTTTAAAAAGCGCTTGCATGAGATTATGTTTATGGGTTAAATGTTAAATGATAGATTGTATAAATGAATAAATAAAGATTGACAATCACATACTGTATAAAATGAGTGATAATATCCATCTCATGATCTACTCTACCTTGAACCTGCTCCTTCTGACTGACCATTTCAGATTGAAGGAGTTTTGTTGGCGCGTAATAATTCGGTAGAAAAAAACCATTAAACAACTCCGCTGGGAATCAAGCCTGGGAATAAGTTATAGTACTGAACAGAAGCTATAGTGGAGTAGGGCAGAAGCTGCAGTGCTGAGCAGAAGAAGTGGTGCTAGACAGAAGACGTTATAGCGCTATGAGCGCCAAAACAACCAAGGCCTACCTTCACGATTCTCCCTCCTAGCACTAGATTCTCTTTCGCGCCGCCCATCTCTGTCTTCCACATCATGACCAGATACAACATCCCTCCTCCCACGAGACCTTTCTTTCCCTCCGATGCGATCGTTCGCGACCATTCGTCTCATGAGAAGAAACAGTAACCGTCTTCATATTCTCCAAATTCTTCCCAAAATGCGGCAAATCATACAACTCCTGAATTAGTTTCCTTACACCATCTTGAGTAATAAGCTTATCTGATGAATTGCGAGGAGCGCGCATGTTTTGTTTGATCGTCTCAGTGAGTTCCAGATATGCAACTAGATCTTGCTTGAGACCTTCCAACTGTTTCATGTTTACATCAACGTTCATCCTTCTATCTTTTGCGCGATGGATCTTGTTCTCTTCAATTGTGATGAGTTCAGCGTAGTAATTCTCTGTCCTGTCGTTAACGGCAGTGATGGCATGCTTTTTGAGATATGCTACGAATCGCACCATTGCTGTTCGTAGTTGATCACATTCATCTTCGTATTCTTTTTGAAGGTCTTTGATTTTTCGTATTCCTTCTTGACGAACTGTGATGTCGTTTGTATTGGCCTTTAATCGACGTTCGACTTCGGTGTCCTTGACTTGAGCTTTGTGCTCCTCTAGTTCATACAGGATATGTACGTGTTCTTGCCAATGGTGCCCGCAATGCTCATTGCTGCAGGTCGTCTTGTTTCTCTTGAATGCTCGACAGCTCGCAAGTCCTGGGTGACCCGTAGAGTCTTCGGTGACATTTGGAAGCTTGCAACCTTGATGACAGATCCATCTGTAATCTGTGACTACCTCGCCGCTCGGGTTCGTCTTCAAATCGCAGCACTTCCTGTTTTTATAAACCGTGCGCGGTTTATCCAGTTTCTCGACTCTTAACTCGAATCTTTGTAAATGTAGTTTTTTTCCGCAGCTTATCCCCTGTCAGTCGCGTGCCCTGGAGCTCCTTCACGTCGTTGCCGAGGCGTTCAATATTGTCCTTCATCACCCGCGCCACTTTAACCATAGGAACCATTAGTTGCTCTACAGCTTGGCGAACCCCATCCATGCTGATGGTCTGACCGATATCGTGCGGTTTGAGCCCGTCAATATGTTCGAGAAACCTCAGCGCCTCGGCTCTCGACTTGTCCCAGCTCTCATGGCACGTTCTCTCATCATCTCTCTCGATTCCTCGGGAAAGGGCCGCCAGATAACGAAGACTCTCCACATCGGATGAGTATGACGTTTCACCATTCAAGACAAAGTCGACATTGGCATGATCTTCCAGCTTGCGTTTGAGAATAGGAAGACAACCCCAGGACGATAGCTAGAGTCCATGGTGTATGTAAAGCCAAACACAATATTGGGAACTGCGTCGCGTTGAATTGTCGATAAAAGCTCTTCAAAACAGAACTGAAACGTGGCATTCATCCAAGTTTCGTTGGTTTTGAGCAGGATCAATATACCATGAAGCTCCTCGTAGTCCCACAGCTTGGCCATAATGCCTCTCAAGTTCTCTTTGTCCTGCTCAGGACCTCGCGTGTCACCGATACCAGGAGTGTCAAATAGACGATATGTTGTGTTTCTATATCTCATGGTATAAACCGATGTTTTTTGTGTCGCAGAATCTCCGCCAGTACCGTCTCGCTCGTCATCTCGAGAGCTTACACGGATGACTTGAGTTTCGTAATCCAATGAGCCAGTACGACTCGGTACGGTGATGGAAAAGCGACAAGGAATCACGTATTCGAGCTTTCTTCTGGACTCTGCCTTTGCCTCGTCGAAGCTGCTGAACTTGAGAAAGCTGTAAAAACCATTAATAAATGTCGACTTTCCAACACCGGTCTCACCGAGGACCAGTATGTTGCGATAGTGAGGTCGAGATGATCTTTTGAGGTACTTATCCAGGTGCCTTGGAGAAGGCCGGTCGAAGTCGCGTCCATGACTTTCACCGTCACATTTGAACCGCCAAGTGTTACAGAGGGCTCGCCCACAGTCGCAGAATATATAGTCATCCCCATAACTAAACTCAATCAGAGCATCGCACTCAGTACATGTCAACTTGCAATCTCGCTGGTAGTCGCAACTCTTTTCTGGACAGGGCATCTTGATCAGACGGTGTTCTGTGAACCTCTGTGTAGCTGATGCATCAAGAGCTTCTCGAGAGTAACGCGCGACGCATTTTCTAGAATCCTTTTGCCGTGCCCGCTCAGATCTTGGCTCTCTCTGTTCCAAGGACGATTAATCCTGCTCCTCGTGTTGTATCGATGCCGTGTTGTTCCTCTGCATTTCACTGAATCGAGCACAGTCGAGATGTTTATGTTGTAATGGGGCATCGCAATCGACGATATAAACCTGGCATCGTCTTTGGGGATTCCACAAAAACTTCATGAAGGCATCGTGCTGTTCTTTCCACGAAATAGAACTCTTGAGCACAGCATTGTTAAACTCGAACGTATAAGGTGCAGGGCTATCGTGGGGTAGAGTGACATCTTTGAGAGACAGGCCGTTGAAGCCGATGTATGTAGCGCCATGACCTACAGCCCGGGTGATGAAGTCCATCTTGTCGCTTTGTTGCATTGTAATCGAGACCAAAGAAATCCTCTCAGGGTTGGTCTCAATGATCGCGTGTAGCTCATGCAGACGACGGTCATTTTCAATGCCATTTCTAACATTGAGTACCCTTCTTTTGAGTTCAACTTTGAGGTTGTTTTGGATGCCTAACATGCGGAGGATTGTATTATTGACATCGTCGAAATGTTGTAAAGGAATGCAATGCTTCTTCCCTCGGATGTCCAATTTATAGTTGTCTAGCGTATCTTTGTCCTCGTTATAACGGTCAAAGATATCGAGGACTGGATCTATATCGGTGATCGAGATATGCGTCCGGTTGGAATCGGGGACTGTAGTAGCTCCAAGCCTCAGGAACTGCAAGGGAAGTAGTGTGTAATTGATTGGGTATCCCTTCTTCCCGGAATCTGCCCTAATCTGTCGTGGACCTGTCTGAACAAATGTGCATAATAGAGCGAGACTTTCGATGCATATGCCATACTCTTTCTGTATGTCGGTATAGAGTCTGAACTCATACGCAAGCGCCAGTCGTCTGTTGACCGTATTGTTACTGAAGTTAAGTGAAGAGAGCAACTTGGCAATGTCGTGTACCGTTCTCACGTCGTGGGTAAAGACAGGTTCCACGTTGGCCTTGTTGCGAGGGTCTCTGAGGTTATACTTCATGGTGATGATACTTTGAAGCCCATAGTTGGCCGCAACGACGAAGTGAGTACTGCGACCATCTGCAACAGAGATGAACCCTTGGGCAAGAACATGCGAAATGTCTTGATTGCCAAGTTCCACGTACTCCCTGCAGGTATTGTAAATATGACGGACGTTGCCTTGCAAGATATTCGTTTCAGATGTGCCATCTTCCAGGAACATGCCATATCCTTGAGGGACGGTCAAGTCGCAAGCGATACTTGCAGCAAGGTTCGCATCGATGTTCATGAGATTAAATCTGCTCTTATGAGTAGCTCCCACGGACCAAGAGAGGTCATACTGTTGTGATGTCTGACGTTGAGATCTTGTGATGAAACCTTCTGGTACGGAAGGAGGCAGAATTGAAGTTGGAAGGAATTGGTCACGCTTTGCGTCATATAATGTTTCGATGGCGACCTCTTGACCAAGGGCAGGTCTGTGTATCTCTGCCATCTTGAATGATGATAAACTTGCGTCGGGATCTGGAACAAGACAAGATTATGTATGGCATGTAAGTGTGAAAAGTAACGCAATTGAGATTCGGGGAATTGTTTGCAGTTGTAGGTACGCGGGAAGGCGAACCAGTCTTGCCATATTATTTCCTGAGGACTGCTTCTTGTCTAACAGTCATTGTGCATCACGACTTGGAGGGAGCGCACGACCTCAACGTCACGGACTGATCAAGATGCGTGACCAGTATTGTGAGAGTCTCCCGTGTTTCACTGTAACGTTCGTTTGTCACCCAAAACTCGCCTTATGAGACATGTTTGCGCGATCGGAAAGAATTTGACTGGACGAAGGGAAGTCACACAACCTGGGTAACGTTGATAACAGCGACAGATGTCCGAAAATGGTAAGACGAGGCGGCCTACATGTTCATCAAATATACTCGCAGACATACCCGACAGGCGATGTGAAGCTTGTAGAGGGATGAGCGGGGAGTTGTTGACATCGAATTTAATTAGACTATTAAGGGACAAAATATAGACACATTAGAGGACAGTGTCCTGAATATTAACTTTATAAGTACGGAAACAGGTTTAGCTTATTCTATTCTAGTTCTATAGTTATTATACTGCAGTATTTACTTTCTATAATTACACTCTCCGGTGGGACTCTTCAACGGTAAACTCGACGTCCTTGGTGATACCACCCGTCTTGGAAGGAATGATTTCATCCGAACTTCCTTCCCCTCCGCCATGGATGTAAACGTTGAGCTCACCATGGTCGTTATCGTTGGCGGTCCTGAGATCAGATCGACCACTACGACTCCTCCAGGCTGAGCCTTGCCCATCGCCGAGCATGATGCTTCCTGGTTCGGGACCGCCATTGTACTTTGAGCTGACAATGTTGGATGATAAGAGAGAGCCAAAGATGGGTCTGAGCTTCTGTCGCATCCAGACCCATGTGCTTGGCAAATTCGATGTTACGACGGCGACGAACGATTCTCGGACAGCCCACGAAGCGGCTTGTTGGGGACCTGTGACGGCGTTCTGAGAGGCTGTCAGTATAAGAAGGCTAATGTGTAAACTTAATAGAACATACCTGGAGGATGAGTACACATCGCAAGATTCCAGCAACCATGACGAAGATGGCACCTGAGAATAGGACTACCAATCCATATCTCTTGACCTTGGGAATCTTGGCGCCCCATAGCATGGGAAGCGGAATGGCTAGTAAATAGATATCGGTAAGGATGTTGAGGACGACAATGATGAAGATGTACAGCTTCGACAGTGCGGGCTGACAAAAGTCTGGTGGGTTAATTAGCAAAGTAGTTTAAACTTGGTAACATTGTCCAACATACTGCCTGGGTTGGGGTTGATTTGCCAAAGGTGGTTGAAAGGTCGACAGCTGAAAAGAACACAGCAGATAATGACAAAGTATGTCAAGCCAATAAGTCCAAAGCCAACGTAGATTCGCACCTTGTAGCCCTGAAGGCCGGCCTGTGAACGGTCAGTGTCGAAGCTCTCATTTGATAGACCCATCAGACATACCGTGAGCCGAAAGTAAAAGGCGCACATGGCCGTCTTGATGAGCCAAAGCACTGAGCAATATATAATCCAACCGCAGAGCTGGATCTTGGATCCGCCAACTCTCAGCTCATACTCCTCACTGTTTGGTGATAGGGCCTCCCTCTCCTCATCCGTCATGCCACTGTTGGTCAAGCCGCGAAACTTTGCGCCAACTGTGTGAGCAAGGGCCGTCTCGATCGTATACGGGACGATGACGAGTAGCATAAGGTAATCATCGACCTCCAAGTTTCGAAGCCCGACTTGGCGTACTCGTGCATATGTTCGAAGAAGGATGATGAGGATGCCAATCGCTAGTAAGGTGAACGCCTCAGCGACGAAGGAGTCGGCGCTCATGGCGGCTACGAACACACGCAACGAGAAACGAAAAATAAAAGGAAAACAATAGGGAAAACAATCGGAAATACCGTAGAGGACTGGATACAAGGCCACGGGTATAAAGCCTTTCTTTATAAGAAACCTAATCAAGATAAATACAAGGGGTTAGGTCGTATTGGTGCCACCTTTATGAACCTAGGTTCCTCCATGAAACTGGATCGTGGGTTAGGTCGGGGATTAGCAAGGTCGAGTCTGTTGTAGTGCACACTAAAAGCTTACAGCAAAGACACTAACACTAGGCCAACGGCGAGTCATTCCCGCTGTTTAGGACCCCTTGAAGGTTACATGAACAGTGATCTATTGCTAGAATTGTAATTTATGTAGTATCTTGACTTGGAATGAATCAGTCATGGCGGATGATTCTCACCTTGGTTGCCTTATGGGGAGGACGGCACGAAGAACCGTGCGTCAAATGTCTTGAGAACTGACAGGCTTGGTCTAGTCTAGCTGGCTTGTTAGTCAATGATAAGGAACTCTAATTCTATATATTATCTGATCTTCAACGCATCCTCTAAGGATGTGAGACATACAAGATAGCCATGCAACTCAACGCATGGCTTTTGCTCCGATTCGTGGATGACGCAATATACAAGCCATGGCCATTAGTTATTGCCCTGGGAGAAAAAGCCCCTCAAGCCTCTGCCGTGCTGACCCTGTCCTTCTTCCCTGCTCTGGATCTATTGCAAGTTGCATTGCTTTTCGGATCGGGCCCGCTCCGTATGTACTCCTAACTCCAGGTTCAGGGGCAAGCATGTGTTGAAGCGCGGTTCATGTGCATCACAATACGGGCCAAGACATCGAGTAATGTAGTAACCAAGGGGTGCCTTATGCTGGAGAAAGCGTTACTGGAACAATCCTATTACGCAGCCTGATTGACAGTGACGGAGACGTTTATCTTGTTTTTGTTTAGAAAGGATGATAAAACGTTTAGGCCCAACACTTGCAGATACCTCCAAGCTTCTGAATCAAAGCGACGACAAAGATATGTGGCTTTCATACAAACCTTATTTCTGCAGGGCTCGGAATGTAGTTAAAAAAAAGCAATGGTCTACTAACGGGAGACAAGGGTAGCTAGAAGCCACAGCCAATAGCTTCTCGCAATTGAAACCCCCGTTGCTGATCTACCGTATTAGCGCTCCTTGTAGTTATTTTGGTTGCGGAACTTCCGATCTAGATACCGGAACTCCAAGACTATAGGTAATTAAATCGCCACCAAGATATTAATATTCTTTGAGTCAGTATGTGAAGAAGCTTGCAGCCTTTCAAGGCATAACTAACGGCTTGTAGCATGGTTGTTTCTTTAGAGAGAAAAGGTCTGTGTGGCATCGGAGATGTACACTATGTTTGGTGCCCTATGAGGCCAAACTAACGATGAAGAAGCCTCACTTTCGACGCCAAAACATTTATCCGCCGAATGAGAAACGCAAATAAGCTGATAGATGACATCAAAAGACCTACAGAATCGACCAACCTCGAGCTACATACTGATATCACACCACGCGCCCAGAGAAACACCGCAACATGGGAAATAGGATGGTAACAGGGACTCAGGGCTGCAGAGCTAACAAAGACTGTGACTCAATGTACGAGAGACCCAAGAGACCTCGATCAAATTCACTGGTACTCGAGTTGCGGCGACTAAATCGGTATTTTATGCATGCATAACCCGAGTGCTGGAGAACAAAAGGTCGACGAGACACCAACATTGCAGGGACCTTCAACAGTCAATCATGAACCGGAAACGAAACAAACAACTGAGAAATTCACTAAACAGAGCAAGAGCCATCGCAGGTCGCCAATACAAGACAGTCACGATGTACGGCATGTGAACTATCCTCGGGGCCGTTCAACATTGAGCCATCAATCAAGCCGCTAGACAATCCGATCAACTTTCACCGATTCACCGTATATCCGAGCCTGGTATACCTGTGGTATACTCAAACTCACAAAAATAAAAGAGATTCTATTGCTGGAGTTTGAGTGCAGGTTCTCTATAGAACACTGAAGAAATTTACTGACGCTTCTCCAGCTGCTATTTGCATTTTGTCTATGCATTATTCTAGGATTGTGTATTGAGATCCTTGTTCATAATTACGAGGGCGTGAATACCTTGAGACTTTCCTCCAGCATAGTTTGCCTTGCTCTGGGTGTATTTTGTCTGTGCCTATCCAGAGCAGCACCTTGTGTGCTGTTGTGGATGGGGTTGTCATGGTCATTAACACAACTTCTTGTTGCAAAGTGACTCAAACCTCTGTTTGCTCCAGAATGGGAGTATTAACTGCGCTTGTGTGGTTGAGCATACCGATTTCTTTTTGGCAACGATTTATCTGGAAGAAATATTGGTACCTGTAATGTGGTTGTGTAACGGGGTGTGACGGCTGGAGGTTATTGCGACTGCACCGCCATGTAGGGGGCTTTAGTTCACTCTGCAGAACACTTTGGAAGCGCACCTCATCAGAAATGAAAAGATCTGTTCTTGGTTATTATTTCATCAATCCCATCAACGTCGCGTCACATTGGATGAGGTGTGTGGTCTGTTACGGGGATGTGGTAGGGACCCTTCTTCATTCACTAGCCAGAGCCCTAGCTAATCGCAGATCAGGGCCTCATGTAAAGGCTACAGGGGAAATATCGATTTACTCAACGCTAAAACGAGCACCAATCCAGAAGCAGCGCTGTCAAAAGCGCCACAAATTCGTGTAAGAGAGACGTTCACCACTATACCACTTGCGTCTTCAATCGCAATACTGTTCGAGAGATGAAAGTAATTGTGGCTACATTCTTGAACATAAGTAAATTTTCTAGCTACAGTGAGCCGATTATTGGCTGTCTTAAAACCGACTAACCTTCCACCACCATGATTCAAAGAAAGTGAAGCTAAAGACAGTCTAGATGCAATTAATTGAGATAGGAAATAATGAGAGTGTTCTGTCAGATGCTAAGAGATAAGATCTAAGAGTGCTTGGAAACGTGCTTCTTGTGAGCCTCAGTCTTGGCCTGGTTCTTGCTGGTGCTCTTAGAAGTTGACTTGTGATCATCTTTTGCAGTCTTGCTGGTAGAATCATCACTCCCAGAGTGCTTCTTCTTGCCAGAGTCTTTCTCAGTCTTCTTGGCGGAGGAGGACTTGCTGGTCTTCTTCTTGCTAGCAGCAGGAGAAGCAGTGGGCTTGGGCTTGTCCTCGGTCTTGGAAGCAGAGTCATCATCACCAGAGTGCTTCTTCTTGTCAGCCTTCTTAGCATCCTTTGCGGCTTGCTTGGAATCCTTCTCTGCCTGCTTGGTCGCCTTCTTGTCATCTGACTTGCTCTTGCTAGGAGAAGAAGTAGCCTTGGGGTGGTCATCAGTTTTGGTGGCTGAATCATCATCTCCAGTGTGCTTCTGCTTCTTGCCGTTTTGCTTCTTTGTGCTGGGGGCCTTGAAATTGCGGTCCTTGGTAGTAGCAGCATCAGAAGCAGCAGGTTCTTCATCAGCAGCATCATCATCATCGCCAGAGCTCTCCTCCTTCTTGATGGTACCGATCTTGGCGTGAGGAGCAGCGAAGGTAGTGAACATCACTCCATCATCACCGCTATCGTCATCCTGAGATCCCTTGGGGACATCGTAGGTATCGTCATCATCATCGGCATCAACAGCACGCTTGCTGGATGTACCACCCTTGACAGCGACAAAGCCGGGCACGGTATCCTTGTTCTTGTTGCCTGACTGGTTGCCGGAGAACTTGATGGCTGAACCAGCAGCGTGCTTGTTGGGCGCGGGAGCGAATTTGCTGTTGGTGTTGCTGTCCTGGTGGTTGTTGGTGGTGCCTGGACGAAGAGCGTAGTTGGACTTGGGAGGAATAAACTGGGGGAAAGCATAGACCTCAGCGCCGAGGATGGCAACTGCGAGTGCGAAACCAGCCTTCATTTTTGAGGTTTTTGTAGATGTAAATGAGTTGTAGGGAGTGTGAATTTGGAGTTTAGAGTAATGAAACGAAGAATGAGTGTGTTGCTTATCTAGAATCTCAACAATGAGGCGAGCAGGTATGCCATCTTATACAAAAAAGCCTCCCGCAAACTCTGTTCCATCGTGGGAATTACTCGTCATGATGTTGTTTGTTTCCGCGTAAAGTTAATCATGGATGCAGGAACGCTGATCAAAAGTCGGGACCCTGCATGAGTGCTGCCGCAAAGGACTAGCCTGAAGCTTGCCAGATACTTAAATTCCGCCCAGACAGGATTATTTCCTACTTTGGTAGAGCTTCCATACCGGGTTATGTATGTGGCGTTGGCTAGTCCCTGGGTCCTGACATTTTCACTTTCGCGGTTCAGGGTCGAGCCAGGTTTGTGAGTGACCATCTTAACTTGTTGCGAATATGGTGATGTATTTTGTAATCATTAAGGTTGAAAGGGCCCCGATTGACCGCGATGGGCGGGGAATAGTTTGTGGTCTTGATCTGGTCGGGCCTTTTGGACTGGAATGTAGGGGTTGGATCACTGTGGGAGGGCCGAAATATTGTCGGACAACCATTGGGAATGGGTAATGATTTGTAAGTGAACTGCAGGTTATTCGTTCTAGTCATGAGTCTGAGTCTGGGGTAATTGTCGAGATGCTTCAATCCGTGCTGTGGTGTTGAAGGCCAATGACTCAAGTATACGGGATGAGACAAAAGCTTGGCACGTGGCCGTTCAATTGTAACTAATTGGATTGGATGGGATGTTGAGACACCGTAAAATACGAAATCACCCAAGTCCTTGTACTCTTTTAATGCGAGTAGAATGTGTTGGTTGGTGGTACCTTTTGAACAGATGAGTTGGTTGTTGTGAATGCGCCATTCGCTCTCCACTACCAATATTCGTACTTTCAAGCTGTGAAGGAAAACCCAGAGAGATAAAAGGAACATCCAGACTAATGAATGCATTTCGCCATTGCTGTATGCCATGCGACCGGTGCAATGACCTGAAGGGTGCATCGTTGGTTCATTCATGGCCTCAAGACGGGCCAACAGTGAGGCGTACTTGAAGAAGATGGCCAACAACGAGATACCAGCGCTTATGCGCTAAATCTGGTTCACCGTCATGAATTGTTGCTATGAATGGTCCTGGTAATATGCAGGAGGCCTTCCAGTCATCATCCATCATAAAAGTCGATTGTCTCGCAGCCTGACTCTTGAATAGTTACCTCTCATCCAGCTTTTTAAACACCCTCACAGTTTTAATAAAGAGAAATAAAGGAGTGATCATGAATTCAATCACCTCAATTTTGGCCTGCCTCACAGGCAAAAGTCATTCATCTTAATCATCTCCTTCCATTCGCGAAATAAAGAGCAACGAAAAGACCCTCATCACCTCTCAGCCAGTTCCCTACTCCGACAATGCAGCCGATCAATTCGTCGATATCCTCAGCACACATGAAGGTTCCAAAGAAGAACTTCATCATCGTCTGAAGCAAGTCATCTCCACCAATGGCTGGACAGAAAGCCTCGCCGAAGGAATCGAGCACAAGTTAGAGAAACTCATCCAAGACGGCGCAAAGCTAGCAAAGCCCATGGCTGAAGCTGTTAAAAGAGCTACAGAGATAGCTTGGCAGTTTGCGAAAGAGCATCCTGTCTATGCTGCTCTTATCGCAGCGGGGACGATCATTACTATTACTGTACTGGCTGAGTTTGATCTCATTTGGGTGTTGAGAGCGTTGGGCTTTGATCCAATTGGGCCTCGAGTTGGTAAGTCATTGAATCATTCGAGACATAGAGTACAGGCTGACTTTGGGTATAGGGAGCTTTGCGGCGCGATGGATGAGCAAAATTGGACAAGTACCCAAAGGATCAATTTACTCTTATCTTCAGCGGTTGGGGATGAAGATTGCAAAGTGACAATTACTGTGCAAACTGTGATGGAGTAGGAGATGTGAGGTGCCAACTCAGTTTATCGAAAGCAACATCGTATTTTCTTTATTTCTTTAAATTGATTCCATGGTTATTCCTGTATTGTTGATTGATGTCTGCCCGCTGTTAGTCTCATTCATGGTTCAATTGACTTGGCAGAGGGATTCAAGCCTAGATACGCTCCGTCGTACACTCAGGAAATACCTACCCGTCCTATAATTATTCCCGGAAACGAGATCTATCAATGATGTATCCTGACAAAGAACCGCCCTCTAAATACTCATTCGGACAATGGGTCCGAGGATCGGCGACTTGGACGAGGATGGAACCCATTATCACGACATTTGCAATTACCCCGCCATTCAACGTCCCCTCCCCCACGTACAAGAGACAATATTCGGACTTGACCCGAGGTTACAGGACGATTAGGTAATTATATCACAGACTTTCCCAGATCTCCCAGTCTTGAGAGCCATTTACACAATCAATTTGTATCTCTTCAGTGGTACTCTATAGTCAAAATAGAGAGAGATGCCACTTCCTACATCATCCATTTATGAGCCGCCATCGGCTGGCTTCAATGGCTTCCCTTCACGAAGAAGTGTTGTTCACAGCACTGAAGGAATCGTAGCGGCACCTCAACCTCATGCAGCGAAATGCGGTCTTGAGATCCTCAGAGCAGGTGGAAACGCTGCTGTAAGTCTTTCCACTCCAAGACCATGACGAGATACTAACATGGCGCAGGATGCGGCTGTCGCAGTTGGTATGTACCTCGACATATTTATTACACTCACAAATACTCACCACTACAGCCGCTGGTCTCAATGTCACCGAACCTGTATCAACTGGTATCGGAGGTGACATGTTCCTCCTATACTTTGACGCCGCAACAAAGCAAGTCAAGAGTCTCAATGGGTCCGGTCGTTCGGGCGCGAAACAGACCCTCGAGACCATCCGCAAAGCTCTCAACATTCCCGACGATAAGATTGGCGAAATTCCAACCCATGGCGTCCACGCTGCAACGGTTCCCGGAGCTGCAGCCGGTTGGGTTGACACCGTTGAGAGGTTCGGTAGTGGAAAGCTTAGTTTGAGCCAGATTCTTGAGCCTGCTATTAAGTTGGCTGAGAATGGACATCCTGTTTCTGAGATTGCTTCACATTCGGTACGTGTTTCTCGCCATTTTATGTTTGGATGCGCAAATACTGACTTCCATACAGTGGCAAGCTCAAGAGAAGCTTCTTCGTAATGCCTCTCCCAACTTTGCAGAAATGCTCAAGCAAGATCCATCCGCACATGACGGCGTTAGAGCTCCTCGTCCAGGTGAAGTCTTTAAGAACCCAACTCTTGCAAAGACATTCCGTGCTTTGGCGACGGAGGGTAAGAAGGGTTTTTATACTGGTCGTATCGCAGAGGAGATTGTCAAGGTTGTGCAAGACCTGGGTGGATACCTCGAGCTCAACGACTTGAAGCACCATCTTGAGACAGGCACACAAAACACGGATCCCATTTCTGTCAAGTTCCGTGGTCAGGGTCTCGCGAGCAAAGATCCCAATGGGGGTGTTGAGCTTTGGGAGCATCCCCCCAACGGTCAGGGTATTGTCGCGCTGATGGCTCTTGGTATTATTGAGCAGCTTGAGAAGCAGGGAAAGATTCCTACGTTTGGACCTGAAGACCACAACTCCACGGTTTATCTACATGCCATCATTGAAGCTTTGCGTCTAGGATTCACGGACGCGAGTTGGTACGTCACTGATCCTGATACCACCAAAGTGCCGACCGCTGGCTTGATCTCACCTGAGTACCTCGCCGAACGGGCCAAGATCTTTGACGCGACAAAGGCCCACGATGGAGTACAGCCTGGAAATCCCGACTTTGTATCACCAGCTCTGAGAAGTAGTGATACAGTTTATTTTACTGTCTGCGACGCTGCTGGCAACGCTGCTTCGTTCATCAACTCCAACTACGCTGGTTTCGGCACAGCCATTATTCCCAAGGGCTGTGGTTTCACCCTTCAAAACCGTGGCGCAAACTTCTCCTTGGATGAGAAACATCCTAATAAACTTGAGCCACGCAAGAGACCTTACCACACAATTATCCCCGGCATGGCCACGAATCTCAGCGATGGGTCTCTACACTCTGCCTTCGGTGTCATGGGTGGATACAACCAGCCTCAAGGAACTGTACAAGTTCTTTTAAACCAAGCCATCTTTGGTTTGAACCCTCAACAAGCGCTCGATGCTCCTCGTATTTGCATTGGTGCTGGTATGCCTGATGAGGGTAACGTGTTGGACTGGACTGTGCATGTGGAGGAGGGTATCTCGGATAAGACTGTTGAGGAGTTGAAGGCCTTGGGACATAATGTTGTTGTTCTTAAGGACTGGAAGAGGGCTATGTTTGGAAGGGGTCAGATTATTAGGTATACTGTTGATCCTGATGGAACGCCGGTTTGGTCGGCGGGTAGTGATCCAAGAGCAGACGGCGCAGCGTATCCTCAGTAAACTAGCAGCTTCAATTCAATTTTTTGATGCTAAATCATGTATGTTACAGTATCGGACAAACTTACATATATGCGGCTTCAAAATATGGTGATTCTTGTCTCTTTCAACTTGCTCATGTCGATTTCTCCATCGTTATTGATAGCTCCAGGTACACACTCCAAGTTCTGATCCAAATTAGAACATATGACAGGGGAAACCAATCGATACCCGTGATAGTACTTTCTCAGAAGGAAAGGTTCTCGTGAGCCACGGAGAATCCACAGCTCGCAGTCGCTCTTGACTTGTTCACCAGTCCCTACCTTGATCACGTATTTGCGAGAACCTTCATGGTGCTGTCCAGAACCTATCCTTCCGAAGCCATTGTCTAGGAAAACAACCCATAGTGAAATAACCGAGATTTGTGCCTTGAGGTCCTGTGGATGTAGTATTCGCAAGAAATCGGCTTCGGGTGATGTTTGCATGATTGCATGGGGGTCATAGTCTAACTTGGCGATTGATACATCCTCGAGATGCCCTTCATAACCATGAATCTGACGAAGACTTGTACTGTTAGTCCAATTGAGCACCCAAGAGGGTAATAGTCCTCCTGTGTTAGAGCTCAAGAGGCTTTGACGATTTTGGTATGAGAATACCTCTAAGCTGTCATCAAATAAGATTATTCTCTTGGTCGTTTCCTCCAAAAGAGTGTGTAAATCCGTATTGGTAGAATAGTCAGGAACGATTGCGTATCCAGGGTGGACAAGGCCTAGGATAGAGTAAAGCTTGTCCCTTGGATCCGTAGCCTGGCTATCCTGTGTTAAAGTCAGAAGGATCTTGAGATCAGTGGTCCTTGACAGGTTGGCCTTTGCCACCAGAAGCGACCAAGCTCCGAAAGTACTCTCCCGCTCATCCTTTGAAAGCTTAACCTCGTAGTGTAAGCCGTTGGAGTCACGACCCGGAACTATCCATCCTCCGTTGAAGGTTCTGAATAAACTCATGAAGGATGAGTAGGGCATGGAAGACCTCCCGTGGAGAAAGGTCGTTTGTTCGGAAGCCATGAATTCTTGGAATACCCATGCCCTGTTCCACCATGGACTCATTCTAAGTTCAATAAAGGAGGCCCAGCTCTTGTAAACTTCGTCCTTGATCTCTATATTGTTTATCAAGAGGAGGTTAAATTTGGAAAGGGAGTTGTCCCAATCTTCTCGCTCTAGGGCCTCCCTCAGCTTGATGAGTTGCTTCATTCCTCCCTCGCTTGTCTCAGGTGTGGATAAGCAGACGAGAGTTTCTTTCGCCTTCTCGTAAATATCCCTCATGAAGCTGACCTGGTGCGATCTCTCATCCAGATCGTACTGGTTGATGCAAATCTGATCAACCCATAGCAAGAACTCCTGTTGACCATTGTGTGCCTCCCAGTAATGGCGAGCTTCCATCAAAGCATGGTGAAGATTTGCAAAGGCATTGCAGCAGGTACCGTTGACGCTGATGTATCTGGTATTTTTTGCACTTCCTGCGCAGTACGAGAGAGCGAGGTATTTGTTCTCGACGTCTGCGAGCTTTACACTTGGTAGAAGGTCGCATTTAACGATACCTAAACCTGAGTCTGGAAAGACCTTGAGAAGACGGATATCTCTTTCAGCAGTATTGAGGGGCTCATACGGGGTCTGGTGGACGAAGCTGCTGTTTTCGGGCGTGCAGAATATATCATGGCCTGGAGGGTCGCTCGTCGCGGTCTTGGTTGACAGAGGTGTTTCATCCATAACTGGTTGGTGTTGCAAATAATACAAGCAAAACAAAAGCTCTGAAAGTCAGAGTTCGATGAATTGCAATAGTTTGTGATGAAAGAATGAGAGATCGTGATTACGTTGTACCCGAAGCAAATACTCGGGGAAAATGCCTTGCAAGGCGATGCGATGCAACAATGCTCAACATTCTGTGATTGGCCTTGCCATGTCCCTTGGTGGTTCGCAATTTCCTGACCCGCTACTCCGTACCTATGATTAATTAACGTAGCCACTGACATGGCACGATTAACAGTAAATATCAATAATCGAACAGTGTGTGAACAGTAGTGATGACAGTAAGGCCACAAGGCTCGCTCCGTACCTATATAACTAATACACTGCCCGGTTATCGCAGATATTCTTAATAAACTTGTATCTTTCTTTTATTCTCTTGTTTCTGTTTCTACCCTTTTGTACCTGAGAAATCATTACAAAGATTGTTGGAGTGTCTTCCGATTGAGTCATATTGTTGTGCTGTTGGATTAAGGCGCGAATAGCATGATATATTACAAAAAAAAGGGATATTGGACCAATAAAAGTCATAAAATCTTTCTTTAATTGAACCAACCTGCCTATAAAACGCATGTTGCATAATCAGGCACGTGAACTTGAGAGAGCTGGCGCTTGAGTACAAGTTTGCAATGATGTTGATGTGCTGGAACGGCGACTCCGAGAAAAGCGCACACTCGAGCGGCACAGCTTCCTTGGCTTATTGCTTTTTGTTTCATGAGGTTAAAACGGCTGAATTGACTATCACCGATTGTGCCTTTTATGCAGGGGATTTGTTGTAGGAGCAAGGGTTACAAGGCAGACTCGACATAAAGAGCCAACAGGCCAATCACTGAATGTGAACTCCCTTCAACAAAGGGGTTTGCATGGAAGTCCAAAGAACTATTAAGAAGGGCTGGAGCCTGCTCGAAAAAATTATATATATTTCTACGTAAATGTAGAGCTAATAGTCTTGTTCTACCACTAGTCTGCGCTCACGCATGCTCTAGACTAGATAGTCTACTAACCATGGCGCAGTGTGACTTCAATTGCTTGCTTTATCGACATTTTACTATCTTTGATGATGCTAATTCAATCAGGACTTTGCAGGATGCAAAGTCCCAATTGAAGCGAAAGAATCGTCGCAAGGGAGTAAATGAGTTCCTGTCTACTCTTGAGCCTTTCCGCAAAGGGTTCACAACAAGAGATGGCATAACAGGTAGCCAGCTCCTACAATTAGACAAGAAAGCGCATCAAGACGGATTGATAGAAATGGCGCATGCTTATCTCTGTCTTTCCGGACATGGATATCTTCACTGGCCGGAAGGTAGTAATGACGGCACGTTGGAGTATCAAAGACACGAGAATAAGTAAAGGTTCCTGCTGAGGTGTCGGATTGTACTAACATGAGTAATAGGATTTATTACAATGTCATATGTTACTTTATTAGGAAGAACAAAATTGATTCAAGGTCGAGACTGCGTTCTAAACGACCACGAGATGAAGATACGGCCTTTGTGGCTAGGCCTCCACAGCGACGACGTCTACGAACTCCTGAAAGCGAGAGTCCTACTTCATCTCCTATAACACCTTTATACGATTCGTAAGTTTATTATGGAATGCATATTTGCCACGGGAGCTTACTTGTATAGGAGCCCCGACGAGAGGGAGAGTCCGCTTCCCTCCTCTCAAGACAGCCATTCAACTGTTCCTTCTGCACAGGGAGAGGCAAGACAAGAAGTATACCAGACACTTCCCAGGGCAAACGAAAGCCCAGATGAACTGGCTCAAGATGTAAGGCTAACATCCATTATTGATACCTTCACTAATATTTGTTCAGTATGATGAGGAGCAGCCAACAGTACCCAACTTACAACAGCGACATGTTAACAGACTAGGAGACGAACACGGTAACATCAGCAGGATCAGTCTCGGTCAACAGCCGGTTCCTCATGCACCACGCACTAATCTTCATGCGCGTTATATCTCTAGAGGAACACAGACAACACCCAGTGTTAACCAACAAAGGCAATGGAGGGCCATTGATGCGCCTCTTCCATCATCATTCAATACTGACATCATTTCCCAGCAGAGGCATGATCCTGCTAGTGACAGAGCAAATGGAGCTGAAGAACCAGCGAGTCAAAGCTCAGTTGAGGATATACCAAGACCTTTCGATATCCCATTGGGACGTCCAAGAATAGCTATTCCCAAGCCAGACTTCAAGATTGACCTAGTAGTCAGCTACGATGTTATTCCCGGCCACAATGCGCTATTTGAGCCCAACGGTGATATCTTCTCATACTCGTTGGCCAAGTTCCTCAGCCAAGTCAATTGGCAGCATGAACCTGAAGTGCTCCTCATCTGTCTGCAAGCCCCAGGTACATCCCCAGCGACACCCGTTCGGACCTGGAAGGATAGGGTCTTCAAAAATGATGAAGATAAATTCCAGAGTGTACTGCGCAGATTCCGACAGATCTTTCTGGATGAGCATTTTAACTTTACTCGTGTAAAGATGGATGCTGTGATTGAGATTGCTTTCGAGAATATGGTTGAAGGACATACACATTGTGCTCTCATTGACGCTTGTTGCAATCGAGGCAGAGCTGTTGGAAAGGTATAGACAGATGTGGGTATTTGGAAGAGTTAGGAATCGAATTATAGACATAGACCATATAGACTTTGATTAAGATATCGTTTTTACATCCACCAACAATTCTTCGCATGCCGGACAGCACCGTTTTTCGACCGACGGAGATTCAGCTTGACTCCTAAGGGATGCTACAAGCAATTCAGAATGTCCAAACCATTCGGACACAATCATTTCTCCATGAAGGACGTCAGAATATGATGGCGACCGGTAATCGCACCTTTCTATTGCTTCTTTTTCTGTACAATCCGTTCTACCATACAGTGGTATCCATCCCATATTACATCATGAATATTCATACACTCCCCAATTATTTATCATCTATTCCTTCTGCTCAGGCTCTCCCTCAAGAATAACCTTCTTCTCATCGAAAAGCTTGGCCAAGTCACCATTCTGGTGCATAGACACAAGAATATCCGTACCACCGATGAAATCCTTCTCAACGTAAAGCTGGGGAATCGTAGGCCAGTCGGAGTACTCCTTGATACCCTCGCGCAGCTCAGGATCCTCGAGGACGTTAAAGGCAGCGAACTTGTCGGGGTTGACACCCTGAAGACCGAGAATTTGGATGGCGGCGCGCGAAAAGCCGCACTGGGGGGTTTCGGGTGTTCCCTTCATGAAGAGCACGACGGGGGCGGATGATACGGCTTTGTCGATGGCGGATCGGGTTTGGTCGGAGAGGAGACGGGTTTGGAAGGGTGTTAGGGGAGCGATGGGGGTGCGGAAGGCAGAGGCTGTTGAGCGGACGGCCATGGGCCGGGCGGCTTGTCGGAGGGACTGGAGAAGAGGAGTTAGTCGGGGTTGAGAGTGACAGCGATAGAATGGAGTTTGCGCACCGAGGCTACTGTTCGCGCAAACATTGTAAAGGCTGTGATGGAGGAGATTGTGGTGGGAGAGGAGATTCGCAGTTGGTTTGTTTAAGATGGCGGAAGTTTTGGACGGGATTAGCGAGTGATGTCAAGGATGTTCCGATGCCGATCCCCGGAATTCAGAGTGGCGCTGATGGTAGCTGTGGCCAATTAACGATGAGGTAATGGTGGCTTATCAATCGAGTGCCTCAACTTGTAGGAAGACATTGTGATGCGCAAATGATACAATTAAAGGTCACATATCGCACAGCCCTACCTTAGTTCTGATGAGTCTTTGTCGCTCATAGAAAGGAAAATTTTGAGGGGAGTGCGACGCCAGGTACATGGAGCACAACATGATGGACTCAAGGTCAAGGGTAGGTAAAGAGGTTTTACAAATACTGTTAATTACAAAGATGCTGTTCAATTGTTAATGAGAAGATTCTGGTGGATTTTCTCTTATGATGCTTATTAATTGAACGGAGCACAGTCAAGAATATCAGAGTATATCTACCTGTCTGTACCTCCGTCTGGTGAAGGATGTTGTCTAGTCCATGATATGATGCGACACATGATAATTAGATAGCGGGGTTTAACTCACGAAGCTTCAACATATATTTCATCCTCGCCAAAGCGCTTATTTAATTCTTAAAAAAACAATCCTCAATTGAATAGGTGATCAATTATCCAGCTGTCGAATCTTTCAACATCACAGTTTTGTTCAAAGCTCAGGTCATTGGTTCACTCCATAACTGTAGACCTATCAAATCTCAGCACTCGTCAAGTCTGCTGACAAAACCATCATCTCATTTCACCACTTACACTCCCAATGCTTCACACCGTTCAACAAGGGCACGACGCCCATCACGAACACAAAATGCGTAACTCAACAGAAGAACTTGAACTAGCAAGAAACGACGGCAAGCGCCATATCCTACTAGCAGCCTCAGGATCCGTTGCGACAATAAAACTCGTACAGATAATAAACGGTCTCAAACAACAAGAAAACATCTCCATCCGTCTCATCCTTACTCAATCAGCGTCCGAATTTCTAGCAGGCCAAAGTTTTGAACAGCCTACCGTCGATCAAGTAGCTCGTCTACCACATGTAGATGCTATTTACACAGATGCTCACGAGTGGGCACAACCCTGGAAACGCAATGCGCCTATTCTACATATTGAACTACGTCGCTGGGCGGATGTGTTGGTGATTGCGCCTCTGAGTGCGAATACAATGGCAAAGATTGTAAATGGCCTGTGCGATAATCTTTTGACGTCTGTTGTCAGGGCATGGGATACTACGGGTAGTGTGGATGGGGTGAGGAAGAAGATTCTGGTGGCTCCGGCGATGAACACGGCCATGTTTGCGCATCCTATTACAGCGACGCAACTCAAGGTGCTGGATAAGGATTGGGGAGGGGATAATGGTTGGTTTGAGGTTTTGCAGCCGATTTCGAAGAGTTTGGCTTGTGGTGATGTTGGGAATGGGGCTATGGTGTCTTGGGAGAGGATTGTGGAAGAGATTGTACAAAAGATCAACACTTAGGGAAAGGAGCATTGAAGGAAATGGGAGGGAATGAATGTGCATTTCGTGTTTATGGAGTTGGAGGACTGAGGGAAAATGAATGACATCTCATTGATTGGTGTCAGGGTAAATTGATGAAGAACTTGACACGACACAGACAGGAAGTGCACCAGAAAATGTATTATGACAGCCTGATAATTGAATGAATCAATTAAATCTCTGCCCAGTTTGTTTGATCACAAGCAACAGTTGGTTGATGAAATGGCAAGAGGCGGATGCTTGTGCTATCGGGCGTGACCTGTTCCTTCCTTCCTCATCAACACCTGGCACAACCCGCAGAGCCGTGGCCTTCAGCCTGGCGATACTTCTTTTCTTCACCACATAAATTCAGTCACAGCTTAGCTAGCATCTATTTATTCGCATACATGGCTCCCACCTCCCGTACTCGTACCTCGACTACGTACATCAAAGCCGAAGATGACTGTCCCTCGACCTTACGAGCTCGTTTGCGCGACGATCCTCCAGCGAAAGCTTCCCCCGTCAAGCCTCCTCCATCCCAGAGTATATACCAGCAGGTCCATGCCTTTCTAGGCAATTATGCAAATGTCCACAAGCGAAACAAATCGGCGGTCCAGGAACCAGAGAGCAGTGACCCAGCTACCCAGTTTCAAGGTGGATCGTCGCGCAATACTTTGGAAGGTATTTCTAACAGAACACAGAGGCATACGCACGAATCGGACTTTCCATACATACCTCCGCGACGGAACACCTCGGGAAAGCACATGCCGACGTACAAACCGTGATCAAGCGCTTCTCCGAAGAATCTTCCAAGACACTGGCGCAAAGTCGAGACCTCTACGCGAACATTGAGTACCCTCTGTCGAAGACTCTATGCAACTCGGAAGATCACCCCCGAGCAAGTGTCGAAGTCCATCTCAATCGCCTCAAACAAGATATCGCTGCGGCGAGGGAAGAAGTTCTTCGCCTCAGCGCTGAGTGGGAAGAATGTTGTCGAACCGAAGAAGAAGCTTGGGATGACTTCAAGAGGGGCTTCGATAACCGTGGTCGAGAGGAGAAAGGTGTGAGTAAGAAAGTGAATGCAGCGGCCGAGGAGTTCAAGAAAGAAGCAAGGGCGATTGTTGAGGCTAATTATCAGTTGTTAGACGAGACTGACCAGGTATGTTGATGCTTCCGTCACTGATTGAACGACGCTGACTGACCCCAACAGGACTTCAAACAAAAGATTCAGGAAGAAACCCAAAAGATAATGGCGAATCTGCTCGCAGATATTTGATCAACGCCACGTAACCACGATGTACGAATGATTTGGAGCATGTTAGCGAAGGGCTCAATTGTCATGTAGTAGCCGTCTCAATTGATCGTCTAGTTCATGTCTCATTAACTATCTCCATCTCTGTCTTTGCCACTGTGTATCTGTATATCTTTAAGAACCAACCGGTCTCTTTTGTGTATTTCCCGCTAAACGCCATTCCGTAAATCAACTTTTGGTGCAGCCCATTCATCGGACTATTTTACTGCTTCTTCTCGGGGATGACAACGCCCCATGGGTGCTCGGTGCGACCGTACATGATGTCGCCCAACCAACCCTTGACCTTGCTGGTAACCTCGCCAGCTTCACCCTCGGCGCCCATGGGGATGTTGATGTCCTTTCCGCGGTGGTGGACTTGAGAGATGGGGCAGATGAAGTACTAAAACTGTTAGTAAAATATTCTTGAAGGACAATTGATAGGGAACTTACGGCAGTGCCAGCGGCGAAAGACTCAAGCAGACGACCCTCAGCATCAGCCTCCATGACTTCAGAGATAGTGTACTTTCGCTCAGTAATCTCATACTCATCACCAAGACGCTCACGAATAAGCTCAAGACAGCTGCGACGAGTAACACCGTCAAGAATCAGCTTGTCATCAAGAGGAGCAGTGATAATCTCCTTCTTTCCATCCTTTCGCTTCCAGATAACGAAAAAGTTACTCGCGCCTGCTTCAGTGCATTCACCCTGGGATCCGTACAGCCAGAGAATTTGGTGGAATCCACGGGTTCGCGCATCTGCTGTGGCGAGCAGAGAGGGGCCGTAGTTGGCGCCCACCTTGGCGTAACCGAATCCACCGACCCAAGCGCGGACCATGTCGTCTGGGGATGTGTGAAGGCGCATTCCTCCGGGGGGAGCGTCCATGCGTGGCATGAATGTGACAATGATGTAAAGCAGAGCTTCCTTGGGTGCAGAGACACCGAGCTGGGGTGCTGTGCCAATAATGGTTGGGCGGATGTACAGGAAGCTACCTGCGCGATCGGCGGGGAGCCACTTGGTTCCGTCAACGGAGAGAAGAGCAATCATGAGTTTCTCAATCTCTGAGGGCTCAAAGCCAGGAAGGGAGATACGGGTAGATGACATGCGAAGACGAGCAGCGTTACGATCAGGACGGAAGATTCGCAGCTTTCCATCATAACCGCGGTACACTTTAAGACCTTCGAAACACTCTGTAGCGTAGTGAAGGACGGAAGCGGTGGGCATGAGGCTCAAAGGTCCGTAGGGCTTGAGCTCGGGGGTGGCCCAGCCGGTGGATTGTTTCCATGATGCGAGGACCATGTGGTCTGTGGCGATGGTCTCGTCGCCGGAGTGAGCGTTGGCTTCATCGGGGACGGAACGAGGGTTTTGGGTGTAGGTGTATGTGAGCTTTGAAGCGTCGAGGGGAGCTTGGGTGGTGGGAGGACCGGAGATTGTAGGTTGGGAGAGTTCTTTCTTTTGGATGGCTGCGGCTGTCAGGTTGACGTCCTGAGTTTCGACTGCGGAGGGAGCCATGATGAATGTATAAGTGATAGACTAGAAGGAGTAGATAGTTCGATGTGTGAACAAGAGAAAGGGATTCAATGAATTGAGCGGAGGGAAAGTTTATATAACAAGCAAACAAAAATAAAAACTTTAGCTCATAGAGGTACGGGGTCCATATAGGTACTTACCTCTCATACCTATCTCTCGGAGAAGAAGAGTCACGAGTAGTAAAAAAAAAGATCCGCCCCCGCCGAAAACCCCGGATAGACCGTCTCTGCCCGCGCGGCGCTCGGTTCCGGCGATGTGGGTTCAAAGAAAAATTGGTGTTGTTTTTAATGATCCAGTTTTTTTTTCTTTATGAAAAGTGAAAAAAAAAAAAAAGATGCAGAGATACCTGGTCATGCGCCTGCGTTGGTATGCAGATGAGATGTAGCACACCAACTGTGAGGGTGTCTCACACCCACTCATTCACCCACACCATTATCGAACCCCCTGGGGAGAAGAGAGCCGCTAGTTGTTCTTGGAGGGGCTTCTGGAGGGGCTTCTGGAGGGGTTCTGGAGATAAGTGATGGGCTTCTATGCTTTCTGAGTTTAGGAATGACGATGCCTTCAAGGTACACAATTGATACTGTTGAATTGATAGAGACATTGCTTACTCGGGCTGTTGGTTGACTACTACAATGGATTGCTCTCCCTATTGATGATTGACTGACACCTAACTATTTGGGTGCTTATCGAGATCGCTTACACACTGCATGTCTAGTGAGAACGCGCAACCCATCAGCTGGTCCATATACCTTCTCTTGTATGACTCTGTTGTTACTGCGGTGTAACTATACGTGTCCCTCCGAAGGGCGGAATTATAATCTACTACAAGACAAAAGATTAAGCCTTTTCTCCACTACAAGGGCGTAGGGCGTGATTGCTTCAACAATTGGTAGATAGCATCTCACTTCCAAGAGGAAATACCGGTATTGTAACGTAAAACAAGTCATGTGTTCAATGAATCCCTGCTTGTCAATTCTGACACAAAGAAAAAGAAACCTGGCTTATCGCTATCATTATTCGATGGTATTCTTTCTGCTTGGCGTTGAATATTGCGGAATTAGACTCTGTTGTCCGCCGCTAACCGTCAATTGCCTTGTGTCGGTTGTCATGAGGTCATGCTCCCATCAATTGGTAACTTCTTTCTTATACAGGAAGGCCGGTACAAGAATTTTTGACAAGGTTGCATTGCATCTTATTCGTAAAAAAGAGGGTGTGAAGACAATGAGGCGTTGCTGTCATGATACTACTGTCGATGGATGGTTAAGCCGAGGAAACATTGTCTTTTTTTTCAAAAGGTAAGGCTATCATGATCAACTGATTACTTTTTTTTTTAATTCCCGGACCCGGCTTGTTGAAAGACCATTGCCCTTCTTGTCTAGCCCCATCTAGACCGCCTTGTCCCTGTCCGCCACATTATTACAGGTACTCATGCCCTGTCAGCCTCTCTTTGTCTTTGCTCTTCTTCTAGAATCTCTCTTTCGCGAGCTGCTGCTTCGGCACCTGCTTTGACACCCTTGGCGCGTTGTCGCGCTTCGTACATGTCCCGACTCTTTAGGATGCGCTGCACGATTTCTCCAGCGTTGACATGAGAGAAGGCGTGGGTGCCGACTTGTCGCATGATGCCCATTGCTTTGGGTGCTGTGTAGGGGTCGTATGTGAGGGGCATGAAGGATGTTGGCCCGTGGTAGACGGCGTCTGGGGTTCCGCGGGGTAGAGTGGTGAGGTATGTCTTTGTGGGAGAGAAGGGAGCGCCGAAAATGACGGCGTTGATGTACTAGATCCACTGTTAGAATGTGCTGCTGTTTCAATCGATGGGGGTATTTACCTTGCACTGCAAAACGCAGAGACCGCGCTCGAAAATGTTCATGATGGGGTAGTTGACTCCCTTCCACTGGTTGATGACCTCGTCCTCATGAACACCGACGACAACATACGCAGGGGGATAATCTTCTCCCTTGCCCTTTCGCTCGTTGACAGCTTGCTCAGAGAACCAACCATCCTTGCGCGCAAGCTCCTCCTCAGCTAGAAGAACCTGTCGCAAAAACTCAATGTGACCGCTGGAGAAGAGATCATAACCTCCATCAACGTAAACCACGCGCTGTCCAGGCTTGGGACCAGGTCCTTCGATAAGCTGGCGGAAGCTTCCCCTTTCCTCATCAGCATCCTCTGACTTTGCTTCTTGAGACGCAGTCCAGAAGAACACTTCAGCGCCGGGTGCTTTTCCTGAAGCATCAGTGGCATAGAGCTTCATGCGCTCCATCATAGCCTGGCCTTCTGCGACGCGCTCTTCGGGAGTACCGTGGCCTTCCTGACCAGCGAGCTTCTTCTCAAGGGACTTGATAAAGTGTGTTTTTGTGCAGAGCAGCATTCGGCCTACGAGATCGGTGGTGGAAATGCCAGGTGAGCGCTTAACGACCTTGAAGCGTCCGGCCTCTTTGACGAATCGGTAGCAGTCGTTACCATCGCTATCGGAGGTGATGTCGTCGCCGTGGACGACGTATTTGCAGCCGTAGTGGGTGATGTAGGGGAGGTAGGTGACGTAAGGCGCGTTGGCGACGGAGCGGGTGACCCAGCGACAGGCGTCGGTAGCAGCGACTCTGGGAGATAATAAGTTAGTTGGAAGATATTGATAGTGTCGCTGAGAGTTGGCGATTACCGTTCTGCTAGAGTCATGACTGTAGGACCCTTGTTGGCGAGGATGGCCTCGTCGGAGTGAACACCAGCGTAGAGCTCATTTCCTAACTGGCGAGCTTGGACGATGGCACCAGCGTGACCTGAGACGTCAGTGTTTGATGGTATGGCTAGAGAGATAGTAAATGCATACCGTGATGGAAAAAGTCAAAGCAGCCATCGACCCAGATTCTTCCTTCTAGGAGCTCAGGAGCTGGTTCACCCTCGAGATGAAGGGCATCTTGGTCGACATCGACAGAGGGGTTAGTGGGGTCAATAGAAGCCATGATGATGGTGGCGAAGAAAGGACTGAAAAGGTGAGTTAAAAGATGTAGTCTATAGTTTCAAAAAGATGTCTATGGCAAGAATGTCAAATGAAGAAGAATAAAAAGAAGATGATGTATTTTCCAAGATTAGGGGTCTTATCAAAGTAACAGCTGAGGGTGATACGTAACTCAACTGAAGCTGTTGGGGGAGGTTAATGAGTTTTGGCCCAGACTAACATTTTTTGGAGGGTTTAATTGGTCCGTTAAGCTCTGAGCTTCTGCGACTTTAATGAGTTCGGCAGCTCGGCATGTTTAGCTTGTTGTCAACTGAATTTGCGTATTAAAATCCGTATTATTTCTGCATTAAAATACATATTTATTCGTATAGCAATTGCTTGCTTAACCGAGTGGGAATAAAGCGATGATAGACTGCACAAAATGGTCATCGTCACATGCAAACAGAATAACCCCCCACTGCGGGTAAATCAATCTCATTTATGATCCATGCTTGAAGAATTCAACAAAAACATCAGTCAGTAACAAAGGGGTAAGACAAAAAGACCGTGATGAAGAGACAGCATTCAGGATCTTTTTTTTTTTTTAACACAGTCTTGGGGATGATTCAGAATAAAGATCATCATGCGACACCAGAATAAGCTCGGATTAGGTTTCATCTGTATCGCAAACTTAAAGTATCACCCCTCGAAATGGGTGTCTCGATTGGCACAAGCCTGCGTCACAAGTTGCATGAGGCTCTTTGACGCAGGTACACTTGATAGATGATTGATGAGTTTATTCGTAGTTCACCAAACATCGTTAAGCTATGAGCAGCCACTGAAGTGGGTGATCTACAGTATCTGCCAAGATATAGCAGCCATCGTGGTCAGCCAAACACGAGTCCATTTTCAATCCACGTGCAATATCTTTTTCTTATCTTATTATTCTCTATCTATTATTCCACGCGATAGACATGCTGCTTTCCTCAATCAAGCATCTGTCACCGACGTCCATCATTTTCATCTTGACTTTCATCCCCTAGTCCCTGCATCTTGTCTTTATTTCTCCACACTTTCTTCAGTCCCTGCCCTCCACGTTTCCGATCCATTGGCTCCGATCTTTACCTTGTTTGTGAACTATTCGGGCCAAGATGCCCCGGAAAGGTGAAGCTCACCACTCCGACAGTCTGGCCAAGCTATTGGGGTAAACCGCGCGATCATACTCTACAGGTTAGACGACGACAAGGTCTGTAAGAGGAGGTGAGGTATAAAATATGCTTCTCCTCAATTGCAACCGAGGCATTTGATCTTCCCATCGTCGACAATTGCCCCATCATGAAGCTCACTACCCTCTCCGCCGTACTCGCCCTCGCCCCGTCTGTTCTCGCAGATTGGCATTTTGCAAAGGGTAAAGAGATCAAGTATACCTCTGTAGAGGGATTTTTTAAACAAGATGATCTCGCTACTGATCCCAGCACATTTGACTATGTACGGCTCTCATTCTCATACTCGATGTTTCGTCTACTAACTGACAACCTAGGCGGACTGGAACTTTGGTCTCTTGAACCGTACATACCCAACAGACCCCAAGAACCCACGCAAGGGTTACAAGACACAATGGGAGCGCTTCGAGCAGTACGTCAAGCATCTCAACCGCAATGCCAGCCGCGATAGAACTCGTTACAAGGTTCTTGTCATGGGTCGACATGGTGAGGGTTATCATAACGCTGCTGAGGCTTACTACGGAAAAGCTGCCTGGAACGTAAGTCGCGAAAAAACTCAACTTTTTATAAGTCGGATTGCTAATGAGATTAAACTGCAGTGCTACTGGGGCCCTCTACCTGGCAACGGTACATCAGTCTGGGAAGATGCCCTCCTCACCACCGCAGGCGTTGCCGAGTCTCACAAAGCAAACGCTTACTTCAAGTCGCGTTTCGAAGAAGAGGGCATGCCTTATTTCGACAGCTACTACGCTTCTCCCCTCGCGCGCTGCGTACAGACCGCCCACGAAACCTTTACAGGCATCAAGCTTCCCAAGGACAAGCCTTTTGTTCCCATGGTCAAGGAACTTTTGCGCGAGGGTATTAGCATTCGCACATGCGATCATCGCGGTAACAAGAAGTACATCAGCTCTCTTACCCCCAAGATCAAGTTTGAGAAGGGTTTCAGCGACAATGACCCTTTTTGGACGGGTGTTAAGGGTGAGACGGATGAGCATCAATTGGAGCGAAGCAAGGAGGTCTTGGACGACATTTTCACAAGTGATAATGCTGCTTGGATTAGTATCAGCAGTCACTCTGGTGAGATCACAAAGCTCCTCCAGGCTTTGAACCATCGACCTTTCCGTCTCGCGACAGGTCAGATTATTCCTGTTCTTGTTCGGGCTGATGTCGTGGTTGAGGAGCCTACTTCTACGTTTGCCTCTTGGACTGCTGAAGCTACTTGCGATGCTCCTCCTGTGACGAGTGTGTGGCCTGGTGGTTGTGTTTGCTCTAGCACGGCTACGTTGGCATCTACACCTGCAAAGGCGACATGAGATTACAAGGAAATAATTGTTGTAACTAACTCGTACATAGAGAATAAATAGATGGCTTGACTAAGACAAAGGAAAATATGACAGTTCATGCGTCCGTCCTGTACATGTGTCCATCCTCGCGGCTTGTGAACAATCTTACCGCTCTAATAAACTGTTACTTAAACAACCCCGCTTGCACACTTGGCACCATCGCTATTCAAGTTCAAGATTGCACCTCCTGGTATAGGTGCAGGATCCGCCGTAGTACTGGTCAGATCGAATCTCCACGTTTGACCTAGGACATTTTCTTGCGCAAACAGAATGCCGTTGGGCGCTGCTATGGTAGCGCCCCAGAGCAAGTTGAGGGCTGTCATGAGAATGCCAGGGTAGGCCCTAAAGTTTTCCCACTTCTTTGTGGCAAGATCCCAGCGCACAACGTTTGTTCTCAAGAGACCACCACTGTTGCTAATGACCGATGCCTGTACTGAGTAAAGATAGTTGCCTCCACCGGGAACATAACTCCAGTCGCCGACACCGGTGAGGAGAGCCTTTGAAGACGTGCCTTGAGCGACGTTTCCAAAGTTTGATGAACCCTTTCGAAGATTAATCGACCACCATTTACCTCCGCCTTCAGAAACCCATAGGTTGCCGTTAGGGTCAAAGTCACCCATACTAACCCCCCCTGATTGGATATAGACTGGCAAAACTTCCGAGTTACCATTGCTGGCGATCCGGATAAGTTGCGACTGCTCGCATGCAAGTAGTGCACATAAGATACTGGTGACAAGACCCCTTGGTATAAAGCCGTAGATGTAGTTGTCGGTAGGGTTGAAACCGATGGCCTGAACAACCAGACCTGGACCCACGCCGTAATAAATATCCGTTCGGGCGCCTGTGACGAGATTGACTCTTGTCAGAGTTGGAGCCAGCAAACCGCCGATGGTGTAGCCAAAACCGTCGCAATTGAATGTTGGCATTCCAGTGGGTACCGGGAAGGTAGTTTGGATGACGACTGTTCCTGGGTCACCTGTTGTGCCTGGGGGGTTGTAGATTGTCGTTGCTACTGCACCTCCCCTCGTGATAGTGACGTTTTGAATAACGGTCTGCGTTTGGATGATGACTGTTCCAGGGTCACCTGCCGCGCCTGGAGGATTGTAGATTGTCGTCGCTACCGAGCCTCCCCTCGTGATAGTGACGTTTTGGACAGGAGTAGTTTGCGTTTGGATGATGACTGTGCCTGGATCACCTACTGCGCCTGGGGGATTGTAGATTGTCGTTGCTACCGAACCTCCCCTTGTGATAGTGACATTTTGGACCACAGGAGTAGTTTGTGTTTGGATGATAACTGTTCCTGGGTCACCTACTGCGCCTGGAGGATTGTAGATTGTCGTCGCTACTGAACCTCCCCTAGTAAGAGTGACGTTCTGGACCACAGGAGTAGGCGTTTCAACAAGAGTAGTGGTGGGAGTTTGGATGAGGATAGTTCCAGGTTCATTCGGTGCAGCGGGAGAAACATAGATCGTGGTAGTAATACCAGCCGGTCCTCCAACAGTACGTGTGACGTTTTGAATGACTGGTGCTGGTGTTTCAGCGAGGGTGGTTGTCGGAGTCTGGATGAGAATAGTTCCAGGTTCGTTTGGTGCTGCAGGAGAAACATAGATGGTTGTAGTAATACCAGCTGGACCTCCCACAGTACGTGTGATGTTCTGGATAACTGGCGCTGCGGTGGGTGAAGGTGTAGGAGTCTCAATCAAAACTGTACCGACCTTTTCAGGATCATCTGTTGCAGGTGGGAAGTAAATAGTTGTTGCAACAGAGCCAGGTCCGCCAGCATAGATAGTAGTATTTCTACCCACTGCACTTGTAGGTGTTTCAATAATAACTGTGCCGAGATCTCCTGGTGCACCTGGCGCCAGCGTGGTAGTTCTGGCAGCAGTAACAGGTCCTCCAACAGAGATGGTGGTATATATAATCTCGTTGGCAGTAATTGGTGTTTCGACGATAACCGTACCAAGGTCTCCCGGAGAACCTGGAGCAATCGTAGTAGTTCTCGGGGCAGTAACAGTTCCACCAACGGAAATAGTGGTGTACCTGATCTCGGTAGTGGTAGGTGTTTCGACGATAACTGTCCCCTGGTCTCCCGGTGCACCTGGCGCCAACGTCGTTGTCCTAGGAGCGGTAACGGGCCCTCCGACAGAGACGGTGGTATACGTGATCTCCTCGGCAGTCGTGGGAGTTTCGACAATAACTGTGCCGAGATCTCCTGGAGAACCTGGCGGCAGCGTCGTAGTCCTAGGCACACTAGCAGGTCCTCCAACAGAGATGGTGGTATACCGGATCTCATCGGTAGTGGCTGCACCTTGTCCATCGGTGGGCGTTTCGACGATGGCCGTGCCCAGGTCTCCTGGTGCACCTGGTGCCAGTGTGGTAGTTCTGGGAGCAGTAACAGGCCCACCGACATAGATGGTCGTGTAGGTTACCTCATCGGCAGGGGCTGTACCTTGTCCAGCGATAGGTGTTTCCACGATAACTGTGCCAAGATCTCCCGGAGATCCTGGAGCCAATGTTGTTGTACGAGCAGCTGTTACAGATCCTCCAACGGAAATTGTGGTATAATCAATTTCTCCGCCGTTATCGCCTCCAGTAGGTGTCTCGACGATGACAGTACCGATTCCTCCAGACGAGTCAGGTGGAATGGTAGTAGTTCGAGGAATATTAGCGGGTCCGCCGACAGATATGGTTGTGTACTGAACCTCTTCATCACCAGCTGGCTCAGTCGCAAACTCGACAATGACCGTTACAAGGTCACCTGGGGAACCGGGAGGCAGGGTGGTTGTACGAGGAGCAGTGACTGGGCCACCAAGGGAGATAGTAGTATACTCCACGGCACCATCGGTGGTTTCTGTACTGGCAGCTGTTGTTTCTTCTTCCTCTCCATCGTCAGAGCTTGTAGGCGTCTCGACAATGACAGTACCAAGATCTCCTGGGGAACCTGGTTGAAGAGTAGTGGTGCGATCAGCGGTCACAGGACCGCCGATGCTGATAGTAGTATACTCAACATCGCCAGCTTCATCGGTCGGAGCTTCGACGATAACGGTACCAAGTTCACTGGGGGTATCAGGCTGTAATGTCCTAGTGCGCGTAACAGTACCAGTCCAACCACCAGATAGAGTAGTGTACTCGACGTCGCCAGCATCGTCTGTGGTCGTTACCTCATCCCCACCGTCACCCGTAGTGATTGGAGTTTCGACAATAACAGTACCAAGTTCACTGGGGGTATCAGGCTGTAATGTCCTAGTGCGCGTAACAGTACCAGTCCAACCACCAGATAGAGTAGTGTACTCAATGTCTCCAGCGTCATCTGTAGCAGTGGTAGTTGTCTCATCCCCGGTCTCACCCGCAGGTGCCTCCACGATGACCGTGCCAAGGTCCCCAGGAGAGCCAGGCTCTAATGTTCTGGTACGAGTAGAAGTTCCAGTCCAATCGCCAGATAAAGTTGTGTATTCGACGTCGTCGGCATTGTCTGTGGTAGTTACCTCGCCTCCAGTTTCACTAGCAGGACTGTCCACAATAACTGTGCCAAGGTCACCAGGAGAGTCGGGCTGGAGTGTTCTTGTGCGAGTGACACTTCCAGTCCAAATATCAGATAAAGTAATGTACTCAATATCGTCGGCGTCATCTGTGGCAGTTGTAGTAATCTCGCCTCCAGCCTCATCAGATCCTGTAGGAGTGATGACAATGACCGTGCCGAGTTCATCTGGAGAGTCAGGCTCAAGTGTTGTAGTGCGAATGACACTTCCAGATCCACCACTGGTTATAGTAGTGTATTCAACCTCATCTTCAGTGAAGCTGGCAGTCGGTACCTCGATGATGATTGTATCCAACTCGCCAGACACTGTAGCTGAGACATATCTTGTCTGTGGTGCTGTCACAGGACCGGGGATGGTGATTGTGGTATTAGGTCTACCATCTGGAGAGACAACGACTCCTGTAGGTTCATCGGTGGTCGTCTCCTCATCTCCCGAGACAGAAGTGGGAGTCTCTATGACAAGAGTACCTGGCTCGCCGGATTCGCCAGTGAGGGTAAATGTTGTTGCAGCCGATACTGAACCTCCTCTAGTGATTGTGGTGGCTATTGAGTCTTCATCGCTTCCGTCATCAGTCTCCGAAGGTTCATCTCCAGAAGACTCTGTGGGAGTCTCGATAAGGACAGTGTCCGGAGCACCAGACACGCCTGGGATGGTGATTGTTGTCGCCACAGACACTGGGCCTCCTGTTGTGATTGTCGTGGCTTCAACCTCTGCGCCAGTTGACGTCTGAATAACGACCGTGTCCGGAGCGCCTGACACGCCTGAAATCTTAATTGTTGTGGCAGCGGTAACAGGCCCGCCTGTTGTAATCGTAGTAGCTTCAGGCTCACTACTACTCACATCTGTACCGGTTGGAGTCTCGATAAGAACAGTGTCCGGAGCACCAGACACGCCTGGGATGGTGATTGTTGTAGCAACAGACACAGGCCCACCCCTTGTGATAGTCGTGGCCTCCGGCTCATCACCGCCCGCAGCTGGGTCAGTTGGTGTCTGAATAACAATGGTATCTGGAGCACCCGATAAACCGGGAATTGTAACGGTTGTGGCAGCTGTAACAGGGGCACCTGTTGTGATAGTTATAGCTTCAACTTCACCACTGCCCGCATTCGAACCAGTCGGAGTCTCGATGAGGACAGTATCCGGCGCACCCGACAAACCAGTGAAGGTGATTGTTGTCGCAACAGATACAGGCCCGCCTCTTGTGATCGTTGTCGTTTCAGGCTCGTCGTCGCCCGCGGCTGGGCCAGTCGGTGTCTCGACGAAGACGGTATCTGGCTCCCCGGGTTCCCCTGGAATAGTAACAGTTGTAGCAGCAGTTACAGGACCACCTCTGGTGATGGTTGTAGGTTCAAGATCACTACCGCCTGTAGCTGAACCATTTGGTGTTTCGATGAAGACAGTATCTGGTTCTCCAGAAACTCCTGGAATTGTGACTGTTGTGGCAGCGGTAATAGGGCCACCTCTAGTAATAGTGGTATACTCCACAGGTGTTTCGATAACCACGGTGTCTGGTCCACCGGACACACCTTGGACTGTAACAGTGGTAGCAGCAGTCACAGGTCCACCTCTGGTGATAGTGGTGTACTCCACGGGGGTCTCAATGAATACTGTATCTGGTCCTCCAGATACTCCTTCAATCGTAACAGTGGTAGCGGCTGTCACAGGACCGCCTCTGGTGATTGTGGTATACTCGATACCATCTCTGGATGACTCTACAGGTGTCTCAACAACAACAGTATCTGGTTCTCCAGGCAGACCTGGAAGCGTAAATGTTGTGGCCGCAGTAACGGCACCACCTCTAGTAATAGTAGTATACTCCGATTCACTGTCAGTAGGGGATTCCGTAGGCGTTTCAATAAAAACAGTATCTGGTCCACCAGACACGCCTTGAACCGTGACGGTGGTAGCAGCAGTAACAGAACCGCCTCTGGTAATGGTCGTATACTGGACGGTTTCTCGAGAGGACTCTTCAGGTGTCTGAACAACTACAGTGTCTGGTTGTCCAGGTTCACCGGGGATAGTAATTGTCGTAGCGGCCGTGACGGGGGCACCTCTCGTGATGGTGGTATACTCGACTTCAGCGTCGCTGGGGGACTCTGTGGGCGTCTGAATGAAAACTGTATCTGGCCCGCCAGATATACCTTGAACTGTAACGGTAGTGGCAGCAGTCACTGAACCGCCTCTAGTGATAGTCGTATACTGAATATCGGAATCCCTAGAGGACGTTGCAGGTGTCTCAACAACAACAGTGTCTGGGTCACCAGACGCTCCAGGGATAGTAAACGTCGTAGCGGCCGTGACAGGGCCACCTTGAGTAATTGTAGTGGCCTCGTCCTGGCCAGCTGTAGAAATCGGTGTTTCGACGAGAACTGTATCGGGCTGGCCTGATATGCCAGGGATAGTAATTGTCATTGCGACTGAGACTGAGCCGCCTCTAGTGATAGTTGTGTACTCAACATCAGAATCTCTAGAGGTTTCTGCAGGTGTCCCAACAACAACGGTGTCAGGTTCACCAGATGCCCCAGGGATAGTTAGTGTCGTAGCGGCTGTGACAGAGCCACCTCGAGTAATTGTGGTCGCTTCATTCTGGTCAGCTGAAGATGTTGGTGTCTCGACGAGAACAGTATCGGGCTGATCTGATACGCCGGGAATAGTAATTGTCGTTGCGACTGAGACTGGTCCGCCCGTAGTAATTGTAGTAGGCTCATTTCCATTCGCTGGTGCAGTTGGCGTCTCAACATAAACCGTGTCCGGCTGGCCTGATTCACCTGAGATGGTAACAGTTGTTGGTACGGCGGCCGGCCCACCTCTAGTGATCGTAGTAGCTTCAACTTTATCGCCAGTCTCGGAAGCTATACTGTCAACTGTAGTCGTTGGCGTCTCAACGAAAACTGTGTCCGGCTCTCCTGGTGCACCTGGAATAGTAACGGTAGTTGCCGCTGAGACTGGGCCACCTCTAGTGATCGTGGTAGCTTCAATAGCATCACCAGTCTCTGAAGCCTCGGTACCGTCTGTGCTAGTCGAAGTCACGACGAAGACTGTATCTGGTTGGCCTGATTCACCAGGTACAGTAATCGTTGTTGTCACCGTGCCCGGGCCACCTCTAGTTATTGTGGTAGCTACGATAGTGTCTGAAGCTGTAATATCGGCTTTGGTAGTTGGGGTTTGGATGAAAACCGTATCTGGCTGTCCTGGTGCACCGGGAATGGTGATTGTTGTCGCAACTGATACTGGTCCGCCACGTGTAATAGTAGTAGCCTCCAACTCTTCCGCACTCTCCGTAGATGCGCTGTCGACTGTTGTAGCAGGAGTTTCGACGTAGACTGTATCCGGTTGACCTGATACACCAGGCACAGTTATTGTTGTCGCAACTGAGACTGGCCCTCCACGTGTAATAGTAGTTGCATCAACTGTGTTACTACCAGTCGAGTCACCAGCTGATACGGTTGGGGTTTCCACAAATACCGTATCTGGTCCTCCCGATGCACCAAGGATAGTGATTGTAGTTGCGACGGTAACGGGCCCACCTCTAGTGATCGTCGTGGCTTCAACTTCATCATCATCGGTCTCTGAAGCTGCATCATCAGATATAGTGGGTGTCTCCACGTAAACGGTATCTGGCTCTCCAGATACACCAGGAACAGTGACTGTTGTTGCGACAGAAACTGGCCCACCTCTGGTAATAGTTGTGGCTTCGACTCCTGCGCTCCTTGGTGCCTCGACCACTACTGTATCAAGCTCCCCAGAGACTGTTGCAGAAATGTACAAAGTTCGAGGAGCAGTGACCGAGCCATCAGTGTAGACTGTGGTCGCGGTTCTGGGAGACACCACAATGACAGTACCTGGCTCACTGGGATTGTCGGGAGGGAAGTAAAACGTCTCTGTAGCTGTTCCGGGAGAGTTGGTGAAGATAGTAGTGTTTCCAGGTTGACCGGTGACAATGGGGCCATCTGTGATGGTTCCAGTCTCGGGTACACCTGTTTCTCCCTCGTCGTTTGTAGGTGTCTCAATGATAACAATGCCTCCTTCGCCAGACGCTGTGGGCGGTATGTATATAGTCGTTGTGGCACTGGCCGGGCCTCCACGAATGATAGTAGAGTTACCACCCGATCCGGTAGGAGCAATTGTGGTTGCATCATCATCATCAGTATCACCAGTTGGATACTCGACGATAATGGTTCCACTCTCCCCTGATGCTGTTGGCGCAATGTAAATAGTGCTTGTAGCTGAACCAGATCCACCACTCGTGACGGTAACATTGCCTGGAACAGTGATAGCACTAGGATCGCTACCAGTTTCTGAAGGTCCCGAATTATCATCATCCTGCGTAGGAGTCTCAATGACAATTGTACCAGGCTCATCAGCTATGGTAGCAGGAATATAACGAGTCTGAGTAACTGTGGCAGGACCACCAGTGACAATTGTAACGTTTCCGATACCCGTAGCCTGAGGCCCAGATGTTGGGGTCTCAATTACCACAGTGCCCTGCTCCCCTGATACAGTAGCAGAAATATATCGAGTCGTCGTAGACGAAGCAGGTCCACCAGTGTAAATTGTTACGTTGCCTCCAGATGTGACAACAGGAGTTGGGCTACCTGCCTCTGTGTCTGTAATTTCAGCAGACAAATTGTCTGGGTCAGATGTGGGTGTTTCAACAATGAGTGTGCCGGCTTCACCTGACGCAGTAGGGGGGATGTATATAGTCCGGGTGGTTGAGCCTGAGCCACCTCTGACGGTGGTGATCGTCGTAGCTGCCTCTATCACATCTACCTCGGTGATAGAGTCTGTCTCGGAAGCTTCTCCAGTCTCTTCTGCATCTTCATCGCCAGTGGTACTGGCCTGAGACCCATCAGTTGGGGTGACGATGATCAAAGTACCAGGTTCATCCGAAGCAGTAGGAGGGATGTACACTGTCCGAGTGGTTGAGCCTGGGCCACCTTGGGTCACAGTAGTGGTTGTAGTTGCTGAGATGAAATCGCCATCGGGATCAATTGGATCCACTGTCTCTTCTGCGTCTTCATCATCAGTGGTAGTGACCCCAGACCCCTCGGTCGGGGTGATGATGACAAGTGTCCCAGCCTCTCCAGAGACTGTTGGAGGAATGTAACTGGTGATGGCAACAGAAGCGGGTCCACCCCTGAAGCTTGTCACGGTAGTGGCAGCTGAGATGATATCTCCATCATCATCAGTATTGCCGGATCCACCGGTAGGTACCTCAATTACGATAGTACCAGGTTCGCCCGACTCCGCGGGAGGTATATATATGGTCCGAGTAACTGTTCCTGCCACGCCACTGGAAATAGTAACATTGGGAAGGACTCCAGGAGGTAGGGTTGTTTCTGTGGTTTCATCAGAACTACCAGATTCTGTGGCAGGCACTTCAATGTAGAGTGTGCCAGGATCACCGGTAATCGCAGGTGGAACATAGTAAGTCGTTGCCCTCGTGCCAGTACCTTGAATAGAGAGAGTTATAGTCTCCTCGGCGGAGATGGCATCCTCAGTTGTGAGAGCATCGGGATTAGCGGTGCGACCACTACTAGAGGATCTTGAAACGGGTGTTTCAATGACAACTGTTCCTGGCTCGCCTGAAGTCTTGGGTGCAATGTAGGATGTCTCTGTTGTCGTCGCTGTGCCAGGTCTGAAAAGAGTAAAGTTGGCTGTTCCAGTGACCGAGGCAATTGTTGTTTGAAAGCCAGGAACAGTTGCTGCAGTTCCAGTTTCTTCCAATTCGGTCTCTGAAGCTGGAGTCTCGATGACAACGGTCCACACGTCACCGCTTGATGTCGGCGGGATGAAGATGGTCCGTCGTGTAGAACCTTCACCAGATCTATAGAGTGTGAGATTTCCGTTGGGGTCAGGGGAGATAATGTCGGTGGGAGCTGGTGTGATGACCGCATCAGAGTCCGTACTCTCATTTTCATCATCGGGAATTGGGTCATCGTCCGTCTCAGAGGCAGGATTCTCAACAATAAATGTACCAGGCTCTCCCGGGACACCGGGTGGGATGTAGATAGTTGTCGCCACTGTTCCGGTGCCCTGTGTAGTAATGGTGGTACCAGATCTAGTGTCCGCATCGGTAGTAGAGTCGGCACCAGCGGCAGGAAGCTCAACGACAAAAGTGCCAGGCTCATCAGGTGAGTCCGGAGGGTAGTAGATAGTTGCCGTGGTTAATCCAGTTCCAGTAGCATATAGTGTAGTAAATGCTGTCGCAGTCACTGGTGGAGTCACGCCGGTTGGTGTCTCTATGATGACAGTACCAGGTAGATCAGAAGCACTAGGAGATATGTAGAACGTCCTCCTACCAAAACCACTGCCAGCTCTGAAGATGGTGATATTGGCTGTTCCAGTAATTGCAGGGGCAGTAGCAAGCACATCATCGTCTCCGCGGGCGGTTGCTCCTTCGGATTGGGTTTCAGAGACTGGAGTCTCAATGATAGCGGTCCAAGGATCTCCAGTAGACCGAGGTGGGATGTACAGCGTTGTTCTGAATTGGCCTTGACCTTCTCGGAAGAAAGTAACTGTTGGTACGGCTCCGTTGGGCTCTTCGGTGGTTTGGGTGCCATCTTCTGTGACACTGTCTGCAGGGATTCCTGCGGACATATCAGTGGCGGTCTCACTTTCATCTTCCGTGTTGGATCCAGAGCCACCCGTTGCAGTTGCCGAGTCGTCATCATCTCCATCTTCATCAGTAGTACTAGTTTCTACGGGTTCACTTCCTTCTGTGCCGCTTGTCTCATCTGCATCATCAGAGTCTGTCTCTGTTACTTCGCCATTCGAAGCACCAGACGAGTTATCGGGTTCAGCAGTTACGCTACCAGTAGGTTCATCTGTGATAATATCTTCTGTCTCGGTATCAAGATCATCGTCATCTGAGGCGATACTTGGTAATGGGCTGGTGGGAACTGGCATTTGAGGAGTGATCATACTGGTATCATCCTCATCTGAACCAGGCTCTCCGGTCTCTTCAGCACCATCTGACAAAGTCTCAGAGCCAGACTCTTCACCATCGGGGTCTTGAGATGCAGCACCATCGGTCGCACTAGTTCCCGCATCATCATCTCCACCAGTTATAGACGGTTCGTTGTCAGAACCACTTGAAGATTGTTCTGTGTTGGAGTCTTCGGACGAGGTAGCATCAGATGGTTCAACAACAATTGGCGCACCATTAGAAACCACTGTTGAAGGCTCAGAATCGTCGTCATCGACAGTCGTTGAACTTCCTGGACCTCCTGCAGGCTCTCCAGTGAGAGCTGGCTCACTGGAAGACGAGTCAGTGTCTTCGTCTCCACCACCAGCAGTGGCAGTTGATCCAACAGATAGTGAAGCGGTCTCGCTGTCAGAGTTCGACTCTCCGGCCGACGCCGTCGACTCTTGGTTGTCAGCCTCAGAACTGCTAGTTGTGGTGCTTGTTCTGCGAGCTGTAGTCGTCTCTTCATCACCCTGGGGTACGCGATCGGACTCAGCCACGCTTTGAGAACCAATGAGTGTGTCAATATTGATCACCTCTTGTGTTGTAGTAGTGGAAGTCCGCGCTGTTGTCAGAGACGAAGACGGCCTAGAAGAGGTAGTAGAAGATCCTTGACCTGCTGTGTCGCCACCAGGTCGGGTGTTCACATTCGGTAGCGTTGTATCTCCAGGACTTCTGGTAGAAGAGTGGGATGTTGAAGATGCAGTGACTGAGCTACTTCGTGTGGTGCTTGAAGTGGCACTCGCCTGGACATCATCAGATCTAGACCCGAGGCCTTCGGGCTGACCGCTGAGAAATGCAGTTGAGGATGTGGACCGTGATGCTTGCGATGAAATAGAGGCTGAGCCACCCGATCCCTGGCCAGGTCTTGATGAAACTGAAGTGCTTCTAGAAGTAGATGTAGTCGTTCGGGCTCTTGATGGGGAAGCAGCGGTCTCATCTGAACCTCCATTGGCATTAGATGATCGCCTACTCGAGCTTTTTGTGGTCTGAGAGGTAGTTGCAGTCGATCTGCGACTTGTTGTGCTCAGACCACTACCACCGGGTCGAACAGCTGTATCTGGTGAGCCAGAGGCGTTTGAACCGGACGATACAGCATTGGTATCCTCAGGGCCTGGACCTGGAGAAACCTGAGGCGGTTCATTCGACTGAACTGTAGAGGCGGCAGGTTCTGGATCTCCATTACCGTTGGCGTTGGAAGTAGAGGTCCGTCTAGAGCTTGTAGATCTGCTGTTGGCAGGTCTCACGAAAGTTGTGCTGCCCGCGACGCCTTGACTACCGCTGTCTAATCCCTGCAGATCACCACTGATAGTACCACTTCGTCTAGTGGTTGTAGATCGGCGGGTGGATGACTTGCCATCGCTGAGGGTCTCGATAATGTTGGAGGTGATGGTGAAAACACTGGTGCCAGAGGTCACAGTGTATGTTACATGTCTGGTCATCACGCCTGGAGATTTAGTCCAGGATGAACTTCGTGAGGTGCTTGATCGGCGACTTGAAGATGACCGACTTGACTCATCATCGCCATTATCTTCACCTCCAGGACTACCATCTCCACCCTGGGTACCTCCATTGATGGGGTCATCATCGTCGTCATTGTCACCATCGTCATTGGAGGCGCCTCTGGTGTTTTGAGAAGCACCAGCAGATCTTGTACTGCTTCTGCCCTGGCCACTTCCGGATCCTCCTCCATTACCACCTTGGGAGCCGCTTAAGTCGTCACCGTCGTCAGAGGAACCGTCGTTATCGTCTCCTGGCCGTCCACCATTGCCAGAAGTATTTCCGGTACCTGAACCTGAACCTGAACCTGAACCTGACCCAGACGATGCACCGTTTCCAGATGAATCACCATCGCCATCGCCATCAACTTCTCCGTCTCCGTCAGCGCCTTGCGATCCAGATCCGTTGCCTTGTACATCTCCACTTCCCGGTTCATCATCGTCATTGCCGTTAGACCCTCCATTGTTGGAGCTGCTTCCTTGGCCTGAGTTAGATCCAGATCCTGACGATCCAGAGCCAGAGCCAGAGCCAGAGCCAGAGCCAGAGCCAGATGAGCCACTTCCACTTCCGCTCTGGCCATTGCCGCCACTGGAGCCACCTTGGTTCCCTGTACTAGATCCCCCGGTAGGCTGAGTCCCAGCAGGAGAGTCGTTGGAGTCGTCATCAGTCTGCGAATTAACTTGCCCGTCAGGTGTCAAGACAAGAACAGTGCCAGGTCTGCCACCTTCAGGCGGGATTGTAAGTGTCTCTCGAGGGCCATCACCATCACCCTGCCCTTGACCTGGTCGACCTTGAACTCCTCCAAATTCAAATCCGTCATCATCCTCAGATCCATTTTGACCATCGCTACCGCCATCGGCCGAACTACCTCCAGAGCCACTTCCAGAGTTGCTGATATCATTAGACACGCCTCGGGTAACTGTTGTGTAAGGAATAGCTCCATCTGGGCGAGTGCGCGTGGGTGGTATAGTTGCACCAGCAGCATCGGTGACTGCTCCGCCACTGGGTTGTCCATTGTTACCTCCAGGAGGGGTCTGAATGAGAACAGTACCAGGCTTAGTACCAGTCGGTGGGATCGTCGTTCGGACGGGTGCTGTCGGGGTAACACTACCTTCGGCTGGCTCGATTATGGTCACGTAGCCAGTAGCATCTGTAGGTTGGAGAGTAATTGTTTGGCCAGCGAATAAACCCAATGAGCTTAGAGGGTTGGAAGACAAGGTCTCGAGACTTGCTGGCCTGAAAAGCCCTGGGATGGGTGTTTGGATGATGATAGTACCAGGCCTGTCGCCACTGGGTGGAACTGTAATACGGATTGGAGTTGTACCAGTGAATGAAGCACCCGCTGGTTGTAGCACCGTGACGTAGTCGCCTTCAGAATCAGGTTCGAGGGTGATACCTGCAGTATTTTCTCCGTTGAATGAAGAGGCGGGAATATTAATAATGACTGATCCCCGGTTCGTTCCGGTTGGTGTAATGGTGATGAGCTGCAGTGATGCCAGTGTGCCAGCCACGGGCTGTAGAACCGTTACATACCCCGTCGAATACTGAGGCTCCAGTGTCACTGGAAACAAGACTCCAGGTGTAAGACCGGCAGCGGCAGTCTCTGGAGTCTCGATGATAATTTGTCCTGGACGGCCATCTCTTGGTGGAACAACCTGTGTGATGGGTGCAGATATGCGCCTTGACCCTTGGTATGGTCGGATAATAATCGAATAAGGGCGATCATCTGTAGCAGGAATTACCACATTCTCAGGCGCTGAAGAGCCACCCGGCTGTTCAACGATGACAATACCAGGTTCATCACTCTGTGGAGGGACAGTGTACAAGGCAGTGACCGACCCTCTGTAAGGCTTTGTAATGGTGATGTACTCATCGTCTGCAAGGACAGGATACACTGAGACATAGGTGTAACAAACCCCTGAGAATTCATTGTTAATACCGAGAACCGACCTATCATTTTGCACGCCAAATTGGCCGTGGCATGTGCCTGCCAAGCTGGCGATGAAAAGATGGCGTAACACCTCGAACAAAGGCCGCATTGTCATAACGGCTTATGCACAAGATGCATGAAAGAATAAAGTAAAAAATTGATAGTTTGAGAAGCGAAAAAAGAGATTCACCTGTTTCCCGCGAGGAATCGCTGGCAAGAGTCACAGAGGGTTATAAGATTGTTGATCCCATCTTTGACATCCGCATTGGGTTTCTGGGTGGCTGTATCACAAAGCACCGTTGATGTATAGATGAAATCATGATACAGAAATTCTACGGCTTACAAAGGTATTGTTGAACTGAATCTGGGTTGCCAAGGGAAAGCCTTCATGCCAATCAAGAACAGTGACAGCGGTATGGATTCCGTTCTCTCGCATACTGACACACGCGTTCCTGCATAAAAGGATAAAAGAAAGCCAAAAACATTTTTTTAGTGAGAAACGATAGGTCAGTCTCGAACGAATGGGTGTTTCGGGGTCGGGCAAGAGTCCGTGGAATGTTGAAAAGATCTTGTACCATTCTGGATGGGGACGAAAAGGTGTAATAAGAGGAGGGTTGCCATTTGATTGTGCAATCGTAACATTCACTACATTGTGTACTGTATGGAGTACCTAGTGTACAAGACGCCGTAGCACAATGCCACTGGAGAAGCTTGAAATATCCTCGCAGCACAAGTTGATCCCAGACTCTACCCAACAAGAAACCGGACACAGCAATGTCACTGCGCTTTGACACTGGTGTTACTGGTCAGTATACGAGTACCAGCACGTCAAGAATATTTGGCAAGATCATCGAGTCGAGAACAGCGATCTGAGACAAAATGACAGCCTCTGGATATTATCATGTCTCATATTGACATGTTTCCCAGATTTCATCTCCCTCCTGACGTTCCACTAGTCACGGGAGCCGACCCTTTATTCGAGGGAACTAACAATTCTGACAGAAGCTTATCTTGGCTCTTAAGGCAGTAGCCTACCAGTCTCGTCAGCATCTCTAGCACAAGGCTGAAGTAATGGGCGGCCGCCGATCTCTATTTCATTACATGATTAAAGTCAGAAAGGTCGGCACATTCCAAGATCTGTCACATCTCAATTTATGTGCCTTGATAACCTGGTTACACAAGGTAGAGAAAACGCACCAATGATCGTTCTTGACTCAGATTAGCGTCGCCAATGGGAGGAAACGCTCCCGCGACTTGGCTGCGAACGGTTACTTTACGATCTCAGTGTCTAAATCCGGTTTGGATCCGAGGGAGAGGTCTGAGCCCCTTACGCAGGATTTCCCCATGACCCTTGCATTAACCACTCCGAAAGGAGATGTGGCTGGATATTATGAACCACAACGTAAAGACAGCAATGAGATTGCGAGATTGATGATACTCTCAAGGTAAGAAGGGAACAGGACGGTTCTGTTAGCTGCTGCACCAGGTCCATCAACATCACTACTTATAGCAGTAGTCCGACCCTTACATTTCATGTCAATTGTAAAACATATTTGCCAGAACGGTGTGGATCTAGACCTACATGTAGAGGTTCAGTTCTCACCAGCATTTCTCGACTAGCGCCTCTTCTTGGCGATGACTGCTCAGATTCCGAATGGCCCGGATCAGCACGAGGGCCCTGAAGACGGTTGTCCTTTCTTGTTGTTAGTTTGGATTCCGTATGCCAAGCATTTCTTCGACAAGTAACGGTTAATACAGCTGGCGTTGCTCTGTCTCAGAGACATTGCTCTAAAGGCGGCCGCCCTGCCAACGAGATTGACATTGAATAAGGAACTTGTTCAGCTTGTCAGGGATCATCCAAGAGAAAGTTGCTTTCAGCTTGGGGCTGAGGCTCCATGTACCTGGGAATTTTTATGCCAGGCACGAGATCTGATCTACATGTTGATGTGAGATCAGGCATAAACTCTATGCTGACAGGGATTCAGGGCGATCTCTGCTTTCGTGTGGTGGTTGTGTCATCATAACCGTGTAGATCTTTGACGAATCCTTGGTTACTAACTGAGCGACTGTAGATTATCTATTATGGGACATTGGCATTAGTAATGGAATCTCATGCTTTTCTGTTCATCAATTCCTTGGTAGTTTGGGAAATTGGCAGACACTGTAACTATCGCCTCAAGTTGCTATTTCGCTATTCAGTTATTCAAGACAACATGCTAGATAACTTGGGATCTAGTTTTTTCAACCGCCCCTACCACCATCTTGCCAAATATTGGTTAAGGGCCTGGGCCAATATCAAAAGTATGTGAACAGAAAGCTGAGAACTGTTTTGCGAATGTTCTTGTCAGTCTATGGAGACCAATTATGCATCCTCAGAAACCAAGACAGCCATGGGTCCAGTACCGGAAGTCTACATTAGTTTAGTGTATCTCGATAGGGAAAATAAAGTTGTGATTTTGATCTAAAGGCATGTCACTTTGAAACTAGCAAGATCTACATCAAGACCGTTTTTGGATGGGGATTCAAAGGAAACATTGCGCATGGTGAAGTCGTGGCTTGATGAGGCGTCGACAGTGACCTTTTGTCAGTGGCCAATCAACCGAAACAGGGAGTTCAGTGGATATGCGAGGTGTTTGTTGATGAGCTATTGGAAGGGGAAGTGCAGGGTATGCAGTGTCGGTTTACTTGATGGGTATGTCCTCAATGATGACTTTTTCGGCGTGCAGGTAATGCCGGTTTACAACGAAGGGATTCTCGACGTGAATCTATGTTCAAGTGTTGACTCACTAGAAAACTATGGGCGCTATTTGATGTTGAGTTTGTGTCGTGTGGTGTGAGTCATTGCTGAGTAGGTGACTGTTTTTACACAATCGTATTTTTGTAAGTCTACTAACAAAGTCCCGAGGACAACAAAGATATCTGGCATCCAAGGTTAACACACAAATGCATTTCTAAGTCAAAGAATTTATTACTTGTAGAGCAACCTGGGACTTACTGGTCTGAATAATTAACGAATTTGTAAAATTTTATATATGATTTCCCGTCGAGATGGCATATTCTGAGTTATAGAAATCATTGCTCAGCTACCTAATACCAAGTAGAAGATTCACCTCTCAACCAATCAGAGCCACGCCCGGTTAGCTCAATCGGTAGAGCGTGAGACTCTTACGAGTACGCGATCTCAAGGTTGCGGGTTCGACCCCCGCATCGGGCTGTTCCTATAAAAACGATTGCAAACATGCGAGGCATTTCTTTTTGCATTTTTATATCTTGAGTTTGTTGAATATCTTTTTTGAGAGAGCCAGAGAACTATGAATGCGGGATATTTACAGTATGGGAAGCTGAGTTGAAAGATGAGCCAAGTCGCTAGTGCTGCATCTAGAAATAACTAATCCTCTTACAGTAGGTATCTATACAGGGTCCTGGGTCCTACAGGCCTCCTGCGAGTATTTCCATTTCACTGCCAGGTTGCTATTGCTGATCCTGTCGTCTGACCAACAAAATGCCGCAGCTGAATATGTCCAACTGCACATCATCAATCAACATTAGGCATCAATCTTACAGATGATTGTCTCGCCCATCATGTGATACAGCCCGGCGGCAGGCAACACAGCCTATCCTTGCTTTCTTCCAGTGGATCACCAGGCCTGTAATCCCTCTAATAACGTCATGCCGTTCTACCCTCCCGCCGCTACTCATCTTTAGCTCCAAACCGGTTTATCAGTTAAATATCAACTGGTGCCTTTTCAAGGACCCTGAATTATAGTGCACTTCTTTTTTTGGACCAAAATGCCAAAGAGAATACCATCCACAAAGACAAGACCTGCTCCGGTTAGGAGACCTTCTGCTACCTCCCATGGGCCACCTCCACCTCCACCCTCTAATCCAGGACCCTTGAGGCCGCCTTTGAATCCAAACCAAAGAGCGAGATCTCATGAGACTGAGAGTCGTAGGCCACGATATCCCCCTGCGGCAGGAAGTCCAAGACACTCATACTATGATCGTCCTGCACCACCAAAACGGAGGGACTCAGGATGGAGATCTGTATCTCCTACCGGTCGAGCTCCTCCTCCTCCTCCCCCACATCCAGAAAGAATCCTCAGACGTCGCGTGACAAGAGATTCAGATTGGATGTCAGAGGATGAGAGTAGACCTACTTCTCATCGACAAACTCCAAGCCCAACTCGGCGCCCAAGGCAAGATTATCGACCTCATGGACACGAAACACCACCATGGCCCAGTTCCCCCAAACCGACCAACGCAAGGCCTGCGATGAGGTCTTACCCAACCGACAGCTCCCGGCCTGACCCCAGACGATTTCATTCTTACGAGGCACCACCTTCGCCAAAGCGTCCCCCCGGAGCAGGCAAACGGTCCCCACCTTCAGGATACAGACCAGCGCCTAATCTAGCTGCAGACATGCTTCGAGGAAGGACTCGATCAAGGACAAACTCACCGCTGAGTAACCAAGAGACTCCCCGGCCTTCAACTCACGAGAGACGACCAAGTTACAACAATGCTTCCCCACGTCATTCTCCCAGGACACAACCGGCCAAGCCCGCAAAACAGAACAAGTCTGAACAAGCTGCGAAACCCGATGCGCAAAAGAAAGGATTTGATTTTATGAAGCATCTTCCTCAAGCATTTGCCACCTACGCTGGCATAGAAGCTCTAAGCGAACACGCCGAAACGGCCAAAGATTGGGCAGACTGGTTCATGAACCTCCGCAAAACACCTGAAGAGATCCACGGGCTATCAGTAAAAGCAACAACAGCCAGAGACACAATCACCCAAATTCAAAAAACACTAGAAGCACGGCCTGATATCATCGATGGAGATGATGCTCGTCCTATGAGGAGGCAAATCGACGAAGCTATCAGGAATGCCACTACTGCTTTGGACAAGATGACAAAGTTGCTCCAAGAGATCAGTAGTGATGGTCTAGAGGGTACCAAGTTTGCAAGTCTCGAGGAGTTTTATAATTCCTACAAGTACAAGGATGAGTGGGAGGAAAAGATTAAGCTTGCTGATACTGATGTTGAAAAGGAATTGGCAGCTTTGAGTAAGCTCATGGTCAACATTTATGCGTAAGTTTAGTCCACCCTTACCCATGTAATTACTGACTTCTTCTTCAGGCGTGCTCTTATGAAGCCTCCTCCACCAGGCTTTGAGAATCCGATACCCCCACCAGCTCCTGGACATACATCTGCCTCACATGATGCAAGACGTCCAAGTGCTACAAGTCGTGGATCGAGGTCAAGGGTCGCTTCACCAATCTTGGAGCCTCCGCCAGTTGGACAGCATCGGAGGTCCATAGAGGTTGAAGACGATGAGCCGATACATGCTGAAACCACTAATGGTGTGAAAAACGGGTTAGCTCCAGATATAGAAGTCAAAGAGCAGCCGGTAGTACCCAAGGAGGAGGAAAAGACTGTTAATGGCGGAAACACCGATGTTGAAGATGCTGCTGATACGTTATCGACAGAACCCAAAGGTGTCAAGCTCAAAGTTGACGATGGTCCGCTCAAGACAGACAACAGCCCAGAAGACATTTTACCAGCACCAGCTAAAGGTCCGGAAATTTCGAAGGACCAAGACTTGCCCAAGAAAGAAGAACCGACAGGTATAAAACCGGCAGAGCCAACATCAACAGCAGCCCAAGCCCCTAAGCCTTCATCACCAGCCAAGACTCCTGAAGATAGTCTACTCGACGCGGCTTGGAACGGCGACATCCAAGCCTGCAACGAAGCTCTCCGTCATACATCCCCAACAACCCGCGACTCCCATGGTCTCACACCCCTCCATCTCGCCGCAGAACGCGATCACCTCGCAATAGCAATGCTCCTCCGCGACAGCGGCGCATCCGCCTCTTCCCGCACAAAAGACGGGCGTACACCTCTCCACCTCGCATCCCGCTACGGTTCTTCTGCTATTGTAGAGTTTCTACTAGATGATGCAAATGCTGATCCGAATGCCAAGACTGTCGATGGACGAACACCTCTGCACTATGCTGCGAGTGCAGCGGCAGATGGGGATGAGGAGAAGAGGGAGGTTGTGAGACTGTTGAGAGATTATAAAGCGGATCCGACTGTTAAGGATGGGAAGGGAAGAACGGCGAGGGATGTTGCGCAGAAGAGGGATTATTGGGATGTTTCGGCTACGTTGAGAAGGGCGGAGAAGAAGTGGGAGGAGGAACATCATCAGAATTGGTTTCAGAGGCATGGACTTAAGCGATGAGATCGATAAGATGAAGTTTAGAGATGAATAATTCGATTGGATGTTTAGATTAGATCTAGCCACTGAATTTATCTCTATCTTGTCTATACTCAGAAGATTTGTTTGTACAAGATAGAAGCAAGGATTGTACAACTAAAGAGAATTGATAGACTGGAAAACATTGAATCTCCATCAGTGGTTCGTTTGCATACAACCTTATACACAGCTAAACATCGCAAATGATTAAATAAATCAGATATTACAATTAGAGAAGACCATTTATCTACTTTTCATTAATAGTAATAATTCTCTGACTATTTATCAAGGCTAGTAGGGCCTTCCATCAGGCCTTCCATTGTCCCATGCGGATGAAAGGAAAAGGGCACGTGGATGACCCCACCATCACCTCACCTCACCTCACCTCACCTCACCTCACATTTACCCCTCCTATTTCAACATCGTCTCATATCGCAAGCATCTTCCTTCCTTATCATATCCTCAAAATGGCTTCCAAAATTCACAACGTGACAGAGTTTTCATACGTTACTCTCAAGCAAGGCATAAACGTCTTTGACGAATCCGCCGCCGCCAAGACTTATCAAAATGTCATCGACACAGCGCTAAGACAACCAGGTGCACGAAGAGTCTACACCAGTCTTGAGGTTGAAGACCCTTCCAAGTTGTGGTTGTTCTTGGACTGGGATACTCTTGAGGATCATTTGAATTATCCCAAGAGCGCGTGAGTTTGATGATGAAGATATAGGATGGGTAGTGCTGACTTGATAAGTGATCATGCCCCTATCATAGAATCTCTCCAACCTCTGGCCGATTTTGAAAATTCTATGAACAAGCACGTCACCCTCAACCCCTTTCCCCCAGAGGACGTCCTCGATAGCGCTAGTTCCCCGGTGACAGAGGTCCTCGTTGCTTTCTTTCCTTCAGACTACTCCATCTCAGCTCGGGCCTCCGCAACACGTCGTCTGGAACAATTCGCCGCTCAAGCTCTCAAGGCATCACCAGACTGGCGGGGCATTAGCTACGGCTGGAGTGTAGAGAACGATGTGCCTATCCGTGGTGATGAGGGTAATTCAGGTGCCATGCTTGTTGCGTTTATCGGATGGCCGAGTCTGGAAGCTCATCAGAAGTTTCGTGAGACGGATGATTTTAAGCAGAATATTGGTTTGTTGAGAGAGATGGAGGGATTGTTGAAGTTGAGTGCTTTTCATGTCAAGTGTGTGAGTAAGGAGGCTGAGGGGTTGGAGGAGAGGGATGCGAAGAAGGCTGCTGAGAATGGGCACGGACATGGACATGAGCATGGTTGTGGTTCTGGTGGATGTTGTTGAGCTATGCCTAGGTGGTCTGAGATGATCAAGAGCAAGTTGAGTCGATTATAGTTATTGTACGCTTAGTCTGGGCTTGACCAAGCAGATACATAGCTTCTAAAGAAACAGAGAGCTGAATTTCTAGACTTCTAACATATGCAACTAATCCACCATTGCCCTAAACTTTAAAATTGATACTAATCTGAAACTCTTGAGACTATAATTACCCATTGATAGTATTTACTTACGGTGCACAATTGTATTTCCCAAACTACGTACTTGACCAATTATTAAATGTCCGTACTAAATACAGGGGTCTTTAGCGTCCCTTGATCTAGAACATTAACTTCCATGCTATTACGAGAGAGTGACGTAATAATAGCCAACACGCAGTAAATAATCTAATAATCTCCGAAAGCTATCAAATACACTTAATATTTACTACCCTGGATTAACACTTCAACATGGCGATCCAACATCAATTCTTCGCTGTTAAACCCGACACAAACCCGGAATTGTTTACCCAATCATTTCCCTTTATAGTAAAGCGTTTAGCTTCTATCAAAAAGGACACTAAGCAACAACTTCAACGAATCACAAGCTAGTTCGGAAAATCTCTACCGGTTCTCCTCTGCCAGATCCGATCCTCAGGGAGGCTTGTCAACTCCACGATCGAGTTTATCGTAACGTACCTTTGATCTTAGCGGCCGCTCCCCTTGCACAACTTGCAAACACCACATTACCCCGAACCCCAGGTTGTCGGGGCGCACAATCCATCGCTCTATATTCCATCTTGGTATAGCACACTACCACATGCTTGTGCTACCTACCCATCAAGCTCCAAGCTCAAGCTACGCCTTGTACAGGGCAAAGCTCCCCCCAGTAAAAACAAGCTCAGGCGCGTTCAGGGGGGGGACTCAAGTCGGCCCTTGGGCGGGCTGATCTTATAACGTCACTCTAGCCATGAGTCCTCAGTCTCAGTCTCAGTATCAGCCCATCCTTCCCGCACCAGACGCCTCGGGTGCTTCTGGCGGTCAGGACCCAGATAAACGGGTAAGTAAGCGGAGACGCGCCAACAGGCCCAATGCCTGTGAGAACTGCCGAGTGAAAAAAGCCCGTGTAAGTCTTTGTCTTTCTCTTACCCTTCCATTATCTGACCCCACCAAACGTAGTGCGACGGCAAAAGACCCAGCTGTTCAAAGTGTGAGAGATGGGGTACTACCTGCGTCTACAGTGTCGACCATGTGTCCAATGTAGAAAGGGAACTCAAGGAGCACCGTGATGTTCTTGAGCTGTTACTCTCCCTACCTGCAGACCAAGCCCTCGCTGCTCATCGCCAACTAAGAGGCGCGACTAACTTGACTGATGTCTTGTCTTCCCTCCAGGGCAGTATGCACGGGAGGCATCAACCTTCTACTATACGGACTGCCCAGGCCATATCGCCGCCCACATCATCAGGTCTCGAGTTTGAGCTGACGGTGCGGCATGGAGTCGCGTATCCCACCTTGTTTCCCTTGGACCTCGCCTCTTTAAGCGCCGATCCCAGGTTGAGGCCTATTCAGAGATCGCCAGGTCAGGTTATTCTGATTGAAGGCTCTTCACCGTCTGACAGCACCACGTCGCCTTCGACAGCATCCAGCAATAGCCACGCTACACCGAGCACGCTATCCTTCGTCAAACAAGAGGAAGAGCCCGTTGGACCCCATCGCGACACATACTGTGACGAAAGGTTACACAGATTGCGGATTGGTTACTGGACAGGCGTAGCCATTCAAGATGAAGTCGCTGCCCGTGTAATTTCGCATTACCTTCAAAGTAACCACACCATTTTTGGCTTCTTCGACCCCAACCTTTTTATACACGACCTCGTCGAGCATCGCCATGAGTACTGCTCATCATTTCTAGTGAATGCCCTGCTGGCCCACGCCTGTGTAAGTTGCCACACACTCTCGCCACACACTGTCCATCAACCGCTAACTCCACCTATAGCAAGGTTACTCGGTCGTTGACGAAACAGTCGGCGCCCTGAGTCAAGATTTCGTAAGAGACGCTGGTGTTTTGTGGCGCGCTGAGAGATCCACCGACTCGCTAGTCAACGTAGCCTCCATTCTCATGCTGAGTGTCAGTTGCCATTTACAAAGATCAGACATTGATAGTCAAGATCTTCTCGATGATGGACGTGTAATGGCTGAGCGGATGAAGCTTTTCGGTGTGCGGCATACGCCGGAAAATGCTGCGTCTTTTGAAGCTATGGAGCCTGATGCGAAGCGTGCAACGGCGCACACTGCCTGGGGCGCCTACAGCTACCTCACGTAAGTTTCTTATTCCCATACTCTAATCCAAGGCTAAAACCTCACAGACTCAACTCGTTCTGGGTTCCAACGAGACCCATTACTTTCCCACCCATGTTTCCCGTTCCGGGGAGAAACGATCAAGATGTGTTAGATGAAAGGTTAGCAGTTCATTGGCCTTGTCACTTCATACCTGACTATACAGGCAAAACGTTTCAAGCGCTATGTGAGCTGTGGACCATAATGCAAGAGGTTGTGGCTGTTTACTTTGCCCAGCAGGGTGCGACCATGAGGATTCCTCTTGCTTTCGTCGAAGCAAAATATCAGAAGATTTTGTCGTTTACAGACTCTTTACCACCGGAGATGTCTTCTATCGACCCAGGTAATATGTCTGACCATGTTTTGGCGTTCAAGTAAGAAATGATTTGTCCCTCTGAGTTGATATTTCTAATCTTTGGATAGCATTCTAGTGCATGTCGCCATTACAAATATCTTTCATCCTTTCATCATGGATCCTAATAATGAGCATCTTGACCCTGCTTCTCTCGAATCTCCGAAAGCTGTTTTACGCGCTTCGATTAACCAGCTTCAACGTCTCATCCTCATTAGCAGGCTTCACCATCCGAAAGCCCACGCCCTTAGCGTTCTAAGCTCGGCTGTGGTGCACGTGAGCAACACGATCATCCGAGATGCAGCACTTCAAAACCAAACTATACGGCCCGACTTTAGTATCACCGATCAAGACAGTACTGATAGAAACCCCAACTGGTATTTCTATTTCTTGGTGTGTTTAGCAGCATGTCAAGATCTAGGGTCTTGTTTCCCTGTTTTCGAACCAGTTGGAAAGGGACTGCTCGCCATGGCTCTACGTGATGGTAGTATGTCAGCTGTCGAGGCCAATAGACTTATGCGTGCTCTGGAAGGAAAACGACCGAAGCCGGAAGAGAAGAAGGGTGAATTTGGGAGTTTTGTACTGGATTTCGATCTGGAAGCTACAAAGCAGGGAGGTGGACAGGTCAAGGATCTGGCAGCGCAGTTTGAAGAGTTTAGTATGCATAGCGAGTTTACGGAAGGAGGAGATTTTGTGGTTGATTGAACTAATGATACACGAATTAGATGAGATGGTATGGGTAACTTTTAATGAAACAAGAAATATACATGAATCAATATCAAAGGCCGTTGACGGAGTGACTTGCTTATGTGACTGTAGCCGAGTATAGCATAGACTGCTTCCGAGAAGGGCCTTGGAAACTCCAAGTTTAGTAATGACCGTTTTGGAAAACCGAGAGCGTTTATTTTGTTATTAAATTGCCGGTAGAGGCTTGTTGTGAAACAAACTCTGATGCCACGTCTTGAACGACGGTAGACAGAGCCTTCACTCAACTCATCCTCTCCCGACGCCGATGGGATTCCCATCAATGGACTCGGTCCGACTGAATATTAACTTAAACAATTTCCCTATTAATACCATCCTTATACAAAGCTTCCATCAATATCAGTATCCGATTTATTGCAACTAATTAACCTTTTATCTTTATCATTTTCCATGTGTCTTCCGAAAATAGTGGATCTCTTACCCTAGATCTTTAACTCTGATCACGTATCCAAACCGACCCCCATTCGGAATCCTCCTTGGATCTCAACGAAAACAGGGGTTCAATCCAATCTAATCCAATCCCGGATCCTTCGCCTCGCCTCGTCTCGCTTCGTTTCAACTTGACGACCTCTTTTCAAAGACGATCGATATTAATGACGATTAAAAGACAAGATCTATTAGCCGAAAAAAGCAAGCAAGAAACTCAAAACAAAACAAACCGTTCCTGAATAAACAACTGGGCGCACAACGCTCAACAGACCTCCTCCAACTGAATATCAACCCGTTGAAATCCTCTACGACGCCGCAATCTTCGTCCTCCACTGCCGATCACACACTCCCCGACCCTCGACCCCTCCCTATCTCTCAGTCAACCTCCTGAAAACCTACGGGTACGAGTAGTAATCTCTCACAATGGCGCCCAAACCACCAAACTCAAACGGAGCGCCCATCTTTTCAACATCCATCTTCTCCTCCTCAAACTCCGCCTCTCGTCCTACGACCCGCGAAGGCACCCTCGATCCTCTCAACACAAACATCCTTCCCAAAGACCGCAAAGCTTCCTTCTCCCGCAAAGCCTCCCTTGGTAGTCGTCGCGGTAGCTCTTTAGGTACAAACGCTTTCGTCACGGATGCAGCTGCCCCTCCCGCTCTGCCTGATTACGCGCTTTCTGCTGCTGCAAAGATTGCGCCGCGACCGTCGGAAAGTGAACCTTCAGCTGCTACGCCGTTAGATACACAGATGCTGAGTCGCAGCGCGACCGGGTCGACGACCCTTTATGGAGGGGGTGTGCCGAGTACGCCGCTGGGCCTTATGCCAAATGGTGCGGTGGGAACGGCGGGAATGTGGCAGCAGAATGAAGCGAGTATTATGCACCATCATATCACAGAGCTTGCGAATAAGCGCATAGCGACACTTGAGTATCTACGGAAAGCGTAAGTACAGAAGCAGGACATCAAGGTGTTGGGTTGCAAGCTAATAGCATATAACAGCCACGAAGGACGTATATACTGGTTCAAGACATACCTCTTCGACAAGACCGACCTCGGCCGCATGCCCTCCCTCGACGCTCGAAAGATCGGCCGCAAAGCAACAAACCATCTTCTTTTGGGTCTATCCCTCCCTACAATCGTCGACCTTTACTCCTCCACATCGATCGAATTCCTCCGAAGTCTAAACTCCCTTCTCTCCGAATTCGATTCCTTCCAACAACTCCACGGCGATTCGTCCACAGCTGCATCCCTTACCCGCGCCCGTCTGCCCAGCATGTTCCGTCGTCCAGGTGGTAAATCGCGTCGCTCAACTTCTGCAGCCGATCACCCCATGCCCGACGAGATGGCTCCCATGCCATCTGCCGGTGGTCCTGCACCGTCTGTAATGAACTTTGCAGCTTCCGAAACGGATCTTCTTCCTGGTGAAGAGTACACATACTTGTTAACGCCATCTTTACCGTTTGATCCCGATTATTTCGAGACGTTTGCGACGCTGTGTGATGTTTTGATCGATTGCTACACGAGATTCCTCGCATTGGTACCTTCACCGAAAGATTGCTCAGCGCCTGTTGCTGAGCTATTTACAAAAGCGGATTCGCGAGTACGAAAGATTATAGTGCAAGGGCTGGTCCGAGATTTCGAAGAGCAGAGTCGAAGTCATGTCAAGACTGAGGTGGCTACGATTGGAAAGGTGGTTCTGGGAGGTTTAATGTGATGGATTTACGAGGAATTTATGACTGCATGCGAAGCGCAAGACGTTATGACAGTCTCGTGGGAAACATTGGTATGGCGCACTTAATGATGGGAGGAAATCGTGTTTTTGTACCAATGCCATCTTATTTAGTATGATATCCTTTGGCAAATCTATCTTACAGCGGGTTCTGTATGTCATAATATACAAGTTTATGATACAATTGTACAGCTCTATTTCTTTCCCTTTTCTTTAACCTCTTCTTCCGCAACGAGGACTTCAATATCCTTGCTAACCAACCAATCCTTTACACCGTCCATGATCTTATCCAACTTCTCACCACCCTCGAGCACATTCGGTAAACCGTGCACGTCAATACCAGCACGATGGTCGGTACATCGGTCTTGGTTGTAGTTGTACGTTCGAATCTTGTCACCACGAGTAATCTGCGTCTTTGACAGGACGCTGTTCCTCAGTTGCGATGCTTCTTGTTCACGTTGTTCTCTTCTCTGGTCTGCAATTCGGGATCGCATCAGTTTCCACGCTTCTTCCCTGTTGCGCTGCTGCGATCTGTGATCTTGCATCGAAACCGTCGTTCCGGTGGGTAAATGTGTCATGCGAATGGCAGATTCGGTCTTGTTGACGTGTTGTCCTCCTGCGCCACGCGCTCTCATCGTTTCAATCTTGAGTTCTTGCGGGTTAATGTAGAAGTCGCTCTCGGGGTCTTCGAAATCGATGCTTGTCGCGCTGTTCTCGGGGAACGAGGGGAGGACCCAAACTGCGACGGCGGAGGTATGGACTCGGCCTTTTGTTTCGGTGCTGGGGATACGTTGTACGCGGTGCATGCCTGCTTCACCGCGGAAGATGTCAAAGGCGCCTTGATCGTGGACTTCAAGAATAGCTTCCTGAAGAGGATTCTCGCCCGCGGAAGAAGAAGAATCACCTGCTCCGTCTGCGAATTCGTACTTGACAACCGTATGTCTATATCCTCTCCTCATACAAAGCCCTTTATACATCTTGAACAGAGTATCCATGAAGAATCTCCCCTCAAGACCACCCGGCCCCGGTCTAAACTCGAGCATGCATGGGAAATCGGCAAAAGCATGGCGGGGCGTCAAGCTGGCGGAGAGTTTGCGGGAGAGGGATTCGAGCTGGCCCGTTTCGGAGGAGAGTTCGTCTTTGGCTATAGCGGCGAGGTCTTGGTCCAGACTTGAATCGTCGAGCATTTGCTTTAGCTCTTTGACGGAAGATTGGGACTTTTCCAATGCTTTCAGAGCTTCTGCTACTCGAGAAAGTTCGCCGACGCGCTTAGCTGTATCTGAGTCGAAGGAGGAATTGAGGTTCTTTTGGAGGGCATCGTGTTCGGTTGTTAGGGATTGGGCGCGTTGGAGGAGGGCTGGAGCGAGGAGGGGTGATGCATCTGGAGTTGTTAGCTTTGGGAGATCCTGGCAGACAAGGGGAGGTGGGGGTACCATTGCTTGCGAAGCGAATAAATTGACGTATGTGAGGACGTGATAATGCTCTTGTGCAGGATCGACATATCCATGGTGTTGCGGACATGCTTGTGGAAGAGTGGTTATGTTGAATCTGGGCAGTTTTGTTGGTGATGATTTTTTTAGTGGTTATGACGGCAGGGTCCTCTGAAGACACCACCATTGGTGGAGCAGCACAATATTCATGATGCAGCCAACACTTAATAAACAAAACATACAAAATTATTACTATGATATCTACTCTAATACTTTTTGTCTATTCACAGCCCTTTTAGCAGCATATAACAAACACATTCCCAACATCATACTACTCCCACCCCAAATCTGCGCAGCCAAATAATTCCCATCCGTCACCTGCATTAGCTTTCCAGCCAAAGGCGACCCTGTCAAAGCAGCCATACTAATAATAGTAAAAATCATTCCAATTCTCGTGCCAGCTTTTGATAAATCCGATGTCAAGCTTGCGCAGCATGAAGGAAACAAACTCTGGATTGCGGCACCAAAGTAGCCGAATATGCTCACCCAGATGAAACCGCCTGTGAGTGTGGTTACTTGCGACCACATATACAGACATAATGCGGCGGAGAATATTGTGGGAATAAAAACGTTTATGGCGCCGAAGAATCGATCGGCTAGAATGGCGGATATCATTCGGCCTGGGATGCCGACTGCGTTTATGGCGATGAGCACGAGGAATGAATCTGAGGCTGAACCGCCGAGTTTGTCTGTCGCATATTGACGAGCCTGAACTGTCTGTTAGTCGTTGTCTCATACTATTTGACCCAACACTTACATAGTTGTATGAGATCCAAGTCGGCCACAATGTAAAAAACATGGCCACTGCAAATAACACATACGAAGGCTCTTTAAAAGCCGCCCACTCAACAAGCGGTCCAGCCTTTCTTCCTTTGAGTCTCGTCCTGGCGAGCAGCAGAACCAAAGCAGATACCACGATAACCACCAGTCCCATAACGCGCACTGTCCATCGGAACCCAATCTTTGGTAGAAGCTGCTGCGCAATAAGAGGAAATACCATTCCGCCCGTAGCAGCTCCACAAGCTGCAGCCGAGATAGCGACCGTCCTTTTACTAGTAAAGTAGGTAGACATGTTTGCTATCGTTGGCGCAAATAGGATCCCATTTCCTAAACCTTGACATATTCCCTGCGCGAGAAGAACTTGCCAGTACGCTGAGGCAATACTGGTCATGAAGATACCCAATATTTGCAGAAAGAGGCCCACGATTAATGCAGTGCGATAGTAACCTGCGTCAAAGGCGCGCCCGGAGAATGTACCGATGAAGAAAATGAGACAGACTTGTAGACTCCCAATCCACGAGATTGTCGATGGTGGAAGGGAAAATTCGGATTCGTAGTGTGGTTGGAAGATGCCGAAACTGATAAAGTACCCCCATGTATTAAACATGGCGAGATGGCCTGCTAAGACCTGTAACCAAGCTTTTAAACCGCCATCTGGGGGTTCTTCAATGGTGTCTTGTTCATCGTTTGTTTGGCTTTGTGTTGAAGCGGTGTCGTCTCTTGTCTTTTCATTCTGGGACTCTTTATCGGGTGGAGTGGTATCCGAGGTATCAGCCATTTTGTCTGTAGGCGATTAAACTTGACATAATTATGAGGGCATCAGAGGTAGAAATAGAGGGTTTGTTGGAGTTTATGTACAGTAGACTAATGGGTTGGATCTACATACAAAGTCTGGGGTTAAGACGGGGTTGAACCTCCGGTGTGCGGCATCGGCGTCGGCTAGATCGGCCATTGGGTCGGCATGAATAGAGGGGGTTGCATTGAGATTTGCAGATCAATCAGTATTATTTATCTAGATTTACTGAGTAATCAGTTGATACTCATTTACGTTACGCGTGTACTCGTTGGAATTGTTGAAGGAAATTGCTGATTACCCAGGAAATACATGTCCTGATGGTCATGATGCCATGTTCCATTAGACCGAACATACAACATGATAGGTTTTGCAGTAAATATGGGATATAGTTCAATTACCTATCTCTCAGTTAAAATTATAGATACTCAGGTTAATTCTCATTCAACCAAACCCAATTGTTCTGTTGGTGAGATGATGTCAACACGGAGTTGTGTCAGCGACAACGTTGATCTACAACTCAAGATGAACTAACACACAACAAGTTCAGAGCCAATACATTATCTCTTCTCTTCAGTGATCGCCATCAATCACCAGCGAGACGACATCACTGCTTAGAAATATGCCGAGGTGCCCCCCAAGACCAACCGCCATCTTCAACTCCAACTTCAAACGGTAATGTCGGTAATATCGGTTACAAAGGACACATCGGAAACAAAGGCACTGACGGAGTCTTCAATCGCAATGAGTCAGTCAATTGATCAATTTCATTCCCAGAAAACATAATTCGGAGAGCAAGGACGCATAACTCATAAGAGAAACTAATCATATCCCCACAAACACCATTTTCTATTCTATTATTGCGATTCTAAATACAATTCCACCACTCTATAACAATCTCCAAACCATTACCCAAAAAAGAAGAGAAAAGAAGAGAAAGATCAAGTCAAAATAAGAAGAGAAGGTAGAGCCCAAACTATGAATTGTTTACGCCTTCTTCTGCTTCTTGTTCTTGTTCTTAGGCATGCGGACAAGCCAGTACAAGAACAGAGCACCAACAATGTTGACGACGATGTACACCATTCCAATACCAAAGTCTCTCCAACGGTTATCATAGCTAGAGCTGAGTGCCTCGAGGTAAACGTTGGTGTCCTTGATGGTGCAGAACTTGCAGTCGGATGTGGCGTCGTAGTTAGTCAAGTAACCACCAGCTTGCGCCATGTACGACTCCAGATATTCTCCGCAGGTAGTTCCGTTGGGAGGGTTAAATGTGGTCAACTCTTGCGCTGTGCATGTAACCTCTGCGTTTCCGATACCAGTTGACAAGATCGCTGACACGAGATAGGTGAATGGCGAAACTCGGTACATCCAGATCCAGAAACCGGGCATGTTATCGGGCGAAGCCAAAACACCACAGAAGAAGAGCGAGAGCATGAAGACGACGTTGGCCAAGTTACCACCCGCTTCAGCTGTATCGGTAATCGCGATGGCGGCGTGCGCAAAGGTACAAGTGAAGATGAGGAATTGCCAGAAGAGAAGCCACATGAGACCACCTCGTTCAGCTGTCTGGCCTGCAAACTCGGCGTTCTTCTGGAAGCCGACGGGATAGTAGATGCAGACGAACAAAAAGACCGACATGAGGGTGTTCCAAGGGATTTCAGCCATGATCTGGGATAGCATAAAGACTTTCCAGCTGTATGTCTTGGAGGGTCGTTCGCGGACTTCGTAGAGGGATCGTTGGGTGACAAAGTGAGGCATCTGTGACAATTAGTTAGTTGACCATTCATTGTTGTGAGAGTTGGGAGTATGGACTTACCTGCATCTGAACCAATTGACCAAAGACTGTCAAGACCTGGAAAATGGCAAACATCTGGTTCTGCAAGCCTCGAAGACTCAGAGGGGCATTGAGGAAGACAAGACCGATGAACAATCCAACCTGAATACACAGAGCAGCCTTGGAGTAGATGTACGATGGGGTGCGCCAGTACTGCTGGAAAACACGGGTAGTAGCGATACGAAGCTGTTCGCCGAAGGGCGCAGCAAACTCGCGATAGGATTCAGCATCGTGACTCTCCGCAGCACCATTCGCATTACCCTCTGCCTTGAGACGCTGAAGCTCAGTCTGAACATCTTGATACTCAGAGCTTTCGCGCCATGTCTGATGCCAGTCGATTTCAGTATGGGAACCAGGTGCCGCACCAATGACCTCGAGCATCCACTCAGCAGGGTTCTCGCCCTTGGGACAAGGATCAGAACCGTTCTTGACGAAATAGTTGGTAAGGGTCTCAGAGTTCTTGCCGATGTCACCAAAGTAGATTGTGCGTCCGCCCTTAGCGAGGAACAAAAGACGATCGAAGCGTTGGAAGAGCATGGCTGACGGTTGATGGATGGTACAGAGGATAGATTGACCTGCCTTGGACAGCTTCTCGAGGAGATCAAGAATAGCCCAGGATGTCTGCGAGTCAAGACCGGAAGTAGGTTCATCGACGAAGAGAAGTAGAGGCGGTTTGGCAGCGAGCTCAACACCGATTGTTAGACGCTTGCGCTGCTCGACATTGAGACCCTCGCCCAAGACACCGACAACTGCATCTGCGTACTCTTGCATGTCCAACAGCTTGATGACTTCATCGACATAGGCGATCTTCTCTTCACGTGGGTTAGAGGCAGGTTGACGAAGAAGAGCGCTAAAAGTCAAAGCCTCGCGAACAGTGCTGGTTTCCAAGTGAAGGTCCTGTTGCTGCACGTAGCCTGTTTTACGCTGGAACGAGTCGTCGCGCAACTTGCCATCAACAAGCATTTCACCAGTGATGACTCCCATAGAGATACGATCAGCGAGACAGTCGAGAAGAGTCGTCTTTCCAGCACCTGATACACCCATCAATGCTGTGAGGGTTCCGGGCTTGACCCAACCGTCAACGTTGTCGAGAATGCGTCGTGGTTCACCCTTGATCTTGATGTCGTAGCACACGTCGTTCCAATGGAAGACACTAGTAGAACCTTGAATGTTGGCAACTTCGCTGTTGTTCTTCTCAGTGACGGGGATGGGGCTGGAAGATGCGGCTTCGGGGTCGGACTTGGCCTTGGCGGGCATGTTGCTGCGGCGGAAGACGAGGACTTCACCCTTTGACTTCTTGGCTGAGATGTACTCTGTGGCGACGATGTAGACGATGTGGTTGAAGACTGTCATGGCGATAAGGATACCGACGTTGCGCCACTTGTGAGAGTGGAAGTACTTGTACTCGAGGTTGAGGTAGGCGTCACCGTTGACCCAACTCTGACCTGGGACAGCACCGACCGTGGAACAAGCCCTGTTCATAGAATCCACGTCGGCGTAACCGGGGATCTGAGGGTTCGGGACAAAGCCGGTGCAGGTAAAGTTGCGGCCGGAGAACTCGTTTACCATGAGGGACTCGAAGGCGTAGGCGACGGGGTCAAGGTAATTGATCCAGCGACACCAACCAAGCATGTAATCGACTGGTACGACGAAGCCTGCGAAAATGACGAGGGCGAGGATGAGAAGCGAGGCTGGAACCATAGCTTGCGACAGGGTACGAGAAATCGATGCACTGTAGATGTTAGTAAGAGGCCGTTGTGTGCCAGGAAAATGACTTACATGGATCTGAAAATACCAGACATGGCAAGGACCATAATAAACGACACGAGAAGGTAGAAGAAGAAAGCACCGGCATCTCTGTTCAAATTCGTCATGAAATAGAGCGTGAGATTGAACAGAATACTGTTGGTGATCTTATAAGGCATATCAACCAGGATAGAAGCGAACGATTCAGCAGAGGCGTGGTGGAAAGCATAGCGGGCATGTTTCTCAACAATAGGTCTCTGAGCATACTGCGTCAAAATCTCAAGGGCAGATGCGAAAGCATTAGACAAGACAGCCAAGAACAAAACAGCACCACGTTTGAAGAAATCTCCAGTCGTAGGTTGCATATTGTAAAACAGTGACGAGGCGATAAGTGCAACGACTGTATTTGCAATGAGCTGGAAGATTGTGACACCCGGTGAACCAACAAGGCGCTTGAAGCCTCGCCATAAACAAAGCTGGACTTGTTGCATGTATGACAGGGTAAAGGGAGACTTGAGTCTTTGGCCCTTTGCCTGAGCGGACTGCTTGTTCTCACGGAAAGCGTCGGCGCTGGAACCGTTGATGGGGTAGAGACTCTTGTAGCTCTCGACCTCTGCGCGGACGATCTGGTACTGTTGGCTCTGCTTCCAACAAGCGGCGAACTCATCGGGTGTTCGTGGGACCTTGTTCTCGAAACCAGGACGGACGACTCGTTCAGATGGTGCAGTCATGGATGTAAGGAAGTCAGGCGTTGTTTGACGATCGGGACATTCGAAACCGAGATTGATGAAGTAGGCTTTCGCTTCATCGGCGGGACCAAAGAAGATCTGGCGTCCTTCGTAAATAACGAGTGCCTTATCGAAGAGATCATAGGCTGTCTGGGGCGCTTGGTAAATCGAGACAGCACATGTCTGTCCAAAGAGCTCGGATTGTAAGCGCAAAGTCTTACAGAACTCAATGGCGTTGGCTGAATCTAAACCACGGGTTGAATTGTCCCAGCATTGGAAGGGAGCGTTGGAAAGTGTTGCTTCGGCGATGGTGACTCGCTTTCTCTCTCCGCCTGACACACCTCGGATGTAGTTGTCTCCGACCTGAGTGTTGACCGTGTGGCTGATACCGTACATAGCCATGACAACGTCGCGCATGTGCTCGCTGTACTGGTTGTGGTTGATACCGGCTGGCAAGTTCTGAGGGCATCGTGCTCGGGCGGCAAAGGTGAGGGTGTCACCGACAGAAAGCATGGGGAAATGGACGTCTACTTCTGCTGTGTAGATGGTCTCACCCTTGTGGTACTTGTGCATCTCCTCTGCTGTGATTCCGTTATAGTTGAAGTAAGTGCTGTCATCGACGTAGATACCGTTCGTCTCACCCGAGACAGCCTTGAGGAATGTGGAACAACCTGAACCGGGAGGACCCAGAACGACGAGCATCTCTCCTGCGTTGACGACACCGTCGAAACCGCGAAGAATGTCAATTCTGCGCTTACCCGCGTTTGGCTTGAACACCTGCTGTACCATGCTAGGCAATCCGAGCCAGACGTTACCAACATCCTTCTGATAATCTGTTTCGGCACCGTATCCAAAGACGTTCATGTCCTGGAAACAAATACCACTCTGTCGAAAGCCGGCACCATTCTCGTTCATCGACTTAGACATGGCTTTGGCCCATGCTCTAGCATTAAAGTTCTCGCTTGAAGGGTTGAGAGGGGAGGCTGGGTCGGCTGCGTTGAAAAGATCGGCGTTGCTACCATTGAAGTGATGCGAAGTGTTTGTGTAATTGCGAGCGAGGTCTCTAACGATGGAGTGTCGTCGGACCATCTCTTCGGTCTGGGGGCCGTCATCTTCGTCGTCTGTTGAACTGGTTTGGTCTCCTGGGGCGGAAGCGGGATGGAGAGGCTTTTCGTTTGTAGAGAGTTCGTTGTTGACGATTGTGTCGTGGCTACTTTGCTCTGAGCGTGTTGAGCTCATGTTGGCGTCTGGGGTGGCCATTATGGAGCGCTGCAAGACAGATGACTGTCTGCTTTGCTGAAAGTTTCTGTGTTTCTTGTTAGAGGGATGAGATGATTAAAAACAGGGATGAACATACAAGTTAGGTTGAAGTATTAAATAAGTATTCAATTAAACCAAGAACAAAAGAAAGGTTCAAGTAAAGATAAGATATAGATCGACAGTAACAATGAATGAAAGATGCTATAATGAAAATACCATCGCAGGCTATCCAGCTTCTTAATACCTAAAGTGCCGGATACGTGCTCATCCCCGTCGCACCGAAAGGGGTGTGTATGCGGGTCATCAAGTCACGGATTCCATCGACTTCCCGACCCCGAGTGGATATTGATCGGGTTCAGTCCGCTACCCGAAGGAGGTCAAGAAGAAACAGGCATTACAACATGCAGCAAATACTCGGGTTTCTCCCGTTACTCGGATTCTCATAGACCGAGACTTTAGACTATCTTATCACGACATTCTTCTACTCGCTTCCAGACAAGGCAGTCATTATTGATCAAGACGACGAAAGTAAACATGGCTTCTGAACAACAACGTCCACCACGAGTTCTAGCTTGTGTTTTATGTCAACAACGCAAGAAGAAGTGCGATCGCAAAAGCCCGTGTTCATTCTGCACAAAGGTACATACATACTACTAGCATAACACTTGACTAGTAACTAACCTTTAACAGGCGGGAATACAATGTATTCCAAGTACACCGGCTCCCAAGCGCAGTCGTCGCAAACCTACAAAAGAACTCCTGGCAAGACTTGAGCGGTGTGAAGAGCTGTTGAAGAGATGTAGTTGCGTGCAAAAGTCTTTGATGTATAGTTCGTATGAACACAGAGATATGGCAAGTCCTACATATACAAGTACTGAGGGTAGTAACGGGAGTGCGTCGCCAGAGAGGGAGAAGCTCGACGTTTGACAGAATTGTTATGGGTTTTATAATTTGGCGTTGGTTGGGTGTTCTGTCTTGTACTGTTGGTTATTGGGAGGACGGATGGGATAAACTGGTGTAAGAGCCAGTATGAATAAACTAGATAGATTTCGTGTACTTTCAATTGTTGGGAATATTAGTATTTGTAATCATCTCAACGTCTTAGATCAACAGAAAATGATATAAAACCTCGGTGTGGTTGATGTTCTTGAAACAAGTGTCAAGCGAAGTCGTGTAAAACAAGGGAGCCTTAAAAGACATGTCGTTGTAAAAAGCCGGGGGCATCAGAGGTCTTCGGTAAATTTAGAGCCCCAGACTTTGACGGCAGTGGGGACTTGGTCCCTCAAAACAGTTAGATTGGAACCATAAACTAGCCAATGGTTTAGCGACGGGTTTCTTAAATGGTCCGTTCAAGTTGTTGGTTTCTCCTGATGCATCATTGGATTGGCCACGCAAGTCCTAGCTTGCAAGCTTATGCATAAAGGAGGAGGGAATTAGTTATTTCTCTAGTATTATTAAGGGATCTTCAGGACGTCATTATTAAGGCTGACGATCTAGTAAAGTGCAATAGTAAAGCTTCTTCATCGGAGTCCGTCAAGGCCCCGCCCGGCGCCGTTTGTGAGAAGTCTCCACATTTCCCGGACCCGACAGGATGGACGGCTCTTCACACAGAGAACAGTGACGTGGAAGGCTTACCAATTAGTCGGAATTAACAAGTTGACATCGCTTCTTCGACCGAACTTCCGTTAGCTGCGTAGATCTAACGTTATCCCTGCGATTGCAACATGGGACAGAAGGACTAGCGGGATCACGGTCTCTAGGGTATCGGTGTAGTATTCCATTGAACAATCCGGAGTATTGTCGATCCATGTCCTGGTGAGGTAGGCGATGTTCTCAGCTGAGGGTCCGAGATGTAGACTAAGTTTAGGGTAGGTCTTGAGTTTTTTTGTTCTTGGTATGATAACATGCATTGCTACAGCGATCCCATTGTTGGTTTGAGTCCAGGAAGCTCTCACAAACAAAAACGTGAGATGACTCAACTCTGTTTTGGTCAATGCTGAGAGTTGGTCTGGCATCGCAGAAAATAAGGCCACTATAGGGTGACTTTTCGACTAAACCTTCTGATAACAATTGTCTTTTACTGATTGCAAAATAGATAAATAAATCACTAAAGCACGAATTTTTTTCGTGATGGAAATCCTCTGATGGTTATAGATAACACTGCAATCTTATCACTTATCTTATCGTATCTTATCTCTTATCGCTCATCGTGCAGCTCAGTTGGTCACGTGCGTCTTGAGTCATCGGTGGGCCCAGAATCACCCCGCCAAAGAATTTGACCCCTCCATCGTTTGAAGCTTCTAAACCTTGTTACGACGAGATCTTGTTCGAACTCGTTTCTGGTCCTTCTACCGCCATAATGACTTTTGACGCCGAGAAGATCGGCGCTGCCGACTTCAAGAGCCTTGGTCCCCTCGTTGCCGAGCTCGACAAGCACCTTACCCTCCGAACTTACCTCAACGGCTACACTCTGGGAGAGGAAGATGGCAAGATCTGGACTGCTCTTCGAACCAACAAGGTCGCCATTGGCCTTGTTCGAAAGGGTGCCTACACCAATATCACTCGATGGTTCAACCTGATCGAGCAGGCACACCCTGAGTTCAACGAGAAGCTCAATGCTGGAAAGGAGAAGAAGTCTGGAGGCGCCAATTACAACATTGGTCTCTCCAACACCGAGAATGGTGTTGTCACCCGATTCCCTCCTGAGCCTAGGTAAGCCCAACCTCAATTCACTGCCAAAAACCAGTCTAACTCTTGTCTAGTGGTTACCTTCACATTGGTCACGCCAAGGCCGCTCTCCTTAACGATTACTTCGCAAAGACCTCCCCCGACGGAAACGGAAAGCTCATCGTTCGATTCGACGACACAAACCCCGCCAAGGAGAAGCAGGAGTTCGAGGATGCTATCCTCAAAGATCTCGAGCTGATGGACATCAAGTACCACAAGGTCACCCACTCCAGTGACTACTTCCAGGAGATTTACGATCTCACCGAGAAGATGATCCAAGACGGCAACGCCTACGCCGATGATACCGACCCCGAGGTTCAGAGCGCTGACCGAAAGAACCGTCTTGCCAGCAAGCGACGTGACCGCCCTGCTGAGGAGAGTTTGGCTATGTTCAGAGAGATGAAGGCTGGTACCGATTTGGGACGAAAGCACTGCATTCGCGCACGCATTGCTTTTGACTCAAGCAACGGTTCCATGCGAGACCCCGTCATTTTCCGATTCCCCAACTGGAAGGGAGAAGAGCCCGCCCCTCACCACCGAACAGGCTGGACCTGGAACATCTACGTAAGCATCACCGCTCTTCAACTGTGTATGACTATTGACAATTCCAGCCCACATACGATCTCGTCGTCCCTATCCTTGACTCCATTGAGGGAGTCACCCACGCCCTCCGAACGACCGAGTATGCCGACCGAAACGAGCAATACCACTGGTTCCTCAAGGCCTTGAACCTCCGACAAGTCCACCTTTGGGACTTTGCCCGCATCAACTTTATCCAAACATTCCTCTCCAAGCGAAAGCTTACAAAGGTTGTCGACACTGGACGTGTCAGTGGCTGGGATGACCCCCGTATGCCTACTGTCCGTGGTATCATCCGCCGTGGTCTGACTGTTCCCGCTCTCCGTGAGTTCATGTTGAAGCAGGGTCCTAGCCGAAATGTCGTCACCATGGATTGGACCACCATCTGGGCCATCAACAAGCGAATGCTCGACCCCGTCGTTCCTCGATACATGGCCATTGAGGAGAAGGATGCTGTTACTGTTACCATCACTGGAGGCCCCGAGAAGTCTTACAAGGAGGACAGGCCCAAGCACGTCAAGAACCCCGACGTTGGTACCAAGCAGGTCACTTTCGGACCCAAGCTCCTTCTCGACCAGGCCGACGTTGCTTCTTTCGATGACAACGAGGAGATTACCCTGATGAGCTGGGGTAACGCCATCGTCCGAGGAATCAACAAGACTGCCTCACCCATCAACGAGCTCAACCTCGAGCTTCACCTTGCCGGTGACTTCAAGACCACCAGCAAGAAGGTTCACTGGCTCGCCGCCGACCCCGAGAACCTCGTCAGGGCTGAGCTCTGGGAGTTTGGTTCGCTCATCACCAAGGATACTCTTGAGAAGGACGATAACCTTGATGATTTCCTCAACGACAACAGCGCCACCCTCACCAACGCTCTTGTGGATGCAAGCATCGCTGAGCTCAAGGAGAACGACTTCCTCCAGCTTGAGCGAAAGGGTTACTACCGTGTGGACAAGGCTCTCGGCCAAGGTCCCGACGGCCGAGCTGTGCTGTTCAAGGTCCCCACAGGTGGCCAGAAGGGTTAGATCGTTTTTGGACAAGAAAAGGAAAGATGGGCGAGTATTGTGATTTGACGAACTTATGCTTTAGTCTATGAGGTATGTAGTAGTTTAGCTAGATGAGCTCTTATGCTTACGATACAAAAATAAGTAAAAATTGGACTGGTATAAAGACGCAAGTAGTCTGGATCAATTTGTCTCCTGTTATCTGCTATCGAAGCGCTCACAAACTAATCTCGAGCTATAACTAGGAGGAGTATCTCGCAGTGCATGCATATTCCTTCAGCTTTGCATTTCATTAGAGTCACGTTGTATGTTTTGAAGAGATTGATTCGCCGCTTGATGTCATTTAGATTTATTCGTGGTAGTGCTGATGTTGATCCTACTAAATAGAATGCAGAGGTTGCCCGATTGAGTAACTCGCGAAATCCCTGCATTTTGAAGATCTCGAGAGTTGTATCACTAAGGTTGAGTAAGCTGCGGGGAATGGGTAGTAAGCAATGAATTGAAGAGGTCTGTTGTTGTTGTCAAGATAGTGGCAGATCAGTCTCACCATAAGAAACAGCTCCATTAACCTCGCTACGTTACTCTAGTTCATGACTTATTTCTCATGCACATATCAGACTATGACCGTGATAGACAGCTAGCTAAATGCAGGTCTAAGGATACGAGCTGAAGGGATACTTTTACCTGCAGGGGTATTAAACGGACAAACGGAGTATCCATCTTGCCATACGAGAGTCTTTTTCCCCGCCAATAAGGATTTATCGCTAACAGACATTTCCCTTTTTTTAATGGGAATCGGAGGACATGACGTACAAAACGGTGAACGTCTTTGATACGAGAAAATGTTGAGCTGTTTTAATGCAGGGAGCAAGCTCAGGTCGGTGTCCATTGCCAGAATGCGCTAGAAAGGTTCCATTTTCTATTCTTAGCGGCGCTAGACCCCGCTATACCGACAGTGACTTTTGATGTCAGCCCAGAAGGGCTGCTTTCTCTCAAAAGTGCATGTTATTGAGGCGTAGAAAGGTCTGGATCTGGGGATTTTGTCGGTGAAGGAAGGATTCAATCTAGTTAGAAGGGAAGCTTATACTCGGGACTAGCTGCCCCCCTCGCGTTAATACGAATTGAGTTTTAGTAGGCTGACAACTGTAAATTAAGGATGATATGACAACGACAACTGTCTGAGATGGCATCTCCACAGCTCTGACGTTTACGGAACAAGACAGAATGGACTCTAGTTTACTATGGGAATAAGTATCGTCTACTGTCTTTGCTTGGCATGTAATCCGAATGGCCCGAGTCAAATTGCGGGGTGTCCGACTTGGCAATTTTAAACCCGGCACCGACAACCCGAAGCAAAGCAAAGACCAAGAGCTACACGAGAGATATTTCTGTAGGTAGCAATGCTCAGAGTAATAAATTAATGTTTTATGCATAGATTATACTTGTTTGCGCCGCAAAAGCCACACCCGCTGCGACATGTGTGTACCTGATTTGAGTGAACCTGATCGATCGCCTGATGTGGTGGATGGGGAATACGAGATTCGTCGATCACCTCGTGTTCCTTTTATCCACGAGGTCTGAAATGACAGGGTAAGCTATGGATCTGTTGTGTAGTAACTGGTAGCTTTCAGGTGGGAACTAGTTCACACTTGCTTGGACTAGGGAGTGGCCGAGGCTGGGCTGTTGTCAGAATAGTGACATTGTTGCATTGCTGTCTTTCATCTCACCCAGCTTGGACTCTGTCGTCATGATTCACGAACTAACTGTGCCCACTTACTGACAAAGATATCTATATAAACATCCTCGTCTCTCCCTCAAATTCTATCTTCTCATCCTCATCACTCACACACATCTTCATCCACACTCAACTCAACTCAACCACTTACAAACACATCCTTCAAAATGAAGTTCTCCGCTGCTCTCTTCACCCTCATCGCCGCCGCCGGCGTCTCCGCTGCTCCCGCAGAGGAAAAGTCCGTCAACATGATGGCCGCCACTCCCCAATGGACCATCCGCGACGCCAAGCGCTACTGCCGCTCCGACGACTCCATCTGCAACTGGAAGTTCGGCATCGACACCGGCAACGGCAAGCCTCTTGAGTGCCGCCACGACGTCAAGGGCCCCGGTGCCTCCAAGAAGCGCTCCGCTGGTCCTACCACCTGCGGTGACTTCACCGTTACTTCTGGCTGGAGTGATGTCTTCGGAGCTGACAACGGCTTCACTACTCTCTCTGTCGTCTCCAACTCTAAGCGTCAGATCATCTGGCCTGCTTACACCGACAAGCAGCTCGCTGGTGCTAAGATTGTTAAGCCTGATCAGTCTTATGCTCCTGCTTCGCTCCCCAAATAAGCGATTTCACGAATAATTGCGACGGCACGATAATGGTTGAACATATGGGGGAAGATTAAGGATTGGGGTTTTAGCTACATATAATGGCTACTTGGTACATATCTAATACAATTCTTGCCTTTCGAGGCTGCGACTTTTACATAAGAGTATCGTTCCCTTGTTAGTTACTTGTGAAGTGATGAAGTGATGCGAGTGTAACATTATTGGTGCTTTGGTCGGCCGAGATTTGGCGGCTCTCGGCCGGGGCCCTTGGCATTCGTCATTGTCATCCAGCTACCACTAAGCATCGCAGAGAATTGTCGCGTGCACAATGGTTGGTCTGTGGTATATACAGGAAATTCTCGAACTTTTCAAATGTTTATGAGTGTAAATTGATCTGGCCGTCACTGACTGGAAGAGCCATCTGATCAGTACTCTGCAAGTAACACGATCATCCTGTTGGGGACTTGCAATTGGGTGTCATTGATAGGCGAATTGGCACTCATCGTTAACACGCTCGGGTATCGTGAGTGCGATCTGACTTAAGGCCAACCGAGAGGTGCTTCTCAAGTCGGCCTAAGATGTACCCTTGAAGCGCTGGAAATAGTGCCGTAGGTTGAGGTTGATCTCAGAGATGCCCCCATGAAAGAAACGTGATCTTGTCAATTTAGTACCTCACCTATCCTAAACGCACCTCTCGTGTCAATTTTGGGAGCACATCTCAGTTCATGTATGCGCTGGATGAGAGATCGTTGTTGAATTATATTATTTCATCAATCCATCAAGGCCATTATCACCATTTGTTGTCCAGCAATCCCTCATAGCCGCCCACGCCGTCAAGACCAACACCTTCACCATCAAGAGGAATGACAAAGCAACATTTTATTTAGCTTCATTGGAACTCATACTGAACGCGCGAGTAATGAATTGATAGAAGGGTATCACGCTAATAGAACACATGCGATTAAGTTGTTCGTCATGTCTTTGACCCAGCAGTCAATCGATGACCATCGTGTTGGTACGACTCCAGGTCGCGTCGCGTTTACATACAGCATCTCACCATCAAGAACGAGCAAAGTTTACTTATTGTAATAGTATTGGTCGAGCATTCAATTATAAAATCTGTATAGAATGCGATGCCCACAGATAGACATCATGCCATTCTCTTCTGAATCAATCGGTATAGCGGTCAGTCTTTTGCTTGCCAATTTTCCCAGCTTTTGTCAATATTGTTGGATCGTCAAACAAAAGCCCGGTTGCAGAACCAACTGATTCAAGAGAAAACAGAACGTGACGCCTATCTGTGGGCTATCAAGTCGTCCACATACAGGCAATCGCCTTGGACATCAAACACTTGTCTCCCCAACTCCATTCTCCCGCACAAAAGAGAAAGAAAAAACATATAAACCCCGTAGTTCCCAATCGAGGTTGTAATAGAACGCCAGATACAAAAAATCGCTTAGTCGAAAGCACACATCCAGACAAATGTTCCCAAACCACCCGCAAGAACAAGGAACGTGAGGATTCCAGCTCCCGCGCGATCAGCTGTCGTGATGGGTTCCGGCTCAGGGTTATCGTGTGAATCCTTTCCTGCATTAGGATCACCCTTGGAGATACCACCCGTTTTATTCGTCGCAGGTGGCTCAGCATCCTCAATTAACAAGCTCGACACAGCTGCCAACACATTCATTTGTTCGCCAGCTCCACTGGTCTCATCAACGGCTACATCAACGAATTCGCCACCACTCCAGTAGAAACCGCATGCGCGACCGGAATCGCCGCCTGTGCATTGCTTCACGGCGGCTTCGGTGGAGGTCTTGAGGACGGGGAGGATCTTCTTTGCGGTGAAGGGGGCGACTTGGGTTGTTACTGCTAGCCAGCGGTGCACGTAGCCCTTGAAGGATAACATGTCGGTGGAGCAGGCGCCCTTGCGGCCTTCGCAGGGGACTTCGTACATGATGTTTTTGGGGAAGAAGTTCTTGAGGGTTGCGTCGAGGAGTTTGGTGATGCGGTCTTCCCAGACGGTGGATCCGTTTGTCTGTAGTGATGTTAGTGATCGTCTGGCTATTGATCTGGGTGGGAATGTACTTACAAAATTGTACATAAAGGCAGCGCCTTGAATAAGAATGGCAGCGTTGTAAGAGAAAGTGGCCTTGTTGATGTCGGTACAGTTCTTTCCAACGTGTCCACCATCGTAGACCAACCACCTCTCGTGGTCAATGTAGTTGACTCCCCAGAGCCACTCCCATGTCTCCTCGGCATGTTTGGCGTAGGTTTCGTTTCCGGTATATCTTGCAAGACGAGCGCCAATGTTGAAGAAGCATCCGTTGGCAATAGCTAAAACACCAGATTAGTCAAATGGTCCTACAATATGACCTTTAATAAAACGTACTGTTCTTGTAATCATATCCAGAGTTGGTGAAAGGGATTTGCCATCGCATTCCACCGTTACACTCGTCGTCGTGTCGCTCGGGGTTAGCCTGTGTCGTCCAGACGGCCTGCGCCAGGGCGAGCCATTGAGCTTGGTCGTCGGGAGGGTTGGGGAATTTGTTTTCGGCTGCGAGCATGGCTGACATGCCCCAGAAACCTTGATCGTCGTTTCCGAGGGAGGCACTGTGGTTGCTGGGCATGTAGTCGCGGCCTTCTCCTGTTTGGTGAAGCATACCCTCCATCACCACCTTGTTGTAGCTTGAGTCGCCTGTGAGTTTCCAGTAATCTGTTCTCGTTAGCCATGTTTTTTTCCTTCAAGAGTAATTGAAAACTCACCGATATATGTTCCCATCATGGCTCCTCCTTCCCACCAGTAGTAATCGCCCTTGTATTCTGTTGGAGGACCGGGCAAGATACCGGGAATCATGCCCGTTGTGTTTCCGTCATATTGCAGCATGAGATCGTAAGCGAGTGTGCGCGCTGATTGTTTGATCTCCTCTACAACATTGTCAGTCTTTTGTCTTCAAATTACTCGTTGTTGTGGGTTATCGCGTACCCTTTGTTCCAATCTTGTAGTACTGTGCCTCGACTGATTGAACCAGAAGTCCTCCCAACAGCGTAGCTTGGGCGATGAAGCCCTTTGGTGAAGAAAACAACATGGCGCCTGAATGAGAGTTCACCTCTCTATGTGTTTGTTGGCAAGATTTGTTGTCGATGTGTGAGGTCGGTGAATATGGTAGCAGCTTGTAAAGCGAGCGATAACAAGCACTGAAGATGCCGTCGATACCCGTCTAGTCCAGAACAGGATCAAAGAAAAGAGTCAAAAAGTAAAAGAAAAGCGAGTGTTACAGATCTATGCAGGAAAAGTGAAAGTAGAAAAGGAAACCCCTTCTAGAAAGTCAATCATGGGATGAACAGACAAAAGATGATCGGAGAAAGGATGATGGGGGAGATCAAAGGTGGGACGGGATTCAAAAAGCGGAGGGGGGACAGTAGCCGGGGATCCTTTTTTTCACCTTTCAAAACACGAGCAAGGGGGAAAAAGGGAAATGGAGAGGGCCATATTGGTTACGAGCCAAGGGTCTGGGCATCGGGGCAGTGCAGCTTGTATCAAACAACTTCTTGGCGGCTATCAAAGAGACAGACAATGAATGGAGAAGAGTAGAATTGCCAAGACAAGCCAAACTGGGACATGGGGACACGGACATGGGGAGTTATTGGTAGACCAAGGGCTTGGCAGAAGGAGAGAGCGTGTGTATTGGCTGTTTTCCACGTAATTGATTATAGGTAAAGCGCGATGCCTTGATTTGCAGTGCATTAGTTGATGCAGCTGGTGGTATAGTCAAGAGTATTGTCTGTAGCAGTCTGCGAAGTGAGAGAATGTCACCCCGAGATGAGACTCTTGGACAGGTCCATCACAATCACAGAGACAAAATAAAGCCAAGATCTCCTTTGCTAAAGCGAGATTGGAGATTGAGGCTGGGGGAGACTGACACAGGCCACGCAAGCCCTTGCAGATAAGACACTACTTCTAGTCCATACCAGTCACGGTGACAAATACAGGTATTGTGCTATTGTAGCCCCCTATCACGCTAAACTTTAATGCGCCAAAACTCCCTTCTTCTCCACATCAACACGACTAATATCACACAAGATTGGTCCCAGCCCCTGGTATGCTTAAATATTACCTTATTCTAGAGTCGGACCAGTGAAACCAACAATTCATGTCTCTGAGTTTATTTTTCTCTCTCTCTATCCAAGTAAGACAGAACGCGTCAACTGAACAAGAGTAACAAAGGTATGTATGTCTATCAAGAATAAACGAGTCATAGAGTTCTTGGACACATAAAAACTTGGTTGACTACGGCAGTGGGCAGGACATACTAATGCTATACCCATTTGATCCAGGGGGCTTCTTGGCAGTCCGTCATTATCTTGGCGTTGCCGTAATTGACTGACCTTGGCCTGACCCGAACGTCCCGGCAATAGTGAACACGTGCTCTGTTTGGTTCCGTCGTATGTGTGTGTACATGTATCTACGGAATATAAATAACCCCGTATTGATGCTGTGCATTGTGTAACTCGGATACGCGCCAAGCTCAAACATACGCGTGTCTCGTCTTGGGGGTTTACGTGTTTTGAGTTGGTGAGAAATGAGCCAAGACTGTTGACATGACATGTTTCACCATCTAACCATCAGTTGACTTTTAGTAACAATGCCGTGGGCAATGGTTCTTTAATCGTGAAATAATGTGGCTGATGAATTGACTCCAACCCCGTTAACAATCCCATCGAGATGATTTTTACCCGCCACAATTTTGTGTCGCGGTAACAGCCACATCGTCATATGCGATGAGGCTCTATCCACCTTAAAATGTCTCATCGTGAACTTCATGCGATAACCTGCATTTGCTCTGTGGACTTTAACTACTATGGCTTTAAGCTGCAGACTGAGGGATGCAAGCGATACTACCTAAAAACTCGTGTACAAACCACCGAAGAGGTATTAATATTTCACTGACATGAATGAATAACTGCTTTTTTTTAATTTTTTTTTTACCGCGTGGCAAGATGTTCGATCTTTTACTTTCCCCTAAAATAGAAGACATACTCACAATAACATTCACCTATAAGTTTCAATTAGGCAATTATACACAATTGAACAAGCTTTCAACAAAACTCTTTGTCAGATAAAAGCACCATGAAATTCACGGCCCTAGCGAATCTTCGCTTTTCAAAGGGTTAGTATCTGCATCATGGCATTTACTACTCTGAAGAAAAAAAAGAGCCGCATATAATAACATTGTCCCAGGTGTGTAATAATATAGAGAACATAATAAAACTTATGGGATACTACAAAGGTCGCTTCCATTGTGGATCAAGTTTTTTTTTATCCTTTTTACTCTGGGGTAGGTAACAACATTCGTTGGTTACCACCTTGTCCAATAACAATGTTGGATTATGTAAATACCGAGACAATACAAAAGGTCCGATCACAGTTCTGTTAACAGTTGGTCCTGTCTTTTTTTACACCGCACTCTTATCGAAGGTTTCACTATATCAATATGGCCGCTTCACTTTCAGATATGATCGATTTTGTGTGGAAGTCCCCGAAACCACTACCTGGAACCAAGAGGCGAGCTCTTGATAGGATGCTCCCCGAAAACTTCAAGTACTTTAGAACCTGGGGCTTCAGAATCTACCGCACATACTACGGCCCCGAATCAGATGAATCCTGGAATACCCTTCTCCAAGTCTTGCCGCAGCAAATCCGCCTTGCACTTGGCTATCACGAAATAGACGAAGTCCGTGGGAAGGATCGGCGATGGGCTCGTGACACTCACAGAGACGAGGTCGTGTATTTGGAGCGGTTAGAGGTCATGAAGAAGCTTTTTCGTCTCATTCCCCGAGAAGATCCAGATTTGCTTGCTGGTCTCGATATTGCTGGGGTGGGAAAGGTCTGCCTTGAGGAAGGAGAGCATGTCGAAAGTGAAAAGAACATAGTCGGGTCCCGCTTCAATTTTGCACTCGTTGCAGACGAACGAATCCTTAAGGACATCGCGAACAATAACTTTGTTGTCAAGGCAGTTGGCTACGACTGGGACCCAGTTCAACATTCCTATAGTTGGGGTTGGATCAGGCTTCGCACAGGTGATTTGCTACAGTTTTGGGAAAATCTTTTCATTTCGTATGAGCTTGATATTAGCAAATACATGGAGATTAGCTTCCGAGGACCAGAGGAAAATCTTGAGAAGAATGTTTGGAAGGGGGCTTTGTCTCTATTGCCTTTTGGAGACTGCTCCCGGGTCCAGATTACGCGCGAAGACGAAGGAAGTGATAGCTTCAAGTTCGACCCTTAGCACAAACGGGTTCAATGACATGATTGAATGCATACACAAACCGATCATATCCAAAAGATAAATACAAACCCCTACTTCACTATGTCCCACCCATCTCTACATCGTCGTCATCATTTTCTTCATCATTGCCCAAAAGCGGAATGTCCCAGTCTGTCTCGATCTCGATATTGCCTTCAAGACGCTCGCGGCCCTCTTGTACGAAGGTACGTACCAAGCCAGCTGCAGCAGATGTGTCTCCTTCGTAAAACTTTTCGACTGCATCCATCGCCTTTATCAAGCCATGCCAGAGCCCTACTGGTGACAACCTGACAATAGTCTATGAACCATTCCCTGAAATATTGGGCTATATTGACACGTTTGCCATGATGATTCTGGTAGATTATCTCGGCGCTAATGAACTGTCGAATCACCTCATTGATGATGTTTTCCAGCTTTCCTTTAGGGTCAGCGCCATTGAAGGGTAGGTCTGCTTCCATGTTCATGTAATCGAAGAAGGCAAATGCTGCTCGGATACGTTTTAGAACGTCTGGCGCATCATCCCCCAGCTGTCGCATAATTGACTTAAGTGAGACAGGCTCGTTGAGTTGCATAAGCTGCGAGTAAAGAGTAAAGAGTCAGTCCATGTCCTAGTGTTATCTTCGATTCTCATCACCAGTCCATGCGCCACTTACTTGACCCTTAATTATGTTGATGTCTAAATAGGTTATCATAAAGTTCCTGATGTTTTCATAACTTCCCAAACACTCGAAGATAGGATTCCACAGGTTTCCGTCTCTGAAACGGGGGTTACCGGAAATTCTCGCGTAACTATCTCCATTATCATCTTCGCCCAGTCGGATAATCTCCTCAAAGAAATGTATAGGTACTGGACCATACATGGATCGAGCACCAGATGTTAGTCTAACCGAGTTAGCATACGTTCGTTCATCGCAGGTGAGTCAAATCCTACTGTCCTTTGGCTGCGTCTCCCATAAAGAGCTTCATAACACTTTTATCGAGAAGATGCTCGGCTGATGCGAGAATTAGTCATTTGAGACTAGAGTGCCAGGAGAGTATACATACTTTGCATGTCATCCATTCCTACATAGAAGAAAGAGCCTATTATCCTTCGATCGTAACAATCAGCCGGATGCAAGAAAGATACTGCATACGGTGGTTCTTCGCTCAAGTCTTCCAACGTGCCCGGTGGAGGATTCTAAACGATACTGGTCAGCTGCTGTCGTGCGCTCGAGAGTGTGGGGGGTTAATTGCATACTGCTGGAATTCTGTATTCCCATGTTGCTTCGTTGCCATCCTCATCATACACAGTCACTTCAGATTCCTGCGGGGCTGGCGCCTGACGAGCATGAAGAGAATGGTGCTGATGCATTGACAAGTGCGTGGTTCGGGATGATCGTAACCCACGGCGTATTCTGAATACCTCTGGGACTTCGCCTCCGCAATTGCCATTGATGTCGCATATGGGAATGCTGCAGTTCGTCACCAATTTGCTACCGTCCCCTCTTCGACCTTGGATTGCGGCGCTGCGAGTGTTCGCCTCTTGAGGATTGCAGACAATGTAGTGTGCCATGATGTCGGGATCATCAGTCTCCCACTCAGGTGTCGATTTCTTCAATGGCCCTAACAGGTTCACAGTGAGGTATGATAAGTTGTTGGCCTTCACTGCATCATTCCAGGTTCTGGTCATTTCCTCAAGAATCGGCTTGGACAGAGCCCCAAGAACCAACCTGGCCAAGTTCACCTCCAAGTCCCTTGCAATTGGATCCTCTTTGCCTGCCCTGGGAACAAGATCTGTGGAAGACAAGTTGTTGAGTCCATCATCGGGCAATGTCGCACGACGAAGCAAAGACTCGTCCGTCATGGGGCAGGTGGGATCTCTCAGCCATGCGTAGACATCGGTCCTGAATGAATCCAGCTTGGGGTTCTCCCATTCAAACGTCTCGGCGTAGTCGGTCTTGCAACAATGAGCCATGCCGCCGATACCAGCTTCGGAGCACTTGTCGATCCAGGTGTCGATCGCAACCTGGATGCGATCAGAAGGACATCCACTGCGACAGAACCCTGCAGGCTCGATGGTAGGTCCGGGTCCAATATCCGTGAACGGCTTGCAGTCTGTGAAACGAAGGTTCTTGTCACTATCGTTGCAGCAGAACTTGCGAGTCTGATGGCTGGGTATCGGGAGACCGCGATCGTTCTGACGCAAATTGCACACGCCGCCACCCGAGCCCGAGGCAGAAGAAAACATAAGATTTTTCTTCTTACTGTCGGTTTGAGGATTGGGGCAGCCTTCCTGGTCGTCACATTTCGGATACTGGCCCCATCCACAGGTACTGTAAACCTTTGTGCTTACCACATCGGTGGCACAGCACGCCGTCTGGAAGCTCTGCGCCAGGTCGCAGTATATCTGATTGGAACCAATCTCCCACATATTGCTGGGGCACTGGCTGCTTTTGGCACAATTGCCATCGTTATGTCCATACCAACCGCATGTGGGGAGCTTCGATGAACCCCCAGGACAGCAGAAAGTATGGCCACCATCGCCACCACAGCCTGTTTCGTCAAACATGACCTCGTCCTTACGGGCATGCTTGTCGGATCGAGCCACGCGTACCCATCCCTTGGGGCAGCCCTCCTTGCAGCTAGACCAGCGGCATTGCTCGTTAGGAATCTTCTTGATCTCGTAGGCTTCTTCGTTCCAGTCGATAATACCAGGCGTGACGTCTCGTTTCAGCGACAAGGCCAGGGCAGTGTTGAATCTAGCCTCTTTGGTATCATGCGAAATGGCCCACACCATTACACCACCGAGACATTGAGAATTTGCATACTCTGTCTTGAGCGGAAATGTATCCTCATCGTCGTACGAGACCCATTGATTGCCCCATTTGGCGATCTTGACGGCTTCTTTTTTGAAAAGTTGCGACTTGACATTGTATTTATTCAGAGTCGTCACGATCTCTGAATTCAACAGGATGCCCTTCTCACGGCTACACTCGCCAGCTTTACCTGCTGCTTTGAATAGACATCCGGGCTCCGTACACGTCCCAGACTGAACTGAAAACGCGCGGCCGTAGAATCCCATACCCAGTACAACCTTATCCGATTGGATGTTGTTGCGCCAGAGCAGATCAAGAGCAAGATCGATCTCTGTCAGGTTGCTGTGGGCGTTCAGAAGGGGCTGTGTGTAGTTTTTGCCATGGTCCCAAGCACCGTGCAAGTCGTAGGACCTATGGTTTGCAGTTAGTATACAAGACGAAGAACGACACATAACTGACAAACTCACATGATGTTGAAGAAGTCAACAGAATTTTCCTAGAGAGCTATCAGTAATGTGTCTTTGATGTATACATGGCATGAAACTCACTAGCTTCTTGATATCGAACTGTTTCAGATACCAATACGATGCTGGAAGGGTGATACTGAGTCCCTTGCCAGCGGAATCCATCATCTTCTTTAGCCTGTCCATGAACTTCGGGAAATTGACAAAGTCGACAGCTTGTCCACCTCGATCCGGATCACCGGGGTATTCCCAGTCTAGATCAAGGCCATCGAACCCATAAGTGCTCATAAACGACACAAGTGAGGCCATAAAGGCTCTTTGACGAGGAAGAGATGCTGCGAGTTGGGAAAAGGTGGAAGTGGTTGGACCTGGGTCGTTGAAAGTCCAACCACCGACTGCGATGTAGATTTTGAGCTCTGGATCGAGTCTCTTGAGTTCAGTGAGGCGCTTGTACATCCGAACATCAGTGTCCTTGTCTGGCTTGATCTCAAAGGTTTTAGGATCAATACTGGCAAAGGCGAAGTTGATATGAGTATACAATCCAATGGGGATCTGCTCAGGAGAAAAGGCTTCACATGGACGGGTTCTGGCCCATCCTTCGAAATAGCCAATGACGCGAGATATTTCACCATCTTTGCTGCAACTTGGCCGTTTGACTTTCTTTGAACCACAAAAGTCCTTGGTCGTCTGGATCAAATCAGCGTCTGTCTTGTTGAAAAGGCCGATTATCTGCAATGGGTTTACTTACACCACAATATCCGTGCTTAGAGCAGCAAACATTGAGAGGGCATTTCTCATTCTCAGACCATTTAGCACCGAAGCCTGGATTGCATTCGGATTTCCGATCGCAGTCTGACCGACAATTTGTTCCGCAATCTAACAAGCTCGCAATCAGTGCCAATGCTCAACGGTATCCGTGCAGTAAACTTACAATCAGGACCGAAGCCACAGTTGCCGGACTTGTTACAGCAGCCGTTCTTACAGCGCTTTGTCGCACTACATGTCGTGTCGTCGCTTTGTGCTGCTACTGATATGCAAAGGCACATCAGCAGCAGGCCCAACAACCACATGCGTAGGTGCATGGTGGCTGGAGCTTGTTTGAAACAAAGATAGAAGTTCTGATCAAACGATTGATCGAGGATTGTCGTATAGCAGTATCGTGATAGAGGTACTTGCTGTACCGGAACTAGTAAGCTCCGCTGTGAACTACGCACGACTTCACAGGGAGGTGGAGGTTAAAAACTCGAAGGTATACTACATACTATGTGAGTTCTAAGCAGATTCTGCAACTCCTGGCCCCTGGTCCATGATGTAAGTCAGTATAAAGATTTTAAGACTTGTCACTCTATTGACTAATTTGTACATATCCGTTAAGTCAGTCGGCCCTTCGGCCAACACAGTCGAGGCTTGTCTGAGCGTTGATCGCTCGGTCCTCTGCTCTTTGATGCGACTTATGATCATCCTGCCCCGTCGTCGTTCAGGGTCTAGCGCCCCATATCAGAAGTAACCATGAATCAAAACGGATGTGCCAAGGGTATGTGTTAGTGTGGAGGGCTATGTCCCGTCAACGACAACAACTACTACCAACACTCCAACTGTTACCAAGCCTGCGAATGGAATCAAAACGCCTCCACCCGTGCAACCTAGAATGGTCAGCGACTGCAACAAATTTCACCTGGTTGCAAAGACGACTACTTGCAGTTCGATTCAGAGCTACTATAAGATTTCATTGGCAGATTTCACCAAGTGAAATCCAGCAGTTGGATCACAGTGTACTGATCTTTGGGCTGGCTACAATGTCTGTGTTGGTGTCATGGCGGTACCCCGACAAAGCCTGATAACGAAACGCCCACGCCGATCCAGGCAGGAATGGTGAGAAACTGTAAGAAGTTTCACCGCGTGACCTCAACCACAACTTGTACCCCGTTCCAAAATTACTACAAGATATCGATGGCACAGATCTCTAAATGGAATCCGGCTGTTGGTCCCGGGTGCACTGCCCTGTTAACTAATTATGTTGTTTGTGTTGGTATGTGAGACGATGATGCGTATGGGTACATAGTTCAATAATTACTTCTAGTAACGTTCTCAATTGAATTGCAACCTGCTTAAGCATTTACTCCCTGTCCTCTCCACGAACTAGAATCATATTATCAAAGATGATACTATCCATAATACCCGATGCCCTCGGATAAAACCAAGGCGAAGGAAAGGCACATGAACTTGCAGCACAATTGGAGCTTGAATCGTTGCCCATATGTTTCTGTTTTCCGAAAATATAATAGCTGGCAACGAGTGAAGTATAATTGGAAAAACGAACATTAGTCAAGATGAAGTGCATATATGATTCGTCAAGTAGTAGAATGATTAGGTATCAATTTGTGGATAATATGTATTAATTACCGTCATTTTCATCCTTCAACTACTACACTTAATAACTGAAATCTAAATCTAAGAAATAATATGCATAACATATACTTGCTATAAGGAGTATTTATATCTCTAAACTACTCGGTAATTAATTCCGTTGATCCAAGTCTGTATATAAGTTTACTTAAGTGTTTATCTTCAGGATTTAGCTCGGTTCCCTACTTGGCATTGAATTCGATGCAAATAACGAAAATAACATTGCCAGCAATATTCTGGCGGGTGATATCTCTCTCCCGCACGTTGTCTGGCATGGAGTAATGCAATCATAAAAGGTACTGTATTAATGAGCCTGCTATCCATGTATCGGAAATAATGCCTGGTTTATTATCTGGGTTTGAACCTTATTATTGATATTTGCAGGGAAGTTTGTAGACTAACGTCAATTAGGATATCTGCAGACATGGACACTGGTTTGAAGATTGCTGACATAGTGTCTTAGGTAGGGCTGAGGGGTCTAGTTCGAGTCAGTAAGCTCGGAGCAGCCGCAGTTGTGTCCAGGTAAAGGAGCGGTAGTATGAAATCTGCTGATCGAGACTATAACTCCAGCTAGTGATAGTACGAGTTATTCCCCTATTCGAGAACCTTATCACATGGTCAAAGCGGCGAACAAGATCAACCCTGTGTTCTATCTACCTTATCATCCTGCCTAATAACCTGAGAAGCTGTTCTTTCTTGTCGGTGCTAATACCGTACTATATATTTCTCATTTCAGGAGAAAAAACAATGTTGCGTTTAGTCTGCTAGCTCAAAGGTAGATTATTTCCAAGAAGCCAATGTGCCCCAGAAGTTTTGCATCAGCAGGAAAATAGAGTTTAATAGCTAACTGTCTAGCTTGAGGCACAGCAGCCTTTTGGTTGCAAACGGCTCCCACATTCCCTCGCCTCGTGTTAGTATGTCCGGGTATGTCTAATTGAACGCTAGGACCCTGTCTGAGCACAATAATTATTGCTTATACCCACCAATTGGGGAGCAGTACTTGATACTATTCTTTAACGATGTAACTCAAAGCGGCTGGAAAGGATATAGGGATGTCAGGGCTGGAGGACTATTCACTTCCTGACCAATAAGAAATAGTCTCTTGCTGAGGATGTAAGGATCCAGAGGTAATGTAAAATCTTATATCTGTGTGGGGAACCCTAATGTTTAATCCATTTTAAGTGAGGAACATGCTGGTTATTACTTACAATGGATAGCTCTACTTACTCTTCCGACCGCAACCTTTCCAGTATTCTAATTGCCCCTCATGCTACACTTAGTGTCATTGCTACCATCTTTGTTTGCTTGCGCCTTTATACCTCGCGATATGTTACAAAGACTTCTTGGTCAATTGAGGAATATATCGCAATAGCTGCACTGGTAGGCTTTCCCCAGAAGCTTAACTTGATGTAGTATTTTACTAACTATTGTAAGGTGGCAAGTCATGCTCTTCTTATTGCTGAAGGTTTCGGCAAGTCTACTGATGTTATGTCTGTTAGCTGTGATGTTCGCGATATTGACTAGAGGCAGCGGTACACTATGGCTATGGAGAAAATATTACCAAAGTTCAGGAAGAATTCGATGGCGGACTTACCAACTTTTTCAAGGTGTGTTATTACCCTCTCGTGGCCATGTAATCCCCTGATTAATACTTATCAATAGTCTGTCCTTGCTGTTGAAATATCCTACGGCTTTGCATGTCCGTTATCAAAGATAGCAGTTCTCGCTATGTACTATCGCATCTTCATTACATCAACCTTGATCCGTTATTCTACATATATACTAGCTTCTATGATGGCTAGTTGGGGAGTTGCGGTGATACTAGTAAGCAGTACGTCACCCTAGAACTCCACCCTTCCTTGTTCGTGAGCATGAGAGCCTACTGCTGTTGAGAGTTTATTCTAACTACTGATATAATAGTCTTTACCTGTAACCCAGTTGAGGGCTATTGGGATCACTCGATACCGAGCAAATGCATCGACTCAAACAAATTCTATATTGGAATCACAATCCCCAATATCATATTCGACCTTGTTACTGTTGCCCTTCCAATCCGTGAGGTTTGGCGATTACAGATGGGCAGGGATAAGAAATGGGCCCTTACATCTATATTCCTAATGGGTGGCAGGTATGTGTTGAAGTGCCGCTTAGATGTCCACATGCTAATGAGTCCCTCGTCCAGTGTTGTGCTTGCCTCGGTTGCGCGCCTCGTTTTATACCTCATCTTCAAGACATCGGGGAACATCACCCAGACTCTTCTCTATGGAAACCTAGCGTCTTCAAGCGAGATCTGCCTCGCCATCATTGCAGCCTGTATGCCACCGTGTGCGCCACTTTTGAAGCGTATCTTAATTAAGATGACTACTGCTATCAGTACCTCAAAGTCAAAGCAAGAAGGAGTGTCGAACGATACCGATGATAAGAACAGGCTTGCCACGCTGGTTACAATTGGACAAAAGTCCAGCCGTGGGAAGAATACTACAACGGTACACGGAGGTAGTGAGTTTCATGGTTCCTTTGAACGTCTTGATGATAGCGGGAGTTTGCAAGGGTCGACCGATGGTTTATACGTAAACGACTCTGGTGAGGCAGATCACAAGTCAGGGAAGTGGTCCAGGATAAATGTGCGGCGTGAAGTCGCAGTTGAGAGTACTGTGGAAAATATCCCAATGAGAAACCTTCGGTAAGAATCTAGTGAGGTACGCTAAGATATGGACCTTTCTATTATGAACCATCAATTTATCATTATGCCACTCAACGTAAGTGAAAAAGTAACAGGACGTGAAATAGTTTGACATTTTCTACGCCTAGAAACCTGAGAACAAATCTGCATAACTTACATACTCGCTATATGGGGAGGGTCAACTATCCTCAGCCCACCGGGCACTCAATTCCGTTTATCTGGGGTCAGAAGTTTATCTAAGCGCTTATCTTAGGACATGCCAATCCCCAAGCTTGGACATCGAAGGATTCACTCTCCACAGTAGGATTCAGCTCGGCTCTCCACTCGGCATTTGATCCGCCGATTCTAATTGGAACAAATCTCACGATAGTCTTGATTTGGTGACTTGGATCTTGATATTCGCATTATTCTTAAGTAATAATAATCTTCCGGCAATGCTCAAACCTTAACCCCAGATGGGACCTGTTCCTCCAATGCCGATATACGAGACGATCATCATCTGTGCCTTGTTTCGAACCTTTGTGGATAGCATCCTTCGGCTCTTGGCAGAAACATCTTCGTTCGTTTATGACGACATGGCATGTTCTTCAATAGTCTGATTAGAGACATCCTGAGATGTATAAGTAACTGTTACTCGTATTACTCTTCCTTCTTCCAAGTCCTCACTCAAATCCTATCCGTCTTTCTTCACTAATACAACTTTCTCATATCACAATGAAGTTCTCAATCACAAAGCTGATCACTCTTCTTGCTGTTACCCAAAACGCATCAGCTTGGTTTGGTGCGCATTTCCTATCTCATAAGTAGCTGTATCTTGTCTGACCTGTGTAGTGAGATTCATGAACGAGGACAACAACTGTGAAGTCGGTGGGGAGACAGAGTACCAGATCTTCACCGGTGAAAAGTTTGACTGTTACAACTTCGGTGCAAGCTTGAATGAAGGCACTGAATGCGAACACTTCCGCCAAGGTGGCGGTGAGAAGCTATGGGAATGCAAGGGCACATTCGTTGCGAAATCTGCCATAACCAAGCCGGGTACGGGCTCTAACTGCAGATTCTATGCCCTGAATGACTGCAGTGGCGTCGGAACAAATGGAGATCGCGACACGTGTGTCCCCGTTAGCCAGATGATCGGAGATGGTAGTAGTATCCCTCAGCGTATTGTGTCGTTCAGATGTGTAAGTTTATCGTTCGTGTTCCACGACTTCTTTACTAATATCCCATCTAATAGGAAAACACAGAGGAACCTGCTTAAAAGATGTGTCAGCTACGGCTGGGAGGTGTGACACATATGAAGACAATAGCTACCTCGACGACCAACAAAATGATCAATATAACAATTCGTTTCGACAACAGACGATGCCGTTTAAGCATAATAACAAGGTTTCCAACTTTCCCACTGCAAAATCATGTAGCACATCACGACGCCACCAAGCAGCGTGAATATCTAATAGCTAGCGACTTGTATCTTTTCACGACTGTTTTACAAGCATTCGCTCAGACGGAGGAAATTCGCTCCGCTTTGTGGATGCCCCTGTTTTCAGCTGAGTGGCTACCTTGGTTAGCGATCCAGTCAATACGAAAACTCCAAGCGTAGGCTAGCCCGACTTAGACCTGACAACTGGTGGACTGATCACAGGGCGTCCCGATTCTTATACGTCTTGGATGTTTAGGGTAATAATCACGCAAATGATCAACAATTGAGGACTGACAAGAGCGCCTCACCGTAATAAATGAGGTCAGCCCCGGCAACAAAAAGGTATTTAAGTAGAGTGTATAGACAAGTTCTCGAATTCATAATCAGAATTCTATCGAGCATTATCACCTATCTTTACCATCATGCCTCTCCCCAATGAACCTGTCAACATTACTGGTGGCTGCTCTTGCGGCGCCATCCGTTATCGTATCGCCGTTCCATCCATCGAGGAACGTCCCCTCAACCCAATGATGCCTCCAGCAGTCGGAATCAAGCTTCCATGGACCTTTACATGTCACTGTAACGACTGCCGTAGGGCAGCTGGTGCATTTCTTGCTACTGGCCTAGCCGACATTCCAGCACCCATGCTCACTGTATCCGCCATGGCACCCTCTTCAGAGACAGAGATTGTATCTGGTCGCATTGTCGATCCTATGGCAGAGGACTATGACGCAGAGAAGGCTGACGCCGAACGCCCTCCTTACGTCCCAGCCGTAGATGTTCTCCGTGCAACAGGAGAGAACAAAACATGGCTGCGTTTCTTCCACTCCGGTAACGCCAGCGCTGCTATGTCGCGCAGCTTTTGTGGTCGTTGTGGAACGCCTTTGTGCTATCACTTGAAGCTTGCACCTGGATTCTGCTATCAAGGGAAAATGCCCGAGGGATGGTGTGATTCTTTCCATCTGAGTCTTGGATCTTTCGATCGGGAGTTTCTAGAGAAGGATTGGTTCAATCCTGGTAGTGAGGGAATGTTCAAATATGGTACACCTATGAGCAGATGTGTTTCTGCAAGTGCTAAGGGGTTGAAGGAGCTGCCCAAGATGCAGGAGTTTATGGATGCAGTACCCGAGGACGAATTGGAAGCTTTGAGAAATTAATCTGATCCTGGGTCAAGACTGGTTTGTTTGATGAGACGATATAATTGGAATTGAAGGGATATTTCATTAGGTCAACTTAGTTTTCCTACGGTGAATGCTAATAGACTGACCGTAGGCTAGAGTAGCTTCCAAGGAACATGACTGCGTTAGCGACATCCTCGATCTCAGCTACGCCGAATGAGCTACTACATCATGGCTGAAGGTAATGCAGTAGTGAAAGTGATGTCAGGTTAAGCATCATAGCGCGAATAACATTGTGTTGGACAAGCGTGATAAGGCAGTGATCTACTGAGAGTGGAAAAGCAATCGCATGAGGTAGTTGGCCTGGTGTAGCAAACGTCGAGTAAGGCTGAAGTGGTGGTATAAGCTTCCGTGTCTTGACTAAGACTCCACCGTCTACATCTGGTATTATATCTCGTAGTATTGAGCTTTTCTATTGCGAATTCTCCAGTAACTCAATTGCAGGCGAGCTGTGTTCGCTGGTCTCTCATCTGGGCTGGTTGACGCCAACTATCATATCATAACCTTCCCAGTATGGACTGGCGTCATGAGGTTCTGTGTTAAATTGGGCAGTTACTTTTTTCCTATCTCCTGAAAGTTTGTTAGATGAGCTGTTGACAAAAGAAACCTGTAGATTGCTTCTACTGTAAGGGGTAAGGGTAAGACTCATTGTTTTTGACAGACGGTGAGGCAAAAGGCGATGAACAGCTCAGGGTAGGCTGGGAATGGGGCCTTGACGGAGCTAGAGATAATGCCGAGGAGCCAGGCCCCGCGATTAGATACTATGTTAGTCGAAAGGATGTCGGAAAGCGGACCCTTGATAGAGTAGTTGCTCAAGGTGGATGGGAAAGGAAGTGTGCTTACTTGACATACTAAGAACGACCCTTTTATTAGTGGGTGAGTGTGGGGAATTGTACGATCCGAGAATATGTGTATGAGGTTAACAATTGGAACTTGTAACTTAACTATGTATTCCTTAACATTCCATATCTTAATCCCTCGGGATCTTTCTTCAGACAAACCCCATTAACAAGGCTTTACGAATTAGCCAGGACGATCAAATGACTTCATGGACGCAATAGGATACACCTATATTTAGTGACGCTTTGGATAATTAGAACACATTGGCATCTACTTCCTCTAATGCTATTATATGGTATACCACATCATTATTACGTTTATTGAAGACGTTTGCTGTTTAGCGTGGTTGAGGCTGTCTAGGCGTTGATGCCAAGATTGCAGGTATACATCATTTCAAAAATGAAATGTATGAGACACTTTCGGCTTAGGGTTACCCTGGAATTGAGATCGAAAATGAGATCCAGCTGCCCGAAAGAGTTAATCATCTACATACTGTAGTCTCTTCGTCACGTCCCATGTCGAACAAGCTTGCGGAGCTGCTGCTCCACTGAATAGGTGCATCTCTTAGCCTCTCTTGTGAATGTTAGAGTCGGATCTTAACTTCAAACTTTATCCTATGTTGCAAATTGAATACTATAACTACAGTTTAGATCATGAAAGCACATTGCGGGGATGAGTCTTGTAGTTCTCGGTATCCAGATTAGGCGCCCGGCATAAGCAACCCTCAACGCTTATTACCTCACATCGGCTAATCTGAGCCTTACCCAGTTCGGTCATGTCTCGTCCTCAACATGAGGGGGCCTAAACACTTCGACTTATTTTGAATCAGTCTAGGTAGTATTACTCCGTCCAATATATATGCCCTTGTCGAATCCTCTTTCGAATCATGTTGTGTCATCTTGAAGCTATGGATTTATTAGACAAGATGTACGCCTCTTTTAGCTCTGTTGCCTTTCTGGGGTCAGTCCTCTTCTCCTTGCAAACCACAGGCAATGATACTGTCCCTCAAGTCACTTTGAAAGACTATGGGGTGTTCTCCGGAACGAACATCCCGGAGACTTTGATGGGCGATAAGCTGTTCAACGAAGTTGACGCTTGGCTTGGCATCGATTATGCCGACCAGCCTGTGGGCGACCGACGGTTTCGTCAACTACAATCACAACCTCCAGCCTTTGACGGAGTTAGGAACGCTACAAATTATGGGGCCGTTTGCTTGCAGGATTTAAAATATCCATACTCTGATGAGCAAGACGAAGCATGCCTAAACTTCAACGTGTATCGTACGCACGGAATTCCGCTCAGTCAAAAACTCCCAACTCTTGTTTGGATCCACGGAGGCGGTTTTACATCATTCTCGGCCCGGGATTTCGATGGTGCTGCTTTCGTCGCCTCTTCTGCCAGCCCTATTGCTGTTGTCACCTTCAACTATCGTCTCAACTCCTTCGGATTCCTGCCTAGTAAATTGTTCGAACGCCAAGGCCTCCTCAATCTAGGTTTACAGGATCAACACTTCCTTCTGCAGTTTATACAGAGGCATCTGGGTTCATTTGGTGGAGACCCTGATCAAATCACTCTCGGCGGCCTTTCGGCTGGCGCGCACTCAACGGCATTCCAATATTTTCACAATTATGGTGCCGACAAGAACAAACCACTCTTCGCAAGGGCCATTCTACAGTCAGGATCACCTACAGCTCGCTCCTTTCCAGGCCCGGAATATCCTCGATATAAGAAGGACTTTGCAGGACTTATGGATTATATCAATTGTTCCGTGGACGTTGGCGACAAAGAGCAAATGGAATGTTTGCGCCATGCATCGGCGGAGAAGATCAGAATCTACTCAGCTAAATCTTATGAAGATGCTAAAGATCAACTGAACTGGCCCTGGCAGCCATCGATTGGGGGTCTCTATGTCGAGAAGGCAGGATCTCAGAGTGGGATTGAGGGAGCCTTTCATCATCTCCCCATCATCACAACCCATACCTCTGACGAAGGGAAATATTACACCCCGGGAAATTTGGAAACAAATGATGATTTTATCCGGTTTTGGCACCGAATCAGCCCTGGTCTTAATATCACTGACATCGCTCTCATAAATGAGCTCTACCCGGACCCCGTTGCGCATCCTGACTCCCCATGGGCCAGCTCTTCAAACAGCACGCAGTATAATCGCATCTCAGCTTCGTGGTCTGATATGTCTTATATCTGCCCTAGCCGTAAGACAGCTGAGACAACATCGCGGGCAGGAGTCCCAACTTGGAGACTTCGATTTAACACGCCTGATTTCCCATTGGTTGCTCAGTCCTGGAAGGGCATTCCGCATTCTGCAGATTGGGCTTATACATGGAATGATCCACATGTGCCCTACCCTGAAACCGCGCGCATTTACTTTGGCTACATGAACAGTTTCGTGCTCACGGGTAATCCTAACAAAGAAAGGTTGGATGGTACCGTGGAGTGGCCCGAATACAAAGCAACGGGCGACATAGGTAGTGGGTATCCGAAACAACTTTTAGTGAACCCAGGAAACTTTACAGTTGTGGAAGAGGACAGCACTCGGTCTCGGCAATGTGCTTACTGGAATGATATCGACCGAGCTGCCCGTTTGTACAAGTAGCCACCAGGCACGCAGAATGGTAGTCCAGATTTAATGAGCTTTGGGGCTAGTTTTAGGAATACAGAGAAAAATAAAGAACAGTTTGTTTTCAATACGACAAACCATGGTTATTCAGCATAAGTGTGGTATATGAATCTAATTTATTTCTATATAAAATGGTTTCTTTCCATGGCGGACTCTCGAAGCCCGTCCCAATCTATGTCTAACCAGATTCCCGAACAAGCTCTCTATAGTCGCCAGCTAGTGCTTTCGGTGCTTGACACGGGCGATGATGCCCTCCTGTCGAGCAAAGAAGGTGTTTCTAGTATGCCACTGGGTCTTGGCCTGGTCATAAAACTCGAACCGATAGTGTCGAATAAGCTGAGGAGTTAGCTTGTGCAGCTCGATCAAGGCAATGTTTTTACCCAGGCAGGTACGAGTGCCACCACCGAAAGCCATCATGTACTTGTCCATGTAGTTAGCGCGGGCTGGGTCCATCCATCGATCAGGGTTGAAGGTCTCTGCATCCGCGCCAAAAACCTTTTTGTCGAAATGCATCACGGCTGCGTTGATGCCAACAACATAGCCTCCAGGGATGAACTGGCCGCATAGGGTCATACCCTCAGGAGGTACTGTTCGGGGCAGGGCTGTTTCACACAAAAGTCAGACTGATTCAAAATGTTGAACGACGTTGCATCATCACTTACAAAGTTGTGCGCCGGGCCAGATACGAAGAGCTTCCTTGATGCAAGCGCAGAGATACGGCAATTGGCTCGCCTGTTTGTAGGTAGCAGGCATACTTAGATAACGTTCCTCAACTGCTTGATCAATCTCAGCCTCGAGTCGACGGTAGACTTCGGGACTGTGCATGAGATGGTAGAACAATGAGCGGAAAGCAATGGCCGTAGTATCACTGCCTGCAAAAAGCGCGCCATATGACTCTTGCTCAACATCACCCCAGCGGTAGTCCATCTTCTCGCCATTCTTCTCATATATGTTGAAGACTTGTTGGGTCATATCGGTTCGGGGAGCCTCGAGACGGGAGGTATAGGCCTCCTCCATTAGCCGTGCGGACGACTCTCCGATATTTTTGCTATTCTCATTTTATCAGCGGGGGTCTTGATTCTTGGAACCCTTGCTTGTGGCAACGTACACTCCCTTTGCAATTTCTTTACCCGCAGACGATAGCATACATCCCATGCCGATCAAGGGTCGCAAAGCTGGCGGAGCAACACCCATTAAGCAAACGAATGGGATCATTTTGTCCAGAGACTTAATCCAATCATTCTGATCCTTGCCTTCGTCAATGAATCCGAAAGCACGGCCGTAGAATAGTTCGCCGATAATGTCGAATGTGTACCTAGTAAAGTATGAGACATGATTTCTATGTAAGAAAAAGTGTTGATATTTTTACCAGTGAAGCCACTCTCCAATATCACAAGGCTTGCCTGAATCTGCGAACTGGCCCAATCTCTCCGTCAGGAGATCACTACAAGAATCGATGTACTCCTCTGACTTGGTCACATTTGTCATGGAGTAGATGTTACTGGTGATCCTTCGCCTTTGGCCGTGCTTTTTGTCGCTCTTACATGAGAAGACGTCACCATGGGGACTGAAACCGGTTGTGTTGTAGGGCTCATAGAATTGTGCTTTGTCCAATGCGTTGGAGAAGCGATAGATGGTCGCGAAAGCCTCGGGGCTGCTATGTGTATCAGTTTTGGATTTTTCTGTAGTTGGATTACTTCGCGACTTACTCGGAGCATGATACTTCATTTGGTGCAATGCGGATGAGCGGGCCATACTTGGCGTGAAGAGCTCTTTCATCCTTCTCAACATCTTCTGTCCAGATCTTGCGCATATACCACAGACGTGAGATGGTTGCTAAAAAGGGTCCTGGAATCTTTCTTAAAGGGTGGAAGGTGAGTGTGTAGATGAGCCAACCCAGCCAGTAAATGACCGGCAAGGCCACCAACATCCAGACATTAGCGAATACAATGTTAAGTAACATAGTGTTACACAAATCAAGAGAGAATCAGAGGAGAAGGTAGAAGGAACTTGATGAAGAAAGAAGAAGAATTTGAACACTACATTGTGCCTTTTATACGAGCATCGGCATTGACATAGTCCCATCGATCTGGGGCATGGATTAAGTGGTGGGCGATGGTCGGTATATGGAGAAAGTGAAAAGTATCCATTTGGGCCCGATCCCTGACTTTCTAACTTCCTACTCCGTCATTCATATCGTGGCTAACCCACTTATCCACAAAACTAACGTTCCATTTCAAATCGAAGCTACGGGTACATCGGACAGTGAACAAATGCCGCTGAGTCATCCGTCGGGTAGGGATTTTCGCGACGATCTACGAGTTTCGGTGTAAGTATGGATATCAACACAATCGTATCCCCGGGCGAACAATGCTCGGCAAGTTGCAGCAGGCCGGAGTGGTTACTGAACGCCAGCTTGTTTCGCCGACTATGAACAGAGAACAGGGGCTAAGTTGCTTACCAGACTGCGGTACTGAGTACGGACCTTTTAGGAACATGGAATGCCTCGCTTCTTTCATCACTCGCCTACAACATTCATTTTCTAGCCCGAGGGCAACCGTCAGAGAATCAGTGTTTCAATGGAAAGATATCAGAATCCAAGATTGACCCGTGTTGAACATCCACCACATGGCTTGTCAAATCGTCCTCGGACAGATTGCGTGGTACCCATGTCATGCTATGTGAGGGTGTGGATCGGAGTTCAAGACAAGCCGTAGCTATAAAGGTTTCTGGCGATGTACCATCCGGGTTATGTGCTGGAGCTCTATACATGGCTTGGGGGCGATGCAGGATTATTGCAAGGGAAACAGTGTATTATTAATTGAATTCCACTAGTTATAACATGAAAAGACATTTGCTTCTAGAGCAACTGCTTCTTCTGTTACCTTTTAGTACCTTCAATTATCACTTCTTTTTGGGAATCTCGGTTCAATTGACCGTATTATTTCCAGTTCCCTCTTATCTTCTTAGTCAAGTCCATCCTTTGATGATCCCTTGCTGAACCGGCTGTCACCCTAGTTGTAAACACCTTCCATTCTCTAGTAATGCTCTTTTCATTCATCGTTGCCGTGAGGGCTTCGTTGTCGAAGGGTTCATGGTTAGCTTCCAGTTCTATGGGTTTGCTCTGGAACAAAGTAAGTTTATTTCAGATAAGCGATTGAAGCGCTTGCGTATCATAGTGCTATGATTAAGCTCAGTGGTGATGAAGTTAGAGAAAGAGGGAGGGCCTGGAAGAAAAGGTGAACCACGCATTTTGGTATCGCAATTCATATTTCAGAGGTCACTGTGATTGAGATGGGGCCAATATGCTTTTGATAGATCGTTATGTTCAAATTCTGAGGAAGCCCTGCAGCCACAGTTTGTGTAACATGACATGAAAATACCAGTGATTGGTCGCTGGCAACCTGTCTGCGAGTTCTACCGGACACAGCCTGAAGTCCCTGGTCAGCTGATGATTCCCCGCTTCGGATGATCGTGATTAAAGCCTTTGTGATGGCCATGGTCAACGTCAAACCTCCTTAGCCATCAACCTTGACCAGTTTGTTTTTCGATATGGCCTCTACACTCTGGGTTGACCCATATGAGACTCTGGGAGTGGCACGGGATGCCAAGCTTCCTACAATTAATCTTACATATCGTCTGCACCTTCGTAGTCACATCAAGCGGCTATTCAACAACGCGGCCATGAAGGCCAATATGCAAAGAGAATTTCAGAAAGTCCAGGACGCTTACGATGTGATCATCAAAAAGAATGAACTGAAACGCGCCATTGAAACTATAATTGGCGGCGAACTCCAGCAATTCAAGGAATGTTGGGAAATCTTACTGCTAGCCAGGAAACCAACAGAAAAACATCTCATTGACAGCCTGACGAGGGAGAGGTGGTCGACAGTTTGCAAGAATTCGACTCAGCCAGGAGATCCACTTGATAGAGTACAGCCAGGGTGGTTGATTGGGGTAGTCTCGTGTATCCAACTATTCTATGACTTCATTTCACTGCTTGTAAGTTCATATCAACTCCCTACCGCCTGTTGGTTCTTTCGGATTTTCTCGTTCTCCGGTTGTAGCTCTTGTATGCAGGCATTTCACTAACGTGATGTTGGGGTAGTTGACGTCAATAAAGCGAACGTGGGTTCGAAGGAGCCATCCGAAATATGAGTATCAACAGCTTGAAACAAGCACAGCACTCTTTGGAGTGACGATTGAGAGAGACTCTCAGCAAGTTGATGTTGAGCTGCCCCTGATACTGGAAGGCCAGCATATAATGGCTACTCCTGACTTGGGGTCCGATTACAACGTCATGTCTGCAAGCGTGGTAAAACAGCTCAGACTAAATGTTCAAGATTGTTTCTTGTGTAAGTGCATGGGTAACAAATTTAAAATGGCAAATGGTCGCGTTATCACGTGTAAAGGGTTGGTATGGACTTGTTTTGCCTTTCCTTCAGAGGAAGCATTGAACCTCCCTATTGGTTTCCACGTCCTAGAGCCTCTCGCCACCTCTATCGTTATCGGTAGAAAATTCCTCAATAAGACAAGTACTCTCACAACTCACCTTAACCGATTTGTACACTCTCCTCGCCCATTTTGGAATGCATTGTCCACTTCACGGATACTTCACCTCAAAGCGCCTTCTCGAACACTCCAGTGCTCTATCAACAGTACTCTGGTGGGAGCGAACGTCGATACAAGGGCAGAGATGAATCTAGCCTCGCCCGAATTTGCTGCCCGTTCCGGAGTCCGAATCAAGCCCGCCGATCAACAACACCAGTTCGTTCAGCTTGCGGATGGATCGATCACTTCCATTATTGGTAGTTTCCGTGCAAGATTTAACCCTTTCGATAAACCCTCAAACAAAACACTACGACTGGGTCCTCGCATGCAGAAGTTTTACATCCTCGATGGTCTCACTTCGGATGTCTTGCTCGGCCGTCAACTCCTTCTTGAGATGTATGCCTTCGTTAATCAAGTTAATCAATCTAACACATTTTTCGATATGAAACGCCCGTCTCTGCATGACGACCTGAATGTTATCGCCTGGATTGAGGAATGGCGTGGTATGTTTGGCTGGCACCCAGTTGAGCGCGACTATCGTGAGTTCTCTCTCCCACTCCCATTGCAGTTTCTTTTTCTTTGCTGCTTAAGTAATATCAAAGTAGTCGATGTAAAACATTCTACCTTCTGGTTTAACGTTGAAACGGACGTTCTTAATGAACGTGACCGACCTCACCAGATTCAGACTTGTCTCACCGAGGCAGAAGAACAGATGCGCCAAAAACAAGAGCTTTACCTGAAGTGAAGGCAGCAGACTGTAGAAGCCAACAAAAAACAAAAGGTTGCGAATGTTAGCGTGAATCGGTCACAATAGAGCTTCACTATAAGCTTCAGAATTGAATACAGCGCTTGTTAAAACACAGTCACTTCAATTCATGTCTCAGCCTATGACATTGATTGGCGATACCATGGCCATCCTAGAAATTGAGGCTGTCGTTATGTTTTCTGCCTACTGACCTACAAAAGAGGAGTCGAGCAACAGTCAGACTAGTAGAAACACTTGTAGACTGTGAGTTCAATCTTAGCTTCAGCTATATCAATACAGGTGTTGTTATTCTCATGCTTATATTGAGTATGTACGATTTGCAGATCCGGCAAGAACAGGTTTTGCAAGGGAAGGTATCGAAATCAATTAATCTCATGGGTCAACATGATATTAATAGACAAAAATGCTCCCATGGAGTCCCCAGCAAAGCCCCCAAGTTTCAATACTCGTATTGTGTAACAGTCGCCCTGTCGTCATTTTTAATCTGACGGCCAGTGCAGAGCTCCCATGACAACAATATGTATCCTAAGCAGACACTCTCTATCAGAAGATGTCAGCGACAAATAGATAAACAACAGTTAGTTAAAGTACAGACGTACCTGCGATGCCAACAAGGATCTGAGATTAGGCTTGAGAGCATGTAACAGTTTCCAGGCAGCAAGCGTAATGGACGCCTGTTCCAGTGCTCCAGGGACAAGTCTTTGAGAATTGGCCGGAACAGACTGTACTCGGCGGTCTTGGAATACACAATCCATTGTCCTGGGCTGTAGAAGAGCCAACCAGAGCCAGAGTGACAAAGAGGATACCTGAGGTGAACTCCATATTGCTGATATTTAAACAATGAGGTTGTGATAGTGAGCTTTATGCAAGGTAGAATGAAGTAATGACTGGAGAGATAAAGAGAGGAGTTCAATGAGATATGATGGCACCTTGATATGTTTTATAATTGAAGTCCAATCCGGGGACACAGCTTCTTCCCCTTATGTTCTGAGTGCATCATGCAATTCTACCCCGGTTTGATAAACCAAGTGTAGAGAAATACCGCACGGATGTAACCACTAATCCCTACTTCTCATCGATGAGGAAACCATGCGCGTTTCAAAACTACATAACCTCAGGCGACTGCCTTGATTGATACTATGAAGACTGTATCGGGTTGATTGCACCGTTCAGTCAGCGATATCTCAGTAGTCCGCATCTTAGTACTCAATGCTATTATAATTATAGTGAAGGATTACGTACCACTCGTTGCTCTTCAGCTAGGATGCTATACAAAACTTACTTGAATAAGTACCACTTTCCTTAAACTGTATATATGATACGATCGATGATTGGAAGTTGAGCTAACGTCTCTCCTAGGTAGGTTCTATTAATCTCTAGGTATCTTCTCTAATAGCCGACATAGTGAACTACTTGTACTCGAGTCATTCATCGGGTGGGAACTTCTCAATGGGGAAAACAATGATCAACAACAGGTAACCCTACATTCTTTAAACTGTACCGAAACTTACCCATGCAAGATCATACCAATATCTGGGATATTTTATCTCTTTTAAGAAGCTATAACCTAATTGTCAAACGATACAGTACCATGATTGACGAGGATTCAAAATATTTTTGTTTGAGTGGCGATATCCGCGTTTGTGGCGGGCCAAGCACCTGGCACGTTGTCGACTGGGATCGGAGACGCGTAGTTTCGGTGACTATGGATGGTGAACAGGACGACGGCAGTCTTCTCATTGAATTTTACAGCCGTCTCAACCATCAGATATCTTCCGAAACTTACAGGATTTACGTATCCGAAAGTGGAGAGATTATTTCTACACATTTTGGCGCGAACGATGACATGAACTACTGCATACACTATCCATCGGCGCAAAAGGTTTCTCTTCCAGAGGATATCTAGACGATTCGGCGAAATGAGCTTTAACTCGACAGGCTTGGCCCCGATGCCGACCTCGTTGCATGTCTCCCATGCGCAGGCAAATCAACTCAAAAGGCTTACCAACACTTGTCTACTGTAAAGACAAAGCATCACTAATTAATGAGTAGGTCGTCTCTAAATACTATTTTATGTGGCAGTATGCAAAAGCGTCCTGGAAAGAAATGAATCTGTGGATACGTCTTCCACGACACCCAAACATCGTACCTTTTGACTGTGTCGTCATTGATGAGATCGAGGGTGGCGTGGTTGGAATCACCAGTGTCTATGTGCCAGGGAATAGTCTTGAGGATAACAAGTCGCGCGTTTTCAAGCTCAAATGGCTGCTGCAGCTTATAGGGGTTGTAGACGAGTTGAACCTTGTATGCGACATCTCACACCAAGACATTGCTCCGCGACACATTGTCGTCAACGAAACAACAGACTGTATCGTGCTCTTTAACTTCAACTTTACAACGCGCATCAGTCATCCACCCGAAGAAGGAGAGGCGTATGTGGAAGCGAGGAACGATGTCAAGGGAGTGGTATTTACTGCCTTTGAGATTAATACTCGGCATGACAGTGTCCCAAGTATGCCTCACGAAGACCAAACCTCGATAGCCTGGCGTCGGAATGGATAAAACACCCGGATGTGATGCTTGACCATCCAGTTGAATCATATCAAATTCTACTGAAAGAATGGCAGAAGCGAAGGACAGGGCATGTATCTCCGCTCAAAGACGCAAGACACATTAGCTGGCCATCAATGCCAAAACCGCCGCAGAAGTCCGTTTTGGTGAGAAAGGTGAATGGGGAGTCATTCAATGTCATGATGGATAACTTCTTTGAGAAACGACAGGATGCGTGGGCTAGGGTTGAAGAGGTTGTACGCTGGGACCGGCCACCACAGAGAGGATTAGAGAGTGGGACTCGTGTTCTCTGTACCGGCGATATAATAGCCTGATAGAAATTCTAGATCCTGTCGTGCAGTTTGTATGATTATATCGAGAACATAGGTCACAACTACGTAGACGAACGATCAAACAGCTTAAGTAATATAGACATCTCGTCTTGACAGGAGTACAAATATCTCTATACTAATATGATCATAATAGCGGGTTCGCCCCCTCGTAGTCTATTTAACTTCGACTGTGTCGTCCTTGGTTGCATTAGCGAATCTTATGCGCTATATGGTTTGTTGAGTAGGCGTCCTAGGCAGTGTTGAAGCTGTACTGGTTGTTCTCTGTTAATGATTGAGACCCCGCAAGTATGGCTGGCCTCATTTCAGCCTCAGCCTGGTATCCAAGTTTGGGGCCATCTCGTAAGCGGAATATGAAGGCTGAGACAATGTGACCTGAAAGCCTCGACATATGCAGAATACACCCCGCTCTTGATTTGCATCAGATCATCTTGTTTCCCTCTGTTACTTTGTCATCAAATATGATATGTTTGAGGCTCCACCATTACTTTCATAAACAAACACGTCTCATTCCTTACGCTGTTATTGCTTTTAAGATCGGTGGCACGAATCAGACACTTTTAATTCGCTTTTCACCATTGGTCGGGACCGACCGAAAATGCGACGACGATGCCGGGAAGTTTTTCCAAGGTTGTCAGAGGAGGGAAGGAGGATAAGAATGCCTTCAAAGTCGAAACCACAACCACGAATAATGCAAGTATCATTACAGTCGATGCCCGAGGAGACAGGAACAGTGATAAAGCGACCGCTGATTTAGCGGAAGCTTTGAGCCCTGTTACTGGTGGACAAGAGCCTGCGCAAGCGTCGGTGTCTAATACATCACTGTCATCGGTGGAAACAGTTGAGGATGAAGCAGATTGCTGGGGATTGTTCACTTTTATCGAAAAAGGTCGGGATGAATCTGGCATTGTCGACATCGTGGCTATTCATGGTCTTAATGGCCATTACTACAAAACCTGGTCCACATCGTCAACAAAGGGAAGTAGAATCAACTGGCTAAAAGACATGCTTCCTGAACGCATACCTAATGCCAGAATTATGTCCTTTGGATACAATACCAATGTTCAGTTCAGCAAGTCCACGGCAGGCATCAGCGACTTCGTCGAGGGTCTTCTTTCGGACCTCATGTCATGCAGGACAAGCCACCAGGAAAAGACACGGCCTATCATATTTATTTGTCACAGTCTAGGTGGCATCGTCTTCAAACAAGTAAGTTTGTCCCTCTTCGTTTTATGATATTGTTGACTCACAAACGATACAAGGCGTTGGTGAGAGCTCGGGAACGCGATAGGTACACCGATCTCCTTAAGCATATTCGTGGTGTGGCTTTTTTTTGGAACACCGCACGGCGGATCATCGTCAGCAGACTTCGGCAAGGTGCTTGCATCGATTCTCAAAGCGTCCACTATGGGGATCAATACCAACACCAAGGTGGTCAATGATCTCAAAAAGAACTCGCAAGCGCTGTATGAGATCACTCAGTCTTTCGTGGATCGCAGCAAGGCATTGCACATTGTCACTTTCTACGAAACAGAGAAAATGGAGTTTCTAAGTGCACAAGTAAGAACTCAGCCTAGTTCCAGAGATATTGTCAATCTATATACTGAGCCTGACGCTGACTATGTTATAGATCATGGTCAAAGAATCTGCTGTCTTGAATCTACCAAACGAGATACCGGTGCTTATTAATGGGAACCATAGCAGTATGTGCAAGTTTTCAAACTCTGGGGCCGCGAAAAGGAGTTTCACCCGTGTTTACTCTCACTTGGAGGAAATGATCAGTGGTCTGATAAAGAACGAAGTCTCTTATCCTGCCAGTAAATGATAATTCTATAGAAGTTACATAAGTATATAGCTAAGAATGATGAAAGATCTGTCACATGAACAACAACTTGAATGTTTTCGCGGCTTCTATCATAAGAACTACGAATCTTATCGTGAAAGAAATCCAGATCGAGTCGCAGGCACATGTGAATGGTTTCTGAGACACCCAGAATATCGCGAGTGGAGGAACAAGGAAGCTTCCAGCCTCCTCTGGGTGTCGGCAGACCCTGGATGTGGGAAATCAGTTTTGGCCAAGTTTCTGGTAGATTCTGTGCGAAAAGAAAAGAAGGCTGAAAAATCACGGCCTGAGTTTATTTGCCATTTTTTTCTTCAAGGACGACAATGACGAACAGCGCAATTCGCTATTTGCGCTGCGAGCACTACTACATCAGATATTTACTGATGATAAGGCTTTGCTTCGGCATGCTTTCAATGTATTTGAAAGCAAAGGCCAGGTCATGTTTTGAAGAGTTTCACAGTTTGTGGGATATTCTCTCCAGTATCGCCAAGGATCCATCGGCCACTAACTTGCTGATTATTCTCGATGCCTTGGATGAGTGCGCAAAGAACTCGCAGAGCCAACTGTTGAAACATCTGAACAAGCGTTATCATGAAAAGGTACTGAAAGAGAAGCCATTATTCATGGTCATTCTTCTGAGTCGTCCTGAGAACATGATCAAGTATTCTTTCAGTCAGAACGTTGCTGCCGTGCGTCTTCGCGGCGAAGACCAGACAGGTCCCATTAGCGAGGTTGTGGAACTAGTAGTTCGCAGTCATATCAATGAGCTCAGTGGTCAAGGCTTACCGCATGATCTCTTGTTGGGGCTTGAAAGGACTCTCATTACAAAGGCCGACCGAACCTTTCTGTGGACGACGCTCATGATAGACCTCATCGAAGAAGCGGCATCATCTGGGGCATCGCAGAAGGAACTCGAGGACCTTTTGGGCAACGAGGATATATACGCGATATATTCAAAGCTACTTGAGCGTAGTCATGAATCGAATGAAGCTAAGAAACTCCTCGAGTTGATTCTGGCGGCGGCTCGACCTTTGACTCTCGACGAACTCAATATGGCAATGGCAGTAACCCCACAACAAGTATCTTTTAAGGAGCTCGAGTTCAATCTAAAGAGTTCCGTTGAGAGCCATCTGAAGAACGTATGCGGGCATTTCATTCGTGTTATACATTCTCAGGTATTTCTTGTTCACTAAACCGCACGAGAGTATCTTCTCCAGCAACATGAAATGAGAAGGTCCAATTCACTTGGTATATGGCATAATTGTTTCTCTCTTGATCAATGCCATGTCACAATGTTACAATCCTGCATCTACTATCTTTTTCTCCGAATTGTTTCCACCGACGCTGAGCTTGAAAGAGAGCGTTTCGCTCGATATGCTTCATCATTCTGGTCACACCATTTCGCTCGTCTCGCCACTATTCAAGAAGGATTGGAGGTATTTAATGTGATTTTGGATATAGCCATACGCAGTGGTGCTGGTCCCTGTCAAAACGCTCAGAAGTGGTGTGTTATTCACGACCTTGTCGTTCATTTAGATCATTGGCGATTATGTCTGTCCACTGACAGTAGTTCAGACGACAACATTATTTCAGACGACGAAGATGTAGATCTATCGGTTGCTACATCCAATCCCATTTCACAGCAGACTGGAAAGACCGGACACGGCTATCTTCATCCTAAGATCATTGACAACGGGTTGAATGCGCTTATTATCAGTTTGCTGCTTGACCAGGGAATTGATGTCAAAGCGACTGATCGCTCGGGGAGGACACTTCTACACTATGCATATACTTTTGGATCGCTGTGGCTGGTGTCAACGTTGCTCAATTATGGCCTTGATGCCTCTGCGCTAGACAACGAACACAACACACCTTTGCATTCTCTCGCCAAACATTCTCTTCCCTTCAGAGACGAAGGAGAATCCTTCAGAGACGAAGAAGAATTAGGAATTAGAGCCGAAGGGGACCGCCTAATGGTCTACCCATCAACAAATAATCCCAAAGCAATCATAAACGTCCTTCGTTCCCACGGCGTCAATCTTGATGCTGTTGACGGTAACGGGAGAACAGCGCTTAATGACATGATCAGGCGGCCAACATACTGCGATGGATTTGGATCCGGATTAATCACAGCATTGAAAAACAGTGGAAGGGATGAATATGCTTCAGATGCTGACATCTTTGATAGTGATGAAGAGGATTTCTAATTGTCTTTAACTTCATCAGATTTAAGTGGGGGAATGTAGATACGGCATACCAAGGGACATAGCAGTGGTCATTAGGCGCATAGATGCTTCGATACGTTAGTCTGATTTAACTGTGAATGAAAGCGTCCGATGAATTTTTTTTCTCTTAAATAATTACCTTGCATTTGAGCAGCCAACAAGTGGACGATGCTGTTGTTGCTTGCCAATTGCGCCTCTATTGCTGCACCTTAAGCGAATCTCAGGACACGGACATTCAATGGTCGTCAACAACCAAGGAAACTAAATGGTCATTGACTTGTTATGACATCAACAGGCATGTCGTATAAGGGATTAGGGAAGTTGCCGTGACCGCTAGGCGTGTCGTCCTTTGCAAATTACATAGTAAAATTGTGATATTGCGTCCTTGATTAATATGAACCTGGTCTCGCATGCTGCTCATCTCTGCTTTGTGGTTGATATCCTGAGTGAGTTGTCTATAGTATAGGTGAACATAGCATGAAACATATCTTACCTTTTTTATCATTGTATTTACAGGAGAAGCGTCAGTTGTCATTTCTTTGCCGAGGGCCAAGAACTGTGAAGTTCGGCAATAGCTAGTACCTTCTGAGCAATGGTCCATCATTTGGTTCAGTAGTCCAACTTTCTACCTTACCTAGCTCGTTATCGGAAAAAGTTCAAAGAAATAGACTTTATGGTAGTCTTTGAAATTGCAAGGGATCGCTATCCACAGCCGAGCGTTACAGATAAGCTTAACCACCAATTGGTGGATCGATCTCCAAAAGCCTCACGACTTGACTCGCGGCAAAACCATAAATCCCACCCTCATCAAACATAGTCTCCCAAAACCTCCCGATGCCAAGACTTGACGACTATCACAACTTGACAACGGGTGGCGTCGCACCGTTAAACGTTCAACGAGCGCACTGCATAAACAGGTGGTGGAGACTAGAGAGGATCAGCGCTGCAAACTACCAGCCAAGGTTAGCTACAACAGACTAGAGATGGAGAAATCGAACGGTTCCCCACGTTTCTCCGAACGTTAGAGTTGCCAAGATATAGACTACGGGGCCGTGGCGTCTAGCGGCGATATCAACCCGGAGCATAATGGTAGATTCATCGTATATACGACGGACTTTTATTCGTTTCTTGGACATTGATTACCGAAGGCGAAGAAATATTCGTTTATCCACTTGGCAAACACAATGCAGGGGGCAGGTTTCGGAAATGATCCTAATGTATGCTGGTATATATCATATATCCAATAAGTACAGTGTACAAAATATGCACAATAAAAAGATACAATCGCTCAAATAGCCACCCATCTAAGATCACAAACTCCTCTAATTTACCCAACCACCCAATAATACAAAATTTACTCAGAGTCGTCATCAACCTCGTCAGCAAGCATACTCAAAACATTCTCCTCTCCAGGGGAGTTCTGAGGGAAGCGAGCATTGTAGCCAATAACAGATCGGGCCTTGAGGTAAGTCTTGGTAGGGATGGAAACCTTTTGTGTGGAGACCAGCCAAGTGACGCCCTCACTGCAGGGCGGTGTAGTAAGCGAACCAGAGTATCTAGACAGAGACAAATGTCAGCATATCTTACATCAGACTATTACTTCGCTTCGGAATTGGCGACTTACGATTGGAACTCGCCAGCGTTGAGAAGAGAGACGATCTCGGACATCTTGAGAGGCTTGGTGTGGGTAGTTTCGCCCAGGGTTGCAATCTTATCCACCGAGTTGAGGACGGTGGTAGCGACGGTGGATTTTTGAGCGTGGGTCGTCTTGAAATCCTTGCCGGTCGCGTCCCGAGCGGCAGCCTTGGCTTTGTAGGTAGCGTTGGGAAGTCCATCGTCGAGATCGATGTAAATTCCAATGACGGCGAGTTGCTTGTCCTCGCTCTGGTGAACCATATGCATCTCCATGGCCATACTGGTACCGTCATCGAGATGCTCACTTGGGAGGTGGAAGTGGAACTGCTTCAGGTGGTAGACTGTGTCATCGAGGGTGATTTTACCGCCCATGCCTTCAGTGACGACTTCGACGGTGCTTCCGAGGTTCTCAAACTCTGCGCCATCGTGGAAGTCGGGGATCTCAATCTGAAGGTCCAATGCCGAGAGGATCTTGTGGGTGCCGTTGGACAGGTTAATGGGAGACTGATGCTTTCCAATTGCGCAAAGCTCATTGGCCTTGGGGTCTAGGTTGAACCAATTGGCAGGTCCCTAATAAGCATTGTCAGCTTGACTGCAGCCCGCTCCGCTGGTAGACAGTTGGGATGAACACTTACATTGGCAGCTGAGTAGCCAAACTTGGGGGCCTCAATCGCATCAGCTCTTCGGTGAAGATGCGTTCCATAAGCACAAGACGCCAATGCCTGAGGCGCAAAGGTAGCCAAAAGAGGGATCCAAGAATACATGATGAAAGACTCGAACAAGGGGTCAATGTTAAAACAAAGTTGAACTTGGCGGGGAAACGGTTGAAAAAGAGAATATAAACTCAAAAAGGGTGTCGGTTGGTTGGAACTGCTTCTGCCAGATCTGAGACCAACGAGCGGAAAGATGTCCAATATTTAAGTATTTTCAACTCGATCATCCTACTCTTCCCGACATCATGTAGAGTATATTTGGAATCCCTGTCATAAGTCGGGGTCTGTCACTCGGCTGGGGCTTACCATCCATTGCAATATTACTGCAACAACCTTATTGCGGTAATCTATGCTTAGCTCATGTCATCGGAGTTTAGAACAAGAAGCTTGTTGGAAACTGAAAGACAGACTCGGCAAATGTCACGCCACAGTGAGCAGAAGACCCAGTGACCTGACAGGGGCAAAGAGTGATCTATACTGTAAGTGTGCTGCAACATGTAAGCTTTTGGAGGGCTGTGGATCTATTACGGGGTATTTGGAATGCTAGAAAATAAGCATGGCTGGGTACTCCTTTTTCGGTTTTCATACGCGCAACCCGACGTGGTTGTTGAAGATGAGGTTAATTTATGCGCGTGTCATGTAGAGTATTGCCTTGACCCGTGATTGGACTCGAGACGAGACTGAGATTGAAACAGAAGTTTAAGTTTGGACCAGACGCGTTTCTTAACTACTGGACGGACTATTCACCATCGAGAGTAGCACATGAGGAGCGTTGTATTGAGACTAATTCGTATTGCCAAGTAAACATTCGCTTCTCAATGATACTCTAGAGTTACAAAAGTGACGCAGGCCAGATCCATTCTTGCGCCCCCATCAAAGAAAAGACAAGATCCCGCGGAGTGTAACATGGATTTCTCCATCTGCCGTTGGAACTGGTGAAGGTATTCAGCTGGCTGGCCTAGACGCTCAAGTTACACTCCAACATGCGCTACTGCAATGCGCTAAAAAACCGTTAGACAGGGGTTCTTTTCAGTGCTGGGATGGCTCAGACGGGGGGCCTGAAGTCTGGAAGTCTGGACTTCTTGGCGGTGCTGGTGGCTTAGACAGAGACTAAGAAGTGGTTATGGCTTGACAGATGTTACCCTGTAATCTTGTAATTTCATTACCCTAGACAAGTTTGTAAGAATTGTATTTTCAATCTACACGGAGAAATTAAGCTTATCATTGAAACCATTCGGAGATATCAAGTCTTGGGCTCTAGATAAAGGTAAAAGAGAAAAATGCATGAAAAAGTAAGAATTGTATTTTTGAAACGTGGTTATTTCATTGCCGAGCGGCCGCTAGATTGTTGACACAATGTGACGAATTATTCCCTAATCCAGCGGCAATCTCATCGACTTCCCTCTCAAGCTTCTCAACCTCAAATACAAACGGCAAATGAAAGCTCTTGCTAATACTCTCTTTCCAAGAGATAGAATGCGAATCAACACGTCGCTCCTGAAAATCCCTTATCATATCATAAACTCTACCCACATTCTCTTCCTTCTTCTCAACTGCCCTTTGAACACAGATGATTATCCAATCATCGAGTTCCTCCCAGACTTCAGTTCGCCACTTAACAAAATGAAGAAGACGAATAGGATAAAAGCCTTTCCGACCCTCACTTGTATGTCTAAGAATATAGTGTCGATTGAGAAGATTGAGTATACGGTCGACCTTTGTGGCACTCGAGACATACCGATCCCATTCGGCAAAGTAAGTGCCTAGACGAAGGCTTTCATCTTCGCATATAATCTTGAATTTCACGGACTCTAGATGCTCGGCGAGGAATTTTGATACGTCGTTGTAAATGTCTTTTCCAAGAAGCTCCCCATCTTCGAATTTTTTGCCGACGATTAATTTCGATACAGCTCTGCTAAAAGTCAACCAGGGTCAACGTAGATAATAGGATGCTTAACTGACGTGTAAAGGTCCATATACTGCAGATTTAATCCTGGTTAGCATCGTGAAGATAAACGGCATTGTTTTTTCTTTCGCAACTTACGGTACTTGGAGTCATCTTAGCTTCAGGATTCTGATGAATGGAAGCCACGCCGTTCATTAAAAACGCTCGTAAAGCTTCAATGTCGCTCGCGTCTGGCATTCTTTGACCCTCCGCTGGTGCTGTGCCTTCTGCCATGATGAGATGTTGATCAAAAACTCGATGTTTCCCCGAGCGATAAGGGCGGTGCCTGAAAGTTTCACACAAGAGCAAATCTTTCATTTGGAGTCAGCATGCATAGATACCACACGTGTTACATCATGGAGTTTCAGCCATTTAGGCAGCATAATGAGTCATCACACAAGCTGTGATTCAGAGTATCAGAAAAATTGACCGCTGAAAGCATAAGAGACGAAATGACTAGGTCAGCTTATGCCCCTTAGACTATGGCTCTTGGACTACTTATTTTTGTACTCTAGGACTTAGGAGGCCAACATTTCTGCTACCCACTAGCCAGCCCAGGCTAGACCTGCAAGTCATAGATCATTCCTCCAGTAATATCGATTTACGATTTAATCTTGTTACATATCGAATTTACTTGAAAGCACACACTTAGCAGCTATTACCATGGATGTTTCTGTGTCATGTTAGTATCAGCCAAAACTAAAGAGGGTATTTGAACAACTTACCCTACCGTCCCAGCACCAAAAGGTTCCGCTGTCATCGCAGTTCTTTTCCTTGATGACCTTGAGCATACCTCGTACACTCTCATCAGCCTCTAACAGAGCCCCGCAATCCCATGGAATCTCAATAGAGCCCATATCACTGCTTCAGTCAGCCACGTCCACATTCTATAAAAGGTAGACTTACGTATTGACCTCGCCTGGATGAAGAGCCAGAATACATGTTTCAGACCATTTTCCGCCTCTTCTCTTCAGCTCAAGTGCCATATGTCTCAGAGACTGGTTCAACGCGGCCTTGCTTGCGCCGTATGCTGCATATCCATCTTCGTGGCCGAGGAAGTTGGTAGTTGAACCGGAGTCGGATGAGATGAAGATGACCTTTGAGGGAGGACTTTCTGGATCCAGGTTGACCAGTTTCTGGGCGCAGATAATGGGACCGATGGTGTTGGTGGTTAAATGATACGCAAAGTCTTGGAATGTTCTAAAGCAGATTAGCAGTTATAAAATGCCATGACCATGGAGCAGTATTACAACTCTGTTGCCCGGTTTGGGTATTTAAGTACGCCGGCGTTGATGATGATATTGTCCAATCTCGTACCACCTTTTACAACTGTACTCATTCTAGCAGCAAAGTTCTGAAATAGTAAGCTTCTCTCCATTACTTGATGGGACTGAACTTACGTCGATGCTCTCACTGCTGGTGACATCACACTTCTCAACCATGCAATCTTTTCTGTCTTTCTGAGCTTGAATAATACTAGATAGTTGCTTTGCGTTATCCGGATCGCGTGCAGTTGCGATGACCGACTGTCCAGCCTCCAGAAGCTGTCTGACGAACTCAAGACCGATGCCTCGGGAGGCGCCAACGACCACCCAAGTTTGAGGTGACTCAGCCATGTTGAGAGTTGAAACGCTTTGGTATACCAAGGTGAATTGTGAAAATGTTATGAATGAATATTTGATGTTTTCCAAAGAAGGAATGTAGTCTTTATATAATTAATTTTCTAATGCATGATGATGAGAAGCTAACCGTGTGGAGGATCTACAAGCGCGGGGTACGATAGCGTCAGATGAGGTTGCTCGTCTCAATTTGGCAGTTAAAATGCAATTTATTCACACGGCAAAAAATAAATATCTTGCTCGCCAGCCTTAGAGTATCAAAAAAGATAACCACTAAAAGCATAAAGGACGAAATTATTAGGTCACATTATTCTCCTCAGGGTGTAATTCGTAGACTGCTTATGTTTACACCCTAAGACTTAAGAGATCTTTTCTAACCAGCAGGCCAGTTAGAATAGATTCAACCGTTAAAATAGATTCAACCCAGCGTGTTGAGATGAGAGTTCCCAAGTTTGGGGCGCTCTTGCCTCGCAGATAACCTTCCTACATCATGGCACCTCCTCTAATTGTATCACAGGGAAGGAGGACCTTTTCATTGTCCACAGGCCCAGCCCTCCATTGTTTTCTCTTCATCACCAACTTCTTCAGACTTGGGCGCATTCAAAATGGATATCACCACCGACAACGTACTCCTCTCTGACCAGTTTATCATTAGCTGCGGGACCGTGACCCTCAACAAGCAATCCAAAGTTCTACTCATCTTCAAGCGGACAACGACCGAATTACCCGACGGCATTATACACCATTTCGATGAAGTATTCCTCCCTGAAGACTGGAAAGATATAGGCGAGTCGCTCGAAAAAGCAGCTATACGAGGAGCATATGAGAAAACCGCGGTGGAGGGACTTTTACTTCCTGCTCATATCATGACCAATGCGACCATTCCAACTTCTCAAGAAGACTCCCCAAGCAGTCACATCACTGAGCCTATCGCTGTCTCTCATCGAGTCCACCGGGGAATTCTCGACATTATCTTCTGGTACATCGCCGAGGCGACTACTTCCACCATTCCTCTGGTAGTAGGGAAGCCCGGGGAGGAACGGAATTTCGTCCCTTTCTGGATGGATATTAATGAGGCCAGACACTTTCTCTCCTTCACTAATGAAAAGCGCATTTTGGAGGAAGCCATTGCTGCAGTCGAAAGAGGACAGGCATTAGCTGAACAAGCTGAACATGCTGGAGAAGCTGAATGAGGAGCAGCCTACATGGTTATCCAAGGCGGGATGCAGAATTACTCTACTATTCTATGGCCATGGAAGTCATGCAGGAGGCTTGACATTGAGACATTTGTATTTTAATTGGGAACCCAGGAACAACTGCGGATTACTCTGCAAGCTGGCAAATTATAAATTCGTCATTCTGTTTTCTTATCTTGTTTGCCTCTCTCCATTTCACTTGTAACCTGATGTGCATCGTCGTCGCTGACTTGTTTGGGTAAGGTCAAGACTCAAAAGAAGCAGACCTGATCTCGCTGTGTGGTACATCCTGACCTACTGATATGCTACTTGAGTTGACATTGGCTGGTTTCTCCCTGCTACATTGCCAATTGTTTCAACAGCACTAACTTTGAGCAGTTGCAGTTGCAATTGGTGAGTAAAGTGGTCATGTGACTTGAAGAAGTGACATATGGGTGTTGATTGGAATTGTCATTTCCGAATGACGAGGCTGTTGTGATCCTTCAATTCATCAACCTTGTTCATGTTCCCCGAATCAGACATGTCACCTTACCCATACCCCGCTGTGGCAAAAGCTAACTGCGATCAGTTCAATGGAAAATTACAGCATTCCTGACTTTGCATGTGACTATCATATTAACCTTCATCCTAAACTTTATTCTCTTCCGAAATTACGGACCCCTGGGATTTCATCCCACTTTACCCCTCTCATCCCATCATCCCACATACCGACGATAGTTGACAGTTACACACAATCTTAGTCTGCCAGATCCCACCAAACTTTATCTTCATATCATGGCTCCCCTGTACAACAAGACCGTCGTGCTTGGTGACCCTTGTCGCCAAGCTCATCGCCACAAACACTCCCAATAATCCTTCCACAAACCTGTACATTTCGCACCGACCTTGGGGTTCCACTATGCAGTTTGCGCCATACTGATTGTGTAGTAATTCGGAATAGAATCACAAGACGTAGTGGCATTCAGAAGATGGAGCCCCTTACATTTCATCATCATAGCCGGTAGGAAAGGCGTAGGGGCTGGCGGCGTTGGCGTCGTTCTGATAACCCCCACACAGACATAGTAACCCACGACCAAAGCATTGCAATGAGAGCCCACTCCAGGGTTCCATTCCGCCAGCTGTTCCATACTGATATTGTAGTAATTTTGGATTGATGCGCAGGTGGTTGTTTCCTGAACCTCGTGAAATCTGTTGCAGTTGATCACCATTCCTGCTCGGATCGGTAATGGTGTTTTGATACCGTTACCTGGAGCCGTGGGGGACGGCTGGGGAGGGGTCCAGCCAACAATGGAAACGCAGACCCAATAACCAACGACTAGGGATAGGCAATGGGTCCCTACGCTGGGGTTCCAAGCGTAGAAGTCTTTCAGAGGCAGTTTGTAGTAACTCTCAATCGAAATGCAAGTTGTTGCAGTTTGTACAAGATGGAACTTGTTGCAGTTTGTAACCATACCTCCTTGAATCGGGGAAGGAGTCTCGATTCCGTTTGTAGACGTAGGCTTGGTCGGTGGTGATGGCGTATGGCCAATGACAGACACACAAACCCAGATATTAGACCAGAGACCTGTACAGTCCGCCTTGATGGATGGGTTCCAAGTAACGAGTTGCTCCAGTGTGATGCCGTGTTTGGAAAGAAGGCCAGCGCACGTCATACCCTTCTTAACAAAGTCAAAGGCGCCACAGTTATTCGCCATGTCTGGCTGCGTGGGAGTGGGAGTTTGTATTCCCTTGGTTGGGCTGCTTTCACTTGGGGTTGTCTTGGAAGAGGCACATGTGACCACCGGCTCGTCCATAGCCTCCACACAATAAGACCAGCCAGGGAGGAAGTTGCTACAGCCAGGCCCCAGCCCAGGGTTCTAAGATGTCAGCATTGTAATTGAATAGAACGGTTTGATCGACGAACCCAGCGAATTAGTTGGTCCATGGTAATCATGTAAGGTTCCAAAATGTCTTTACAAGAGATTGAGCCATCATTGTCGTACCAGTAACTGCAGTACTTGGAAATGTCTTTGTGAACTGGAAATTTGGGTGATAGACCCATCAGCTGGGTTGACTGCTTCTGAAGGGCAGGGATCGACTGTGCAATGGCATCTTGAGAAAGCGAAATGAGGACCAAAAGGCCTACAGTCCAGTTCAATTTGACCATGACTGTATTGATAAACGGGAGATCAGATCAACGATGTGTCAATGTCTTCAACTCATGGCCGCAGAAAATCTCTTCACGATCAAATGACGACCTTTTAAAAACTTCGGCTTTTCACATTTCAAAATTATGGCATGGACGTGGGGAAGTACGGGGGTAACGCCGCTTGGAGGTAACATCCGAAGTATCACTTTGTGGCAATGGCTGTAGACAGCAAACATTGATTAGGTACTGTAGGACTGTAGCTACTCGGCAGATCACTCTATGCCACACATCCCACTCTCGCGTTCGCGTTTGGTGCATCTGGTGTCAATCCTTCCGGCCCTTCGTCTTCTTCATCAAACAACTCATCGTACTGCCACACAGGCCCACCATACCGAACATAGCCTTTCGGTGTTTTCTCCACCAAGTTCTCTGTGTTCTGATACCCCTCCCGTTCCTCGGCAGATATTAGACGCTGACCACATAGTTCTTCATTCAGTATTAGCAGAGGACGCTTTTTCGGGTATATTTTGATCCACTCTTCGTAGTCGAATATGCCATAGTCAGGCATCAATTCTTTGCCACGAGTCCAATCTGTAGGCAATCTTGTGCCTGTAGCTAGTGTTCTCCATGGGTGTTCTCCCGCTATGGTGACGACGTCTCTGCGATCGACGGCTACATATGACTCCCCATCTCTCATCCGGATGTAGTTGACAGCCCTGAGCGGTTCCGGACCCGGTAATGGTGAGACTGGAAATGCCCAAGTCTTTGTGTTACTGGATTCTCTTCTTACGTCACATCGTAAGTACGTCGGATGGATAGAAAGGTCGTCGCTTAGGCCCTCAGGAGACACCCCCAAAGCTGTAATTCTGGCCGAGGATGGTGTATCTGATAGAGTTGCTACCTGCTGCAACGCTGGGACTAACGAGTGCCAGATTTTCAAAGTCTGGACCGGACGCCGATGTGTCCACACTTTGTCCTCGAAACAATCGAAATGGAGGCTCTCCAAGCACGGTAGGCTGATTGGGTGGAAGATTTTGTCGTAGTCCCATGTACCTAGCATTTCATCGCAAACAGGGTCCAAATCGACGTGAACATGAACCATACGAGGTAGTAAACGCCGCAGATCCTCACACAGATGCGTTTGTCCAGGACCGCCTTCGGTGTCTCCAACCACAACCTCCAAATTGATGCAGCTTGCAGGGAGGCTATTAAGCAGGGATGAAATGTTTGATCTCGTAGGTTTGTAAAGTTCGTAGTCTGCCCACGGTTTGGACGGGTTTTCCTTTGTACGATGGTGGCGTATTAGGGAAAAGGATTCGAGATTAATCATAGACCGCATGATGTTCGCCACTTTCGAGATTGACAGATCAGTTCTGTCCCATACGGCCCGGTCAAGCCTGTCTGACGGCTTGTCATGATTGAGGTAGAAGGTGAAAGATTTTATTTGGGACAAGTCCTGCTGATCATGGCATTCCACAAATCGATCTAGCTCTCTGCCACAGGATAATACCAAGGGCGGGGCTTTTTCGAGGAAGAGTAGGCCGCGGGGTTCAACACGACGTCGGGCGCGGCTAGGGCTAGAATGGGTGACTGACGTCCGAAGTTTTGTTCCCCTCTCTAGAGGTGATGGTGGGCAGGATATTGGTAAGGGTCGGTGGGACATCGGCGAGGATGGGCAGAACATTGGCGAGGGTGGGCAGGACATCGTCGAGGGTGAGCAGGGCGCTGACGGTGGCCGGTATGGGGAAAAGAGCAGGTGGTTGATTGATTGATGATGATACGAGAGTGAAGAAGAATAAAGAGTCGGCTAGGGCCGGGCTGCAGCAGTCAGCATCTGAAAAAGATCATGTGCCGCTTGAGCACGGTGAGGTCAGGAGTAGGGTTGCGCACTGGAGGTTGCGTGCGCACGCGAAGGTTATTGACTGAGCTGAGTTGTTACGGCGGGGCACAAAGCTTTTGGCGATGTGAAGAGCGGGAGGGAATGATGACTTAGCGGATGATGACTGGCTGTTTGTATAGACCACGTGACGTTTGCACTGGCTGATCGAGGTTGGAAGAAAGAAGTTACTGCTGTCTTTACGGCTTGACAGAAACTTCCTTTATATATCTACGATATTATAGAGTTAAAGCTTTATGAGTCTTGTTTGCGCTGGAAAAATGAGTTTCGACGGAAACCCTAACTTGAGAGTTCATTGAAAATTTAATATGCGCAGGTAGATCAATATTTATTAAAAACTTAAATAAAACTGAGGATGCCTGTGGGGAGCTTATTACTACCTTATGCTCACATTCAGATCATAGATGACTCGAGAATGTTCAAGTACACTTGCCAAATTCTGGCTGACTAGATTATAGCAAAGAACACATTAAATACTCATCCTGTTCGAGAATATTGCGAACTTACCAGCCTAGATACGTATCACAATGATACTTATCATCTCCACAGTAGCCAGCAGCTGAGCAGCAGTCACCAAGTTTGGATCCTTTGCATGTGAAGCCACTACTGTAGGCACAGTGCCCATTTTCAGAGATGAAAAGCGGCTTCTTTGTCACTGATCGTTTCGCTGCGTTGGAAGAAGTCGCTGTTGTACCGCCAAAGCAGTTGCCGTCTTGACAGCTGTCACCACAGTACTCGTCGCCGGAGCCGCACCTAGTAAGTTGAATTAGCAACAGAATAAGAAATGCTGTATCGAGGGGGGGGGGGACTTACTTTCCGTCCAGGCCGCAGCAGTCGCCAAAGTCGCTTCCGACGCACGTCTTCGAGAAGTTGATCTGTTGGCCACATATACCATCGTCGGCGATATTCCTTGGCACATTAAACGCTTCCAGAAACCACGTGTGAGTATGATTACGAACTGGGCGTTGTGAGGGAATATACTAACCAACACAATAAGTCTCTCCAGGGACGAAACCATCACACTCGTCACCAATGGCAGGGTTCCCAAGCTTGAATTCTTCTAAGGTCAACTGGAATTGGGCAAGTACATCGTCGCATCCTGTCCATACATCTGTTTTAAATCCCTGACGACACTCTACTGCTTTGCAATTTGGCACTGTACAGTTCGAAACTTGATCTTTCGGTAACGCGCGATAGTAAAAGCGAAAAAGATCAAGGCTTTTCGCGATAGGTGAACAAGTCGCATGCTGGGCGACAAGAAAGGCGCCAGCCAGGTACGCCAAGATTTGCATGGTCAAAGTGTTGATTGAAAATGTGTAGCTTATCTTAGTCTTCTTGGACGAAGACTGGACCTTACAAAGAATGCAAGATTGATAGGGGGCACGACGACTATCCCTTTTATTTTTCCTCATGCACGAGACAAGATTTACGCTCATCACCTGGAAGTCATACAAGGATCTTTTATAAATCCAACGTTCCTTCTTATCTCTCGGTTACGTACGGTAGTTGAGAGTTGGCTTACATGACATTGGTCATGGCATCTAGAAGTGTTATACAAGGATCCTTTACAAAGTAAACATTCCTTCCTGTCATAGCTTTTGTCTTACACGGCATTCATCTTGACATCACACCAGGAATTGTCACATGAGACCTTTTGTAAAATTGACGTTCCTTCCTGTCATGGCTTTCGATGCAAGGCGAGGTATTGCAGGCTTGGCGGCATAATTCGACTCTGTTAAGACGGATGGAAAGAAGACAATGTATGAGTAGAAGACAAGAGGGACATGCCCCTTCCCAAGCTCTGCAAGAATTTGGAATTTTTAAACAACTTCTTAACTAAAGTCTCTGACTAAAGACGACGATAATGTTTGTTCTATTTTCAAGCCCAGGCTTGCTGTTCTTGTTGCTTTTGTTACGATTGGTACAGGCCCAGGTATCCACTGTAAGCGGTATTACTCTCTTTGACGGGACTACAATTTCGCAGAATAAACACGGAATTCCTACCTTAGTATACAACTGCGCCAAAGTACCAGCATTATGCCAGAATGTTAACAAGCTATACCCTTTGGAAACCACCGTTCATGTGCTTCCATCGGCAAACACTGCCCATTCGGCTCCATCAGCAAGCAGCGATCATTCGGCTCCATTGGCAACAACTAACGCTCCCCCAGCGACCGTCACAGGCCTTCATACTATCCAAGGTACCCAAACGTACATCCAGCTGCATCTTGATAGAGATACGGAAAAGAAGAACAAGCGGAGAAGCAAGGCATGTCCAGGTTCATGGAGACAAACACACCCTTGCCCAGAAAGTAATCAGCCAGAGTAAGTTAGCTTTTTCTTCTTTTTCTTCTTCTGTTTCTTTTCTTTTATATAAGTTAATTACTTATAGGACTGTCCCCAAAGGTGCTATACTGGGGGATGGCTCTTTTCCGCCTGCCAGATGGAACCCGAACAACATATTGCCCGGTGAAAATGGTTACAACAGGATTGCCAATGCAGCAGGCCAGTACTCTGGCATGATGTGGACTTGCGATGAGTTTCCATTCGCCAGGTATGGTGTCCCTCACTAAATATTGTATGCAAATTCGAAGCTTATGCGTCTACCGCAGTTGTGTAGAAGGCGGCCGTCCAGCGGAGACATATTGCACCCCTTAGAACGCACTCTGTGATCAATTGACGAAAGATGAGGGCTTACACGGGGTCGACTCAGAACAGAACTTACAGGCTAATGCTTTACGTTTTCTAAGGGATAACGCTGTAGACGCTCCCCTGAAGCCAATGAAAAAGAAGGACGTCGAAGGCATATGGAGGTTCCATTTCTATACACAATTTGACGCGGATGCAGGTAGTGCTGCTCTGGTAGTCAGATATTACGACGCTAGAGGCAACCAACGCGACAAGGGATATATGAAGCGAGCGCTCAATGGACCACATATTGAGGAGAGTATTGTCCAGATTGATCATGGGTTTCACAATAACGGCACAGTGGAAGTGAAACATAAACCTTTGTTCAAAGACGAGGTAAGTTGGAACCCGCCCCCCTCCCACCAGGGTATCAGAACGATCGATGGCTGGGAGCATAAGAGACGAAATGATTAGGTCACTTTATGCTCCTTAGATCATGGTTCTTAGACTACTTATTCTTGTACCCTAAGATTTAGGAGGCCATTTGTTTCGGCTACCCGCAAGAAACCCCCGAGAGACATTCTTTTGAGCCATGGGCTGACGATTCGGCTGTATAGTACAAGCTTCTTCGCAGGTCCTGGGATCAGCATCTTCCAGGTAATTGTTCCGCAGTGGGTCCTGAAGAAGGTATCTTGAAGCGGTCAATCGGGCAGATGCTGAGCCGTGGCGATGATGGTACTGTCGACATGACTGGGCGGATGAACCGTCGCCAATCAGAACAGCAGTGCGACTATGAGACACCATGCCCTGATGGCAGCTGCTGCAACAATATGGGACATTGCGGTTACGGAGAAGAGGCCTGCGGGGAGAATGTCTGCGTTTCCAACTGTGACGCTAAAGCTGAGTGCGGTAAAGACAGTCTCGATGGCAGCTACTCGTGCCCGCTCAATGTATGCTGCAGTACCCACGGCTACTGTGGAGTTGGGGATGAATTCTGCCAAGCTGGCAATCAGGACGATTCTTGTCAGGAGGGCTTTGGGAGCTGCACCAGGATTGAGCCGCCATCTTGCCAAGGAGCTTCGACGTTGGTGAGAAGCATCGGCTACTATAATTTTGCCAATTTGCGTTTCAGGCAGTGCAATCGCATTACACCGAAACAGATTCGCACCGAGGGATTTACTCACTTATACGGCGCATTTGCAGCCATCGATCCGGACACGTTTGCTGTTAAGCCATGGCATGAAGATGATTTGGAGCTGTATAAGGAGTTCACGGGTCTCAAGAACAAGGGACTCGAGACTTGGATCGCCATCGGAGATCGGAATGTCTTCCATACAGTGCCGACGCGGACATCCTTTAGTTATTTGTCTGCCACCCCTGCGGGTCGTTCACAGTTCATCACGTATTTGACTAGTTTTCTCGATGAACATGGATTTCAAGGCGTGGATCGTTTTTGGCAGTAGTAAGTCAAGTCGTCTTTAGTCAATCAACCTACGAACAAAATGCTAATGAGATTATTACAGCCCAGGGGTCCCCGGCCGTGGAGGCCGTTGGGAAGATGTAAGCAACTACGTCTCTCTCCTCAAGGATATGCGTGCTGCATTCGGAAACAACTACGGGATCAGTGTCGTTATTCCCCCGACTTACAGGTACTTACGATGGTTCCAGCTTAAGGAGATTGAGAAGTACGTTGACCACATGAGCATCTTGACATTTGATCTTCACGGGCCGTGGGATGAGCACATGCAATTTGGCCGCGTCATCCTGGGTCACACCAACATACCTGAAATTGCCAATTTGACACTGCCGCTATATTACGCCGGCGTTGACCCTGGAAAGGTCAACCTGGGTCTTTCCTACTATGGTCGTGGCTACACGGTCTCTGATTCCAACTGCAATGGTATCTTTTGCGAATGGTCAGGCCCCAGTCGACCGACTCCTTGCACTAACGAGGGCGGCGTTATGTCCCTCGAGGAGATTGAGAGGATGGTCGAGGAGGAGCCTGGCATGGAACCAACATTTGTTTCTGGGGACTTGATGATGGAGCTCAAGTTTGGCAATCAGTGGATTGGGTATGATAACAACGATACCATTGCATACAAGAAGGGGTGGGCCAGTGGTCGCTGCTTTGGTGGCACAACGGTTTGGAGTGTTGACGAGTATTCTGGCTCTGGAAGTGGAGATACGCCGGACGATCTAATCTATGGAGGGTCTGATGATTCCGGCGGTGGCCAAGGCGTTAGATCTGGTATGATCTACATCGATCCAGAGATCTGGGAAGGGGAGCAGCCTGAGGTGAACTGCCAACCGCCATGCACGATGGTCTTACCGCCGTCTTCTCTGGAGACGCCTGTGGAGCTGACGTTTCCCCCCTACGAGACTTCACTTGACGTTGCTTGGAACGGCACTGATGGCTGGCACAGCACCATTCAGAAGACTATACTAACTCCTCCTGTTGTTACTGTTACTGCCGTCGATGTCTGGCACATTACGATTAGAGAGGATCTGACGAATCTCACTGACGTCTGGTCAACGTTTACCATCACTCCAAGTGTCAAGGTCCCACCATTTATCATCACGAACACAGTTCCAGAGACAACCAATGATGGTGCAACTCAGCCCCCAGGAACTAGGACTATCACTGCTCCGCCATACCCTTGGACTAATACCAAGCCAGCTACCGAACCTCAAACATCAGGTACATCCGACGATAATGTTCTACCACTATTATTCCCAGTTGTAACTTGGCGTCCAGGAAAGCCGGGTCCTAGGTGTAAGATGGATTGTGGCAAGCCCTGTCGCGTCTTTTGCGATCATCCCTGTCTTCTCGATTACCCAGATGGTGGCAGAGACTTTCCCGATCCTCAGAATCCAAACCCACCAAGACGGCCAGTACCACCAAACCCTCCCATCCCCGATCCTACCAATGTACCAACACCCGGCGTGCCCGAAAACGAGGAGGATCAAGAGAACGAGCGACAGTGTGCGCTCGAGTTCGGTCTCCCTCTCCCAACCTGGCGAAATCCAGCCACCACCACAAGCGTCAAACCCATGCCCGCGCCGCCCAGACCTTCCCCAAAGCCGAACCCAAAGCCACCCTCGCCAAACCCTCAGACAGAGGAGGTTCACTGCTATAATGACGGTGCTTCAATTGACCACGCCTTGGCTATTGAAGCCCTTGAGTCTTTCTGCGATAGGTTTGAAGGCCAGGTGCTTGATGCGACGAAGCCGGGGACTGAACGCACTTTGCAGTGTAAGCATGGGGTGGGTTGTCTAAGCATCTTTGGATGTTCGGTTGATGTTGTTATGAGCGTCACTGTTATAAACGGGTGTCGGTTCACTATCGGTAACAAAGGGTCCAAGTCAGAGTGTGGCCGGAACTTGAGGCGCATGATCGACGAGTGCGATACAAGTGACACAAGGTACAAGCAGGGTGGCACGATGACCAGCAATTGTGCGATTTGGCGGTTTGATCCCATGTACCCTGGTGGGGGGCCTAGTAGCTTCTGTTAATCGTAGTTATGTATCCGTTATCCTCATTACGACCATAGTCAATACATCGATGAACACTTGGCCTTGTTCATCTCTCATTGGCCGTATCTTCAACTCACATACTCCTAATGACAGATCGTGAGAGAGCTTGTAGATCTCGTTTGACCTTTTAGGAGACCATCACGTCCTTCAGTCGATAATCGGGCGAGCTTGTTGTTGTACTTGTCCCTGCAGCTCATTAGTCCTGGCTAGGAACTCAGCAAACTTTCCTGGTTATACTTTTCAGCTCACCAATCTGCTGGCGTAGGCTCATTTTCTCTCGCCCGTAGATGTCCCGACGCGCTTGTTGTTGATTGAGCTACGTTCAGCGCTGTAGGCGCCGTAATCTACCCCACGTTTCAGGATGACTCAGCGGTCACGAGATTCCGCCTGCTTCAGCACTGTCACGAACAGAACGAAATCTGGTCTCTAAATGATGAGGCTATCGTCTTCATTCAATTAATCAAGCTTGTCCGATTACCCAAAATAGCTTAGACTATCCTACCTGGACCCTTTCCCTCTAAACTTTATTATCTCCGAAATTACCGACTCCCTGGATTTCATCCCACTTTACCCCTCTCATCCCGACATCCTACATACCAACGGCAGTTGACAGAGACACCACCTCATCAAACTGTATCTCTAAGTCATGACTCCCCTGTACAAAAAGACCCTTGTGCTCGGTGCCTCATCAGGCATTGGGGAGGCCCTTGCCGCCAAGCTCATCGCCACAGGCACCAAAGTCATTGTCGTTGGCAGACGACGTGAGAATTTGGAATCTTTTGTTAGCAAGCATGGTCACGAAAATGCCAGGGCAGTTGTCTTTGACGTCACCAATTTGTCTGCTATCAAAGACTTCGCCGAGTCCATCATCAAATCTGACCCAGATCTTGATTCGGTCGTTCTAAATTCGGGCATACAACGAGGCTTTGACTTTTGCAACCCTGAATCTATGGATCTGAGTGTTCTTGGCGACGAACTTACCACCAATTATACATCTGCCGTTTACTTAACTGCAGCGTTTATTCCTCATCTAAAGAAGCAGGCCAGGGGTCATCTCATCTACGTCAGCGCTACTCTTGGTCTGATTCCTTCCATGGTGCGCACGCCCAACTATAATGCCTCCAAGTCCGCACTTCATACCTTTATCCTCAATGCGCGTCAGCAACTTGTCGATGGTGGAGCGGGGCATGTACGCATGGTAGAGGTATTTCCACCTGCTGTGCAGACCGAGTTGCACGATGAGAAGCACCAACCTGATCTTGTCAACGGTGGACAGATCGGCATGCCGCTTGGGGAGTTTGTAAACAAGATGTATGAAGGGCTTGGGAAGGGGGATGATCAGTTTGCTATTGGGCCGGGTGAAGCATTGTTGGCGGAGGATGGGTGGGAGACGCAGAGGACTAAGTTGTATGAGAAGGGACGGGAGGGCATCCAGAAGTCGTTGGCGAGTTATCTGAAGAAGTAAGCAAAAACATCTATAGCTACAATCACCAAATCGGCGCGCTCCGAAACAGAAGTAGACTATTGTTCGTCATCTTTGTCCTTACCACGCATCTTCTTCTCAGTGGCTGTTCGTGCCGACTCTAATCCTTCATTTTATCCTGGTTCCAAGCCTTCGGACTTCAAATCCTAAGACTGGCCGGCTGAATGGGGAGGTGTTCAGCAGGTGAGGCGGAAGTGGCCTTAGCGTCAGCAGCAAGGTAAGGAATAAATCGAGGACATTGTACTGCTCCCATATACTGTGGTTACTGGCCTTCAACAATAAACAATGCTGGTGCAATGGTCACATACTTGCACCTCAAGAACAACCCTTCATTACAGCGCCTGGATTGACTGCGTTGGTAAGTTAACATGTCACTCTACTTAACGCCCACAAGAAGGAATCTTATCATGTACCGAATGAAGCCTCTCATTCGGTACATGATAAGATTCCTGGAAGGACTTACTTTTATATCCAAATTGTATCCACCATGAGCAAAACACGATTTCCTTCTTGACGCACATGCTTGTACAAAAGCTGCAAGAGTCGAATCATAATGGGACTTCTGATAGCCAGCATGTAGACTAAGCTTTCCCTGTGGTTTGGGGCCATCAAGTCAGGGTCGACCTTGGTACAGTAGTAGATATAGTGAAGTCCCCCGTTGTGCGTGCTTTTTAACAGCTCCTTGATGCCATCGAAGGGCTGCTGACCAGACCCAAAACCCGCAGCATTGTCATTTCTGCTGTGTGTCATAGAGAGTTCAAGCGCTGGACCCGAAAACCGCCGGATGGGTTCTGACTTACTCCCAAAGAATGGAAGCTTCTCATTGTCCAGCATCCTGGCCGTGTGGAGGTCAAATGCCGAGATGACGCCAGCCCGATATTCCCAAACGTTCATGATGGTATTGGAATCAGGAACCACATCGTTGTCAAAATCGGAAAGCTTCTGTGCATACAAGATGCCCTCACTTAGTACAAATTTGCCATGACGTTCTTTGCTATCGAAGTAACACTTCTCAACTCGGAGAGCCTAGGGTAGCATACCTTGTCGTAGATGAGCTACCATACCACTGATATGAGTGAACAGCGGAGCCAACTGAGAGCCGACATCGATGAAGTTTGCTTCATGATCAATGACTGGATGCCAAAATGACAATTGATCCAGGACGGCCTCTTCTCGTGCCCTTGGCATACAGGGGAGGTCGTCATAGCCAAAGTGATCGTTGATGCTTTCGGCCAGGTTGATACAACCTGCGCTGTTCAAAATAGCGTCATGAACATCAAGGGTGTCTTTGGCATCCAAGGGGCGCAGGTCTTCAGGTAACTATTCCGGTGTGTCGCCACGCAAGTGTCGTTTCAATTGTTCATCGTCATAATCATCCTGTTGTTTGTATTTCTCGTGTCGTTGCACTATGTCTGCAGTGTCGAATCTCAAAGCTGTCAGAGCAAGGCTCTCCATTCTGGCTGCAAGCTTCTTGTCCTTCTAGGCCTGAAAGCTTAGGCCGTCCATATCGTGAGTCTCTCCTTCATTAACATCACCATTGCTCGGAGGCACTTCGTCAACTTCCATAGTTTCAGTCTCGGCCATCGTCCTAAGATGAATTTCGCGGGTGCGTTACCATTCTCATAATCTTATCTCACTGCCTTCAGATTCTGCCGGTTCTGTTCTTCACCGCCCGTTTCTGCCATTTTTACCGCTATTGCTCCCTACATCATGGTGATAAGGGTTCAGACAGATAAAATCGTTGATAAAATAAATGGCGCCCAGCTGCTCTGAGCAGGATAATCCGGTCTTTGCGCGGTGACCTCGTTATAGACATTTCTGCTTCTAAGCCTCATTTACAAGTTGCATTTGGTGTCAATAGTTAATCATCAAAATGCCTCCTGTTGAAAATTGTCAAAGATTATATGTAAAGATATAGACGAAATTAAAAATCAAATCTGATGATCATCTTCGGATTTAAAGTCAAGGTTTGACTATGTAGTAATTCCTTCCAGGGTAGGTGACCCGTCTACCCCATATCACGTCCTGGTGAGAATGGATTGTCAAGCGAGAAAGTATATATGTGTTAATTACTAAGAGTTTTGTTTCAAAACTGCTAACTAGTACGGCCACTTGAAAGAAGTAGAAATGTTAATCGAAAACGGCTCTGGCTCTGTCAACGACTCAACTCTTCCAAGTAAATGCTCAAGTTGTCTAAAAGCCGCGGGAGGCGCGTATTGGGGCACCATATGTCCACTCGTCTTAACTGTAGCAAGAGTGAATCCTCTCTCCGAGTGAACCTCTCCCTGCACACTACCACCAGCCCAGTTCTCCGTGTTCGAAGCAGTGTTGTTGATGATCGGCACAACGAACTCGTCGCTGGGTGCCTTTTGAAATCCCTGCTTGCCATTCCATGTAAGACCCTGTACCGCCAAAGCTGTCGTGTTAGACGTGATGATGTAGTCAGCCATTCCGGAGCCGATGATGACGTTGTTGGTCTTTTCGACCAGCGTTTGGAACTTTTTCTCGTGCTCGGCTGGATCATAGTGTGGGTCATCGTTGATGAAGACAGGGCCGGAACAAGATGTCCAGTTCTTTGGCGCAGCGGGGGCATGGATGGCTTTTCGCACTTCAGGGATGTTGAAGTAGATTGTAGCACCGGGGGGATTGTACTCGACCGAAGGAAAACCCAAGATGTCCCACAGAACAGGGCATGTGTCTTGGACGTGGTAAACATTGAAGCAGGGGTTGATGACAGGGATGATCTCATCAAAGTGAGAAGTGATGTCGCATCCTTTGGTCTGAACAGCCTTCCAAGGCTTTGAAGGAGGGGGGTATGTCAAATGCGCTTCACGGTACTTATCCAGCCCACACTTCTCGTTGTCGTTGTCAAGGATCTTCTTGTTCTTATTGGGGATAGCAAAAACACTCTCCCAATGTCTAAAGAAAGCTGGAAAAGCTGCCTTGTCAAGGTGAAGCTCGTCAGCGTACGGCATGACGGGATCATAGTATAAGGCGCCTTGAACGTCGTAGTACTCCTTGTCTTTCTTATCAAGCATGGCAGCGCCGACATAAGGAACATAGACACCGGCATAGGATTCACCGGTGACGTAGAGTTTCTTGCCTTGCAGGCTGAAGATGTCGACTAGATTCTTCCACCATTTGACGAACTCATCCGCTGTTTCCGTGTTGTTGTGAGCAGTGACATGACCGGTTGAAAAGCCTGTGCCAATGGGATATTCGACCCTGGTCTGGTTAGCATATAATGAAGATATGAGTGAAGATGGAGAATTCACCAAATAACATTAGCCAGTTTGTGCCATGACCATGCGTTTGGAACTGGCTTGTATGTTCCGTACTGCCATTTGAAGGGGCCGTTCTCTTGGATGAAGCCTAGAAACCCATTAGTCGTCCGACGTCAATCTATATTGGGGAAATTACCTTCTAGAGAAGAACATCCAGGACCGCCATTGAACCAAATAACAACATCATCCTTGCCAGCTGGGTTGACAGTTGGGAAGAACCAATAGAAAAACTTTGGGTCTTTGGAACTGGTCTTCTTCAAGTCGACTGGGATCTGTCCAGCATAGCTCTCACCGACATCAAAAGCAACCTCGGGGATACCTTTTGGCTCAACGTAGTATTCTATCAAATCCGAGTTAGCATTGATGTTAGCCATGGTATGGTTGCATTGAGCGTACGAGAGGTCTTTGAGTTGTAGTATTGAGTGTTTACTGGCTTAGTAGACCGTGCGTCAATGGCAGAGGCATTTGTGAAAGCGACAAGGCTAAGAGCCGTCAAAACCACCGTTTTCAAGCCCATATTGAAGTTGATCCTTAAGTCAGAAAGTATCTGAACGAAATAATTGAGAAAATGCGTGCAATATCATGGTATTTATTGCCAATCTGCGCTGCGATAACCCTGTTTAGGTATTCAGAACAAATTGGCTGCTTATCATTCTTCTTAAGAACTTTTGACGCCGATGTCATTGACTTTTCTCTTGTTCCACAGCTTGACCCTTGTTGCAGCGTTGATCCTTTCGTGACAGGCAATCCGAAGACGGATGTTCGGCATATGGATTACATCCGCCTTCCTATTGTGGCCACTTGCGGGGCCAACGATCATAAGTTCGAATAACAAAGGATCTTGAGATAAGCCTGATATCTGATATAATTGCCAAGCCGGGAATTAAATCAACGTCGATCTACAAAAGTTCAAGTGACATAAACTTATTTCACAATTTGTCTGTCACCTTAGTCCAGGGTATCAGAATTATCATTTGCAGGAGAATTGAGGTTGATGGCTCAGCTTATGCTGTTTGTACAGAGTTCTGATAAACGCCCCAGCATCTAACAAGCCTAAGAATCATACTCTAATAAGGAGCCTAAATTGACCTACGATTTTTGTCTCTTATACTTCTGACTGAAGGGGAAGTTGCATCAATTGAGTTTTTAACAAATCTTCAAATCCAAGGCTCTCTCAAGACTAGGTTTTCCAATACAAACACAATATGGCAGCTGCCCGAACTCTATGATGTCGGCTATGCTCAAGAAAAGAATCTCCTGTTGAGCCAACTTCTTCCTCTTCCAACACTCGATCACAGTCAGTCAATTCTTAACCCTTGCTGCACATTACTCACCGCTTTCGCAGCTTTCGTACAACACAATGCCGGTCCAAAGAGAATCTATCGACAGCCTGCGCTATCCCACCGAGACCTTTCGGCCTAACCACATCGAATTAGTCCCCAACGAGATACAACCTAGGAATCGAAGAACTCAAACATGGGATCGAGAGTACTCAGACGTGAGTGAGGAGCGCTTGAAGGAATTACGGTCAATCGTTGGGAGCCTTTTCATTCAAGATCGAAAGGCTGTCAAGCGCAAAACGGGCGACGAGTGTTGGGAGACGCACTTGCGGATATCCCGGCTCAACGTTAAAAAAGTCTAGCTGGAGTCTTAGATCAAACTCATAAAGTTTGATGATGAGAAATGGTACGAGCAACCGGAAGCCCAGGAACTCAAATTATAGCATGACGTCTGGATTCAGTGGGAGAAAACTGTGAGCAAGCAGAAGTCTAGACTCCAGCAGCGCATAAACTCTAACCGCGAGACATTCCTGCACCTATTCTCAACATCTAGAGTTGGTTTGACCTGCCTGGAGGACAAGGCCAAGGGACAATTCCGTTCAGTCGAAGATGGGTTCCGCGATGTGGAATGTTTACTGTCCTGATGCAAAAAGCAACCAATTCTGCTGGGATCCGATCGTTCAAAAGTGGGGTGCACCCGGGGCCGTAAAAGCTGCCCAGTCAATCCTGGCCTACCCAACGATGACGAACAAATCCGACACGACAGGAGCAAGGAATGGGAGAAGATGGAACCGAAAGAGTACAAAGTCATGGTTCTTGACATAAAGCACCGTGAGGTTAATCGGCCGATTTATGAATTCGATGTATTGGGCTTCGAGCGTTTGATCGAACTACATGAACGAAAACTGAAATTCAGGACTGACTTCCGACCTCGGTCTCGATATATCTGGTGGACATTTCTGAACGCAATTTTTCGAACGGCTTGGAACAAAACAAATGACCGCAATATTCAGCATGAGGAAGCCCAGAAATCGGCCTGTTATTGGGGGAAGAGTATGTGAAGAGGAATCAATTGCTAGGTTTCGTGGAGGAGATTGGTCATGACGTCGAGAGCATTTTGACAATCGGTACTGAAACGGAGGAACAGGGCGAAATCTGTGCAGAGGGCAAAAGAGCTGCTGAGAGGGGAGGTTTCTGATGATTTGGATGACTCTGATGACTCTGATGATTCTAAAATAAGTATTTTTGTGAGAGGCCCAAGAGACGAAATTGGTAGGTGACTTTATGCTCCTTAGAATATGGTTTTTAGGTAATTTATTTTTATACCCCCCATCGCCTGTCTGTCATCTTGTTGTGTGTTTCCTTTTGTCGTTCACTTGGACAAATCCGCATCATTTGCGCAAATGGCTGTTGACAACTATGTCCAGGATAGCAAAGTCAGCTAGTGTAAGGCATGAAGCTGTACAAACAACAATCATTAATCTAAGTGTCGCAGAAAAAGCTCCAGTGGTACCTGTTGAGTGGAAATAAGAGATACGTCCTATTCAATGTTTCGTATTCAATTAAACTACTGGCAGACGTTTGTCTTTGCCACTGTACTCTCGTTCTGGACGGTTGACGCACATGACCTGTTGTATTCAAGACAACTCACGGCAGACGCAGGATAGACTCAGGCGGGCCGGCAATTATTCAACAATGATGATCGAGCCGCCTCTTACTGCTGCTATGGAGGTAGCGGAGTTCCAACTCCGTCCGATATAATGGACCTGCTAGTCTGCGCGCCATTTAACGCCATCCAATTAAGTTCTAACCTTGGACTCTACAGTCGACGAAATGGGAAGGCCAAAAGAGAACTACAATACTAACGTCCCCAAATTGTGATCGAAGTATTTAAACCCTCGCCTCGCTCACATTGTCTTTTCGTCATCTGTATGAAGTTGCTCAGTGGCAATCTGAGAAGCATGGGTTCTACCAATATTACCACTACAACTGAGGTGGTCGAACTGGCTGAATGACGCCAACATGACAGCGCCAGGGCTACGATAAATGACATCGGCTCAAGTGATGAATCATTACAGTCGCAGTCGTTGAAACCCGCAGATGGAGGATTAGCTGCTTGGACTGTTCTGATCTCAGGCTTCGTTTTTGAAGCCATGTTCTGGGGTTAGTCTTTGAACTCAAAGCCAATGCTTGCTGTTTCTGACATCAAATTCCAGGTTTCCCTATGGCTTTTGGTGTCTTTCAGAGTCACTACTCCCAGCTACCTGAGTTCGGCAATGACAAATCCAGGATTGCCACCATTGGCACCCTTGCACAGAGTCTGTACTATCTGGGAGCCCCGTTCTCTGCTCTGGCAACCAAACGGTATCCGAAATTGCGCAGGCAATAAATCTGGTTCGGTTGGCTACTGTGCATAATTGGCCTTTTGACAGCATCCTTCACCTCATCAGTCAGCGGCCTCATTGCGACACAGGGTTTTCTCTACGGATTGGGCTTTGTAACACTGACGTACCCTATCGTTGGTATGCTCAACGATTGGTGGGTGGTGAGGAAGGGTATGGCCTTTGGCTTGATTTCTGCATCATCTGGAGCGACTGGCGCAGCTGTGCCTTTCATCATCGAAGATCTTTTGCACAAATATGGCTATCGTATAACACTGAGGGCTTGTGCTGTAGCGATGGTTATTCTGACTGGACCATTGCTACCTCTTTTGAAGGATCGTCTGCCGCCTTCTGAGATCGCCAGTCTGACAAGAACGGACTGGACTTTCATCAAGAAGCCACTATTTTGGATGTACAGCTGCTCCGTCGTTGTACAGGGCTTAGGATTCTTCTATCCTACAGTCTTCCTCCCCTCATATGCATACGCAGTTGGTCTCTCGTCTTTCGATGGTGCAGTCCTCCTTGCCATCATGGCCATTGCTCAACTGGTGGGACAAGGTGTATTCGGCTACCTCTCCGACAAGTACGTCCCGGTCAGCATACTTTCCTCAACAGCCTGTTTTGTGGCGGGAATAGCATCGTTGACTTTGTGGGGTCTCGGCAAGTCCAAAGCCATGCTGATCCTCTTCGCCATCATCTACGGCTTCTGCGGGTTCGGTTTTGGTACATTGCGTGTCGCGATGGGTCGGGCGGTAACAGACAACTCATCCTCTCTTTTGGCCACGTATGCCATCTTTGTATTCTTGCAAGGCGTGGGAAATATTCTGGTAGGGCCGATAAGTGCGGCCTTAATGACTTCAAGTGTTGTGCGCGAGGATTTTGCCGCTAGTCAATATGCTGGGATGGTCATCCTTACAGGCCTATCATCACTAGTCGCGGGTGTGACTATAGTTTTGTGGCATTGTGGTATGTTCTTAGTGCCAAAGTCAATGGTTTCTGGGCTTAGTGGAAGATGATTACAATGTCTCATTATATCTTGATTATAATAAACGGACATACCTACGGTACAATGGAAGCTCTAGACTCTGGTGAATTCGTGAAATTGACAATGAATAGAACTGTTGGTATGTAATCATAGCAGTGAACTGATACGCAGTGTTCTTCTGTATGGCATTATTTATATCAACGGCTACACTCTTGTAAACAAATTATAATCGTCCTCATTTTCATCTGCAACAGCTAGTCTTCAACGTACTCGGTCATACATGAGCTATCTACAATTATCGTCCTGTTCCTCTGGCCAAAAAAAGGTCTGAAAGCCATGGTCAATGGCCGACGCCTCGAGAAACTGAAGATTCAACTCCGTCTGTGACAGCAAATCCTGCAACAACGGTCCAACAAGCAGTTCTGTTTCGTGCCCCATGGTATCATTCAAAGCAGGTGCTAAACCATGGCCGACTTGCTCCCGTTCCGCATGAACCTGGATGAGCATATTACTCGTTGCCTTTATATGTCTGCAAAACTCTTTGGCTGCAAAGCTTCCATTCTGATCGAGTTGTTCGAGGATCTGCGCTGCTGTCTCAAAGTCATCTCCGTCGGTGGTGCATTCTGCAAGAACACTTGATATGGCAAGAACGATGGCGACTGAAAATAGATACTGAGTATATGTGTAATCAAATGTCGGGAATGACCCGTTGATCGAGGAGTCTGAGAGAACACGGTACGAACGTCTTGCACACTCAACGCAGGCCTCTGATAGAGCTATCGCGCTGGCACTGATGGATTCTGTTCCAGGTTCTAATGTGCCCATTGATGAATCTCGACGTAAGCGAAGAACATGCAGTAAGATCGGTCTCGAGGCTAAAATGAGGCACTTTGAAGGTTAGATCAAGTAGGCATAGTCCATCCGTCGCGAGCTTACCTGATTGAAGTATAAATGAAGAGTGACGGCATGCATGGTAGATCCGGGGGGGACGTGTTCGATGCATTTACGTAGAGGTTCTGGAAGTCCCTGTAACCAGTGGCTCAGGTCTTGTAGCGCTTGCTGCACACGTGATGAAAAGGGAGTGTTGTGAGATCTCCTACTATAAAGCGACGCCGTGATTTTGGCTCCTAGGTTCGCTAGTCGAATACTCGCCGAGAAATTATCAGTATCGGCGAAATCATCATTAGACGCAGTATCGGAAGGTGGTAAAGATTGTAGCTCAGAAGGCATGTTGACATCAATATCTTCATCTTGAATTGATATGGGTTTCCCCAACATACTAGCCCAACTTCGGTCAAGTATATATGCTGACCACCAGACTCGTGTTCGATGCTCTCGTAGTTCGCGGTCGGGTAGTTGTTGGGGAGAAACGTTCAGATGGAGACCTATGATGATGCAGAAGCGTAACGCGTAGCCCGCTATGCAATAAGCAGAGTGACGACGGTTCATGGCAAGAGAATATATAGACTAAGCCAACAGTGTCATTAACTTTGTCAGTGATGAGAAATTCAAACTTACCAGCATGACCATGATCTCAACACAATCGATTTTGGGCTCCTCACAAAGAACGCGAAGCATACGTGTAGCGCTGATATAATATCGAATACCAGGAAAGTTTTCTTCCGCTTGGCATGTTCTCGTTGAGTATGCTTCGCCTAGGGCGAAAAGGGCAAACAGCTTGCAGGCAGAGAGCAAATCGCATGTGGCAGGATTGCGAATTGCTTGTTCTAGAAGCTACAGTGTCAAGCTTTTGCGAACAAGGTAGTAGCGACGACAAAGCGTGGAAAAGACGACTTTGACTAGGAAACGAGCTCTCGACGGAGGGGGCCAGATAGAATCTAAAGTCCACAGTGAAGATATAGTCTCATCGCGTACGTTTTGAAGACGTGGGAAGTGGTTCTGAGACTTGCCCAGTATCTCTTGGCGGAATCTTGTAGCGAAAGCTACATCCGTGGCTTCCCCTATGAGAATAGGCATTTCGAAAGTCAAAGGGAAGAACCACGGACGATCATCGAAGAGTGGGTTTCGGATCGTATCTACAGATTCTGTTGTCGAATGCACCGAATTCGCATTGACTGCGGGTAATGTGCTATCCTTGGGACTCGGCGTGGAAATAACCAATGATGAATCTGTAGCGACGTTACTGGTTCGTTCGGCAGGAATTAAAGGTTGAGAACTGGCTGGCGTAGGTTGGGCAATTTGTCGCAGACGATCGATCTCTTCAAGTAATCCATCAATGTAGCTATACAGAATCAGCACACTCTACAGATAGGTTCATGAAGTATTGTCACCTCTGCTCGACCTTGATGCGACGGTCACGATTAGGATATGTGCATTCAGCGGTACATTCGGCCTGGCGGCAGTTGTTACAAGGAACGCCGCCAGAGCATTTTACCTTGCGAGAATGGCACTTCCGGCACCTGTGCACAAAATTGAGTTTTTTGCGTGTCTGAGAGCATGGTAGTGTTTCACAAACGCTATACGTGCGCCCCTCGGCCTGGCCAAGGAAATTCTGGGAGTGCTCATTTGTGAGGATAGCGGGTAGGATTATTTATGGCTTTGTGAGTGATGGAAGCTACAAGTGAGCTGCTTTGCATAACCTGCTATGAATAGTGATGACTAATGTTTTCAAGACTCGGCGCCACTGCAAGTTGCCGAGAGCTTGTCTCGGCATGGATCAAAATCCCGAAGGGGGGGTTTAGTGGTGCATACAGCCACATTCTCGGTATTGAGTCTCTATGAACCACCGCAATTACCTTGCTGATGACCCTCGCTGGGTCTTGACCATGTGTCGGTCTCTACTAGAGCATCTGTCTCGGTGCGTAGGTGTGCTCCCGTCACAGGCAGAACGCCTCTTGACTGATATTCTCTTGGTAGCAAAATGGTCATTTCGATGTTTAAAAAGCCGCCGCTTAGACTTCAAAATTTCCGTTAACACCTTGTAACCACCATATGACGGAGGATTAACTCTCACCAACGGTCAATTTTTCTGCAAGATTTTGGATTTATAAATTTGTTAAAGCAAAGTTCACCTTGTCTCATCATGACTACTGGCAACCATTCAGAACTTCCACAGACCGTTCAAGAATGGCTTGAACTCGACAAAAAGTATCGCATCAAAGGCCGATATGATATCTCTCAAGTCCTGGTCAGGGGCGAAGGTGTACGCGTCTGGGATGTTGAAGGCAAAGCCTACATTGACTTCGAGTCAGGCCAAGTCTGCGCATCGACAGGCCACTGTCACCCAGCTTATACCAAGGCCATAGTTAACCAGGCAGGCAAGCTTGTTCAGACAGGCTCCGGTTATACTAGTCCATCTCGAATCCTGCTGGCTCAGAAACTTGCAGATATCATGCCTGGGAATTTAAGCCGTTCCTATTTCGCCTGCACCGGCTCTGAAGCTACAGAGGCTGCAATCCGAATGGCCAAAGTGTACACCGGCCGAACAGAGATTGTAGCTTTGACCCGTGGTTACCATGGAATGACTCATGCCAGTCTATCGGCAACCGGGTTGGGTGGCAAGTTCAAGAGCGTCCCAGGTAGTGGTTTGCCGGGCTTTACACACATACCCACCCCGTATAGCTACCGCAGCCCCTACAAAGACGACCAAGATGACATGGCTGCTTTTCGTCAAGGAATCGAAACTATTCGCTGGACCACGACAGGAAAACCTGCTGCCATCATTCTTGAAGTCGTTATGAGCGTTGCCGGTATGATTATTCCCTCCAAACAATACGTCCAGGCTATTCGCGAGTGGTGCACACAGACTGGCGCACTCATGATCATCGATAAGGCTCAGTCAGGTGTTGGGAGAACGGGAAAATGGTTTGCCATTGAACACTTTGATGTCATTCCGGACATTATTACCACGTCCAAGAGTCTCGGAGGCGGAATCCCGCTTTGTGGCGTCACCACCACGCCTGAGATTGCGGACCGTGTTGCCGAACTAGGCTATCATCAATCGTCTTCGCACACTGACGACCCCTTCCTGGCCGCAGTTGGTCTCGCCAACATTGAGATTCTCGAGCGTGAGAAGTTGGTACAAAACGCCGAAGTGATGGGAAGATATCTGAAAGATGAGTTCGAGAAAATACAAGCCAAGCATGACATTCTGGGCGATGTTCGCGGCTTAGGTCTCATGATTGGTCTTGAGATTGTCCAGAGCAAATCCAGCAAGTATCCTTCGCCTCAGCATGCGAGTGCCATCAGCGAATATTGCCGAGCCAATGGATTACTTCTCGGTCATCGACCAACTGGAGCTGTTAGCGGCAATTGTATTCGGATTTTGCCGCCACTGACACTGACTTATGAAGAGGCGGAGGAAGCTTTGTCTATTTTCAGAGATGCTGTCGCTTACTCTGAGTCGACGGTGGAGGCTGAATTTGCAGATGGTACGGCCTGGATGTGATAGCACCAATCGACAGACTGTTTAAAGATCATCAACCTCAACTATAGTTTGTGAATCTCAATATGCTACTTGAAACTTGACGTGAGAGAACTCTGTCACATGTTGTTTCTGTCTTCCTTCTACAATTAATCGAGACATCTTGTCCTCGCAATTCTTACCTGTACATGTCGGGTTATCTACAGCCCCTGTAAAGTAATTCCGAGCCTCTCGAGTGACATGTAACATGAATTGATATTCTACGAAACGCAGAGGGTAAATGCATTATTACATAGTGCTAACATCGAGACAAGAGCCTATGTCAAAGCTTGACGGACACATGTAAGGGAGATTTATCCCATCACGCATGCCGGTAGCAAGCTACGGATGAGGTTGCCGGTCGTCGTGGCGTGGCTAAAAAGGCAGAGACACATCGAAAGGTGAAGGGCAGTATCAACTTGGCAATCCCCATAAGTAAGGTTAACAATTGAGTCGGTTTGATCTAATTGTGCAGTTTGTACCTGGGCTCGGTTTCACAGCCTGTGACCGACAGCCCCATATTTTGACCCGTGAGGTGGATATTCGGCCCCGGGGCCTCAGGCCGAGGAGAAGTATTCGGAAGCAGAGGATGGGAATGGTTTCGTTACTTATAAAGGATCAATAGACCTCAACTTATGTCAAACGAATCATCACAGTATTTTGCATTCTACTATCTATATCTTGACTTTGCTCTTGAGTCGAAACCTGTTCCTCAACACTGTTCTCAATACACTGCATTCTGCTACCATGGCTATTCACAAATCATCATCCGACATTCATCATCAGGGAGAACCTCCGTCCCTATATCAAAACGCCGATCAGAAAAGTCTCTCGGTTTCCGCTGCTAAGAACTTGGCTTTTTACGGAACTGATTTCCATCAAGATGTAATAGTCGGTGCCCTTGGAACGTACATTTACACCGCCTCTGGCCGAAGGATCCTGGACTGGACATCAGGCCAAATGTCTTGTCTGTTGGGCCATGGTAATCCCGAGATCGTTGAGGTCATCACCAAGCACGCCATGTACTTGGATCACCTCTTTTCTGGAATGATCTCGCCACCCGTCATTTCTCTTGCACAGCGACTCTGCAGCGCTCTTCCTCCTGGTCTTGATAAAGCCCTCTTCTTGTCTACCGGAGGCGAGAGCAATGAAGCCGCTATCAAAATGGCAAAGATGTATACTGGAAAGTTCGAGGTCGTGGCTCTTGGAGCATCGTGGCATGGTATGACAGCTCAGGCTGTTGGGGCACAATACCACTGGGGTCGTAAAGGTCATGGACCATTGATGCCAGGCATGCATATGCTACCCCGTCCCAACAGCTACCGTTCCATTTTCAGGATGCCGGACGGATCGTACGACTGGAAAACTGAGCTTGATTACGGCTTTGACATGATTGACTCACAATCATGCGGCTCTTTGGCTGCCTGCATTGTCGAGTGTGTTCAAAGCTCAGGCGGCATGCATGTCTTACCTCCAGGCTATCTGAAAGCACTGAAAGAACATTGTGTCAAGAGGGGCATGCTTCTTATCGTTGACGAAGCACAAACTGGTATCGGTCGATGCGGTAGCTTTGTCGCTTTTGAACAGCATGGGATCGTTCCGGATATCCTCACTCTCTCTAAAACACTTGGAAACGGTCTGCCACTTAGTGCAGTTGTGACCAGCAATGATATCAACCAAGTGTGCAAAGAAAAAGGGTTCTTTTTCATTACGACACATGTCAATGATCCAATCCCAGCGGCCGTCGGTGATAAAGTACTTGAGATTATATTGCGCGATAACGTCATTGAAGGAGCTCGCAAGTCTGGAGAACGACTTTTCAACGGGTTATATAAATTGAAGGAGCGGTATGGTTGTATCGGAGACGTGCGTGGGAGATGTCTTTTGGCGGGTGTGGAGATTGTTACAGATAGGGAGAGTAAAACGCCAGCGTTGGATCTTGCTGCGAAGATTGGGGATAAAGCGTATGAGCTGGGTGTCTGGGCGAACTTGTCTACTCACCAGAGTTTCGGGGGAGTTTTCCGTATTGCGCCACCTATTTCTGTCACGGAGGAGCAGATCGACGAAGGCTTAGATATGCTGGAGAAGGCCTTTGCTTCGGTGGAGGGAACTCTTCCGCTATACCACTGAGGATAGAAAGTGAAGCTTGACAACGCTTAGTATTAGTGATAGGCGGTTTAAGAATCTTTTATCCACTTATATTGAAGGACTGGAAATACATGTACATTGAGCTCCATTTTTATTCCAGAAAGTCCAAGCTAACGGTAAAACCACCTTATTTCTCTTCATCCTACAGAATGCAGGGTAGTAACGAGCATCATAGTTTTGGCTCCCAGCATGAACAGGATTGGAACACGCCCAATTCATCAAGAAACCTCACTAAGCCTGGATCAATACCCCAGGTTGTAAAAGCTTCATCTTCACTTCAAAATACTGGAGCAGGCCCCTATCTGCACGCTATGTGGCCGAAGATGATCATGCCGGGCGACATCTCGGTGCAAATATCACGTCCTCAACTCAGCTTACCGGCATCTGAGCGTATTGGTTAGCTCGCTGGTCTCGAGAATAAGGTTACTCTTGAGCCCTACTTTCGAAACTTCAAGCTTTAGAGCCAGGGCAAAAGTCGGTATTAGACTTCAGAGGCGGAGCAACCAAGTAGAGCCACACTCGCGTACATTTAAGATGAAAGAAAGGAGTAAGATGTCGCACCTTCTTGAATACGAACATCATCTGTTGTAAGTCTAGCTTTAGCATGTCATTTTCATATTCATCGTCTCCCCTTCCTCTCCTTCAGACAGTTAGTCCATACAACCTTCAACCACCTGTTGCTCATCCTCATACAGTTATTGTTAAAGTTGTCTCGCGATAATTCACTTTCCAATAAACATACACAAATGAAAATTCAACTACCTGCAGTCAATATGAAAGTCACTGAACTCTATGTTTTGTGTTACAAAAGAAGCATTTGTCGAGTTGTTCACACAGCAGCCACTTCTTCCTCTTTCAACCCTCAACCACCAAGTTTGTCAAACACCTTCACAATCACTACCCAAACAATCAATCAAAACGACTCGGAGCCTGACATTTCTGCTACCCATAGCTTATTAACATGGGACTCCGAACAAGCCCCGATCCGAACATCTGGGGAGTATGTCAACCATACGGTGACAAATGCTCCAGCTTGAGCACACCAGAATTGTGCGATAGCTTTTCGGATCTGGAAAATCGACTACAAGTAACACGTAAAAAGCTCATGTCTGATACTTCGATGAATGATGACAAGCATTGGAATGCCTGCCTGGAAGTTTCCCGACTCCACATCCGAACAGCCCAGGTCGCAGCATAAATTGCACTGGGCAAGTTTGACACGCCTCATCAAAGATACCAAATATGGTACGGTCAATCGGAAGCCTATGAACTCAAGTTGCGGTATGACAGCTGGACACAGTGGGAGAAACTTATGAGAAAGCACAAATCAAGAATCCACAAACGCTTTACCAGTTACGAATCTTTCAAACGATTGTTTACAACATCGGAAATTGAGGGCTCGTCGCTTCATTTTGAAAGCGAGAAAATGATGATTTCCAAAATGGTGGAGAAGTACTGTCCTAAATATTTCAAAGAAGACTTCCGCTGGGATCCAATTCTTGGACAGTGGGGTTATGAAGTTGTTACAAAGCCTGCCCACCTGTTCCCCTGGTCTGAAAAAGTCTTCATGAATGAAATCTTCGGTGCAGAGAAAGGTGAAATAAACGAAGTCTTCACCCCGCACAATGGTCTTTTCACAAACCCGAAGATTAAGGAGGCACTTGATAAGGGGTACATTGCCATCGTACCAGACATTGATCTTGAACCTATTGACCATTGGCAACCTTTCAACAACGCCGAATGTGGAAAGGCCAAAGCATGGGAGGATAGATCTGTGAAAGACTACAAGATCATTGTTATCGACAAACAGCATGCAGAGGTGAAATTACGCCTATGCGAGTTCTTTTTCGGGAAGGATATCACGCGCCTTATCGATCTGCACAACCGAAGACTAATCTTCATGACTGACTTCCGGCCTCTGGAACGATACATCTAGTAGACGTTCCTGAATGCAATTCTCCATACATATTAGAGAGGTGACTTGAACGCCCGACACGTGCAACATGAACTCCGGAAGTATACACGTTACTGGGGAACAGGTGGCAAGTACGTCAAGAAAAGCCAGTTACTGGGACTTGTTCAGGAACTTGGCCCTGACGTGGGAAGTTTTCTGACAGAGGGGCTTGGGAAACCAGAAGGCGAGAAACCTACCTTTGAAGCGGTCCACGCCTTGGTGGAAGCAGTTGCGGTAAAATCCGTAAAGGACAACAATGAGTTTTTGGAAGACAACGATCCAAATGACTCTGATGGCTCTGAATTGTATGAACAAGGTCTCTATTTATTTGACTAAAACTGCCTTGATGGTTTTTTTTATCTTATGCCTAAACATTGTGCCTTGCTGATACTTTCAGCGTTATCAAAATTAAAGTCTTACTTTCTACTCACTGTCGCCGGGGTCTTTATTTATGTGCGGTTTCCGCTCGATAAGACGAATTCTCCCGATACAAACGTGACTCACAGGGCAGCTACCTGAACTAGAAAGTTAAATCCGCAGACTCAAAGTCATAGTGACGGAAGCTCGAAGCCGGGTGCGGTACGAACAATCGGGTCATGTGACATTCAGCTTATTGCTCCCGGCATGATTCCTAACTGTGTTATCTCAACTGAGGAGTCTTTGTTGGTAGTATATATTGTGTAAATTCTGTGATCGATGTGAAAGATCCTCTTCTGTAGCCTGCTCATATATGTTGAATAGTCAAGCTATAAATCGCCAATTCTCCTGTATATGTAAAAACCCCAATATCCCAATCATTAAAATGTCCAAATCGCTAATGTGTATCATGCCTCGCTCGTCTGCTTCAGAAGTTGTTTTTGAAACTCGTACTTCTTCTCTCTTCTGTTGTTCTCTCTTCTGCGAAACTCATCTCTCCGTCTCCTTTCCGCTCTTGTAGTCAATAACCGTCCTTGGGGACTCTCCCATTCGAGCGGTACTTCTTGGAAGAGAATGGGTGTCCAGACTGGTAACAGGCGCTTCCCGTAGTGACCATTTGATGTAGGAAGGATGTTCCATGTTTCGTCGGTTTGGATGTCGCGACGTTCGACGGGTACAAAGGCAGATGGCTCGGGTGGGTTGACTTTTAGGTATGAAACCTTTCTATCTCGATCAGAGCGCCATTCGCGGTACTCAATTTCCGCATGTGTGGCTTGTTCGTCGTTCAAGTCGAGCGCATATTCTTCCTGCCCTTCTAACAATGGCGGTTGTGCTTGGGTGGCGTATTTGGGCTCCCATTCTCTAAGCTTGGTGTGGCATTTTTCCAGCGCTGACCAATGTCGCTCAAGAGCCTTGACCCTCGATTGAAGATCATGAGGCTCATCAGGAATAGGAGCTCTTCGTCCACCTCTGCGCGCAATAGCGCTGACTGTATCCCTAATATCCGTCTCGCGGAGGACCAACCACGTCAAATCGCGACGCGTTTCAAGACTGCGCAGCAGTTTGGAGCAGAGGTTATAATCGTCGCCGGGCAAAGAGGTTGGAACCATCAAATCGCGCAGGGTACGGTCGATGTAGCGAACTTCGCAGAGGGTGTTTTCGAGTCGCGCATCGTTGGGAATATCTCTAAAGGGATTGCAGCGTTCGAGAAATGCGCTCCCCACGCGAGCGTTGGTGCTGGAGTCGCTGAGGGGTTTAAGGTTGATGATTCGCCCCGCAGGTACAGGGACACTGCGGGCCTTGAAGACGTTGAGAAAGCCTCGAATGGCGCTCATGATGCATTTTGTTGTATAAAAAGCATTTAAGGAGAGTGTGAAAGCGATACTAGAAAAGAGAAGAAAAAGGCGACAAGAAAAAAGAGGGGGACATGGGAATAAAAAGAGGCAAAGATAGGAGAAAAGATACTTGTTTCTAAAAGCCTCTGGTGAGAGATGACGGGGGAAATGCTGGGCGCTGGCTTCATCCTTGTCACATTCCGTTTTGCTCCGCTTGTACCTTTTTCAATGCGATTCGGACATTGCCGCGTGCTTTGACCAAGGAAATAAAAGTCGGTGTATTAAGACAACTCATCATTTAAAACAAGACTTCCCTGTAATATAAGATTCAGGAGTTTTGTTTCTGTTATTGTTGAACAAATTCCCTCAACTATTGAGGATTCTTCCATGTCGGAAAAATGGATCGACACTACATGCAACCAATTCGTACAGACAACTTCCCCGCGAAAAAAACAAGACCCCCATACCAAGCCACTGTGCCACTTTCAGGCTTGGGGCTTATTCACCATCGAGCCCGATTCTCCTCTTCGTACAAGTCATACGTGTAATCACTCCATTCATCTTGCAAAGATCCAGCATCAATTCTACTTCGTGTTCCTTGACCTTCAATTCTTCGGGCGCGGAATGCAAGAGATTGATGATCAAGACAGCCATTGATACGACCGTTGCCAAGAAACTCCATCCACCCAGTATTGTCGTTGCCATAAATGACAGGTCCCTGATCTTCACGACCCCGCCATGTGAACTCGAGTCTGTCGTGCGATGATCTCATCGGGCGCTCGTCGAAGCGCAGAACGCCTCTGTACACGCCGAGGTTAAATCTTCCCCAAAGTTCATTACCCGCGAGCGTGAGAGTCAACTCCAAATCGTCGAGATCATAATGGCTCCACTGCTCTGTAACGTCGCTTGAGACAAATGCGTAGTCACCGTTGAGAAGACCCAAAGGTGCCAGGCTGTCATCATCGTCTTGGTCGCTTTCGTAAGAGTCATAGCCGTACCTCGGAGAGCCTTGGTCACTTTCGTGAGAATTGTAGCCGTACCTCGGAGAGTCTCCGTCGGAATAGTGGTCTTCTTCTCGAGATTCCGAGTATGGGGGTGGAGCTTGGTCAAAGTCGTCCCGTTGGACGGGGATACGGCCCCGGGCCGTGAAAGCGCCGCCTCGTCGCGCCATCTGCGGCGGCGGTCTGGCTGGTTCCGAGGCACTTGCATTTGCTGCCGCATTGCGACCGGGTCCCCGAGAGGTACCTCCCCTGCTACAGTGGGCGGTTTGCTTAGTTCGTGGCTTTGCTGGCGTTGTGGATTCTGTCGCTGGTTTCGCTGGGGCTTTCGTCGTGGCCTTTGTCGTGGTTGTAGTCTTTGTCGTAGTCGTAGTCTTTGTCATGGTAGTGGTAGTGGTCTTTGCGGTCGCTTTTGCTGTCGTTTTCGGTGGAGCCTTTGCTTTTGGTGTAGCGGTCTTGGGCGCTGATGCTTTAGGCGCTGTTGTCTTTGCTTTCTTTACGGCGGCGGTATTGTCGTTGTCGCTTGCCTTTCGTTTTGTTCCAGCCGTGCTCTTCGTTTCCGTTTTCGCGACTGGTGTCTTTGGGGCAGGTTTGCTGCTTGTCGCGCCCTTTTTGGCCTCTCGATCGTTCTTCGTCCATTCTTTCTTGAGCTTTGTCTCAAGCTTGCTAACATTAGCAGGTACCTTTAGGTCACCCGCATTAACAGCATCGAAGAGCCGCATGCGCGCGACCGACTTTGTCTTTGAGGGCTGAAGGCCATAGTGGATGAGTTGGGCTTCGAACCAGTGCGCGGGGTGGTCCTTGTCGTTGCCCGAGGTGAAGTGTTCCTTGAGCTCGGTAGCTGTAGCGCGTCGATGACGGTTTTGGCCTGAAGCTTGGGCGAAAAATACACCTTCGGCGAATGCGAAGCCGTCTTCTGCGACCGGAGGAGCTCCTGCCCAGGCGCTGGCAGCGGGTACCTTGGGCATCGTGAACAAAAAATATCGCTTGTTTAGGAGACGTGTTTCATTGCGTGTCAATGAGGGGCGATCTGGAGATTGCTGTGGGATGAAAGTATCGCCACTGCTTCAGGTGCCAAAACTTTGCTTTTTTAGGGGTTATGCAATGCACAGTTTTCACACCTGGCGGGCACTGGCAGTGTATTGTTATTTCTAGAAAAAAATCAATATTTATCTAGCTTGTACAAATGATGATAATATTATTCCCTTTATTTGTAAATCTGTTAGTGATCCAAGACTACTGACCTGCTGGGTTTAGCTCAATTATTTCCACTTAGACCTCACGACATTTAACTGATAATGATAAATTCCCTTGTCGCCCACTCTGACTCTTTGAAACATTTCATGGCCAATTATTCTATGTCAGCTAAATTTATTCTTTAATAGGAATAACTGAAGATTAAAATTGGATTAGTCTGGAATCGTAAGGAGTTAATAAAGCAAGCCCTGTTAACGAACTCCAGGGTAACGGGTTGCTCCCGTCATTGTAAGTCAGTGGCCTAGAAAGAAGAACTGCAAAGCCGATATCTATTGCATTATCTCTATTGCCATAGACAATAGTAACTCAAAAAAAATCAAAGGATAACTGTGCCAGGTTGCATCTAGATTGTATTTCTTGTATTTTAATGCAGTTTACCCAACTCTATCTGACCCAATATTAGTTTGAAAGCTACGGGGCAGCGCCTGGTTCAGGTCACACTAAAAACCGTTTCAGCCCTGCCAAACTGATCATCAGCCTGAAAGCCATACGGCACCATCTAGTCAGATACGAGAAGGTGCACTAATATCTGGGTATCCTCATGATATCCCCAATTCATACACGTTCAGTCTTGTCTCACTATCTACACTTTACTATACTGCATAAGCCCCTACTTTTGTTTCTTTTGACCACTTAAGCTTTTGCCCAGGACTTCTCAGTTTCTTCAAGGTTATTAATAAAGGTTAATCTGTCCACGCAGATTAAGTTTCTAACAAATCTTTACATCAAGCCTAGGTTTTCCAACATAGGCGCAACTCATCCAGCTTGAACTCGATAATGTCGGTGACTTATAAAAGAAGCTTCTGTCAAGCCGTACAGACAGAAGCAACTTCTTCCTCTTTCAACCTCAATCAAATTAACTTAATCCCGGTCCAGGATTGTTTCTATTGCTTATCTTCCTACGAACCTATATCCTAAAGATGAAATACCTTCTCATTTCTCTCACACTTACGACATGTGTCAATGCCACAATCCCTTTTCTCGGCCCTCGTCAGTCCTTGTGCGATGAAGGCGATGAAGTCTGCGCCAATGGCTGCATTCCAAACTCCTATAGTTGCTGCCTCCCTGCTGCTGCCAGTGGATGCGAACCTGGAACTGTATGCCACGTAGGCGATGACGGAATTCCTGGCTGATACCCTGTCGGCAAAGACTGTAATTGCGAGGCCAATGACAGTAAGTCTTTGATGAGCCCACTGCCACTGCTGATAACTTTGCTAACACCACCGAAGGATCTAGTAACACCGACAACGAAGCTTCAGACCAGTACACCGACTATGGTAATACCGAAAGTACTGGTGCATATGATGCAGGTGCCTGTAGCCTAATCGACGGCACTGTCGGCTATCTCATGGTTGGCGCTATGGCTCTGCTACTCTGAACGGGAGATATCTAGGACCTATGAATGGTTGGTGGTAGAGGTGGCGAATCGGGGAATGTGTTATCTCGATTAGTCACAGGTTTCTAACGGAAAACTCCATTCTTGCCTACAGCTTAAGCAAGATCCTGTGTTTGTCTATAAACGTCAGGGCTGGATGCATATAGGCTGACCTTGGCTTTCCTATATTGAAACCAATATTGTTGGTTCCATTGACTTGTTCTTACTGATATAAAATATCTCTCTGTCCCCAAGACTTACTGTGAGCGTGACAATATCGCAGAGTACAACTCGAGCCACACAGGTCGCTCTGGGCCTGTTATTATGAGAACGGGAACGTCCCACCCTAACCATGCTGTTAGGTCGGGGTCTGGGATTAAGTTGAGTAACACTCAGTGATATTGTACCTTGTGGAGATACAGGCGGCTGGACTCTCTGGTGAAGAGGACATGGGATCAAGCCAAAGGACGAATTCAGACAGAAAATAAGCACAATGCAGATTAATTCCACACGAGTTCAACAAGGGATGGGTAATAAGTCCCCCTTCATGAATGTAGTGATTGAGCCGATGCTCTGAGAGTAAAATGTTGCGATCTACAATGTGCCAATACCAACGATGGAGACGTCTAAGCATTGCTGTCAAAGGTTGTGACCCTCGACTGCATTCCCCTACTTCACAATGAGCAAGGATACAGACGCTATGGAATGAGTAACACCAATTTACAAGAAAGGGTAGGAAGCTTTCAAAATTTGCGCAGCACTGCGTATAATTCAATAAATCACATCCTTTTCGTCCATACGTTGTTGATCGTTCAACACGTCACAGTTTTTGACAGGGGGCACAGAATTGACGGGCCATTCTGCCATTTATAGCACTTGCTTGACCTTACCGCCTACCAAAGACATCACTACGCCTCCGTTTTTGGTCCCAGTTACAATAAATGTATCTTTGCATTTTATCTATTCCAGGCTGTTGGCTGTTTTCTCTTTTCTATATCTGAAATGGGAATAGTGATTCAACGCCGCTGTGCACAAATTTCATTAATTAAGGCAAGGTACATATTATCCTAAGACATGCATCTTCAGCTATGCCACTGCTTGGGCCATGAAATGTGATGAACCTACACTTGATAAATAAGGCTCTGCGTCTATAAGTGGCGTGTTATTAGCTTCAGGTTATATGGAGATACCTTACAAAACAAGGTACAAACTCATTGTCTCCTCGCAATTAGAACTACTGAACGCTATATGTAACGCTACATGTAAAGATGATAGGTACATTTTTGGATTTGGTTCAGCCATTCTCTTCCAGTCACGGCTGGCTGATAGTCTATGTAAAGGGTATAGTGGAACAAGGTAAGAAGATCTTTTCTACTGTTACTAGGTGTGTTATTGATCCCCATTAGGCTGTTGCCTCTCATGAATATCGAGTTTAGTGCTATACGAACGAGTGGTCAAAGCCACATCTTTCGATGTTCATCACACACGCTGGGCTAAGCGTGCCTCTTCTTGGAATATCAGCTGAATAAATGTACATATGATGCGATTAATCTGAGCCCCTGGATCTTTCCAAGAGCGACCCGGACACGATTAATGGGGACTAGCGTGGGCGTTTTCACAGCAGCTGAGTTAAATACTGAGACATATTGTGGCTACTTCCTATATGGGTCTCTCGTATCCCAAAGCGTAATAAGTCGAGTCAAACATTACTAGCTAAAATGAAATACTGACTATAGGTTGAGGCTTGAGAACTCTTTTATCGAATCATATATTGTCACCATTTCCAAGAGCATCCTTGAAGACTTTACGATTCATCACATACGAATAGTGAGCTTGATTAAGGGTAATGTTCATGGTGATCTGATATATAATCATAGAACTGAGCTGAACGCTATATGACTTTGATCTATTTCACGGAGAAATAGAATTAGATCATCTAGTCAATAAAATGATTACCTTCTATATAACGCTGTACTGACAATGCACTGTAGCTAGTCATAATCTGATTTCAACGACCATGAATCTCATTATTTTTCTCCGAGGTACTTCATTACGTGTATATAATGGGGTAAGGAACTTTCGCAAATCGGGACCACAACCATTTCGTAGCGTATGAAGAAGGGATAGGTTCAAAATGGTATGTGATATTGCTTCGATCTCGATAGGATAATGGACTTCGGGGATCATACGCAGGGGCAAGTTTGGAGATTCCTGCTTAATTTAGGAATTTGACGATCCTCGTCGGGGTATGTCGACTGAGAATGTGACGGCTGTCCAGAGGGTGGCTGAAGATGGGATCAAAGCAAATCCATCGTGATAACAGAATCAACAATGTGATAATGTGATATTACTCTAGTGGCTGGCTGACGCTTGGAAAAGTGCAATTCGAAGGTGTCCTAGTGAAACATTGGTGTGATAGCACCTGTGAGGCTAACCAGGATTCGTGCACTGGAACGATGCCTTCCTATCTTTCAGATGAAAATGAGGAGATACTCTGACAAACTCAAGCCGGAGTAGGATCTTGTGATCGAGTACCTGGCAGAATGCTTGTCTCCCAATCGAGACGCTCAAACGCCATAGATGGTGGGTATAAGAACCACTCTCTTCCCCAGGAATAAGAATCCATCACAACAACTCTCAACATCAAACTCCTTCAAACACTTTCAGAAATACTTCACAGATCTTTTCACATTAATCTTTCAATATGTCTTCACCTTCATCAAAGCCTGGCCGTGCCGCAGTCTGGAAGCTCGTTCCTCCAACCACCAACCACCCTGCTGAATCTACCATCATTCCCGATGATGGAAGTAAGGGCAGCTCGGAGTCTATCATTGGAGAAGACCAGCGTGCTTTGGTTGACTTTAGTGACTTTCTTGAGGGGGGAAAGTACCGTTGTAAGTGACACCTCAACCGTCTTCTCTTATCAGAAAATGGCTCATAGAGTTCCGTCTCATAGCCATTGTCAAGATTCAAGCCAGATTCGAAGGCAAAGGTAAGCCAGTCTGGATGATGGGTACTGGCTGGCTCATTCGCCCCGATGTTCTCGTCACCGCCGGTCATGTTGTTTATGACTGGGGACGTCGCTACGGAGCAGCGAGCCAGATCAGGTGCTTCATCGGATATAACGGTCGTGCTTCTCTCCAGACTTCTCAAGTTCAGGCTCGGTACGGTATCAAGGTCATCTCCACCGAGGAATGGCTTCAGGATTCGGGCAACCGTCCTCGTGATCTTGCCTTTATTCAGGTCGACAGAGCCTTCACTGGGAATCTGAGGACTTTCAACTATGTCAACACTCCACCTTCTGGCCACAAGACTCTTCTAGGTGTTGTTGGATACCCTGGAGACAAGAGTCTTAAGGACCCAGAGAGTGGTGACGAAGAGAAGGGTGCTCAAATGTATGAGGAGTACGCCAAGAATGACTACGATATTGCGGACAGCACTCGTCACATGGTTGAGTATCAGATCTCAACATTCGGAGGTAAGATGAATAACTATATATGTCGGAAACCTTCGAAACACAGACTAACACTCACTAGGGCAGTCTGGCGCTCCAATCCTTCGAAAGGCGAATGGACAGTTGGTCTCCATTGGAACCCATTGCTATGGCGGTGGTGGTACTGACAGCAACTCGGGCAATGCCATCGGGAGCCCTTACGGAAATGACTATGAATCATTTGTTCGTTTGTTCAGCATGCCTTCTACTTTCGGAGATATCGGCGACGTCCGCATTGTCGACACCAAAGTTCAGACCGTCACTATCCAGCCTGCTATCAACAAGCCAACTTCATACCCTACCGTAAGTTTGCCCATCAATTTTGGTGTTGCCACTAATCTGATCGTTCAGAACGGCGTGAATGGACAAGGCATCCAGAACAAGACTGTCAAATCTCAGTACTCTGAAGCTGGAGAAGAGGGTTTCCTGGACGTCTTCAAAACCATTGCCAATGTCGGCTCCAAGATCATTCCCCTTGCCTCTCCTTTCTTGGGCCCTGTTGGCGGCATCCTCGGTCCCGCTGTTGGCGGCCTGTTGGGTTCACTTGCGGAGAGCGAAGTCTCCGACAATCCCGACATCAAGACCGACGGCACTGCAGAGCGTGCTTTGCTCGCCGAGGCTGCTCTGCAAGCCATCCTTGCATCCGAGCATACCGAGGGACTCACTGAGGTGGTTAGCAAGATGGAACGCATTTGGAGAGTTGATGCACCAAAGGTTGACTACCTCGCCCCAGTAGTAGCTCCGATCGTCGCCGAGTGCGGCCAGTCGTTCATTCGCGAGAGTCAGCAACCCGTCAAGACTCGCTTTGGCAAGGATTTCCACAACCAGCCACGTCGAAGTCTTGGATTCGACATGTCAGAGAGCACCGTCGGCGGAGAGGAAGCTGCTTTCATCCAAGGCCTCATGGGACCGACACGCCAGGTGGCAGGAGAAGAGGGTATGTTTGACTGGCTTGGCCCCGTTCTCAACGCGGGAGCCAAGTTCGCCAAGCCCCTTGCTTCTCAAGCCGCATCAGCCGCTCTGTCAGGTCTTGGCGGCCTCATCAAAAAGTCACTGGGAGCTGAGTCCACTGTCGCGGATGTTTCCCCTGAGCATGAGGAAGCCACCAAGATTCTGCTCAAGCGTGCTGTAATGGCCGACACGGCTCTTCAAGCGTTAATGACTCTTCCTTCTGACAAGTTGGAGAAGCTCAAGCCCATCAACCCCGAGACCGGCGAGGCGGAAGGCATTTTCGATTTCATCAAGGACACGGTCCAGAAACTCGGACCCATTGCTCTCGACACTGCCAAGCAAGCCGCCAAGACTTACTTGCCTCGCCTCATTGACACTGCAACCCAGAAAGTATCCTCCAGACTTGGCCTTCCAACTGAGTCATCGGGTCCGGCTCGCTCCTTGTCAAGGAAGCCTTCGCTGATGGATACCCTCAACGGCAAGAACGACGCGATCAAGGTGAGACATGTTTTCCATTCGGCTGATGGTCCTGCTATAATCGATGTCACCCCCATTATTCGCGCTCGTGAAGAGGCCTGGGTGCCATCTGAAGAGTGGCAGAAATGCTGGGATGATAACGATGATGGTCCTGTCCTGATGAAGCAGCCGCCACCTGACCTGTAGAATTGTTGGCTAACAAAAGACAGAATAATGAGGAAGGGTTTAGTTTCGGCTTTGGCCCACTTTCTGTTTCGTTTTGATTCATGATCGATGGTGGTAGTTGTTGGAATGTTACGGATTTGGATATCTTTCCGATGTGTCTGGGGTCATCGTGTTTTTATTTGGGGAAGTTGTAGGGGTTTTGTTTCGTTCGACGATTTTCCCCCACATACTTTCTTTGTATTAATTCTATGAAATACAAGATGTCTTTCTATAATGAGAATGACGATTTGTGATATTGTGCTTTGCACAAGTGTAGACTGCTGTTCTTCCACGAATATTCTCTTGTGAAGCCATTACTCAAATACTTAAAATTCACTGAGATCATGGCTACGGGGTCGTTTTCCGAGCCTGGAAAACCGATCACATCATCATTTGAAGTAATTGTTCGAATCTGTAGAACCTGTCAGATTGCAACGCCTTTACACTGAGGGCCGAGTTCCACGGCGCGTGTCATTGCCATTAAGGACTCCCAGCAATTGAGAGTTCCATAGTGCTTCAGGTGATTTCTCTTCAATTATTATCGGCGAACAGCTATTACTCTGACAGACAAACGGTATTATTACAAGATAAGCATTGGATATGTTACATACCGAAGAACGTCAGATGAGAGATGGATACCTTCGGTAACAACGCTAACGCGGAGGTCTTAATTCCGTCTACCTACAGCTTGGCAGCACTTTTACATCCCTGCTTCAACTTGATGAATCCTTTGCCACTAGTAATTGTCCTGCAAAACGCTAAAAACAGTAGTTTTCTCGCCATTTCATATCTCCGGCCCCTGTAGAAATGAAATAGAGTATGACAATCAAAGCTATCTGTCGGGTACACTTATCCCCATTTTTTGTTGTATATAAAACCTACTAAAGACTCTGGTTTAACCGTTAGCCTATCACTATTCCGCTCTGATATACCGCTATCATGAGGTTCTTTTCACTTACAAGCTTGACGCTTGCGCTTTCTTCGCTGGCAACTACTTTTGCTGCTAAGTCTTTCTCAGCTTCCAACTTGTATTATGCTGCTGGATTGACAGATAGTCAACAAACCGCGCTTTTATCAGGCCTTCAAAGCGCTGGTGTCAAGGTTCTTCGAGTTTGGCTCGATGGTATGAGACATATATATCAGAATTGATCAGCTGCTGAAAAACTAACATCACATTTTAGGACAATCTGGTTCTCCAAAGGGCACTCAGATTAACCCTTACAATGCCTTGCAAGGCTCAGGTCCCGGAGATTGGGACGATACAGTTCTGAACAGGCTTGACACGTTTATGGTCAAGGCTCATGACTATGGTATTAAGCTTCTCATCTCCATTCACAGCTACAATGCTCTGGAGGGTCAAATGGATTTCTATGGTAAGTGGTATGGCACTGGTGACTTTTATACCAATAGTCAAGCCCAAAACTATTTCAAGGACCGTATCTCTCATGTTCTTGCGCATAAAAACCCCAAGAACGGGAAGCCGTGGAGCCAGAGCTCTGAGTATATATTTGCATTCGAGGCTCAGAACGAAGCCATGCACCCTCAGGTAGGTGCCAGTCGAAGGCTCCTTTGAATCTGATTCATGGTCCGACTAACCGTACACTTATAGGGAAATCCTTCAGCGCTCCAATCGTGGCAGTGTACCATGGCCAAGAGCATCAAGGACAACTTGAAAGGAAACACGGACATACTCGTAACAACTGGCGGAGGAGCTTGGCTTGCCAACTCCCTCCTCGATGGTTACTTCACTTGCAGCAGTCTCGATGTCCTCGCCATTCATGCTTATGGCGTTGGGGACTACGATACCTCGAAGCTTCGGACCTATGTCGACAGAGCTAAGAATGCTGGCAAGAAGCTTATCATGCAGGAATGGGGTGCGTGTTACACGAATGCTTTGAACAACGACTGTAACGGCGGATCGCCACTCTCCACAAGCACCCGAGATGCCAATATCAAGAAATGGGCTGCCCAGATTGACGCTGCGGGAATCCCCTGGTTTTACTGGCAGATTATCCCTAACCCTGATCCTCACCACGGTTGGGATTACGAGGTCGGCATCAACGATGTGAACTGGGAGGCCCTCAAGGCTGCCGGAAAAGCTGCAGGACAAGCTGAGTCTTCTTTTGACTTTAGTCGCTACCTTTTATAACGAACGGGCGATATTGACTTTATCACCATGTATAAAGCACTTTCATCGTAAGGTCGAAGAGTATTGGCAAGTTTCTCTCTTAGCATATTGGCCATTTATATATCAAGTATTATGTCCCTTCCGAATAGAGTATAGTTACTCATTAGATTGTTTCATTCAACAATTTGCAGCTAAGCTTTTGTTCATCGAGATACTCTTTTCCTTCCCACTAATTTCCACCACAAAACTCTGCTACCCAATCCACGTCTTCTCCCAGCAGATCAAAGTCTAGAGAATCAAATATGGACTGGCTCCCGATACCTCCCTCACATAGTAACGTCTCTGACTCGAAATCTCTGGCGTTGTCAAATAGAAGCTGAACAAGTTTACGGCTACGTGTACAGCCAGCATCTAGAAATTCCATCTGACTAAATAAGTCAATTGCACGAGTCACATACTCACTGCAGTTATACTCTTCTGCAAGACATTTGTGCGACATCATGCAAAGGATCAATACTAATGTTACCTGGAAAAGATTCCAGGCGATGTTCCAGCAGATGAACTGGTTTGGACACCATTCCATGCTCATCATGTCAACACCCTCAATGGCAATCTCAATACACGTGCGCAAGTTCTTTCTTTCTTTCGTGCTTAGTTGATCCAAAGGCTTTCGACGGATAGCCGTTATAAGTAAGGCTGGGCGGTATAGTGTAAGCCGAGTAGTAATATATCGCCACCACATAATCGCCCGGGCGGGTCTGAGATTGGATGGGCATTGTTCAAGATGACCTAGAAATGGGTTTAACGAGTTTTTCCAGCTTGTGAGATCGCGATCCAAATCTTCCACTTCATCGAGGCTGATGAGAGGCAGTTGAATAAGTCGCTCTTGTATATGTGCCGCAATCCTGCAAAATTGTTCATTAGCAGCGAGGGAAATAATCCCATAGTCCTACGAAAGGACAAAAAGAAATCAGTAAAGTGAAAGCGTTGTTAGAGGGGTGGATGGAATTTACTGAGCTGCCCAACTTGGATGGGATTGATGTTGATACTGTTGATGGATTCCAATATCCTGGACTTGGGCGGCCCAAGGTCGAGGAAGCCCACGTATCTAGGCATAGAAGAGTCCACCAGGTACGAATTCGAGTATTTGTAGTACGAGAAGTTGGGGAAGAAGGACTGTATACGTTGGCGTCTGTCAACTGTACTCTATGAAGACCCATGGCAACCGCCATCTGAATTGTTGCTGCCATTACGGCAGTCGCTGTGTTTGGTCGGTTGAAGAAGTGCAGAACCATGCCACTGAAGAGGGCTAGAGCTTGTACCATGTGTATATATCCTGATCCGAAGGATACGATGTTGAGATGTAGGAGAGCTCGCTTGTAGAAGACATTATGGCTGGTAAAGTGTATGGAGTCGGATGCCATTGAGCCCATGGCCAGCACCATATTGAGCAGAGCCAACCATGAGCTACTTTCATCTCCTTTTGTCATGTCATATCGACAACGGAATTCAGCCTCATCAACCATAGGGATGCTAGGATGTACATGGTCGAAATAGGCGTTAATAAGTGACGTCTCATCGACCTGTAACACAGAGCTTTCGTCGGGACTGCCACCTAATGATGATGGACTCCTCCATGCCTCAGGACCCTTGGGAACCTTTCTCTGAACGTCAGGGCAAAGATGAGTGATGACTCTCAAAATTGTAGGTACCGATGATAAGCCCAAGTATGAAGCATTAAGCGATTGCTGAGAGAATGCTAGACCGTTGACATCGTCTGCTACGCGAGATGTTTCGCTCTCATCCTCCGAGACTTCGTCCCAAGTAAAGTTTTGCTCAACATGGGGCTCTAAAACATGCAAATCGCCGTGAGAAATATCATCAGACGCGCGTTCTGGGATTTTGCAAACCTGTACACGTTCCCAAAGCTGTTTACGGGTCATTGAAGAGAGCTCGACGAGGGAGCTGGTAGGAAACAGCATATCAATGACTTTCTGGGCCCTGGAATAGGCATCCATAAGCTCTGAATGGGATCTGTAGATGGCAAGAGTCACACGTCAGAATAAGAGGTTCTTATAGCATCCAATTATTGCTGTTGGCAGGTGTGAGTTACTTAAGGGTCACGTTCCGTCTTCGCTTCCGTGTTGGGTAGTGGCAGAGATGTGGAACAAGATAATAGGCACATTGCTTGCAAGGGATTGTTTGGCCATCGCATTTGACACGTCGACGTCGACACTCAGCGCATGATGAGGTCGGTTGAGGTTGTTTACCCTGCGTGTTTGATGTTTGGCATTCGGTGATTTCTGATGGCTGCGACAAATCCATTATATCGGTCGAGAGTCAGAGAGTTGCATCAAGATATGGAGAGAATACGTAAAGGGAATTGGAAGACGCGAGAGCCGTTTACGTTGGTAGTTAGCAGTATCTATTGTCTCAACTTTAGGCATCAGTTTACATTTCGAGAAAATGTTATTGACCAAGACTAAGATGCACAGGGCATCCCGTAGGCAGTCACGAAATGTTTCAGTTCGTCCCATCGACTGCACGACTTAACCGGATGAGGAAGGCTAAACTGTAACTGGGTGATCTATCGTTTCTAACCCTTGAGGCACTAGTAAGGGATTATCAACTTCCGTCCTAGATCTCGGCAATGCCGAAGGTGATGATTCTCGTACCTGCCTTATTGCATCAAGATTCAAAGTCTAAATATGGCGCATTGTAGTAGGGGAAACACAATGGTGGAAATGCGATTTTACGGATTCGACTAATACCAGCAACTATGAGAAACGTGAGTTCATGATATTAAATTGCAGTACTATTTGCGATTGCCACTAATACTACCCCATACTCGACATGCGCTTTGAGTACAAAGCCCCGACGTTCATGCCCATCAGCCTTGTTGTGAAAGTCAAGGATAAGCGATTGAGGGTTTGAGATCTGTGATAGATTCTCTAATGGTATCAAGGACAGGGAATGCTGCCATACAAAATTCGCTGTCAAAGTATCTCCCAATCTGATTCAGTTGTTGGTATGTGTCTCGGCTACCTTGCCATACTCTGAAGTATTAATTAGCAAATGAGGGCAATAACCTTCTGAACTAGGTATCCACTATTGATGGAAATCGCCAGCGATCAGGTCAGAACCAGGCTTGCTGTTGGGGAATGAGGAGCATGATCCATCTTGTGATTCAAGTATTTCTTCTCTTGCAATGGTTGGCGAGATATATTCGTAATAACATCTTTCGTCGGGAGCTTTTTAGCCGTATTTTCGGTTTGTCATATTCAAGATGACATTGGTTCTGGAACTGGTCGAGCTCGTTGATCCCAGCCCGAAGACCAATTGGTAAGTGTCGCAGATGTAACATTGTATGCGCCTGAAATCTTGCCACATAAGAATACCCGACTCGTTACAGGTATCATAAAAGACGACATCTTCATATACCACCCTCTCAAGCTTTGAGTATAGCGCAGTCAACATCTAGTAGTGTACTCACCTTGTAATGATTGAGTTGCCTTCCCGCATCAGATCAAGCCAACTGCTGTACTTGGCTGAGTCAATCCTTGGAAGAAGACTGTTTGCTAGTACCCAGCAAGAACCATTGCAAAAATATCGGCGAGAGTATCGACTCAAAAAGCAATTAACCAGAACTACAGGGCGAGATGGAAGGACCATCAAAGGCCGTTTTGTAGATCCAAGTTTGCTCCCCAGTCAAGCTCACTTGCCCAAGAATGTGTCGGCAATTCTGATGATTGACGGCCAACAGCGCCTGGTACTTCCTCAATAGGCATTCATGGTCGATTCGTCTCAACAGTTGATTCGCTGCACCATGGCTGTCGCTATGACGGATGTGAGTGGTAATGTTGCAAGATGGGCACTGAATGTCTTGGAAAGGTTACACCATGGAAAGTCAGATGAGGGATGTCTGCATTATGTATTGTTTTTGTCTTGTGATACTGCATATAGCCTATTTACCGGTTAAACGGGAATAACTTTTCCCACTCAAGTGCTTACCGGAAATACAAAGGCGAACTCGAACAACTTGAAAGTAACGTTTCGATTGTGACAGCCAGTTGCTCGTGTCATGAGGCCACTACATTATGTTACACAGATCATGTATCGACACTAAGATGGGGATTTAAAAGTCCGTGGCCCTTGCACCATCTTACTCGTATCAAGACTCGGCGTGAGTGGGGTAGTTGGAAAATGGCACGTATCAATGGTTTAACATGTGCATGTACATATATGGGCATCGCCGATCGTCTCCAAGACTTAAGCCTTTATCTTTTAACCTTAATTACCCCAGAGTTTCTGACACCTGGTCAGTGAACTGTTCTACATTGCGCAGTTATCATGTCTAAGGAGCACATTGGAAATGCTAGCCATCATATCGACAATGGTGGTGAGGACAGTAAAGAAAACACACAGACTCCGGAAGCCATAGCGACGGCACTCGGTGCCCGAGGTGCAGCTCCGTCACCATGGGGCCGTGGACATATCCAACTTTACATGGCCTGCGGACTCATCTATCTATGCTCGACTATGAATGGCTATGATGGATCGCTCATGGGCTCCATCAACGTGATTCCTGAATACCAAAGCTACTATGGCTTGGGCAAAAGCGGATCGACTTCGACTGGTTTGGTCTTTTCCATCTTTCAAATCGGCCAGATGGCGGGTGCCTTGTTCACTTGGATCTGCGACTGGCGGGGTCGGAAAATCACTTTGGCTGTCAGCGCCTTGTTTGTGTGTGCATCGGCAGTTTTTACTGCTGTAGCTCCGACATTGTCCTCATTCATCGGAGCTCGATTCCTTCTCAGTTTCTTTACGACAATTAACACTGTCGCTGCACCTATGCTCTTGGTTGAAATCGCGCCTCCGTTACAACGAGCAACGGTAGCAGGTATATACAACACTCTTTGGTATATGGGAAGTATTATTGCTACCTTTAGTGAGTTTTTATCTACTATTTAGTAGTGTAATGCTAATTCTGGCATAGCAATGTACGGAGCTAATATCCACTTGAGTGGAAACATTAAGTGGCGACTTCCCCTATGGCTCCAGATACTCTGCCCTGGCTTGGTCTGTCTTGGTAGCTGGTTTCTGCCCGAGAGTCCAAGGTGGCTGATCGCTCAAGGACGAGATGAGGAAGCCCGCCGGTTCATTGTCAAGCATCACGCCAACGGTGACGCAAACCATCCAATTGTTGCCATCGAGATGCATGAAATCCGGAACTCACTTGTAGAGGTTCAAGGTCGCTCGCAATGGGCTTGCTTTGACTTGCGGAGTCTTTACAAATCCCCTGCACGCCGGTATCGTCTTTTGCTAGTTATTGCCATGTCTTGGTTTGGTCAATTCTCAGGCAATAACGTTTCAAGCTACTACCTCCCAATCATGGTAACGAATGTTGGTATCACGTCAACTAATCTCATATTGCTTTTGAACGCATTTTACGCATTGACCGGATGGATTGCTGCTTTAATAGGAGGTACGATGAGTCGTTCTAACTGTAACGCGATGGATACTGACTATGTTTATAGCACGTCTTCATGATATTGTAGGAAGACGAAAGATGTTTATGAGTTCTTGCCTGGGTATGTCGATATCCTTGGCAATTGTTGCTGCCACTGCTGCCGAGTATGAGAAATCTGGAAGCGTACCATCAAGCTCTGCTAGTATCGCATTTATCTTTATTTTCGGTGTTACCTTTGCAGTGGGATTTACTCCTATGCAACCTATTTACCCTGCCGAGGTTCTAGCTAGTGAGTACACTTCCCTATCAAATCCCAAAATACTGACAAAAGTAGATGACATGCGGGCGAATGGCATGATGGTATCTATGATCACCTCCGGATGCGCAAGCTTTGTCAACACGTTTGCAGCTCCGGTTGCCATGGAGAACATCCGTTATTGGTTGTGAGTTAAAATCCTGCAATTTGATGCAATACGTAACTCTGACAACGTTCTTGCAGCTATGTTTTTTTTGTGTTTTGGGATTTGTTTGAGTTGGGATTTATCTACTTCTTCTTTGTTGAAACTAAGGGCCGTACCCTTGAAGAGCTAACTGTAGTTTTTGAAGCGCGGAATCCCCGAAAAGCCAGCACTAAACCGCTTTAGTTGATTTGCACTAAGAAACATCCTCTGGTATCAGCATAGCGGAACATAATAATGATGTGGTCTCCCACGGATCACTATTCATAACTCTCACCGTTGATATGACATTAGTTGCGAAGCTGTAAAAGTGTACCTTCGTTTTTGAACAAAATTGAATGGACAAAGTAGCCTCAGCGTCCAACCCGTGGATCAACAATGTGCTGCTGGCAGTAGTTCAGCTTTTTTCTATATCGTCGGTTGTAGAAGGGCGGTTCCTCGCTATACCGGCTTCTATCTTTGTAATCTTGGAATTTTATAAAACGTATCCTTTGAGATGCCTTTCTACGCATCTGATTCAAAGATGTTGGTATGAGTCTTCTGACAAGTAGCCAATCAGTTTTCCACATTAGAGCAGTTCGTTGACAGCGGAGTAAATGAGCCGTATAATCACATTCAGCTTTACCTAACGGGGGCAAGACTCACCACTAGAACGCAAATTCATCATTCCGCGCAAGGGTCTTGGTCCTTTACCATCAGTGTCCTCTGCAATAACTCCGAATCCAGGGTCACTTGATAAGTATCTCACATAGAGATGGTCTTATCTGAGTTGCAATGGATTTTGGTAACACCGCATTAGTAGAATCTGTCATTCTAAAGACATGGAACCGGGGTCCAAGCGGAATATACAACTATTTTTATTCTCAGCTGACATGAAACGCCGTTCTAGCGTACTTTACTGCCCTACTCGTCGTCTAATCTCGTATTGGTAAATTAGCTTTACTTCTTACGATGCATGCGTGGGAAACTTTTCAGTTTGATGCATGTCAAATGTATTGGCTATGGTGGTATCTCAGGTAGACTCCTGAGATGTAGACGAAATACGCTGACGAGGAGATACGGCTTATAAAAGACTTCAAACAGCCGATGAAAGAATCAGCCTGCCTTCTACATTAAGGATACATTCTAAACGCAGCACTGAAGCATCATGCCTTTCATCATTTCTTTCTCTTTTTTGGTCGGGGCTATCGTGGCACCAGTCTCGGCAAGCATATATCCAGTCAATGTGCCCTCTGGGTTCTTTACTGGTGCTCAAACTGGTATTGGTTCATGGTATCGTGCCTCTTCGAACCCCGATTCTACAAACGGACAGAGCTGGTGTGGCTACAAATACTACAATAGCGATCCGGTTTTCGCAGTCGTGCGTATTCAGAACCGTCCATTCTAGAAGCAGTGACTAACGGCCGATAGTCTTTGAAAGCAATGGGAGGGGCTACATGGAACAGTAACCCAGATGCCTGGAGAGCCCAGACTCGAAAGTATTGCGGCCTCGAAGCCAAGGTCACCGACCCAGTCACAGGCAAATCCAAGCTTATGTACATTGGAGATTCTTTCGATGATGGTTGGGTCAGAGTATGTCGTCATGAATGCTGGAGAAGAAATCCCCGTTGACAAATGTATAGTCGCCGGGTTCCATTGACATCATGATTGATGCTTTCTCTGCAATCCATGGTAACCCAAACGGAAACAAGAACGACGTTATTAAGGACGTCCAATGGGAGTTCACAGGTAACGTTAACACCCAGTATGCCGCACCGGGTGCATCGTGGCCAGCCAAGTCAGGCTCTTCTGGATCTGGAACATCAGATGGCGCACTGGGCTCCAAGTGCGATGGAAACACCAAGCTGTGTAAGAGCGGGCTCACATGTCTCAGCCCTGATGGTATCTGCAGTGATCAGGCTTGTAACTGGGGGTGAGTCAATCAGCCGAAAAGTCAATGTCATATGCTAATTATCATCAACAGATGCCAAGGGTGGTCTTGTAGTGCTAGCGCTCCCTGCCAAAAGCCTACGACGTGTGTCAGCGGTGTTTGCAAAGCTTAAATGCATTGAGCAATATTCTTAGGGTTGTAACAGACGACAGTTTTGTATTCAACTAGTAATTAACTTTCACATATTCGCTTATCGCTATATATATATTGTGCTTAGATGTCAAATATGCTATCTTGTCCTCATCACTATAGTGTCTATGTGGAGTTCGAGTTGTCGGCGCATGACCAAGCACCTGTTCTTTCGGGGGAATTAATAATGCCCACAATAGAGCCGTAGGTTCCTGCCACCATCAAGAAAGTCCCAGAGACAATAATAAAGACACTCCATACAACCCCGATATACCACTTAGTCGTCCGCTCACCCTTCCAGTGGTCGTAGAGCCACATGCAGCCCATTGGCTGAAGAGACAAGAACGTGCCAAAAAGAGCACCGATCAATGAGACAAGACCGCCAAAAACAGGTATACTACTAGCGACTATATATGCCACGAGAGACACAGAAATAGTAGAACCAAGCCATGTGATCCAGTGGATAGTGGTGTTAGCCGTGAGGTGTTTGGATCCTCGGAGGATTCGAATGAAAATGTGCTTGGCAGGCAACTAGAACTGTCAGTTACCCTCTAGAAAAGGTAAATCAGGGGGCTTACGTGAGATAGTAGAATCGCGGACCCTAGCAAGCCGGGCAAAGCGATGCCATACCCGACTTTCTTCATGGTTGTACCAGCAGAGCCAAGAGCAGGAGAGGCAACATAAGATCCGCAGTAGTAGTAGACAATAGTGGCTACGATGATATATACAACGGTGACTGTGACCTGACAGACTGCCAAGGCTCTTGTATAAAGCCGCGGATCTCGCATCTCGGAAACGATGTTAAAAAAGGCTGGCGTGCCGGCGTATGTAAAGACGAGGGTCGAGATGGCTGAGATAGCATCGGTGAAGCTTGGATGGGCAATGATCTTGTAGTCGGACTTCCATTCACCAAGGCCTTGCGGTGCCGCGGCAGGTCGATCTTGAAGGCTGACGGCAATAGTTACGACGAAGACTGGTTCAAATTAGCTATACTTTGAAGCAGTTGATGGAGAGAACGAGACTCACCTGAGATGATGATGCAAGTGGCACCTACCCACGCCACCCAACTGATGCGAGCAAGAGTCTGAATGCTAGATAAGCAGAACGTGACAATAGCAGCAACGGCTACGAAAATAGCTCTACAAGCACCATGAGTCGAAAGCGCGTTAAGAGCAACCGAGATGCTAAGCATGGCTGATCCGGAAACGAAGGTGAAGTCTAAGATATTAGCATACCTCACCGAAACCTGGAAGGTGATGGCTTACAAAGAGCATACATGGCCCCAAAGATCTCATAGCCAATGCGACCGAACAACATCTGTCCGACGTCGTCAATACCGTAGACGTGACGGTGACGCAGCTTGAAGTCTCCAACGATCCAGTCTGACCAAGTCGTCATACCAGCAATGAGGATGAGAAGGATGATACCAGGTACAATGCCAAGAGTATCAAAGACAACTGGCATGGATAGAACTCCGAGGCCAATCTGAGTCTTCATCATCAGGGCAGTCGTACCAATCCACCCCACGTTGCGGTAATTCGGACCATCTTCTGTAATGTCTCCGAACACGGCGTCGTGCTCGATGGTTCTGTCTTCGAGGACTTCGCCGACGTTCGAGGGATCCTGATGGGCACCTCCAAGTTCGCCTTCAGCTTTGAGATCTTTTGTCATAATGGAAGTAAGTGAAGAATGTTGATAAAAAGTACTCATAGACCTCGATTTTGGGTAGGATGTGGAAGCACTTATCAACACTGGCTTTTACATGCATGTCCTAATGCGGGAGACATAATCTGGGGTACATGGGGTATCAGGGGAAACCTTTTGATATCGCGGAGAGTTGCCATTTACAATCAAAAACAGATTAGACCAAGCCGAATAACTCGCCTCGGTAGGGAATTGACTCTTTCAGTAGGAATTCCCTAGTTTATCATCGAAAAGCCTCTAGATAGGTGGCTGCGTCTGAAAGCGGAGCCCTCATCCCCTCATCAGTGTTACCAGTTTCGGCAACTAACCGCGCCACTGTTGACCCATTAGGCCAGGACTTCAAGCGTATACAGTAACCTCTGAAGTTTATAGTTCAAACTTTAACATAATTAGACCTTATGATAGTCTATTAAACACAAGAATTTGGAATCGCGGACAAAATTGCAGACAATATACACATCGAGCATTTTGTGATCGGCCCCATGCACAAAGATGAGTCAATCAAGACAATCCACTAATCTCTTCGATGTTCGAGGGATTGTGGCAGTCGTAACAGGTGGTGGCAGCGGTATGTCTGTCCTAAGAACAGAAAAGCCTATTGTTCCTAGCAAGGGCATCTTCCACGCAAAGGACGACGTGAAAGCTGATTGACACATCTAGGACTTGGATTATTCATGACCCGAGCTTTGGCTGAAAATGGGGCAAAGAAAGTCTACATCATTGGCAGGAGGCAGAATATCTTGGAAGACGCTGTTAAGGAGATCGTAGGTTACAGAACACAGTAGATGGATATACAGTTCTTTGACAGCTAGCAGGGCTTGGATAACGTGGTTCCGATCCAATGCGACGTCACAAACCGCGAAAACCTCAAGGCCACAACAAGGGTAATTGAGGACGAGGTTGGATACATTAATCTTCTAGTCGCCAATTCTGGTATTGCCGGTCCTTCTGGAAATGTCCCACCCAATGCGACAATTGCCCAAGTCCAAGATGTCCTTCTAGATACCCCTATGGAGGAATTTACCAATACCTATCATGTCAACTGTACTGCGGTTTTCTACACGGCTATTGCGTTCCTCCATCTGCTTGAAAAGGGAAACGAGTCTGGCTACCAAGGGGATAGAAGTCAGCTCATCGCGACCAGCAGTATCGGGAGCTTCAACCGAAAGATCACTGCTGGCTTTGCGTACGGAACCAGCAAAGCTGCAACAACTATGATGCTTAAAGTGCTGGCCACTTATCTGGTGCCTTACAGGATCCGTGCAAATATTCTTTGTCCAGGACGTAAGTACTGCGACCAACTAGAAGAATGCTAAACTAACAGTTTAGTGTTTCCAACTGATCTTACAACAAGCTTGATAAAAGGCGATGACCCAACTGTGGAGGGTGCATTTCCTCCAGATCAGATTCCTGCTGAGCGAGCCGGTATGCCGGAGGATATTATGGGTCCTTTGATATACCTGGCCTCTCGTGCGGGGGCATATTGCAATGGCAATTGTGTATTGACAGATGGAGGTCGCTTGAGTGTCACTCCGGCCACTTACTAGGGTGGTAGAGATGAGTTGGGTGTGGTAAGCTTGTCTCCTATGTCAGTAAGACGATTTAAAAGGCGCCACAGTTATCTAATTGATCGAAATGCACATTTGCACATATCGACTTTGTCGAAGCTGGTGGATAGATGTCAAGAAGTTGAGGATCAGATACCCAAAAGACCACGATGCATGGTCGCATTGGACCGTGCCACTGCGTGTCGTGTCACCCATTTTCTAATAATTTATACGCTCGGCACTGAGTCCAAACGATGTCCTGTAGATGCCGCTTATATGCACAGTCAAGCCAGCCGTCTTAATTCAAGGATTTTCGACCAGGAAAAGATATCCAGATTCAGTCCGAAAGGCAGTACCGCTGTTAGAGGTGAGTTGACGATGCCCGGAATCTTTATTTTCTCCTCACCGACGACAATGCTGGTTAATGAGAAGTCACCAATGCTAAAGGGCTTGTGGTGCCCCCCTCCCGCCCCCTGATCAACTTTGACACAACGGACGGTGATCCTTCCTCTAGCTAAGCCAGTCTCTTATATAAGCGGTTGTAGTCTCTTCATTTGGGCTTGTTGGACTCGTTGGTCTATAAATAGAGAGTTAGACTAACATCTTGTAATGTATCTTGAAGATTTGATTCAAGGCTGACTTCTGGGTGTAGGCAGTTGGATGCAATCCTCGCAGGATGCTTCGTCTTTGTCCCTTAGGTCGTCGCCTTTGCCTTCACTCTCTTCCTTCTTCTTTTCTTCCTCTTCTCCCGTTTCTAGTCTTAACCTCGGCCCCAGCATCGTTCGCAAATGGAACGATCGGGAAGAGCCAGTAGAGTCGGCCGGCCACCTTGGGCCATGTCTATGACGGAGAGGAAGACACCCACGACCCTTTCGCACGTCCATTTGTTACCCCCGTATCGATTTTGGATTCTACCTGAAATCTGGATCATGTTTTGCAGTCGTCTTTGATTCGTAAATGATTGTGTTCACATGAAAGTCGCAGCTTATCATGGATGGTGAAATCCGTAGATTGTGACCATTCAAGTGATATCTATCTCGCTCCAGCTTCTTTCATCTAGATATAGACTTGGGGGAGAAACAAGAGTAAAGCTAGCGAGAAGAAAGACTAGAAGCAATTCATCTTCATTAGGGGTTACGACGTCTGGTGAGAAAGGACAATAAGCCGGCAGCTCGTCTTGTGGGTGATACGGTAGCTGGCAACGATCGGCATTGCAATCATACGTCAAACCAAACACCATTTTGCCTCCTAACCAATGGCCTATTGCCGCAGGCATTTGGTGTCTGTGTATGATCTTCGAAGTCCAAGATTCGACTCCACCATCGAGTTTATATTCGCCACGAACTTACAACAGATACGTATTTGATGACCGAACAACACATTGTCCACAGAGGCGACAGTGTTTAGATTCAAACTCATTTGCCCATACTCTTCTTCTCTTGTAGGTGGAGAAATTGGGTGGTAGATGTGCGTTTGCCCCGTCTTCCGCCTCTTCCAGAATCTGTATGAGTTCTCGTTCTTTGATCAACTTGTTGCCGCGTCCTACAGTCCATCTGAGGACTTACTATTCTGCGTTCGCAGCTATACTGACCCTCGCGGGCCGCAACCACATCCCAACCCACTGAATATCGAAGCCCTGGGCGAAGCTCGGCATGACCGATGGGATTTTCAACACTTCGTTGGTCTAACTTTGCTTCACAGCAGTATTCTAATCCCTTATGGGCCGCGAACGCCGTGCTCTATCACGGGCGCGGTCAGGGCGAGAATGAGAATAAATCAGGACCGTGCGGACCCTGTGGACACAATGTGGAAGCGAAGGATCATGTTGTTCGCTGGTATTGTACATTTGTGTCCTGCCTGGCGGCATCACTCCAAAGTTCAGACGGTAGTGGTATGCAAATATAACATGGGTTTGGGCTGGCGTGTTGTGTCATGGAAGGTCTTCAGCTTATGGGAATGCTGTACCAAGAACGTGCGTTACAACTTCTGGTCGCCATCATCTTCTGTGAGTTTGAGGTTGTAGCGAGACCTTCGTGTTAACAGCCTGTCTAGGTAATAACCCCTCATCTCAGCTATCGTTTATGCAAGAAGAGTGCTTTCACCAATTCAATAGTGATGTTCTGTTAAATCAAACCATTGCTCGACGCGGGTGAACCTTCATCCAACGTAGCCTAGTTCCTTGACCTATTTTCCCAAAAGATTGGTGACAGTCTGCACAACAGGAACTTGCTAAGTCTAGATGCACTGCAGCTCATGCACTGAACAATGCCCTGTGTCAACGCTCAGTCCCTGGTAGGACTAGAGGACATTATGATGATGGGGACTAATAATGCTCTTAGCTGTTCAATCACTGGATTTTAAGCTTCTCTGACACGTATGAGTTTTGAGAAAATCTGACGACCCATACTGGGTATCTGACGTCGTACAGCCCTTCATCTCACAGTCGACCTAAGCTTTCGCGTCAAGGGTAGTTAATAGATAACCTATCCCCAATCTTACGGATCGATCAGAATGGGTCTTAGGTCCGCCGCCACAACGACATCTGTGGGGTTTAAGGCAATTCGATCCTGCCAAGAGAGCCTAAGTAATGAATTATTGGCTTGGTAAATCCAGAAAGAGATGTTTATTTCCGATTGCTCAGACACTTTTCAGGTAGCTTGTTGAGTCATGGCGTTCCGTAGCTAGCGAGAGACTAACCTCAGTCGACGTCGAATTTCTTGGACGATCCGGAGCTGACATCCGAACTGATGTGCTTGAAGCGTGTTCCGCGTGTTTGACAAGGTTGCTAAGCCTGGCCTGGGGTAGGCACACGTGAGCGCGGAACACGTGTCGCAATTGATCATGATGTTCAACCTCGAGGGTTTGACCCCTACATGTCAGAATATGCTCAAAGCGCAAGCGCCAAGATCAGGTCACCAGAGACATAACTAAACTGATTATGAACCGGATCAGCGATCTGCATGCCATGTGCGGTACGGAACACATGGCAGCAAGGTCTTAGCAGCAAGGGGCAATCCGAGGTTAGCTCGGCTGCGGAATTAAAGCGGCTTGGCAACGTGGCAAATGAGACAGACGTGCTTGGATGGGTTCGCGCAGAGTCATGTAGATCATATAGTGGTTAAGAAAAATGGAAATTTTGAGTCAGGTATAATGTACCGTCGTCGTGGAACTGAAGGATCAATAAGATAGATAGATAGCCTCATGCTGTGGGTATGAGATAATTAGCATTACCATTCCACATCAGATGAATCTGTGGTCTTGGCTAGCGGGTGTCAGAAAATAGCATATCCGTAGACTGACTTTAATTTCGTCTCTTGTGTGCCTCCCGCGGATTAAGTTTTCCGATGAGTTTATAAGCATTTGGGAGTGGAATCCATTACCCACATTCGTCATTGTCGAGGTTCCGCTCGTCCCTTGACTCGTGAGCTCCGCTCAAAGACGCAGATACACTCAATAAATTGTGCACCAAGGAGTATAGTGTCTTTAATCAAAACTAGAGCGCCAGAAATGGTGTATAGCAGTGCCTGATAATGCAGCCCATAGCCATGGATTGAAATTCGCCAACTATAAAATAGACGAGCAAATAAAATATGTGGCGTTATCATACCTCGGTCAGAGCTTGGCTTGGAAAAAGGTCCGATGCCACAAAAGCTAAGCGTGATTCTAGCGTCGGTCAAGTCTTCTCAGGGGGTCTTCTCCACCGTTTTCTTCGTCTTGGAACACGGAAGCCACCACAATAGTCAACCGTTAGTTAATGGCTGAAATGGTTGACATAGTAATTAAGCCAATAACAGCCACCAAATGGAAACAACTGCTCATAATAGTTAGACAGACTACCTAAATCTATTCAACGCAACTAAATCAAGGGGCTGTCATTAGTGCTGACGAAATGTTCACGTCAAGTCAGTATCGAGTTTTGTTTGAGATCCACCATTAGGGGATGTCTCCACAAGCTTCAATTTTTTCTTCTTTGCTTTTCCCGCTGTAGCCACTCTTTTTGTTTCCACGAGAGACGACGATCTGATCTGCGTGTTGTGGGTACGCACCCATAAGATCCAGGAACTTGGACCTCTATTCATGAATGATTGTCGATTCAATTGCCGCGTTCCCGAGGTATGAAGGACACTTCAATGACAAGCCGTCTGTCAATCACACACAGTTTCTGTTTCAGGATGATACCATTACTATGATTGGTTGGATAAAGTTCTTCTGCATAGACGTGACATTTGCTGATCTCTCTGATTGACATGACCGGGATTGGCCGATCTCCAAAGGTTAAAGGACGGAAGGACAATTCCCTAACTGAGTCTTGGTTTAGTTTACGAAGCTCCCTGTCCGTGTTGTACCAAATATTTTGGCATAGACTATCGTTTTGACGGACTCTTGGGCGGGTCAGGGGAAGTTTTAACCGCATCCAACGAGGTACCCGACGGTGCCGACACTTGATACCGATTCGCCACAAGTGGTTTTTTCCAGATCTCGTAGCCCTTGTGCTTAATTTAGTCTAGTCCCGCGATCAGACGTTGCACTGACTGCATTTTAAAGCTCAAAGTGTCCAGGTTTCATGGTGTCAGGCCTGATGTCCCTGCAGATGATCTCATTATATATCCGGGGACAACCACTCCTTTGGGAAGGCCAAAAAGCAAAAAGTGTGTGTGCTTATCTCCTGCATGTGTCGTACATAACCCCTCCAGTCCCCGCCTGGTTTGACTTGTCATTTCTGCCATATTACGATGATGCTGTTTCGCAGCCTTTTGGCCTGCCTTGTGGCGACATTGCCTTTGGCTTTGGCTCAGGATGATGCTATGTCTGCGTTGGCGACACTGCCAAAGTGTGCTGTAAGTACCCAAGTGTCTGACTGTAAGATATTCGCTGACAATCCAAGGCAAAATGCATGGTTACCGCGATTGAAACCTCGACATGTGAACTTGGGGATGTGAAATGTTCATGCACAAATGCGCCTCTTCAAGCAGAGATTGAAAAGTGTGTTTTGACGTCTTGTACAGTCCAAGAGGCTATGAGTATGTACAGCCCTCAAAGTGTATGATTTACGCTAACATCATCTAGGTACCAAGAACACCACCTTAACAGCATGCGGCGCACCTGTCCGAAACCACCGAGGCCAATTCGTTTCCACAAATACCGTGATGGGCATTTTATCAGGCCTTTTTATAGTACAACGATTCTCAACCAAGATCTTCCTGAAGTTGCCTCTTGGTCTCGATGATTTGTTTATGGTTTTCGTCGCGTGCACTGCAGTCCCGTCCATTACTATCAACGCATACGGTCTTGCCCCCAACGGAATCGGTCGCGATATCTGGACACTAACGCCTCAACAAATCACCAACTTCGGCCGATATTTCTACATCATGGCAATTCTATATTTCTGCCTACAAACCTTCCTTAAGCTATCTATGATTTTCTTTTTTCTTCGAATCTTCCCCACGAAAGGCGTTCGAAAGAGTCTCTGGAGTACCGTTATCTTCACAGCCATATTTGGACTGGTTTACATCTTCATCACCATTTTCCAATGTAGACCTATCAGTTATTTCTGGACAAAGTGGGATCACGAACATGAAGGGACATGTCTTGATGTCAACGCCGTCGTATGGTCAAGCGCATCTATCAATATTGCTCTTGATATTTGGATCTTGACTATTCCTCTTTCACAATTGAAGAAAATGAACCTGGATTGGAGGAAAAAGATTGGCGTGGGCATGATGTTTAGCGTTGGCATTTTGTAAGTTGTATCACGAAAATGCCTTTTCTATTACTAACATTTTTCAAGTGTTACCATTATGAGTATCCTTCGACTTAGCGCCACTGTCCAAGCAGGTACAGGCAAAGGCTCAAATAACCCGACTTGGGAATACATTGCTGTTACCAGATGGTCAACTATCGAAGGCAATGTCGGAATTATCTGCGCTTGTATGCCCTCACTTCGTATACTTCTCGTCCAAATCTTCCCCAAGATTCTTGGTACATCTCGCCGCGGATACCAGACCTATGATAAGTACGGCAGCAACAGGCCTACGAATGGAGGTACGAACGCAAGCCGATCTCGCTCGCGAGCACCACTTGGTACAACGTCTCATGTCGACAAAACACCTGCATCGCGTATCGATCCGATTGGTATTACTTGCGACCGCACGTATGAGGTGGAATATGGTCAGACAGATGAGACCCATCTGGTGGCCATGAAGGATATAGAGATGGACTGGCGTAGCGAAAGGTCCCAAAATTCTCAGCCATAGTTCAAAGTTTTAGTTTAATGAGAATATTGTTCACATGACTTGTGCTAGTCTTTCATAATAACAATTAATATCATGCCAAATGCAAAAGTCGCTAGTATAACACAAGAAGCCCAATTGTTGGCCCTAGTACTCATTCACCCTCGTCCATCCTCTCTCCCACTCTCGAAACCATGGGATGATCTGGTCATCTGCATAGTCCCACGAATCAGGTACTTGGTATCCAGGAGGAATAGAGAGAAGAAAGTTCCCTAGTGCCAGGAAGAGAAATCCATGCGGTCGTAGATCATGATCCGTCTTGACTACCTCGACATAAATCCAACGATCTAATCGTTCACGCAAGAATCTCCACCAGTCTTTGCAACCGTCACCAATATCACCGTAAGTGTGAGGGTATTGAAGTGCATAGGTAGCAGGCGCGAGCTTCATACTGGCAACCAGACGCCTGGAAGAGCCCGCTGACTTCCACACCAGGGAATAGATGCTTCCTTCGAGAACATGGTCGGGAGTGTAATCCCCCGGAGGATTATGTCCGAGACTGATTATTAAAGTGCTTGGTCCACCAATTTGACGACATTCTTTATCGGAGATGAGTTCTTTTGTCAAATCAGGCCAAAGAAGATCCCGTGTCGTCCAACCGAATTTGGCTCGTTGGCGTAGTACTTTTCCAAGGGAATTGTCGAAAGGTTTGAGTGGGTAAAACTTGTGAAATTGTATAGTCGGGATCGGGAGAAGACAATATGCCTTATTCCAAGATATGAAATTCAGACCAGCTGTTGTAGTGGCCTCATTGATGATATCGATAATGGGAGGGTCCCGGGTAGATTTGATGATGATAAATAGATCGGGGGCCCTGTCACGACGAAAGACTAGTTTTTCTGAATAGGTTCTATATCCTTCATGCTGAAGTAGATATCTGATCAAGCCCTGACATTTGGAACCGCGTTCAACATATAGAAGCAGTGAGTTGACCGGCCAACGACCGAATTCGAAGAAGTTGCGGACAAAGTCTCCCGCGATCAACCCGCCATGCTTGCCAAGCTCATTTCGGAATAGCGTCGGGTCGGTGACAAAGGGTTGTAATTGTTTCGTGACGCTGAGCAAACATGGTGAATCTGTCATATAATTGACTAGCCAGCGCAGGGATCGACATGTTGCATGTAAAGAGTATACGTCTACAACTCGCAGATGGTAGAGTATGGTGTCTACTATCGTCAAGTTTGGGTTCCCCCACTTGTTACTTAGCAGTTCAATAAGTCTTGAGGGTGGACTTGCTAGGGAATCCATGATCTGGTGTGTGTTCGGAAATCGGAGACTTCGAAAATTGGAATGGCGGGGTAACCAGCCAGTCGGTTTAATTATTTCTCCGTCTTAATGCATGTCACCAACAACTCTGATTGCTGCTGGAAATATGTTGCTGATTTTACCTATCAGTTGAGGTTCAGTTGTATCCACGACTGGCGATTAAGTTATATACTAGGAAGTGGCAATTGGCGCTGTAAGACATCTGTGTACAATTTACTTACAGATATCTACTGAACTATTCTGATACATACTTTCTTTTCATCCCCTTTTGTTGCGAAGGTCTTTTTCGCTCATACTGTAAAAGCTCTGGCATCATGATTGCAGGTGTTAGCCAATCTTTGTCCGAAGAGAAAAGATCCACGTTTCTGCCTGTAACCAATTCCCACGTCAATGTTCGTATTTGGCCCAAGGTTTCCTGATCCTGCCCATGGAAATATTCAGCAGATGAATCATGATGCTTATAGCCATCGAGCCCCATATCTAGCTTTGTCTTAAGCACCTCTGCCCTTCGTGCCAAATATGCGAGGGGTGTCCGCCCAGGAGTATCCTGAGAGTCTACTTCAACATGGGCATCCGCAATGAATAGTTTGCAACATCCCGCTTCAGCCTTCTCTGCTGCATATGAAAAGGGGGTTCGCCCCAATGTATCTGTCACGTTTGGATCTACTCCCGGGTTCTCCAGTAGTAGCTTAACCTTGAAAGCGTCCCCATATCCTGCTGCATAAGAGAGCGGAGTACGTCCAGAAGCATCTCTACTGTCAGGTCGCACCCGATTATCTGCAAGTAATAGTTGAAAACCGGAATGACACCGTGATTCTGCTGCGTATGAGAGTGGTGTACGGCCCTTATCATCCTCCATATCGGGTTTGATGCCTTGGGAAGCAAGCAGTAGTTGAGAGATTCCGTTATTACGGTATACTGTATGGCTAAGTGGTGTCCGTCTATCAAAATCTTGAATGTTAGGCTCTGCATCACTTCGAGCGAGGAAGAATTTGACAATTGATACATGGCCTTGAAGTGCTGCGTGGAATAGTGGCGTTCGTCCTTTGTGATCTTTGGAGTTTGCGTACACATGTCCGTGAACTATTATTGATCTGATCCTGTCTTTCAGTGATTGATTTGTTTCTGATTTGGGCCATGGTTTAAGAAGCGTTGGAAAAAGACAGCCGTCTCTGTCTTCTTGGGGTTCTCGGTGCTCTTTGTTTACCCCAAGAAGTAACCTCACGACTTCTTCCTGTCCAACTTTCGCTGCCAGGGACAGAGGCGTCATGCCGTTATCATCGACGAGGTCAGGGTCTACCTTTTTAGTAGCAATAAAATGCTTGGTAGTAGTCTCATGCCCAGCCCGCGCCGCAAGGTGTAACGGTGACATGCCGCCCCTGTCTCTAGATTCAGGATCGACATCTCGCATATTTAGCAGCGCCTCCACGATATCACGATGTCCAGCCTGTGCCGCGTGGTGCAATGGAGTCCAATAAGGATAAACCTTGAGATTTGGTGTTATACCTGACGCCCCAAGTAGTAGGTTGACTACATTCAGATGGCCAGCTTCTGAAGCAAAAGACAACGGAGTTCGCTCAAACACGGATTGCCTCTCTACAAACGATGGGTTCGAGTCGGGGGTAGCTCTGCCCTTGTTGAGTAAAACTGAAACGATCTCCGTATGACCCTGCTTTGCTGCATGAGATAGTGCTGTTCGTGGCAAATCTACGAACTCCCAATCGCTCTTTGACTCTACATCAACTGTGAAGTCCAAGAGTTGACTGACCACTTTCGTATGCCCCGCTTCAGAAGCATATGACAGCGGTGTCCGACCGCATCCATCTTTGACATCTGGTTCCATCCCACTGCTCAGAAGGGAGGCTGTTTCTCCCTCCAGTCCGAAGACCGCCGTTAAATGAAGACCAGTGACGCAGCCCAGTCTCGTCTGGAACCTAGTTTGATCAAGGCCGCATCGAAATTCTGGTATGCACTGACTCGATGAGCTCACGTGAGGATCGCTTTTCAAAAAGTTCAACATTTTGATGCATGGTTCTCCTCGGCGAGCGTGATAAGCCCAGTACCTGGCCGCATAAGAATATAACGGATGCTTGCCAAGTCGTCTTTGTATATCGCTAATATCAGACGAACTATACCCCATCTCATCTATCGCGTTAAATTGCCCACTGCTGAATTCTTCAAACAACAGGTACGTCAGGCAAGTTGAGGCAAGCTTCATCTCATAGTACTCCCTGGCGACGCGCTTCTCGGTATCCAAGTCTGATGGATTTTCGATGAATTTGGGGTTATCCGGAGACTCCAAAGATCGGAGACAATTTGGATTAGCCTTCAGATACTCCATCGTAGTAAAATGCAGTAATCTGACAGTTTCTGACCCTTCATCAATCATGACAAGGTCCATACACGCATGGAGGATCACGGTTGTGCTTTCGAGATCCTCCTCTTTGAGTACTGACATATCGTCTTCTACACTGAGTGCATGCCGAAACTCCGTCTTGGTAAGAGACTCTTGTGAAAATGTGAGCCACATCAGTGCTTTTCTCGCTAAGTCTCGGTGTTGCTGTCCCTGATTTCTGATCCTGCGAATGGTCTTCTCGTATGCATCCTTGTAAGCCGCTAGACCAGTGGGTAGATGGTCCAAAAACGAATATATGTCTTTCAGTTTTGTCTCTTCTTTGAGATTATCAAGGTAGATTCGGGCGAGGAGAAATCTGTAGCCTGTAAGTAAGCCATGTCACACCAAACTCGGGATAAAACGAGAGCCTCACACTCCATTGACTGCCCTGCTTAGTTTCTCTCTGACCGAATTTCGACAATCCTCTTTCAACTCCTTTGACAGTTCCGTGTTTTGTTCACTGAGAACCATCATTTGGGCCATTCTTTGATTGATGTATAGCTCTACGTCTTGATCATCGGCCTGGATATCATGGATCAAGCACCCTTCAAGCTTTCCGGGCAGGCTCGGCTTGGGACGCGAAGTGAGGAAGATGTTGGCTGTGGTCTCCTCTCGTAGTACAAGAACATCAGAAAGGAATTTATCCCATGACTCATGCTCATCTAGTGCATCGATGAGAATAAAAGTGGACAAAAAACTTTTGACGACTTGGCAGAGAGTATCCATGATGTCTTTAAACGATGGCCTCTTTTTCCCATAGTGATTTTTCTCATATAGTTCGTCCATCGCCTTTGGAAATGGTGACTGAGACAGTGCCAGTTGTCCCAGAAGACTAGCAAACAGATCCTGTGGTTTCTGTTCATCACGTTTCTGATAACTACAGTAGACGTATGCCAAGCCGACTGTAGGATCATCTCCGAACTTCGAATGTAGATACTCGATAGTGATGGCTGTGGTGATTGTTTTTCCTGCCCCAGGCATACCAGAACAAAAAAGGAATGAGTTTTTGGTTTCCAACCAGTTTTGGAAATCTTCGGAACTCAAGAATTGTTGACCTGTACCCGGTTGACGTTGCTCAGGCTGCAAAAATCCATGCTGCTCGGAAGAGTAATCAGCTGCACCCAGCCAGTCAACGATCTTCAGATCATCTTCCCTTTTTCTCTTGACATTTAAGGCTTCAACAATCTCTTTCGTCTCAGCTATAGGCTCAAGTCCTGGAGTTCAAATTATTAGAGATCCGATAACGTTAACATGCAATTATTTACTAACTTCCTTCGATCTGTTGAAGGACGTCCTTCATCTTTCTCTCTTCCTTGATCTTTTGAGGTGGAATTTGTAGAAGAAGCTGTTTCGCATAGGCTGCGGCTACAAGTGCCGCATAGCCTTGCCACTCTCGACCTCTGTGAGAGTCAGAATAGTCGCATATTCCTCTGATAACCACGCAAGGGAAGTGGTTAGCCAAGCCAGCAGCTTCCATCTCAAAACATAACACATGCTCTTTCTCGGCGAGCTCGTCTCTGACAGTGGCGTCCTCCATCAATTGACTACCCGATGCTATGAGACCATAGTGGATCTTCGGTTTGCCCTGGCCCTTTGTACGTGGATCTCGTGGCTTGAGATTCGAAGCGGGGCATACATCCAAGCATCTTGCTCCGGCGCGAGAATGGATGAAAGTGGATTCGTACAGCTTGTCTGTGTCATCATGCGGTCTTTGGAAGCCTTCGTCAATGAGATTTGTGTTCTTTAACAGCACTTCTTCAATTGTCTGGTCCAAATTGTGTCCTTTTCTGACATGATGTGCCGATAACTTGGTGATGGCTGCTAGGACAGGGAGAGGAGGCTGGTTCAAGGACCCCATAAGGTTGATGCCTCTTCCTTGAACTGTTGTCCCATGATCATATTGGATGAGGCCACCACTACGGTATGTAGGTGACCCAACCACAACATCACCAAGGCGAATATCATGTTGAGTCGGAATACCTCCACCGATGCCTACCATGAAGCCAATTCTGACATTAGGAAAAGTGCGAACCATGTCCCTTGCAGCATTTGCAGCACTGGTCCCTCCGTATTGCCCACGGGGCAACCCAGCAATAACAACATGGTGCTCCCCGATCTTCCCGAGAGTGTAATTGTTATTGTCGTTTTCTGGTGTCGGGACAATCTCTTCTAGCTCTTTATCAAGGAGTTCCTGGGCGGCAACAAGCTCAGCTCGGATCGCGCAAATCCAGCCAATAGTATAGATCCCGCAATCTACCATTGCGCCATGGGTGGGCTGGGTCAAATCTGAAGTTGTAAAGTGGAAGTGTGTCGTTGTGGCTTTCCCTAGTGCAGTAAAACCGCGATTGTGTGGAAGACTCGATGGTAGAGGAACGTGGGATTATTGTACGAGTAGGAATAATTTACTTTGTTTTAGGGAGCATGACCAGGCTACAAGGAGAAGATGTACGTATCGGTTTCATGAAGCGCCTCTCAGCACCACATTGGCGATCAATACTCTTTGAGACCAGGTACATGCCCAAACTAAGCCAAGACAAAGGCCCATTGTTAAAACACTACGCACGAGCTCTAGGCATTCACAGCGGCTGAAATGCATTCGGCCTTGGCGTGTGCCTTGCCGCCCAACATCCACACAGCCTGATTCAAGCAGAGGGCTGGTGGTTAGCAGAAAGGTTGGACCCCTAGTTCATAGAGTGTGAAAATAATTTACAGTCGTCTAAATCGTATTACCTACTTGTTTATCTCTCTGCATTCTATTGGTTAATGTTTTGAAACCTTTGGTTCGGGTTCAACCAACCAAAGTCCCACTGCAGGCTGACAGGATGGTCGGACAATGCTGACGTGGAGCGAATGAAGCAATATTCAGCCGCACTCGCTTATCATACTGCTGCCGTTTCTATTTACCCGAAGTTTTTATAGTTCCAATCGACTATTTAAAGTGCATTTTACAACTTGACACTCCTGAGGTCGGCAGCAGGCTGGGATGCCAAGGATCAGAAAAGCGTGAGATGCTTTAACGTACAGACTCATGAAATTAAAAATCGAAGTTGGTCCCAAGCTATTATTTTTATGTAACCAATCATATTATTTTAATTTTTGATCTTTTATCTAAAAATCAATCAGGCTGTACTCCGAGGTGAGTCAACTTGAGGCCCGCTGCGCTGCTTGCCTTCATATGTTTGTCCTGTATTTTCACGTCTCAGAATACCCTGGACAACAGGTCAGCGTCGCCCCCGCAGTACAGGCCAACAGACAGTTTGTTGGAAGATCACCGGCACATGTTGCATCCTGCAGGATGCTGTCGTGAAAAAAACAGTGAGCACTACTTGGCACATATATAGCCTACCACTGTTATAGCATTTCTGTCTAACATCCTTCAACGCTGTGGCTGAGTTCAATGGCTGTGCAAAGCAGTGTAACAACTGATAAGAGCGCCTACTCAAACCAAAGTTCCGGATTCAGGCCTCACTACTCGTTCTCAACGCCTACTTTCCAACTGTTATAAAATAGGAGGCCGTTTAAACAGTAAGAATTTCATTTAAATTACTTAAAAGGATACTTAAATGAGGCAATATTATTGACCTACCCATCTCATCGTCATCCCGAAAACTCGACCTTAATTGCCTCAACCCATATATCAAATCATCAACTGGTCTATCATCGTCGATATGCTTGCTTATTCATCACTAAATAGAGGCGCTGTGCGACTTCTTCGAATACCGGTTTCTACAGCAATAATTCAAGAACTTGAAGTTGTCTCTTTCCAGCTTACCCAGTCTCCTCCATACAATGCACTGAGTTACTGCTGGGGCGACTTGGACAGGTCTAGAACTATACGATGCAATGCCCAAACTTTAATGATCACTCCGCATCTCGAAGAGGCTATCAAGTCCTTGCGGTCACTCCAACGCGAAACGGAATGGATTTGGATCGACCAGATATGTATCAACCAAGACGATAAAGCAGAACGCGCTATTCAAGTCGATATGATGAAAGACATATACTCGTCATCTCTAGGGACCATCATCTGGCTGGGACCTAGTGTGCCGGGCATCGATAAGCTCCTGGGTTTAGTGAATATGATGTCTAGTTTCCATAAAGCAGACATAAACCCCACCGGCACCAGGAAACGCAGTCGATACACAAACGGCCAATTCCTCAAGCTTGGTCTCCCGGCAGCTCAAGACCCTGCATGGTCTGCATTCGGAGAGATCCTATGCCGGCCCTGGTTCATCAGATCATGGGTAATACAGGAAACAGCTCTATCGAAAGTCCCTCCTCGCATGGTCTGTGGGTCTGAATCAATATCTTGGGAGAAGTTCGTGCCTTCAGCATTATGGTTGTTATCGATGTGTTATCATATCAGCCCTCTACACCATATTCCAACAACACTCCCAGCTCTTCGATCCTTGAAGTTGTTCTATGAGCTAGAGCAGCTTAGGTTACCATGGGATTTAACTACCCTCCTCAACAAAGCGATACGGTTTAAAGCATCAGATCCAAAGGATAAGATATACTCTCTTCTAGCGTTGACCGATGAAGCAGATGCTCAAGGGCGGTTGCCTCCGCCACTACAGGCAAACTATGATAAGCCAACTGAGCAAGTCTTTCGTGATGTGACTAGACACATCATTAAGTCTACGGGTAGCCTAGCTATTTTATCACTGATCCGCTACATTCCCGATTGGGATCAATATTCTTCCTGGGCGATCGACTTTACAGCTACAATCAGATGGGACAGAATATCCTATTTCAACTGGGACCAACATGATCACAACAGGCGACGCCTCATCGAAACACTGAATCGTTCTTTTGGTGGCCGTTCAGCGGTTGTAGTTGATGATTCACCTGATCATATTCTAGGCCTCAAAGGGCTAGAAATCGACACTATCAGCACGACGTTCAACATCATGTCAAAGTCAGAGCTTGCTTCATATAATCCACAGATTTGGTCAACATGGACGGAAGCCTACGATCATCTCGAATCTCGATATCGCACAACTGAAGCTATTGCACGAGCATTTATGGTCACTATCACGGGTAATTGGAACCTCAACGACAGTGAGAGTATGAGTGAACAACCGTTGAGTTATTTCTGGGAATACATGTGGCGTGTACACCAAAAGCGTCGCCGCGACTCAGGCTTTGAGGATGCAGTCGATTCTGAACAAGAGAGTACGAAGTACCTAGTCCAACCAGATCCGAGTAATAAGCACCATGTCGACCTGTTCAGTCTTCATCTCGACTCAGCGCACGAAAGAAGGCTATTCATCACAAAAGACTTATCTTATATCGGCCTTGGACCAAGAATGATGGAGGAGAATGACATTATCTGCGTTCTGTTTGGGGGAGCTACACCGTTTGTACTAAGAAGAGTCGGAGAGTACTTTCGGTTTATTGGCGAGTGTTATGTATATGACTTGATGAATGGGGAAGTCATGGATGGTTTGGCGAATACCAAGTTTTTCGTCAAGGCGTTTCACCTTGTCTAGTTAGTCTTCGAATGAGACTTCTCTTAGGGTATAATTGCAATCAAGTGTTGTCTCGGGTCTAGGGTTCCCTGCACTAAGCTTGCTGTTTTGTATTAAATACATTATACTTTATAGAAGAGACACCTTATTCCTATTTAACAACTACATAACTTACCTTGTATAATATTAATGGACATGTTCCTTCTCTTCTGCTTTTGGGATCCTAACCATTGTCGCTGTAATAAGCGCGCCAGTAAGCGCAGAGGCCAGCCCAAACCACCAAATCGCCTTGATACCCTTGAGCCCAATCTCCTCGTTCGGCAGCATCTCTACCCTTGATCCAATTGCCCAGCTGATACTGGTCATGATAGCCACGGTGAGGTTTTGTACCGTGACTAGCAGGCTACCTGCTGCGCCCTGGTAGCTCCTGGGAACACTGCTCGTAATGAAGATGGCTGCTGCCGCGAAGCTCATATCTGGGCCGAACGTGGCAAGAATGATACCCGGCAGGGAGAGAACCCAATAACTCGTGGATGGAGTCTGGGGCAAGAAGAAGACAGGGCCAAGAGCAAAGGCGACCATACTAGCGGTGAAGATAACATGCGTAGGCACGACATGGAGCGTCTTTGAGACGACAAAGGCGGCGAGAATTCCAACGAGGCCATTAGGAAGGATGTAAAGGGTCGTGGTGAGAGGCGAAGCGTTCTGGTATCGCTGCCAAAATTGAATGGCATAGAATTGCCAGGCGCCGCCTGCGAACAACCATTAGTTAATTATAAGCGGACAATTTCAATGGAGTGTAATAACTTACTATATGCTCCGAGGCCGAGGAAATATGATATAAGAAGAGCGCCGAATCCGGGAGTCTTCCAAAGATTGTTAGGTATAAGTGGGCGGGCCACCCGCTTCTCAACAAAGTAAAAAGCCACGAGCATGGAAAACCCAACAATGATGGCGGAATACGTATAGGGACTCCAGTTAGCTGGGGATCCCTGAGTCAGTCCAAAGATGATGAGGGTGCTACCGATGGAGGCTAAACCGGCGCCAACATAGTCGAATTGGCGTATAGACGGCGCTTCAGAGTCGGAGCTGTCCTGGGCCGGAGAAAGGGCTGGGATGGTGAGTTGAGCAGCAAGACTCATGAAAGAGAGTAGAATAGCAGTGCTACCAAAGATCCATGGGAGATGGGCGCTCAAGGCTCCAGCCTGAAGACATCCCAACCAGTATCCAAAGGGTGAAAAGGCAGCCATTAGACTAAAAACGCGTGTCTTACGGATACCCGGTTTGTACACACGGCCCAGCACGCTCATTGATGCGGACACAAGTACACCAGCAGCGAGTCCCTGCATCGCTCGTGCGCAGAAGAATAGCGCTTTGAGCCGCAGGCTGACTGATACGGCGGCGATGGCCATCCAGAGCGTCTCCCAAAGAAACCCGCCGACTAAGAGGGGTTTTGGGGCGAGTAGGTCGGCCAAAGATCCTGAAATGATGACGGACAGACCACAGGGCAACATGGAAGCGCCAAGTAGCCAGGGAATCTCGGAGGGCGGGAGGCCTAGGGCAGAGGCAAAGATGGACTGGGTAATGGCAACGTGGCCGATGAGTATGGCAGAGACGAGTTGCCCGCCGGAGCAGGTCAGCACAAAGATAACTTCGGCAAAAAGGCTGGGAAGCTCGGGAGGTAGACCTTGTGAGGCGGGAGACTCTGACTCTGAAGTGCCTTGTTCTGGAGCCTCGCTGGTGAGAAGACCGGAGCCAGCGTGACCGCGAATGGGGCCCAGCTCGAGGCCCAGAGTGGCAGAGGGCTCGTTCATGACTACGGCGCCTTGTAGAATATTCGTCGAATGAATTCGTTGTTGGTCTACCATACTTTTCGTGGTTGTAAAAGCGCTTTCTCGAGTAGGGGATTGAAACAATTGCGTTTCTTAAAATATGACATGAGTTTTATGCGTGGGGTCACGTGGAAAGCACAAGAAATCATGATTCATCCTGGTAAAGGACAAAGAACAATGGCTACGTCGTTTGTGTTGGTCCTGGTCTTACCCTTCAAGTTGGAGGGGGACTGAGACAGAAGGGAGCTGACGTCACAAAGAACCACACGGTGAGAGTCCCCTTGGCTAAACATCAACGCTGATCCAACAGCCATCATGGTATCGACCAGTCAATGCTTGCCATGGACGTTACACAACTCATGCAATAATGAGGATGCCAAGAAAGCGATCGGGAATAGCGACGGGTAAATTACCAAATGCAGGCTTGTGCCTATAGCCGTAATATGCCCCCTGCGCAGCTTAACGCCACCGGACCATATTCCCCGACCATGCACAGGGGTTGGTACTCAAATGCTCCCCATGCTTCTCGACGTAGAAGGTCACATTTCGGACTTGACTTGAGCTCTACGCCCGCGTAGACTTTGCGTTATCAGACGATGTGATAGTGTACATGCCCGGGCAGCAGCAAAGTCTTTGGCCTGTAAGGAACTTTGCAGAGTAGGACAACGTGGTAAGAGTGTAAACAAAATGAAGTGATAAATCGGTCCTCCCAGACAAAAGACAATTATCTTCACCTCTTTTCATTCGACTTATAGTCATCAAAACCTGCACCAACAACAATACTGCACTTCATTGAAGTCTCAGCAAAACCGCTACAAGCCAACACCAGTGCCAACAACATACCAAAGCAGACAAAATGGATGCCCCCAGCTATTCTTGCAAGATCCTTATTGTCGGCGGCAGCGTCGCCGGCCTGGCTTTGGCCAACATGCTCGAACAAGTCGGCATAGACTTTGTCGTCCTCGAGGCTGGTAGCAAGATTGATCCCACTGTAGGCGGAGGTATTTCTGTGCAGCCACAAATGTCCCGAATACTTGATCAGATAGGCTGTTGGTGAGTTTTCATCCTCATCATTGCTACCCATACTTGAACCCATCCCCTCTCTTGGACGAAATATCATTAGCCCTTTTTAGTTGACAAAGACCAAAGTATGTTCAAATCACTCCCTTTTCATCTTCCTTTAGCATAGAGCATTCTAACGAGTGATGGCTATAAAGGGGACGCTATTCGAAATGGCATTCAAGACCTCGACAATCACGTTTCCGTTCGGGATCAGCTGGGCAATACAATATTTAAGTTCGATGGCCTGGCTGACGCTCTACAAAAGAGGTTCGTTCCAAATACACCGATATGACAGTTATCGTTTGTCTACTAACTTATATAGACACGGATATCCGGTAGTCTTTGTTGAACGCCAAACTCTGCTCCGGACCCTCTATGACAATATGCATGACAAAGACAAGGTCTTGCTACAGAAGCGTTTCGTCAAGCTGGAGCACAGTGATGACAAGGTCATTGTCACCACGCAAGATGGGTGCACCTATGAAGGCGACATCGTTATCGGGGCTGATGGAATGCATAGCCTTGTACGTAAGGAGATGCATCGTCTCGCTCACAAGTTGTCTCCGGGATACTTTGACAAGGATGAATATTCTCGTGAGTGCCACCCGGCGGCTTCTGAAGTGGGAGCATCGCTGACTTGATGAACTACCAAAGTGGTGCCGTGCCTGTACAAGTGCATTGGGGCATCTCGCACCCCACACCGAGCATCAAGGCGGGTAGCATCCATGTCGTTATGGCCAAGGACCACAGCTACTCGCTATTCGCCGGCCGTGGAAAACTCTATTGGTTTCTCTACGTAAAGAACGCTTCTATAATGCATGGAAAGCAGGTGCCTCGTTACACAGCCGAGGATGAACGGCAGCTTGCAGAGCAGTATTTTGAGGACCACTTCGGCAAGACTGTTACTTTTGGCGATGTCTACAAGAACAAGATTGTATCGAGCCTTACTCCTCTGCACGAGTATCAGTGGAAACGATGGCACTTTGGCCGCATCATGACGATTGGAGATGCCTGCCACAAGGTAAAAAGCCGTAGCACAGCATTGTCTCCTGTCCATAGCTCGACCAAGTACTAACACGAGACTGCAGGTCCATCCCCTCGGCGGAAGCGGAGGCGGTGCTGCCGTTGAAGACGGCGCTGTCCTCGTGAACGCACTACTGCAAAAACTCCGACAATCGCCAAGCCAGAATCTTTCCACGAGGGACTTTGAGGATATATTTTTAAGAGCCCAGGCCGCCCAGGAGGATCGCTCGCTTAGACTTGTCAACAGCGCCACCGAGAAGCAGAAGGCGGATGCCATGCAAGGCATGCTCGCGCCACTAGCCGTCAAATTTATAATACCGAACCTGACGGATGACCAGGCGCTAGCCATGGATAGCGCCAGAGCAATCACGGGGCAGCGGATCGAAGCGCTGCCAGTACCGGTGCGGGATCGCTACGTGCCTTACAACGACGAACTGCCAGCAAAGCCCTTGAGGAAGGGCTCTTTCATCATGAACTCTTGTTTTGCAGGAGTCCAGTTATTGCTATTCATGGCAGCCTATGTGCCACTCAGCACATTGGTATCCTGGATCGGCAACTTTCGAGGGCTAGTTCACGGGGACTATCTTGACGCGTTTGTTCAGCATCTGGTAAATGCTCATGAAAGCGCTTCGACCAGTCAAGTATCACAGTCCACGATCTCCCTGGTTCTACTCACCCCCATCTTCCTGCTTTGGTCACTCGAGGGTTTTCGCCGAGGTAACCTCGGCTCCCCGTGGTCATGGTATGTAATCAGTCACTCGTTGCTTTTTGACTCGAGATTTTAACTAGGATCAAGGCCTATCACGTTGTTTCTTACAGTTGGACTGACAATGGGCGAGGGAGCGAAAGTTTTCCCTCTCTACTTTCTGTTCACCATGCTCAACTCGTCCAGAACCATCTTTACCTCTGTGACCGGAAGACCCGTGCCTCTTGCCGTGGCCAATGTCATGGTTCCTGTGACCTTGACCATTTATGCTGTCCAGATAGCCCTTTGTACGGCAGTGGCTACCAATCAAGCCTATGATGGTTACTTCATGGCCATGGGACGCTTACTTCCAGCGTGTGCGGCAGCCATCATACGGCTCCTTGCCTCAAACCCCCCGTCAAAAGTTCAGTCTGTTGGTCGAACTTCTTACAAGGAATATATGGCACCATACATGAATGAAGACTTCCCATCAATCATGAATTGGTATCGAGTTATCCTCACCCTGAGTGTGGCAGGGGACATGGTTGTTATGCTGGGGTCCTCTTCTCCTACGCAGCCAACCCTGGTTTTATCCAGCATCGTTGTGCACTGCCTACAGACTGCCTTTCAACTGAGGAGCTTGGGTTACGCAACAACCGGACAAGCCGCAGCCTCAATGGTCATGATCATATTAGGCACCAAGATTCTGGGACCAACGACGGTCTATTGCGGGCTGTGGTACTGGAGAGAGAACGTTATTCACGGCCTGAGCAAGTGACTCGTTACATGAGACGCGAAGCTTACCTGCAGAATAAGAACAGACAAGGCTGTTGTCCATAAAATCCAAGACGGACTTCTTTTAACGGAAGAGGAAGGTAGGATTGAAAATAAAGATAATGGGAGTGCGGGCTAAGAGAACTTGCTAAGGCATGGGGAGGCTAGAGTACCTGTACGTGTCTGCCGAAGGGTTTTCCTCGACCATTGGGTATGCATTCACATTCGATGGTATTGATGGAAAGTCACTCAATAGTACCTCACTGTTCACAAAATAATATATGCAATCTATATGGCGCAGTCTATACATCACAACATATCTTCATGAATGGCTGGCTGAAGTAAGTGAACTAACAATCGGATACGAAGTCATGTCGTGGCATCATACATGGTTATGTCACCAGAGTTCAATGTTATTCTGTAATACACATTTCTGTCAGTACAGTCTTCCATGACACAGACTTGTTGCGTCTCGCTTGTAGTTGCCCTCCTCCCTCCGCCATCCACGAGATAGCTCGCATGAGATGACAGTTGTAAACTACTTGTAGATACATGATTACTGATATCAGACGGCTGGAACTATCTCTTTAAGCAAGCAAAGAATAATGCACAGCATGTCAGGGCTATGATGTGATGTTTTCGATCGGCTATAGGCTCATGATAAACGGAAAACATTATCCTGACTCTTGCGTTTAGTACCGGCCAACCAGGGATAAAGATATTAACTTCCCATAATGGATGTAAGCCGGAAAACCATTAGAGCCTGTAGACGGGCACACATGGTGATGACTTCTATGAGTGAGTAGGATGATCATATCAAGGCTATGTTGACTCTATTATGACGATATGCGAGACGTAAGTTGTGCATCCATCACCCGGCACAGATGAAGTTAATCATGTCTAAATACCAATGGCTTATGGTATTGACACACAAAACTAGCTTTTGTCCCGCTGACGGACCGTTCCGCCACTGATCCTGCAGTACGACGTTGAATGCCATAAGCTACAGTTCATGACATAGGAATGGCATCAGAGGACGCGCAGTATGATGTTCTAGATGTTCTTCCTCGAACCCATGGCGTTCTTCTGCAAAGGGTCCCCTACCTCTGGTCAATTCATCCGCACCAATGAGCTTCGTGTTTACGCATGTGGAAAGAGACAACACAATGGAACTATCTGTAGATTATCACGCTGACAACCACCAGACGGCAGTGTTCAAATATAGGAAGTAATACCTCCTCAATTTGCGAATACATATAGATGCACGTGCATTATCTTCGGCAAAAAGCCCCTGACTGTATACCTGACGGCCGTCGTCTATGGTCGTAGTTTGGTAGAATCTACACCATCTCACTTCATATGTAACTGTTACTAAGTCATTACCGATACAGGGTTGGTTCTACCATACCACAACCACAAATGTAAAGAGATCGGGGACACGAGAAAAACTCCAGATATTCCTTCATCACGCAATCACATCATCATACTAGGCTTGTGCGGAATTTTTGAACGAGGATCTAGTATATGCAAAATTAAGCCTGCAAGTCCCAGATTGTTATAATGGGGTTTTGCTGGATGAATGGCACGTTAATCTGCTGCCGTTCGGAAGCTCCTACTGCGCCTCACCCGCAAAGCTCCTGGAAGGGTGTGCGATTAGCTCGGGCGGGAGACAGGATTGTGCAGATATCAAAGCTTCCAACTCTCTAAGGTGGAATGGATAGTTGGATACATTGCTGCATGTATTGACGCAGTCGCTTGATGCGAAACTCATATCTTCGCCGTAAAGCAGATCATGCTCGTCGTGATATTCCAGTAGAGGCGCGCATGCATACTGCATGATGAATGCCATGAAAATACGTTCCGCCGCGTTATAGCAATGCGTCCGAACTGTCCTTGTACCGGATCCTCCACGGTTCGGTCTGTTTGACTTTGCTATAATAACCAGCCCCCCTCTTAAAATGCCACTTAGATTTGCTCGGAACAAACCTCCATATTCTCTGAAGACAAGCAAAAGCTAAACAAAAACATCAACAAACGACAAGATGATTTACCAGAACAAGGAAACACAAGAGTCTAACATGATTCCTAGTGAAGCTAATGGCGAGATGGCCAGCGTTAAACTCTACAAATACGACTGGGAGCGCGCAGTTGCTATGGTGGCTGCTCAATCCGATGAGGTAAGTGAACCGGTACACCGTGTCGCCATGAAATCTGGCTAAACTTGGCAGATTGTCAATGCTCCATTTGCATACCTTGACAGTCTGCCGAATCCAAAGACTCTCGTTCCAGTAAGTTCCTTATCACAGAATATCGTGTCTTCAAAAGTATCACCAGCTCATGAGTTTCCACAGCTAGTTGATGGTCTCCACGCCTGGTTTGGCATTCCGGAAGACCAACTCGCCAAGATTCGCAAGATTGTGCATTAGGTAGACCAGACCACTCTTCTGTGAGTTTTTAATTACAGTTCCAATGTTAGTGAAGTTGAACTGCAAGGCTCATTGCGGACAGTATCGATGATGTTTTAGACAACGACACAGAGCGACGAGGCTCTCCCGCCACCCATCTCATCTTTGGAGTCGGCCACACCATCAGTACCGCACTGGTTACGTATGGGAAGATTTATGAACTGGCTTCAACTTTGAGCGACGTTGCCTACCGCTCTCTGCTTGGTAAGGCGTGCCTCGTCTGTACAATGTTGAAGTGGTACTGACGGTTTGTAGATGAGATCAAGATCTTGTACTCTGGCCACACGCACGAGTTCTTCCAGACATACAACTGCGCCCCGCCACCCATTCCAGTACATCTCAAGGTCCTGGAGCAGAGTAAGTTGTTGATCCATGAGAGCCAAGCGATTTCTAACAAGTGGTTCAAGAGACTGGCAGCCTTTTCAGAATGACATCCAGGATGATGCAGGCGGAAGCAACCAAGAACCAAGACATCAACATCAACAACTTTATCACCGTTCTTGGTCGCTACTACCAAATCCTCAATGACTTCCAGGATATTACCGACACAGCCCTGGGCAAGATCTCGTTGTCTGACAAAGATGACCTTGACCAGGGCACTTTTACGCTGACCTTGATTCATGCACTCAATGAGCAGGAGAAAGCCGGCAAAACCGAGCTGATTGAGATCATGAAGTCCAGGCGCGACCCTGACGGTCTACCACGAAAGGCCAAGGCTCGGGCTGTTGAGCTCATCAAGGAGGCCGGTAGCCTCGACTACACTAAGTCAGTGCTAGATAATGCCTATGACGAGCTGATGCGCGAGGTCATGGCAATTGATCAGGCTGCTGGCACTGACAACCAGGCCATGAAGAACTACCTGGAGTATCTTAAGTCACTGGCTGAGGTGGCAGTGACAGTTTGATTAGAGTTGATGTGGCTTACAATTCATGCAGGGGCCTAAATTAGTCTCGTTGCATAGGTGTAAGGGTTTGTGTGGTTTGAGATTTGGAGATCTATTACCGATTAGTCTACAGAGTTCCTACAGATAAGACCAATACCAATAGTCTTTAATAGAGCCGATTGCGCTTTCCGCGAACTTATCATGTTAATCTTTGTTTCCTCGCTTCTTTCATTGCATTGGATGCCTGAAGATAACAATGCTCAAGACTTCTGCATGGATTGCAAACAATCAAAGTGCCTTACTAGACCCCTTTCTCCAGTTGGATCTCTAAAACTGCATGTCTCTCTTGGTATCTTCTACCGATGGCCGTAGCTTCGATCGATTCGTTTAGCACATAAGCGGGACCCCAGACACCTGCAGGTGCTACACTCATACTGCACATTGCGTGACAGCGGCTAGAGTGCATAGCCCGCGCCGCTACACACACCCTCGACGATGACCATTTGTAAATGACCAAAGCACTTTTGGAAGACCAAGGAGGAATAAGGCCATACTAGGCAGGTTCCGTTGCATATGCCTCGGTTGTCGCCTCTAAAGCGGGCACAATGGATGACCTTACCTGCGTGCTGATCTGCGCCTTGCTCTGCAGTGACGGGCCGTTGTCACTTTGATGTCAACGTGATTGTTATCTCTTTTTGAACATTGGATCGACAATCAACCTTTGTCCGGGGAACAGACAGATTTCCTTCCGGCCTAATTCTGAGCTGCACGTCATTGTCGCATTCCCGGAGCTAGTCCTCCTGGTTATACCCGGATGCAACCCCACTCGGAACTATGAAGGGGGATCAACAAGCAGGTTCCCTGCCAACGATACGACCCTAATTTACAGGGCTCATGACGACTGCTTACGTTTATCTCGACCTAACTATTGATGACCATTGTGATAATGCACCTCATATCCTTAAACTCACTCTTTGCATGCTGACGAAACGACGTGTATGTTCCACCTTATCTTTCACTCGACGAGTCGAGTATCCTAGCAGATTGAAGGGGGTTGCGGATATCGAACTGACGTCTCGTTAAAGGTAGGACGGCGGCTATATACAGATGAAGCGTGATAATGACCGTTTACGAAATAATGTGAAGGAATAATGATGTTGCAGACGTGGTTCAATGATTGGAGTTGAAGATGCCACAAAGTTTGGACGCATGGGATAGTGGCGTTGCATTGCGTTTGTGACGATGTTCGCATAACCCAGCCGAGCACTTTATCCAAGATAGCCTCAACGCTATGTCTGCATGCGCGGAGCAAATCGCCCGTGTGTATTATTTTGACAACACCAGCTGCATCAGGGATCTACGTAAATCCATCCTTGAAAAGGGTTGGGAAAATTGAATCCGAATGCGTTTCCCAAAAACAAGCTAGATGTCATTTCTACTATCTCAAGAAGACTGCTTTCTTACACCATGTCACTCATTGAAGTCATAATCGGCAAGGTTATCTTGTAACATATCATTCACTGCCTGAACCTGCGCTTCTAGAAGAACCCATGTCATGAAGTGCTACGCTGACCATTTCCAATTTTGTCTTTTCTCGGTTCCTCCTACCACCCCGCTCACAAAACTTCGTAGCATCGATTAGAATGATCGTATTAGAAGCTGCTTCGCGGAACACGGCCCCGACGCTTCAGAAAGGGATGCCAGGCCTGTTCGGACGGTAATTCGAATGAGAGAGATGAATTGAACCGCAGGAGGTCCCTGCGAACAATTTCTTCTCGGTGAGAGAGGAGCCCTTGCACGTTTTGCTTGCTGGAAATATGACGACCGGCCAACCATTCGTTCCTGTTCTTGGTCAGTTGAACGATCATGGCCCCACCCAGCTCTGCTGCGTTGGCTGCCGGAGAGTGTACTGAATATGCCAAAAGGCCCTTATGGCCGTGATCAAGCATGAGAGAGTCTGTCATCTGCCTATTGAGCAATTCAACCATCATGTTGACACCCACTGCTGGCTGGGTGCTTGACTCCGTGAATATGTTGATGAATGTCTTCTCAGATCCTGCAAGTACCAGGAACAGGAGCTGATTAAGCGACTCGTAGACAGTTCTAACGCCGGCTTCAAAGGACTTCCACGAATGGTTTGTGTCCATACGCTCACCTTCACTGTCCACCTTTGAGGGTGTGAGCGGGGTGTAGGCGTGGTGAATCATGATGTCGATATGTCCCCATTTCTGAGAGACCTCCTCGGCCGCCTCGACGATCGTAACAGAGTTCTCACCGTCGAGGCGGAACACGAGCATGTCTGGTATCTCCATATTGCCAGCACAGGCAGCTTTGACTGCCATGTCACGGCTACTAGACATGTCGTTGACACCAAGCAGCGCGATTCGGCCTACTCCAGCGGCTGCGAAAGATGCGACTACTGATTCGGCAGCTCTGGTGCCGGCACCTATTATCATGACGGCCCGATTGCTCCAGGTCGAGTTATTGACAGAGTTAATGTCGGCGATGTTGTTGCGGGACATTGAAGGAATGGCAGTTTGGAACGTCTGGCTCGGGGCTGCCATTTTCACTTTGCTTTCTGAATGATTATTGTGAAATCTGAAACTGCGTTAGCGAAACTTGATCAAGAAAGAGCAATATGTATGGCAAATACAAAGTGATAGTGCTGAGCTTGACCAAGAGCTGTCACAAAATATTCTCAGTGGTCAAAAACAAGACTTTGGTATAGAAATCTTAGAAGAAGACTTGGAAAGATAAGGATTCGGATGCTGTTGCAATACTCCAAGGTAAAGATATTTATCAACTCATCCACCTATGAAACATCAAGTATCCATCCTAGCAGCTGATGACACACAAATTGCGTGATTATCTTACACCCATACTACTCTTCACATGCGCCATTACTCAAAGGATCTGCGCCCAACACTCTTCCCAACACTCTTCTTCTCAATTGTAAATTAGCCTCTATACATCTACGGCTGCATAATCTCGGGGTCTGTGTTCGGTCCGTCCAAATGAGGGGAAACCAGTGTCTCATGCATGGCTTCTTATCTCCATCTCGGTTAAGCTAACTATGGATGAACCGAAATTCATCCTCTGTGACATGTTGCAGATTTTGCACACATTTCTTTGATTAAAGCAAGTTGGCAAAGTATATAAAGTCCGTCTCTATTCTTGAATACTTCTATCAACACTAACACCCGGTCTATCAACTACACTCAGCACTGGAAAGCCTTTCTCCCTTTCTTTAACTTGGCCGATTTCCATAGTGAACTGGTGTGCTAGCTGTTTCCTTTGCACTTTCATCCTTCCTTTTCACTCAAAATTCATACATAACCTTCAACTCTCTATACATATACCCAAATGCCTCCTTCCTTCCAGAACGGCTTTGGCTCTTCAAATGGCCGCGAGGAACGTGTGGAATATGGCCAGCCTGATATCCACATCAACCAAGACCGGTTCCATGTTGAGTCTCCCAATGTGTCATACACCCCATCAGACATCCTCTCAAAGTACACATACAAAACAACCCGTGTTGAGAGAAAGGAAGATGGAAGGTACATGGTTGTGCCGAAAGAAACCATCTATAACTTCAAGGTTGACCGTAAGGTCCCTAAACTTGGCGTGATGCTCGTTGGCTGGGGTGGCAACAACGGTTCAACGGTGACAGCAGGAATCATCGCCAACCGCCGTGGCCTGGTCTGGGACACGCGTGAGGGCCCACGCTCCGCCAACTACTACGGGTCACTCATGATGGGGTCGACTACGAAGTTGGGCACAGATGCAGACACAATGAGGGATTTCAATATTCCTTTTAATGAAATTTTGCCAATGGTCCATCCCAATGATCTTGTACTCGGTGGATGGTGAGTCAATTCCCATGGGGAGCTTTGATTGACCTGCGAAACCAAAGTTTCTGACGCCTTGCTTCAAGGGATATCTCCGGCATGAATCTGGCCGATGCTATGGACCGAGCTGCCGTTTTGGAGCCTTCATTGAAGGTCCAAGTTCGAAAAGAAATGGCACACATGACTCCCCTTCCGTCTATCTACTACCCGGATTTCATCGCCCTCAACCAAGAGGACAGGGCCGACAATATCAGACCAGGGAGTAGAGCTTGCAGCGCCCATGTTGAAACCTTGCGCATGGATATCAGGGAGTTCAAAAGGGCCCATGAGTTAGATAAGGTTGTTGTTCTCTGGACTGCCAACACGGAGAGATATGCCCAACTGCTTCCTGGGATCAACGACACAGCTGATAATTTATTAAAAGCAATCGAAAGCGGTCACAAAGAAATCAGCCCTTCAACAGTTTTTGCAGTCGCCTGTATCCTGGAAAACGCTCCTTTTCTTAACGGGTCACCTCAGAATACCTTTGTGCCAGGCGCTATCGAACTAGCAGAGAAGCAGGGCGCTTTCGTCGGAGGTGATGATTTTAAGTCTGGCCAGACTAAGATGAAATCAGCCTTGGTTGACTTTCTCATCAACGCAGGCATCAAGCTAACATCAATTGCCTCATATAATCATCTCGGGAATAATGACGGCAAGAACCTAAGCTCATATCAACAATTCAGATCCAAAGAAATTTCGAAATCAACCGTCGTGGATGATATGGTCGAGGCCAATACTGTCCTCTATAAAGAAGGAGAGCATCCAGATCATACCGTGGTTATCAAGTACATGCCTGCGGTAGGCGACAATAAACGTGCACTAGACGAATATTACGCCGACATCTTCATGGGCGGACATCAGATGATTTCCATATTCAATGTGTGCGAGGACTCACTGCTCGCGTCGCCGCTCATCATCGACCTGGTCTTGGTTGCAGAGATGATGACCCGCATTCAATGGCGTCTTCACGGCCATGGAGAGTACAGGGGCTTCCATAGCGTTCTCAGTGTGCTGAGCTACTTGCTCAAAGCACCACTGACACCACCAGGGACGCCGGTGGTGAATGCGCTGGGAAAACAACGAGCAACTCTGACTAACATCTTTAGAGCTTGCATCGGGCTAGAGCCAGAGTCGGACATGGCGCTGGAGCACAAGCTGCTTTGATCGGTCAACTATTCAGCGACTTATCTCTATTCGCATACGGCCACCGATCATAAAGATGTTATTGGAAGATTGATAGAGTCTATTTTATAGACGCCATTCCATTAAAGTGGGGAGTTTTACAGTTGTTCATCTTACCAGTTATGCACACCACGGATTCAACATCCAGACTGGACTGCAGAATACATAAAGTCATTTCATCTTGTCTAATCAGTTGTAAATATGGCTTGTTCTATTGTTTATTTTATCAATTTTAATCAGTGCTGTTGGTTGTTATTAAGAATGATATATCGAGTGGTGGAGCTACCCTATATATTGTGGATAAACTTTGGAAGTTATCTCTGTTGGTGATAAGCAATTGTGGACACACGCTATTCCCAGCTTGTCAATTAAGAATGACTCAATGACATGCACTCCGACTGTGATTCCCTGGCGATCCCTGTCACCGAGCGTGTTACAGTTGTATTTTTAGTGACGCGACTAGAAATAAGCTTGTGCCAAGCTTGGTCAAGATCTGTGACGAGGTCAATCAACATCAACCACGTTATTTGTCTTGATGTCCACCAATGACAACATCTCGGTAGCGATGATATGGCCTCACCAAAGCGTAAGCTAACAAGTTTTATGCCCCCTGCTGTGAAGCGAAGTGACGTCAATGCTTGTTCTAGACTTGACTGGCTGTAGCTGAATCAATGTCGCACTATCTAATTCGTCAAACCCCGCAAACATGACCTCCACCTTAGCTACAGCTCCCTCGTCATTATTATTTATACTTCTCATCAGCATCAACATCCTTTCTCTATTCCTCATACATCTTTCCTATTGCCCATCATGAACAACATGTCTTCCCTTCAAGAAACTCTCACTGCCTCTGGAGGCGCAGAGTCCGCAGGTAACACAGCTACTCCACAGCAGTTCGTAATGATCTCGCTGACACCTCGCAGGCTTCATCAACGACATCATCGCCCAGCTATGGCCCAACATCAACGTCGCAGGCGGCAAGATGGTCAAGGATATCGTCGAGCCCATGCTTGAGCAGATGCTCCCTGGTCCTTTGGCCAATCTAAAGTTTGTCAAGGCCGACTTTGGAAATGAGCCTCTCAAGCTTTCCCATGTCGACGTCCACAGAACCCCGCAGGAGGGTATCAAGCTCGATATGAACTTGGACTGGGATGGAAAGTGCGATTTCGAGCTTGATGCAAGCATGGTTCCCAAGATTGTGAGTAGCTTCCACCTGTCACGATTACCAAGAGGATACTGACTACCGATTTCAGGGTATCGAGCATATCAAGCTCCGAGGAAGACTGTCGGTACTATTGTGCCCTATCACGAATGTGATGCCTTTGGTAAGTCCCTAGACTAGGTAGCAGGAGAAGACATAAACGGTGATGCTAACGTCCGCAGATTGGAGCTGCCCAAGTCGCATTCATCAACCCTCCTCACATTGAACTCGACTTCACCGATGCCGCCAACATCGCCGACTTTTCCATCATCGACAAGACCGTCCGAAAGGTCATTCTCAACGTCATTTCCTCCATGGCCGTCCTGCCAAACCGCTTCCTTGTCAACGTCGCCTCCAACAACGATTATTTCAAGACCTTCCAACCCCACCTCGGTGTTCTCCGTCTTACCGTCGATTCCGCTACAGAAATAACCGGAGAGAAGAAGAGCGGAGCTAAGCGACTCTTGCAAAAGATTGTCAAGGATATTCCCGACTGCTATTGCGACGTCACCGTCGGTGCGGAGGGAGAATGGCGCACTTCTACAATCAAGAACAAGCATGATCCCAAGTGGAACGAGACTCACGATTTCCTTGTCACGGATTACGAGCAGCAGATTACCATTGACATCAATGACGAGGATCTTGGCGGCGACGATGATATCGGTATCGCTACTACTACCGTCAAGCAGCTTCTACTAAGCGGAGGTACCCAAGAGCTCAGCCTTACTCACAAGGGCCAGCCTATCGATACCAGGGTTACGGTCCACGGCAAGTTCTTTAACTTTGTCGGCGAAACCAACAGCATTTCTGCCAACAGCCAGAACGAGGGAGAGATCTGCGGTCTTGCCACCGTCCTCATCGCCAGCGTCAACGGTCTCAACGGCAACCGCGACGAGCTCAAGCCCAGCGTCAAGGTTACATGGGGCGACAAGGAGTTTGTTACTCCTGTCAAGTCATACTCTCCTGGAACAGACATTTTCAACCCCTCCTTCGACACAGCCTTCCGATTCCCAATCACGGCTGAGCAGCTGTCGAGCCCTTCTGGTTTCCGCCTGGTGCTACAGAATGGCAAGGATGAGCAAGGAACAGTTGAAATTCCATTTAACAATGTTTCAGGCGCTGAGGGTATGGTTCATGAAGGCGATTTTGATGTTGGGTCTGGTGTGTCTGTGAGGGCCCGTGTTGCTATTCGCGGTCTTCAGTTGGCTGAGTAATGGCGTTAAAATAAAATGAGAATATGACCTATGGAGCAGTGTTGTCAGCAGCTAAAAATCCAAAATGGAGCATACTACACGAGGATGCATGCGCATACTTATCATTGACTGGGATTTACATCTTTTCTATAACAATAACTTCGTATCAAAGAATGCCAACTGCTTGATCCAAGTCTTGATCGACATTCTGTTGTGGCCTATGCATCTTCACCGTTTCATCAAAACCCCGCTGGAAGGAACTCTATGTGTAAATACGTACATTATGGTTCAGACCGACTGATGCATCGATTAAAGAAATTTTCATCTCACCCATGTCAGAGTCATCTCAAAAAGCAAAAAGCAAAGTAGTACATTCAGTTTCTATTCCAAAACGGTGTTGAATCGATCGCCTCTAGCACAGTTAGAAATGTCATCCAAGAAAAAAACCTATTTCTTCTTGAGAGTGAAAATTTCACCATGCCAGCCATAAGTCCTCGCAAGTCTCCGTCCATGTCGTCTAGCGATTTGGAAATCAATTTTTCCTTTTTGATGCGGTTCATGGAAGTGAATACCTCGTTCAACATCCAGCTCAGTCGGTTGGAAATTCCATACAGAACCATACAGCTTCTCCATCTGAAAGCCTGTTGAGCCCATGGCGTGAAGAAAGTCGTTCCATGCGATTTCACCAGGGGTGCTTGTTACATCAGGGTTGAAGAACAAAGTGCGGAAGACTTTGAGGGCTCGTGCGTCTACTGCGAATGTTGGCTGCTGATCAACAGTTTCAGGCTCCGGGACTTCAACAGTGCGTGTGTCGCCGTTTTGTGTCTTTGATGGTTCGCCCTTGGTCTTGGCTTTCATCTTTTTTGTAGTCTTGTCAATCTTTTGAGTTGGTTGCTCGGACTCACCCAGGAACAAGTTGGATAGTGGGCGGTTAAGAAACCAGAGGTCATAGTCAGTACTAGGCTGTCCCTTTTTGTTCGACTGCTCGGGCTCTACCCACTCTGCCGTCATTCGCAGACTGCGAGGCTGGGAAAGCAGACGATAGAGGGCAAGGTCTCTGAATTGGGTCACGTTGGCTTCTTTCAATCGTTCAAGCTCGGCCCAAACGATATCCAGATTCGCCTCAGCCTGTCGTAAAGCGTGTACCGTGTCCTTGGTTCGACGTTTTTCATACGGGTATTTAAACTTTCCACCGGTTGGATTAGCGATCCGGCCCAATGGAGCCACGGGGATTCGTCCTCCTCGAATTATTGTTCCAAAATCTCTCAATGGCTTCAACCGCTTCTCGTGTTCCTGTGGGTACTCAAGAGAACGTTGGTGGAACATTTTCAGATTATTATAATGTCGGGCCCAAGGTTGCCAAAGTTCAATCTGCTTCGTACATTACGATAGAACAGACAAGTAACTCAGATCCTTGTAGACTCGAGCGGAGATGAGTTTGTCCACCTCAGGCGTGGTCTTCAAAAGGCGTTCGAGCTCATCAATCATGGTGGATTGCCTTATCCACGATTCTTCGTCCAAGCCCAACATCTCCTTGAGGTATAGTAGTGAATTTTGGTCTTCAGTATAAAAACTGCGCGGACGACCATCATACACGGAGCAGCCGTCTTCTTCGAAGGGCCAAGTGAATCGGTAATAGCACCATTTCTTCAATGGATAGGAACATTCGAACTCGACTGTAAACATTTTTATCGCGTCGTTTGTCGCCTGCCGCAGACAATATAGGAAGTAAAAGAGAGCCTCCTTGTATTCGTGAGGGAGCTCCTCGGTGAGCTTGATCTCGTCTTTGTACTCCCTCTGAAGCTCAGCCAACTTTCGTGCTTGCCGGTACAGTCGAGTCATAATCTCGAGTCTCTCATAGCTTCAATAGCGATTCAGGTCACCATCGAGCCCCAGAGTTTTTCCTCGTTCACCTTGTGAGCAAGAGGGTGAGGTTTGCCCTTTTCATCGGGCACGGATTCATAAGAATGGTCCATTTTCTCGAGCATCTCGACTCTGAAATATTCCGGGTCCTCGCGTAGATACCAAATATGATCTTCCATTGCTGACATATGTGCCTTGAGGAGGGAAGTCAGACGATTAAGGTCAAGGTCAAAGGGGACTTTGTATGGTGCCTCGAGAGCCATGATCGCCATGGAGGTGTGGCCCAACTCATCAATGCCAGTCTTCAAAACTGGCTCTAGCTGAACGGGATAGTCACTGCTGGTCAACTTATCTTGTGGGATTTCCTAAAGGATTTGGTGGCAGCAGTCAATCAGGAAATTAAGATTCGGACTTGGGCTCTGAGAATGAGGAGTCCTTCGCCGACCCAGAACTGTATACCTTCATAAATCCATCCTGCTTCATCCGAGAAGGCATCAGCCTCCCAAGGCACCATCTTTCCATACTCCTCGGGTGTTGTAACACCATTCAGAATCATGGTAAGCTCATCGATACAAGGAGGATTCAACCCCCCTTCAGTGACTTGACCAACGTGCATGGTTTCCATGTCAGCCGCGGCGAAAATCGGGAGGATGTTTCTACCACGTGCATTCAACGGCAGAAGCATCAGTTTGGTTGCGACAAGTCTTCTTGGTTGATCTGAGGCCACATGAACCAGTCTTTGTAAGCGGAACCTTTGAACGAACTTCTGTCTGTCTGGTGCTCTGGTTGAAAGGCTTGCCAGTCAGCGTGATGTTGTTTGGGCATGCCCGGCCAAGCTTAGAGGAGAATCTGAAGTCTTTGCTGGCGCGTCGTCTTGGTCCATCGTTTCTGTATAGTCGCCTCATGACGTTCGAGTATCTCATTAATATTGTATCTGGACAATATTCACTCAGAACACACTTTGGATTCTTTCCCGGCTTGATCAGGTGATGGAAACTGGGGTAGGCTTGTTTTCTGGAATAATTTCGGTACCATTGTGCGGAACTTATCCTCAAATACTAAAGAGTTTCCCCTCTTCCATTGCCGTGATGTTTGTATCATCTGGAGCAAGATCGCCTCGACTTCCTCATTGTTCGGCCAGTATGGATCTTCCATAGTGTCGTTTAGAATTGTACAGTTGAATTGGCCGTGAAAGAGATATATACGAGGTGGACAGGGTTATGTTGGGCTCTCTGGTATGCGTTGTTGAAAGTCAGCTTGGATCACGTGTCAGCAAATACAGCGTCGTTATTAGGTGAGTAATCAATGACGTGTTGACTGGCTGAAAATATGGAGGTTCGAAGGCAGTGTGAAAAACATTGACTGAGTTGAATTAACTATGGGCTACAGCACTTCAGGCTCTGTGATTTACCCCCTGTAACTATTCCTAAGTCTCCTGCGCTCTGGATGTCTGTCTCGATGCTTTCTTTCAGCGGCTGTAGGTTGACCTTGGTGCTATCACCTTATAAAGCCCTTGATTATCATCGCCTAGGAGATCTTCTCAAATTGATCGAGAAATGTCATCATGTTCTCCATGAACTAGTCGAAAGAACAATGTATAATTGTTGTCAATTAGTTGAGAGTGCTGTTATAAACTGAGTTTGTCATGGAGAAGAAAGTGAAGATATTCCTAAGAAGCATAGGGTAAGAAAGCGCTGTAATGCATTGATAGCATCTGGTTCTCGCCAGGATAGCGCACGGTTAGCGCTAACAAAGAATTAATTAGTACAATTTCGACAATACGAGATTTGTTTCAGAACCCTGTAGGTAAATCTATGCATATCTTACTTGGCCTGCCGCAACTCTGGTACAGTGGGTAACAGAAACGCTGGCCTTAGATTACAAAAATGAACTGTCTAAACGTACTATCTACGTTGTGTAAATTGCACTAATAATATTGTCTCTCATGCTTCCCGCGGGCAATTATTCTGATACCCTGAGGATTGATCGTATACTAGTCTAGTTACAGAGAACTTGGTAGTCAAATCACTGAGGGATCCAGTACCGATGAACCGCTATCTTATTGGATCCATAAGTATTTCCTTTTTTCCCGTAAATATTTCCCATCAAGATTCTTGGCGACCACCTCTTTTCCAACGTTAGCCTGTTCTTTCCAAGTCACGAGTCGTAGAAAGCATCCCAAACCAGTAAATGAAGAGGACGATCGTGAAACAGAGCACTAGCACGGATCTAGTTCCACCATTCGGGCTTGCCTTTTCCTCGTGCGGAATCTAAAATTAGTACTTGGCGCTGGCTTAGCCTTATGTAGCAGAGAAAATGGGGTCCGTGTTCTAGAACGATGTCAAACTCATCTCGTATGTAGCCTTGGAGTTTAGCTCTTTGACCGTATTTTTACCTATCCGAGCGTGGCAATCTTTGTAGTCTAACCGGCAATAGATATACAAGCGAGAGCTACTACCCGTCGATGCTATACAAGGTGATCCTAGTCGCAAGGCATCGCCGACAGACTAACGAGACTTGCCCCAGACAAAAGAATTAATAAAAGCCGATGGTCTGCACCTTTCCGAAACTTTCATCATCACTTCAGCCACCCTCGTTAATACCACTCACCATATACAATCGCTGGCTCTGCCTTAACACATTTGTTGTAATTAATTACTTCTTAACGACTACCGATCATGAAGTTCTTCGCCGCTCTCACCGTTGCCGGCGCTGTCGCCCCGGCCCTCGCCATTCCCGCTGCTCCTTCAGCTCCCGTTGTCCCCGATATCCTCGGAACCAAGGCTTGCGTTGCACCTCCCAAGAGAGTTGAGTGGCGCGAACTCGGTGCTGCCAACCAAAAGGCCTACATCGACTCTGTTCTGTGCTTGAAGACCAAGCCTTCTCGCATTGGTCTCAAGTCATCTCTGTACGATGACTTTCCCTACGTCCACTTTCAGCTCAACGACTGGAGTCAGTATTCCCACATCCGATATAATCTCTGTTTCTGGCTAACTTGTTATAACAGTCCACGGCGGTGCTCCTTTCCTTCCTTGGCACAGATACTTTGGTGTCATCTACGAGCAAGCTCTCCGCGACTGTGGCTACAAGGGTCCTGGAACATACTGGGACTGGACCAAGGATGCCGAGAAGGGTCTTTTGAGCTCTCCTCTCATGTCCAAGAACGCTTTCGGTGGCAACGGAGATCAAAATGATATGGAATGGCCAGGCAATACCGGCCTCCCGTGTGTCAGGGATGGCCGATTCTCTAAGCTCCGACCTGAGTACCTCGAGGACGAGCCCAAGGTTCTATCCAAGGGTGGTCACTGCCTTTTCCGCAACATGCCCGAGGTCACTGAGCCCGAGGCTTACAAGATGATGGTGCCCCAGATCACCGCCAAGGGCATCAATGATCTCCAGAAGGCTGGTAACTGGTCTTACTTCCACACCGCCAACGAGGGCGGTCCTCACGGTACCATCCATGCTTCTCTGGGCGGAGAGATGAACCCTACTACTTCTCCCAATGAGCCTCTCTTCTTCATGCACCACGCTCAGATTGACCGCGTCTGGTGGCAATGGCAGCAGAAGAAGGCTAGCCGCTTCTCCGAGTACGATGGTGAGGGTATGCACTACCCCAAGAGGGACCGAACTAGCGTCAACCTTGACGATGTGCTTCCTATGTTCGGCCTTGCCAAGGACGTCAAGGTTAGGGATGTTATGAACCCCTCCAAGGGTCCTCTGTGCTTCCGCTACTAAGCATAGCTTAATTGAAGATGGGAAGTAGCATGGTGGATGCGTAATGCAACGCTGGCGATAACGAAGAATGATACATGGCAGTGATCATGATATTCGTTTTATAAAAGTACAATACGTTAATTCCGTCTCTGGGAGACAATCTATATTTGATAAATAGAATAAAGGATTTTAATTTGACATTTATTATCATTATAACATCTTGATGTCTAATCTGTTATCCCAAACAAGGCAAGGTATGAGTGTATGCATGCGTTGTCTTTTTACGGTACACAGAAGTACGGCAGTATGGGCCTCCTGCCCTCATTGATGCTGTTACAGGTCAAAAACTCCTGGTCCAGACAGGTACTACATCGAATTACTGTTGATCACAGGGCTGCTTGGGGCGTCGATCACGGACCTTATTCCCGAAATAACGATCAGCACGCACTGGCGTTGAACCTTGTGGCTTTACTGCACTCAACCAATTTTATCTCGAACTACTTTGGACTTCTGGGGTACTAATGTCAAACTTGGATCTCATTCCACGATCGCCAATGAGTTACCAGACACATGAGTAAGTAAACGATTGCTTACTTTGTCGTACATGACGCCCTGTGGTATAGATCCAATGGGGGAAGGCATATGTCCATGTCACTGAGGTTTACCTGATCATTTCTTTCTTTCTTGAGAGGCACTTCATGCTTTCCAAACACAAGACTCTTAGTTGTATATTACTATTACTATAATTATTCTTCCCATTGCCTAAACACCATGCATACTCTTAATAATCCCCAACCCAGCCAATATTTACCATTTCCGCATGCAATTACATACTATATAAACCATTAACTATCCAAATCACGAATACTTCTCACACTCTGATAACTGAAACTATTTCTAGCATCAAGTTCAAAGTTCTTGACTGACGGAGCCCTCTGGCCCTTTTCTTCGTGCTTTTCCAAATATTCCTTCAAGCCTCCGTAGAAATTCCTCAAGCATAGCATGCCAAAGATAGCAGTCGCCAGCAGGAACACGGCGGACATGAAAGCATAGCAGGTCAAGATATCGCCCGTCGCTCCGAACATCCCCCATTCGGTCTGTATCCGGACAATGTTGAAGATGAAGTAGGCTATGCTGACAAGGAAGATGATGATTGACACAATCATGCCTATACGGTTTTCAGTCTTGCTGAATACTATTGATAGAGTGGTGATGACAACAGCGACTCCGAGAAGAACCATGCGAACGATGAATTCGATTCCCATGCCTCGAAGTTGGGTGACACCGTACAAGACCTCGAAGCAGATGATGAAGTAAATGACCACCTTGGCAAACATGACAAAGATCTAGTTGTATGTTAGCTTGAAATTTGACTGCACAAGACTTGCGTACGTACTAAGTGAATATTTCGAATTCTTCTCAACTTTGCATCCGCACCCACATTACGATATGCTTGCCAGTCGAAATATTGTTTTAGGTACCAAACACTAATGACGAGAAAGATGGTGCAAATTCCCACAACAAAAGGCATGGCAAGCAAAATACCGCCAACGTCTTCCCAGATGGGCTTGTCCAGGTGAACCAAAGAGTCACCATTGGCATCAGTGGAGCCTGACAGGGAATCGATACTCTCTCTCATCTGCTTGCGTTGATAAACAGCCAGAGGCAGGAAGCCGGCGTTGAGCAAACAGGCAAGCATGGCCTGGGCTGTGCTCTTGAGGCGAATGGCATCGATCATGAAAATGAGCTGGAAGAGAAAGCCAAATATGAAAATGGCCAAGTTGGCTGGGATTGTGTATCCTCTTGGGACTTGCAGCACAGTTGGCTTGAGGTAGTCATTCCAATTGATGACGAGGATTCTGGACGACGTTAGTGATGAACAAACAAAAACAGCGGTAAAATTACGAACCCCTGAAGAATGGATACGGTAATGCCTTGCAATAGACCGATGGTGAGAAAAGATACGACGGACGGCGCATGCTTCACCTTGTTGGTGATATTTGATACTGTATCTGCAGCCATTGTGTCTGTATGCTACGTCGTCTCCTCTGACATCAAATTGATTGATGTTGATGGAATTTAAAATAGACAATGGAAAGAATTGTCCGATTTTTATCAAATACCGCCGCTAGTGCCAAGAACGTCACTATTGCCGTCTGTAACTAGCAAGGGTTCATCTGGAATATTTGGTCCTGACCCGCTAAAGACTCGTATTTCTCTAGCCTTGTTGTCAATTGTCGGTCATAATATTCTGAAAATGACCCAGAAAGTTGGTTAAACAAGACCGGCAACTCCGAGAATTGTGACATTACAATGGTCTTTCTTTTTTTCCATCTCCAATTGTTGATACAGCATCGTGTATACTTTCATCCTCTCACAAACCCTGGTAATCGTCAAACTTTGGCGAGAACCAGTTGCAGAGGCGAGTGGGTTTCAGAGGCGTTGAACGTTATGCGTGCATGGGCCCTGGTAAGGAACCAACACTAACTTGGTGATCCCCTTTCTGCACAGACGGCATCCCTGTCTGTTGTTATCCACAGTGCAAGCCTCTTTTTCCAGTGAGAAATATCACCGACGGAATTGAGGCGAGCATCTAACATTTGCCGTGCCCCATGACCCATAATGAATCTGTCATTTCCATGTGCCGAAGCTGAGAGACCAACTTCTAAGGCGAAGAGAAAACTCAAAAGGCTCCGACTTCACGATCCTGGTAGAGTTCGGACGAGACGCTAACTAGCATGATCCTTTGAAGCCATCAGCTCGCTTGGGAAAACAGCGGAAATAATGTCAGAAAGTCGTTACTATCCACTTTATTCGTCCATTGAGAATTGAGGTAGACTCGCATTGGGCAAATTGGGTATCATCTCATTCTCGTTTATTAACGCAGTACTCGAGATATCACTCTAATGTCGAACTAAAGAACACCACCCAACAACCATTACCAAGCTATTCTAGCCACGAAAGACTCTGGATACTTTCTCACAAAGAACTTTCTAATCTCGTCCACCAACAGAATACCCAATCCAAGAGGAATAGGAATGAACCAAAACTCAATCGGCACAGACTCTGTATCGAACAATTTCTGAATTCCAGGTACCTCGGTGACAAAAATGGCAATGCACAAACTGATAAGCATGCTGAGAATCAACCAAGGGTTGCGATGAGCCTTGCTCAAAGGACTAGCCTGGAAAATACTCAAGCGACGGTTTCGCACAGCGAGGATGTTACCCCATTGAAGGAACACGAGTGTGACAAAGTAAACACACTGGCCAGTGTTGTTGAACTTGATGAGCTCATCCTTGGTGTAGCCGTGATAACCCTCTGAGTAACCTTCAAAAAGGAAGAAAAGTTCCGACACGGGCATCTTGGCGTACTTCCACATGTAGAGAAAGAACATGGAGTGCGCAGTGATGGTCTCCATGAAACCAGTGAATAGGTAGGCTTGGGTGTAGATCTTGGTGTTGATAAGATGATCGCGCTTGTGGTTGCGAGGAGGAAGAGATAGAAGATCGAATTCCTCCTTCTCCATGATAAGTGAGAGACTTAGGAAAAGATCGGTAAAGACACAGATGATGATCATAAGGAAAGCGCTCAGAGGGAGAGGAACACCGAAGAAGACGTTGAGAATGACGGGCCAGATCTCGGACCAACTACCGGCGGGAAGAAGGTAGGAGATGACCTTTTGGAGGTTCTGGAAGACGAGACGGCCGAGGCGCATGGCGTCGACAATGGAGTCGAAGCGATCGAGGAGGACAAGATCGGATGCTTCAATGGCGACGTCGCTTCCGGTAACGATAGCGACACCGACATCAGCAGCTCGAAGGGCAGGAGCGTCGTTGACACCATCACCGGTGACAGCGACGACGTTATCGCGTTCACGAAGCTCAGTGACGATACGAAGCTTCTGTTCAGGCGTGGTACGAGCAAAGACAATCTCCTCATAAGCACAAACGACATCCCAATCCTCTTGACTGAGTCTGCTAAGGTTGGCACCCTCAAGCAACAGACTTCGCTTGATGATCTCAGCACGATCACCTTTTCTTGGCTTCTTGTTCTTCTTTTCCTCGTTACTTGAAGGTGTACCAGGGTAGAGAGAGTCGATAGTGTCAGGGTCCTGCTGGCATGAGAAGATACCAGTGTTGCGAGCAATTGCAGCAGCGGTCAAAGCGTAGTCACCAGTAACCATGAAGAAACGAGTTCCAGCGCGTCGACATTGCTCAACTGTGGCAGGAATCTCGGGACGGTGAGGGTCGATGATACCGAGCATACCAACGATGGTGAGGTCTTGGATGGCAGAGTGTGTGATCTCGTCACTAAAACTGTTGGTACCGGCAACAGAGCGAGGTGTGATGAACTTTTCACAAAGGACGATGACACGTTCCGCACAGCGAGAGGCTTCATCTTGGATCTGCTGGAACTTGATGCGTGCGTCGCGGGTAAGGGTGACAACGGAGTTGGACTCAGCGGACCAGTACTTAGTGCAACCAGCGAGGAGGATATCAGGAGCACCCTTGATGATAACCCGGTAAGCACCTCTCTCATTGCCGGACTGGAAGACGGTCAACATCCATTTGTTCTTGGAGTTGAAGGGAACTTCAAAGACGCGAGGCATGGTCTTTCGGAGGCTATCTCCAGTGGGTCCAGATGCAGAGAAGCGGAAGACAGCGCTGTCTGTGGCGTTACCCATGATAGAACGCTCTTGAATGGGAAGATGGACGGTTGTTGGGTCAAATGATGCATCATTGCAGAGAAGAGCAGCACGCTGCAGAGCCATTGAAGGCTCACCCGCTTCCTTGCTATTGACAAGGTACTCAAACTCATCCGAAGACTCAAACTTCTTGTCGACAAAGGCAACAGAGCTGACAAACATCTGGTTTTGAGTGAGAGTACCAGTCTTGTCAGAGCAGATGACGTTGACACAGCCCAATGTCTCAACAGTTGATAGACCTTTGGGGAGGACGTTGACAGCCTTCATGCGGCGAGCCACCATCATAAGTGTCAACGCGACAGCCACAGGCATACCCTCAGGAATGAAAGCGACAACACAAGCCATAACGTTGACAAGCATTGCCGGAACACTCATGTAGTCGGGGTGATCAACGCGAAGCCAACCAACCCAAGTGAGGAGGATAGCAAGTGCAAGGACGATAGTCATAACAACGATAATTGTGACAAAGCGGGTGATTTCCTTCTGGATCAGAGCAGCAGAGTCCTTGACGCCAGAGGTAGAAGTTGCGATGCGACCCATGACAGTTCGACCACCAGTGAGGATAACGATACCGACACCATTACCGTTCATAACAGTAGTTCCCATGAAAGCAATGTTGCGACTCTCGAGGAAGTTGGCATCGGTTGCATCAACCGCACCCTCAATCTCATCAGATTCTCCAGTGAGGACAGAACGGTCGAAGCGGATGTCACCAGAGTGGCTGATGATGCGGAGATCAGCAGGGACCTTGTCACCGACTTGAAGATGGATGACATCGCCAGCGACAAGGTTGATGGTTGCCAAACTCTTGAGTTCTCCATCACGCTTGACCATTGCGAAAGATGGCAAAAGGTCGAGTATAGAGTTCATAGTCTTGGCGGTAGACCAATCCTGAAAAGCGGAAAATCCAGCTTGGAGGAAGATGACGATGAGGATGAGAACGGCGAGAGATAGGTTTTGGTTCGAGGGTGGGTTGCTGAGAGGTTGCCAGCAGAGAAAGAAGACGATGGCTCCAACCCAAAGAACGGAACAGAAACCACCAAAGATGTACTTGAGAGTGCGCTTGATGTAATTCGTCTTGGGATGAGGCAGTGTATTCTTTCCATCGCGCTCCAATCTCGTCGCAGCCGCACTCTCAGAAAGACCAGAGTCAGCGCTCACATTGAGCTGCTGACACAACTGCTCTGCCTGAAGCTCATGGTACTGAAGCTTGGAGAAATAATCCTCATCAGTCTTTGGTTTGAGACCTTTGGAGTCTTCGGTATCGGGCTCGACTTGTTTGGCTTCGGTGACTTGGATGGATAGAGTGCGGTACTCGATTTGGTAGCCTGAGTAGGGAGAGGCAGGGTGGATACGGCTTCGTGAGCTGGAGTGCGAGCGACGACGAGAGAGGGAACGAGAACGAGTACGGCCGAGACGGTTTGCTTCGGGGTCCTCACGGCCGCGATCAGGACCGTCTTGGAAGGTGATGCGTTGATTATGAGCGGATTCAGGATCGAATTCCTTTGTACCGTGGATGTCTGGGTCTGCCATTGTGACGGTAGTCTTTCTGCAAAAGAGCTTGAGAATGGGAGAAGGGTAGAGAAGGAGCGAGAGTGTAAGAGTGGGTGAGAGAGTCAATGAGTGTAGCAATTCAAGTGATATTAATACAAAACAATAGAAAAGTCTAGACAATTCCAAAAGATCTTTACTTCTTTCATTCTAATTAGAGGAGGCCTCTTCTGCTGTTCCTATTCAGTATGGTTTGGTCTCCTCAGCAGTATAAATGCCTCATGCATTGGGATGAAAGGCCTTATGAAACAGGTTGTAGAGTCAAGTGAAGCTATACAAGATGTGTACCAAGACTGCCAGCGAGAAAGTCGTGGGGTTGAAGGTAGGGGCGAGTATGCGACTACATGTGGCCTACTAAGGGTCGAGCTTACGCGCAGGGCTGCGCTGAGGGGGTAGGAAATGAGAATGGGTAAACTAACCGTTTATGGGCACAAGCCAGTTTCGATTTGTGATATCACCGCTGTTCGACTCAGCCCCTTTGTCAATGAGGAGAAGGGTGAAAGCTCCACCAGTAGGTATTTGGCTCATATCATTTGCATGATGTTTGACTTGGGTCGACCAACAGAGGGAAAACAAGGCTTGTCTGACATGGAACAAGTCCAGTCCCCAACTAACCAAATTTGACACAACGGTCAAAGGGAACTTTTGGAAAGGTGTCCATTTTTACCAACAGCGCGTATTTTACAGTTACGAGTTACGTTACCAGAACCCAGATTCTCGGATTTGGTTCCAGTGGCAAGGGTTAGTCAACGGGGAGAAAGAGAGAGCGAAAGAGAGAGAAACAGGTAACAGAAAAGGCACAGAAAAATAAGGTGCTTAAATTAAGCATTTTGGACGTGGGTGTAGCCGTCTTGGCATGGCCATAGCTTCTTCGTCTTGTTTCTCACCCCCTTGACACTTGTTGGATCGGGATACCATTTCCGGGAGTGGCAGTGTCTCAAATGCAAGGACAGTCACAGTGGCAGACAAACCCTTATTCAGGCTAGGCTTAACTTGGAATGAATATCGTCATAAACTTGACTCTTTGCGCCCGTCATTTCAAATTCCCTCATACTTTACTTCGCGAACTGACGAATGAGATTAGGATCCAACTTTTGCTCACCGACTGTGCTCAAAGACAAAGACCATCTGACCCTTTTTTTTTCTTTTTAGGACCATGTCGAGTTGACAATAACAAAGGATTTTCGCATGTGCCTCCTCCTCTCTGTCTCTTTTCCCCCCATCTCTCTCTCCCTTCCTCTTCTCTCTTGTCTCACAAGGTCCAGACCATTCTGACTTGTCCAATTCGGAAGTTCCCATTGCAAATCTGGCATTTTCGTTTTCTTACGACGCGACCAATCACTCGTATTCTTTTTCCCACTGACGTCTTCCCTACCACCCATCAAACTTTTCCCCCATGAGAAGCCGCTCAAACCGAGCGCCGTTTTAACCGTCAAACGCTATCTAAATATGGGAACAACAGAACCCTGAAGCCACCACATGCTCATCGTAAATCTGGCGGTCAGATGTTTGCAGGGACGCGTCATGCAGGGCTGATTGGAACATGCGTGTCATTGTAGAGGAGATGAGATTGTTCGAGATCTTGGGTCTTTGGGAGTTTTCGGACAACGTAGCATCGAATATCCAGGTTTCTTCTGTGTCTGTGTAGACCCTTGTACTGGTGTCATTCGTGCCTGCAGAGCCAAGCATTTAATTTTCCGATGGGTTGGGGCGCTAATGAATCCACGAACCCACCTTGTTGATGTCGAGACGAGATTCCCATGGTTTTGGTGCAGGGTTGTGAGCAATCTGCCGAGGCAATACTTCCACATGCGACACTTCATAAACCCTAAAAGAATCTGTTGCCCACCCTTTGCTTTTCTTTTCGTCTCTTTTCGTCTCTTCTCCTCTCTTCTCCTTCGTTCAAGTCAGACATTGGAGAGATGAATTGAGGGCAATCTCGTCTTTTCTTTCGTATGTGTGTGGCGATGTTCTCGTGTAAAGAGTTGATAGTGTGTACGTGTGTCGCATATGAGATTTCCTGAGAAATTTTTACGTCGTAGGTCTCTTCCAAAATTGAGGAATGCTAGGTGACTGTCTTTTCGTTGGAGATCTGAGTCCGGTGATGCTAGCCTCAGTCTCCAAAAAAAGTGACTATTGGAGCACATCATCAACCAAGAGCTGCGCTTCATCGTAAATATGATGTTATGAGCAAGGTTTCAGTAATTGAAGGGTTATTATGTATGAGACAAGTTGAGAGGAGGAAGACGTTATGAATGAGCACAGGGTGTTGCTGATTTCTCACTTTTCTATCCAAAGCCAGGAGATTAACATTAGACACGACAATTCGTGGCCGAAACTGAGTACAAATCAACAAAAAAAAGGAAAAAAAAAAATCGTCAAAAATACAGAAGCAAAATTGATCTTAAACGACACATCGGCTTCTCTGGGGAATTGAATACACTTTCGAGAGTTGCAATTATAATGTTATTGTTCAAAATCACCACTCAACTTACCCGGTAGAACAATGATGACCGGTGACCGATAACCGATAAGAAAAGTGGTGCAGTCATCCGAGGCTGAACCCCACCTTCCTCTTTTCGGGTAGTCACGGAAAAACGGAACTCGACAACCGTACCATCTTGAACATTCAATCAATCACCATCGACATCACCAACTCTCAGCCCTACCCACCAGTCCTGGTCCCGCCTCTATGGAAACGTGATGCCGGCTCCTCGATGAGTAATCTCTCTCTCACTGTCGTCCTTTGTCGCGCGCATATCCCATGTCAGGCCAAGAGACCTCACCACAGTCTCCCGCCGCAAGCACACCAAAACATCGACGGCCCTGGACTGCAGCCGAGGATGCCACTCTGAGGTCTCTGGTCGGCCACTTTGGTGCCAGTAGAGGCTCAGAGGGAAGGTGGAAGGACATTGCTGCTGGGCTAGAGGGTCGTACGGCAAAGGTGAGTGAGACTTGGTTCTCCTCCGCACGCGCCTCAACGCGGTCCATGATGGCCCACAAAATGTGGATGAGAATGGAGGATGTTTCGTGGATGAAGGACTAATTGGTCTCCAGGATTGTCGAAAGAGATGGCTTCACTCTCTTGATCCTTCATTACGCAAAGGTCGATGGACATCTCAAGAGGATGAAATTCTTCTCTCTGCTTACGCACGACTTGGACCATTATGGAATGATATTGGTAAACTCCACAATCATGTGACATCGAACTCATTTAACAATGTAATAGCCTCTCTTATACCGGGAAGGAAAGACGATCAATGTTCTAAAAGATACAATGACATCTTGAACCCATCTGCCAAAAACCGCCTAAGTGACTGGACTTCAAATGAAGACAACCTCCTACGTCAAGGTGTAGCGGCCCTTGGTCATCGATGGGTAGCTATTTCAGCACGAATACCCGGTCGTCCACCTCTGACTTGTCGAAATCGTTGGCGTACGCTCTCACGACTATCACATCAACGGCAGAGCAAATCACAAGGAACCACTCCTTCATCATCATCCCAAATGTCTCCTACGGACATTGGGATATCACCAGCCCCCCAGAACCCCAACACCGGCTTGGATACGAGCGGTGGAAGCGCGACGGATCATATCATGCCATTCCCGACGATGGACACCGATTTGGGTCATGATCAGATGGGATCCAATTTTTTGGATTCGGCTTTCTTTGACACTTTCACAGGCCCTTCGCCTTCACCGCTAAGGGATTCTGAGGGCAGTGACGATACAGAAACACCAAACGATGGTGCGGCGCCGACGATTCCTGGTCCTGCACCGGATCTTTCAACAAACATCCCAGACCAAGTACAAAATGGCCCTACACAATGTCCACAGCCACCAAGACCTTTACAAGCCCAACAACCTGCGAATAACACGACCGGGCCATTCACCATGCCTTCACCATCGACATGGTCATCACTAGGCACGATGCTACCCCCAGGAACATCTCCCACAAATCAGAACCTATGGCTTGGATCAGCTAGCAATCCTTCTCTTCCCAAAGACTGGGGCGTCCCAGCAGATGATTCGATACCCCAATCTTACACCGAACAGTTTCCACTACCGACATCAACGGCACAGACGATACATCAACAGACGATACACCATCATCACCACCATCATGTACACCACCACTTCCACCATTACCATCATTACCAAGGCGGAGGTGACTCTTGGCGACAGCTGGAACAGCAATGTGAAGCAGAGGCCTTGCAGGCACATGTTCAACAAAACGAGAATGGTCCACCGAACGCTGGATGAATGGACCCAGAGCTAAGAGATTTAACATCTCGTAGCCAGCTCTAAACAAAACCAGGTCAACTGCCTGATACCACCTACACAGCAGGGTGTTTGAAGCCCTCGTAGCGCATTGTGTGTGTTCATCCACCACACCCGGGCGGTTTCATCTGTATCTCGTCAAGCACAGCCTGTCGCGAAAAGACATTGGTGCTGTAGTAGCCACAGGACGTCGCACAGATCGGCTCTCTCAATTGTATCGCCCCATAAGTTTCTAGCTTGCCGTTACCTCGACCTCTGTCATAATCTTGGGGAGAGGTTGATGATCTCCTCGGGATTGTTTATTTGTTTCTGTACTTTACCTAGACGGAAGCCCGAGTTCAGTTTACTCTGACTTTCTGTTAAGTAGAGTATAGAAATAAATAAATAATCTCGAGGAGACCACTAGGCCCTTCATCCTATCATGTCGACAGTCAACAAGCGAATTTTGCCAGCAACTTAAACAGTGTTCTCCGTCGATTACGCTTTACCGATTAGAGGAGACATTACGGATGTATTTGAAGACACTCCAATGCATCACTCGCCTTACTTCCGGCCTTGATCCAATAAAGAAAAATGAGGAGAAGCAATTGATGCCGAGAAGGGATTTGAATGCCGCCCGCTTTTTTAATGGCAGCGCGCCTAGACGGGCCATTCCAAAAAGAGCCACGTTTTACTATGGAACGTTGTAGGAAGTTAAATTCGTGCATTCTTTTTCACTGGAACACGATTGGAAGGAGTATTTTGCTCATGGTCTAAGTATTATACACTTAAATTGTATATATAATGTTATCCTGTACATTTCACGTTTTCCACAAGTACAAGTGTTTTGTCTCCCATCCTGGGTATGATCGACGAGCAGGATGGTGTCATTTATGTAGTCTGACAGTCATACAGAGAGTCCATGACTGCTGTTTAGGGACTCGAATAAGCATATAGTTATTCAAATAGAGGTTCATTTAATGCCATTGAACTCAGGATCTGTGAGAACCGCTGTGTCTTCTCATTACAACAGTATCAGCCAATTATCATTTCAAAGAGAGTCATGTACGTGCATCAGTAACACTTGTAAATTATCGACAACATCCGTGACAGACATGCAATTTCACCGCAATAACATACATAGCAAGAAAGTGTATTGGCCACAAAGATAATTGATTCTCTATCTACTTAATATAGGCTAGCAGAAATGAATTATCCTCATTCCATCTGTTATCTAGGTTTTGTATGTACCAGTTTGTACCATCGTTTAAACCGAATGCCAGACGCAACATTTCGTCGATGTGATGCTGGTCCTGCTCTGGATCACTCCCTAACTCCATAAACGCTGCATAAATTCTTGAGGCTGCTCCGCCCAAAAGCTCTGTATAACTTCCGTCGGGGTATGGACCGTCTGCGTACTTGGCTGCAGCCTCATCAAACTTTCTGCTATAGAGCTTCCTAGCAGCATCATGTCGCTTCACATTCTTGTGTGCAACATGATCGGGATCGTTCAGGGTTTTCTCGATACTCTCATCTGATGACCATAGTGGAAAGGGCCCCGGATAGGAGTTTACTTGCCATGGTACTGTTTGGGCAAACTCCCAATCGATGATAGCCATGAAGTTCAAATCATCATCTACCAGAATGTTTCCCATGTGCAAGTCCATGTGACACAGAGGATATGGTCCATGGGATTCGAATAATGGCGTGTATCGCACAATATCCAGAAAGATAGTTGCACCAAGATTGTACAAGTCTGGCTGCTCCTGAGTGTCGTCGTACTCTGATGCTCGTCGCAAAGTCCCCATTCCAGCGGCGGTGAAGTAATGAGCAGCGTTTTGGAATGGCCCCTGTGGGAAAATATTATCCATGGCAGCTGAAGATATCCTACCAATGACAGGCTCACCTTATTCGGTTATGTCGCAGATGGATCCGATTTGAGGGCTCGTCAGGGTTGCCAGCATTGCTTGGACTGTTGTCCACTGGGTTATAATCTGCTCCTGTTTCGCCGCGGATAGACAGTAAAAACCAGTAGAAACACCTTCAGCCGTTTCGCCATAGACAAGGTCATTTAGAGAATTGCCGTAGAAGCCTTGTATGAGCATGTAGGGAGCGCCGACGTCGAGTGCGCGTTGTGACCCAGGGCCTTCGTAGGCGTATATAGAAGGCACCTTCAACTGGGGGAGTCCTTGTGCCACGAAACGCATGGTAGCTAGCTCGCATTGAATCTGATACTGCTCGTCCTCTTCGGCTACGTTTGACGATGCAGTAGGATGTCGAGGTAGCCGAACGCGGGCGATGATCAGGCTATCGTCCTCGGCGACCAGCTCGAAGCATACCGAGTACTGCCCAGCAGAAAAGGGCTCGCTCAGTGTGCATTTTTGGCCTGTAACCAGCTCAGCGTGCTGTTGGAGCATTCCCATGTCTAGCGTCGGTATGAATGACTCCAGTCATTCTGGAAAGCCATTCCAATCCCAGCCATCATATGATGTCCACCGCTGACTTGGTGCTTGCTTGTGCATGTTGAGTGGTATTAGTCTCTGAGATTGAGTTGAGTAGGAATAAAGAGGAAGAGAGATTATCAGTCTTCAAGGTCGAATCGAGTTGGAATAAAGAAGAAGAGATGGAGGTGCTGTTGTTGGGGGAAGTGGAAGGGGAAGGGTTGTTCAAATATGTTAAATATGAGAATTGATTTACATAGGAGGCAACGCATTGCACTTGAAAGGTTAAATGCTATTGACGCAGATATTGACTGCGTGCACATGAACTCTCACTGTAGATGTAGAGGGCTTGTCGTTCAGAGAGTTTATTATAATGTTAGTATGCGAAACCTAACTTGGTAGGTATTCTTGTACACACTGGTAATGTTATTCAATGTAATATAAAATTTCCTTCTATATGATGCTACTTTTAATGTCTTGGTATGATTCTAGTCGGATTAATAAAGTAAATCTATATCAATTAGATTGAATGCAGGAGTTATTGCATCTTTTTGTACAGAATACCATTATGTTGGTATTTGGAAGTTTCTCGGGATGCCTAAAGTATAATAATACAGAATTTTTTCTTTGCAACTTTGAAAGGGCCCAAGAAGCAACTTTGTCCTCACAAATGAGGTTGTTATAAATTGGGTTTCCGAGTGAAACACAATGTAACCTAAGCAAGTGAGTCAATCTACTCGCTAATCGCCATGCTGTTACTAAGAATAAATCAGGTGCAGAACTCTCTTATATCTCCACCATCAAAAAGTAGAAAAGGCAACCATTAACAAAGTTTCATTGTTATGCTTATTTTGCTTACAACCACCATCAAGAAATCAAGTTACCACATGATGATAGGAGATCTTACAGGTGGGCTCGTTGTCAGATTGTCCTGTTTGCGTCGTAATCTTACATCTGACCCTTGTTGCTTCGTCTAAGCGATCCCGAGAAATGCGAGAAGAAAAGCGAACGCGAGGTGTAACGAGGCAGGGATCGGCCAATCGGGGTTTATCGAGATTCCGCGATATCTTATCGAAGAGAATTTAACGACTGCCAAGAATGAAAGGTGGGTTCGATTACCGACGATATTTTATTGTCTTTGTGAGTAACTGTTATTTACGCTTGAATACCTAGTATATTAGAGCATCTATCGGGGTAAACAATAGGTCTTTATTAATATTCGATTAGAATGTCCATTGTTGAGTCTAGGTACTAATGCCGTTATATTGAAGCACAGCATCAAACGCCAAGATTGATACGCACCTCGCTTAATCCTCCATGTCTTGGCTCTTACACTGCGCCTCCACTTATTCATTCCATCCTTTGTTTTCTCCATGGATTGCCCCACTGATGATGACTGCCTGACTCTTTCGCAATGTACACAAATAATACGTGACCCGCACCTTTCACTCTCCTTTCTTTGTTCCCTTCTCTAGTCGACAACAGAAAGACATCGCCAAAATGTCTGCCAATACCAACTCAACAGACTACCAACCTCCAAACTACGAAACCTGCTCCGGTGGCGTCTCGGAACGATGCCCTGTCGAAGCCTCCCTATACGGCGATTACTTCAACCTCGGCGCCTGTATCTTTTTCGTCGTAGCCCACGCGCTGGCTCTCATTCCACAAATCTACTTCGGTATTCGAGCGCGAACATGGTCCTACATGATTTGGTTGGCTCTTGGCACCATCTTTGAACTGGTCGGCTACTGCGGTCGCGTCGTCATGAGCTCCAACCCCTGGGTCTACAACGCTTTCGTCATTCAACTTGTTCTTCTCATTCTCGGTCCGACACTCGTCGCCGCCGCTATCTCAATTACGTTCAAGCACCTTGTTCTATGGTACGGTCGTGAATACAGTTTCATGAAGCCAGTTTTATACCCCTGGGTCTTCGTCGGTACCGATTTGTTCTCGATTGTCATCCAAGCAGCAGGTGGTGGTATCTCTTCGGCCGCGACGAATTCAGAGATTCCGGACCAAAATCTACTCGATGTTGGATCTGGCATGCTTGTTGCTGGTGTCGTCTTTCAATTGGTCAACATGATTTTCTGTGGTGGTTTGATGCTTGTTTATATCTGGAGAAGACACAAGGCTATTAAGAATGGCTCTGCTGTGAGAGCTGGCGAGGAGCACACCGTGGGAGGAGACGTCAACGTCATCAGAGCAAGCGACAAGAAGACCAAAATGTTTGTCTTTGCTCTGACAGCCGCTTACGTTGCCATTATCATCCGTTGCATTTATCGGTAAGTCACACTGACTGTCCACTCACTATGACATTTAATGCTAACATACATGATAGTATCCCCGAAATGCAAATGGGCTGGGGCAGCACTCTCATGCAAAACGAAACCACATTCCTCATCCTCGACGGAACCATGATCCTCATCTCTGTGTGGACCTTGACCATCTTCCACCCTTATTTCTTCTTCCCTTTTATGGGATCCAAGGGAAAGGCTGCTATAGCAGATGCCGAGAAGTCTTCTTCAACCGAGACGAACCAGTCTGGACCTGTCATGGGCAGCGCGTAGAGAATGTGATTTGATAGACGATTTAATTTTGTTGCGAAGATTGTTGGGGTTTTTAGAATGAATATGGCCAGGATCTCTTATGTTTATTAGATGGATAGGGTACATATTGGCCCAGACATAGAATAGCGTTGTCAGACTATATTGGAGGTCAGCGACTCATTTATCAAAGTGGATTTTCAACTTGCTGGTTTCGTTTCTCAAGCTGACTCTTATCCCCATTCCATATTCTTCTTCGCTGCCAAGCTGTTTAGTAGACCGCTCCTACAATCCATCACATCGCCAACCCTTAGCGCATGTACACAAAGCCTAACTCATCATGCCAATGATAAGATTATTCTTCTTGCTTCTACCTAACGAACCGACTTGCCATGTCCACGATAAGATTATTTAGATTGAGGCAGGAGGGTTCAGCTTTTCAATTACTCGTACCATACTCCCTCTCACCCAGCTTGCCTTGTCAAATTCCTGTACGACTACTGCCGCACCTACTCCTCGACTTCAATGAAAAAATACACAAAAAGAATTAATTTATGCTTTAGTCTAATTTTAATTCTAAAGCTCAAGCCTTTTCCAATAGACTTAATATTCTAAACTAAAGGATCTATTTTAGAATAACTGTCAGACAACGTTGTGAAAAGGTGTGAGCCTAACAGTAATATACGGGAATGACTGGAAGATCCACTAATAGAGAAGCTATCTAACTGCCAGTGCAGTAATGAGACTGAACTCTATAATGTGCATTCAAATGAAACAAGAAGCTTCTGTTGAAATGTAAAGGAAAATAATTTGCCAAGACACAAGGAGATTTAGATTGATAGTGCTATTTAGCTTGATACGGTTCTAGTCCCTATCCGCAACCCATCTCCGTCTGAGCTCCCAAGCAGTCAAGCAGACTGCCCCTAAGATCCACCAATATCTCCAATCTTGATGGAAACAAAGTCCATTCCAAGAAGATGAGCGCCTCTGGCCTCATTTGAGAACAATCTTTTGGTTATACAGTTTCTTCTTGATATCTTCCAAATCCTTAACCGCAGTGTTACGCTCCTCGTTCGCAGCTGAAACTTCAACACGAGCATCATCCCTCTCCTTCTCGGCTTTCTTAATCTTGTCTCTCTGCTGCTCGTTGAGTTTCTCCAGGGCTTCAATTCTGGCGTTGGCGCGGTTGAGGTCCTCCTGCAGGGATACCTGGATACCCTTGAGGTCATTAACGGAAGCAGTGAGGCTGTCGTTCTTGGAAGTCAAGATCTTGTTCAGTTCCTTCTGTGCATGGATTTCGGCCTTGAGGCGGGAAATCTCAGTGTCGCGATTGATGATCTGCCGCTGGTAGTCTGCGATGCGTGCGTTGAGCTCCTTGATGATTTGGTTGGCAGCGTCAAGTTTCTTTTGAAGGTCACTCTTCTCCATCATGAGAGACTCGAGCTTCTTTTGGGTGTCTTGCAGAATCTTGCGAGCCTGCTCGTCCTTGACTGTATCGTCGCTGATGTACTTGTTCAACTTGGCGATCTCATCGCGAAGTGCTTGTGCATCCTTGTTGGCTTGATCGAGCTGCTTCTGCAACTCCTCGGCCTTGGCCTTTGCGGCGCTGCGGTCGCCAGTAAGATCGTCAACCGTCTTCCTGAGGTTGGATATCTCGGCGTCCTTAGCCTTGACCTTTTCGATCTCGACGTGGTAGTCGGCGTCAAGGGTGGCAAATTGCTATGAGTATGTGAGCAAGTTGTTTATTGTTTACCACTTTGAAAAGAAACTTACGTCAAGAGCATACTTCGCCAAATAACCTGCTTGGTCGACATAGGCTGCACTATGGGCAAGTGTCTCAAGAAGACCCTTGGGGAAGGGCAGAGGGTCCACGATGCGTGGCAAAGTGGCTTGAGGCTGTGGCTTGCGAAGCTCACACTGACCCTTCTCGGGAGTAGGCTCCGCAGGGTTAATGTCACTGCGACTGTGGTTAGAGTTGAAAGATAATTGAGGGCACATGATACGTACTGATTGTGCTTCTGACGCTCAATGATGGCTGAGCGAATCATGTCTCCAACATCCTCAGTGTGACCATTCTCCTTGACGTGCACATCGAGTTGGTCTGTCTTGGCATCCCAGATGCAGTTGATGTCGTAGTAGGAGTGGTAAGAGAACTTGACAGTATCGCTGCCGAGGCCAGTGACATTCTTCTGAACCTCGTTGCGGAATGATGGGTCCTTGGTCTTTCCGTTGGAAGCCTTGGTCCATTGCCACAAGGAAAGAATAGGCTTGCCTTCGCCAAAGCCATCGGGAACGATGAAGATGGCGGGCTCATTCTCAGCAAAGTTCATCCACTTGAACTTGCCAGTCCAGACACGTGTGGTTCCTGTGAGCTCCTCCTTGGATTCCCAGATTCTCTGAAGAGACATGGGGGAGCTGACACCACCTTGAGGGTTTCTCATGATGAGAGAAAGGTCCTTGTAACCACCCTTGGTGGTGACAGTGAAGTTGTACCATGATCCCTTGAGGACAAAGGTGACATCGCTGCTGTCGGTCTGGGTTACAGAGTCGACGGTGATGGTCTGGAACCAATTCTGCTTCTTGCGGCCTTGAGCATCCTCTGTCCATTGGGAGAACAGATAGACGCTGTCGCCAACTCGGACTGGGCCGCTGGGAAGGATGATGACAAAGGTCTCATCCTTGCCGTAGTGGTACCAGTTGAGCTTTCCTTGGTAGACAAACATGGTGACTTGAAGTAGGTCTAGTAGAAGTAAAGATGTGTAAGAATGAGGTGTGAAGAGGATGTTGATAGAAGATGAAGAGCATGAGATGTTAATCGGACTGAAGCACTCTTTTATATCTCAAGGTCGACCATAGCTCATCTCTTTCACCTCTCTACTGTCCCATCTTTCCCCTCTTTTACTTACTTCGATATTCCATCGTCTTCTAACACTTGATCAGTATGTCTCATCAACGTTGGAATGCATATCCAAAATCTTTCCAAGCCATGCGTCATGGGTAGCCAATCGAGGCAACATATGCCGATTTGTCTCTGCATGTCTCTGCTAGCTTGGAGCTGAGGTTGGACTGGCGGTCAAAGCTCACGGATTCCATCCCGTTTGAGGTAGCTACAGCGGATAAATGAGGAGATGATTATCATTTTAGCTGTAGCAAATGGAATTGAATCCGGCTTGTATTTTGAAATATCATAACAAGGCTGAGCAATTTCAGTCGGAGGGGTTCCGTTCAAAGCGACGAGTTGATCATTGGAACACGACAAACTTTGTCAGTGTCAATCTTTCATTGTATTCATATGTTTTCCTTAAAATTTTCACGAAGCAAGCCTGGGTATATCGAATTGGCCAATCATTCCTGAATGCCTCCCAATGTCTCAGTTATCCCTGTGGTCAGTCAGCCCGTTTTTAGCGCCTGGTAATGCAGGCCGTGCCGCCGTGGCGAGCTGATAGTCTAGCGCCACGGGCCGACGCGCTCTGTTAGGGCCAACACGATAGTTAAACTTCAGCATTATCTGTCAATATTGCGTAGATACTAAGCACTAGTATAGTATTTCCTGGCAGCTTTGATCAGGCAGCCACTCGTCAGATTTTGAGAACATGGTAATTCTTATTACTATATCATGGATGTCGAATGCCAGAGACAATTTCATCTTAATGTGGAAATGATTGACACACTGGGCAGGCTGAAAACCCCTCTGTCTGAGATCTGCATGCCGGCCAGCATGGCTGTATTCGTCATTGGAGCTTACATATGTACTCCTGGCTTGAGAGGGCTAGATCATCCTCAAGGTGTCAAAAAAAAAAAGCATCTAGGAGCATATGAGGCGGAATTAGTGGTTCAGTTTATGTTATGTACTTGGATCAGACTTCTTAGGCTCTTTATTTTTATCCCCGAAAGCTTAGGTGCAAGCCTTTTTGTTACTCATTAGATGGCGATATGCTGGTAAATCACAAGGGAGAGCATGCTAGATCTCATGTAAAAAAATTTGCCCTGCAGAAGTTGTTTCGCTGAGGATAGTACTGGCTTATCAAGCTCAGCTTGACCACTACTTACTGTATCTCAACAAGAGAGATATCCGGAGGGGACAAGAAACAGGAGTATCGCTGACCAGACCGTAGTGAAAAGATGTATGTCAACTGAGAAACCTTCACATCAATGCCCCCTGTCTATTCTGTAAAGTACTGCAACAAATGTATATATGTCGTGAAAGATTCTGCCGGTTGGATTTTCATCCAGTACCTATGAAATGTTTTGATCAAGGTACAATAGTAGGGGCACAGAAGCTATTATTGTATACATTTATTTACCCTATGAGTAAGCTGTTCATATAGTAAAAGCCTTGTACTGCAACGGAAAGGCATGCGAAATTCTATGTAGCTCATTTACTTGTAAAACTCATATTCGATATATTCAAAACACGGACCTAAAAATCGCTGAAATATCGTTGATTAACGAACGTCGCCCTTTCATAGTCGTCAACATTGGCGAACCACTCCTTGGAAACGTCTGAGGCTGTTGGACAAGTGTAAGGGTATTCATCATCGTCCAGAAACCAGCCACATTTTGAATGAGCCTTAATCATGCCTTCGCTCACAAGCGGCGTATTGCAATCTTCTGTCTCACCCTTGAGCCATGCGTGCAGTGCCAGCATCTGGAAATTATTGGAGATCCAAGGGTCGTTTACCTTCAACCGTCGATATGTTAACATCTCCGCTTGTATCATGGCCCATAAAAGCCCAATCGCTTTATTGGTGCACCCGAAATTTGAATGACGGTGAAGATCCCACAGGCCACACTCAGATTGAATCCGTCTGCGTGCTTCAAGATAGCCATTGCTCAGACGACCATCTTCGTCCAAATTGATACTCGCCATGTACACCGGATGAGTCTCTGCCAAACACAGTGCAAGCAGCAGACAATCCCAACCAGTCTGACAAGCATCGCTCCAAGTCTGGACAACGCTGGCAGGGACATGCCGCATCATTTCAGCTGCCGTCATGGGCCTGTGGCGGCATTGCCCAGTTTCCGAGGTCCGTAATATCTCCTCAATTGACATATTGACTCTCATCCTGACATTGACGCCCATGTTGACGAGGCATACAAGAATGGCGAGTGGTCCGAATAATGTCTCTCCTGCCATGCCAGACTGTCCCAGGAAGAAGGCTGTTGCAACAAGTGTGTGAAGTGGTCCCAGTTTGAGCTCTATACCGCATTCCGTGCATCGACGTATGAACAGACCACTCGGGCAATTTATGTTGGCACAGGTTAGATCGCCAAATATTGACATAGCGCCGTGACATACCGCTTGGATGGCGGAATGGCAAAACGGATGCTTCCATCTCGTAGGAATCCGAGCATAGCCTTGCGCAAAAAGCCCACGTACTTCAGAGCTATCAGCGTCCCACCTGCCGCAAATGTCCTTTTCCTCGCCAGGGAATCTCGAAAGTGCTCGAAACTCGTCGCTGACTATTTCTGGATGCACACTTGTGTGTGAGCGCAGGACAGAAACTAGAAGGGAATCCAGAATTGTATGTCCGAAGTCGTTGATATTATGTTGAAGTAAATGTGATCGCCCCAATGTTCTATCCAAGGATGCGAAAATTGTGCAGCACGGGCCGCCTCCATTGAGATACGAGGCTGCAAGGTGGTACGGATATATGGACCTGATCTCTTCGAGGAGATAGGGTTTTTGCCTAATGTTGTGACGTAAATCGAGCAGTAAATCGCTGTTGCCGGCCATGATAGCCAATTTCCAAGAGTCTAGCTCAAGAGCTATAGGATTCTCAGTCAAAGAGTGGACGATAGTCTCATGGGAAAGAGGCAAATTATCATTGCGAAGTTCGGTAAAGTCCCCGGTCGAAATAGATTCATGCAGACAGTCCGGAAATGACACCAATGTTGAGTTTAAGTCGAGTGACTGGTCTGGAAGTGGTTCATAATCGACTTCCTCGACGTGAATGGACCACCGACATAAATTGGTTGGGGGGTTGGTGATATTGACATGATGTGACGCATCTGATTGTAATGGACTTGAAGGGAACTGGAGAAAGGCCGAGGGCGTGAAGCCAGATGGTGTGCGAACATTGACGATTGATGGCGGAGACCCCCAGTTCTTGGCAGTGAGGAAGCCGTGCATATAGAACTCATGAAAGTAGTCAACACAGATTCTGTGAAGGTCTAGTGGTTAGTCCATGTTTTAAGATTGTAGCACATAGGGAGGGGCCTGGACTTGCTTGCGATCATCTTGGTTCATGCTGACGATGAGATCCTTTAAACGTCCTTGCAGAAATAGACTTGTTCGATTGTCTCTTGCCTTCTGAAGGAGAAGTTGCGTGTTTGGGGAAGGATCAGAGCCTTCGCCACAGGGAGAAGTTGTTTGGGAGTTACTGAATCTTAGATAACCAGGTGTCGCTGGCTGTGTCCCGTACGGAGAGGCGGAGTCGGGATTCCTGGGCAATGCTGACACAAATGCAGCATATGGTAATGTCCAAGACGATAACCTGAGTCAGATGAGCGGCTAGATATAAGGTGAAATCCCAGCAATGACCTACCATCCATACTGCATGGCCTCGGGTCGCGCAGAAGAAGAGCTCCCTTGGAGATGTCTTTTGACTCGTCGTACGTCAAGTTTCTCTTCTCTTGGACCACGCTTAAGAGTAACTTTGGAAGTACTCATTTCAGTTCCAGGACGCCTGTCCAAAGCCAAAGCGATTTCGTTAAGTCTGGCTTTGGTAACACGCCGGTCACTAACGCCCCAGGCCCGGAAGCGATGGGGATACTCGTTTGCACTGGTCAGAACGATGTAAGTAAAGGCTGTAAATATGACACAGCTCAAACAATGCTTAGTCCATAGTGAAAAACAACATCTGGCTACATTAGAAACTTCTAGGAAACTTACGCAGCATGAAAAGAATAGTTATTCCTCATGAAAGAGACAATCTGGGTGATGGTAGGTGGTTTGTTGTTCTTCCCATAATTGCCAGTATACAATTCAATGATTACCGGTTTGAGATGTTCCCACCGGTCCTTATGGCTGGCACCAAGGTATTTGTGGTCATCTGACGGCGAAAGGAGTTCAGGCGGGACATTGATCAAATCTGCCGGTGGCTGAGGCATGACTGTTGGCGTAGACTATGCCAGTCTGATGCTTTGATAGGTACTGATAGTGGAGATACAAAGTCGAGGTTGGGTTAAGAGAAAAGATGAGGATGTGAGCATGATTTGAGTCAGGTTTGAGTCTGCCGCTGCCGTCCCTTAAGTATTCTAAAGTCAGGCTGGGAAAGATACGTTCTTTTGCGAACCAAATAAGGCAGTTTTGGTCGTGTAACCTAATGTCTGATGAAGCCAAGCCTTAAAGTGGAATCGCAAAACGTCAATGGCCAATAGTCTTCAACGGAAAACATTATTGGAATTTGGGAACAGCTCAGACACTCTGACCGCTCTAGGTTCAGCCTCAATCAGGAGCATGATGACAATTTTGGGTGGGGTCAACAAAGCGTCAGAGCCCTATCAAATTCATCGACAGAACCAACAGCCAATCTTGTTCTTGTTGGTCGAAGCCACGAGCGGTTTGTTGTGTCTGAAACATGGCTGCTCAGGCACAAGGCCTAGAGCCGTGGGGCTGGGTAAATGGGCTGTGGGAGACAAGCACGTAGTAGGCATCCAGAAGCAGGGGTAAGATGTAGTGTGGTTGGTGGTCCATGCAAGACAAGACAGGCAGACCAACCTAGACATGGGTAGTAGCGACGCTGTTACGGTACTTGAAGAGGGGCTACAAAACATCACGGGCCTATCAGCTCCATTTACAAAGCGTCACTACCGAATCAGAGTGTCCTGTAGACAATTCCCATGATATCAGACAGGGGAGACGCATGTATGCGAGCCATGAGGGATACAACAACCAAGCTATTGCAGACCCATTTCTGCCTTCCGTTTATTCCGTAAACTTGAAACTAATTTCAGTCATTAACCGTGGGACAATTTGCTTGATACAAATCGTCAATGGCCAATCACCGCTTACACTACGGATGTGGCGTGTAGTCTTCGTCAAGAATGAATGCCAAATTGATCACACTAGCAAACAAAGGTGTTGTTCATCGCAATCAGCAGGCATTTGGGAGCCGCCTTGCTCCAAAGGTAAGACAATCATCAATGTCGTTAGTTAGGAATAATGCCCATATCATTTTGCTGGGCTGGTTATAAAAAGGTGGTATCGATACCATTAAATCTTGACTTTTCTCATTACAATTTGCATCTTAACTGATACGACTCATACCAAAAGCTCAACGCAGACCCATCAATACAAAAATGCCTTCGAAGACGTAAGTCTGACCTCCCTAACCTTAATCACATATGCATCATACTGACCATGTTCTTGTTGTCTCACTGCAGGAACGTATCTGATGTTTCAAGTGCCAATGCAACTAATGGTTCAGTCAAACCTCCTTCTGGAAAAGACACAAACACTTCATCGAACGGATACACTGGCTCTCACTATCCGGTGGCTGAGACTACAGATGAAAAGAAGAAACGAAAAGATGAATTGCTGATCGGTTTTGGCTCACAATTCAACAAAAGTAAGTTGTTCATAGTTTTTCAAGCATGAATCCTTGATCATTACAACATAGCATAGCCTCTCTGAGTCCTTCATCTAACATATTTCCCATTTAGCTTAACCTCAAGAGCACTCTTTGATGTTGGGCGAGAAGGCACAGTGTAGTGTGTGTGGGTTTCGGAATTACAAATGCATTTGGCAAAAGGAACGTGCTTTGATAGAAAGACAGTTTCAATTCAACAATGTTTATATTTCAATAATAAATATACTCGTGCTATCCCCTTTCTGTTGCACTATTGGGGAATTACTGTAAAGCTTGCATCTCTTTTTAGATCGTCAGCGAGCCGCCACGAATACTTGTGCTATTCCACACGTACCAACATTCCGTATCATTAGTCAAACATGCACAGAAGTAGCATTATGAACGCTCAATCCGGTTTATGTATACCCCAATCTTCCCCCTTTCGATATCGTCCGTCACTCCACTAGAGTCTTCCCGATAGTTGGGTTTTTTTCTGTCGATCGTGAAGGTTACCACGTGTTGAGACACGTGACGGAGGCACCGCTTACTCATGGTAGAAGTGGATCACTCACAGCGCGGTTGCTGTTGTGCCCCGCCGTAGTCAACTAAACAAAATCAACATTCTTCACGCCCTCGTACAATTATCATAATTTCAGTATCCTCTCTTCTTTTTGCATCCCTTCCACCTGGATCCTGAATTTCTTGTTCCTTTGTTCCCTTCGCCAAGAATTCTTGAAAGTGCCCGAAGTTCGTCTGCTTTCGTCAACCGCATGATGTCTGGAGTGCCTTACCTTACTCATTCTTGCGAAGGAGATGGGCACAGGCAAAACAAGGACATTATTTGCAGCTATCAAGATGCGCCACATACTCCTAGAGGTCGAACTTGAAGCACTCGAGAAGCGTCTTACTTTTGCCGAACCCAGTCTCGAAGATAGGGTCAAGTGGTCGCTTCACGAGCTTTAGGCCACATCTCTGCCTTGTTTCAGTCGCCACCATCATCTAGGCTGTTTGTAAGGTCGTCACGCACTTTTCAGACTTTATCAATATTGTCTACTGCTCGAACCTCAGCACCTTCTCTATCAACAATTATGTCCGGCTTTGACTTGAACTCGAATTCACGGCTTCTTGAACAAGTCCAGAACCCCTGGATCGCTTCTGGATCCTGCAAACGGCCTTACAATTGTATTTTCGACATACACGACCCTGTTAAAGCGATGAATAAAGAAGGATGAAGAACTCTTCGTCTATAACGATATCGATGGTACGGCAAGCAAGAAGAAGAAACGTCGAGGTTTAGATGATAACGCGCCAAAGAAGTTGAAGCTTGTCAATGCTATGGATATCTCCCGAGACGATATCACTATTTTGGAGAAAGGTCGTGGGGGCAAGACTGGCACTATCCTTGTCACATATCACCCCGTGAGCCTTCATATCGCTCACCACCATTTCGATATATTGATCGGTGATGTCGGTCAATGTATCCGCCGAGTTTCGGGGTCGTACGTGAACCTACTGCAGCCGTTCAAGAGGGACAGACTCCTTTTCGTCACTGGCACTCCAGTCGCTACTAGTCACAAGGGCGTGTCCTCTCACACTAATCAGCTACACCATCAAGTCTATCAAGGCCCTTGAGAGACTTATTTTCTTCGATGTTTGCTTTGCACCTGGCCTAGTGGGTAGCAGAAACGTTGGTCCCCTAAGTCTTATGGAACAAAGGTAAATAGCCTGAAGATTCTGATCTCAGTAGCATAAGCTGACCCACTAGTTTCGTCTCTTATGCTTCATGCGGCCAATTCTTCTGGTACCCTGGGGTTGGCCTCTATCACCCCGCCCACGACCCCAGTGTGGAAGACAACGTCATTATATCTGAGGCCGGTGATGAGCTGGGCACTAGAAAGAGCATTTTTTCTGATGAGTTTATTGAGAGCGTCGAATCGGACATCGGTCTATCGCAGGCCTTACAGATTCTTAAAAGGGCCAGTTGTGAGGGGTCGCTGCAGCCGTGGCTACTCTCCCCAGAACTACTACAAGAATGTTCAGGGGCCCTATCATGGGCGTCACCCGCGGCTCCAAGGTTGTGAAACCACGTCTTCAGTTCCTCTATATCCGTCGAACGATGAAAACCCCGATTGAATTTCCAGGTGGCAAAGTGTCTTATCCATCAGATGGTATGTTACCAAGTCGAATTCGTGTCGAAGAATGCCTGTTTAACACCAAGGACCTGGACGCCGCCTTGGTCAAACAGATTGAAGCTAGCTACGCTGATAGCCTGTTCACTGCTTCATCCGCGAGCCTAAGGGAGTACACTCAACCTGCTCAAAGTCTCGAACAGCCAAGAGACAACAGCCCAGAGGTGAATCTGAACGTTGGGCAGCATCGCGCTGGTTTTATCACCGCTTTTGACCCTCACAGTTAAAATGTTGAACCTAGCTAACCCAGCATGTTTCGGTAATAAGCCGAAGCTGAGAAGGATGATCGTTGCCCTTGCAGATGAGCTTCCCATGACTCCTTCGCGCAATAGACACATGAAGAATCTCCAATCTTGAGAGGAGATTGTTGGCCTTGGTGTTGAGAATTTTGATATGCTCTTAAAAAAGTTCAAGAATGGCGGGTTGCATTATGTTTATGACTGCTGCAACCTCGATCCTGCCCTCGGTCTCACAATCGACCGAGAAACATCTGCCGGCTGGCTACTGTACAAAAGCCCTCTTTTCATTCGGGCCTTCGAATATCTCTACCATTACATTCGCATTGAAAATACCCGGGTCTTGCTTGCTGTAAATACGCCTTGGAAACAGAAGTAAGTGAGCCACTAACTATGCCCCCCCTCGTTCATTACATAATAAGATTCCTCTTACTCCCCTCTTCCACTTCCCTCCCTTATTGTATCCTTCTTACTCACCATCTTTCAGTTATATCGTATCCACACTCGCCTTCTTCGGTGACGGCGTTGTCATTATCTGCAAAGAGGACTCAAGTGCTGATCGTGCTGCCATTCAAGTCCTAGGGCTAGTTATTGGAATGCATATAGTATGGCGATGGCATAGGGTAAACAAAAACAAATTTGTCTCATTTCTTGGCCAGGTTCTTGCTTGGTCAGTTAACGGCGCCACATTCACTGATTCTCCTATTTACACCCTTGAATGAAGGTCAATTTATCTTTATTGAACCTCACATTCAGCTGCCATGCAATTAACCAATGAGATAGCATTCGCTTTGGCGCTTCCGCTGAATTCGGCTAGCTGAGACCCATGGTGGAGTTCATTCCCGTAACTCTATGGAATTATTGACTATGGCGTTCAATAGACTATGAGATATTTGTCGATGCGCGTATATGCTTGAAAAGTCTAGATCATGATAAATTTGCATGAATAGCACTGTTATGTTTGTCAAGATTTCTCGCACACTCACTCCAGTCATTCGTTTACCTGCTTCAATGCGTTCCCTTGTTTTGCGTCTGGCCTTGGGCCTATTCGCTGCCAGGGCCGCTGTTGCAAGCCCATGCAAGCCAAGTAAGTCCATCCATGAATATTTGTAACGTTTGCTGACACCACATTTAGGCTTAGTAACGACGACATCCAAAGACATCTCGATCGTCTCCACCGAGATTTCGTCGGTCACATCCGCTGCATCATCTACTATAAGTGTATCGACCACCTCTGTTATTACCGAACCGTCTACAAAGACTTATGCATCTTCGTCCCTAGAAGCGCCGTCTTTGGCAACAACCGAGACGTCAGCGACCACTACATTTGTCACGGAATTAAGCACAGTTGAATCAACAACCACTGCAAGCACTACTACAACACCCTCAACGACCGAGAGCACGGTCATGTCCGCTTTCACCATAATTGCTACAGGAGAAAGTGATTTAGAAGGCGACAGTCTTCATACTTCTGACCACGACGGTTATGTTGCTGTATTTCACCCCAATCCAATATTTGGCGTGACTTCGGCGCGACCATACACCATCGATTCGCAGAGAAGACTAGTCAACGATCAAGGCTATTTCCTTTGTGCATACTACAATGCGAACAACGTCGAACTCGATGCACCTGCACAAGTCAATACCTGCACTAGCAACGGACCGAAGAATCCTTTCCTCGACTGCGAACTCACTTCTGACCTGACACTTCGATGTGGAATCCCAGGCTGGTCTTGTGTTTTCAACCCTAACGGTGAGCCGATCTGTGAAGAGGATGGTAGCACATGGGGGACCTGGTCTACCGGTATTGTGATTGTAGGTCGTGGCTTGAAGATTGGACCGATTGATACTCCTGATCGTTATAACCTCATCGGGTTGCGTGCGTCGATGAAATAAACAAACCTTGGAGTAGATGCGTTGCTGGAATCCTGTGTCCTGGATAGAATATATAAGTTGCTCAAGAGAAACTTTATTAATTTTTGATGAGTATACTGATTTTAAAATGGATAAAATTAAAGTCACAGAGCTCTTTTTAGCTGAGATTAATTAAGTATTACACTGCCTCAGTAAGATAGGAAGAAAGCAGCAGCAAATTCTCACAGTAAAGCTAAAAATATAATGGCCTAACAAGGGCAAAAGGAAACTCCGGTACAGGGAATCGAACCCTGGGCTCCGCGGAACTGATCTCTCAGGTTATGAGAGCGCGAAATGTTAGCCACTACACCATACCGGACTCGTTGAATTTATTGGCTCAAATTTGTAACCACAAACCTCAAGGAGGCATTGCAATTGTGAGACTGAATCAAAATTCTGACCACCCAACTTGGGTGTGACATGACGCTGTCACAAAATGGCTTATCTTGCTCAAGTTAGCCCAGTAAACATACCATGCAAGTAATAAAACCATTAATCTACGCCTTGTCATCTTAACGCTCACTGATAGGTAAAGTCGCATCAGATTGCCATATCCTCAAAGTTTCATCCTCTTCAAATATCCCATGACTGAACTCATTGCGAGATGAGTTTCCAAATACAAACTTGAGCTTCGCCGTGTACTCGCAGTTACGGTGAATATCCAACATCAACTCTATAACTAGCATCATGCCTCTCTTTCGTGACACTGGCTGTGTAAAAGGGTTCAGGTCGTCAATAATTAGGATCAGGATCGTGTTTTGTGATAGCTGCGCAAGAAGGCTCTCGAACACGAAAAAGATCGCTTCGATATCGGTAGGATCAACCTCTGTTGCTACAAGGTCTAGATCGTCTCTGTTGAAGTCGCGGTAGTGGTCGACAAGCTGCAATAAGAGACTCATCGCCAGTTCGTTTGGGCTCGAGTTTGGATCTCCGCTCATATGTTTGTGCTGACTGGTGAAAAATGCCAAAGGTATGATACGCGCGACGTCACCGTGGGCTTCTCGGTTGTGCTCATCGGCAAAGGCTTCCAGACGTTGGTAGATTTCAGCCGCAACTACAGGCATCTCTAAACTGCTGATGGGGTTATCGGACCTTGTATCAACAAAGAGAACTAACGATTCGTCAAGCGTCAGCCATGATTGGAATCGAGGATGAAACTTGATTGTGGTGACAAGATCCTGATCAATCTCATAGCCCGGGATGTGTTGCGATCTCAATATCTTTGTGTAGTCATTGTGCACTAAATCGGGCTCGTAGCGCCACTCTGTAAGTACATCTTCGACAGTGATTGCGGGAGCCTGGATCCGAGGTGCTTCCTCTCTTTGTAACCGAAGTTGCTGGCGTTCAAGTTCTGCCTTTGCTGTATCATCGAAGAACTGGGTCAACTTGTCCAGGACCAGAAGCCGAGATCTTATATCACCAAACTCTGCCATGACTTGTTCTGAGTGCTTGCCGAGACCGTACATGAGAGTGAGATTTTGCTGTGACAAGCCTTCTTGCTTCTCCGTTGACAGTATAGCAACGCGAGTAGTAAATCGCTGTGCGGCTACCTTTACCATGGCCATTTTGTTTTTCAGCCTTTCGGTGAATCCAGTGGGATTTGCAAACAGTTTTACCCCAGTTACTAAAAGACAGGATGTGAGTAAGTAGCATATCGAACTTGGATATAGAGAATGACTCACCTAGCGACGGCTTGAGGAACCAATCTACAATTACTTCCATTAGTCCATAAATAGCCGCATATATAGAAGCTGCGCGTCTATGCAGATCTTCGTCTGCGAAATTTAGGCTGACGAATGAGGCATTGTCGTTCAGTATGAAGGGCAACTCTTCTAAAGTATTGTATATCTCTTCTCTGTAGCGGTCGGTCTCCTCGAGCGCTTTGAAAATGATCTTCAAGCCACCGCATAGAACGGAGCAATAAGAATCTGTCGGGACAAGGTTTGTAAGAGTGGTGCCAGCACCAGCGTTCCTACAAAGCTTTTGAAACGCTTGCTTCAGTTTGCCGGTGAAACCTGGAACAAGTTTTTTCTCCTTCGATGACAAAGCCTCCAATGCTTCACAAGCGCTGGAGACTGACTGTTCGACGTCTGACCATGAGTGGATATCGGATAGGTCCAAAGGAGGCAGCTTTCGTTTTGAACACAACACATCCACTTTGCGGATAAATCCATGCTGTGCTTGAATGGCATTGGCATAGAGTTGGTCATAGTCACTGGCGATAAAAGTGAGCTTATCGATCGAGACTCCTTCAAGAGATAGCTTACATGGAATCAACTGCGGAAGACTCTGAAACCCAAGACTGAGACCCTGTATAAATGACTCCAGAGCCTGGTGTAGCTATGAGGGCTGGATGTGTATTTCCGTCCAGTTTCCTGACCATGAACTCGGGTACTTCATAAACAGGTGGGTGAGCGGTGCGGGCTTCGCCGGGAGATCTAGTATCAAGAAGATTATCCATCGTTTGATCAAAATGTCCGATGTTGGAGGTGGAAGAGAAAATAATCAGATCATGCCGAGATAAACAAGACGGCTGAGGATGACTAGGCCACCAACCAGCGGCCGCGTCGATCCCTTCACTCGACTAGGGTGGGCAGATCACATGCGGTTTTTTGTTTGCTCGTTGACCGACGGACTTTGGTGCGAATGGTTTTCGTATCCACGTGAAAGTTGTGCATTCGGAAGTGGTGTAGCCGGTTGCCAATAGTAAAGCACAATAAAACAACGATGTCAGGCTTCCAATAAAGTACGCAGGAATATTGCAATTGGTCTAACGTCAGCAATATATGTACTGTAACCTTGCTGTGACAATCCATTTCTCAGTAGCCAATAGACCAAGGTTTAGGCTGTACATCCGACATAACATGATAACATAATGTAAACTGAAAGCGGCCGAGGCCAGTCTTTAGGCTAGACATTGGCAGCCAGTACTCTCGGAGTTATCCTACTTAGCCGGCTTGGCAATCAGGCTGGCGCTTCGTGAGTTTGTGCTGAGTATTGAATGAGTTTCCGACACGCGAGGAAACTTATACATAAATAAGTAGGTTGTCAGTTTACGCGAATATGAGTAAACCCGCTCACAACTTCTGAAGTTATTGAGATAATGGCTACTTCTCCCAATACACATGAGGTCACCTCACCTGGGTCTCTGTCTGAAGCGGCTCCGCCAGATGGCGCTCCAGGCCAAGATGCTGTTCCAACCCCCGCACCCGTTGAAAGCCCTCCGTCGCTACATAGCGAAGGCGAAACATCGAGCAAGGTATTGGATTCAATGTCTAGCACTAAGCTCTTCATAGCCGCGCAGGTTCTTGAGCAGGAAGCCAAAAAATTACAGAGCCTATGCCCAGATCCCGCTACAGAAGATCACAACGATCGCCTCGACCTTGCTATAAGGGTGTTGGAAGAGGTTAGAAAAGAGCTGCACGATAGGAATAATGCTAGCCAACAGAATGCAGAAAATGAAGCTGGGTACTTACTAAACTATACCTTTTTGTTGCCGCTTAGATTTGTGTTCTATTCTAACCGTGGTACAGAGATAACTCCGAAACGCCCACTGAAGATGAGGAAGATAAGATCATTTGCAAGGTGAAGCGGCTCAGCATGGAAGGATGGTCCGATAACCAACCGGAACCAAAACATGCCATTGCCGCATACTATCCCGCTGCATCACTTGTTGAAATTACTCACGACGAAAACAAAGCCATAAGAGATGTTCCAGATCGCCAGGAGCGACCCCATAGGGTAGAACTGGCCTCGTTATCTCTATTACAGGAGATCACCGAGATTACAGGCATTGATTGTGATGACGAAACATTTTTGCTGTAAGACATACTTGGTAGTCCTCCGCAACATGCTGACCTTTGTTTTTTATGTACTCAGACTTGCGCCGCCATACAAGGTAGAACCATACTTATTGTAAACGAAAAGAACTTACTAATCGATATTTTGAAGCTCCTTATTAGGTACCATGACGAAATAGGTGAAAGGCTCGTGCACCTTGAAGGTGTCCTACGATCGGAAGTAGAGGGACCAGATCACACGAACGCCCCAGGGTCTCCCAAGTGCACAACGCCAGACACAAGTGTAATGAGTGAGCAACAGTCCCCGGAAAGCTTGAAAGAGTCGTCTTCGAAATCGGAAGACGAGAGAGATCCGGAAAATAAGAAAGACAATGGCGAAGCACTCAAGACGCGCAAGAAATTGACCAGGCGTTTCGACAGCCTAAAACTACTCCAAGACTTCAGTGACAAATACCTAGCAGCACAGCATATGACGTATGCTAGAATCAAATCCGGAGATTTGGAAAAGATTACCTTCGAAGATCTATGTTTTCTTTTCACTGTAGGTGACATTATCTACATCAAGGAGAGGGAATATGAGCAACTAGGCAAGACCTATGCGGTGTCTGGTGGCCAGCAGCGGAAAGAAAAGTCAAAAAAAAGATTGAGGACCTTTTCTGCAATCGATTTTGACAAGATGCCAGAAGGAAATCCGCAAAGCTCAGCACGTGGTCTCTGGAGTCCACTCACGATCGACTATTACACTATGGAATCTGATGGATACTACCTTGGGTCTAAGGCTAAACGCAAGGAAATTAAGCACTTCTCGGGGGAGCGCAGTATAACAGATCTGGCTGTTTTCCCACTCAGATTTCACCAAAGAAAGGAAGAGGTTGTGGAACGTCTGACAGAAAGGGGTACCAGGTACCATTTATCACATGGTCACAAAAGCTACAGAGGCATGACGTGTTCCCAGCATGATGAGGAAACACCTAACGAGGTCTTTGGAGATATTTATGTCGACTTTAAAGATTATTACCGATCTTTTGACAGACGACCCCATTTCCTGCCTGGTACATTGCCAAGGCACAATCCCCATTTCCTTCCCCCTGGTACATCAGCAAGGCCGAATCTAGGCATTCTGAATGCCTTTGAACCTGATCTCGCAGAGAGTCAGGATGATGTCGATGGCGTCATATTGGATCTGTTTGATAGAGAGATTGACCAAAAGGCCATGGAAGATTTCGTGTCGACTCATCAGCATGAGATTGGGCTTGAGAGACTCAGTTCAGATCCGCTATCAAATGAAGTTCTCCAATTGCTGCCCCACTGGGTACCTGCATACTTTTTCCGCACGAGGACTTACCGTAATGGAACACTCCTTAACACTTCACATGATATACTGACAATTATTTCACAGATCGAGTCTACGTGAGTCAAATAGAGGAAATCGACAAAAGTGATATTGCAAGAGACAATAGCTTCGAGAGTTTGGTCATCCCAGACGGCCATCGGAAGCTCCTAGTCGGTCTTGTGAGAAACCTGGTCATTGAGCAAGACCCTGAATCCAATCGCCAGGATAACTCCAAAACGGCTACACAGATTGACATTGTTCGGGGGAAAGGACAAGGGTTAATAATCCTTTTACATGGACCACCAGGCTCAGGGAAAACCAGTACCGCCGAGACACTTGCGGCGTATAGCAGACGGCCGTTATATCCAATCACATGTGGTGATCTTGGGGTCGATCCGGACAGCGTTGAAAGATCCTTGAATGAGCATACAGAGCGGGCTCAACGGTGGGGTTGCATATTGCTTCTGGATGAAGCTGATGTTTTCTTGAGCCGCAGAGATTGGAGAGATACAAACCGCAATGCATTGGTATCTGGTAAGAACTCAGTCATCTTTTCTATTTAGTTCTCGACTAACATGTATAGTCTTCCTTCGGCAGTTGGAATACTACTCGGGAATCTTATTCTTGACCACCAACAGAGTGGGCGTTATAGACGAGGCTTTCAAATCTCGCATTCATGTGTCTCTTGCGTATCCCACCATCAGATTGAAAGAAACTCTGGAAATATGGGAAGGAATCTTGGACCGCCTTACAAGAGACAATCATACAACAAAGATCAAAGTCAAGTTTGACAGGAGTGCCCTACTCACATGGGCCGATAGACATTACAGGGCTCACGAACCAATGAACACTGCCTGGAATGGTCGACAGATCCGCAATGCCTTCCAGCTTGCCATCTCTTTAGGTCACCATGACCGAGACCGCAACCTGGCAGCTGCCAACATGACTAACGCGGAGGCTGTTGCAAGCGGGGAGAAAAAGTGGACTATTGTGAAGCTGACAACAGCAAACTTTAACAATATCGCCAAGACGGCTAGGGATTTTGAGGACTATCTTCATGCTACAAGAGGAGACGACAGTGAGATTGCAAAGACGTTGGCTCTGAGGCACGACGAGCAGTCAGACAATGTGGCAGGGTATTCGCGATCTACACCCGCGCAAAAAGATTACCCAGGACGGCGGAGAGAACTTCTATCGCCCAGGCTTACAAACCGTGACAGAGGGATCTCACGAAATAGTTCTGGCTACGAATCTCGACGATCTCGAGTACGAAGGAAGGAAGAAAGTCCTTCGGAGAGAAGACAGCAGAGGAGAAGTCAAGGTGGAAGGGACGAAAAGAGGAACGATGAGTTTGAGGATGGGGAGGGGGATGAAAATGATATCATTGACGAGTTTTCTTCTGATGATGAATAGTAGCTTAGTACAGCCCAGTGGGAACTTCGACATTTTTCTTTGCATTAATTCCCTAATGATTATGATTCTTAGGAGAAGTTTTCATAAGTACCATAAAGTTAATAGACAAGATAGCTACTGTTAGGCATAGGTAGGACAAGGGAGTGATGTCCAATGTAACCAATTTTCATTCAAGTAGATAGAACTGTTACAAATACCATTAAGGTGTGGTGGTGTGACTTCAATTTCTGCTTTTCCCCAGTAACAAGTGTTCATAACACTAGGTGAACCCTTCACCGACCGCGGCCTCCTTTGAAACGGCGTTGAAGTATATTGATGAGTATACCGCATTCCACAACGCCAGCATCCAACTCGCTTCTTTGTCTGGTCTGGAAGTTGCTTTGCTGAGGTTCTGGTGGCAGTTTGAGTCGAGAAGTGATTGCACGGCTTCTATAACTAAGTGCTGTGGCCAATTTTTATTTAATACTTGTGGACAGAATTGGAAAGGATAAGATAACGGAAATGTAATGTTTGTGTGAATTGATTAAAGAATTATTAAAGGAACGCAGACAGCAGAGTCTTACCCATTGTGTATGGTCACGTGCTTGTCACGTGATATTTCTCATGTCTAAACACAATCCTGTTCTTTGACCTGCGCTTTTTGCCAACAAGTTTCACTTGAGGTATCTATAGTAAAGTCAGATATGTCAGAGGTCCGTGTCTGCTTGGTAGCATGAAGGCGGCGATGTAAAGTGCATGGATGTGGCAATCACATTTATCTGTAGGGTAGGAGATGCTGAACGGATCAACGAATCTTTGTTGTCTCTGGTAACCAGGATATGCATTCACGGCTTCCGTTTTTGTCAACCCCTGGTTCCTGCACAAGCCAGACTCCTGATCGCTTATCAAAATGGAAAAAAGGGGAAATAGTCAAGTGACGTCGGATACTTCCGTTTTCGGATCAACCCATTTTCTTGATAGTGCACACATACCATCCAATAGTGCTTTATGCTCATTGATGAAATGGAGCAATGAATTGTAGACTCAACTTTCTTTTCCCTACAACTCGCTACTAAAGTATCGCGAGCTTCCGCGTGGCTAGACGTAGCACCTCTGCCATCCAACGCCGTGGTTGATCGGTGCTTGAACCAGGCCATGATTGATAGATATGTCAAATGGGTGTCCTTTGTATTCATATCACGCCAAACTGCACGCAAGGCTGATCACAGATCACCATATCACGCATCGTCATCGGATCTCGCTTGATGCGGGATATAGTGATCTACGATCTGGTGGAGGGTATTACTTATTTGCATGGATAATGTTTGATGCAAGAAGGTCAACTTAGGCCAGCATTGCGGCCGGAACCCTTTTTGTTGCCGACCAGAAATGTCGCCCGGGCAATCCATTTCCCCCCCCTCTAGATTCCCCGGTGCGTTCATCTGCCGGACCGAACCCGTCATGGAAGGAGGACCTACCCGCATTTTCCAATTAGTATGATGTTTGATGCCTAGAAGCTCAGTTTACTCTCTTCACTTGCCTTGCCAGGTCATGTGGATTGCTTACTTTGGAAAGGATTGCAAATGACAGGGATGCTGAGCAGGCCAACTTCACCTCGCCTTCTAGAAAATTATTTAATCTTAGTTTATCAATAGCGCGTTTTGGATTCTGGAGGTTGAACCAGCTGGGGTGGCTTGGACGTGCTAGGTCAGGATACCTTGCTTAGGGTTCGGCCACTAATAATTAAACTACCGGCTTTAGTGCTTAGCCCTTAGCTGTAACCGCTTGAACTACACATCAACCGACAGTGCACACAGCAATCGGCAGTGTCTCTCATATGCCTACAACAAAACTTGACGTTCAAGCCAACTAAGGTAAACATATTCGTTTCGCTGGAGAACTTTTGATTGATTGCTTGAGATATACAGCCTCAAGTGGAAGAAGGCTAGTCTAAATGATTGGAACATTGATTTACAGGCAGGTTACCACATCACCATTGCTGAGTTTTACGTGTAAATGTGGCCACAGCACAAGGCGAGCTTTGCCAAAGAGCTACATGCTACCGAGAAACCGATACACGAACAGAGGAGTCCATACTTTGACACAATTGTTATAGTCCAAATATATATGGAGATACCCTCAACATCCCAGCCACCCGACCAACACACCTTGGATGGGCTACCGCTCAACCGGACAGTTGAACAGTTACCGGCGTGACGCGTTGCCTCTCTGATCACACATACTTGCTGGAGGCTCTATAAGGTTGTGAGAAATTGCTGGGACTGCTGATCGTATTCCGCAAATGGGTGGTGCTGGACACACACCGTGACTGTACAAGATCAAAACAATTGAAGCAAAAACAGGTCCATGAGACGAGATATCCACTTTCATTTTTTTGCTAGGCCTGGACAGGACACCCTCGAGTCCGTGCCCAAGGCAAGATGCGCGATTGAAAATGCAGGTACACACAAATACTGGAGAACAGCGGTCTACCGAGGGGCGGTCCCAGCTAACCTCCTAGGTAAATAGAATGACATACAGATTTGCTACGCCATATCAATCAAGTGCGTAGCGAGAGGCTCAAGTGAACCGGTTGAGTCGGACAGCCCCCCTCAAAGCATAAATACACACCGCGAAGACAACTTAATCATCATCATAATTACCATTAGTTCTTTCGTTTCAGACAACTCTAATTTTTTATATTCCTAAGCTCACCCATCATCTGATTGCTCAAGTTCTCTCCCCCTTCACTTACCACAATGTTGACCTCTTCTGGTCACACCTACCTCGACGCCTTTAGTGGCGTTGGTACCTCTGGGCAGGGTGAGTTCGTCCCGGCATAGCCTTATTGATGAACTGTAACCACTGGATGTTTCACTAATAGCCTATCCGCCACAGTCGTCCAGCCTCCTAACGATGCTTCGTACTTGTCGCGAGGTTATTCGCATTTCCCTTACCAAGGCCATACGGAAGGGAACAACTCCGACTACAGCATTGATCAGCAAAATCACGAAGGTCAGCCGACCAACGGAGTTGATCTTCGACAGAGATATGCTTGTCCGCTTCACAAGCTCAACCCCTCCAAATACCAATCCTGTGAGCATTACCAGTTGACAAACTGGTATCATACATATCAGCACCTGAATCGAGTGCATTCTCTTGGCACCGACATCAAGCGTTTAACATACTGCCCCAACTGCCGCGTCTTATTCAAAGGAAAGACGGCAAAAATGGAATTCCATCTTCATGTTCGAGCTGGAGATTGCCAGACCGCAAGCATCATGGAGACTGGAATGCTACTACCAGAAGAATATATGAAGCTTGCGAGACTTGGCGGAGGAATGTCTAATGAGGAAAGGTGGTATGCTGCATGGAAGAAACTTTTTCCTTCTCTGATGATACCTTCGTCTGCGTACTTCGAGAGCCACGTCGACATACTCCGCCGGCTTGCATACGACAGAGCACGGCCATTCGTTGGAAATGCGGATCCAAAAGTAATTCACTCATTGATTGGTGTGCTGTTTGCTCCTCCGGTTATTCCTTGCAAAGCTCCAACTCCAGGTTTTGCCCAGTCCGAGAACTGCTTCACTGCCCAGTCTTCGACCTCCCCCCTTTTCCCTGACTCAATTACCTACTACGCGCCCAGCTTCGCCCAAGAACCTGCCATGACTGGTTCACTTGAACTCTCCATGCAGCCAATGCTTGAGAGTCCTCCTTTCCAGGCCCTAGGTATCCCAGACCCTGACAACTTGCACTTTGGCCATGGTGATGTGTTCCTCAACACCTTTGGGCTACAGCCTGATGGAGATGTACCTCTGCACGCTGAACAAGGATCTGGATCCTAATCACCAGTCGGGATCTCCGCTTTGGTTTTCCTTGATTTCGAAGTGCGGCTGAAAAGGTTGGCGTGTCTGACGGTACAGGGTCAGGACGATATTTTTGGGTGCTCGCTCTCGCCGTGTTGTACCTGGGTGGGAGGGCGGGATTCTTTTCACCTGCCCTAATGACAAAATAAGGCTGTTGAATGTATTGGCTGTACCTACTAACATTGTGTACCAAGTTCTAGCATCATGTGTGTACCTGGAAAAGCCAGCCGACAGCCTTATATTGTCACCTAGGCATGTTAAATCCCCCGCCCACCCGAGTATGGTTTCTTCTTCACGTTCTTTTATTTCCAATTTACTTCTCTTTCTTGTCGCTCCTTCATATGTTCTCAAGGTCTCGCTCTTGGCAACACTTTGTTTTCTCTTTACTCTTTCCCCCTCACTTCTGTTTCCCACTTCGGCAACCCCTGTCGTTCTTTATTTTTATTTCGTCATGTGGATATGGTCACGAATTATTTGAAACTAAGGTCAAATTTAAATGCTTGGATACTACCAGCTTGTGGCCCCGTATTTCTTAATTGATAGTGAATGCTACTGTCTCAACTATCTCACTGTAGCCTTCGACATCTATCAATTTAGGCGATATCTGTTCTTATCCATCCCTCATCCCTCCAATAAGTTGCTCGCTTATCTTCCATTTCTTCGTATCTTTCCACCACGTCGCCAAGAAGATCGTCAAAAGCTAGTTGGCATAACGCAGCTTCCGCACATGGATCCCCTGTCACAGTCTTGTCTAGTCCCTGAGTCCGCAAGAACTCGAACAAGCACCGTCTCCCATCCACCATAAAATAATCCTTGACGACAGCAATCGCTAATCGGCTGCCTTGGTCCAAGTATGGAGACGATGGTGGCTTTACGCTAGGGAAGATTGTGGTAAAAATGCAGTTCCATCGTTCTTCATCGTTGATGTCCATCTTCATCACCCTCTTCAGCGCAGCTTCTTGTTGTGCGTTAATCCTCCTGGGTACTTGAAGATCTTGAAGCTCGCATGACCTCTTGATAATATGTCGATCTCGGTGAATCAGTGTGTCAAAGACTTGTGAGCATCTTGGGCAGTATAATGGCTCAGCGTGATAGCGCTCAATGTGATTAACAACATCATCCATTGTTAGTAAAGTATGCTGTAAGAGACATTCGTGGTATCGCTTAGGATACAAGGCTCCAAATGGGCAAGCATAGTGAAAATGCGTTTTTGGTGGTGAAACAAAGACGAACTTTTCGTCTTCTCTACAACCACCTTCATTGCCCAAGTTGAGGAGGTATGTTGACACCACTGGCCCATCTGAAGAACCCATGTCTTCGTCATGACGTTTCCAGTAGTTCATAGGCGTTACATATTGAACCGTGTTGGTGAAGGTTTGTAGCCTCTGGCGTAAGAGGGTTGCGATCGGTTGTCGAAGTTGATGAAACCAATCTTGCTCAACAGCATTATGATTTTTAATATGATCAACACTGACATCTCCAGAGTATAGTTCTTGGCCAACATTCATACTTGAATAGAGAGATTTGTTTTCTGTCTCTCTGTAAAGAGCTTGGCAGGGGTCTGTGTTGAAATTGTATGACAATAAATTTGCGGAGAAGGTCAAATGTGATGTCTCCATATCAAGAAACATTGAATGTGAAGTCAATGCCGTACTTAAGGATGGGAGAAAATGCACCTTTGAATAAAGATATAATTTCTTATAAGTTCCTTTAACATAAAGGTGAATTTGCAGTTTAATCCATATGTTTATATATTAACTGGTTCGTCGATTCCTGCAAAGTTCGTCGGCTGTCGATAGGCCGTCATATTGCCCAAGTTAGGCTACGCAAAGGACCCACTGTGATCATGACTATTTACTTAGTAATAAGCGCCTATTAAACGACATATCCACAAATCAATCATTGTCTCACTGTACGCAGGGTGGTGGGTGGTGGGGGTGCCTCATTGCATTTGCGCTATTACACTTGTGTGAGGCTGTGTTTTCAAATGTTGTTCACATTTGTAAATGGTCAATGCACCTTTGTCGGACACGGACAACTTACGAGAGTCTCCAGCCGTCAAGCCACCAATCTGAAACCATGTCGGGCGTTCAAGCAGAATTTAGCTCAAATGACGGTGAGTTCACTTTCATCCTGTCCGCCTTTGGTAATGTACCTTCAATTCTCATGTAGGACAATTTTTCAAAGTCTACTTTGGATACGATTGAAGATCAGGTGATATTTTAATTGGCAAAATTTATCACTATCTAGACGAAGCAACTCAACATAAATGAATTATCATTGCAATCAACTACCTGACGAAACCCCCAACAACAAAGCTACCACCTAGAGCTGACGTTTTCTATTATGACTCCCAGAGTGTAGTGACCTGGCCCGTTTTTTTATCCACCGTTTGGTCTATGAATGGATGTTGTTCGAATCAAGTAGCAGTTGCTGGATCTCAGGGCTCGTCGTTGAAGCAATTTGTATCATCTGCTTGATAACTATAGCTCCTCTGTCCAGCAACAACTGCACTGTTTCGCAATCGCCCCGGGATATGGCTATCTGAAGAGGTATTTTGTCATGGCGGCTAGCTGTATTAACATCTACTCCCATGTCGAAGAGCATTAGCATAACTTCTAAGTGGCTTGTGCGTAAGGCATCCTGTAGAACCCAGTCATGCAACCCGTTCATATCTGTTCCCCCCTGATCAGATATTTTGCAGCTTCTAGAAGCCGATGAAGACAAGCACAATGTAATGGATTCCCTACGCCAACGTCTTGAGGCCAATCGAATGTGCCCTGTAGCCGCCAGAGCCGGACTGCTGTCTTGCTCCGCAGAAATTCGACTACTTCTTGTAGGCATTCTTTAGAATCTCCAGCCAGACGGGCAAAACTGGGCCAATATGTTGCCGCATACTCTACCAAAGGGAATCCTCCATAATTCCAAGTAACGTCAGTGAGGTACGCCAATCAAATTTTTGTTATGGCGATACTGGCTCTTTCACAAGTGAACTGTGCTTGCTGGAGAAGATATTCCTTGACAGAGAAGTGGGCTAGATGAAGTTCTTCGAAGGTCTTTTTGTGTATCGTGACTTTTACGATAGTCATCATGCTGGGGCAGTATCTAAGAACATCAGCACTTAGGGACTGTCTACCATCAGGAGCAAAGCCCCGAGGTTCTTGATCTGTCTTGGTAGCTATGATGTCAATAGCATGTCCCAGGCTCAGTGGACGTTCTGTATAGACGAGAAACTGCAATAGACGAATTGAATTGCTCTTATAATCTGGTGGTTTACTTTGGAACATACGACGATATGTCTCATTCAGATCGTGCGGTAACGATTTCAGAACTAGCTTAATGTATTTTGGGCTCAGACATCTTACCAGACTTTCGAGTTGATACGCTGCCCACCTGAGCCTGTAGGGAGTATAAGAATAACGTTCATTAACATAGACAAGCCGTTCGAAATTACATGCCGTCTGCTCCATCTCCGATTCGATCACGTATCTCATGCTGAAAATCCTGCGATAGTCGTTTTCTGACAAACTCTGGTCTCTGTTCGAGTGCAGCCTCAACCTAACAACGAATGTCGGCGTTGACAATCTGCTTGTCTAGTAGAATACAGTTGTGTTGGTCAATTAGCCGGGGAATCTCGTGCTGAAAATCTGCCTCCGGCCGACCAGTTACGAGAGTTTGGGCGTTACCAAGTACCGAATTTTTTATTTAACGCAAAAGCTCATCTCTCGTTGTGCATTCGCCCAGAGCATCGATGATGATGAAAACATCACTAGTGACGTGTATCATTGTGCTAATACAATTTGAAAAGGCATCTGTTTGTGGTTGACTGCATCTGTCATGGTGCGTAGTAAAAAGACGATCGAGTGTCTCCTCCGCTTCGCTACTAGCATGGTAAAGCTGAGTTGCCAATGAGCGTACTAGATCATCCAACTTTTGATTTCTAGTATCGTTGAAATCGAAGAAGAATGTGATAGTAGTGTGCTTATTTTCTGATTCCTGGAGATAATCCAGAATTGTCCCAGTCAAGATGGTCTTTCCGCATCCTGCTAGACCATAGAGCCATAGGTGTCGACGTGACCCGAGTTTCCATTGCTGAAAGACAGAGCTTTGGATAAGACAGGTCCCAGTGCCAGGGTGACGGCGTTGTCTTGCCATGTTGGCATTGGTCGAAAAGTCCGATGGGGATCGCCACTTCTTGATTTTAGCGAAACGGCTGTCAGATGCCAAATCCATCACTGTATGTTGTATTTCGTTTCCCATAGATTCAACTATTCAGAGTCAGAAGTGAAAGTGTATGATTCAATTATGGTACTAACTAGAGCTCAAAATTTCGCTGATAGGCTTCTCGGCCTCTACTTTGTTTGGGGGGATCTGATTCAGCAGATCTTTTGCATATGCAGCTGCCATCATTGCTGCGAATCCCTGCCATTCATTGTTCTTGTGTAAGTCGGAATAGTCGCATATCCTGCGGATAACCAGAAATAGCAAATGATTCATAAGTCCGGCTGCCTCCATTTCAAAGCAGAGAATACCTTTCTTCGCCGCAAGGGCGTCGCGTGCTAAAGCATCCTTTATCGAGCTATTCGATGAAGCAATCAGGCCGTAGTGTATAGTCGGGTCGTCTTCGTGTTCTCCACAGTCGGGTCGCGATACCAAGGTTGATGGGTCATCACCACAAGCTTCCGCACAGCTAGACTTACCAACCTTGGGATGCACCTTTGAGAGGCGATATATTTGATCAGTACCGGTTTCGGTACGTTGCAAGTCTTTTCGAAGTCTTGGGTTCGTTGCCAGGATGTCATTGATGTGCGTGTCAAGCTGGTGACCTTTTCGCTTGTAGTTCGTGAAAAGTCCGTGTACGGCTGTTAGTACCAGTCGGCGGCTGGTTCAAAAAGCCCGTAGCCTGAAATTCTTGACCTTGCACAGCCTTTCCAAAGTCATACTGAAACACAGCGCCTTTATCATTGCTGGATATGCCAACGACAACGTCTCCGAGGCGAATGTCATGCTCAATAGTGGGTGCACCACCGCCTATTCCGACCATCAGACCGATTCTGATGTTGGGAAAGCTGTGAAGCATGTCTTTGGCGACACCTGCAGCGGATGATATTCCGTATTCGCCAAGGGGAAGTACGGCAATGACGACATTGTGTCTTCTAATATTGCCAAGTTTGTAGTTGTCACTGTCGTTGACAGACACAAACTCGGGTGGATCGTGCTCTTCATCCAGGAAGAGTTGCGCAGCGAGGTTGGAGTGTGTGATGTATAGAGAGGTAAATAAAATTAATGGAAAAGTTGACATTAGATACAAGGATAAGATAAATCAGAGCCTCCAGTAGTAATTATTCTTCTTGTAACTATGACTATCAATTCAATAGCCTGTTGCGTTCCCAGGCATCTACAGATTGTCGAACCATTTGTCTGCTGTTTGGACAATTCAACTTTGTTTCGGTTAATCATGGCCGAATTTGTCTTTGACTCAAGCATGCTTGTTTGGCGTACCACGCAAATCTCAATGCTGAAACAATTCACTTAACACCATTACATTATACTTACATTCGGTCCTCTTCGGTTCTTGGATTAAACTGGACAACATGTGAAAGAGAGGAGTAATGACTTTCATGGATGAAATCACTTCGTATCTTTCACGATTGCTGAATAATCTTCACACTGTCTAGCAATAGTGGGAGCTGTTAAGCAGTACATGGATAATTTAGACAAAGAACGGAGTATTCCGCATCGAAAGTTATACCTGCACATTCACTGGATTCCACTGTAACCCTATCATTGAGAAGTACTAGTTCCTCTCTTTTCTTTTTCTCCTCTCACGACACTTTATAAGTACATGATCATTCCATCAAGTCATAATTGGCTCGGTTGAATGTGCTAAGATCTTTTCATCCCGTGTTCGAAGCTGGACGTTGGACGCGGCTGACCGCGGAATGCACCCGGCAGTGAGATTTGACGAGTCGCATGGGTTGACTGTTCACAAGAGACTAACGGTGACGATCACCGTCCGAGCACATTCGCAACTCTGGCTCTAATAGGCTTGGGCGGTGCCGCCACGCCGGAACGCCTTATCTTTTACGTCTAGTCTATCAGTATTAGCGTGATAACACTACTGGGGAACAAGCAGCCATTGTCGTAATCTCCCCAGCATTACAACAATAAATTCCCCTCTTTTTCTCTCCAAGGACTGATTAATTTGTAGATGACTTGAGAATAAGTCAAGATCAATTAAAACATCATGGAAAGTGAACCGAGAGCGCCGCCTGCGTTGGCTCTGCCGCCCGCTCCAATGCCCGCATGGGAGGTCTTGCAGAATCTTCAGCAGCTCCGACAGGTCCGGTGTCCCCGCGTCCAATTGGTATACATTTACTGACTTACAGCTCTAGAATCAAGATGAGGGACAAGAAAGTGATCATGATATGACCGACGAGGGTTTTGATGACCACGACGACTCGGACATGGATTCAGCTCTTGGATCTAACTTGGCAGATTCGACTTACTCCTTGAGCTCAAGCATTTTCGACTACCGAACCCTGCATGGCCGAACATATCATTCAGATAGAGGCACTGCCCAGTACTGGTATGCGTCTTTAATCTTTGAATTGAACTTTTCTGATAAGTCAAAGGGCTTCGAATGATGATCAAGCAAGCGAGTCGCTGGATCTTGCGTAAATGAACCTGACATCCCTCTGCGAATGTTCTAACAAGGGCCAGACACCACTTCACTCTCCTTCTACTAGAGGACAAACTTCATTTGGCTCCTTTAGACTCCCATATATCAGTCGGTTACTCAGATTCTGATGTGAAGTTTATGTGGCTTACTAATGTTCTTGGCAGAGGGTTCTTGACATTGGAACAGGAACTGGTAAGTCGTCCAATCATAAACTCAAATTCCGGTACTGACCTGAGCATAGCTATTTGGGCAATGTGAGTCAAAGAAAAAGACCGACATGAAAGAAACTCACAAAGCTGTAGCGACTTTGCGGACGAGCACCCTGGAGTTGAAGTAGTCGGTACCGAGATTAGTCCCATTCAACCAACCTGGATGCCCCCGAATCTGCGACTGTAAGTATACGCTTTCCAGCAGAAGTCGGTAACCACTTATAAATGATAGTGAAATTGAAGATGCCAATGACTCTTGGACCTTCAACCCTGATTCATTTGACTTTGTTCACATGCGTTTCATGCTGGGAAGCATCACCGACTGGACTGCTACTTTCAGCGAAGCCTATACCGCATGTGTTCCAGGCGGCTGGGTCGAGAGCTACGAAGTTTCTTCAACTATGGAGTCTGACGACAATTCAATCCCTGATGGAAGTGCAATGCAGCGCTGGGGTGAAGTCTTTGAAGAAGGTGGTCAACGAGCTGGAAGGAGTTTCTCCATGATTCAAGAGGATGTCCAGAGGAAGTCGATGGAGGAGGCAGGATTCGTGAACATTCATGTGGTTGATCTCAAGGTAACGTCACGTTCTTCTCTTAGCTATCACCAGGCTGACAAACGTTTTATGAAGGCACCGTTTGGGGGCTGGCATACAGAGGAGCGTCTCAAGCAAGTCGGAATCTATATGCAAGCAGCTCTGGAGAGAGACTACGAGGGATATCTCTTGTTTCTAGCTTGCGAGCTCCTAGGATGGACCGAGGACCGGGTCAGGGATCTTTGTACCCAACTTCGACGTGAGATCAGATCAGGTCGACACCATCCCTATTTTAGGCAGAGGATTGTCTACGGCCAAAAGCCTGTCTAAGTAAGAAATGGGATTTCTCTGTGTAACCGTGGAAAATGAAAAACAAAGTAGTATTAATATCTCCCTAATAGTTACTATAGCTTACAAGAGCCACCTCAGTCAGATGCCTCCACTACTGCCAAAGCCAGTAACATCTTGCCACAAACCTCAGTGTAGTAGATCTTGGACCGGTTTCGATCTGTATTGCGAGTTTGATCAGCAGACCGCAGTAAGCTCCAACACTCCAGATCTGATCAGCATCAATGGTCAGCTCATAGAGAAGGTCCACCAAATCGGGCTCCAGCTCTATGACTTTGAGGTCTTCACTTTAGACCCGGACATGGTACGAGAGATCGCTAAGCGAAGCGACAACGACATTCGTAGTGTGTTTATCGCCCACGATAAGAGGATCCTCAGTATTATCCACCGAGAGCTTCATGATCTTGTCCATAAGCACAAGATAATAAGCCAGGACCAAAGAAGGATCTTGGCAGAGTGCATTATCCCCACTATCGTCCCCGGATCTCCAGAGTTACAGACTGTCATCGAAAATGCAAGCCAAGATCCGTCTATCAAGGATCAGTTTATCATAAAACCTTTTAGGCTGGCTCGTGGATTGGGTATTCGACTTGGGAAGGACATTTCTGCCAAGGAGTGGCAGTCGATATTGCAGTTGATGAAGAAAGCAGAAATTGATTCGTCTATGACTCAGTATCTACTTCAGCCTCTGCTGCCTTTGCAGACAGTAGAATAGTTCTGGAGTGAGGAAAGGCAAGTGATCAAGAGTCGGATGGTAAGTTTGTACTTTTCAGTGAATGGCCGTTTTATTGGACTTAGAAGTCGGAGGGTTGCAAATGTGTCTGAAGATGTTATATGCTCATCATCAAAAGATACAACATCAGTGTTATCGGCTGTTTAGAGCCCGCAGTAAATGGTCCATGAAGCCTCATTTCTCAACACTGTTATCAGTTGTTCTTCGCCGTATAGAAAGTCAATAATAATGCCAGACTTACCGAAGTCAATATAGTAAAATAATACCATCATATTAGTATTAGAAACTTACTGCTGAATGGCGTGGTCTTTTAGGAATTGAAACTTGGATCAACACCTAGCTCTAGGGTATTGCTTTAACAAAGCGTACAACGACCATGTCTCAGAAAACTGAAGTCCCGTGCAGTTTCTATTTTCTACTAAGTGGGCTGAGCTAATAGACTTGATTGGCGTAGGGATCATTTACTCTTAACCAAGACTAGCGGCCTGGGTCCAGACCTGTTCTTACAGGGTTGCAGCCAAAAGAGGCTGTCGATAGTTATCAATAGTACCATCAAGTTATAAATGGTTTGTGAAAGCTGAATCGAGCGAGAATCTAACAAATTCAGGGGTCTCTAGATGTAAATAAAATATCTACAATTATCCATTCCCTTTTTTTATTTTGCTATTTGTCAAACCATTCTACCTTCTCTCGTGACTGACGGCCTCTTCCACGATGCAGTCCAAGATCAGCTTCTTGGCCTTGGCCCTTGCTAATCTTGCTGTTGCTGGCCCCTGCAAGCCCAGTCGTCCAACCACATTGAGCAGTGACTCTCTTACAACGTCTGTTTCGACCGCCGATATTTCCGAAAGCTCGACGGATGTTCCGAACAGCGAAACAACAATCGATACCCTTTCAGTCGCATCATCTATCGCGACTACGGAGACCAATGATTCCACCGATGTTTCTAAAAGTGACACCATCGTCAACAGCGACACTGTCACTACTTCGGCTCCAACCAGCGACGTCCCAAGTTTGACTCCTACTGTCCCCCAATCATCGACAACAACTGAAGAAGAAGTCATCATCATCACTAACTCTCTCGCAGGAGGTTCTTTTGCTAGCCGTGATCCTGACAGCCCAAGCGGTCTCAAAGACTTTGGTGCAACCGGAAACGCCGAATTTCATTCGGGAGGATGCAATAAAGGAGACAATAGTCCTGACGATGGTTGCGCTTCATTGACTGCTGGTGAAAGCCCGGATGGCAAGAGAAGCTTTTTTGGTAGACTCGCAAGTATCTACCAGGTTATCAAGGCAGCACCACGCAGGAAGTACACCATTCAGTTTCTATACCTTGTCACCTCAACCGGCGGTTCTCAGGACTGTGTTGTGAGTGCGACATTTGGTAACAGAAAGTTCTTTTCTTTATCTGCTACTAGTGCTGGAGGTACAACAGTCAATTGGGCTAGAGTGCTTCAGCAGGTCGAGACTATCGGCCAGGACCCTACCTTTGATATCTCTTTGGAATGTTCTGGTCCTGGTTATTCGTCCATCTTGGTTGACTCAATCTTCATCTCGGATAAAGTTACTCCTGAGACTATTGGTAACTACCATCTTGAGTTTGATTCGTATACCGAACCAGAGCTTACTACTACATCGTACCAACCGACCAGTCAAAGCACAAGTTCTGTGGATGCTACATCTGCACCTGATATCACGACCACTGCATCTCATACCACAGCATCTGATACTAGTGTCCTCACGCAGCCCACCTCTCAAGCTGATAAAACGACAACGACTTCTGAAGCCACTACAACGTCCAAGTGCACAGTAGAGTGCGATCTTGTCAATGACTTCCAGAACAATGACATGTGCGACCTCGTCGGCGTCTTCGTCAAAACCGATGCCATCTATGGGTTCCCCGGTGACGACAACTCTGCGACCCAGCACCGCTCTAAGTCCATCACAGAGTGTGCTGATTTCTGCAAGAAAGATATGCCAGGTTGTAAGTCAGTTGGTTTCCAGAAACTATCTGGTAGATGTTTCTTCTCCAACACCATTGTTACTCGAGATGATATACGCGATGGGCGTGACAGTCAGATGGCTGATTGGTACAACATCGATGGATGCTTTACTTGTCGTGCCAGTGGCTGCGAGTCTGGCACGTCTGCACCCGAGATCCCTTCCACTACTCAAGTTTCAGTGGTTTCTCACACCACCACAACCACTAAGCCCACGCAATCTGTCTGCAAGCCCACATGTGAAAGGATCCAAGACCTGTCTGAACATGAGGACTGGAACTGTGGTGGTCTCTACGGTCATGCTAGCGATGGTGTTTACACCCTACCTGGTGACGAAGAGCCCAGCTGGAGCAATCACCGCTTCGACAACGTGGCTGAATGTGCCGAGGTTTGCAGGACTTTGCCTGGCTGCATTTATGTTGGATACCAATTTGCTTCTCAAAGGTGTTTCTTCTCCAACAGCGAGATTACCGAAGTGGAAGAAGCAGATGACAGTGAGTCCGCTTATTGGAACGAGTTGAAGTGTTTTGCTTGTTCAGGTTGCGGGCTGGGTGAGAGTTCCAAAACTCAGGCCCCTACACTTCAATCATCTACATCAGAGACTCGCACGAGTTTGATCACCACTACTAAAGCCACCCAACCAACCGGTGCTTGCCATAACAACCACGGCGAAGTGTGCGAGATCAGCTCATCCGGTGTCGCAAATACTCCTTACGTCTGCATCACAGGCGGTATCTTCTCGGGTCCAAGCTGGACAGAGCCTCGTTCCAAATATCCCATGCAGGAAAGCCCGGAACAATGCGCAGCCATCTGCGACACCCTTGAAGATTGTGAAACCTCCGCATTCTGGGGCTCCGAAAACCACTGTATCTTTACATCAACAAAGATAACAGCCTCTGATCTTCAGGAGCCCGATCCAAGCTATGATGATCCCAGCTTCGACCCCAAAAGCGCCGGTTGGAGTCATAAATCCTGCTGGACGTGCCCAGCTTGCGTCCCCAATAACAGTCCTCTTCCCAAGAGTCCCACGTGCAACTACAAGCAAGGCGACGTATGCACACGTTCGACCACTGCGACCGGCGTTTGCAACACTTCAGGATGGTTGTCAACCGGATATCACGGTATGAGTTCTGAGTGGTACCCTGATCAAAGCTCGGCTGCGAAGTGCGCTGCTATTTGCCGGGCGAACAGTCGGTGCATTGGATCTAGTTACATAAACGGTCAATGTTACACTGCTGATAATGCTCTTACTCCAGAGGCAATTGTCACTAGACCGAATATTAACCATGTTTGGGATGAGCCGTCTTGCTGGGATTGTCCCGGTTGTCATACTTAGAATGCTCGTATACACCGTCGTGGGCGTAATAGAGCTGATAATATTTAATTATATCTCAATATAACCTAACTGTTTAAATAATACTGTATGCGTCGTTAGTGAAAAGAATCGCCACGAGGTAACCAACCACCTAAGATAGTGACTTCAACATTTAAAGATAGGTACAAAAGGGAGTTACATGAAAACCATCCATTGGGAGACAGTAAACCCCAGTGTCGCCATCGGCGATCACTGGGTTGTAAAAACTCAGCCAGACTGAGTGATCGCCTGCATTCGCAGTGCTTGAGGTGACTTATGTGGGTGCGGCCGCGGTGCTTGTATCTGAAGGCGCAATGTCATTGCCTTCTTGCAACGTTGATTTCATCACTCGGTTCAGTGCCTTCGATAGGTGAGTATAAAAAGCATTGTCCGTTAAATTCAAAGAACATCACAACGACACATTGGGCATTTTGAGAACAGCCCTGTATGCAATCGGTAAAGTTGGTCGTCGTAATAAGATTAATCACGGCGCCGTTTGTAACGGCAATATCGCAAGAAACGTCAAAAGTGACACCATTAGTGGCCTGGTATGGATCATCAAGCGCAGCACAACCTGTAGGTGTGGTAGTGGTGGCCGTTGGGAGATCTGTCGTGGTGTCTACAGCGGTGATCTCTGTAGTCGTGATGTCGGCAGTTGTGGTGTCGATAACGGTAGTAGTTTATACGGGCGTGGTGTCTGCAGTAGTTGCAGTATCCAATATAGTAATGTCTCAAGTGTTAATGCCTGAGGTGGTGCTCAAAATCGTGGTATCTGTGCTTGTAGTTCTAGCCTCAGTGGTGATAAGAGCCCTAGAGCTTGTTGCGATATCGGAACTGCTGGTGACTTCTGTAGTAGACGTTTCAACGTTGGTTGTAACCTCTGTGGTTTCCAGTGTTGAAGTTGTCTCTTCCCCACTGGATGTGTTGGTTGAACTAGTTGAAGTATCTCCAGTGGAGGTTGTACTTTCTAACTCTGTTGTAACAGATGATTCAGTAGATGAGGATACCTCAGTACTTGAAGTATCAGATAGAACAGATGACTACGTGGAAAGGGTTCCTGGAAGGTTTGCAGTAGTAACGGCCGAGCTAAGTGATGTGGATGGCGTGACTGTGGTGGCAGTGTCTTCAGAACTGATCGACTTAGTGACGACTATGGAGCTCTATGTCGTGATGTTTTTGATGGTGGTGCTTCGAGAACTGAGCTCTTGGGATATGGTTGTCTCGGAGGCCGACGTACTAGACTCTTCATCAACAATTTGGCCATTTTGACATTGTGAAACTAAGCAGTACTAGTATCAATGATTTGATACTCAGATAGTATCCTTACCGTTATAGACGATCAGGTTGACCGGAACACATCTAGCAGGCTCGCCGGAAAAGGTTATGAAAACTGTACCATCAGCGGCTTGACAGAAACCCGCTTTACCACCATTCGGCAATACTGAATTTCTAAACACAAGTTGGCCATCATCCTCAAATGTTCTTGTAACAGCGCCAGGAGGAGGAAGTTCCTGTCCAAGTAGTTCTTTATAATTCTCACCCGCATAATGGACGGGCACGCCGTCATTGGTGAGCTGGCCTTCGCCGAGAACAAAGACTGTAGCAAATGTACAGATTTGAGGGTTATTGATGCCTACGAAACCAGCTCTTATCGCTCTCTAATCAATGCCGCTTTCGTTATCATTATCAGGGATCAGAATCTGGAGGATAACAGCTCGTCCGCTTGGCGATAGGCTTGATGTTGCGATAGCATCGGTAGTAGTGGTAGTAGCTAGGCTTATCGAAGAAATGACAGTTGTTGAGTTAAAAGATAGTGTTACAGAACTGGATTGGGTCTCTGTTGTCGAAATTTCTGTGCCTATTGTAATGTCAACACTACACTTGTAATCCGTATGATGAGTTTCGTATTGGAAGCGCTCTGATTCGGATTGAAATGTTGCTTGTAGAAGTAGGTCTTATTGATATTGGGTCGAGGTAGGTGTATTCGTAGGTAATACAAAATGTGTCTGCCTCTATTGCGCCATAGTGAGTCGCTGAAATGACGCCCGATAACCCTAAAAGAGAGACTATTAGATTCTGGCTCTTCAGTGAGAGGCCGTTGACAACAAGGAATGTTATAGTTGGAAGAAAATTCTGGCGAGTGAGGTTCTGGGAACTAAGATAGCCGGTAAGATATCTGGTATCAGAAATAACTGTTAGCATTTGTTGGCTTAGCTTGGGTTACTTTGCTATGGTTATTGACGTATTACAGTATTATAGTTACGAAGTTCGCAAGGAAAGTGGTATCAGCAAGATTCATTGTCAGTTCGCCTTGTGACTTGAGACGCCGTTCGTTGGGTATTTTGTAATATGATCTGCTTGTGTCTATCAATATCTTAGATTTCTATTTCTTTAGATGAGTGGCAGTATCTAACTTAAAATCCTTTCCTTCAATGTTCTCGTTTGTTTAATCAGATCACTGGATTTGATGAGTTCGAACTGATTATTGATCGTGCCCAGAGGCTTTGTTGTGGTCCAAGCCCTATACAGGAACTTATAATCTTCTTTCTTCATAGAGTCGAAAGAGTCCATATGTATGATATGTTTGCCATCCAGCATGCTTAGGATCGACCTCGACCAATCACCAAAGTCGCCATAGTCGCCCGTGACATATCCTGCTGCGTAACGTGTTACTACTACCTGAATGGGAATATCTGCTTGGGCGATTTCAATTTCTGAGTAAAACAATCCGTCAGAAATCCCACGGAGCTGCACCGTGTACTGTATTTGTGTCAGTTCTGTATTATTATATGTTATATGTAGTCAAAAATGGGTGCAAATTGACATACCTCGTGCATGGTGCCTTCCACCTTTTTCTCCGCTACTTCCTTGGTATCTTGTGTGAGCGCTTCGCTCAGCACTTGTTGATTATTCACTGCTTTAGCCGAAATCCTGAAACCCTGAATGAGTCCGATTCTTTCGAGGAAGGCCGACCAACGTCTGCAATTATAACGTGCAAAGTGAATGTTCACACGAACTTGTTTCCAAGTATCTGGTCCAAGCTTTCTTTCGGCATAGGCGATTGCATCATGTATCAGAGTCCATTTTGTTACACGGTCTTGATCAGCAGGATGCACTACCAGCAGCAGAACAAATTTCGTCTTTGGTTTCGTCGTCCAGAATGTTGGCCTAAGGCAATACCTTTCACCGACCATATTTCGCGGCTGGCATGTCACAAAGGTAAATCTTGAGTGAGTGAATTCCGTATCATCGGTACGAGAAAGACCTTTCAGGATACTTTCTGGAACAGGCAGATGGAGGACAAAGTTGTTGAAAAATGTGCTGATATTATAAGCGATTCTATACACCAACTCTGGTGAGAGGTCTTGTAGTTCTGGGCTTGGTTGCTGTTCATCAGGCTTGTCAACAAGTCGGTCTGACCCGGCTGAAGATGTGTCGCTGCTTGGCCTTGAGTTTGTGACGACCTCTTTAGGTTTCTGTCCTGAACCAGGTAGAGAAGTTGATCTTTCATATCTTTCAGATGCATCGACGTAATCCATGGACTTGGGTGTCCCAGGACGCAGAGGTATTATTTGTGTTTTCGTAACGTCAGAAGTTGGTTTGACCTCGAGTTGTAATGTTTCAGAAGCGAAGGAAGGTTGCTGCTGGGTCCAATTCGGTCTAGACCATATTTCCTTGGCTGATGCTTGCGCAGTCTCAACATAAGTGCCGCCGATCAAAGACTTGCGTTTGACCATTCTGGCAAAGGGCGGCTCTTTAAGAGTATCCGACTCGTCATTTTTTTTCGCAGACGGCGGTATCATGCGCCGTAGATTTCGACTGAGGACCTTGAATGGCCTCGGCGTTTTGCTCTCTTTTCGAGTTCCGGATAGGAAGATCAAACTGCTTTGATACATGCGGAATCTCCTCGTCCTCATCGATGAACGAAAGGGCCTTCGAGCTTGCACGGTCACTAAATCCCCCATCAACATCAAGTGTTGATTCTGTATAAGTTGCCATATCTTCCAGAAACTTCTGCAAGATATAGTCATTCGGTGCGGCGGCTGTTGCAGGTAACCGGGCTTGAAGCCGTGCGATCTCTTCAAGAATCAGTGATGTATCGTCTTTGATAGCAGCTGTATCATTGAGGATTTCCGTAGTATCAGTCTTGATGTCCTTTGTGACAGACAAAGTGAGCATGTCCAGTGCCAGTTCCAGTGCCGATTTATGAGCTTCCAGACTGGATCTTAGTTTTTCCATGTCACCCTGACCATTAAGCACCCATGCGGCCTTGTTTCTGACTTTTCCATCCCCATATTTCGTTATACATGTCTGGACTTCGATAACAACTAAGTTGCAATTTGTCACGATACCAGAAACGTGACGCTGAATTGTCTCGGGAAATGACTTTGTGTCGTCTTTCGCGTCTTCTTGAATGAGCTCCAGAACTGTTTGGAGGGAATGCAGCTCGCGCGATACGCGGTCCAAATCGCTGCGAGCTTCTCTACAGCTTCGGACAAATGAAGTAATAGATAGGGTTAAGCTTCCGATGGTAGTTATGAGACTGGCGCATCCAGTCGCAATTGAAAGAGGATCCATCATGAAGATTGAGTGGGGAAATTGGAAGTCAGCCCAGAGGTGAAATGTGCTGAAGCCACATGCAGCCAGTCTGCCTTATTGGTCGTGCATTTGCGGCTGAGTCTAGACCCAACACTATTGGTTGTCGGTTCCGGCCTAAAATTGACAGCATGGTATTCTAATCGTGGAAGGCGAAATATCGGAGGACTTTGATCGAGTCGACTTCACGACTAAGAAATGCCCGTCTTCTAAACAGTTTGCTTCAGAGAATCAACCTCGTTTTTGGAGGTTCATAAGCTATAGACCATCCGATCAAAAACAAGTATTACTTATATCGATCTTGTTGTTATTAGTAAGTTTCCTCTGGCCGGGGTTGCCGAAATACTGGGGCTTGAGTTAAAATAGTTAGACGGATCCATATGAGAGATGGGGCTAGTAATTTACGATATACTGCTCATCCCCCAACCTATTTCTGACCTCTAGCCTCTATCTTTACTTCCGTTTTCTTTTGTTTTCTGTATCCTCATATAGCTATATCAGGAGCTAATATCTAAGATCTCCTTAGCTTATGTCTATTACGGGAATAATTGTAAATTTTTGATTTAATTTGTCGTCATATTAGCATTCGTCGGTTCGTATGTTCCGGCTTCCGACGACCAAAAAGCCCTTGCATTTTCTTTTTTGGTTGTTTAATAATCTCATCATCATGTAACGTTGATGATCTCAGTGGCTTGGTAATCGATCAGCGATGGGCGGGGTCTTTGGTTTGGGCTTGGCTCTCGGGACTCTCTACTTTTTATATCTGCGGTCATTATATAAAGCAATCACTCCCTGTCCAAACCTCACTCCCGATATTCTATAAGCCTGCCTCATCCACCATCCATTCTTCCTTGAAATGCCTATTCCTGAGACTTACAAAGCGTTCAGACGCACCACTGGCGATATTCCCAGGACTATCAGCCCATCCACGGAAAAGCTGCCACAAGAGCTCGGACCTCACGATGTCCTCCTCAAGATCCATGCCGTTTCCCTCAACTTCCGTGATGTTGCCATGATTAATGGGCGCTACCCGGTTGAGGTGATTGATCGTGGTGTTCCGTGTTCTGATGCAGCTGCCGAGGTAGCCGCAATCGGTAGTGCGGTGAAAGATTTCGCCATCAGTGACCACGTCTCTGTCATTTTTGATCTCGGTTGTCTAACTGATAACGATGACGCGCCGCCTCAAGCACTGGGCGGCGATATTGATGGTGTCCTCCGTGAGTACGCCATTTTCGAGGATAAGTACATTGTGAAAATACCCAAGCACCTATCATGGGAAGAGGTTCGTCATATCTTCCCAAACCACATATCTCGGGCGACTTTACTCATAGACTATCGAAATACAGGCAGCTACTGTTACGTGCGCTGGCGTAACGGCTTGGACCTCTTTGGATGGCCTCAAAACAGAAAAACCAAGAAGTGCCCTTCTGCAAGGTTCGTGCGCTGTATTTACAGGCCGATCAATGATGGTGGACAGTATTCACTAACTATATAACTAGGTACTGGAGGCGTCAGCTTGTTTGCTCTGCTTATTTGCCTTGCTGCGGGCATTCGACCCATCATTACATCTTCGTCGGAAAAGAAGCTTGAAGATATTCGAAAGCTGGGCGCTGATGTCCGTACCATGAATTACAAAACCATCTCTGACCAAGCCTCAGAAGTCCAGCGCCTCACTGAGGGCAAGGGTGTGGACTTTGTTGTTAATAATACTGGGCCAGGGTCCATTCCAGAGGACATCAGCTTCTTACGACGACGAGGTGGTCTCGTCTCCCTCGTCGGATTCCTGGCTGGTACAAATGGCGACTGGGATCCAAGTGCCATCATGGGATTAATGCAAAAGAGCGCAAGAATCAAGTAAGTGATCATGCCCACAAGGTTTGTGCCCGTCAAAGGTCTTTTTTACTAACAACGAGTCTACTAGGGGCATTGCTGTGGGCTCAAAGAGTGACTACGAGAGCCTGAATCGATTTCTGTCCGATAAGAATGTGTCCCTCACTCCGCTTGTTGACCGAGTCTTCTCATTCGACGAGTCAGCGGCTGCGTTTGACTACCTGTACTCAGGAAGCCATGTCGGTAAGGTCATCATCAAGGTGCAGGACTAGATATTTCTTTACTTGAAAGTATGATTATTTGAAACTGAATCAACATACCAGAAATAAAGAGCTATAAATTACGATATATAGTGGAAAAATTAGAAACTTGTGCCGTCGTTAGAATTCTGATCACTATGGCTAGAATCACGCTCCTTCGGTGTATCCGTGTCTCCGTAGCCACAGCCATTTGACATGATAATTTTCATGCCCATGCTGCCTTATAGAATCAACATGGTAAGCTATGTGTCTAATGATTTGTATATATGTCTCGACTGCAGGCATATCTAACACATACGACCATACCTATCAGAGAACTCGGGATCCCGTCCGCTCTCCCATAGATAAGCTGGTAAGGGGCGGATTAGTAGTTGGGTCGGTGACGACCAGCGAATCCCCGCTGTTGTATGTTTTTGCATTTTTGTTGTTGTCGTAATATTTGCTGTCTTTATTAGGTTAGCCTCCAGTGTGTTGTGGAACGCGTGAATTTCGTCTCTTACTCTTTCTAATTCACTGGGACGACTAAGTTTAACATCGAAAATCGTCAGGCTGTTCCAAAAAATTACATCAATAATAAAGATCAATAGCTCAAGCCTTCGCTATCCATAAGAATTGACTATCTCTCCGCAACATTCGGGTATTAAACAGGAATTAATACATTGCATAAGTTGCGTTACTCCACCTGGCATCCACCACAGACTCTGCCAGTATGATCAATGGTTTCAAAACGGGAACAATAACGATTATCTTTCCCGAACTCAACGTCGATCTGTTCAATCAGTTTATCGTTCGTCGTTGACGAGGTATAATCATCAAGAAGTAGCTGGAGGACTTCGATGCCGCTCAGATTACGCAAGACCCTCAGCTTATGTATATCAAGCCAGCACTTTGAGCTCATGATTAGCTTCTTTATTGAAGCTAGTTGTGGTCCGTAGGCATGTGAAAATGTCCAAAGTTCATCGTCACTGAAATACCACACACATGATGTAACATGGAAGATGTCAAGTGTTGGATTTAAATAGAATGACCATTCGATGCGCTCGTGATGGCGGACCAGAGTGAATTGCTTGAGCGTATGAATCGAGAATCAGTACATACAGACAAAGCAACTGGGTATCGATCTTGCTTGAGCAGTTATCCATGTTCTTCTGAGACCAGCCATCTCGTCATGCTCCCGAGGACCTGAATTCTGTTGAAGTAACCCATGGACTCGTCGCGAGAAGAGTTATAAATTTGAAGTCCTCAATCCCGATAAGACGAGGTCCAGGCCAAGTTGCCTCCCAGATTAACAGGCGGACTTCGGGTGGAAGATTGTTGAAGCTGAGTGGGCGTGTTCGCTCACGAGAATGATGACATGATCGTTGTAGTGAATCATCGCCAAATGCAAGGGCTGATTGATGTGGGTTGAGTGATGTTATGGGATGTGCAGGTCTGGCAAGCAACTGTCCAAAAGACTGCCGCTCATGTAGGCGTTCGGTATCCATTTCAGATCCTGGAAGATTTCGCTTTTTGAGGGGCCGAGTGCCGAGATTATTTCGCCGATTCGCTACTTGTTGCGGTTAGGAAGGGGATTGGCTGACTATGTCTTGACAAGTGGTTGATCGAGGTTAGAAAAGGGAGACGTCAATGCGGTCTGTTAGGAACCTTGAAGAAATCGAGAAAACCAAAGCTTAAGTAGTCAAAGTAAATAAATTTAGATTAATCAGCCTGAGAATAAATGAATAAGAATTCAAAATGTGAAAATGTAAGTTAGAAGTTATCTGGTCGAAGAAAATCCGATGAAGTGGTCAGGAATGTTTTGCTTTGTATCTTTTAGTGGTTGTAATTGGTCAGGTTGGCTGTGACGACGACGTGTGTCGGGCTAGGACGATACACCTGGTAGATGCATAAATAATGACAAAGCATGTCCGATCCCGCTCACGTCATGTGTGTCAGATCTGATTCACTTCAAGATTGACATTGACTGAGTATGCGTCAACAAACTACAAGGTCAGTCATATTGGCTAATCTATATCAATGACCAGATAACCTTGTATGGATATGGCATCTGTTATATTACGATACGGGTGAGGGATTCCTCGTCCATGAATTCATGATGGCTTCCGGCTACACAGGCGACTTTATCGGTGACTACATCGGGACACCCAACAAAAGAGACGATTCAATGTCAATCGATAGTCCTCCAGTGAAGCCTTCTTTCTTTGGCGTCACAGGCCATAACGAGATCTTCGAAGAAACGAAGAACTACCTCTCGAAACTCGACGCATTCAGCATTAACCCCGAAGACACATGCATCTCACAGTCGAATTGCTCGATCAAGTTCAAAGATCTTCCTACCAACATACAACAGGCCAGCCTTGCTGTTCTTGGATGTATTTTCGGTCCATGCTACGATCGTCTGGTTGCACATAAAACGAAATATGAGAACAGGCTCTGGTCGAATCTTACAGTCCCTGCGATTATCCGATCACTCGAATCGACTTTTGGATCACACCTGGACCCCGAGAAGATCAACCTTGAGATTGTAGCTGAGCGTGTGTGTAACAACACCATTCGACCGTTTGGAGATACCGAGAACAGTCAGGAATGGGTTGATCAGCTTTGCGGCCAAAACTTACGATGGGAGTCCATTGCCATGCTTTGGAGTGTGTTGCGACGCATACCTAATTCTTTCGAGTCTATGGAACGTTATAAACTTCATATTCTGGAGAGCGGAACATCGAACAAGGCAGCCCTAGCATTCTTGAGGCAAGGTATTACACTTGCGCGCTATTTCACGCTGGCAAATGTTATGATTCTTGATCTATTACAACAAAGGACGATAATGGAGTCCATGATCATCGGTGACGCAAGTAAGACATACCCTTCCTGCTTAGTGATATTTGCTGATGAGTCACAAAGGTTTGGCTGTCTGGAACTCCCACGGAGAGGCTGTGACGATGATGACATACCTAGGCGTTCACGCACAAAAGAACATAATACCATACACGCCAACACTGTCTTCAGAGCACAAGAGGCGTATTTTCGGTCGGATTTACAATCTCGATAAAGCTATCGTCGCTTTCACAGGCAGGCCTCCACTTCTGGATCCTCGCTACTGCACGACTCAGATGCCGCTTGACTTCAGTGACGAGGATCTTCTAGCTGGTGGCGCGGCACTCGAGCGAGCAGCAGCCGAGTTGACACCAGGTGGTTGGAATACACATGGGGGCGTTTACCCATCGGGATTCTGTCGAGCTGCGTATCAAGTATCCGTGATACTCAGCGAGATTCTCGACATCGCTCTGGCTCCTGCCCCAAACACAACTTTGGAGACAATAAGGTACCAAAATCTTTCGTTATTGAAAGTAGGTCGCTGACTGACTTACCAGGAATCTAAAATACCGGGCACTCAACGTCATCGCCCAGTTTCCGAAACATCTAATCTACGACCCTGACGACCCTCACGATCTACCCCTGCCACAAGCCGAGCCTGCATCCCACGAGAAAGACCTTTCTGATCCTCCAGTTGGAGCGAACGCTATACCCATGCGGATATTTTCCCGTCTGACGCATCTGCAGAATATGTTTCTTCTCGAGAGGTTGTTTCTGCAGTATGGTGCCCTTGATGAGGGCGATGTGCTCCTTGTTTCGTTTGAGATGATTTCGCTTACGCTACTCTTCTGGACACACAAGGACAAGTTTCGGGATATTCGGCGGGACTTTGAGTGGATGGTGAGTGAACTTTCTATGACTCACAAGACAATGCTGACTTCTCCAGCTGATGGCGTTCGCCGTTCCGGGTGGCGGCATTCTATGTCAAGAACTTCTTCAGCCAACCTTCCAAGGTCGACATCCGAAAGACACCCGCTTAAGCCGATCGAGTATTGTACAGAAGTTGAGTTTGTTAGTGGGCTTTTTGGACTGGGTACATCCTTCGGCACCGAATGGCGATCTCTGTGCGAGTTGCAAGACTGTTATACAGCGAGTATTGGACTATCATCTTAACGATGCGGTAAACGAACTTGGATCTTTGGAACACTTCAGTTTGGGTTTATCTGGACGTTTGAATTTCAAGTTTGAATTGTTGAATACTTTTGAGTGGCTTAATACATGATAGAGCCAGGCATAATTCTGCATTCGTAATAGATATCATTGCTTTCATAATGTCCTTCCTAGCGATATTATAGATATCATAAATACAACTAGTCGTGATCCGGCAACGATTCAACAATCTCTATCGCCTTGTGATCGACAATTGCAGCACCATAGCGCTCGCACATGGCAAAGACACGCTCCTTAGGCTGTAGAGCATAGGGAGTCAAGATCCAGCCCATTCCCGACATCATTGACTTCGAATACTCTTTCATGACCTCCTCATCCTTGATCGAGAGTGACGGACCACCAAATCGGGCTAGAGCGTCAAGATAATGTTCAACGATTGCCATCTCATGCGTCCTTCGATCCTCCACTGTCAAAGCACCGACGATGAAATAAGTCAGATCGTGAAACGGGGACCCGATGTGAAAGGTTTGCCAGTCAAGAAAGCGTGGGTTGCCGGCCTTGTCGGAATATGTGTTGCCAGTATGCGGATCTCCGTGGATCAGCGAGATGAACTTTGGGTTCTTGGTCGCGAAGTGCTTCTTTATCGCAGACACGGTACGCTCGCGGGACTGTTTGATGATATCGGGGCACGGAGGTCGATCAGCCCCATAGATTTGATCGTCCCACATCCCGGCGAGAGCCATAATCATGCCTTCGTACGAAGGCGTGATCCAGGGATACTTCTCAGAGGAGTAACCCCATGTGCTGGCATGTAGCGCTGCGAGCTGTTCGGCGCCAGCTTTAAGTCTCTTGACAGGCCAAACATCATGTGGGTTTCCGAATGTGAATCCAGACTGGTTCAAATCCTCCATGACAAGAATGCCCTGCCCTTCTTCAACGCCTGCCCACCATATCTTGGGAAGCGAGATGTGACTCAAATTCGGCGCGACAAGGCTGAAGAAACGGGCTTCGTTCGTGTATGCTGCTATAAGCATGTCTCGGTATCCCTCTGCCGCCATCATCGCAGGGTTGAAACCTCCTTTGAGACAAACATGCTTTGGTCGGTCCAACTCATCATTGTCGTCTAGGTACTCGATTGTGATAAATAGTTTGCTGGCTGTGGCGTTCAGGACACTTTGAGTGAGTTCGGCAGATTTGATGTCATGTCCAAGGACTTTGCTGAGCCAAGACGCTGTTACTTGGTTGGGAGTGGTAGGTAGAGGATGTATGTCCGCGGTAGTCATTTTGAGGAATATTGAAATGTCAGAGATGTCAAATTGTGCTGCAGTGGCGGCTAACAGAACTCACTTGCATCTGTTCTTATATACGTGTCCAGTTTCGCTTGAGATGCCGGTATGTTGCATTGAAGCGAGTGTTGTGGGCTCCATACCAGGTGCCAGTAGATCGTTCGTAATGTCGAAGCTTGTCACCAAAATCCACCAGGATACGTGAGTGTTGGTCGAAGTCTTGTTGGTTCCTAAATCCCTCAAGGAAATTAATGTCGTACGTTGAGACGTTGATGGAACATCCACCTGCCACAAATAGCAGTATCCATAACTGACGGAAACTGACCCGGAAGGTTATTGCAAGGTTGTAATGCGCATGTAGTAGCCGTCGGTAGTTTGCAGCCCATGTTTTGTTGGTTTGCACTTGTCATTCTCAGCTAACCCCCGCAAAAATTAGGATGACCCCTGCAAACAAGGGACAAAGTCAACAACACTCTTCACAACCAACATATTGTCATTTCTTCAAGATGGTAGAGAAGCGTCAGCCTGGATCGGTTGATCGCCTCAATTTCTAACTACCTGCTCTATCTGGTGAGTTAGCAGAAAAGTTGGCCTCATAAGTCTTAGGGTACAAAAATAAGTGGTTTGAGAACTGTAGTCTAAAGAGCATAAACTGACCTACTAATTTCGACTCTTATGCTTCCAGCAGTCAACTTTTCTGATACCATCAGGCTTCTTAACTGCATGCATCTCTTGCATAAATCTCCATAGACAGAAGATGATCGAGCTCATCAGGTGGATTCCATCCGCGCCGCACGATTGAAAGGTACTTCACTCGTGCATTTCCCATTTTCCCATTTTCTTCTTTTTCTCGTCACCAATTCTTTTGTAGATGAAATAGGCGTCAGAGATAGTTACTATCTACTGGTAATCGCTTGTTTGGTGGTTGACGGCGTTGCCGTTGGCTTGAGGTTATGGGTTCGGAGTGTCAAGAAAGCCATTGGCTACGACGACGTTGTTATGCTCCTTTCATTGGTAAATACTGTCCTGTTTTTACCTCCTCATCCGCACCAAATACTGATCACTATCAGGTTGGCTTTATTATCTTCTGTGCTATGGAACTTCAGGCGATACGATACGGCATTGGAGCCACGGCGATGGAAGTCAATTTTGACCCGATCAAAGCAGCAATGGTATCTCTTCACCGTTAATGTTTATACCACTGGTTTACCGACGTAAATTTAGTTCTTTACAGCCTCTCAGATCGCTTACATCCTCACGACCGGCCTCTCGAAACTCGGCGTCGGCCTTGTCCTCTTCCGCCTCGCGAAAGGCGCCAACATGAGGGCAGTCCGAATAATTCTCATTATCACTATGGTAATCGTCACTCTCTGGCGCTTAGTTGTAGCCCTGATATTTGGTCTCCAATGCCGACCGCTATCCGTGGCCTGGGGCGTTGGTGAGGGCAAATGTCTCTCAACGTCTGTTCTTGGAACGACCGTTCTTGCGCTATCCGGTATGGATGTCACTATCAGCTGGTTCTATGCGGTACGGATGTCTCTTGCTCACTCACTACGACCCATCGCTAACCCCCATGTGTAGCTTCTTCCCGTCTACATGCTCTATAAGACCCAGCTTCGCCTCAAGCTCAAAATCATGATCATGGTTTTACTAGGCCTGGGCGCCGTCAGCTCCATTGCTATCATCGTCCGCATCAAGTACCTCGTTGGTCTTAGTAAGCTCACATCAGCCTCGGGAGGTCTCGCTACCCAAGATGCAGCTGAAACTACCCTAGAAGGGACAATCTACTCCATTCTGGAGATTGCCCTCAGCATCCTCGCGGCTTCGTTGACGGCGCTTCGGCCACTGTTGATATAGATTCCCGGTTTCGGAGATGGCCCTTCCCAGCCTGTACTAGGCTCTCTGATCACATTCGGGCGAGTAAATGACGGCAAAAACCCTTCTTATCGCCTTGACGATAGAAACATATCTATGACCGACAGCCAGGAGAACATTGTACCTACGCGTCCACTGACGTCCGGTTCATCTGTTGTTATAGCGCATAAGTAAAGTGGTTTGTGTACCGATGTACGAACACATGGTGTCACTTGACACAGGTTAGTATGGATTCTAGTTGTAGTAGTGCATAATTACTGATTAAAGTCAACTAAACAGGTTTACTGCCGCACCTTCGTGGGTTCGACCCAGCACCAGAATAATTCAACCAATGCAGCGTTGCAATCACTCAACTGTCAATTTGGTCCAGTACCTAACAACTATCTTAACTTGAACTATTTCAGCCAATTATTCCATCACCTTCTTCCTTATTTTGGTCGTCAATCATTCAATCATTTGCCCTTCTTGCTCTCCTCTTCCTCTTCTGCCTCCTTATTTTCCTCGGCCCCATCAAGCTGGATCGTCTCCAACTCTGCCTGCTCCTCTTCCACGAAACCATTCATGCTAGCAGCTCCATACAACAACAACTCTTGTTCCAACAGGGATCGAATCACAACATGCGGGTTCAGCTCCTTGGTAAGCTTCTCATTCAGCTCATCCCCATACTTCTGCCGACTAGCTCGCTCATCATCGCTCAAGGTAACCGGTGCCTGGCGACCACGCCCCTTGCCCATGAAATCAGGTGCTAGATACTTCCGATGTTTGTTTGACGATCTGGTCACTTCATCCATCGCAGTTTGGTTAAGACCGAGGATATTGTCGATGCCGAACGAATGAGGATCCTCCAGTGCCTGCACCGCTATACCAAACGCAATCGACAAAATAGGCCCAACGCCTGGAACCATGCCAAGAGCAGTGTCAACAAGCCGTATCACGAGGTCTCTGAGAAAGGTTGATGGCTCATAGGGTCGCCAGCCAACTTCGACTCCAAAGGTTGCACTGAGGATGCGGGTAAAGTCAATGTCGCGGAAGAAATCGGGATGTTGTATGACTTGAGGAGAAATAGTGGTCCAATCTACCCAAGACGTAGAACTCACGACCAAGTCATCGCGTCGGTTCTTGGACTTGAACAAGCGATAATCTGGGTTGCGAAGTTTATGAGGGATGGTCAGGTAGGCAATGATGTCGGGCACATGGAAACCCCAAGTGGCGCCATCTATCCGCCCAAGACCGGCGTGCGACGTCACGGGATACCGGGTGGAGTAGTTGCCGTTGACATTTGTGATTTCGACATTCTCCCTGTGTCTGAAGTCGATGACAACATAGGTACACAGGTTGTCGAAGGCCTCGTCCGTCCGCTGCACGACTGGGAAGTAGATGGCTCTAAGAGGGATCGTAGCGTCGATCCAAAGCCATTCGGTATCGCGCCTCTGGATCTGGATGGGACGAAGGATGTACTTACGCGGGCCACCTCCTCTGAGATCACGGCATTCATTCCAGTTGAGACTGTTGGGGTGACTATGCACGGCTGTCATGCGTTGAGGGTTCTTGTCTCTGCTTTCACCCACCCAGAATCTATCCCAATCGCCGTAGCGCGTATTGTTAACTCCTTGAGCGGTTCCATGTCTCCATTGAGACCTCATGTGAGACCTGCTTTGACTACCAGTTGTGACCCAGCCATTCCAGTAGTACTCGACTAGGATATGGTTGTAGAAGTGTCTCTCGTTATCGGCGCTCCAACCGTGGGGGTATCTGAGGGACTGTCTAACAAAGTAGCACTCGCCTTCAGGATAGTATGATGCCATGATGATAGATTAAGTGTTTATTAAGTTTGATGCTAAGCTGGAGTTGATGGGATACTGATGAATCAGACGGAGAGAGGACTTGATATACTTGATCAATCCTCTATGAGCTCACATGTGCCGAGATTATCGTTTTCTCCGGTCAGTAATCTATGCATCTGGGGTCACTCAAACCCCGCGCCAAGACGGGAACGAGAATGACGATATTGCACTGCTTCTTGACCGTTGCATGCAGTGCTATACTGTGCCTCTTTCCCCGCACGTATTAACGAAGCATTTTTCGAGCAATGAGACAAATCATCATACAAGTTGACTTGTCTCTTGCGCGGCTACAATATTGATGTTCAAGGTGGTGGAGTCGGTCCGAATTGTGATTGACAATCAACCTGCCATTGTCGGTTTGCGTCACTACGACGTTCGCCATGTTCCTCTTTAACTTGCTTGTTTGAGTCGTGAGACGATCATGTCCAGTGAAATCTTTCATCTTTGTTATACGAAAGCTAGCCAAAGCAAAGAGTTGTAGTCATCATTCCTATTTGACTCTGCCTTGTGTCCAGTTATCATAGTAGTAAGCCTTGGCGTAGTACAAGAGTTATGATGGTTTAGGACACGAACCGGCATATTCCCCGTCTTCTTACGGTGTAACGTCGTTGCAAGGATTGAGCTGTTTGCAACAATCAACGTCACGATGAAGCATTTTTCGACTAAATACATGTCAGTGACTTGCTGTAGAGTTTTATTGCCTGATGGAGGTCGAAACATCTTTCTTCGATGTCAAATGACTTTGGCTCGGTGGCCACGCTCTTCTTTTCCGCCGAGCTCGATAGATGACTTGAGTGCGTGGGACACGATGCCGAAGATAACACTAGCGCTTGGTAATAAAGTCCCAAGTCTTGAACTCTAGATATTACAGTTGGATCAGTTCCCTGAATACCCTCCATTCCACTCACCACATCCGTTGTGGACACTTAGGCCCGACGCCCTGCACTGGGCGAGTTACGAGTCGCCCATACTAACTGTTGATGATGTCGTATCAGCGTTGTTCCCCCTTCCTGCTGATGAGCTTGTCACTTAAAGGGGTATCGTCGATCGGTGGGTTTCGGTTCGATTCGTTCTTGTCGACAGGTAAGTTGCTCGCATACTGCTGGACTAATGATGGCTCTGTCGGCTTCTGTATGTAGCTGCGTAGTGGAACGGGTGTAAGATGGAACCTGGATCTTTGGACGTTAGCTTCGTGATCGATACAAGGGTACAAAGATGGCAAGACGGCAATACTGCAAGGATGGCTCCTTCATTGTCTGTCAACATTCGTAGTAGGGTTTCATCTTCTTCATGCCCATGTCGAGCTTTCGGCGTTCTCATAAGTTTCATGCATAGAGTTATTGCTGTGTCTTTAGAGAGTCGGCAAGTATATCTCGGATCGTGTGCATGTTGAAATGGACTCTGTCGGTGGTCGAATAACCGGTTGGCTTGGTCATCGTAGGTGTTAGGATCGAGTGTAGCAAGAGGGGTGGTTCTGTCGTAAGCCGCTCTCAGAATAGAGCATACTAAAGAGGATCTCGCGAGCCTGGCTTTTCGCGACAGTCAGCCCTCATGTCATACCGCCAGAGATCGAGCCGTCCACGTATACGAAGGGGGGAGTCAGCAGGAGTCGTAGCGGCAGATGTGGGAGTAGTAATATGTCTAGCCTGTATTCCTTCAGCATGATGGGCTAATACAGCTGTTCTTGAGCAGCTCGTGAGATGGTGGTGTTGACTGGCCATTTTCACAATGTGAAGCTGAGAAGAAGGGGACCAGTCACGAAGAATCGTGTAACTCTCCCTGGTATGCTCTATCTTGGTAAAAATAGCTGCTGGCAACAGATTCTTTCGATTTAGAGGAGCGACGAGCCAACAATGTCGAGACCTACGGATGCTCGATGGGATAAGTGAGAACACGTGACTCCTTTCCGTGACTTGCAAGCATCATCGCGTATCACCAGTGTTACCAATTAACCATCAAAGATCGAACGCTATTATCCAGATAAGTTCGGATTATTTATTTAGTAACAGTAAAGTAGTAGTCAAGCTAGTATTAGAACAAGCTATGGGAAAAGGGAGAAAAAGCCAACAGTCCGGACATCTCGATCCCCAAACGACACTTCAGTTTTGTCGTTGCAGTGGCTGTGTCAAGTAGACTAACCCCGGCAGTTTGGGAAACATAATTAGTAGCCAATCAAGAATGGAGAATGAGTATTTACTACAGGGATACTGGCATGCCCAATGGAAAATTACTGGGATCACCCCTGTGAAGATTCATTTCTTGTCGGGCAAAGAAAAGATTGTGCAGTCCAAAAGCTCTGAGGGATATTGTCTACAACAATTTGTATGAATGATTGCTTGTGTTTTTCTATATCAGCAAGCAGAACGTGATATGCTGCTAGTGAGTCTGAGGCGTCTTGTCGCCGTTTCAATTGGTCGAAAGACTGTCCTTTGTTGTACTGTTGAACTTTATTGCGACTTCATTCATTTTTTGAGTAAAGCTTGGACTAGATAGTAATTCGCATATCTCATAGAGTTTAAGAAGTATTCTTTTGACTACATGTCATGGACGTTGTTGCAGGATGGTCGTGCTGATGAAGAATGTTAGCACAGAGACCCCCACCATCACCCTTGTACTTCCAGGCTAACACAACCTGTACAACCAGCAGTCGACAATCCAACAATCAAGACGACCACCTCAAGCTCACGAAGCAAAGAAATACCACCTTGACTCAGAAGATCATCAGAAACAGCCTACCAATACGTAATCCTCCCTCAGCCCTGTAACCACTCCCAGCCGCTCCTCCAACTCATCTAACTAAATGCTGACAGGTTCCATCGCCCCACAATCTCCGTGTCCGTGTCCGTGTCCGAAATCCTTCGACAATGCCTCCTCTCACTATTTCTTCCTCGACGCCTACTCCGTCCGTATATCTCTTTTCTCTATTCCTTATGCTTCAAGATGTCTACACCGGCGGTATACTCTTCCCTCGAAAAGGAAGACCGCATGGATGAAAAGACCCCAGACCATCAAACTTCTCCTACGTCTCCACCAAACACGAAGCATGAGAACAAGGGTCTTTACAAGCTCGACAGCTGGCTGAGAGCTTATGTTATCATCTTATGTGTCTACTTCGCCGGCGCTGTATTCTGTCTGGCATGGTCTTACACTGGTGCTGTGCTGGACACAGATGCTTCGAAACGGCGTGTCTTTCGAACGAGTTCTTCTCTACCCGTCGATCAGTTTTACTCGGGTATAGCTCTATCGGCACTCCTCGGACCAGCAACAGTTCTTGTCCAATTCGTTGTTTGGGACTTCCGAAGATTGCATCTCTTTGCTCTTACTACGCAGCAGCCCGTGGCGGTCAAGGATCTAGACGACATCGCGGAGAGTCTGACGCTATGGACCTTGAAAACGGTTGTCAAGTATTCCTGGTGGTATGGTGTTATGCATGCCGCTTTGATTCTTACTAGAACACTACTCATGCCCGTTGGAGCGCTTATACTTACTGTTGGACCGTATACACACTACAGAGATGGTTTCGGCGTCGTTGGACTTCCAATCTCCGCGGCGGATGCGATTAGTTCCAACATCACATCCCTCTCAACCGCCATGGGCACAAACCCAAATTCAAAGTTCCATCCTTCACTTTCAAAAAACGACACCTTTCTCTCTCAGACAGTCTTCACCTTTGTCGGCAGTCTCGTGTCCCAAAATGCCCTTGCAAACGTCGACTCTGGCATCTTGGGTCCTGTACCGACACACAACCTTACCTTCGCTACAAACACGACTTACGACGGAATAGTCTTTTTCAACTGGACCGCCAACTGCGAAGCAGCTACTGAAGTAAACTACACTTCTCACAAAGACGACGGCAACACTGTTTACAACTTTACACTTCCCGACAACAGCGTGGAAAGCATTGAGCTCCTATCGCAAGGATCACAGAGGATTCGGCTTTGGAGTAACGCCACAAAGTATGGCACCGACAAGATCCCTACTTCTGGCACGACTTATTTCCTTTCCGCGACAAAGTCTATCCCAAATATCAACGAGACCGCCCTTCGAAATCGCGGTGACGATAAGAGTTTAGTTCAAACAGACGGCGGCGACTGGATTTCCCGAACAAAGTGTACTCCTCGTCTAGAATGGCTTATCGGATCTTGTACTTTCAACGGAACGATTATGACATCTTGCTTCGAAAAAGCCGACTCAAACAAAACAGCACTCGACACACAGGCGCTCGATTCTCTAAGTGTCTACATGTCCGCCATACCGTGGTACATCATCCGCAATCGAATCAGTATCGTCGACGATACTCTCGACACACTCTACACGATTCCTACATCGAAAGATTTCGGTCACTTCTTTGGTAACATGGCGCACGCTATTGTTTCCATTACTACGGCGGGATACTTTGGAACATCGGAAGTTGAGACGATGTCCAAGGTTATTGAATCAGTTTACATTGTGCGATGCAGTATTTTGATCGCTGTGACTGTTATGCTCTTCCTTACTGTTACAGTATCCATCATCGACATCATTCGGAACCGTGTAAAGCGTCTTCCACAGTTACATGCTAGTTTCTTGGCTATCGCTCATGCTGTACGTGGACAATGGTGGGATCAAGAGCTTGTTGGTTACAAGCCATGGGAAGCGACAAAGTCTAGGAGTGCAGGGGAGGCTACGATTATGTTTGGCTTGGATATGGAGGATCCTAGATATATTAGGCTTGCACCGACTGTGGCACCGATCCGTTAATGTTCAGCTAGCGTATTCCACCTAAGTTTTTATCTAGTCTAAGCTAGCAGAATAAGCAGTGACCAGTTTCTGAATCTGTCTTGACCCTTTCCTGTCCTGGATATTGTATGTCGTACATCTTGTTCCCTATTCCCTAATGTCTTGCTTAACTATGGCCCATGTTGATGGCGGTCCCGTGAGACCGGTCCGGCGAGGCGTCGCAGCAGACAATCATGGGCCATGGGCAACCAAAGATAGCCGTAAAACCCTTGGGGTCTCCCGTTAGACGAATGACCTGGTGAACTGGTCTGGCGAAACATCGCAGCAGATAACCATGGGCCATGTAGAGCGACCAAAAGTAACCGCAAAGTCCTGGGGTCTCTCATGAGACAAGTGTACTATTTTGCGAAACCTGTAGACGTCAGTTTCTGTCATAAAAATCAAAGGTACAAGGATTTGGACTTACCGGCTGTGTTTGTTCTGAGATGAGAGTGTAGAAGACGATCAGGGCCATGAACAACCAAATATTACCGCAAAACTATTAGAGTCTCCCATGAAACGAATGCTCTTTGGTCCGGTCTGTCGAAACGTCGCAACAGACAACCGTGGGCTATGTAAAGCAACCAAAAATAACCGTAGAAACTCAAAGCCTTCCGTAAGACGTCGCCATAGTGTCGATCAAGTTAAATGCCTGGAAGGCGGCAGGACCAACGAGTTCCGTGAGTCGGTAGGATGTATCAGAGATACATAACTAAATAGTAAATCGTCGACGATACTCCTCTGCAGTCGTTTCCTGGCTGTAGAACTCGACCTGGTCGTCGGAATGATAGGAGCTGCTGCTGTCCGAGCTGCTGCTGGAATCATGGTCGTCGTCAGCGTGCTCGCTCGGAGGCTGGCTCTGGATACCCAGCATCTGGCACAGGTTTACGATCTGATACTCGCCAGAGCTGTCGGGGTGGCTTTCCGCGGCTTGCTGGTTCTCGGTGTTGCCGTGGCCGGCAGTGCGCGGGCTGCCCGTCGGGAGGTCCTCAGGCTGAGTTTCAGCCTCGGTCCCGGTCTCAGTCTCAGCGGTACTGTCAGGAGCATTCTCAACCGAAGGCATCTTGTAGGGAAGAATTTCATTGTTGTGGAAAAGAACTCGTTCAAATCCAGTGATCCAATAACCGGCACAAATCCTTTTGGACCGCATGCTGACAGTCAAAGCTCTTTCTTGCTCGATGTCGTCCTCTGTGGTGAACTGGATTCCGATGATGTTTCCAAAGGCATCTGAGTCAATGGCTCCACTGCGGAGTCCGTCGTCTTCGAGGACAGTATCGTCCTCGAAGATTCCCTCACAACAATCCCATCCAACATATCCTTTTTTGTTCCAGCAGATCATCCACTGGGTGCTGATGGCGTGTCAGCTACTGATGGTAAATATCAAAGAATAGGGAATCTAGCTTACAGGGCATCGCGAGGGCCGCGGATTTCAGGATCCTCCGAGGGGACGAATTCCAAGTGCCAAAATTTGAACCTTGTCAGGTTGGAGCGATCTTCACCGGGACCCAGAGTAGTTCCTCGAAGAACATTGACAAGAGTGAGCATGGTGACCTTGACGTCGTCAGGGCACCAAGGGTCGTGGAGAGGGAACACGAATGTGGCGAGGGGGCGATAAAATGGGCGCTCTTTAATCATGAACCGAACAGTTAAGTCACCGTCTCGCCAGCCTTCACGTTCCATCCACATAGCAAGGCCAATAATATTTACCTCCTTGCCCTGGATGTCACGGAACTTGAAGCTTTGGGCAAGCTCAAAATAAAAATGCCAGCGGCAAGATGTTTCCCCAGGCACCTGGTAGACTTGTAAAGCAAAGGCAGCGAGACCGCTACACACGTTGACATTCAGGAAGTGGTTAGTACGTCCAACAATGTCCTCGATACTAAAGATTTCTCGCCGAGAAGGCGGAATTTGTCTCCAGTTGGTGACGTCCATGTTGTTTCTCGATTTTCAGAGCAATCTCGGTGGTTTGCTTTTCAGTGAGACTTGAGGGAGTAAGGGGACGATGGCTGTAGGCGATTTGTTCGAAAGAAGATAAAGGGAATGAGAAAGAAGATCAAATAGCTTATTAAACCGTTTATTCAGTTCGATAGTTGGTGAAAACTGAGTGTGCGGTGTGATCAAACGCTGTTGTTTTTCTGTGATTTCTCGTTTGTGGGGGGAGGGATTGTGCTTGTCTAGGCTGCCAAGTAAGTCAGAAATAAATTCCCAAACGTACTAAGGTATACTCCCACTGAGCAAGTATTTTATAGCAAGGGGTAGGGTTGAACTCACTAAATGTCTGATGCAAGGAGTGATCATATGCACTGCTGCCACACTGCAAGTCTACTTCTCGCTTGGCGAATATTCCGTAGCTTGATCAGCAGAACGCCTGAGTATTATATAGGCCGTAGGATACTCCGCATTTGGTCTTCGTCTTGCCCTGAATTGGTTTCCAACTCTGAAACCGCTTCTGGCTGCGAGTTCGGTTCTAGTCTCAGTGGTTGCTCGGGTTCGTAGAAATCCACAACTTTGTTGTGTAAACTGGCCTTTAGTCCTGTGAATCTTTTCCCATAATCTTTCTCAGATTCATTGTGTCCTCTTGCTCTCTTCCCGTACAACACCACTCTCACTTTCCTATATCGACTCCAAACTGCTTCTTCTTTTACAGAAGCATTCTCACTCCCATCAGTCAGTGTCAGTCTATCCCTATGTCGACCAACAAGGAGCTAGTCCCTCACGGATTGTTTCCCTGCCAGTAGGTAACAGCTTTTGAAACGACACTCGGAAGTATACGTCGCTGACGCCCCTTTCCGAACAAGAAACTGGACAGCTTCAAGACTCCCGCATGCACTTGCAATCATGACCGCCGATCCAAGGGGACAGCCTTCATAATCGACTTCTGCGCCCATATCCAAACAGTTCTCAACAATAGTAACGATTTTCAATGCTACAGCACGACACAAAGGACTCCAGTCGCGAGAGGGTCCAAATTCAGAAAATGCCTGACCAACTCGAAAGGAACACACCGCCGATACTTGTCGAAACTTTAAGTCAAAAACGCCAAGCTAAAGAAGGACCGCTATTCCAGATGCCATGGAAAGGGACCTATGTTCGCCAAGTCCGAGTAGTTGTTGGGCACAAAGTAAAACAAATCATCCTCACACACAACACAATGCATCATATTCCGCACAGCATGATCCTCCGCCAGAAGCTCATGCTGAAGCTCCGCGAGCTTCCCTGGGCTGTCCGGTGTCGTTGGATCATCTTCACACCCCGTGGGGAACTGTTTTGCTGATTCTTGATCCAGGAGTTCCTTTGGAAATCCAGTTGACAGAAAACCCCAAAGCTCGTTGAAACGCTCAGGTCCATACCAACGGATCATGGAAGTAAGCGATTCCAACCTATAAATTACCGAGGTCGAAGCTCCAAGTCGAATTAAGTGGCACGCCATTTCGTCAGACCGAGTGTACATCAACGGAGTCCAACCATTGCCATCTGATGCATCCACAAGAGCGCCATTTCGTATCATCAGGGATACATCCGACTTATTTCCAAGCCATGAAGCAACATGCAATGGAATTGTGAATGCGTAGCGTGTTCCCTATCGCCAGTTCTTCGTGCCTCTTTATTCTGACGGGCGAGCTGGTTGGCTATTGCTCCAAGGATGTTGATAGTCTCCCAGGTCCTCGAGTCTTTATCGTCACAGAAGAATAACGCCACCCCAATGTTGTTGCTTGGATGACTCCGAGAAAGACCTTCCTGTATGACTGACCCAGCCAGGACAGTCTTTCCTGCGCCAGATCTACCAGTCAACCACAGTTTGGACCCAGGCGTGTCTATCCAACGAATAAAGTCTGTGGGTTCTGTCAACCAGAGCCCTGTCATTGAATGTCGCAGTTTGATACTGGTCGCCAGGTCATCTTGTGGGTCTGCCTTCATGAAGTAGTTGAGGACGCGTTGCTTCTGTGCATTGACTTCGATGAGAGTATTGATCTCGATTCTTTTGACAATATTCTCAACAGCGGAGATGTTAGCTCCCAGTTTGTCCATCTTCGTGAGTGACTGACAGCGTTAGTTTCTACATGGAATCAGCTACCAAAGCCATGCTAATTGTCTCTTTGTGGCGGGAAAGCTCATCCAGGAGATTCTTTGTTTCAGTAGAGGAGAAAGGCCATCTGAGATACTGGCAGATGCTCTCAACTTTTGACCAAGCAAACCGCTCTGTGGCTTTCTTTGTTCTCACTTCGATGCGACTCAAAGTTTTGAAGCAGTGATTGAGATAATGATTTCTCTATGTTGGATCAAACTGATCTCCCTCTGCTTCCAGGTCAGAGGCCAATGCCTCGAGAACTCGTAGGACACTGCCAAGGTTGTTCATCTCGTCGGCGAGGGTCGATACATCGGTCTTCGCATCTTTAGCCGCTCTAACAAATTTGTAGGTATACTTGAATGTGACATCGGCCAGCGAGATCAGTCCAGCGATACTAGCTGCCAAGGACAACGGATCGGCCATGGTCTCCGGGCCTGGAATGACTCCAAGATGTAGAGAGATGGATGATAAAAGTAGCACATATTGAGGGGTGAGGCTGAAACTTATCAATTTCTTACATGTTGCAGGGGGAGGAAGGAATGAGCCTTGCCACTTCTTCCTATCAAGGTACCTATTCCCCACCTTGGTTGTTGCCGTTCCTGCTCTGTGATTCACGGCTTTTGACGGTTACACCTTTCTATGAGGAAGGTACCTGCCACTGTAATATGGTACAACAAATTAGGAACTACATCCATTATCTTAAATATAAGTGCTTAGGCAAGTCTACTGAGAGACAGTACAGGAGCCTTGGCCAGTATGGCTTCATGTATAACCCTATATTTAATAACGTAATCTATTCTTAAATAATACATAGAGGACAATAATATCTCAGAGGGTGGCACCTAGACACTTCGAGCGCAGCCACAAAGTAGTGTTTTAGGAACAGCCTGATGATTTCCGGCTAAGACAAACCCTGCGATGACTGCTGTTCTTCGGCGAATCTCCTGAGGTTTTGAGTTGATTGTCGCAACATGACCGTGTGCAGTGTCCTTCGATGAGCTTAGCAACTGAGTGAGTTGTCCAGTAATTTATGTCAAGTCCCCTCGCGCCGACCCTCAGATGGCAATTGCCGTATGAGAAGACTACCCTGTTCCCCATACCGATATAGGATTGTCTCGTGAACATGTACTCTATCAGATTAAGACAAGAGTTCCGATAGGCAATTTCATCTGCACTACACTTGATTCCATATGTGGCTCGCTCTCAGGATGAGTATCGTCCTTGAGGTTGTTGACGTTTGCTAGGAGATCAAGTATCTCGGTGTGGTTCACGCTGGCAGTTAGGTCGTCACCTTTGCTCAACTCGAAGAGAAAGAAACTCAGAAGGAAGTATAACAATATCATATTTGCAATATCGATTAGTGTTGAGTGAACGATATAAAATTGCTTGTGAGGGTTTGTGCCGAGGGAGCTCAGCCGGAGTCATAGTCTTTTAACACTGTCATGTCGAGATCTCTTATCTGTCGAATCTTATCAGAAAACCAATTCTATTTGGTGTCTCGGTTAGAACTACGTTGGCATGTGAACTTCTACGGCACATCTGCCCTGATGTATGAATTGCTGCTTATGGCAGCTAATTGAACAGAAATGGCCACGAGGGAGTGAATTGGCATATTTATAAAGATCTAGATGCCTTCAGGAATATGTACAACACTAAAATCCTGCTCGCCAATTTGCAAGATTATCTCAATCACCTCTGGGTGTGTATCCGCACTGTTCATCGTATCCTTATAGAAAGCCACAGCCTCACCATATGCTTCAGGTTCGAATTCCTTGTATCTCATTGCATCGTCTTTGATAGTTTCAAGTACGGTCAATTTCTCGAACTTGCCATCCACCACATCTCCGAAGATATGGTAGCGGGACCATATAGCATCGCCGTACCTTTTGTCGTGGACAGCGTCAATAAACAAGGTGGCCCATGGCTCAACGGCAGGGATTCCTGGATTGTGAAGAACATCCTGTATGGAGATGTCAGAAATAATATCTCTGGAGCCACGGCGTCGTTCAGACCCAGACTCATAACTATACTCAGGTTATTCCTGCCGCTCATTACAGAGTGGAATAAAGAAGGGTTCAGTATGGGTACCTTCAAGTGTTCTTGATAATTGATGGCGGTATCAGAATATCTGTCTTTTGGTTTGAAGATGGAAGCATAACAAGGTGAGGTGAAAGAAGAGAAATGAGAAAGAGGAATGCCAAAGTTTATCTTGCACCATGTCAAAAGTCCCAGCCCCACTTGACTCGTATACATGGACACGACAAAGGGATGCAACTGTCTGTTGTTGCAGGTTATCTCCACCGCTTTCTAGGCAGAAGTAGGTTGGGAGAGACGTTGGAACCAAGGGTTAGAGTCATGCTTGGGACCGGTCAATGGCATGTATGTTGCTAAACCTATTTAAACAAGAATCTTGTTGAGCTCAGCCGGAAGCAGCGGACATCAGATATTCTTAAGCAAGCCGTGAATGGTTCTTTACCACTCGGACTTCAAGCATTCTTGTGCAGGTGATACAAAGTCCTTTACAGGGCCAACCATGATCTATCTGGTATTTCTTCTTGTAGTAGCGTCATAGCAAACTTTACTCTAAGTTCCGATGATAGTCATCCTTTTTCGCTTGCAACCACATTAACACTGCCAGGACATTATTCGGGATAATTTTCCCACGCCCCAGGTGGAAAGGCAAGGACGATGTTAAAGCGAGGGAGCTGAGCACCGAGCATGTCACTACTTCGAACTGGAGAATGTCACTGAGGGTAAGCAGTGAACAAAGCTCAGGCAGTCGAGAATTGCATGCACTTATGCAGAACTATATGTGCTACTCTGGGTTGTACAGGCCACGGCTATAGTCTCTCGAATTCCTTTGGCAACTCTTTGTTTCCCACCCAAGCAGCAACACCAGACGCAAACAACTCTGGCAACTGCAAATGCCAAGGGTGATAGGCATCTCTTACCACAATCGCTTCATTCATAACTCCCTTCTCGTCTCCTCCCTTTCGCAATACAACTCCCATTTCTTTTATCGCTTCAACTTGATCCATCTTGCCGCCTGCAACAACACAAGTTCTCACCCCAGCGTCACCAACAGCCTTGACATCCTCCATACTGAACTCAATCAACTCCCTTCTCATTGCCTCATCTCTCTCTGGTGACTTGTTCTTCTCTTGTTCCGTCATCCATTCTTCGTAGTCGATTCCTTGTCTTTTAAAAGCCCTTTCCGTTAAGCCCGGAATACTCTGTAACTTTCCCACGATCCACATCGCTGTTGGTCTTTCCATAACCCATTTGAACAGGCCTCGGTATGGGTATGCACCAGTTGCCAAGGTGGATAGAACAATGTCCGGGTGGCGCGAGGTAAGGAACAAGGCGACGAATCCGCCTAGGGAGAATCCAACAACATGGGCTTTACCACCGTGAGCTTGGTTGTGAATGACCTCTTGTACTTTATCGGCTGCATTTTCTAGCGTGAAAGGTTTGATGTCATGGGATTCTGAGTGCATTGGTAGATCCACGAGTATAAGATGGTACGATGCCATAGCTGGTTGGCTCGCAACATGTTTCCACTCAATATGGCTTCCTCCGCCACCATGCAGAAAGATGATGGATTCATTCTGGTCTTTGTTGTATTCTTTGTAATAGATCGTTTGCTTGTTATCTGACATAGACATGATGTAGTTGGCTCGAGCATTCAGCGATGTCCAACTAGTAGGAAGGGATTAGGTAGCTTCGCACTGATAAGTTTATGAGGTTGTTGAAAGAGGAGATGGAGTCTTGTCAGAGTTAAAAGACACGCGGCTAATTATGTTGGCCTAAGGCAGGACCAAACCAAAAACACCATCTGTTACAGTTCATCACTGAGAATGATTGGACTTGGTTGTGACGACTCGGCACGAAAGTCCCGAATCGCTGCCATGGGTCGTCAGTAGATGTAGAATAGGCGTAGGGTAACCGGCAGTGCACTGAGTTAGTGATAAGCGCCAAGTTTAACAATGCACAAGTGTCCAGACTGAAACGATATTTTTAGAAGGCAAAATAGATTCCACAAGTAAAACATTTCAACCTTGTAGCCTTTTTAAACCTTTTATTAAAAATTGCATTCCAACCGTCAAGTAGCTGAATTTAACATTGCCCATTGCGGCTAATAACAAGGGGTATCCAAGCCACACAGCACGTGGATCCACCCCCATGACAAGCTACCCCAGGTCCCTCTAAACCTCAACTCTCAGCTGCTTTCTCCTTCTTCACTCAACCTCTATCTTCCCTTGTTTGTCACTTTTAGTAGCAAACTCACGACCCGACCGCAAACATGGCCGGTTCCAGGCTCCGCGATATCAGCGGATACTTGATCTTGCTGATCGCCATCACGACTCTGGGGTCGCTACAGTTCGGTTTCCACTTGGTACGCTACAGTAAACACCAAACGCCATGACCACCATCAGCTAACTGACAACTCTTTATAGGCCGAACTTAACGCTCCTCAAGATGTTATTACGTGTCGCAAGCAATCGATAAATGCTCTATCCGCTCTCGACAAGATCAAAGGTTTGATCCACAAGAAACCGGTCGAGGAGGATCATGGCTTCATGTCACATTGTATTCCCATGGACGAAGCTTCCTTTGCGACCATCTCCTCGATATTCACACTGGGGGGACTACTGGGAGCTTTGACATCTGGTCCTTTCTCGTCTAAGCGCGGCCGTCTCCCCGCGATGCGAATTACTGGCATACTTTACCTCGTTGGAGCTGCTATTGAGACCATCGCTGGTAGTGTCTTTGTCATGGCCCTCGGTCGCCTTTTCTCTGGCATCGGAGCTGGAGCTTCAACTGTCGTCGTCCCTCTATACATCAGCGAGATTGCGCCACCAAAGGAACGAGGATTGTTTGGCTTCATGACCCAAATCTCCATCAATGTCGGTATTTTGGCAGTTCAGACGCTGGGTTACTTCTTGAGCTACGGCACTGCTTGGCGATGGATCCTTGGGTCAGGAGTCTTTATTGCGGCAGCCCAGACCTTGGGACTCGTTGTTGTGCCAGAGAGTCCCTCATGGTTGGCTGCCCAAGGAGATGGAACCAAAGCCAAGCGAACTCTGCAGAGGATTCGCGGAAACGGCTACGATATCCATGAAGAGACCGAGACATGGGACTCGGAGGAACGTGATGCCTCCGAAGAAGATGGCCTTCTTCAAACCGACAGCGCCTCTGAATCTACACCCAAAAGCCGTCTCGAGCATCTTGGGTTCTTCCAGGTCCTCCAAGACCCTGATACCCGACCTGCCATAATTGCCGTGGTAGGCATCATGTTTGTCCAGCAGCTTTGCGGTGTCAACTCAATCATCATGTACTCTGTCTCTCTTCTTGCTGATCTACTTCCTATCTCTTCAGCACTACTTACCATTCTCATTTCCGTGGTCAACCTCGTCACCACAATCGCTTGCGCTCCTCTTCCCGATCGTCTGGGTCGCAAGACTTGTCTGCTCGCATCCATCGTCGGTCAAGGAACCAGCGCTTTTGTCTTGGCTCTATCAATTGTATTCGGGGCCAAGATTATCTCTGCCATTGCTGTTGTGGCTTTCGTCGGTTTCTTTGCCGTCGGTCTCGGCCCTGTGCCATTCTTGCTCGCCTCTGAGCTTGTCGGACAAGAGGCTGTTGGCGCCACTCAGAGTTGGTGCCTTGCGGCCAACTACGTGGCGACATTCCTTGTCGCCCAATTCTTCCCTATCGTGAACACAGCTCTTAACAATGTGCTTGGTGGTCACGGATGGGTGTACTTTATCTTTGCTGGCCTCGCTGTTGGGTCATTCATCTTTGTATTCTGGAGAGTCCCAGAAACAAAGGGCAAGAAGGATGTTGATGAGGTCTGGGGCAGGACAAGACGTGTTGATTAGAAGTCGACTCACATTGCACTCGATCAGTCGTAATGAGCTCTTATGCTCTTTTCTTTTATCTATTTCTTTCTTTCTTTCCATTTAGCGTTGACTATCTATTTTACAGATACAGGAACGGACTGCGTTCTGACACGCTCTGAAGTAGCATTACCTTGTATTCATGTAGCAGGTATTTTCTAGGTATTTGTGGATGTGTCTTTACAGATAGAACGAAGTGCTGGCACATTTACCTAAAGGCTCGCCTGCTTCGGATCATTTGCTCCAACTGCATGACACCGGCCTTGACTCCATCAATGATGTAGACAAGGTCACCATCAGCCTTACCGTATTGCTCGATCGCAGTCGAGCGGATGATGCCCTCCAAGCCAGCCATACCACCGCACCCCATGACAACACAGTTAACCTGACCCTGGTCGAGCAGATTTTTGGTTGCTTCTTTGAGCTTCTCCCTGACCTTCTCCGGTGGAACAGTGTGAAAGTCGCCCGCTGTGAGACCCGACGAGTAGACGCCAGCAAACTTGCTGTTCACACCATCCTTTTCTTGACCGAGGAACTTCTTCACACCATTGGACAAGTGATCCTCCCAGAACTTTCCAGTCGTAACAATGCCCCATTTTGCGCTATTCTCTGGCGCAGCCATGAGTGAAAGGGATGTGAGAATACTCGCTTCAAAGATACCAGTAACAGCAAGATGGCGGTACCTAGTCAGCTTAGGGACTAGACAGTGAACGCTGAAGCATGCTACTAGAACAGCATCATACTTGTCCGACTCGAGCTCCTTCTCAATCTTGGGGTCGTCTAGAACTGCTTGAGTGCTGCGCTCGATGCCTTCCTGATCATTGATGCTGTCGGGGGCAGATTGAGGAGGAGCAGTGTAGGTATAAATCTCAACCGACTTTTATGACAATCAGCCTGCGCTGTAACTTATAATCTTTGCTGTTCGTTTGTTCATACATCTGGTAGTGACATATGGCGAATGGCATTGGCCATGCCTTCAGTCATGGTGGTCGATGAGTTTGGGTTTAGGACGAGAATGCGGAGATTCCGCCTGAGGTAGTTAATCTCGGACATAATGAAGGGCTTATAGATAGAGTATAAAATGCAATTAAATCTCGGCGTAATCAGGAAATATTTCAGCTTCAAATAAGCATATTTCGACCTATTTCTCAAGAGGGGTCGAGTCGTTTATGACTGAGTGTATACCATCATCTCACGCATCGCGGGGCGCCACGTGATCCGCCTCAGCCACTGGACCTCTGACGACGGTCGGCAAGACGTACCCCACTACTGACGACCACCTCAACCTCCTCTAAGCTGAGCTGTTGGCGATAGCAACACGACACGTCGTCGGCCTCTCAATCACCGAATTCCCATCTCCCATCTCTTATACAGTGAATATGGCCAACCCTCCACCCATTGGTAAGCTTTAAATGCACCGCACAGAGCTCCAGGAAGCTCCCCCAACCACCCCTGTGCTGACGATACCTCTACCGCTTAGTCCTCGATGGAGGTACCGGTTTCCTCAAAGTCGGATATGCCGCGCAGAACTTTCCCGAGCATCAATACCCTTCCATCGTCGGCCGACCGATCCTGCGTTCAGAGGAGCAGACCGATAGCGATGTTGTCATCAAGGATATCATGTGCGGTGACGAGGCCGCCGCCGCCCGAACAATGCTCCAGATCAGCTACCCCATGGAAAACGGTATCGTCAAGAAGTGGGATGACATGGAGCATCTTTGGGATTACACTTTCTACGAGAAGCTCAAGGTCGATCCCCAGGGCCAGAAGATCCTCTTGACGGAGCCTCCCATGAATCCTCTTAAGAACCGCGAGAAGATGTGCGAGGTCATGTTTGATAGATATGGATTCGGCGGTGTCTACGTTGCAATTCAGGCCGTTTTGGCTCTTTACGCCCAAGGTAATTATTATGTACAAACATTGGAGCTTTCCGAGAGCTAACGAATGCGGTGTAGGTTTGAGTTCCGGTGTTGTAGTCGACTCTGGTGATGGTGTCACACACATTGTCCCCGTCTACGAATCCGTGGTCCTCAACCACCTTACGAAGCGATTAGACGTTGCCGGCCGAGACGTCACGCGCAACCTGATCAAGCTGCTGCTGCGCCGCGGCTACGCTCTCAACCGAACCGCCGATTTCGAGACTGTCCGCCAGATCAAGGAGAAGCTATGCTACGTGTCGTACGACCTCGAGCTCGACAAGCGCCTGAGTGAGGATACCACCGTTCTCGTCGAGGATTACACTCTGCCGGACGGACGTGTGATCCGCGTGGGCAGCGAGCGTTTTGAGGCGCCAGAGTGTCTGTTCCAGCCTCACCTCGTCGACAGCGAGTCACCCGGACTGGGCGAGTTTCTCTTCAACACGATCCAATCGGCCGACGTGGACATTCGTTCTTCTCTGTTCAAGGCGATCGTCCTTTCGGGAGGAAGCAGCATGTACCCCGGTCTTCCTTCACGACTGGAGAAGGAGCTCAAGCAGCTGTGGCTCACGCGGGCGCTGCAGGGCAATCCTGAGCGCTTGAGCAAGTTCAAGGTGCGGATAGAGGATCCCCCGCGACGCCGACACATGGTGTTCCTTGGTGGTGCGGTGCTGGCCAACATCATGGCGGACAAGGAGAGCATGTGGGTTACCAAGGCGGAGTGGGAGGAGGAGGGAACTAGAGTTCTTGAGAAGCTGGGACCCCGATAAGTCTTGAAGCAAGCGTTATATATTGGGGGATTAGTATTTTGCGTTGAAAGTTTAGTGCAAGGTAGACAGCAAGAAAAGAGTTTTAAAGATTATAAGTGTGGTTATTATTGTTGACATTAGAGGTACGTTTCTGCTGCGAATAGCCGCAATTTTATCAGCCAACAGTTTGATTATGATACATTAATAGCCTGTCTTTTAAATAAGTCATGAGATGTCTTGGTGTTGTCCAGTTCATTCCAGACAATGCAACCACCAACACCCAAACTGATGTCCAAGCCAGCTTAGTCATCGTTCGACGGGACAAAAAAGTCGCATACCTAGTTCGAGTTCCAGAACACAAGGGAGGGAAAAAACATCAATTTGCATGAAACCTCGACCTCTGTCGCATTTTCACCTTTCTGCGTCAATCGCGAAACCACCACGAGCGGGAAACGCCAGCACCAGTATATACTATACTTATCCACGAGTCATTTCCAAGAGATCCATCTTATTCCCATCTCCACACAGAGAGCGGATCTCCGCACGAACCAGACCAGGCAGGTCGGCGGCCCCCCAATATTCCTTTGTTTCCGAAGAGATACAGAGACAGAGAGAGATCCGCGCCGCCGAAGAGGATACCTACAGCAGCCAGTGCAGCAACGATAGTACTGTGCGTCTGCAGGTGAAGTATTGAACCTACTCGCCGTACAAAGTTCCCAACGCGCATCCACCACGAAACTTCCATCAAGCCTCTCATCCTATCGGCGCGCATCATCAAGGTTCTGATCTATTACCTTTTATCCTTTTTGTCTTACGTTTTTCCTTTTTCCCCGCGCGGGGAAATAACACCATCTATTGCCTTTCAACTAGGGGTGCGCATCTGTGTCTTTGCCGCCATCATCATTATTGGGGGAGGCGCGCAAACTCGCAAATCAGCTTACAACCTCCCTCCCGTCTGCCCCCAAGTTTTCGGAGGCGCCGTTCCGAAAGTTAGAGCCTAATTTTACTCAATCAGAAGGAAAAAGAAAAAGAAGTTGATAAAAATAAAGAAACAAAAAAGTAAATGAGCATAACGAATCCGCCGACGGGGGCTTCGGGCCCGGGATCCGTTGGCTTGGGCGTTGTCAGGGGGCTGAAGCGGAGTGTTCAGGCGACTTTTGAAGGTGAGTTTCTTTTCTCTATTGTCTCTATCTATTACTACTATTATAATCTCTTTTTACATATATATCATATATCTGAATCTCGCCTATCTGTGATTCCCTGTTTACATCCCGTCATCTATTCACACACACACTTTTCGCATCGGCTTCATACCCGTGTCTGTACGGACTTGCCCATTTCTGCACGTCTTGCATATTCCTCCTCCTCTTTCTCCTCGACAGCTGAGACTAGCCTTACCCTATCTTGCCTTTTTGTCGGACTTTGATCTCCTTTGCCTGATTCTATACTCCGCATACTTGTCTTGGGGGGAAAGGATCAACCTGAGGTGTCGAGTTTTAGACAACCAACGACTTTACCAAACTCAACTCAAACTCAACTCAAACTCAACTCAAACTCAACTCAAACTCAACTCATCTTCATCATTGTCTTCTCAAGCCCTTTTTTTGTCTCAGCGTCATCATTTTAATTTCTTACCTGCATCATCTTTTCCTTTTCGGCTTTTTGGACGTCTTTGCTTTGGTCAATCCCGCTCATTACCGCTTGTGGGACTGACCCTATCTTTATCCTCCACCTCAACTCATCATCGCCACCGTCATTTTTCATAGTGTCAATGCCAAGTGGTTAACGCGCACTTTGACTATCACCTAATACTATTCGGCGATGCCTCTCCGCCCTCACATCGGTCTCGGTTTCCCATCTCACGCTTACCAAAAACGTCATGTAGAACCTCACGACCGCTCTACAGGATACCAGCCCAAGGTCCGCATCACAGATCGGTACCGCATTATTGGATTCATCAGCTCCGGTACCTACGGACGTGTTTACAAGGCTGTCGGTCGCAATGGAAAGCCCGTCGGCGAGTTTGCCATCAAAAAGTTCAAGCCTGATAAGGAAGGCGAGCAGATTAGCTACACGGGCATCTCGCAGAGTGCTGTCCGTGAGATGAGTTTGTGCAGCGAGCTTCACCACCACAATGTCATCCGTCTTTGTGAGATCATGCTCGAGGATAAGTGCATCTTTATGGTATTTGAGTATGCAGAGCATGATTTGCTTCAGATTATTCATCACCATACTCAACAACCTCGGCATCCGATCCCTCCAGCAACGATAAAGAGCATCATGTTTCAACTTCTCAATGGCTGCCAATATCTTCACACCAACTGGGTTCTGCACCGTGATCTCAAGCCCGCCAACATTATGGTTACTTCATCAGGTGAAGTCAAGATTGGTGATTTGGGTCTCGCGCGCCGTTTCGACAAGCCTCTTCATTCGCTGTTCAGTGGAGACAAGGTGGTCGTCACAATATGGTATCGTGCACCAGAACTCATCCTTGGATCTTACCACTACACCCCGGCCATCGACATGTGGGCTATTGGCTGCATCTTTGCAGAACTTCTATCTCTGCGACCCATATTTAAGGGCGAGGAGGCCAAGATGGACAGTAAAAAGACGGTACCTTTCCAACGCAACCAGATGCAAAAGATAATAGAGATCATGGGCGTGCCCACAAAGGACAAATGGCCCCTTCTCCCGACCATGCCTGAATACAATCAACTCAACACCCTCGCCAACACGATGGCCTCGTCTCATCACGGCCACCACGGTCATCATCACCCTCATCATCACGGCCACTACGGTTCCCGCAACCCTCCTCCGCCTCCACCCGGCGGCTCAAACCTTGAAAAGTGGTATTTCAGCACCATCAACCACACCAGCACCCCCGGAGGAGCTCCACCGCTTGCCTCCCTTGGTCAAGAGGGCTACAAGCTACTGGCCGGCCTTCTCGAGTACGATCCCTCAAAGCGTCTTACTGCCGCTCAAGCTCTTCAATCGCCATTTTTCTCCACTGGTGATCGTGTTAGTGCGAATTGCTTTGAAGGTTGCAAGAACGAGTACCCTTGTCGACGCGTCAGTCAAGACGACAATGATATCAGGACCAGCAGTTTACCTGGAACGAAGCGCAGCGGGTTACCTGATGACTCGCTCATGCGGCCAGCCAAAAGGTTGAAGGAGTAGAATCCCAGACCTCTACAAGCCCTTCCAACGTACAACGGTATCTGTCCCTGCGGTATGCAAATCAACAGTGTCGATTAGTACGGCAACATATTTCATTGCTGGTATACCGGTTTCTACCAATGTGTTATTCGAATGGCTACGGGGAACTGAGTGGGCATTTCAAGGGGACAATAGATATGATGGAGTTTATAGACATGGTATGGCGTTTTTGGTGGTTCTTTTTGTGCATGGGTTTGTGCTTGGTCGGGGTTCTAGAATGTTTAATCTGGTGGATGAACGGAGTAGTTGCTATAGCTTATACCCAGCGCTTGAATACAGCATTGATACTGTTCCTCATCTTGGCGATGCGCATGTGTGGATCAATTCACACCTTAATTTGTGTTGTCTATGAGTTGTCTGCTCATCACCCCACGCTCGTTAGAGGGGCGGACATATTCGTTGGTTTGTCAGGGAGGGCAAGCAAACGCGTATTTGGATGTCCCTTTCAACCCAAGGCGGACATCGTAACTCAACATTACGCCTGTAGTAGCAAAACCTCACCACACAGCAACATCACATGTCATCAAGGCAAACAATAAACTCGCACATGTGCATCTACAGCATCTTCCATTCCATTCCCCCCACCCGAGACTCAGTCTATCCTACCATCCCATCCCATTTCCTCTTCCCCTCCAACCTCCAACATCACCGCCGGTTTCAAGAAGGCAGAAAAAGGCTGCCATATCATTAGGAAGAATACATAAAAGGCCAGAGAAGACCATCTCTCACTCATAAAAAAAAATGAACAACGATATGACTTGCGCAACACAGTAGAAGAAGTAATAACCAGTAAAAATAAAAAAACGCGAATTCCACAAGATACAAGAAAAAGATAAAATAAAACGAAAAAGAAGAAGTGACATGCCTCAGATACGCTGCCTATCTGCTTTCTCTTTGCCTTTGTCCCCCCAATCCATACACATTCCCACATCCACCCTCCATTATCTTGTTATTGTTTCTGTTTTATCCTCCCCACATCTCCTTTTTTTGGTCGGCTTCCCCTTCTTCCGGCAGTAAATTAAAGCAAGATATGATAACAGTCGGGTATTTCGGCAAATTTCGGTGGGTGTTTGGAGATTCCGGGTGTGTTGTGTAGATGAGGGTCTTCCTTTCCGGGAGGTGATGTGAGCTGTCCTGTTCGCTTGGCAGCGTAGGACGAGGAAGAAAGAGTTCGGGATTGAGTCGGGGATAAAATATGATGATCAGAAAGGCCGAATACACCCAGACCAGAAACGTCACAAGTCGAGTTGTTTGTCTTGTCGTCTACTTCTTGGCCGGTGTAGGAGGAGCCTTGACGTTGTTGCTAAGCCACGCCAGACCTTCCAACAGACCTTCACCTGTGGTAGCGCAGCTAGGCACCACGTACCAGACCTTGTCCTTGAGCTTGGAGAGTTGAAGAGCCTCGGTAACTTCTTGGGGCTTCATGGCTAGGGGATTATTAGCATTTGCGTAATGAAGGAATAGGTGGATGATATCTTACCCTCTGCCAAATCTTGCTTGTTGGCAAACACGAGTAGTAGACTATCCTTCATCTCACGATCGTTGATGATGCGGTGAAGTTCTTGTCTAGCCTCCTCCATTCTGTTCCTGTCGGAAGAATCGATAACAAAGATAAGACCTTGCGTTCCTACACATACATCGTCAGTACTCCTTCGCAAGTCTGGTCGCGCAATACATACCACTAAAGTAATGCCTCCACAGAGGTCGAATCTTGTCCTGACCACCGACATCCCAAACGTTGAACTTGACATTCTTGTACGTGACAGTCTCGACGTTGAAGCCGACGGTGGGAATAGTAGTAACGTCCTGGCCGAGCTTGAGTTTGTAGAGGATGGTTGTCTTTCCGGCGGCGTCGAGACCGAGCATGAGAAGGCGCATCTCCTTTGATCCGAAGATCTTGCCCATCATCTTTGAGAATTGACCGCCCATGGTTGCGGTTTGTGTGTGGTATCGGTTTTGTTATGCGCTCGTGTTTTCGCGGGGGTGGTGTGATGTTTAGATATGGGGTTGACAAGGGATGATGTCGTTTCTTTTTTTATTCGATCTGTTCACGGCGCAAATTTGTCAGCCTTGTTTCTTTTCCTTGTGGTAGCAAAAAGCTTGATATCGAGCAGAGCTGTCTGGTCTGGAGAAATGGAGAGGTGCAAGATACGTGTCAGGTCCAATGGTCGTTGTTTCATGGCAGCCCAAGAAAGGAGGCTCTCGAGAGCAAGCCATAGCGAAACTTTGCGAGTGTTCCTGCCCACGCTTGTCCTTTTGTGTTTTATCGCAATAAACAAGATGCATACATACACCTAATCGCTCGTTCGCGGGTTTATCGTATCGTCTCGTATCGTGGTAGTGGTTGAGATTGTTTTGTTTTGTTTTGTTTTGTTTTGTTTGAATTAAGCGGTTTCGTAGTAGGTAGTAAGTAGCCTGGGGAAATAACCGTAGTGTCGACAGACCAGAGCTTGGGTATTACAACAAAGCAAACTCAAGGATCCATCAAACAAATCAATATGTTGTACAGCTTTTCGTCGTCTTCCCCCGTCAGGGGAAAAGAAAAACGGACCAAGCGAAAGGTGATTCTCCCTCCGGGCGTTGCTCTCTCCCCTGGCCTGAGCCCCTCTAGGTCTAGCGCTCAGCACGGGGCAACCAGGCGGGCGGGGACAGTTGATAGACAGGCTACAGCACTATTGTCACTGGATTATGACGAATGACCAGGCCCCTGAGCCCCCTGCCTGGTCCCTGAAATGAGATAACGGTAGGTGCTCTGCAAGGTACCAGACCCGCTTTCTTAAATGGCCTGGCCTCAAAATACAGTCGCCATAATAAACACAAACGTTGGGTGGGTACATTAACCTCCGAAGCAATATCACAGCCTATATCAAGAAGGAAATAATCATCAATGCTCGTTGTCATGTTTATAGTGGCGCTTCTATAGAGCCTATTTTAGTTGAGCTATTTCTCGGAGCCCATCACCTCCGCTACGACGTTATCATTAAACAGACGATAAGTCTATACCCCAGAGAATAACGCGCCAACGCCTTCTTGTTACCTGACTCAATCCAAATGTGTTGACAGTGATCTGTTCTTGTATGTACTAGAACGTATACGCCCCGCAACCTATGCCCTGTACTCAATCACAAACCTTCTCTCAACCTGCTGCAGCGTTGATGAGTCGTTTTCCCCTTCAAACTTGAGGTTGACCTTGCCATCATTGTCCATGCTGTGAACCTCAGCTTTGTAGAATGTCGTTGTGTTTGGGTATAGCGCTAGCACCATTTTGCCCGACTCCCAATCTTTGAGCGTAGATGCCTGACTTTCAGGCGTGATGGGGATCATACTGCTGGCGCTTGATCGGTATTCCTTCTGTTTGTTCTGATCCTCAGGCTCTATATCAAGGACCTTGTAGCGACGGCTCTTGCCTTCGCCCATCACCTGTGCAACTTCACCTAGTATCCAGTCTGGTGCCGAATCGCCACTGCTCACTTGCTTCGGTTTGAATGCGACCGTGTCACCTTTTTGAAAGACGACTTTGGACTTGTTGTTCCCGGATCCGACGCCACTACCCACTGACCCCTGAGGCTCAACACTATCGGCCTTGGGTGGCATGCTGTCACGGTCGCGGTCCCGTTCTCTTTCCCGCTCTCTTTCCCGTTCGCGTTCGCGTTCGCGTTCACGTTCTCTGGCTCGATCGCCGTACTTCCGTGAATTTCCCCCGATGGGACTAGGGACAGGCGAGTCTCCAGCTCCATCAAAGTCGTAGAGCGAAGAAGCCGCCGCTGTGGTATCTCGCGCCTGTCTCTTGCCAGGCCCTGCCGCTTGAGCATCCTGCTGTTCCTTTGCGTGCACCACGGCACGCAACACTTTAAGCTGCTCGATAGTATTCTTGAGTGATGACATGTTAGCCTCGGAGTGTTTGACCCCTGCCCGGCACAGTTGCTCCATTTCTTTCAATGAATCTCCGGGAATCTTTTCCAGATCCATGGCGCCGACTTGCTTATCCATGGTGACAAGCTCTGTAAGACTGTCATTCTCGGCATTGATTCCCGAGACAATCTCTCCCATTTGGCTTTTGCATAGCTCCCATATCTGCACTTCCTCTCCGTGTGAATTTCCATTGTTGCGGTTGGACGCGCGCCCGCTGCGGTTTCGTTGTGACATGTCGCGATTATTGCGCTCCGGCGGCTTCACCGACTCTGGGCGCGGGGTATTGGTTTCACTTCTACCTGGAGATGACCGCTTGGGCGTGCCCACGTCCGAGGTAATGTCCCTGCTATGGTTCTTGGTCCTCGACTTGGAGGGTCGGTTCGGTGTCGAATCTCTGCTGGAAGGATCCTGTCGCTTGGAGCTCGAACGTTTAGGCTCGGGCGTATTTGAGGATTGGCGCAGAGACTCTTGAAAGCTATTCTCTCTCGAATGAGTACCACTTCGTCGGGGTTTGAGAGGGATTTGGTAATAAGGGCCGAGGTCTTCTTGGAGGTTCTTGAGTTCGTCCCGCGCAGGCTTCTCCCTGTTAGCCATCATGCCCCGATACCAACCCGCCTAGACACAATGTTGCGATAAGAATCAACCCGAGGAAGGAACCATTTCGATGACAAGCCAAGAAAACAAAATTGATAATCAAGAAGAAGAATCGGGCGTGGGTGATGCAATGCGATATTGGGGATAATTGAATTCATCAAGAAAAATTGACTAACCTGAGTTAAGAGAGGCCCGAGTGCTCACAGGCCGAGGCGGGATAGTATGGGGAAGGAAAAGGCGACTAAGACAGAAGGCGCGTCGCAGACGAGAAGTGATCGGCAAATGGGAAAGAACAAGAGGAAAAATAAAAGGTAATATGGAAAAAAGGATTAGTTCATTCTAGAAGAACACTTTGCTGCAAAAGACCTAAACGTTGCTGGTGGAAGTGGGTATCTTATCATAAGAGTGTCGTGTTTGTCGTGATGGTGCATAGGGAGTCATGCTATAGCAGTTGAGGCTGATGATTCAATGCCAAGGACAACACGGCAGAACCAAGGCGGTGAAGAGCTGGGGGTCAGAGCTGAGAGCTGCGAGGGGTCAATGGGCTTGTCTAGGTGAGGGAAGCGGTCCAAGACAATTACCACGCCTATTGACCTGTTGGCTCCTTGTCTATTGGTCTCATTAGGTTGTACGAGTTTTTGTTTGGAAGGTTTGTGAGATAACTTCATTCTCGCGCTCATTAAGCTTTCATTCGTACGGACAGATAGATCAACCTTTACTTGTAAGTATTCAGTATAATGACAAGGCTTGGACTTCGTTGAAAACCTACAAAACATAAACAGGTAGAATGGTTACTATTAAAGTCAAAAGTCTTTTTAATTAAATTCGAAAATATGTCGCCAGCTATAGAACTACTGCTCTTTCGCCTGTCCCTTTACTCGGCTAGGCAGTAAGACGAGTATCAATTGGACTCGAAGTAAGCCCATCCTTGAACTCATTAACGTGAAAGCAAATACTCCTGCTCGAGAGCCCAACGTATTTCCCGGAGCTTCTCAATGTCCCGGAGTCTTTCCTAAAGCTTTTGCTTCTCCGAATCATCAATCTCGCAAAACGCCTTGAACGTCGTAAACTCATCATCCTCACCACCCTCAGACTCGAGCACAACCTCAGCAGTCGATCCCACAAAGTACACATACCCCTCTTTCATCTCAGCGCTCGTAGGTCCAACAGAAATCTTGCCCCGACCGCCTGTGCAGATGACAATGCTGGGACCCTCGAGAGGATCAAATGTGGCCTTGGCACCATCGCCGCGGAGAACGCTGCGCACGACGCTGAATTCCTCGATCGGGGGATCGTATAGAACAACTGCTGAGCCGGAGCTGTAGCTTGTGCGGTTGAGTGTTGCGTAGGGGTAGTCTGTGGGTGTCATCTTTTGTTCCTCGATGGGAGCAAAGTTGTAGGTTAGCATGTCGACAAGAGTAGACACGTCCTTGAACTTGGGTGTGAAGCCGGCGCGGACAACATTGTCCGATGCAGCCATGCACTCCATGATGTCGCCGGAAATGTAGGCGTGGATGTCGTCGGCGACCAGGAACAAGGCCTCGCCGGGCTCAAGTGTTACAAAGTTGAGGAAGAAGAGCACAAAGCAACCAATATCGTCACCAAACTCGCCATATGTTCGCTTGACGAGCTCAGCGAGCTTCTCGCCAGAAGTAGCAGCAACACCACCACCAGCGAAATCAGCACCCTCCTTCTCTGCTTGCTCAGCCAGCTTGGGCATCTGCTCAGCGATATCCTCAGCCGAAGAAGACATGAGCGCTCCAAAAACCTTCTTCAGCAACTTCTTCTTCTCGTCTGTAACACCCTCCTCGCCATCTTTGGCGACCTGCGCAAACTCCTTTGCAGCCTCATCGCCTACGAGCGCTCGCAGCGCAGGTACAGTGTCGAGGAAGTGCACAATCTCAGTGAGGGGTCGGAAACCGCAAAGACCTTCGAAGGGTGTGATGGCGATGGCCATCTCGGGCTTGTGGTTGTCATCGGGGTAGTTCTTTGGATCGCGGGCGTGGAGCTGTTCGGCGAGCTTCTTGTTGGGGTGGGCCTGAATAGACAACGCCTTTGCTATCGAGAGAACCTTGAAGAGAAAGGGGAGCTTGTTGCCGTAGTGTGAAGAAATAGTCTGGGATAGAAGCGCCTGGTTGTCTTCGCAGAGTTCTAGGAGGGTTCGGCCGGTGTTGAGGTCTCGGGAGGGGTTGGAGGGGTGCGTTCCCATCCACAGCTATAGCGAAGCAACGTCAATTTGAGATACCGCATATCGTGTATGTATGCTCACCTCGGCGTATGGGGTATCAGACTCGATCTTGAGATCATCAGACGGCGTAGCAGCAGCGAATCGAGCAGCGGCAGAGTCGTCGCCCTTTTTGCCCCAGGCGTACGAGTTGACACCGCATTGTAGACGAAACAGAGGAACCTGCATGTTGTTGGTGAAATGCGATACTGAAGTTGTATCTATATCTGTAGCTTGAATGCGCGCTCGTCTATAAAGTTGCAAGGAGAAAAAAGAAATACGATATCAGTCACAGAGAAAGAGATGATGACACGGCGCAAAGATCAAAGCAATGACGACTGAAGTGGAGGGGGAGCATTACACTTTGTAATTGTACGAGACCCCGCCAAATCAGTGAAAACGTGGTGCAGTTCAGTTGCTATATTCCCTGTAGCTCTCCGGAGTAGCGCCGCTTCCTTCGTAAAGGTAACCCCGCTGTGGGCCTGTAACTAAAGTCTGTAGTTTCCTATTCTGGCTAGTTTTTCATTCATGTGATGATGAGCCTCATTACACGATATCAGGGATTTTATATTACAGCTACGAGGTTGTAATTTACTTCTTTGACGATTTTGGTTTTATACAAGATAATTAGCCGTATATGGTTCTGCTTATGGTGTACATCTTTGATCGATCTCAACAGTTCAAACGTCACATGTCATATCACATCATTCATTCAGTCAATCAGAATTACCACACAGAGTAATAAAAGTAGGTTTATTGTTCAAGAGCAAGACTCAAGATATCCAAGTCATGATGCTCAGAGTTGTGCAATTCATGTACAAGTACGTTGTCATAACTCAGCAAGATACGACGTTTGGCTTTCCATCTCATCTCAGCCAGTTCATTCATTACCCATCACCCAATTATCCCTCTCTTTCATCAATCACCATTTTTTGTTGCTGCCAATAAAGACATGTACAGACTTGTGCACCAAAAAAAGCAAAAACCAACAGACCAAAAACACCCCCCGTTTCCCCCCAGACGCCCAAGGTCTAGCAACTCATGCATCCCTGGTAAGTGTGTGTAGAGACAGACACTTGGACTACAGCGTAGATGTTTTATCCTGTACCGACCGAGAACTCCGGAAACAAAAGTGTTGTGAGTGAAAGAAATCCCAAGGATAAGACGCCAGAGTAGAGAGGTGCATGCATACTTTGACGACCAATCATGCAAATAGAAAACAAATGATAGGAAAAAAGAAAGGGGAAAGGGGGAAAAGAACAACAAGACACACTCGGGAGATAGGACCGCCACCGTGATACAAGATCAACGCTCAACTTGCTTCCCCGTCAGACGCTGTATCTCATCGCTATCGATGCGGTGCATCGCAGTTCGAAAGGCCATATTCCGAAAGCGGGACGATCGAGTAGTTCGTCCGTTTCTTGTCGTGAATGATAAGCGAGCCCATCAAATCCGTTGGGTACTTGGTCTGATCACGACATATCCTTCGTTTTCGTGCCTTGACCTGCAGCTCTATTGCCTTGACCGAACCTCGAGTCAAGGTGGCAACCGGTAAGGGTAGACCAATAGTTCATGCATGACATCTCCAAAAACTCGAGCACAACACACGGTAACTCCTCAAGCAGGCAATCAATGCAGACTTGTATGGGTCACAGCAAGCTCATGACAGCAAACTCAGAGAGACCCCGCACCCGCACCCGTACTCCTGCGGATGTGTTCTACAGCTGCATCTCCAATATCACCACCAGCGGGCAGCATGTAGGCTGTACCTTGGTGAGGTAGATAAGGCGCCGCAGCATGACCAAGCGAAAAGGTACCTAGACCGTTGCCGTTGAGATGGGGCAGATTACGACGACCAGCAGCAGCGCCCACCGGTACCGTTACTCCAGCCGTCGTGTCCGTGTAGCGATACGCCATGTCAGGACCTCCTTGGCTCGACGCGAACATAGCTGCATCCGAAGAGCCTGTATGCGAGTAGAGATCGTTGCTGCTCGAGCGGCCGTACTGAGGGATGGGAGTATACGAGGGCAGGCAGCTGCTCGAGGTGGAGGACTCGTAACTCGTGTAACTCGAGGGCGTCTCGGAAGTAGAACTCACAGGCGACGTCTCCGAGGTGGAGTCTTGCGATGACTTGCTGCTGCTACTGCTGTAGATGGAGCTGCCCGAATCGTTCTTGTACGACGACCCTATCGAACTGGACATTGAAGACCGACCCACTGGCGCGGGCAGTACCCTCTCGCCTGTGTTGACACCCGCCACGTTCTGAAGAGCAAGACCCTTGGGGTCTGGCGCCATACTCTGGAAAGCCACGTTCTTGGAATCAGGCACCAGGTTCTGGTAGGCAGTCGAGTCGGCCGTTACCTGAGCTGGTCGGTGTACCAGATTCATCATGGTGTTCCCGCTGCTGTATGCGTAGCTGGGTTCCGTGTCCACGCAAAGTGCCGACTTTTCGGGGGTTCCAGAAGCGATCCTATAGCTCATACCGTAGTCTGGGTCGTGCACTGGGGAGTAGGCTGGCTGGTACAGAGCATAGCTGTAGCTCTGGTCGTCCGTATATCCATGGCCCCAGGCAAGAGGACAGTAGGACTTGGTGCCATACGTAAAGTTTGCGGGGTTGCGGTAGACAAATGCTTCAGTGGTGTATGCAGGGAGTCCATCGGTATAGGATGGAGTTGATGAAGGTAGAGATGATATAGCAGAGCTTCCTCGAGCTTGATACTGTCGAGAAGCTTCGAGGCTGTATGTGAAGCTCTCGCCCTTCAAGGTTGTCTCCTGCGACGCCACCTTGATCGATAGTGTAAGCCATAGCTAAACGTCTTTCGTCTAGGAAAACATACCCTGAGAAACTGACACGGTTCGTAGCCTGCATTTTTGCAGTTGGTGCATGGTCCCCCATTACCTGTATCACCACTGCAGCGAATCTTCCTTTTTCGACAGCGTCCACACTGAATCTGCTGTTAGCCCGCTACACAACTATGTAAGTCTCACACACACCACACACACCAGGTAAGAGTAAAAGGTTAGAAAAGGTCTTGACTTACTGCCACCGCAATGCGTTTTCGCTGGGGCGTCACATCGTCATCCCTGTCGCTCATGATAGTCGTCCGCGTGTCTGGATGAATATAAGAAGGCATCCGACGTTCTGGGTAGGATGAGTAAACGGTCATCCGGTTGTTGCCCAACCGGCGGATGTCTGTCGAGTAACAGTTTGGAGATACCATGGTATGGACTTATAGTAAAAGCGAGAGAAAAGAGTCTGTGTAGAGACTCAAAGGAGGGACTGATCAAACTCCCTCATCAAGACAAACAAACTCCTTCCTCAAGTCAGAGTCTATCACCCTAATAGTACTCTGAACAAAGTCTTCCACCGCTGGCGTCCAAGTACAAAGCCTGCGCCTTGACAGCCGTTCCCGATATCAAGCAATCGTCCGTCGGGACACTCGGTAAGAGAAAGGATCTATCCGATTATGGATGGTGAGGTGGTTGATGTCTATTCGTCTGATAGTTGAGTTCAAATATTATGATTACCGGTTCTTATCAACTTCAGAGTGACAAGACGTGGGTTGCTTAAGCAGAACAAATATCGACAAAGACCAGAAGAAAAAAGAAGAGATCCAGAGTCCAAATATCTGCAGCCGTGGCATCTTGTTATATTCCGTACGACTGACTTATACCGCTCCTGGCATGACCACTTGTATCTGTTTGCTTGCCCAAGCATAGCCCAGAGCTTGTCTTCCTCCAATAAACGGCCCTAATTTTTGCAACACACACAAGTCCCACTGGAGTGTTGATCGAGGTACTCCGGTGGTCATTCCTGATGAGAGTAGACCCCTCGTACAACAGATGCCAACTTTCAGAAAGCCTTTCAAGGTGCTCCATGATGATCCCCAGCAATGTATGGCTGGGAAACCCCAGTTATGCGAAGGTGGGCGGCGGCAGGCTATTGCAGGGTGTCTGCATCATTAGCAGGAGTGTCCATGCTCTCCACCATGACCTCTACGTCGACCATATGTGACAAACGGGTATCAATCCCGAACAGGAAACCCAGATCTTTTCGATCGGTTTAAGGCTTTCCCAGATCGTATTCAGATATGCAGATTGAGTTGTTGAACCAAGACCAATTCGAATCCGAAACGAGCACCGACGAGAAACGTCTGTACTGACTGGGCTGGTTGATGTTGGGACACGGCATACTTTGCCAATGGTCCTGACCACTAGAAGTATACAGGTGAGGTTGCATTCGCTCTGCCATACCACCCCAGACTTGAAGCGAGACTTCGGTCGGCAAACAAGTTTGTGCCTCTCCTCAACCATGGGCGTCGCAAGAGCCGATTGTTAACATGTTCATTGTTTGCCAGCCGGCTCTTGTTCCTGTCTTGGAAAAAGGAAGCACTCAAACAACAGGCAAAGGCGAGGCCGCCTAGGGCCGCAAATTAAACAAACGGATATATCTTGAGCGTAATTAGATGCAAGCCCGTGGTGGGCAAGACCAGGCCCTGCAATGGAACAACAAGTCCAATTGCGATGCTTCTTGGCTTACTAGTCATGCATCCTTCGTCAAAGTAGTGGCGCAGGGATTCTCTTCGGCTGTGACATGGTGCAAAGTCTCTCGTCAATAGATGCTGTAAATTCGTCGCTTGTATCATGTTGCGTAACGGGTGTGTTGACAGAGCAGAAAACTTAGTCTAGTGCTCCGTGCACAAAAAGTTTTGAGGTTAAAGATCTGGGCCTCGTCCCTTGTCATGTCTTGTCTGAATATGTCTTGGATCTCCAACCCATGTTGTTAATTAACAATACCTCCATGAAAGTAGTATCCCCGGTTCCTAGGTCGTGGCGTGCTTACCAGGCCCTTCCTTGTCGGTGTGAGCGGCAATGTCTAACTAGATTGACAACGATCTCATGAACGTATCGTCAGCAGACAAACATCTGCTTCAAAACGTGATTGAGCAAGCTCTCAATAATGTCGGCATCCCTACAAACTTGCAGGCGGGGCTGAAGCATATGAAATCTGACCGGCTATGTACAACGTTAGAGCGATGTTCTAGTCATTGAGCCACTGACATACTTTCCAAGTCGGTTAATGAATTCTGCTTCTTTCGATTAACCTTGAACATGTAATATACTTGCTTCTTTCTTGGTGACCCACTACATGTGCAGATTGACTGTTTGTACATGATGCAGGCACAATGAATTGGGCCATTCAGATGAGGATATGCAATACTTAATCCACATAGAAAACAGACATAGCTTGACCGGAAGAGCAACCGCTTATTCCTAGTCGTGCAGAAGGCTGGAACGACAGAACTTTTCCTGAAGTCTGCAGAACAACCTCAGCCGCCGTTTGCTGAGGCGCTTTCAATATGCAGAACCGAGACGCAAGGGAGGATAGCCCTCTCCATATTGGGCACGGCTATACGGTGCAATTGGTGCGAGTGTAAATATAGAACGAGACTAAAGCCCGGCTGCCCGTATTGAAAACGGCCAAGAGCGAATATTGCAGAAAGATATTGGCCCATGTCCCATGACGCAGAAGCCATCAAAGCCGATAGGAGCAACCTCCATTGACTTGGGTTCAAGAAAAGACATCCCTGACGGCACATCGATAAGCAAGATTTGGTAGCAACGCCACAGGAGAACCGATCTTTGAATGCAAGACATCGCTAACAATTGGGGAGATATCGCCCTTTGCCCGCTCGCGTGGCATATGTATGCCTTGCATGCACAAACCCTCTAGTATGATATCCCCTGAAAAGGCACCTATAATTCTCTTCGAGAACATACTTTAGCTAAAGGCGTTGTCCAGGTATCTGACAAGCAATCAGACTACTTCAATTCCAGACAAAGGACTCACTTGTCAATAGCTCGGCCTTGAGTTCACTGAACGAGTCTTGTGCGAGAAATCTGACTTGCTGATAAACCTTGGGCATTCTTCGAGATGTTTCATTGTGTATTTGAGCCACGCAGCCGTCTTTTTGAGTCGGGCTTGTTTCAATTGGTTCCATGACAGACCTTCTCGCGTCCAGAATCAACCAGCTATCGTGTTGAACCTCCATCTTCTACCCGGATGCATACAGCGAGAATACTAGCCTAGTCAAGCAGGCTCTTTTCTCTTCTGCTTTTTTTCTCTCCGTTTTGCCTCGTGCTATACCGTTACCCCACAGCATGTGAGAAAACACTCCGTCCCCAGGTTGAGAGACGTCCTTGCTGGTACAGCAAGCGCAGACTCCAGGCGGAAGATTTCTTCAGTGCATCCCGAATGGACATGCTTGTTACCGGACTGTCATCTCGGGGTGTGACCCGTGAGGATGCAGCGTCCCGTTTGTGTTTCCCACACGCACACGTAATTGGTCGGTAGGTCCAGGGGGTTCGCTCTCTTGTGACGCATGGAATCACGGGCAAAGGTTTTGGCTGACCAAAACGCTCTTCAGCTAGAGCGCTATGCCCGTGATAGCATGGCGGGCCTGTAACGATCCGCAGGGGAGCTCGATTTGAAGATCCGGGAGTTATAATACATGCAAAGAAGGATCTGAAACCGAATCCTTATCCACAGAAGGAACATCACAAGGCCACTCGGTCTTGGTGGATTCCATGTCGCTTCCCGCTAGAGACTGAAATCGCAGTCAAGCCCACGCCATGCAGTAAACATCCTCGACAGGGTCTTCGGAGGTTCACAGTTGTACATCTCGAAGGCTCTAGCCTCAAAGTGGCCATGCTTGTGGCAATAGTTTTGGCGTCACTACATGCACAGAATTCAGGTTGAGCAAGCAAGCCTCAACTCCTTGCTGCCTTGGGAATGTAGCGAGTCAGTCCCAGACACAGGTATCACCAAAGGTACAATGATGCAACAGCCAGAGACAAATTGCTTCCAGTTCAATCATGGTCTTCGAGGCCAGTCATTTGTGAGATTGAGAATCTGAGCACGCACTGATGTGGCGTGACCAATAGTTCTTGTCCGTCAATGCCAGTGCCGAGCCTTAGTAGCGATCTGAAACGGCTGTATTGGTTTCAATCGACATACCCTGGTCGACAGCCGCGTCCGTCAGCCCAGACTCATCTACAGACTCGTTGCCGACTAAGACAGCTCTCAGGTGACAAGGCTCAGGGCTTGACGCTTGTCGATTGACCCAAAGCTCGACCGCCACACACCCTGCTCGGGGCAGTACATTAGCTCTTGATGTGGTAAGAACATGGCGGTCTCACCCCCAGGTGCCTTGCTTGAAGCTGTGTCCGCCGATGTCTCTGGCGACATAACAGGAGCAGTAACCATAGCCGAGCATGACGGATTTTTGATCCATAGATAGACATCAGTTACAGAGTGTTTTGTGTCCGAATAGCCAGAGGGGTAACTAGCTCGTACAAAATACATTATTCGGACGTAGAGCCAAACATGCTGTGGCGTGCCAACTTGCAATATCTAGCCCCTGTTGACGAGAGTGGATTACCTCCGCCAGGACTGTGATCTGTTGAACGTCTCGAAGAGAGCTGTCAGGTATGACAACATCTCAAGCATTGGGAAACGTAGGGATGCCGCCGGTAAGCGATGCCATGACAGTCAAGAGGTGGAGTAGACCTGGAGATCTCATCCAGAACAACACTTGAGGTCGCTCAACAGCGGGAGGCAGATCCTCTCCGCTCACCTCCAAACATGAGTGCTTGTCGGTCAGATAATCCGGAAACGTCGCTCATGCGCAAATGGTGCTCAGTGAGTGCTCGGCTTAACAGTCCACATTGTCTCCCGTTGCTTGTAGGAGTTAAAGATCTTCCGTTAAAGGACCGGAGGTGAGATGTAAAAGAAGTTGGTGATCACATTTCACAAAGTAAAACAAAGACATCAAAGACTCTCTCGCCTTGATGGCGGCAACTGTCAGACTCGTGTTGTCAGGGTATTTTATGCTCGTGTAATGCCACACAATGCAGTGTATATGAAATTAGTTGGCGCATTCAGACTGAGGAAGTCGGAACGCTTGCCGTCAAAGGTTTTACGCTGAGCAGTACCACTTCTGTGGGCGTTGCACTGCTGTATTCCGTTTCGCAATCCACCACATTCCTTATCTTCTAGACCTACGGTCATAGTCATCCCGTCCGTATCGATCCTTCTCTCTGCCTCGGTCTCGATGATCGCGGTCCCGGTATCGGTTTCTATCTTGATCACGACGGTCCCTGTCTCTTCTATCCCCTCGGCGATCGTCTCTTGGCTTGTGGTAACGATCCCGACTTCGGTCACTTGGTTGTGGACTTCGACTCCTGCTTCGTTGTCGTGATGGTTCTCCATTACCTTGAGGTCTTGGTGGAGGAATATCGTCCTTTTCTTGTTTGGGGCCACTTCTATCCACTTTGCCCTTCATTTCCTCCTCTCCGTAGACCATTCTGTAGTTACCGCCTGTGACCCTTTCTCCCTCGTCGCGGTACTGGCGACGCTTCTCAAGCTCATCAACACCTCCCCAACCGCCTCGGCCAGCAGTTGTTCTGCGTTTGCTATTGGTATCTTTTCGCCAGACATCACTCAGTTTGCTAACACTCTGAGAAAAGTCCACGTGAATGCGCCGATCATCAATCAGAACTCCCTGCATCTTGAAGTAGGCAGCTTCGCAGGATGCCTTGTCCTCGTATTCGATAAATGCGTATTGCAAACTGTCTCCGGTCTTTTGGTCTCTGATGACTTCGCAACTCAGGATCTTGCCAAAACGGCCAAAGATGAGTTCCAGATCCTCGTCCCCCGTTACAGGGTTCAATTTGCAGACGAACAGGACATTCTCGGGAGGCTTGACTTCGGCAAATGGCAAATCTCCCATCATTTCCAGAGTAAGAGCTTGGGCCTGTGCCTCCCTATTGCGACGCCTCCTCTCCAACTCCTCCTCATCAACATTATCGTCTTCGTGTAGTGCTGCCTCATCCGCGATTCGGACTGTCTTCAATTGCTGGTCGGTAGGAGGAGGGCTCGAGCTGGGCTCTCTTAGGCCAGGCGGGTCGGCATAAGGATCGTCTAGAATAACAGTATGCTTGATGCGAAGGTCGATGAGCGGGTGCCCCTTCTCGTCCACGATCGCCTCGTTGATCTTATCCAACGCCTCGAAGCCTTCAACCACCTTTCCAAAGATGGCCGCTTTGCCATCTAAAAAGTCCGTATCTTGGCCAAGTGTGATGATGAACTGGGAGCCGGCGACGCGAACATCTGGGTCGGACTGGAGAGGCGCTGTGGCCATGCTAACAGTTCCTCGCTCCAAGTGTTTCAACTTGGGATGGAAGAAGGCTGGGAATGTTCGTTCGGACGGGTCGCCGGATACGTGACCCCATATTGAAGTACCGCCATCAGAGTCTTTCGAGAGAGGGCCGAGAGGATCGCCGGTTTGGAAGGAGAAGTTCTTTTGGACGGAGTGAACGGGGGAGAAGTTGTAGTATTTGACCTTGCAAAGCTTGAGAAAGCTATCTCATCTGTTAGTTCAGCCATTCAGTAAATTGAAGCATAGGAATTGATGGTATCACTTACTTTTCGCATAGCTTTGGCGCATGATCGACCAAGAGATCGATAACAATGTCACCAGCGCTGGTCTCTAAGAGAACCGACATGGCGGGCGTATAAATCCGCAATACCTATGCGACGATGGTTTGACAGACAACAAACTGATAAAAGAGGTTGGCTGGAGCTTGTTAGGTTTGAAGTCGCGTTATTGAAGAATTGGAAGGAATGAGGTAACTAACATCAGCCACTGTCGCGAAGCTTTCCAAAAGTTACGGATTTGCATTTGCAATTATGTGTGGCGCATGTGGCGGTGCGTGTTACATAATCACACGATGGCTTTAATCAACCCAGGCCACTTGAACATCAGTGCAGAATTGCTGTGAGGATAGCCAACGCCATTAATCTTTGATCGCGCTCTATTCTCACGTTCCAGGTGATTCAAATTCCCATGTCGGATATATGTTGCTCGCGCCATGCTTGTAACAACTCCAACACGGCTGCCCACCGACCTGCAACATCGTGAAGAGCTTCAACAACTACCGACCTAGACAAACTCACAACTTAACCTGAAACGCTTGACAGAAGCCGGCTCCTTCAGGTATATCGATTCTCACCTAGCGTTCTCCCATCAGATCTCCATACCGTGCGCCTCTCACAGGGTTACTCAACCAGTCGCAAACCTCATCGCCAATCAGCAATAAACGACTTCAGCCTCCAGAGCCTCCTCCATCATGTGGACCAAAACTCCAGCTTCGAATCCTTGTTTTGCTCAACGTCAGACTGACCCGCAGCTGGAGTCGACAAACGTCAGAAGGGCACCCAGAACCGCTTAAATGACGTTAATCAGGACCCTGATATTCCTCTATTTCAGCAAAAAAGTTTTTTTTGTTACGCTTTTGGTGGAAACATGATGCTCTTCTTTTGAGTCACAAAGAGTTGTACCAAGAGGTATGATGGTACCTTGAAGATCGGCGGGAGCAAAATGTCCGGATGTGTTCAACACATATCCAACCAAGCACATGACCTCAGCAAGGATATTTTCCTATACGACCATCTAATTGGAGATTTTACTCTTCTGGAAGAATGATCCTTGAAGATGTCAACGTTATCCCAACGGCCTGGATCTCGATGTGCTGGGTGCTGGGTATGTGCAACTGCAATATTTGCCTCGAGAGTAATTATGTACAGCAACCCCCCGCTACGTCATATCAGATAAATACTCTGAGGTTTGACTTTTTTGACAGTTGGGGATAGCATCATGATGAATCGCCGATGACCTATCACACACATTGGGATGATGCTTGGCCAAAACAAAAACGAGAGACACCGTTGGGCTGTAGACATGGTCTCAGTTATCGTTTCGGGAGCTCATCCCGTCGCCGGATCGACAGTGTTTGAAGGCCACTCCCATCACAGCGGTGTTAGTCGCGTGCCATTTTTAGTGTTGATCAATCCCGGCATACGACGCAGTACGGATACAAGAGGCCATTCCCGGAAGCGCTAGGGTAGTCGTGCCGGATATCAGAACTTGACTTTGGCTCAAGACAGTCAAGGCTGAATGAAGGTGGTGGTTATCTGTTGTACACTGCCCTACGAAGGCCAACAAAACTTGGCTGTGATAGCGTACTTCACTACGCAATGAGACAAGAAGCAAGAAACAAATTTAGTGATGTCTTAGATCAACTCTCTACTAATGGACTATTTTCGTACAATAAGCTTAGGCTTCAAGTATTTTACTACCACTTAATACATCCTGCAATCCGCTGACATGAAGTCCCCCATAAGAGCACTTCAAAGCAATGAGTTCGCAACATCACGATTCATGATACATCAATGACTATCTCAGCCGGAGCTTCTTCTCAACTATTGAGTCAAAGCTCAAAGAGATTATGTTGCAAGTGATGCAATATACGAATATTACTAGAACCAACCGTCGTCGCTCACCCTACAGCATCATACTGTAGCATAGATCGCCCCAAAAGCCAGTCCGTGCTGTAAGACATCGCAAAACCTGCTTGTCCATTAACGTCACCGTCCCTGACGGTCATGTTACTATACTACGTACCGACCTCACTTCACCGAAACGCTCAAGCACCTTCACCTTGTAGTTCTGCAAATCACGTCGATCCTGCTAACAACCGAATCAAAACTCCGTTTGGCAGCGGTGTGGGTGGCAAAAGGAAAGAAACAAACTCCCCGATCGTGATCGATAGAGCCAAATCGTAGTGGTAGTTCATATCAGAGACATTTCTTCTCTCTCCTTCTGAGCTTAGTCTAGCGCTATCAAAGACCGTTATTCCCACAAGGGTTGGCATGCTTTTGTGTGTGTGCAAGCGCCCAGGCGCTTAGCTAAATGTTCCCTCCACTGGGTTAGCCAAGTGCAAGAGATGATCTTCATTTCCCCCAACGGGTTTTGATGCAGACAGGGGGGGCACATCAACCCAAAAGATTTGTGGGCTCGACGCGTGTTGTCTGGCTATGCTAATATTTTGCTTGTCTCTTAGGAGCGGGGCCGGCCGATATGCATTGAAGCATCTTGAGTTGAGGCTGGAACTTGGAATAGGGTCTTTAATATTGGAGTCGCTACATTCTTGAGGTTGGTTTGGTAACCATAGGTGATAAGCTCTGGATCTAAGACATGACATTCACGGAAAGAATAAAAAGGAACTTGTGTTTTATGTTTGCGAAAGCACATGTATTGTATGTATTCATATCTGACGCTGTGTCGCTAACATCTCCTCTCGGGAGATCTTCATCATGATGGATAAGAGGAATAAACCTGTGGCGTTTATTCCTCGCCTCGTATTCCAGCGTGGCTCTCAAGAAATGTAAATGAAAGAGATAAAAAAAGCCACGGAATGACACCGTGATATGCAGATATGGCTTTCCCATTGGGAAGTGCCATGTAAACAATAGACAAGAAATGAAGTTTGTAAGTGGGTATGAGGAAGAAAAAGAAGACAAAGAAGATGATAATAAAAAAGATAAACCTCCAATCGCTTTTCCAACATGTTCCCAAATTCTGTTGTTGATTCCTTGAGCCAGCCATGTATGTTTAACCTCCCGAGCTTTATTTTTTGCTCGAATTGATCCTCCCAGAAACGCCTTCGCCAATGCAGCAAAGCAAAAACATTTCCCAAAAGAATAATTAGAATTAATGCCAAGTTTGGTTGTGTGTGGAGGCGCATGCTTTGCCACCGCCGCCATCATTCTCAACACGACGACTTGCATATTGTGTATGTATCCATAAAGGATTGATGATAATGGCAGCGAATAAAAGACAGCGAAAGATTAATTATTATACGCATGTTTTACTCGTTGCCTGAGCTTCTGCGCCTTCGGCCACTGCGAAGTTCCTTTTCCGTCTCCATGAGTCGAGTCTGTACCCATGTTCTGAATGCGCGGTCGGCGCGAACACTGCTGCAGTTGAGAAGCTCTGTCAAGGTACGCTTGATGCTCTCGTTGACTTCGGAAAGGCGTTGCTCTTCTGCTGAGATTTCGTAAATTGTCTCCTCGTCGGGGATTGTTGTGAGTTCATTGTGGTTTTCCCAGCCGCTGCAGCGAGCGTGGGAGCGCGAGTGGTGACGTCCACTTCGGGAGTGGCGCTTCGGCGATGGTGGTAGTGAGAGAGATGATGAGGAGGATCGGGTTGGTGATGTAGATGGTGATGAGAATTGAGAGCGGCCTAACGTGCTGAATTCGGGACGGATCTGGTCGAGGCGATCGCAAAGATCTTGGTGTTGCTCTGTGAGAAGCATGTACTTCTGGAGAGCCATGGTGTATGATTGCGCGCCGGCGGATGCCATCTTTGATGAATATGAAGCTGGTGTGGATAGAGAGATATCCGTGGATGCTACTGATGTTGATCGGTTGTGCCCGGAGAAGAAATGGGGTCTCACGTCTAATGACGAGACCATCGAAGCGATTATGTGGTATGTGGGAAGATGAGGAGTCGCGATTTACAATGCTGTCGCGAGCCAGGCAGAGTTGAAGTCGGGTCGACCGGTTTTTTAAGAAATAGTTCTTGTGACTATTATTCTCAATTCCTTGTGTATCGAAATGCAGCCGTAATATCCAAGATGTAGGTACTGTATGTCGATCGTCGGATGATACGTCGTGGTTGCTCAAGGCTGAATAGGGCCAATCTGGAGCTGGTGTTGGAGACGTGTGGGTGGTATGGATGATAGATGAGACAGGATAAGATAGGTATCTGCAAGGTCCAACGATATGCAGTCCGAATTGAAACAGTAAGAGATGGATATACGGTAGTGAAGAAGGATGAGTGACTGAGTATGGGGAAGCTGGTCGACGGGGGTGCGTGGTATGTTATAGTTATATACGAACAAGCGCTCGTCGATGGATGATAAGAAATACCGTAGTTATGATGATCGAGTTAGTGCCATGCCATACGGGGGGTGGATGGGGTGCTTCATTAATAAAGATATGGATCACTCCCAACCAGAATAGACAAGACGCAAGCTAGGCTAGGATGTACGGGAGGGGTCAGCAGAATAACAGATTGGATTGAATTTCCCACCCAAGATTGGAGCAATGTAATGCTAGTACCAAGTACGAGATCCAGGTAGCAAGGAAATGGGAAATGAAGGGGAATCTCCAGGTCTCTGGCAGCGAGTCAGCACCAGGAACAAGCCACATGTGGAAGTAGACCGGTACAAGTTTTACCTTTGCCTCCCCCTAGAGCCAACCCCTGTACCTTTTCTCTCTAATGGTTTTTCTTGGCTCTTACTCTCACTCTTTTGCTTTCTCTCTACAGTCATGACCAACATGTTCCAGTTCGTGCCTTGATTGCCATCTGTAAAGTTAGCTCAAGCCACCAGAGTGGAGGCTTGCTGAACCGAGCCTTCTATTGGAGCACTAGAAAAAACAGACCCTAACAGGATCCTGGCCTGAGAGAGACAGAGTCTTGGTCTGGGCACAAGCTTTGATGGTGGATAACTGCGGGCGATGTGACGGGATAGGGTGTGAAATCTGCGTAGCGCAGCCCTTTTTTTAGACTTGGCTTCTTTTGGGGGCCATCAGCACAGTGCATTCGAATTAATACAAGTTCTCACAGGGTTCAATCAATTGCAACTGGGTTGGGTTACTTTGCTGCTGCTGAGTTGTTCGACCTCCTCCACAGACACTGAGACGGCAACTCTCCAAAAATGAAATAGGTAAGAATAGCGTTGTGTGGTTCGTTCCGCACGCCATCATCCACGGCAATGACAAGACATTCCTTTTAGTTATGAGTACCCTGTTCAAGTTCAACCCAGATTCGACGAGTAGCAGCTAACCCATGTTCCAGTACGAAGTAATCAGACAACATATTCGCACTTAAAGTATAGTGCTTTTCATCAGAGACATGAAAATTTTTATATGTCTCATTCACAAAAACCCGATTTGGAGTTCGATTTCAAAGACCTTGCAAGCTTCCTTGAATAGCTTGTTGCAACTAGGTTAAAACTCCATAGTAAGTGGAAACCCTCCGGGCTTCACGATGCCTTCCCCGGTCCGGAGGTTGAGCGAGAAAAAGAGAATTGAGAGATATCATGAAGCATACACGATACGTCGCTTACCAACGCACACACGAATATTGATTCTTGGCGGTGAGTTATTGTCGTCAATAGAACCACTCAGAACAAATAGTTTGCAGGTATAGACGAATCGTGCCGTGGCGATTGGTGTTGAGGCCGTCTCTTTTGTCAGTTGGCGATTATGCACTGGCATTCTAAACTAGACCCCAACCAGGGCCCTATCTACTGGCGTCCCCTCTCAAGAGAGTCAGACAAACTACAAAAGACCTTGGTTGAAGCTGGGGTCACCGCCTGACCCCACGTGCAGGATATATCTGCAGCCGGTGAAAAACAAGAATTGCATGATACTCCATAGATGGAAAGGGTAGCAAGCAGTAGGTAGTTTGGGGAAAATCCCGGCAACGATAATGTGGGTGAGGAGTTGCTTATCCGTACACACTTTTGAGATACTGGGTATAATTGGTACAGGGCTGTTACTCTCGTCACTACTACTACTGCACTGTGCCGCTGAGCTGGGGTGATAAGGTGTCCAAGAGAAAGAAAAGCGCTATTGATAAATAATCACGAACCAATTCCATTCTTTGTTTCCCGGGCTGCAACCCCTCCTCTTCCAGAAGCAGATACGGTTACAGGCGGGTAAGTTTCTAGATAACGAACACAACCTATTCATGGGCTGATTGAACTTGCGATAGCTACCAAACCAGGTTATTGATTGTGACATGTAGCGGTAGTTACCATAAACATACATAGCTACGGAGAAATAAAGAAGCTGTAACATATGTACACGCGTAATGCAATTCCCCGTCCTTGGAAAAAGTACCCATGTTGTGGACTCTTTGTTTGTCTCTCTCCTTCGCACCCCTGTTGGGTTAATGATAACACACAATTGGGAGACCCCCGGAATGAAGAGAGTAAATTGAATTTTACAAGGATCAGAATAACTTAAGCCCTGGCCCATCTACAAAACGCTCCCGAAATAAGCAAGGGAGCTTTACCTTTATTTGACATGACAAGGATAGAAGTCGAACGCACACAATATTGTAGTATTCAAGAATTTATACTTCTCTCTGCCTTTGTTTACGAAAAAAAAAAAACATGGCATTACAACATGTCAGTTGATTTTCAGGGGTGTTTCTCTTTTACTTTTGCTTTCTCTTCGTGATCGACTTGCTTGCATAACCGAAGGGCCGAGACGGTTGGTGGGAAAAGGGACATATCATGATTCCAACTGTAACATCACATCATTGACGAAAAAACAACGGGACTTACGAATGAATCATTAAATCCCCAACAAATAAAAGGTTCTTGTTTCTTTGATGATGAGGCTCTTGGTTACCTCCCTCCCAAGCTTAAGCTTTCTTGTGATCTTCAATGCTGGCGTGGCTGGCGTTGTTGATCCTCATGCAGTTGAGCCGGAAACAAAAAGAAAAAAAGGATCCAAGCTTCCTTTCCCCTCCCCGCGGAAGTATGTCTGATCTGATCGGCTTTGCATATATAGCAGAAATGTTATTGAATGAATTCTTCATTTCTATTCGTTACCCGTGATGGAGGTTGTCTAGGGTAAATCGACGGATCATGTCATCGTCGTTCAAGAGCTGGGGCAAGAAAAGCTTCCTTCACCCATTACGCGACTGATACTCTATCAACGTTTCGGCAGAAGGGTCAAGTGACGCTGGTGTAGATGAAGCTTTCTGTTTTGTGCTACGGCGCCACTTCATCGACGTTGTATTCTTGATTTGGGAGGTTGCGTGTCAGCCTACTTTTTTTTACGAGACAACTCACCTACTCCATCATCCATCCACCGTCATTATTACTAAAACCAACCTCGCTGGACAAAAGCTCCAACGGTTACTCAACGACTTCAAAAGAACACAGTGTAAAGTTTCTCTCCTTCAATTCCTCGATATGGCCTCAAAATTGACACAGTCTTCCAACACTACTCCCCGCTAACAAGACGAACATGAAGACGGCGCAATAATTCGACCATCGGCGTTCTATATAGCGTTGTTCCTGAACTTGCATTCCAGCCCGCAACACCAAATCGTTACTGAATTGCATAGCTTCATTCAAGCGCGGCCACTGACCCTGTGGCTATCTCTGCCTGCCCGTCCCAAGGGTGCCACGTTCTTGGCTTGAGTTCAAAGTTTACATACCTACCTAGCCACACCCTCATCTGACCCAACACAAGGGGGATATCGCATTGTGCGAAACACCCTCATCAGTTGGGAATACGCACATGTTGCCATCAAGCGGGGAAAAGACCAATCATCAGCCCAGATCGTCAGCTTGACAACTTCTAGACCGTGCCTCTGCAGCCAACCCCCTCTTCGTTCTTCCCCGCAACGCAAACCCAATAGCCTCCAGGGGTCTTGGGAGGCTGAGCCCTGCCCGTCGTTCTTCGCCTTTTGGGTCTCGGCGGTCCCCTGGGAAAGTCTAGGCTGCATCGTGGTGTTTTATGTCCCTTGGATGGCGGTAGAGTTGATGTCAAAAGTGCCGGGTATCCATGCTGAACGATTGGCTTGATATGGTTCCTGGAACAAGTTCATGATACTGCATGCATCAGATCACCTAATGATGGGCCCATGAAGTAAACCAGGGGCCTCGATATATCGTCATGGTTGACAGCAGATGGCGTGACTCTCACAAACATGCTTAAATCACATCGTCGTGACTGTGCAGTTGCTTGTCCGTTGCTTCCGAGCTCTCAAGCCTCCGATACGTCGAATCGGAAAGCTTTAGAAACGAAACCAGCTAACAGCAGCCACAAAGTGCGGGGCCACAACCGCATACCCTGAGTCGATTGTCAGTCTGGTGGCATGACGATTCACAACCAGCTTTCCGGGTAGCCGTGATGTGTATCTTCTAGTGAAGAATATTCACATCAAGAGTTTTTTTGTGTTGCTCTTTCGGATTTCCCGATGCTTCAACTGGCCGCATTCTGTATAGACCATCTATGGTGCGACAATGGGCTTTCTCCTGGCCGATTGACGCCAACATCTCGACTGGAATGCAGAGGAGATATCCCTTGAACCAACTTCCACTATCCTTGCCTTCCGCTCTGCACTGGTATGAAACGAGTATGGCGTATAGTTGTGCGGTCCAGGAGTCTGGTTAGGCTTTAGAAACCTTGCAAATGTGGATAGCGACATTGTCATTGTAGAATGGGCCCTGTTGGTCTTGTCGCTTGGGAATTGCAAATTGCAGAACCTCTACGGAAAGCCCGTTGGCTTGGCACTGGTCGAGGAATGCCTGAAAGGTCTTTTCGTTGCGCTGAGTTGCTGAGATGAACACCTCCACGTGCGGGTGAAGCTCGAATATCTCGATCAAAGTTCCGATCAGGGCTGCTATCACGCCCTTGTCGTAAGTAATGTCGGCGCCAAGCACGACATCAATAGGACGGCCACCATTCCATTTCTCTTCTTCGGTGCCCATGAGTGCGTGACCCCATTTGACATCCATCGGTGTCACAAGTGTGGAATCCTGAAGTTCATTGAGGAAGAGGTTATCGGGGAGATTGTTGATCACGTCGTCGGAGCCATCTGATGCGATGACATGTTGAGAATCTAGATAGTTTGCGCAGAGAATGGAAAGGTACCCTGTACCGGCCCCCAGCTCTAAGACTCGTTTGTCCTTGACAATGTGTCTGTTCTGGCAGAGATAAGATCCCAGATGGATGGCAGCTTCCCATGTACGCAGACCAGTTGTCCCTGATCCCGAAATGAGAGAGTGATTCTCAAGAAGGGTAATGTGAGGGGGACGGGAAGTTTGATCACGATGGCCCTCTTGGCAAAGTTCAGAGAGATGGTAAGTGACGTAGGCCTTTTGCTGAGCAGAGGTTGATTCTGAAGGTAATGGGTTTGCGAGGAATAGTGAGAGGACAGACATTAAGTCATCAGAAACTCCCTTCTCAATGTTAGCAACTGTTATGAGATATGTTTGCATGACGTCTTGTCAGGGACGATGACTTACATACTCTTCCCAGTCATCGATGCTAGCTTCAATTCGCGACATGAGCTCTTTCAGCACTCGAAGCTGAAAACGTGGAGGGGGACCATATCGAACAGCACCATCCGCAAATAATCTCTCGTAAAACTCATTTTGAACCTGAGAAGTCTTTAAGAGCGCAGACTCTGGGAAGTCCAAGTCAGGTTGCAGCTGTAGATATTGATGACAGAACCGGTCAACTTGCTGTGTATTTGTAGACGACATTTTGCACATTTTGGCCAGGGGAACTGCTTGTTTATATTATTCCTCTTTTCTGAAGATTTCGAGTATTATACTGAGTGTGATCGGACCATCCTGGAACCCATTGCAAGCAAAGCAACAGCTCCATTGGGTAATAACAGTGGCCTGACGACTATCTCCACCAAAGACTGGAGTTTAAACTTGGCAAACCTTGGAACAGAGGCTGAAGAGTGTTGGTCAATATCCGATCTATTTCCAGTCATCTCTAACCGAAGATTTTCCGTCACAACACGTGACTTTGAAACCCTGATTTGTTTGGCCTCAGATCTCAGGCATCTCTACGCACAAGCATCTTTTCTTAGGGTTGGACCAAATTAAGCGACAAAGCGAATTTTGCGACCCTTCCCAGTGTGACAACTTCATCAACGAACGCAACGCCCAGTCTCTCCACCGTCAACACACCCAGAGACCATCACGACAATCGGCAAAAATGGCGGACAACGACTCTCCCGTCACCCTCCGAACTCGCAAGTTCATCCGCAACCCTCTGCTGGGCCGTAAGCAGATGGTCGTGTGAGTGACAACCCTCTGAATTGCAATTTGATGACAAGACCGTCTTCTGCTGTTGCTCTGTTTCTCATCGCCCATCATCGATGCTTTTCCCCGTCTCTCCCCGCTCGAACTTTCGATTTATACGCTACGCAACGATTTGCAATATCGAAACAAATAAACACCGTTCAGCAAATGGGACACAATGCGGGCAAGCATCAATGATGGTCGGGAAGAAACGCAACACAGGGGGAACTTGTCATGTTTTTTAATATTTAACTTGGGCTGACCGATGTGATGCGTTTTTACAGTGACATCCTCCACCCCAACCGTGCCAACATCTCCAAGGAGGAGCTCCGTGAGAAGCTCGGTTCTCTCTACAAGGCCCAGAAGGACCAGATCTCCGTCTTCGGTCTCCGAACCCAGTTCGGTGGTGGCAAGACCACTGGCTTCGCTCTCGTCTATGACTCCCCCGAGGCCATGAAGAAGTTTGAGCCTCAGTACCGATTGGTGCGCGTTGGCCTCGCCACCAAGGCCGAGCGTGCTTCCCGACAGCAGCGTGCGTATTTGCTACAAAAACAACAAAAAGGTTTAGTCTGGCTGACATTCGATAATAGGCAAGCAGCGCAAGAACCGACAAAAGACCCTCCGAGGTACGGCAAAGGTCAAGGGTGTCAAGGCGAAGAAGGAGAAATAAACGATTCATGGCTAAATGGCTTGTGTATATCCTCGGGCTGGTTGGGGAGAGGCGGTCACAGTTATGCCTGTGGCTGCTTGCATTCGGTGGTCATATTTACGGTCCATCCTCGTCGTTGGCGTCAGCTTTGGCATAGGGTACAGGGACTTGCTGGCGGACGCGGGGGTTATCTGGACTCGACGAGGGGGATTGAAAGTTACGCTTTCACCTTCCTTGCTCAATACACTAGCATGAAATCAATGGTGTTTTTCGGGTTTCGGACCAAAAACAAAAATAGCAACGTCTCTGGTTTTCACGCGGGTTTCAACCTTTTTCGTGTCTCATGAAGCTTGAAGGTGATGATGACAATGTATGACTCATGACTACAGTATATGGGGGAATACAGAATGCTTCTTCTAATCAATTCAGAATGCCGCCCAGCAGCACAAACAGGGTATCAAGACGAATCTATCCCAAAAACTAAAACTCCAAACTCCGCCCGATGCATCTAATCTTGGTCTCTAACTCACCACCATCCTCCATACAACAACATAGCCAATCCCAAAGCAATCCCAACGACAACTTTCCACCCCACAATCTCCCCTCTTCGACCCTCAGCAGCGGCCTTGTATACAGGGATATGCCATCCGCAGCGCTCCTTTCCGTCTCTAGTCTTGCACTCGTAGTAAGTCGTCTGTCTCCAACCCATGCTCGCCAACTTCTCCGCCTGGTCAGGCGCTGCAGTGACGGGAGGGTTAAAGACAGACGGGTTGGCGTTGTTTCTCTCTTGTCTTTCCTCTAGAGAATCAGGCATGTTCGTTGTGTCTGGTAGAGAATGCGATAGTGTTGATGCGGGTTGAGCTTCTAGTGTTTGTGTAGGTAGACAAACACTTGTACTTGTGAAGCCCAAGATGATGAGGAGGGTGAAGATGAAGTAGTGAAAAGGCAACATGATTGCGGTGTTGATTTGGTACAGAAGATGTTCTTGTGTATCTCGTATGAATTGGGGAGGATAGATATTTGCTGTCGTAGTAGGTTGATCAATCTTGTCGTTATATAACCACCTTTTGAACCAAGTATTTCACGTTCTCCCCTTTAACAAAGACGAGCACAGCAGTAATGTTCACAATTCACAAAGTCAAGAAAGAAGAAAAAGAAGGACCGATCAAAGGGCACAATTGCTTCTATGGTATGAACAATAAATATATTCTCACAACCTCGAAGAACATGACCACGCGACAATAGCCAACGGCCATGACATTACAATACGTTCATGAGACACTAGATTAGGAGACTTGGGTGGTAGATTCAGGGTAGTTTCTGGTGGTGGTGGTGGGTTGTTTCGCTGCATCATCTGAACCCTCCAGAGGTTTGGTTGGCTGACATGATCTGGCTCGTGATGCAGCTTTTGCTCCTAAGCCTGTGCTGAGACAGGCCCACGACTAAACCATCGGTTCGTGATGCTCCTCACATGAGACGTTGGGCATTTGAGCAAGGAAAAATTGTTTGAGGAGGATGAATCTTGGCTTTTTTTTATTTACTTGAACTTGCTTATTTCTTTGTATGCTAGCTCTAGCGAAATGCATTTTGCAGGTTAACTAATCTTTTGTCCTCAGCCAAACGCTAGGCTGTCATGCATGATTCCCCAACGCCGTTCCTATATTACACATAAACATGTGCTACAATACTAATCGCCCGTTCCTTTTTGTTATCCTGCCTGTAAAAACAGGGTCAGGCAGATGATTAAATGATGCAAAAGACCTCTTTCCCCTTTCCAGAACTTCCATAAACTAAGGACATAAGAGAACTGAGGATGCATGACCAAAGCGACCGATGTTTCGTCTCTTCAGTTGACAGAGTCAATATTTGCTACCTTGCCTTTCAGAATTTGCGGGTTGGCTTCCTACGTCCTCTGATCTGACTGAAAGCACTAGCAGTCACATCTCGAACCGGTGGGAGACATGTTCGTCCACGCGCAGTCCGACTTTGTGTAGCAGTAGTCGTCTTGTCAACAGCTAGTGCCGCTGTCGCTGGAAGAATTTTACCTCGGCTTCGCGTCGTAACTTCGCTATAATTCTTCTGCACCCAACTTTCACCTTGTGGCAGAGGACTTTCATGATAAGTATCGTCCTCGCTATCTTGGGCATAGTGTTCGGTATACTGCACAGATGGTGGGCTAGAGCTCAGTTCGATAGCCTGGTCGCCTTTTTGTTTCAGAGGCGGGAATTCTATACGCTGTAATTCTTTTTTAAGCCCCTGTGAAAGTGACGATGCTTCCTGCTCAAGTTTGACAGCGTTGGTTTGCGACGCCTCAGTTTTGATTGGGTGCTGCAAAGCACTCTTCTCTTGTGGCGCACGCGACAATAGACTACGCAAAGATTTGTTGCGAAGATTTGGACGATCGTTCTCGTCCTCCCCTTCATCCAATTTTCGCATCGCTTCCTCATACTCGACGTCGTGTTGTTCGGTCTTCACATACCGAGGAACAGACGGTTGTGAAAACTTTGCTGGGCTCTGAGTCTGCCTCACCGTTTGGAATAGCTCTTCCAAGGAAGGAAAAGGACTGCTACTCCTCACCGAAACAATTGAAAGCTGAGGGCTTGGTGCTCTTTTGTCATTGTCCATAATTGAATCCTCAACACGCTCTTCTGGGAGATCTTCAAGGCCACTGATTGATGGTGGCTGTCTTCCACTGCGAACGCTGCCTACAGACGACGGCACCCTAAGACGGTGATCCATAGGCACGTCATCTTTGGCGGGAAGTGCTGGAAGTTCTGGTGTCGGTATACTGTCAGGAACAGTTACATCCCAGCCATCCTCAACTGTTGGCATCGGCTCGTCCAGATCTTTTGCATCATCTGCTCCGTTCATGTCATCTGAATTAACTCCCTTCTTTCCCTCCACATTACTTCTTTCCTCCAAATCGTGTAAAGGTAAATTCTCTCCAGCAACTGATTGCATTGTTTCTTGTAGTTGGCGTGTGGGACTGTTAGTCACATCACTCGGCGTCTCCATCGGTGGTGGAATAAAACTGCTGATCTGACTGTTTTCTCCCGTAAACTCGAGCCGCGGTGGCTGTTGGCCAGAAGGAATATCGGTTCCTGAGGGCTTGTTCGTAGCCTCTTGTTCCTTCAAATCGGCCGCAATATCCGCTCTCACTTTCTGTGTATCTAACTCCTCAGCCATAGTCTCATCAGGGTATGTTCTCACGCTAACCTTGGTATTCGCCGTTGCGTCCTGTACGGGCTTAGTAGATTCAGTTGGGAGCTCCGTACCCTTGGCAATCGTTTCTGAAGAGTCGGTTGGCGGTGCTTGCTGAACCAATCTTGGGTCGGACATTTCTTCCCAGGTAATGTCTCTTCGACCGTTGTCCTCATCGCTGTCCTCATCTTCATCAAAGTCTGGCACCTCGAACTTTGCATAAACCCGTTGGCCTGTGTGTTCATCATATTCTTTATCATCTTCGTCTCTGTCTCTCTTAGCCAACAGGACATGAAGATGATTGTCTTCGCTGATTGACAAGATGAGCCCAGTCGTCGATACCATTTCGGGCTGCCACTTTGTCGCTTTTGACATGAGCAGTTGCTTCCAGGTAATGACCATGCCCGGCTTGACCTCAGACAGTACGAGACTGGGAAGAGTAGTGAGGTCTGAAGGCAGTGAAGGGAGGTCGTCCATCTCTGCGAACTGGGTGTCCTGGTGACGAGGTTTGCTGGTCGGGATGTCATCATAATTCAACACGACATCCTCATCGCCATTGCCTCCTGTTTCAGCATAGAAATCTTCGGTAATCTCCATTCCATCGTATGCTTCGTCGTACCCTCCCTTTCCTTTACGCTTCTTGGACTTTTTCTTCTTCTTTTGGGAGTCATCTTGCCACTCTTCATCGCCGTTCCATTGGTAGTCTCCTCCATGGTAGTCTTCTCCATAGTATTTCTCATCGTTAAAGTCTTGTGAAGCCCTCTTTCGCTTCCTCACGGACGTGTACTGTTGTTGGGGATCCCACCGTTGTACAAACGGGAATGGCGGTTCGCTCAAAGTAACATCTTCCTGGCAGCACTCAACTGCTCGGTATGAGATCTTCTTTCGCCACGCTTCAGGGTCTTCGTCCTCTTGCTCTGCTGGTGGTTCGGCCTCGTTAGCCTTTGGTTCCACAACTTGAACTCGAGGGTTTTGCAGCGGCTTCACATCCTTCATTAAGCTGTTGCGGAGTTTAACCTCGTCAGCTTTGGACTTGGGGTTCTTCAGCCCAAGAGCACCAAATAACATTCGCCGTCCGGCTCCCATGTCGACTTTGTGGCGACGCTGAGGAGCAGGTTCCTCAGCCGGAGCTGCATCTTGTGTTGTCGTAGGCGCCGATACTTCCTCTGTTTCAACTTCGACAATCATAGGAGGGGGAGCAGTGGCTGATGTTACTTTCGGAGGGCTTGGAACATCTTCGCTCTCGTCGCTAACGACACTCAGGAGGGCACGCTTTCGGGCGAGAAATTCAGCATCTTCGCTGGGCGCTTCGTTGGTAGACGGTGGAGATTGAGTGTCTTCCAAGGCTTGCATAGCTCTCACTCGCTTGAGATCACGCCTTCTGGCATTCCTCCTCTTGGTCCTGGTCAACCCAGCGCCAGGCGGCTTTGTATCTTCGGTGCGCCCTGGAGTCGAGTTTGGAGCTTGGCTTTCAGTCTTCGCTGCAGGTATTTGCGATTGCTTTACCTGAGGCTGCTTTTTTGAGGAAAGCTCCTCAGGCTCAGACTCCGAATCAGATTCACTTGAGCTGGAGTCGGAGTCGCTTGAGCTGCCGCTGTCACTACTACCATCAGAGTTTCGCGCCGTCGAGACTTTCGCACCTCCAGCATCATTGCTCCATTCAGAACTAGAGTCCGAATCTGAGTCCGAATCAGAACTGTCACTCGAGCTTGCATCTCTGGGGGCCGGGCCGAGCGACTGTTTTGTGGAATTATCTGCATCATCCATCAATTCATCTTCCGATTCCGAGGAGTCGCTATCCGAATCTGAATCTTGTTCTGGGCCCTTGTACGAATCTTCATCAGATTCAGAGTCGGAATCAGAGTCCGAAGTGTCAGAAGAGCTCGAAGTGTCATCTACTTCATCCAAACCGCCTGAGATGGTGTTCATATCTGATCGCATCTTTGCTTCCCTTGGTGCAGCAGAAGGGGGCTCTTCGTCGTTGACCTCCTGAATCAATGGTCGTTTCGCGTTCGTGGCTTCAGACTGTCCAGGGAGTCGTAGTGTCTGTGTTTCCACCTCTTCTTCATCTTCGTTGTCCGAGTTGTGATGTTCCGAAGGCTGTTTGGAATTGGGTTCGCTGGAATTGAAAGTAAAGCCAAGAATAGCAAGCCCCAAAACCTCGTCACAGCTGACTATTGGGTTGTTGGTTTTACTAAGGACCTGGTACGTCTTCTTCAAATCGTTATCGTTTTTTTGCAGAGCATCTTGCACATTCGACAGAGATGTGAAAGGAAATGCGGCTCGTAGTGCTGTAATCTTGTCGAGCATCGAAATATCAATTACAGGTGCGGATAGATGTGCCTGTGCGTCTTGGCGGTTGTTCTCGAGAAGAGAGGTCCACTCCTTCTCTGGAGGCGCGTGCTCAATCAAGGCATTATCTGCTTGTAGGGTCCTCAACTCATCGGCAAGATCGACGTCTGGCTCATCCTCATCCTCGTCGCTAGTCTCGGAATCTTCGTCGTCACTCTCGGGTTCTGCTTGCCCATCTTCCACAGGTCGGGAACCGGTATCACCATTGACCTCATCATCATCCTCCTCTCCAAGTTGGTCGGTGTCTATAAATCTTACTCGCAGACGCACACTGCCTGGCTTTTCCCGGTTTTCGGTTGAGGGAGTATTTTTGAGCAAGAGCTGCTTTGACGGATCTTCTTCATCGCCGGAATCCTCCTCAGTGTAATCTTCTTCGCTAGAGTCTTCCTCGCTGGGATCTTCCTCTTCTTCCTCTAGTTCTTCTTCGTATGTGATGCGTGCTCGTTTTCGCGGGGGCAGGTCGAGTGCTGGACGGTCGCGCGGCGCCCTTAACCAAGGCCTACCAAAAGCCAATCCATCGATAAGATGTTTTCCGTCAAGGGATATTTGATGTCGTCCACTGAGTCTTCTCCTCTTCAGGTCGCCTGTAGAAAGTGATCTAATTCTATGCAAACTGTCAGCTTAAAAGATCTCGAGAGTATAGCGATGCAGATTCGTACAAAACTTGGTCATCCTCCTTCAAAACTTTGCCGACGGGTTGAAAATGTAGCAGCTCGAAACTATCGCCCTTGCCATCGGCTAGCTCAACGACATAATCCTCTAGACCCCAATCTCTACTCTCGAGCGGGACAACTTCGTTGACGAGTGCGAGGAGCTTCGAAACGGTGAGGTCCTCGTTTGCGATGCAGGGCCAAACGAGCTTGACTTCTGGGACGGAATGTCTGCGGATGACAAGACGCAGGCGAATCGTCTGGGAAGACATGATAGCGGTTGAGGTTTATGAAGAAAAAGTTATCGCATGTTTATTAAGGAATGTATTCACGTAGAGAAATGAAGCATAAAGTGGGAGGAATCGAGTTTGCGCGCGAACCGAAATTGAGGCTGCGATTTTGGAGCTTGACGCGCCGTTCAATATTTGGAAACTACAACTTAGCGTAGGCCCATAAATCGTCACGGCAGTCATTCAACGGCAGAACCCGACCCACTACTACATCAACTCTGATGAAGACCATGCAGATCAGCAAAAAGCAAAATAATATTATTTCTAGAACATAATAATTCAGTATTAATCTGCACAACCAATTACAACATCGAGGTCAGAATGTTGACATAAAGATCTTTCTCCAGAGCAGCTTTGGGTTGCATATCGTAAAATGATACTGGTGATACTTGCCCAAGCAAGAGGTACCTACCTGTTATTGCAACAATTAATGGTGAGGAAGGCATCGTGCATTGACTTGGTATCCACGAGAAGGGACTCTTCCTAATCCATGCCATGATGATACAGTGTTCCTGCAAAAACTAGCCATTAACTAGGCCATCAGAAAGAAACTCATGATGAATTGCAGCCCCATGATATCGGCCACGACACCCAGCAGGCATAAACTCGTCCATGTAACCAACGATTCGAAAATTTAGACGTAGAATCGTTTCGAGACATGTTGAAATGTAGTTTTTATCTACCATACCTACACATACATCAAAGCTCCGCCGTCCAACGCCATCAATCAATCCCAAAGAACGACGATAAACTCCACTGATTGCAACAAACAGAAGTCCCCTTCTCTCTTCTTTCTGGTATTTGTGTTTCGTTTGCGCGTCTATCGTGGCACTGATGCCATATCCAACATGTGTCCCATCTTCTCAATCTGCGAATCAGTGTTAGTAGGCCTCTTAAACAAAACGTGATCGAACTTACCTTGGTCTTGAGATAACCCTCCACCTCCTGACTTCTGAAACCTCCACGGCCCTTCCATGACAAAGGCACCATGGCTACTCGCTCCTTGACAACAACCTCTCTATTGGGACCCTCGACCGCGCGAATTTTATCGGGATTGTTGGTCAACAATCGAACCTCTGGATGACCGAGATCTAGCAGCATGGCCGTAGCAAGACCATAGCTTCGAGCGTCGGCAGGATGGCGTAGCAACAAATTCGCTTCGACGGTATCAGACCCAAGATCCTGAAGATTGTACGCCTTGAGCTTCTCTCCCAAACCAATACCACGACCCTCTTGTCGCAGGTAGATGATGATACCGCCGGCCTTGTTGCCTGGCAGGCTCATGAGGCGCGCTGCTTCATCAAGCTGCTCGCCGCAGTCGCATCGCGCTGACCACGCTGTCTCACCTGTGTAGCACTCGGAATGAATCCTCACCAGAGGAGGCTGATCCGACGGCTGCGGTGGCTGCTCCTCCTGAGGGGTCGCTGGTCCGATACCACTGGTTGTGCGACCGGGGAACAACCTGCCCGTGTATGCGCCGCGCACCATGCGGTCCATCTCCGTCTCACCCTCCCGGACAGCATCTAGACTCTTGCTTCGGATATTGTTACCAAACACGATGGCGAGGTGTTCCTTGTTGTCCACATTATTGGTGTACAGGTGCAAGAACATCTCCGTTCCTGCAACCGTGGGGATACGGGCACGAACAATACACTCAACCTCCGGGAGAGTCGGGAGTAGCTTTGGTCTCTTTGATCCGCATCCTCCGGAGGGGATGGAGCTGTCGACAGGAACACCGCGAAGGCCAGCTGTCGTCGGCGTAGAAGTACCGGGTGTAGAAGGGGGCGTGAAGGAGGGAGAGAGCAGTGATGGCGGGGGTTCTAGGCCGATCGGGGTCTCGGGATCGGGATGGGCGGAGACGGGAGCGGAGGCGGGAGTGGAGGGAGCGGGGGAGAGAGATAGTGAGTCTATGGACTGCTCGAGAGTGCGCGCAGAAGTTGATGCATCGGCAGGCTCTGTCTTTGGTGAGTAAAATGGAGGCAGAGCTGAGCTGGAGCCCGCCGGTGAGCCTGGAGTCGCATCGGACGGCATGTTTTGGCTTGAGGCGGGCAAGGACGGCGCCGCGATCGGATTTTGGAGGGGTTCGGTTTAATTTAGGTGTCGTAGGTTCGGTGGCGGCGTGGACTCAATGCGCATTCGGCAGGTGTTGAGATTATAGTGGGCGATGTAAACAATTGAGTATACAAAGAGGTCGCGTGTCGTCTGTTGTGTGAGTGAAGCAATGGACAATTGAGTAATCTTCTGTGTATGTGTGATAGGTTGCGGAACCATGACTTGACTTGGCTCGATAGAATGGTGGGGTTTGTTAAAGATTCCAGGGTGCAAAATGGGGTAAGTCTCATTAGTCATCGTCTTTTTATTTCTATATCCGCGGGGTTGGATTATTTCCGCCGCTGCAGTAATTGACTTGCGCCTTCTACGTAAGCAATGAGATTATGTCTAGTAACGCGGTACAGACCGTGGTTTGTTTGCTCATCATTAGATATCAATTTACAATTTTGTTAGCAGTATGGAAGTGTCGGCCCCGACCCGCGCGGGTTATACCACCAAAGAGGATAAAGAATCTAGAGAACCTCGGCGAAAGCGGCCGAGGCCGACTACTAGTGGGGCACCGTTGAGTCTCGGTCAGCATTTACAATCTTGCAGTGAATCTGAGTCAGTATCCGACATCCGCGGAACTATCGGGTATGGGATATTATTATTATGATGTTGTGTACTAAGAGGTGGTATGTAGTATGTAGTTATCCTGTTGTAATTTCTTGTTTTTCCGGGAGATGGTTTGCTTTGACCAGCACAACGTTTGCAAATACAGGTGAACGTGACTCTTGTTATAAACGTCGAGTTGTGTTTTCACATTAATTAACATCCGTGTACAACAAGTATAACAGACTGTTTCGCCATGTATTGTACAATGACAACTACACAATTAAAATACAGGGAAAATTCATATTTATTATTCCTATCATCTATATCAGATAGACAAGTTTCTTATACGTTGATATTTATCGTTCAACTTTTCTGATCAAAACACTTTAGGGTAAGTCAACACAAAAAGATGCCAAGACCACCACCGTTTAAAAAACATAACGGTTTCCTTGCCGTTTTCACATGATGCCCTCACAATAAAGCAAACCGTCAATGAACCCCTCATTCAATACCTTTTACACTCCCACTGCACCACCATCAAGACAGACATTTAACGGCCTGTCATCAAAGAAAATATGAAACACGCCCAAATGCAGGTACAAGCGCTCAGCTATCACTTAGAAAGGAGAAATCTCATTAGTTTCTCTTTGTTCGTTCCTTTCCCCTGTTTCATACCCAGCCACGTAGCTTTGACGCTGGAGAGATCTAGTTAATCACACAGAATTCGTTGGCTGCCGAGTGCTATCCAAACTTTAAACCCCCCTGAATTGTGAACTGCCGACTTAGATGCGGTGTGATGCCCAAGTTTATTGCCTTTGACAAAATATGCACATGTAAAGCCAGCAAAGCAATGAACGACATGACGTCTCTTAATCCCTGCCGGTCCGACTCACCGTGCCTTGATCTTCTGCACGTGGCTTTTCTCCACAGGTAGTTCAATGATGATCCTACGCGCCCAACACCGCATAATCCATAACTGCACAATGATGTCCATATCTCAAGGAGGAGAAAACAAGGCTATTGCAGCAAGCATTGCGGAGCTGAACCTTGCAGGGCTGTGAAAAACCCTCAAGAGGGAGGGAGAAGAAGCAAGGGCTGAAGGAGGGGGGCTGGGGCTGGGGGACATGTGTAAGCCACGTTCTCATTGAAAGGCCTCCAGCTTAATATTTGAGAGCCTGATTGAGTTGATCGAGATGTTTGGCAACATCAGTTGGGGTAAATGAATATGCTGTTGAGAAAATTTACTTCAAGCTGTATTTGACACTTTGTCATAGATCTGTACCGGCTCGGCGCCTTTTCGAGGAGGGGGTTTAAGTGCTGTGACATAAGAGGCAGAGTTTAATGGACGGGAGAGAAAAAAGCAAATCACACAGTAAAGTGTTGTCTCAGTTCTCATTACTGAGGCTGTGAATTGTGATGAGATGAAATGAAACGAATCACAAAAGGCCATTAAAAATGAGACACAAAATTGAAAGAAGGTGTAGTGTATTTGACTCATCGTCAATGGTCTATGTATATACATGAGAAGTAAAAATAAATGCAAAAAACAATCCTTTTTTCCTTGTATCCTGTATATCATTCCAGAGTTTTTTCATATCTTTCGTAACGAGTGATACGCTCCCTGCATCTAGTTGCTAGGGCGGCGATTTTCTATTGTGATCATCATAAGACATAAAGAGGTGTGAGACATGAACCCCATTTAGAGGGCGACGGCCTTCTCACCAGTGCCGTACATGATGTTCTCAACCTTCGTCTTGAGCTCCTTGACGGAACCGAGGCCGCTGGGGCACTCAGGCTGGTTGCTGACGGCGAGGTTGAGGTGGCACTTCTCGTTGACGCCGTGCTTGCAGACGGGGTCGTTGATGTTGTACAGCTCGTAGTTCTGGGCGACCCAGCTCTTGGGCTCGCTCAGGCAAGAGGCGACGTAGTTCATGGAGTTGGCGGCAGCGAGGGGAAGCTTGCCGTCATCGAGGAGGTCCTTGCACTTGGAGGCGTGGACGTACTCGTACTCCATGTTGATGCCACCGCCCATCTGGGGGTCCTCAGTGGCAGACTTTCCGAAGCCGAGGTAGTTCCAGGCATCGTAAGAGATGTCGTGGGCACCGCCGGAAGAGTCAATCTTGAGGAGGTAGACGGAGCGGCCTTCGTTGGAGACCTTGACGCAGATGTTGTTGCAGTCAACGGAACCGGGCCAGTAAGCGACACGGTTGGTGTTGATCTTGCAGCCTAAGACTCCAATGCTGCTAGAGTACATGTCGTGGGGAGTGACGCTGCAAGAGCCAGACTCGCCTCGAGGGAGAGGGTTGGCAGAGACAAGGGCAGCAGCAGCCGCGACGATAGTGGTGAACTTGGTGAACATTTTGGCTGTTTTAAAAAAGTTTTATATACTTTTTATTGAAAGTTTGTTGATTTGGAGACTGGCTCGACTTGATATACTCAACGCACGGCGGAGAGAAGGAAGGAATGGGCAAGTGAGTTTGTTGTAAGGACTGATCTCAGATCTAGGTCTGGAGTGACGGCCGGCCGAGTGAACGACGAAGAAGAATTGGTAAAGGAAGGAATGTAACTGTGGTGCAGAGTAGAAGGAGAGTGTATTGAAGGTGGAGGTGATGGACTTTATATACATGAGATGGGTGTCCTTGACTCTCAGGTACACCATCAGATCTCGGGGAACTGAATCACATTTGCAAGGTTTGCAAGGGTGTGTGTATCCATCCTTCCTCGGGGAGAGACAAAGCGTGCAGATGCCAATGCTAACGTAGCTGGACTTGCATATTGAGGCGAAACACAAGGGAAAGGACTTGCTTGACAGAGAACGTACGTGGACGTCGCCGAGAGAGCGACCGCTTGGTCTAGTTTAGAGAGTGGGACTCTGTGGGTGACAGCAGGGATCCATCAAGTCCCCAGAGTCAAGAGTCATTGAGAGGAAGAGAAGGAATCGAGACACAGCCATGATTCGCGAAGAGCATGCATGGGCTAGTCTTTGCCCTTTGTTGAAGTTGTCTCCAAAGAACTAGTCCAACTCAGAGAGACCCGCCCGGCTGGCTGCCGACGGAAGTACGTACCGGAGACACACCAAAGACCAAGGAACAAGGGCAAAGCCAGTCCAGTCCAGTCCGGGTCTTTTCCTACTGGGTTCCGGAAAATGTCTCAACTGCTTGTTTGCCAGGCACGGTGCGTTAGTCAGGGACCCGGCACGGCGGCAAGACGCATGCACTCAAAGAGGGCCTTGATTTTCCTGAGTGAAGAGGTGTTGGGCAAAGAGTTTTGGTTGGTTTTGTGCCTGACCGTGCTTACATCCCCCCTTGTCTTGTACCTGAATGATCCTTGTCAATTGTCGTTTCTTAATTCTTGGGTGTATGTGCCTGTTGATCAAGGCAATCAATCTACGGTACTGTATTCGATCCCATCAGTCGATTCTTTTTGAATCGCTCTCTGCATTGTTAGCAACAATAAAGGTGTGAGTGGATAACTGTCGCAGTCAGTTTGTTAACTCCGTTTCCCAGTAAACCAGTAGTCTATAGACTGGACAATAAGTTGGTAGTGGTAGACTAAAGAGACGGAGAGAAAACGGAACAGGAGAAAACTCTTCTCTCAACTTCTGCCCCACCATCAACAACTTTTCCCAGCCGATGAATGAACGCCTGAAATGGATACCTGACAACTCAATTGAATAGAAAGCGCTTGCTCAAACACTGTGAACTGTAGTACGTACTGTACTGCAGATACGTAAGCGGACACCGTCAAAAATGGTTGTTTGCCAAATGCCTCATAAGTTTTTGACCTTGTGGAACGGTGGATCAGACCAAGAAGAACCTCATCCAACCAAAAAAATCTAGGACTTTTGCTCAAAAGTTCCCTCCCATCAATATTCGATTCTCGTCCGATGCCTGCCCGAGTAAAGATCGTGATTGCCAAGCTTGAGGATTGGGGTTTAATCTGAGATTGATGTGCTCTTTGTTCGGGCTCGGGAAGCCGATAAGCTTGTTTCAATTTTGTGGTCTGGAGTGAAAAAAATCATTCCGATGGATGGGGTTCAATCAAACAGAAACAGAAACAAAACAGGGCATCTATTGACGGCAGCCTGCCTGTCAAGTTGAGATGGATGGCTTCACAAGAACCAGCTCATCGACCAACATTGGATACTTGATTCACCACAGTGAGACAAGGTAATCTCATCCAATGCCTTGTACTGCAAGTCAATGAGGACATGTCTGCTGCTTCAGTAACCGCTTGCTGCTTCAGTAACCGCTTGCTGCCTCAACATGATCGAATTGGTGGCATTCGTCATGTTGTTAGTGTTGCTGCAACTCTGATTGACCCAATTGGCCAAGCCACTCAACCAAGGACTTTGTCACTTTTCAGGCTGTCTCTTTCTTTTCTCT